TTAGTATAATATAATAAATTAAAATTAAGTACTTCCTCGGTTCTTTAAGAAAATGTCTATTTATTTGGTGTGTTATTGTATTTAACATTAAAAATATCTTTATATTTATATAATATTTTATACAATTATCATTGAATTTGTATATATAACACTAATAGAGGTATTTTTTATTTTTCTTAATTTGTATTACGTATAAATATAAATAGTTCGATACTCAAAAATCAAATGAATAGTTAGTTATAAAATGAAAATAGTATTTGATTTGATAGTTTTAAAAAAATAATAATAATTAAAATAGTAAAATCTAACAAAAACAAAGAAACATACCCTAAATATTTTTTTGATACCAAGATCTTTCTTTGTACTAATTTTTTAGGGATTATTTTTACTCTTTACACAAGCAAATTTTTCTTTAAAAATATTAAATCAATTGAAGTATTTATTTTTTATTTTTTATATCATGATCAAATTTTACTTTTAAAATATTACACTCCCTCAGTCCTATTGAAAAGTTGCTAGTTTTTATTTTTGTCCGTATCAAAACAAAATTATCGTTTTCTAATTTAGTAATTGTACTACCTACCTAACATAATAAATACTCTTCTAACTTACACTATATTACACAAATATCATTACTTTTATATTACACAATACTAATAGGGGTATTTTCGTCTTTTTCACTACAACCTATTATAATACTAATATTCAAAAATCTACGTGCAAAAAGTAAACGACAACCTTGCATCGGGAAGGACAATGGGAGTATTAACGTTTATTTATATCACAATAAATAATTATTGAAACTCGACATTTAAATCAACAAAGCTCCCACTGTGACTACTGTCCATCTCCGACTCGGATGTGTTTGTTAGGGGATTGGATTTTAAATATACTATTCTTCCTTTTTTTAAAAAAAAAAAAAACATTAAATCAAACACCTATTTTTTATTTTTTATATTATACTGAAAATCAATTCTACATTCAAAACATTACATCAACACCTATTTATATCACATCATACAACTATTCAAATTCAAAACTTTTACTATTTAAATCTCATCTCAAAATTCAAACCCACCCCACAAACGCACATGCAAAGCAATGAATAAATGCGAACACATAAATATTTAAATAAATTTGTTGATAAATGGTTTTAAAAAGCTGTAAAATAAAATTAAAAAATAAATAAATAAATAAAGTACAGCATGTAAAAGTAACGCTGTAATCCAAGTGCTGATTTTCACTAAATTAATAATACAATAATTTGAGATTGACCAGAAATATATTCCAAATGTTGGAATAATTTTTTATAAGTATTTTCTTTTAAAAAGGAGGTTAGAGCATGATTATATTGTATGTGTTTTTTAAGTGTGCCTTTAGTTAATGATTTTTAATTTTTTTTTTAAAAAAAAAGAATTTTGTCTTAATTTTTTAAATAATTTTAAAAATTATATAGTAAAAAAAAGTAAACATAATTGTTAAGTGAAGAATTTCTTACATTTCCAATTTTCCTATGTTATCTACCCTAAATCTTGAAACTCTAAAATTGAAAACAACTGTTAAATGAACAATTTCTTACATTTCTACTTTGCCTTTTTTTTTGCCCACTTTACAATGATTCTCTAAAAAGAACAATTACTATTATTTTATTTCATTTAAAAACATCACCTTCAAAAATATTATTTATAAAAAAAATTGAAATCTAAAAAAAAATAAAATTACTAAATAAACACTGCCAAGATTCCACAACTCAAACCTCACCTTTTATCTCCTTTTGCCATCACTCACGTAACCAGCAAAAAGAATGCCTTTCCGACCCACGATCTATATTAAAAAATAAATAAATAAAAATAAATAAATAAATCTCATATTAAATATTATTTATTTTTTTTATAAAATATTACATTAAATATTTAATTTTTTATTATATTCAAAACTTTCTAAATATAAACCACCACACTATTGCATGACAAAAAAAAGTAGCTACAAACATCACTTAAAATGTTATACTCCTGCTTGGAAAATAAGCGAGTCCGAAATCTGCCAAACAGCCGATAAAAAACTTTAACTTTTTCCTAAAAAATGTACATCAAAGTTATGAACCACAAATTAATAAAAAAAAAAAAAGGGGCAATTCTTACCTTATGGTAAACTTATAGTAATAAAAATTAATTGTCAAAATAATTAATGCAAATACCGAACACCAACGGACAAAACTTGTCTCTCCTGTTGTTTATCTTACAAAACCTTACATATTACTTGTTTTCACTTTTGAAAATAGCAGTTGCGAATTTCTATATTATATATATATATAAAAAAATCATACATAAGTAATTGGCTGTTACACCCAAAGACGAAACCAGCAGTAAAAGTTTGGGAGGCAAAATCAATTTTTTTTATCGATTCAATGTTGTTGTTTTTTTTTTTTTTTATTTATAGTACTCCCCGGCAAAAGATAAAAAAATTGGAAAATTTAAATATTTTAGAAAAAATTTCAATAAAATTACATAAAATTTAATATTTTTTTACTATAAAAAATAAAATTTAAGACTAAAAAGTATAAATTAACATACGGATAAAATTTTTATGATTTTTTATATTACAGAATAAAAAATTAAGAGGAACAATTTACTATAAAATACATAATTTTATTTTTTTAATATTAAAAATACATATATTTTGAAAATTGAAAAAGGGTTCAATTGATCCTCCTAACCCCCATGTAATTCTGTCACTGCTCACACTACGCCAATAAAATCAACAGATTTCTTATTTAGCCGAGAGTAAGAGTATCTTCAAAGTAATTAACATCTGCAATTGAATCTATGTTGTCTCTTTCTTCCAAAAAACTTATCATCGCCTTAAAAAGGTTAAAAGGTTTTCTATATCTAATATAAAAAAATACAATTCACAAAAATATTAACATACATTAATACAGTATTCCCTCTGTCACGTAAATTTATGTTTATTTACCGGACATAAGTTTTAAGAAAAGTAAATAAAAATAGAAACTTTTTCTTTTTATGGCAAAGAAAAAATAGTGAGAGTGTATGTTTTTTTACTAAAAACAGAAATGAAAATAAGTTTAGATTACAAAAAAAATATATATATATGAATAAATTTGAATGACGTAAGAAGTACTCCTTTCGTCCCAAAGGTATAATCTTACTGTGTTAGACACGAGATTTAAGGAATATTGATATTATATTGGTAGTCGGTAAAAAGTAAAAGTAAATGACTTTTTTGTCGTTGTGAGTATATTAATGTAAAAAATAATGACAATTGTGTAATAATAATAAAAAAATAAGAATAATTTTATAGTGATATAATTATTTTAGGATAAAACTCTGGAAAAGGCAATTGTGGCATCGTGGATGGTCTTACACATTTTCGTAGTGCGTCACAAAGAGACTTTTTATTTATTTATTTATTTATGATTGCTATTTATTATTTTTAACTTTTTAAGAAAAAACATTGAATGTATGTATGTAAGAATGTATCTGTTGTTGAGCTGATGTGTTCGGGCAATGGAGGATGGTCTATCTCGGACATACATTTATTTATTTATTTATTTATTTCCATAGTGCGTCACAGACACACACTAATCTTTACTTACTTACACTGAATCGATCCATCTATTTACCTATCCAATGTATCCTTCACACACAGACACACTAATCATATCTTCTTTTGGAAAAAGTTTTATAGATTTTACTACATCATATTATATTTCAATAGAGCCGTTAAACGAATCGAAAATGTTCGTAAATTTAATTTGATTTAAATGAGTCAAATTGAATTACATTAACATGCTTATTTTGTTAACGAACGGATTCGAAGCTTTATTCACAAGCATTTGTTAAAAAATAAATATTTAAAATTATTAATTTAAAATAAATAAATAAAATATTATATATATATGAATTTAAAAATAAAGTAAAACATTATACTCCCTCTGTCTTGAATATTTAATAAACGAACACAAGTCTTGCTAGCAAACATTAACAATCGTATACAAACACTCAAAATTTTGTTCAATTTGACTCGTTAAAAGCTCTACACGCAGATAACACTTCAAAAAATTTTCGTGACATTTGTATGATCGTGATCTTTTTCTTCCCCTTCAATAATAAAAAAAAAAGTTATTTTTTTAGCTAAAAAAATTACCAATTTTTTTTTTACTATAAAAATACATTTATATGATCGTGATCTTTTTCTTTCCCTTCAATAATAAAAAAAAAGTTATTTTTTTAGCGAAAAAAATTACCAATTTTTTCTTTTTACTATAAAAATAATAATTATTCATTTTTATTTTTATTAAAATTTGTGTATAAATATTTAAGCATATACTTCAATGATAGAGGAGTGTCTAATTACAAAATTATTTTTACCTTTACTTATAACTAAAATATCACCGCACTATATTTTGTCAGAGTTTACCCAAAACACATTCATTCAGTAACACTATATTTTGTCACAGTTAAGCAAAAACACATTCGTCCAGTAACGGTATGAATTCATATGTTATAAAAAATATACTCAGTTGGTAAAAAGTATGGATAAAAGATTTTTTTGCCCTTGTGAATGTATTAGTGTAAAAAGTAGTAGCAATTGTGTAATAAAAATGAAAAAGTAAGGGTAGTTTTACGGTGATAAGGTTATTTATGGAAATAAAACTATTATTTTGAGACGGACAAAAATGGTAAATAAGACTATTATATTGAGACGAATGAAGTATAATATATTATTAATATATTCCATAAGAGATGTCGCAGTGATATTGAAGTGACTAGTGACCATAAAATTTCAAATATTATTATATAAATATCAAATTCAAATTAGTTTTTACTAAATCAAACCAAAAGCACAACATTAATTCAACTATTAACATAATATCACTGTCCAATAAATAAAGTCGAAAATAATTTTTTAAAAAAAAGTAGTCATAAACGTGGCTATAAATATCTCTGCACCACAATCTCTTGCTTCCTGGGAGCCATTGCCGCCGGTCAAACTGTATTACTGTATCAAGAATCTCTCTCTCTCTCCTTCCCCTTTCTCTCTCTATTATATATATATATTGCCAAACATTTTACCCAATAAAACCCTCCTCAATCTTTGGCCCATTTGACCTCACCCCTTCACTACTCTAAAACCCTCTTCCCCCTACCAAAACAAAAAAAAAAAAAAAAAAAAGAAGAAAAAGTCTAAACTTGGTGGATTTGATGAGAAAATCTTTGGGAGATTCTCGTATCTATATGAGCCTCCAGAAGTGGGATTTCTTTTAAGATTCCGCAGGTATCATTTATGTGATGTGAATGCATATATGCATGAAAACAGGCCATGCTTTTCTTCCTCCATCGAACAAACTCACTCAAACACACACTCCTTTTATCTGTTGGGTAAGAAATTAATTTCATTACAGCATGCATCATTATGCCTATTTTTAATTCACATTTTAAAATTTTAATCTTTCTTTTCATTTCTCCCTCTGGTTTTCAAGGTTGTGATCTGGTAAAAGAGGAGTCTTTGTGGTTAGAGATTTTTGGGTGATTTGGGGATGGAGTTGAGGAGAATAATTTTAGGGCACTTTTTGGTGATTTCTTTGGCTTTGAACATGGGGTTGCTGTACAGAGATTATTATTACAACGGGAATCGAAAGCCACAGGATGTGTTCACCTTCAAAAATAAGGGCAAGAATGCTTCTTTGTATGCTAAAAGAGATGCCCATCTTGGGAAGAGGACGTTTCTAGAAGCTTCTAAGGCTTCATCTTCATCTTCATCTTCTTCGACTGTTCTTGATGAAGTTATTGATCTTGATCAGTAAGTTCCTCTGCTTCAATATCTCTCCACTCCTTTCTTTGCCTTTCAAGTTCTTGTTTGATTGAAAACAAAATTTTAAAAATGGGCCCGTTATGTTTTTCAATCTTACTTTAAAAACAATTGTTTGCTAAGGAAGTTTGTTTGGTTTGACTTTCATTTTTAGTTTAAATATTATATATTGTTTGAAGAAGAAATTTCGTGGGGTTTGACTTAAGATTTTCTTCTTGGAATTTGGAGTTGGAATTTGGAGTTTGAAAATAGTAAAATTTTGAATTAAATTAGCTATTTGATTTAAAAATTGGTTTTTTTTTTTTTTTTTTTCTTGCATATTAGGTTAAAAATAAATATTTGATTTGATAGTTTAGGCGAAAAGGTGTGTATTTGTGTGCTTGAAGAAATGGCTGATGGTTAACTTTATAGTGAAGTGGAGTTTGTGGGGATGCTAACTTTTGTGTAACTTAGCAATAATTTATGAGATCTGATGAGATTAGTGAAGCTTAAGATTAGTGGATCTGTGAAAATGGTGATCTGAACTTTGAAGCTGTGCATGTGTAATGATGTTCCCTTTTCTTTTTTTTTTCGGTATAAAGGAGCCATGATTGAGTAGATTTGTACACTTCTAGGGGTATTGGGTTGTGGGGCCTTTCGGCGATGTTCACCACCGGTCGAATTCAATTCAAAACCGTTCGATGAATCATGTTCTTGTTCTTTGTCACATTCAATGGAGAGGGCTTTGAGCCTTTGAATGAGTACTAAATGAGTTTGAATAGTAGGATGCATTAATCGTGCTCAATTTATGAGAAGAAAAAATGTATTATTTTTTTTTTTTTGGGAAATGCTGAGTCCGAATAGTAAAAAATTGGAAGAAATTTCCAAAGAAACACACAACATAGGGACTAGTCGTGTTGGTTGTAAGTGTGTTCCTTAATGGATGATAGAGAGATTGATAGGCATATGCATTTTGGTTAGATCGATGTAGTTTGTGCATAACATGATAAGGGCACAATGGATGGTGGTCTTTCTTGATTCCCTCATTGACCGGCACCATCATTCTTTCTTGTGTTTATATATATACATATATATATATGTATATATGTATTAGAGATTTCGATATTTGGTGGTCCCGAACAAATTCTCTTGTTCCTCCACTTGTGATCGATCTCGTGTTGTGCAACTTTGATCTCTCGTGCTTTGAAATCTTAATATAAAATAGGACAGTAGTTAGTCTCAAGGAACCTTTTTTTTTTCGTATAAAGTATTCATGTTACACAAAAGCAGCTTTTGTAACTTCTATGCTAATTTTATTTAAATGCATCGTAAGATTCGTAATATGTTGTTTCCCGGCGTTGTGCATTCGCTACATTCGGACCCCTTTTGTCCTATGAACAGCAAGACAAGAACTAGAAAATCGATCTTTTTTTTTTTTTGACCCTTTCACAAATTCTTGGAGCCAATTTAGGGTCTTGTCAATTCGTTCCAAGAATAATTGCAGAGCTGACATTTACTTGTCATTTATCCAATCATTTGGTCATATGATGGCGACGAGTTTGGTCCTCAATACCTACCTCTCATCATCCGCATTGAATCGCAATACAGTGGTTAGGACCACTGTCCTTATTTCGGGACCATCCCAGTTTTATGGCGATGTTATGTCACGGTTGAGGTATTAAAGCTCATTGCTCTAACTTTGTCCGATCTATCTTGGGAGTTCGATTTGCAGGCTGTCTTTATCAAGGTCTTTGCGCGAAAATTTGCTTTTAGATTGACCATTAATTCGAGCGATAGTGATTTGAATGACTTATTTGTAGTCCGAGTTGATTGATTAGGCGCAGTTTTGTGCCGACTTGATGTGGACGGACCTAATGAATTTAATTATGTGCAGTGGTGACCCGACGATGTACGAGAGGTATTGGCAACAAATGGGAGACAAAACTACTGTGGTGATCCCCGGATGGAAATTCATCAGTTATTTTTCGGATGTTAGTAATATTTGTTGGTTTTTAGAGCCGGAATTCGCCAGTGCTGTTTTCCGGCTGCATAATTTGGTCGGAAATGCTGCCACTGAAGATCGCCACATTGTGGTTGGAACCGGCTCGACTCAGCTCTACCAAGCAGTGCTTTATGCCCTTTCTGCGCCTAATGCTACCGAGCCAATCAGTGTTGTATCTGTTGCGCCGTTCTACTCTGTAAGTCGTCTAAATTATTCCCATGATTGAAGTTCTTTTGCATTTTATTTGAATTGCCTTAGCTAGGTTCTTAGTAGAACTGAGAATGGATCGATTCGTATCGAGTTAATACTTTTAAAGGGGTTAAATAACTCGACCCTAACCCAACCCGTTTATTATCTAATCGGGGTCGTGGTTAGCTGTATACATGATTAAGTCGAAATTCTTGATTCAGATTTAATTATTTTGTCATTTTGTCTTGTTAGGTTTATTTTTGTTGGTTCAATGTAACGTGTACAGTGATTGAATTATTTAAAATTAAAGCTAGTTTAAATTAATATGTGAGCTATTAAATTATAATTATTTTATATATATAATAAATATATTAATTAATATTAATATATTATAAACGGATTGTCGTGTCGGATTCGAGTTAGAGAGTCTCAATCCTAATCGGATTCGTTTATTATCGTGTTAGATTCGTGTCAACCCTTATGCATAATCGGGTTGAAATCTTTGACCCAAACTCAATTATTTTGTGTCGGGTTGTCGTGTCGTGTCAGTTTTTGCTAGCTCTAGTTCTTAGTGTGTTGCACATTGTTTACGGAAATTTTATGCACAAAACCGAATGCTTTGTAGCCCTTTCTTCTTTTTTTTTTTGCGAAATGTGGCTATGATGCACATGGCAAGATACCGGGCAAGTGAGATTGAGTCGATCGCACGCCAAAGATCATTAATTGCTCGTGCGCTGGCCAAGACGAGTATCTTTCCTCTCGTACCGTGCATTTTTTAAGTCAAGATTACTCTTTCAATATCTTGAGATCTTGTAGTTTGAGTTTAAGTTATTCGTCGACATTATTTTATGCGACTAATCAAATTGAAATGCTTGCAGTCGTATCCGTTGATCACTGATTTTCTCAAGTCGGGACTCTATACATGGGCTGGCGACGCGCGCAAGTTCAAGCTCGATAAGCCCTATATCGAACTAGTGACATCCCCGAACAATCCGGATGGATTCACACGGGAACCTATAGTCAATCAAAACCACGGGACATTAGTTCACGACTTGGCATATTATTGGCCTCAATACACAGCAATATCTTCCCGTGCCGATCATGACATCATGCTCTTTACCGTCTCAAAAAGCACCGGTCATGCCGGCACTCGTCTTGGGTACGCTAAAATCGTTAGATCCTAAACCCTAATCCCCGGATTTTTGATAATGAAGAAAGGGAATTTTTGGCGCTATTCAACTTCTGAATAAATATCACATCAAATATTAATTTTTTATTATTTTCAAATTTTCAAAAGTCTTTGTCTAATCGGAGCTTAATCTTGTAGGTGGGCTCTTGTTAAGGATCGAGAAATCGCCAAGAAAATGACCGAGTTTGTCATGCTAACCACCATCGGGGTTTCCAAAGAGTCGCAACTTCGCGCGGCAAAAATATTACAAGTCATTAGCGACTCGCACGAGCAAAAAGTTAGTAAGGAAAGCGAAGCCTTCTTCGACCATAACTACAACCTCATGACTCGTCGTTGGCAACAACTTAAAAATGCCGTTAAAGCGAGCAACCTTTTCAGCTTGCCCGATTTGCCCACCGAAAAATGTGCATTTAGCGGGCGAACTTTCGCGACACAACCCGGTTAGTGAATAAATGATACTCAGCTATTTTTTTAGCGCGCTCTCGATACTCAGCTATTTTTCTTTTTCTTGATATGAAGCTTTTGCGTGGCTCAAGTGCGAAGGCGAAATCGATGATTGCGAAAACTTTCTTCGCGGCCACAAGATCATAACGAGAGGCGGGAAGCATTTTGGCGATAGCAACAAGTTCGTTCGAATTAGCATGTTGCCGCGCGACGAAGTATTCGATAAATTTATTGAGCAATTGTCGATTATTTCGTCTTTGCCGTCGTCGAAAGATCGGTAGAGCCTTTGCTAATCTTTCCATGGATGTTCTTGGCTAGTTCTTTCTTTGTAGTAAATATTTCCAAAATTTGTTTTTTTCATATTGTATTATTTTTCCCTTTGAAGTATGATATATTTTGCTGGAAATTGAAAGTTAATATAGTGTGAAAGTAGGAGTTAAAAGTATGTTGTTGTTATTGATAAAATTCGTTAATATAACGATATTTGATACTAAAATATATTTTTGCATTAATAAATACATATCATATATATTTTGTTATGTAAATTAAATGCATTTAGTTATCCCAATCTTCCAAATTCAACATTTTAAACTTCAAATTTAGATATGTGATTCAAAAATTTTACTAAAAATTGTATATAGACTTTTTTATTAATATTATTAAAATATATGAATATATACATGTACTGATATTTTATATTATCCCATATAAAATTTAAGGCCTAACACATTCACCTTTTCTCTACTTTGAAACTTTTTAATTTTATATAATATTTTAAATGAAAAATAAATATTTAATATAATATATATATTTTTTTATTTTTTAAAAAACATTAAGTCTTGTCGAAAACAAATCTGATCCATACCTCAATTTTCCACAAATTTTCAAGGCTTTAATAGAAAGGCTTTTATTTGGGCCTAACATAACGGGCCCGTTTTTTGGCCCGTTTTATAATACTCGAAATGTAATACTCCATAGTTCTATAAATATGCCTACTTTCCATTTTATTTTATTTTTTCAAAAATGTTATAATTTTTTTTTTATATTTTTATTACCATATATATAAATCTTAAAATATATATATATATCAATTAAAGTCTCACATGTCGAAAAAATTTTAGTATATTTTTGCGAGGGAAAAGTATCAATTTTTTTAAAGTCCACAAGAGTAATAGAAAAGTTTTAAAAAATACGCGTAAGTACAAGCTACGAAAAAGATATCTCTAATACATACAAAACATGATCAAAATGATCGCGTTGATTTGTGATCAAAATGGGACCGAATAAAACTATTTACATTACACTCCCCCGTCTCAATACAATAGTCTTGTTTACTATTTTTGTTCGTCTCAAAATAATAGTTTCATTTCCATAAATAACCATATCACCATAAAACTATCCCTACTTTTTTCATTATTATTACACAATTGCCAATACTTTTTACACCAATATACTCATAAAGGCAAAAAGGTCATTTACTTTTACTTTTTACCGACCATATCCAACACAATAAAACTATACTTTTGAGACGAAGAGAATATCATCTATAATATTTTTATATGTTAATTGAGACAATTCATAAATCTCCGACCAAAGTCCTAACCGACGCGCATCACAAAAGAGTCAAGTAAACAAGGCAAACATTTTGGTAATGAGTTAGTATTAAATACTTACTTATATTTAGAAATTTATATTTGTGCTTTCTAAAAACAACAACAAAAAAATTCTCTTAAAACGACATATTCAAATTCTTTTTTTTTTTTTTTTTAATTTAAAATTCTATATTTAAGTTTTATTTTCTAACCAAAATATCATGATAAAGTTTTTTTCAGTACTATTTATATCCGGTTCTAAGAGTTTTATTTATTTTTTGCGTATTGATATTTGAATATTAATTATTATATCAAAACGTAATAGAAATTAAAAAAAAATTGCAAAAATACTTCCATTAATGTCTTATAATATTAATAGAGTGACATTTGTACGAAAAATTATAATATTTTTAATGTTAAATACAATGACGCAAAAGGTAAATGTGATCCGTAGAGGTAGACGGAAGGAGTACAATCATACTTTTATAAATCTGTTTTAATAAAAATATATTATTTTATCATAAAACATGACATTAAATTATTATTACATAAATTCAAACTAGTGTTGTGTTTGTTTGAGGGATTTGTTTGGATTTTTAACTATTCATTCTATTTTTTCCCCCAAAAAACATCAAATTAAACACCTGTTTTTTATTTTTTATATTATATTAAAAATCAATTTTACATTCAAAACATCACATCAACACCTATTTATATCACATCATACAACTATTCAAATTTAAAACTTTTACTATTCAAATCTCAACTCAAAATCCAAACCCTCAAACAAACACACCCAATTTTTTACTATTTAGTATTTACATTTTTCGAAAAAAAAAAAATATTTTTTTCTCAAAAAACATATTATCAAATATTATTTTAATATTAAATATAGACAAAACTTTTTTCTAAATCAAACACACGGTGTATTTATTTGTAAGATTTTAGTTTTAGATTTTGATTTTAAATAGTAAAATTTTGAATTGTAATAGTTGTTTGATCTATTGATGTGATATTTTGAATGTAAAAATTAATTTTATTGTAATATAATAAATAAAAAATGTATTTGATTTAATATTTTTAAAAGAAAAAAAAAAAGTTGAAATAGTAAACCCGAAAATCAAATCGCACAAATAAACACACCCTAAATAAGAAATTGTCTCATACTTTGCATGCATGGAATCTATAAACTTCTTAAATTTACTAAAAAAAATTTAATTAAATAAAAAAATCTAAATTGAATACACTCGATATTTTAGCCCGAAGAATCTATACAGGAGGAAAAATCCAAGACAGAAGAATTTAAAGATGAATCCCGTGATGAATATATATACGAAATAATCCAACTACAGAATGAAATTAATTATACATTCATATACGTATAGATACATATACATACACATATATATATACGAGGGGTTGGGGTGGGGTGGGGGGGGGGGGTGTTCTTTTTCCTCTTCTGGATATATCTTTCATTGTCTGCAAAACTTTGCTTCTTTTATACGTTCTTTGCAGTAATGGAAAGATTGATGTGCTGTGCTTCGTCTCATTCTTTCATCATATATATATATATATATATTTGTATGTATAGAAAACACAGAGATACATGTGGGTGTGTGTGTGTAGGGTTTTGTTTATTTTCTGAAAAAGAAGCAACATTTTACTCTGCAAAACCCATCCCCTTTTGCTCCCAACTGTCTACACTGTACATACTTTTGTTTTTAGCTAAATTAGTTTTAGTTCGTCTAATATGTAATTAATTAATTTTATTAATTTAATTTGTAAATTATTAAGTTTAATTATAATTTACGCATTCGAAAAATAATAACTACATATTTTTACATGTATGTATATATACTCTTTTCGTCCCACATAATTTGTCCATTCTTTTTATTTTTTTCGTCCTATATAATTTATCATTTTTTTTTTAATAGACAAATTAGCTGGGACGAGGAGAGTATTTTTTACTTTGTCAGTCCACTAAAAAATATGTAGTGTTAAAAATAAAAATGCATATATTTTTATCTATTTAAAAATAAAGTACTTATTCTATGCGTCTCTAAAGTTACATTTATCTTCTGCATCATTGTCCTAACATTTAAAATATCTTTATATTTGTACAAATATCATTCTATTAGTAGAAATATTTTGTCATTTTTTTTTATTTATTTATACTGCTTTTTAATATAATAATTAATATTTAAAGATAAACATTAAAAAAAATATATGGTCTGTAGCGCCGGACGAAAGTAATGATATAATATAAATAAGTATTGATTTGAATGTAAGGTTTGATTTAATATGATATGAGGGGAAGGGGAGAGAGATTTAGGGTGTGTTTGTTTGGAGGTTTGGATTTTAATTTGGGATTTGAACAGTAAAAATTTTGAATTTGAATAGTTGTACGATGTGATATAAATAGGTGATGATGTGATGTTTTGAATGTAAAATTGATTTTTAGTATAATATAAAAAATAAAAAATAAATGTTTGATTTGATGTTTTTGGGGGGAAAATTTTAAATGAATAGTAGAATGTCGTGCAAATCCATCAAACGAACACACCCTTAATGTACACTAAAATTTTTTAACAAAATCCTCCAACCAAACACAATTAGTAACAACTACACACTGTAAATACGTACACAATATATATATTATCTTTTAATAAAATATTATATTAAAATACTATTTAAATAAAAATTTAAATCAACGCATCATTTCAAATTCATTTTAAACTACTGTCAAATAAAAAAATTACACTTTTTTTACATCAATATCATTATATCAAATTACTCTTTTTTACTTCTTTTTTAGTTTTTTATTTTTTATTTTTGTAATTATAGATATATAATATTTTTCATAAATAATAAATAGATAAATTAACTAAAAGAATGACATGGCCTGGTAGGGTTTGTTATAAAAACACCAGCTTTAACTGTTCAAATATAACAACTTGTTTTTGCTCACTCTTTATATATTTAATAATTTATATGATCAATTATGATAAATATTATATACATATATGCATATGAAAATTAGGGGCAGACATAGTTCGGATATTTGTAAATATGCAGGTATTTGATACCCGAACTGAATCGAACAAATACCCGAAATCGTGAACTGTATTCGAATAAAAAATTTTGATTAACCGAAAATATTTGCAATATTTGCAAATAATTCGAACCAAATCGAAATTAAAAAATAATATATTAAAAATTAATTAAAATTCTAATTAAATTAAAATATTTGCAAATATTTCAAATATCCGAACCGAAACCGAACCGTAATCGAACCGAAACCAAATCGAATATAATTATTAATATAAATTTTAAAATATAATAATATAAATATATAAATATATTCGGTTCGGTTAACCGAACCGAAAATAATATCAAAAACCGAAATCGAACCAAACCGAGCAAATATCAAATATGCATTGTTTGTATTCGAACTGAATTTGCTCGGTTAACCGAAAATTTGATTCGATTCAGTTCGGTTCAACAGTTCAGCAGTTCGGTTCGATTTTTTTGTCCACCCCTAATGAAAATTATTAATACATCCAATCAAATTTAGGGTTCGTTGCCTTGTGCTTTATTATACTAATTATTATTAGTATTATTATTATTATTATAGATACTATGATATTTTTTTTTAAAAAAAAAATCAATAATATATAAAAAAAAAGAATTCAAAAAAAAAAAAAACTAAAATATTGAAACATAAATATATAAAACAAAACCCTAAAGCCTGCAGAAGACAAGGATCAAACAGAAGAAGTTGCTGCTGATGTGCTTCTGCACACAGACACCTGACCTGATCTCATCGATTATATTTATTTATTTTTTATTTGGGTTTTTTTCTTTGTTTATTTTTCCAAATTCGAAATTCTCTATGTTCTTCTTGAATTAGTTATTGAATGAATAATATAATAAAATATTACACTGTATATTTCATTGGCAGTTTGTGGTACATTATATATATATATATTTAAAAGTTATTAAAAAATGGGGAGCAGACACAGACATCAAGGATTATCTACAACCCCTTTTCAAGTTGAAATTTGATATAAAGCTGTACAGACAAGAAATGATTAGAATTATATGACAAAACAACACAATGACACAAACATATATTTTGAGAAATAAAAATGGTATGAAATTATATATTTACACTAAATATATATGGATTTTTTAATGATATCTAACTCATCAAGTAATATTGGCAAAATATAAATTTGAATGGAAATAAGTCTTGAATATAATATGTAAAATGAAGAAATAAATATTCAATAGAATGATTTAGATGTGAATATGTGACAAAAATGCAAAAAAAAAAAGCTTAATAACAAACCCTAGTTAATTAATTTTGGCTTACCTTGATACTAAACTCATGCTCTAGAGATATATATATCAAGAGTGCATTCTTTTAGAGTATATTTGTTTGGGTTCGGTTCGAGAAGATTTAGTTTAAATTTTGTATTTAAATAACCTTTGATTGGACATTTTTTATGTTTTTTTACTCAAAATTTCTCAAATTTTACTATTTGGACTTTGCGTTTTTCGAAAAAAAAATACATTTTTTTCTCACATAAAACATCCCATCAAATATTATTTTAGTACCAAATTCAAACCAAAATTTTACCAAACTTACCAAAAGAAACATAATAGTAAAATTTAAAAATAGTGTGCTAAAGAAACAAGTTTGGTTTTTGTCTAATATGTGTTTATATGTGTTATGATAATTGTGAAAAGATATCCTAGTCTTATTTGCTTTCGACAATAACTTTATAAGAATACTGGTATTATATATTGATAGTGGGTAAAATATACAGATATAAAACTGGTAAAACAATAATAAATGAATCAAACCTAAAATTCATATGGATCAACCTCGCAAATTAAACTTAGGGTGTGCTTTTTTATCTAATTTTACAAGATTTTTACTATTTATCAAAAAAAATTCTCCAAACAACGTCAAATCAAATATCTATTTTTTATTTTATATATTATATTAGTGATTAATTTTACATATTCAACTATTTTAATTTAAAATTTTTAATATTTAAATTCCAAAAAATAAAAAATAAAAATCCAAACCGCCAAACAAACTTACCCAACTCTCCATTATTGGAGTTTGTTTGATTTAGGTTTCGAATCAAAATCCTAAATAAATTAATACTAGTATTATTTCTTCTTACAAAATATAATCTTAAAATACTATTTAAAATAAAATATAAACTAAAAACAAACCCTTAATTCTTTTCAATTGAAAGTTTCATCGATGACAATATATATACACATTATAATTCTCAAATATATATATCATTAGCTAGCCATATCTAAAACACCAAATGAGACCCTTACTTAAAAAAAAAAAAAAAAAAAAAAAAACAACTTTAGCAAGTCAATACCTAAATTGGATTAACCAAAATTCTAATTTGACCTAGAGAGAGAGAGAGAGAAAAACCCTAAAATGGATCATTAATCATAATTTTTATATATATAATACTAATAATTAAAAAAAAAAATCAAAACCCATCGTCTCTCAAATACTCTCCATCAAAAGGGTTACAAAAACTTTCATCATCCCATGGCACAAAATATGGATTTTGCAGATAATTAGGCAGTGTTTCATAATAAATTCCACCACCACTACCGCCACCGCCGCCGCCGCCGCCCAATTTTCTGTCCACCGGCGGCGGCAGTTCCGCGGCGGCGCTAGGGTTTAAAACAGCATCATCGTTATTGCAGCCGAATCGAATCAAATCGGCATTGGCGGCGTCGAGCTCCTTCTGGAGACGATCGACCTGCTTCTGCAGAAAAGTTATGGCGCCGACGCAGCCGTAGACGGGATCTCTGACGCGTGCCGCCGCCTCGAACGCCAGAGAATTGACGGCGTCGTCGCGCTGGTGGGGATGGAGATCGTTCAGGAGCTTCGTGACGTTGCTGGCGCCGAAGATCTTGTGGACATTCGCGAATTTCTGAGGATCCTCCGGCGGGAAGTATGGCGCGAAAATGCAGCCTGGTTTGCACTTCCGACGAAGGAATTTGCAGGCTGCGCAGGGGCAGTTGTAGGAGGTTGAAGACGACGCCATTGTTGGACCTTAATTTCCTGGAAATTCAATTTCGATGATTTTTTACAAATTTGGTTCTATTCTTTACCCCTTTTGTCATTTCCAGGGCAATTTGTATTTTATTTATTTTATTTTAAATTTCAAATTTTTATGATTTTTTTTTTTGGCTATGCAGCGATCAATAATTTTTTTTTAAAAAAAAGTTAGTTGGTTGCTTTCTATTGATAATCTGGAAATTGTTAATTACAAGCATGATTTCATTTTTTTTTAAAAAAAATAAAAAATCGAACTTTAATTATTTAGTTAGTGTTGCTTTCGATTGATAATCTGGAATTTTTTTATTACAAATTCATATAAAAGCATATTTTTAGAAAAATAAAAATAAAAATTCTATGATTCTAGTGTTACTTTCTATATTGATAATCTAGAAATTCTTGAGCACAAGCATGATTTTTTTATTTTCTTTTAAACTTAATTTAAATGTTTGTCCTTAAAAACCAGTCTAATCATATATGTATATATATTTATTCTGATTAGTTTAGCAATGATCAACATTTTCACAAAAAAAAATAAATAAATTCTTCTAAGTTCCATGACTAGTGAAAATCAATGTAATGAAAGGAGATTGTGTTTGAAAAGATGACTTTTTTTTTTCCCAAAGATTGATTAAAATTTTGATTAATCAAAGAAACCCTAGCTAGATCAAGAAACAAACATCAGATTGACAATTATGACCACCACTGTAAACCTAAAAAACCAATTTAACTATAAGAAAACAAGAAAAAGTAAAACAGTAAAGAAGCAAAAATAAAAGGGATTCATGAATTCACCTGCAGTGTGTTCTTGAATCAGACTTTTTTTTTTTTTTTTTCTTCTTCTTCTTCCAGCTGTGTTGGATAAAATCAAATAAAATGTTCCACAAACAGTAATTTCTTGCTTTCACTAGAGGCAATTCCAAAAGCTGCAGAAGCCACAGAATTAACAGACAGAACAATCCAATAGATGGTTTAATTTACAGATAGCCATGATCAGAAATTGTAGGATGAATTGTTTTTTTTTTTTTTTTTAAGAAAAGAAAAAACCCTAATTTTAAGAATTAGGAAAGGGAAAAAGGGCCTGAGATTGAAAGGATGGGAAGCAACATTTAGTGGATGGATGAAAGAAGTAAAGAATTAAATGAATGAATGCAAAGGACAAAGGTAATGAATGAGAGGTACACTGAAAAAGATGACTGTGACACTGCTGCAATACATATATATGTATGTATGTATATAATGTGTTTTTGTTTGTATTGAGACACACACAGTGAAAGATCTTTTACAATTTGGTGTTTGTGTTATCTCATTTTTTTTGCTTTTTGAATAAATTATTAAATAAATAAATAAATTATCCCTTTTGGACAAGTCATTGTTTTTGCATTAGTGTCCAAAGGTGAAGAGTAGTACTTGAGATAGTGTAATGTGCTTGGGATCTCAAGAGCATACATTCAATAATGTGTCCTAAACAATTGTTCGGTGGCGTAAAGGTGGACTCGTGACCATAAAATTATGAGTTCATATCTTCGATACTTTTAGGTGATCTTGTTGTCATACATAATTCACCTATTGTGACTTGTTTGTCGGATCTAGTTTGCATACTATTAGATTCGGCTGAAAATTTACCTAGAGCGCACTCGTCGAGTAATAACTCCAAATTCTCATGTTAAAAAAAATAAAAAATAAAAAAAATAGAAAAGATAATGTTTCCTTAACAATGAAATGCCAAATTTGAATAAAAGGGTAACAAGGAAAATAACAATTCACACTTCATAAGTTTCTTTAAAGTGGCCAACATTTATGAGAATATATATATATATATATGTAATTTCCCTCTTGTAAGTAAATTAAAGAACATGCACTAATACACATCTATATATAGGTTAATCCAAGTTACGTGTGTATATCGATCTCTAGCCAAATAGGTTTAAGGGACAATTATAAGTTTTTAATCTTATAAGTTGGTTAGTCCTAATGATCGGCACATAGTAAAAATACAAATTATATATGTTATAATTGATTTTACGGTAGTGTTATATGCTAACATAATACAAATACTGACATTAATTATATCATAGTAGTTCACACAGTATATGCATGTATCGTATTTAAAATAACATAAATATAGGTAATTGATTAACAATATATCTCAATAATTCACATGTCGCATGTCTGATCTCCAACCATGTGTTGATTATGGCTAATCAAGTGTGTCACACCAAAAGAAGTTTCATACTTAGTTCGTCATTAAATTTTTAATTCGTTGAAGATTTAAAATTGCAAGTGTGAGCATGCGATGTCATATCGACACGTAGCTCAATCATTAGCAATTTTATGTCATTAGGGGATTAAAAGATCGGCAACAACCCAAATATAAGACTTCTTGTCGATATGTTTCATTGCTTTAGGTTATTTTGAAAATAGTAAATATTTTAACAAAAGAATAAGTTTCGATGCAATATTTTTTAATAGATCAATTATATATATGTTATATATGATATTTTAAATTAAAAAATAAAAATAAAAATAGAACTAATTAAAGTGATTTCCAAAATACAAACAAGCAAACTCTTATGAATAATTAGTTAGACACATTAACCACTAAATTATGTCCTAAAGTTTTGTGTTTGTTTGCACTCACAACCACATGTGCTAAAGAATCAACTATTGATTTTTCTTTTATTATTTTTGTTGAGTAGATAATATCTATTGGTTTACTAAATCTTGTAATAATCTATTGTCGATTAGAAATATTAATTTTAGAAATCTCCTATTGAACAATAAATTAAAATAAATTTGTTACTATGTCTATACATAAATTCCATGGCTTTTGGGGTGTGTTTCTTTTGCTTTACTTTAAATAAATTTCCTATTTAATTTAAAGTTTGCCTTTCATGAAAATATATATATATATATATATCAATTTTCTTTAAAATAAAATTTTCAGAATCATTAGATTATATATAAGTATATTAAAGGCCATAGACAACACATACTCTTACAAAATTATATATATGTTGTTAGAGATGAATGCCAATATGACATAGTTGAATTATAAAACGTGTGTATATTTTGTTGTTCCTAAAAAAATCATCACATTAACACATATTTCCGTCGAAACATCACTTCTAATATGAAAAATACATATCTATCGACTTATAGGATACTATTTGATCTATAATACTTTTCTGTCATTGAATTGTATGCTCAAATAATTTCGCAGAAATTTTAGTGAGAATAGATAATAACTAAAATTTGTTACTTTTTTTTTATAGTAAGAAATAAAATAAAATTACTAAAAAAAAATAAGAATAATTTTTTTAAGATAACTCTTACAAGGTAAATATAAACTTGAATAGCAAATGAAGTAATATGTTGCACATTCATACATTGAAATTATTATTATTATTATTATTATTATTATTATTATTATTATTATTATTATTATTATTATTATTCTTCTTCTTCTTCTTCTTCTTCTTTTGGTTGTTGTTGTAAATATTTTATGGGCCTTCTAAGCCCAAAACCAAAATGGGCCTAAAACAATGGTTTCCCATTGTGGGCTTCAGCCCAATGTTTTATGTAGGCCTAATATTATATAATAAGCATTTTGTACTACTTACATTTAAATTTAATGGTTAATTAGATGAAATAAAAAAGAGGGGAGTTTAATATTTGAAATCAATAAAATGATTCTTAGTTTAATGAAGCTATGAGATAGGTTTTTTTTTTATTTATTTATTTTACAAATTTAAATATTAACAAAAAAAAAAAGTTGTGGTGAAGTGGTCCATCCACATTTCAAATTAACAAGAGAATATGTCACATGAATCACATTTATTCGAAATTTCTAATTAAATAGCCCAAAGAAACAATGGTAATTATTGTTGTCATTTTAAAATTCATGAAACATAAAATAAGCCTTTTGGAGAGAACGCCCCCCCCCCCCCCCCCCCCCCCTTCCCAATTTGTTCCCACAATAAAGCTTCTTCTTCCTTTTATTTTTATTTTTATTTTTAAGTAATATAATTATATATATAATTATTTATATATGTGTTTGTATGTATATTTGTGTGTTATAAAGTGAAGTTTTGGGGTCATGCATGCATCTTTTCATTTTGTTTTTCACTTTAATCTTATTTTTCAATCATTTCATTGAATAGCCCTTTTCCTAGTGTCACATTTTAATGACTTTTTTAGCTATTATTATTATTATTATTATGGTGGAATTTTATAGTGAATTGAGAGTTGAGTTTTTTTTTTTTTTTTTTTTTTTTTTTTTGGGAAAAAAAACTTTGAAGTGATTATATATATATATACAGTTTCGATTAACAGTGTATAATTATTTTATTTATTGTAGCCTATAATAAATTAAAGATTGAAATAAATTTTTTATTTTTTATTTTTCTTTTATTTAGACCACATTTTCTTTTTTTCTTTACGTATCTTTTCAAGTTTTCAAATTTGGTGTGCATACTTTTACACTGGTCCATAAATATTAGAAGACCACACGTACAGCTAACAAAAAAGAACTTTTTTATTTCTTTTTTAATAATATTTTTGGTTAATCCATAAGAATATTAATCATTTTCTCTATTCACAAAACGAATTACCACAACAAATAATAACATCTAGGGGTGTGTATTTTCGTGTTTTTTTTTATTTTTTATTTTTTTTTACTTTAAATTTTTTTTACTATTCTATCTATTATTTTATCTCCAAAATAATTTATACAAAATATCACAATGAACAATTATTTTCACGTCAATACTAATAATTATAACATCAATTAATTAGTAGTAAGAGTACATTAGATTAATAATATATTTATATTATAGTATATATAAAAGTATAAATGTATACAATATCTTGTGCAAAGTTTATTTCATGATTAACTCTCTTTAATCAAATTAATAAAATACAATAAAAATATTTATTGAATTTAATTATCCTAAAAATAATTGTTATATATAATAATGCCTCAAGACAACTTTAAATGATAAACAGACATCACATATTTTTAACTAACACGACATGTTAAAAGCATATGCTGAAAATCGATATTATATGTGTGTCGTATGAACATATCTCATTTGCTAAAATCGATGATAGTATATATTGTGTTATCAGTTCATTTATTGTACTCGTATTATATTAAAATGAATCATGTGATACTGACTTATGATTCATGTGCGATTATCCATATATTGGATGTAATGTCAGCAATACAGTGTTAAATGTTTAACATTCAATATGGTACCGTAACAACAGCCATAATAGCGACGAGAAAAATAAGCCATGGTGGACTAAGCAACAAAAGCAAATAATGATCAACATTATTAGTAATTTTAGTTTTTAGTAAAGCCAAATTAATTAATATTGTGGGCATTTGATATTAATTTAGATCTCCATAATGCATGCTTCTTTTCATGTTGGTTAGTTAGGTTTCTCTTGTCACATAATTACCATAATTAAATAACCAAATTGAAAATAATTGTCATTATTTTAATAAAATTAAATTAAATTAAATTAAATAGTGTATTTCATGCATGGGTTCAAGATTCTAAAGGCCACTCATTTAATTTGACAAAAGCAAACAAGTTTACTTATCTTTCCCATCATTTAAATCTTTTTTGATAACCCTAATTTAAGTGTGATGTAGACTAAGTGTTCCCTACTTACTTGAATAGATTTGACATAAAATTTAATTCACAATTTCCATTTGGCCCTAATGCCTTCCAATTTAATTAAATCTATTCTTTAATTATGTAATTTGATAATTGTGACTATTTTATCATGTGTGTGTATATATATATATATATGATTAGTCTCTAGTTTTCAATGATAATTAATTACACTTGAATAAATATATATATATATAGAGAGAGAGAGAGAGAGAGAGACCGACGTTTAAATATTACTTTACCGTACAATTATATATATATATTGTAATATGATCGTTATAAGATTTAATTATTCATTATTTTGATTTTAACTACTTGTGTGGATGTGACATGTTTGAATTTTATGATGTTTACATGAGTAATTAGGAGAAAAATCAAGAATAATTGAATTTTATATAATCAAATTAGAATGCTAATTAAATGCATAACCAAAATTAAATTTGTGGCTAATAGATGTGTGTGAATATGGCCAAAGGAGATAAATAAAGTCAAGCCAATTAAATAATAGTATTGTGAAGATTTAATTCAAAGTGATATTTCACTTCCCCATCATTGTAAGTATATATTAATTATTTTACAACTCTAAACATGTTTATGATAACTAAAAATAAATATGGACATAGTGAAATTAAATCCCATATAATAATAACAAAAATAATTTCAAATGACCAAATTTAAAGTCTTTATTTTGTTAATGATGTAAGTGAGCACAAAATTAAAAAGAATAATGTCAATATTAATTCTAAACTCAAATTTGTGTCATTTTCTTATTATATAAAATGAAATTTAGGACAAAAAAAAAACACTAAAAAAATACAAATATCACCATTATATGGTTATCTAGAAAATGACTTAAACTAAGTATTTATTTTGTATTATATAATACCAACAAAAAAAATTGAAACATTTCTAACTACTTAATTAAAATCTCTACCCACAAAAATTTTGTCTTAACAATTCACTAATTTCCACATTAATTTTGGCTGTTTTCTTAAAAGATAATTTTGTTGTTTTCTTTAAAGTAAAGGGTTTTTAAAACCTGTTATTCAAGCAAGTTAATAAGTAACTGAAATCATAATAAAATATTTTTAAGAGCATAGTTCAACATAATTCTCATGATTTTTAACAAATCTTATTCATATCGATTTTTGCGAAAAATCTATATAATTTACTCGATTTTTTATATTGTTTGATAACATGTTTTTTGAAATTATATTATTGTCTTTATCTAAATACCACTTGTTTAATTTGTGTATGGATTAATGCTTAGTATTTTGATTAATTTCAGTCCCTATTAATCCAAAACCTCTCGTAAGAAAATCTATTCTCTTTGATTTTTATTTTATTTTTTTTCATTTTTTTTTACTATACAATTATAGAGTTTCTTATATATATATAAAATAGATATTGTTTTTCTCACAAAATATCACATTCTAGTATATTTGAAATTGTAAAAAGAATTTACAAAAATAATAATGATAAAAAACAAAAAAAAAAAAGATGATAGAGAATTCCATGGTTATAGTTATGAACATGTTGATTTCATTAAATAAAATTAAAAGCCAACACATGGTATAGTTATAGTATACTAAAAAGTACTTCCATTTATTTAATTAAATAAAGGCCCCAAATCAACTAATAATTAATATTAAATTAATCCTGAATTTAAGAGCCAACACTGTTGGTGCTTAAGATCAAGAAAATGATAGACAAACAAATTTAATGGCCCTATTTATTTATTTACATACATTTTTTAGGGAAGATTTTTTCAAATATTGCAAATTGCAATACATGCAAAACGACACCGTTTCACCTCATAAATTAATTATTGCATTACTTTTACATAAACATGTATAGAAAAAAAAAAAAAAAAAAAAGATTAGATTTTAGTAATTATAAACAAATTTTTTTAAATAAAATAAAATAAAATAATAAAGAATAAAATGTCAATTGTTCATCTTTAATCCAACATCACAATTACTATGAAAAAGTTACATGTATTATGGGATTTTTTATTTTTTATCTAGTTAAGAATTTATTGAAAGTTTATGAGTTTAATTATAGTTTTTTTTTTTTTTTTTCATCTATATGCTTCTTTATAATATAAAATTTCATCATTTATTGGTTTCCCTATATATATACTTATTCATGTGTTATGTTGTGCTTTTGCCATTATTTCTTTTTATTTTTGTATTGGAAATTCTATCAAGAAAAAAAAAAAAAAATATATCATTGCAATAATTTCCTTTAGATATTTCTTGTTGAAAATTTCTAGCTATATATATACATAGACTATCTAGATCCTAAGTAAATTTGCATGTGAAAATTAAATAAAAATAAGAATTTGATATGATGTAAATATGGGGTTAGGTGTAATAATTTATATAAAAAAATAATAATAATAATATTTTTAATGTAATATCTTTTTAATTTTTTAAAAAAAGTTATAGTTAACCAACAACATCAAATTTTCTAAATATACAATTTTCATTCTATGTATTTTATAATATTACTACAGATTGTAGTAATATCAATATAGTTTGGTGTATTTTACACATAATTCAAATTTCTTATATCATTTTTAAAAATAATAATAATTATAAATACTACCTTTCTCCATTTTATATGTATTCGCTTACTTTTATCGTATAAATTAAGGAATATTTGTATGTTATATAATAGATAGTATGTAATAATATTTCGACTAAAATATCCTTCAAAATATAATAGATAAATTATACTTAGTATATCGATGATTTCATGTAAAATGTAAAAATATTTTATTACCATGTAGGAACCACATCTGCTAAATTAAAATTTAGATTCATTTATATGAATATATATATATATATATATAATACAACTTCATATATATTTATAATTTAGAGAGCACGTAATATAACGACAAGACAATCCACTATATATATTAACATAATGATTTATAATATAATATCGTATAGTACATACTATTGTCGATTATTGCACAATAAATATATTTATACAACATACTAATAAATATAAAATAAAATTTTAAGAAATTTGCAGTCGATATTTTTCAAGTGCACTCTAGGTAAATTTTTGATCGAACCAAAATTTTACGTAATTTACTTACTGGCGCAAAATCAGCCCCTATCAATATAGTAATGATCCCCCACCCCCCTCTCTCTCTCTCTCTCTCTCTCTCTCTCTATATATATATGTATGTATGTGTGTGTGTTTTGTACGGCCTTCACTATTAATATGTAGCATATGTGTAGCTGGAGATATCTTAGAATCCAATCCATTAGTCGATTGCCAAACCAGAATTTGCTTACAAACCACTTGATTGCTGCTTCACCTTCCTCTCTCACTCCTCCCCCTCTCTCTCTCTCTACATGGCTTCATTTCTAAGTCTTAAGGATTATTTCTAATTCAATGTCCTCCACGACCACACACATATATATCTTTTTACAACCATTCTGCAACTCTTGCTGTCACTGTTAACTCTGCAACGGTTCGATTCAGTTCAGTTCAGTTCGATCGTAAATCTTCGAATGAGGCGCAATTTGTGCTGCGCGAAGCAGAAGCTTCGAAAGGGTCTGTGGTCGCCAGAAGAAGATGAAAAACTCTACGATTATATCAAAAGATTCGGCGTCGGCTGCTGGAGTTCTGTCCCTAAATTGGCAGGTTAGCTTGCAACTCTTACATTGATCAATGCCATGGAAGAATCAAGAATGTATATATATATATATATAGATATATATAATTGTGTGAAATATTGCAGGTTTGCAAAGGTGTGGAAAGAGTTGCAGATTGAGATGGATAAATTACCTAAGGCCTGATCTCAAAAGAGGAATGTTTTCTAAAGAAGAAGAGCATTTGATCTTTAGTCTTCATGAGGCTCTTGGAAACAGGTAAAAAAAACTCAAGAGTTTTGAAAAATATTAACAATAATAAAAAGTTAATATTAGATGTGATGTTTTGTGACAAAAGTGATATAGGAACAAAACTCTAGTTTTTTTAAAAAATATTACTATTGATGAATAGTATCGTAAATAGGAATATAATTTGTAGCCGTAGGATCAACCTGATCGATTGAAGTGTAAACAAAAACATAGTTTGTAACGGTAGGATCAATCTAATGATCGATTGAATTTTACGGGATTGAATTGTAAACAAGAACGGAGTTTGTAGCCGTAGGATCAACCTAATGATCAATTGAATTTTATGGGTAATTATCATTTTATTTTTTTAGCGTTTTGAGATATTTGAATTGTAAACGGGAACGTATTTTGTAGCCGTAGGATCAACATAGGATCGATTGAATTTTACGGGTAATTAATATTTTGTTGTTATTCGTGCTTCGACAGATGGGCGCAAATTGCGACGCATTTGCCGGGGAGAACGGACAACGAGATCAAGAACTACTGGAACTCGTCCCTAAAAAAGAAGCTAATAAAGCAAGGGATCGATCCGAACACACACAAGCCTATTCCCGAGCAACGCGCAATAGAGATTTCAGATCATAAAGCAAATTCACTACAAGAGGTTGTAGAGCAGCCAAAAGGGCTTCCAATTTTGGCAAGTTCAGCAACAATGGAGCAACAAGGAATTCAGTCGAATTTTTCATCGTCGAAACATGCCTTCGACACTCTTTTCTTACCCGACTTCCAAACAAACCTCAACCCTAACAATGGCTTCCAACCGAATTTCGAAAACTTACTGAGGCCGTTCGATCAAAGCCAGATCGACAGCGATCCCATCTCCGGATTCAACTCAATGCCGAACCTGACAAATTTCGACCACCAGAGTATTATAGACACCGAGTATTCTGACAACTCGGGTTCAAGAATGAGCAACACCTCAAATCTAGACATTATTCAACCAAACAACAACGCTCTCGAAAATGCATCGAGCGCATTTTCTTGGGACATCGAAACCAGGATGGATTCCCTGTTCCCGTTTCAATTCAGCGCGCCCGATCAAAATTCAGGCAACTACGGTAACTTCCCGATATCATCAATGTCTCAAGAACTCAACGAAGTATTCCAACAGATATAACAACAGTAACAACAACAAAAACAAAACTGTATCCATGTTTGATTGTGCTTCTTCTCACACTATCTTTACATAAAACCAACCAAAACTACACAGACATAAAGGGTTTTTAGTTAGCAAGGATTATTTTTGTGTCTTTTTTTTGTTCTTGGCTTTACAGATTGTATTGGATTGAGGATTGGTAAAAAAAACAAAAAAACAAAAAACAGAAAGTAATGTAAGATGTGTATGTGTATGTATGAATGTACAAAGGGGTGAAGAAGATGTATGTGTATTGTGGTCCATATCTATGATTTGAAGATAGGCAAAGGATGACATTAACAGATATATAAATTGGTAGTTGATCTGCACAAGTCTCCTGTCATTCAAGTAGGAACTACCACAAAACTTTTTAAAATATTTTCTTTGTGCTTTTATTGAGGGGACAATGTGGACTACACATAATGTGTCCTCTCATCATCTGTATGGTTTCTTCTTTCTTGTATGTATATATATGTGTATGTATCTTTAGAGTTTTTAAATCTGCCCTGTTGTTACAACTAAAATATTTACATAAGCTTTCCTATGGTTTCCCCTAAAGAAACATGTTCATGTTCACTTAGGAATAAAGCTATGGCAGAAAACACTCGAATTCGAAAGGGAAAGCAAAGCGAGGTAAAGAAAGTTACCTGGTCCATGGTGATTTATTAAAAATTAATGAGAAATCAAGAACAAAAAAATCACTGCCACAGATGTTCAAGGAGAGATTCTATAGACAAGGTGAAAAATCGAACAAAATTTTCCTATGGAAGTTCACAAGTTCTGATATTTCACTGCTTTCACAGAGAGATTCTATAAACATGGCCAAAATATCGAGCAAATATTTCCCTATGAAAGTTCAAAAGTTCTGCTGATATTAATTGAATCAATATTTTACTGATATTTCACCGATTTCACAGCCTTTCCAACAACATACTCTTGTGAAACTTTAATCTTCTGTTTGGGGATATTATAACCATCAATTAATCCCTTTCATCTGCAATAATTATATGCTCTACTAAAATGATTTTCACCTTCAGTAAAAGATCGATGAAAAGAATAAGTAATTGCAATAAACTAATCAAGTCTAGATCAATAATGTCACTTCTTTAATTCTAAAACTAAAAGTGGAATGCAATAATTATCATTCTCTAGAAAAGTAGGCATCTTTTGGTTAATCAATAAACCCTTGATTTCAACTGATTATGCTGGGAAAGATAATTGTACAAATTCATCATTAATCTATAAGGCATTTGTAATTATAATCTAACCAAAATATGAACAACAATATGTTCAGACAAGGGAAAGTGTCCACTATTGTGCTGTTGGCCTTATTATTGCTCAACTCATCCTCAAAGTGGAATTTGAGGCCTTAAAAATCAGAAGAAAACATTGCATCAATCAAGTCAAAAACAGGTAATCATACTATTAAAGACACAATGATCTGTCGAAATTATGCAACTAACTGATGTCAAAGCAGAAAACAGTGACTTTGATGACAACCCATCTTCTAAAGGACTTTCTTGGTTGATTACCATCTCAAGATTCTAACTGATTGATTTTCAGACTCAAAATTTTGTAATTGAACCTTAATCACTGTAAATGGAGTACCCGAAATTTTTCATTATAATCTGGAAAAGGATAAGGTTCGTGTGTCTAAATTGGACCAAAGCATGACGCTAAGTTCAAAACATGGCCATTGTTCACAGAAACGAGCGGGAAATAACACAGTATACGAATGGGGGACCAAAATGACGACACATAAAAGCAAAGATAAAGGTATGTGGGGATTTCCCTCAACTAGATGAGAGTCATGCAATGTATGGAAACCAGGTAGTAAAGATAGTTCGAAAAGTTTTGTTGGTAGAACCTTGACCGGTGTTGATATTACATGATCCTTTTAAGTGCACGAAGAGCCTCAAAAGGATGGGGAATATTTAAGAAATGTGTAGCGAAATCGATAGTCTTAAAGATGTAAATGACAGGCTCCAGCATGAAAAGGACATATCCATTAACAGACAACATAAGCACGATTTAAATACAATGGACAGGAATTACGGCAATCCAGAATTCTAGATAGTGTAGCAGATAGGTAACAGCAAGTGCAACATATTAATACCATTTTAGAGCTTGGCGATTAAGCCAGACGGGCTTGGTTTAGCAACGACGTTGTCTTTCACATCATTCTCCTTTGCATCCATCTCACAAGGATTTGGCGGCACGTCCACAGCAGGAGAGCAGTTGAAGAATCCATGAGGCTGCAATTGCAATATGCGACACGATTATCAATCCCATTTCATTCTAGGATCCAAAGATTTCTTTAAAGGAGAAAACATCCTAATTAAGATGGTGTGGACTACTAATTATACAACATTGTAGCTCTCTACTAAAGTTCATTTCAGCATTAAACTAAAAATCGAGAATGAATCTTACATACACACACACACACACACGCACATACACATATTGGACATGTGAAACAAGATGTTTGCGTCTATACCTGAAGCACAAAACCTATGTGTTCGACAGGCATAACAGGCCAATCTTCCAAGCGAGGAACGTGCGTGATTCCAAAAACATACCTGTATGGATAAAGTAGATGAAATTCGAGAAGTTCAAATTGAACATAGGAATAGGTTAATGCAAATTCTGTATTTGGTATAGTAATTACTAGAAGCAAAATAATAAGCTCTGTTATTAGGCAACAATAAGAATGTTTGATAGAAAGCAATGCATATTTCTGAAAGGGACTAGAGATAGTACCAGAGAACGACATCAGTTTCTTCCAGAGATCGATTTCCCTTCACCCAAGAAACTAATCCCTCCCCGACACGTGGGTTCTGATTTGGAAACTCTCCTCCAGGAAAATCCTCACCACGTGCATATTGTGTAACCCATAGATTGTGCTTCAGAAATGCAGCTCTTCTCAGGAACTTAGCCTCAGGACCCGCCAACGGCAAACAATTTGAACCAGGAACCAATTTGTAGCCTGTCGGCTGTCCACTCCGATTGACAGTTCTTGTATTCCTTACCTAGTTAAAATTAAATAATGCCATGGATCAAACACAGGAATTCAGTAGTAAAATAAGCTTTATCAAGAACTAACAAGCAACGCATTGGAACAAATCGTCACAGTAAAAACTATCTTCACCACGATCAATTTGGGAAAAGAGCGGAAACATAAATCCGAAAAAACAGGAAAGGGCAACCCCTTCCTCTAATATGCGAAGCTATAAAAAGAACTGAAACCAAAACATAGAAAATAGGAGAGGATTGGAATACTTACAATCCAATGCCGAGCAGATAATGGATCACAATCACGCATAGCTTCTAATTCAGATCTAAGTAAAGTTTCCTCAGCATAGAATGCATTATTATGCACATTTTCATTTCCAGGTTCTTCAACCCTGACATTCACTTCAACAACCTGCAGACAATGGGAACGGAGGCTAAGTAAAAACTAAATTATTTAAGAAGACAAAAGTATTAGAATCTCTCCGCTTTTCCATATCGCAACAAATAGATTAAGAAAGTAAAGAATATGAATTCAGATTGGAAACATCCAACGCCGAGTCAGTAAATTACGCTCATTATACTTGTATTGAGTTACTAATAAAACAAAAATGATAAAAATTACTGAATCATGTCTTGGATACCTGATTGTGTGCTTCTCCAGGCTTAGAGTCAACAGCCATATCCATACGTGCGACAAAAAAGTGTTGATGAACTGGGGCATACAACCCTGGAGCAATTGTAGCACCATACTTTCTAACTTCTCCAGGTTGCAGAGCCCCTAAACTAAGAATTCCAGTAAGCTTCACTTCTGCTTCGATTTTCCCATCCTACACAAAAGAAAGACAACTTTACGTTGCAGAAAAAATAAAGTAAAGAAAATTTTGGTTTAGTGTCACTTGCAAAGGCACGCTTTTGGTGTATAAAATTCCAAATTTATAACCCTTTTTGGATATGTTGTTCTAGCATAAATCAACCTTGCATAGATAGGCCTATGAACTAACTAGAATTGATGGCATGAAATCGACTTGCCTGATAAAAGTGCCAGTAAAACCCATATTCATAGTTTGCCACAGTGCAAATAAACGAAACAGTAAGGCGTCTTGATCTTCGAACTTCTGCAATACCAGTTCTCCAATCTTGATGCTTCCATAGGATCCCATGATCTTCTTCATGTAAGCATACACAGTTCTCAATTGTCTCAACTCCGCCCGTAAAATTTGTGAAATGAGCATCGAAATACTTTATATACCCCAAACAATCACATCCCTGAAATTGGGGAAAATTGAGAAATCAGAGGGCGAACTACGTTCAAATCATCGACAAAATGGCACAACTAGACAGCATACCTTCTTCAGAGAATGAGCATTCCTCCCCAGTCCATCCTCACCAGCATCAAATGCATTTTTCCGGTAATGTGGATCATTAGGGTCCCCATAAGGCACGACCATTTCCACAAAACTCAACCTATGGGCTATGGGTCTTCTACCCCGACTTCCATCGACATATGCAACTGAATGAATGACTAAACCTTCCCTTGGAGTGAAACCAATACGAAAGTTCCACTGTCGAGAAACATATAACAATGAATCAGATACAATGCACGATCATAACATATGACAAAGATATCATAATGGGTAAAGAAAATCACCTTCTGCCACTCAACATAGTGACCATTGATTCGAAAACTAGGACCTTCGGGTTGAACAATTTGAAGGGGTTTCACGTCACTTCTATCCACCCCACCCCTTGTTTCACCAGGAGTGTAGTTTCTCAAGGGATCGGCTGGAGGCAAAGGGACAAGTTTTCGATCCTCAAACTCTATTACTACCATGTTTTGCATATCAACAAGCACATGAATTCCTTCAACAGGCCGCGCATAACCATTTTCCAGTGGGCAGTCACTCTCTGTCCGGCAAAATATAAGTGGCTTTGCAAGCCTTCGACTTGGAGCATCAGCTTCACTATGATAGCCAACACACCTGAAGCAGCCATTCAACAAAAACAAATATTATAATTGATTAGATACTTAAAAAACGAAACTAAAAAGAGTAATTCAATTTTCGACATCTTGCTGACCAAGGATCAACCATGACAAGATCCATATCATCAATGCCCCGCTTCTTCATTGCCTCAATAAATGGCGGGTAATCCTTCACAACAGCTTCACATTCAGCATATTCTACGGCATCCTAAAATTAGGAGAAAAGAAGATTTTAGCCAATTACCAAATACAGCACATCATGGGTTCATGCTTGCAGATTCACAAAATAAAAACTTAAAAAATAAGACACACACATATCAAGTATAAGAATGCAGAAAAATCAAGAGATACCATAGGAGGCTGAACATCAGGGACAACTGCAGTGGAAATGACTTTTCCTCGATGATGTCCACCTCTAGTTGTAGCATGCACTTCTGTTAACTCAACAACCCACACACTGGTCTCGTTCGACTTCTTGTTGTAGACAATCAATCTGGCCTGCCTTGGCGGAAGCTTACTCGGAATTGCTGGTCCCCCTTTTGTTCTAGTTAACAGGGATGGCTGAAAAGGGGGAAAGAAATAAGCATCGGCCAGCGCCACTACATGTTTCTCTGGTTCCAACAGAACAACTTCAGTAAATCTCATGCTATCTCTCACCTAAAAGAAAGAAGACAACTCATTGATGAGACCAAAATACAAACAAGATCATTTGATCGATGTGGTAAGTATTAAAGGAAAGTAATCGACAGGTGCTGACCTCAGGTGTGGCTCCAGCTGCTCTGACAGTTGCTATTGCAACAGATATTTCCACAGCAGATAATGGATCCAAAGGGTGTTTGGTTTGAGGCCTTGTCATCACCTGGAGCCCTGAATACAAAAGACACTTCTTATAGGTGAAATATTCTGATAAAATTTACTTCCAAACCACAATTTAACAAAGAACTCTTAAAAATACAGACGTGGCTCAAGAAACAGGAATAAAAACCACATAATCATTTAGAAAAAAGATTGATCTACTTATTTTTCTAATCAAATCATCAAATTTCCGAACGATTTCGTAACTCTCTTATTTATATAGCATCAATCAACTTTCCAAATCAAAATTTTACTATTCAAAATCCGAACTCAAAAAACAAGCAAACACACCCTATATGTTCTGTAACATTTATATGCAGTGAAATATTTATCAATAACTCAAATATGTACATAGCCAAAGCAGGGAACTAAAAAGAGGTCCTCATGAAAATCTCTTCACCTACAACAGCCATATAACAAAGATAAAGATGATGAATATATATACATATATATATACACATACAATAGAATCAACTGAAAATACTAACTAAAGAAATACTACTGTCCTTTAATAATTATTCGAAAACATAATTGACGAACATCACATGCATGTGTATCTACAAATAGGCCATAATTCACAGAAAATTTGACCCAAAACCGTAACCCTAAATGCATAACAAAAAAATTCTAAATCGAGAACGAGAAGTCGACTAATTCGTATCCATATCCAAAAAAAACAAAAACCTTTAGCAGAAGCTTTGGAAGGAGTTTCCGGCGTAACCAATGGCGCCATGGCAGCAGCAGAACCAGTAGCAGGAGCAGAAGCAGAAGCTTTCTTCCTCGGCTTATCCTCCGCACTCCAACCAGCAGCAACAGGTGCCGACGCCGACGCCGACGCAGAGTGACGGCGGACTACGGCGGACGAATCGCCGGCGGCGCAACAGGCATCCGTCTTCTGAGAAGGAAACGTCGCCTTTTTCGCAGCTGTGGCCATTGTAACTGATTCGAAAGCTCGCCGAAATCCGTGTCGCAATCTACTGACATACAGCAAAGAGTGGAACTCCTCCCCCGCAGCGCAACCAACGAACGCAGAAATCGGTAGAGAGCGCCGGAGAATGGAAAAAAGGCGAGAGCGTTATTGGGAATTAGGGCTTTGGGTTGAAGAATGAATGCAGAGAAGGGATCGGTTGCGAAAGTGACGTTGATGTCAGAGAGAGAGATCTCTGCAGAGGAGAAGCAAGAATGGTGAATTTATAGGCACACGTGACTCGGCGTTTCATAAAAAGTTAAAAAGTTTGGTGAATCGATGAAGAAACATAGAGAGAGAAGAAGAGAGAGATTGGATAAGTTTACAAAAGTGATACGTGCGTTTCATTACCACTTTCTACGGCTAAGTTTCTACTAATATATATATATATATATATATATTTTTTATTACTATTGTTTATAAACTATTTTCCAATAAATTTTTAAAATTTTATTTAAATAATATTTTATTTCAAAGCAAAAAAATTCAAATAATAAAAATCTAAAGGAAAGCTAAAAACAAAACTTTCAAATCTGAGATCACATTTATATTTAATATTAAAAATATTTTTATAATTTATATATAAATATTATTTTATTAGTACTATAAAATACTAATAAAAATATATTTGTATTTTTTTAATTTGTGCTATATTTTTTATATAATAATTAATATTTAAAAATAAAAAAATAAATGGTAGTCATTATTTAAATTAAAACTCATATTAAAAATTCAATTTCAAATCAAAACAAAAGTAAAATATATATATATATAGTAATTTTTAACACGAAAGAGAATTATGTTCTATTTTAATTATATACTAATACTAAAATACTTTTGCTTTTATCTAAATTATAAATATATTATTACACATACGATTATTTATAGGTAAAAATGTCAAAATTTCTTACATATTTTCAATAATTAATAAAATATTATTATTTCTTAATTAATGAGAAGTAAGTTTTTTAGAATTTGTTATATTAAAATTTTTAATAAAATATTACTTTTTATAATATTAATACATTTTTTTTTATACTAATATAAAAACACATTTATATAAATAAATAAAAGTGAACACATCCTTTCTAGATCCTAGTGGATTGTAAGCAATTTTGTTTTTTTGTTCTTGTTCTACTTGTTTCAGTTTTTATTCTCACGAATATATATATATATATATATAATTTAAATAAAAATATATTATTTTTTTAATCAAATATTAAATTTAATTAATATATTTTTATTAATAATACATATTTTTATATAAAACGTCTTTAAAGTATCTACTAAATATGGTTTTTACCATATTAGTAGAATCCTATCATTATATACAAAGATATTCACCGTAATAAAAATATTTTATTATTTTATATAAAAATATCAAAATATATATTCCCATTCCATTCAAAATAATTGTATTTTTCATGTGCACGAATGATATTTTCCAATATATATTTATTTTTTCATTATAATTGATTGTTTTTGATAAAAATATAAAAAATAGTAATATTTGTATAATAATAATAATAATAATTAAGAATTATTTATAATAATATAATTATTTATAATGATAAAATTATTATTTTAAAATAAATAAAAATAATAAAAACAAGTTTATTCTTTTAGAACGGAACATTTATAATTTAATAATCTTCAATAAAAATATATTTTTATTAAAATACTATTATTTTCTCTGTTTCAATATAATAGTTTTATTTATTATTTTTATCTGTTTCAAAGCAATAGTCTTACTTTTATAAAAAAAAAAAAAAAACATCACTGTAAAAATTATTTAATTTTATACAAATATCTTTATTTTCTACACTAATACACTCACAATAGTAAAAATAATTTTTTATACTTCTTCCGTCTCATAATAAAGTATTCATTTTTCCATTTTAGTCCGTCTTATAACAAAGTATCTATTTCTTTTAGTAACCGTACTATCTACCTGACATTACAAATATCCTTACAACTTACAATATATTACACAAATGTCATTACATTTATATTACACATAGTAATAAAGTTATTTTAATCATTTATATTTTATTTCTATTATATCCCAATATAATACTAATATTTTTAAAATTACGTCCAATATAATACTAATATTTTTAAAATTACGTCAAGGTAAAACTATAAATTAATATATTAGTCTTTTTTAGTACATTGTCAAAATCTTGATGTAAGAAGCAACTAAAAATATCTCGACTTTACAGCTGGATTAATGATCCTTTTATATATATAATTGGAAAATGATATTTACTTTCCAACTAGATTTTGCATAAATGCTCATGTATGATTTGTTGCCATCTCTAGACCATAATATTAATACTACTATATATATATATATATATTATTATTATTATTATTATTTGAAATTAATATTTTAACCACATTTTATTTTATTTTATTTTCTAATATTAACAAAAATAAATAACTCAAACCATGGCCTACTTGCTTAGCAAATACACACATTATTGCTTTCTTATTACTTGTTTAATGAAAATTATATTAGCATGCCAAGGTGTGTCCTAGTCACCAACACCATCCCTCCAATTTTATTTTTTTTTTAAGAAAATTATTTTAATATAAATGATATAAAAAATTTTAAGATGAGAAATTTAAAAAATAAAAACCGATTATTTATACTCCCTCCGTCTCATAATTAGGTATTCATTTGCTCTTTTTGCATGTAGTTTTAGAAATATTAATATTATATTGAGATGTAGTAGGAATAAAGTCGAAATGACTAAAATAACCTTATTGGTATTGTGTGATATAAATGTAATGATATTTGTGTAATACATTGTAAGTTGTAAGGGTATTTGTAATGTTAGATAGATAGTACTATTACTAAAAAAATGGATGCTTAGTTATGAGACGGACTAAAATAAAAAAATGGATACTTTGTTATAAGACGGACTAAAATAGAAAAATTGATACTTTATTATGTGACGGAGGGAGTATATTTTCTTATTGATGCATGGGTGGTGCCAACGAGGAGTTCTTGGAAACATTCTATGATTTATATATATATATATATATAAATTAAAACATGGATAAGATTGAATCTTTGCTTCGACTACAAAAAAGTTATAATTTTGCGAGGGAAAGTCTTTAAATTTCTTCAAAAACATATGTTACGAGAGAAGTAGTGAGGGAACAAATTTTTTCCTTATAAATGTTCAAACGCATAAAAAAAATTACCGTTTGTCGCTTTTTTTTCCGGACAAATTTTCCGAAAGATTTTGCCAGGGACGAGAATTTGAGTCCCTTGTATATTAAGTTGCAAGAGATTATGGGTGTGTTCATACGAATAATTATTTTTTATATTTTATTCTTTTATAAAAGTTAATCATTTCACACAATATATTATATTTATATTTCTTGTACGATTTCTTATCTCATTAAAAAAAAAAAAAAACTTCAAATTAAAATACTAAATAAATCTCTCACCATTTTTTACCGAGAGAGTTCGCGAAAAGTGAAATTACAAGTAAAGTTAGTATAGATTCATCAACCATGATATTATGATATAAATTTGTTCAATTAATAATATAAAATTATACATCAAAAAAATTTAAAATATAACTAAAGTGTATATTTTTTTTTCGAAAAAAAAAAATATGACATGAAATGTGCAATATTAAAAAATAACAATATAGATACAATATGTGGGACGAATAGAGTAACTAAATGAACAAAGCGATATGTTTGACTTTAGTTTGTAATTGAGTTCTATATTTAAATATACTATGAGTTATATTTATTTTTTGCGTATTAATTTTAAAATATTAATTATGTATCAGTACAAATCGAGAGAAAAAAAAAAGACAAAAATACTTTTATTAGTATCTTATACTAATAAATTATACAAATACAATATAAGAATGCGTTTATATTTAAGTACAGTGACGCAAAACTCTTGTTATTTGACTGAAGAAGTATATCTTTACATAAAAATATATGAACTGAATAGTGCATTACAAGAAAAATCATTTTTGTAACAATTTTTTTTTTTTTCTCTAAATCTACTTTTCCGTTACTAATGACATTAGAGACGGAATTAGGAACGAAATTACATTAGCTACGTGAACTTTAGGGACGAAATTCCGTTACAAATATATATATATTTTTTTTGTAGCGGTGATATATATATATATTTTTTGTTGAAATATAAAAATAAAACACCCATAAATTAGGTTCCATTTAGATAGAAATCTTTAAGTTTTAAAAAATTGTACGTGTAAACGAAACTTTAATAATTTTAAATAATAATAATAATAATAAATAAATAAATAGTGTGATAACGAAACAATCCAGACCCGGTGAAGATTCGAGAAGAATGCATGGCCAGATATATTGTAGATTCCCCTGTAATAATTACTATAATTTAATATTACAGTATTTTATTGTGCAATAATTAATGATTATAATAATACGTAATTAAAGTAGGTGGATTTAGGCTACTTGCATCTCTATAATAATGCATATATACAATCTATTTCTCATTTTTATTACTACAATCCGTCCCGTAACAAATTATTCATTTTTTTATTTTGATCCGTCTCATAACATAGTATTCATTTTCTTTTTTTAGTAATTGTACTATCTACCTAATACTACAAATACTCTTACAACTTACAATATATTACACAAATGTCATTATCTTTATATCACACAATACTAATACGGTTATTTTAGTAATTTCTACTTTATTCCTGCTACGTATCAATATAATATCAATATACCTTAAACTACGTGAAAAAACAAATGAATACTTACTTATGGGTAGAGCTATTAAACGAACCGAGCCGTTCGTGAACTCGGCTCGGTTAAAGCTCGTTCGCGAACGTTAACGAATCGAGCTGAACAATATAAACAGGCTCGTTTGATTAACAAACGAGTCCGAGCTTTGTTCGCAAACGTTTGTTTAAATAATATATTTATTATAAATATTATATATAAATATAAATTTATAATATATAAATTTATAATTTATAAATAAATAAAATATTAATTTAACATATATAAATAAAATAATTTTAAATTTTCTTTATAATTTATATATAAATTTTGAAAAATAAGACAAACGAGCTCGAACGAGCTTAATCGAACCTAAACGAGCCGAACACGAACACGAGCTCAAACAACAAAAATTCTTAACGAGCCGAGCTCGAACACTACGAACGAATTCGAAAGCTGAACGAACGAACACGAGCCTTGATCGCGAACGTTAACGAACACTTAAAATTTGGCTTGCCTCTGCTCGGATCAGCTCGTTTGAGATTGAGGGAGTATTAACGTAACCTATGATATATATATATATATATATATACTATATATGATGGAGACATTAAATGTGTTTTTTTCAAATTTTGATTTTAATTTCTTTTATTGGACGTGATTACGAACAAATTATTATTTAAATAATAATAATGATAATAATAATAATAATAATAATAATAATAATAATAATAATAAAACCCTCTGAAAGGACATACCGATTGATGCAGCTATCCAAACACGTATTTGTTGTGTATTTATACTAATTAATTAATTAATTAATAATATGACATCTTTGCAAGAAATAAAAACGCATTTGCTTATTTTATATATCATCCATTTATAAAAATTTATCCTAATTAGTACTACATATTTTATAAAGCTTTTTATATTAATGTGTGTAAGAATCCAAAAAAAAAACACACACACACATCATCAATCTTTTAAATTTTTCACTATTTTGAAATTTTTCTAAAACTTAAAAGATTATTGTACAAACACAACCTAAATCAAACATATTTTTATGATTTTTACTATTATCAACTCCAAATTCAACTATCACTTCACTTAAATTGATTCAAAATAAAATATTGATTTAATTTATTATTATTTTTATCTTAATAGTAAATATATTGTATTTTATTGAAAACTGGGTAGAGTAAATAATATGATTTGAATTTGAAATAATTAAAAAAAATAAAAAAAATCAACACACAATAATATGATAAAAATATATAAATTGAATAGTAATATTTACAAGTTTTTTCCCAAAGACGAAAGCTCACCTATCAAAGGCTTTGGATTTTACACACAAATCAATTATCAAAACCAAATTTTGAAGAAGAAAATAAGAGTGAGTATATATATATATATAGTATAGGTCACTAATCTTATCATTACCTTCAAGTCCACTTATAAAACCACAACAACTCATCACACATATATAAATTAAATTAAATAATGCACCAACCACGTCACAATTACATACAATTTAACAAAAAATAATACTAGATTATTGTATTATTGAACAATGACCCGGGGGGCATTCTTGTCATTTTATCTCCTCCCACAGCTTAAGAAAAATTCTAATGAATAATCCACTTGAGTGAATTATTAAACATAGCCCACTAATTCTAATTTGGACCCTAATTGAAATAAGACAAGCAAGAATTGGTAACAGGCTAAAATCTCAGGCCTCACATATGTATATATATATATATACAAATCATATTAAGAACAACACAACTAACAGATATTTCTCACTTAAAACAAAACATCTAAACCTGCTATTTCCATTAAACAATTTCAAATTCGAAACAATGAAAAACACAAATATGACCTAAAGGGTCTCTTACAATAGAATCAATGATCACTAATTAGTAGGAACTAATTACCTTGTTGATGCTCATTTGCCCCAACCAAAACATAAAGCTTTAGAACATGAACTAAGTGCTCAGAACAAAACATTCAAATTTTTGGATTGCCAATGCACAAAAACCTGAATAGACAATTTGGACTTACACTACCATTGAAATAAACCTTCTTGAGTAGGCCTGGTTTCCGTTTCCATCCATCCTCAAGATGCCGGGTAAAGGCCGGAGAGCCAAGAACAGAATAGATGATTCTTGCTTTAAGCACAGATCTCCTAACAAATGTTCAAGTAAAGAAATTCCTGATAATCACATAACTCCTTCCACCCAGTACAAAGACTTCAATTCAAAGACCTAAAACACATGATTCAAACCATGTCTCGGGGACTTCAGGTGGGACATGTGACAATACACACTATCCAAAATTCCCATGGAGTAACATAAATGCATCTCAAGAAAGAAAATATTTGTAACTGTAGGGGATTTGATCACTATCACAAGATCCAACAATGGCATCATCAGTAAATGCAAAATCACTTAATGATGAGTCTTCTTGATTGCTGCAGTAGACACAAACACATATATACAAGAAAGAGGAAAAAAGAAATGAACAAAACAGGAGGTTAAAACATGTGTGTTTGTTTATAGGATTTTGCCAAAAATCAACTATTCATCCAAAATTTCGCCCCAAAAAACATTAAATCAAACAACTATCTTTTATTTTCTATATTCTACTAAAAATCAATTTTACATTCAAAACATTACATCAATACCTATTTATATCAAGTCATACAACTACTCCAATTCAATTTTTTTACTATTCAAATACCAACTCAAAATCCAAACCCCTAAACAAACACTGCAACTTGTTCCTGAAAAAGGCACCTTATCCACCTTAACCTAATGTGGCTAAGCACAAGATTGATAAAACTTAAATACTACCAAAAAACAAAGGCAAAATGCAAAAACACAAATTGGGGGCAATGGAAATACAGTTAAACAGCACAGCTAAACCTCAAGAAAAGAACAACCATCAGCAAGATCAAGGCCAAGAAAAAATTGGGAGAAAATAATCCAACGCAGTCAAAATTGCAAATTTGAAGCCCTAAAACACATGATTCAAACCATATCTCAGGAACTTCAGGTGGGGCATGTGACTACTCACTAATGTTACATTACCCCAAATGTATCTCAAGAAAGAAAATTTTACAATTAGGGTATCGATCACTATCACAAGATATAACAATTAGCATCACCATTAATTAAAGAATCACTAAAAGATCCATCATTCTAGATTGCTGCAGTAGACACAACACATAGATTTACAAGTAAAAAGAAATGAACAAAACGGGAGGTAAAAACAAAGACTCACAATCTACATGTCTTCCTTGGTTTAGTAAGGGGCAAAAACTACAAAAATACACTCATAAAATTTGGTGAATATGAATAAAAACTGCAGCTTGTCCCAGAAAAAGGCACCCCATCCAGCTAAAGCTAATGTGACTAAAGCACACCATTGATAGCACCTCAACTACTACCCAAAAAAATAAATGCAAAACCACAAATTGGGGGGAATGGAAATGCAGTAAAAACAGAACAGGTAAATCCTAATAAAAGCCCAAAATACAAAACCACAAATTTGGGGCAATGGAAATGCAGTAAAACTGCACAGCTACACCCCTTAAAGAAAAGCATTATCAACATCAAGATCAAGAGCCAAGACTAAGCAATCATTGAGAAAAAATTATCCACCTCGTCAAAATGCAAATTCACAGTATAATAGAGAACAAGATTAGTCTAGCCATACTAAAGCAAAATTACTAGAACAAGAGTCATTTAAAACATTCTCAAAAGACATAAATCAAAGCGTAAATCATTTAGAAGAAAATAACAGTCATCGCTGTGTAAGGCAAAATCTAAAAACGATAAAACAAATACAAAGACACCATGATTAAGAATCAAGCAGTAAGCACAACGGCACCACCGGCCTCCTTAATCTTCTTCTCCGCATTCTTCGACACGAGTTTGGCCTTCACAACAACAGGCTTGTCCTCAGGCAGTAAACCCTTTCCCAAAACCTTGAAGTAACCAAACTGTGTGACGTCAATCAACGGCACATTGTCTTTGCTCGCCTTATCCTTCACGTCCTGCGGCACCATCGCCCAGAGGCGATCGATGTTGACGGTGGGGCAGAAGAATTTGTTCCGCAGCTTGTGGAAGTAACGCATACCGACCTTACCGAAATACCCAGGATGGTACTTGTCGAAGAGAATACGGTGGTGGTGCATACCACCGGCGTTACCCCGACCACCGGGATGCTTCCTGTGCTTCCCGATACGGCCGTGGCCGGCGCTCACATGGCCGCGCTTCTTGCGATTCTTCTTGAATCGGGTCGTCATTGGAATCGATGGAATTCAGAGGAGAGAAATCGGCGCCGCTGGAGGAAGCAATTGAGGGCTAGGGTTTGCAGTCGCCTTTAAATATATTCGATTGGAGATTTAGGGTTAGGCTTTCTGAGCTTATGGTCTGCTTTCGCAATTTTTTGGGCCCAATGGATCAAAGCCCATAAAGTTTGTTGGGGGATAATATTGTAAATTTGTAAAGATTTTTAATTATTTATAATTATAATATAATAAAAATAATTATAAATTAAAATTAAATTAATTAAAATTTAAAAAAGTTATAAATTATAAAATTTAAAATTAATTAAAATGTATATTTATATTTTTTAAAAAATCGACCAATTATATAAGAGAAAAATATAAACAATTTATATTGAAAGGTAAAAAGTATTTTTTATATTAAAATAAAATTTAATTTTATATTTAAAATATTAAAAATTTGAATTATAAATTTTTATCAAATAAAGAATAAAAAAAATACTCCCTATTGTCTAGATATTAAATTACTATATTCTAATTGAATTTATCAAATCAAGTCAAGTATATTAACCGACCCGGATAATGGCCCGACCCGATCCAAATTTCCTATATTTCTGAGTTGGCGCCAGTTTGCCTTGCTCGATGAACTCATCGCAGGCTAAATCTTGATCCAGGACGATATACATTGCAGGAAAATTGAAGAGTAGAGGTATAGAGGAATGCGGAAATGTTCTACTCGCATACTTTCCTGGCAAGGAAAGGCCCGCTGGGAACTGTTTGGTGCGCCGCGCATCTGCAGCACAAGCTTAAGAAGTCTCACTACATCGCCACCAATGTTCCCAAAACCGTCGGTATGTTTTGCTATTTCGCGCGTTTGTCTAATCAAATTGTTTATCTTCGATGAAGGAGCAATATTTATCTATCGTGCTGCGAAATCCTTTTTTTTTTCTTTCTGTGTGGATTGATGAAATTCATTCCTGAGAATGTTTAATTTATGTGCTTGCTTGAATTATAGAGCTTAAACGGTGATTTTAGATTTGTGTAATTATTCTTTTCTCAAAATAATGTTGTTTGTGCCATCACGGTTCCTAATTTGGATGTGTAGAGTTCTTTGTTTTCTTTATGTCGAAGAACCACGAGAAGATTAAGATTTTGGCTGTTCAGAGTTCCATGCTTTTTCCTTCAATTTTGATTCTGTTCGAAGTTCTATTTGATGGTTTAGATTTAGTTGTTTGGACTATAATTTGGTTATATACATAATCTTATGTTGTTTTTATTACAATTCGGAAATTTCTTTGCAAAAATGTAACATTGTGCGGATAACCTTCATGTAAATATTATACAACTGCAATAAACACTTGCCAATCTTTAATTTCAATATTTGATTTCATCTCTTTCTTAAAGTGGATTATGCTTATGAACATATTTGAATGTGATCGACTACTGATTATTAGAATTTGAAAATGGTGCTTTGGATTCTTTTCTTGGAGTCTTGTTCATTGAATTGTATGATGCCGTGCAGATCGAATCATGTTTCCTGAGGTGCCACTTGCACTAAGGATGTCGGGGCATCTTCTTCTTGGAGTTGTGAGGATTTATTCGAAACAAGTTGACTATCTCTTCGAAGATTGTTATGGTATATGGACTACACTCAATCGGGCCTCTGCAAATATAAATGTCAATCTTCCTGAAGATGCAACTCATGCAACATTTCATTCTGTTACCTTGCGAGAAAATTTTAACCTTGATTCAATAGAATTGGATAACTTCGATACAGACTGGTATGTTTTGCTTTTTTCTTTCCTTGGTTTTGTTTTTTAATTTTTGCTTTTCGCCTCCTAAATGGCTAAATTACATGAATGAATTGTATTTTCAGGCAACATGATTCTCACCTTAGGAACCTAGAAGAAATCACTTTAACAGGTATTGAATTCAGCAATGTATCTCAGTTGCGATTTTGCATTTTTCTATGATCAATATTCTTTCCATTCCTTACCAATATGATTATACGAAGCTAATTGGTTGTGTGTATTTTATGCCACAGAGCAAATTCCAACTGGAAAAGATCCTTACATTGTCATTAGTGTTCATGAGGTGCCTCCAACTTTTACTTATTCTCATTTCTGAAATTATGCAAATAAATTCTGTGATCGACATTTTTTTCTTTAATTTTCTTTCTGGTACTCAAATGTAGAGTGAATCAACTGGGCCACCAGCAGAGGAAAATTTAGGATCAGGGCCGGTTCCGATGGAGGAAGAGTATGACTTGTTTAGCTTAGCTAAAGTTATACATTGTTATCCTTTTGTCGAAATTTATGAATTTGACTGACTCCTTCAGCATTGTTGTTGCAGCCCTCCAGTTGAAGCTGAATTTCAGACCACTCCAAGTAAACAATTAGGAACAGATGATAGAAACATTGGATCAATCAGTCCCCAAGAATTTCTGAGTATTGAAATCATGCGCGATGCTAGGCAGGGTTTGGATGTCAATGCTTCACCAATACTGTCTGATCGGGCTGAACCAGATGCAGTCCTGGAAGAGCAAATCAAAAAGGATAAAGAAATCAATACTCCTCACTCAGTTGAATTTCCATTGCCGCCGGGTGGTTCTGTCTCTTCCCCACAAGCTAATGAAAAACCACCCTCTTTCGGGCGCTCGGGTTCCCCAATTGTTTTCGGTGGGTACAAGTTTGTGGATTCCCAGATTTACATTACATAGCACTAATACACACATTTCGATCTTTTGCAGAACACCAGTCACATGAGTTTCAAATCCAACCAACTCCACCTGTTGCAAAGCCACAAGTTCGGAGAAAAAGGAGACAGCTTTTTGATGAGATGATTATATTAAGCAATCAGTAAGGATTTCTTTTTGTGTAGTTTATGCAAGCTTGCCTCATATTCATACTTCAAGTTCTTACCACAAGAGTTCTTTGATGATACAGGTTCATCGGAAAAGGATTAAATGATACCAAAGATATCTGCCGGAAGAGAAGAAACTGTCCCACTTCTTCTCTTGCTATATGGAAGCGAAACAACCGGCTGCGCTTAAGGAAGGATGGCCTCTTTCTTCCACCTTATCCTTCTGGTAAGTAATATTTAATGGTTCCTATCTTCACTGCTGCACTTTAGTCATAGTTGTCAATAGTGCGCTAATAGCACGGCAGTCCGCGGCTCTGTGATGCCACTTTTATGCAATATTGGGGTAATAACCGTAATAGACTATAGCTACTCTAGTTCCAGAAAGGGAAAGAATATTGTGCAACGTAACAAACATACAACGGAAAATATGAATCAAGATAAAGAATTTTCTTAAGAGTAGCTATGAGGAAGAAAATTATTTATTAGATTTTGAAACTAATTCACTTTGATATATATATATCTATCAGAGTAGTGTGATCTAATTGTTTTTGCTTATATAACTATCTTTGGACTATGATTATATATTTTTTTGCAATTTTATTGATTTGATTCTTTTACACATTTTTATTTTGAAAAGTTGTATATATTCTTAAATTTTCAAATAACGGTTATCTCACTCTCCGCTAACCCGCTATAGCATTAATGGTTGAGCTCTGTGTGACGCTATTCAAGATTGACAACAATGAGTTTAGTAAGGAACTTTTGTTTAAATCTGAATGAAGTTTCTTATGTTGCAGGATCTTGTTCTGAACTGCAAGATATATACACCGAAGATGCTGTTTCAACGAAATTTCCTCCAATCCCTGCAGAAGAAACTCATCAAGAGACAACGGATCCTGAGCCCTCTGTATCCAGGCATGGTGATGACATGGAGATCGAAATTCCTCGAACTAATGAGTATGCTTCACCTGACAGACACATTCCCGATATCTCCAATGTTCTGCCATCACCGAGTGAAAGAGGGAACTCACACCCCGAACATCCGGAAGCAACTGTAGGGGAAGAAGAGCTTCCCACTGCAAGCATTGGAGCATCTTCTAGAATGCTTGATTCAGAAATCAGAACCCCAGATTCAGGTTTAGGGAAGAGCTTGCAGGCTGACATTTCCGAGCATGTGGCTTCTCCAGGGGTATGCTAATACTTTCTTACATTAGTCTCCTTTGAGTTTCATTGACTTAGTGGCTTCCATCTTCCATTGCAGGAGCTTCGATTTCTAGACCAAGATGACAATTCTCCAGCTGGTATGTTCACAAACTTCTTATATGATCCATTCGTAAACTTCAATTATAACACGGGGAGAGGTTAGGATGCTGATTAGAGTAAATCAACACATAGAATATATAGACAGTTATATTCAATGGTAACATATATTGTATGAACTATTGTTGTTTATTTGTTGCAGTTGTATTATATCATTATAAATATTTGGTTGTCAACACAGTACTGAATATTTTCACGTGCATTTGAATGAATAGGATCCCAAGGAACACCTGCAACCCCGGAACTCCAACCATTACCTTCACGAACAAGGTGCTGAATCTTTCCTATACGACGCCCAAAAGTTTGTCCAGTTAAGGAATTTAATCACATTCATATGTCTGAACCTTTCCATTATTTTTTACAGAGCTGTGGCACAGTACTTGAAGAAGCAGGCCTCAGAAACCCCGGCCGGAGCAGAATCATCCGATGATCTGAGTTTGAACAAGATCTTGGAAGGCAAAACCCGAAAAATATGCACTCGAATGTTTTACCAAACACTGGTAACTATTAAAATCATGAACTGAAAATCCTGACACAAACTAAAGTGAATATTTGGAATGTAAATTGGCAGGTTTTGAAGAGTAATGAACTTGTAGATGTACAACAAGAAGAACCATATGGAGACATTTTATTGAAAGTGACTCCAAAGCTCTCCGAGGAACAATTCTCCAGCTGAGACTAAGAACATGTAAGTACAATTGTATACATATATAAATATGTGTAAATAGCTAAGTTATGTTTAGTCTCACCTCATTTTTTAATGTCGTGATATTTTTTGGAGAAAAAAAAAATTAGAAATGAAATAGAAAATAAAAGCACAAGAGAGTTCAGCTTCAGTTTTGCTAAGTTATTGTATAGTCTATTTGTACTCTTTTAATTTCACTTGCTATAATATGTTAAAATATATTATATTCATTAATTTACACTAATTTTTAAAAAAAAAAAATTATTGCATTAAATTAATTTTTACAAAACTATTATATCAAATATTTAAATTTTTATTATTTCAAAATTTTTATTTAAATTGAGCTATAATTTCTTTATAACATTTGCGTTCTTATACTTCTAAAATTTATAATTTATTTATACTGTATTAAACAAATTCAAGTAAATAAAAATACGTCAAAACAAACAAATAAATTATGGAATAATAATATTTCAGGTAAAAAAGCATAAGTTTCTATTTTATAAAAATGTACGTAATACTCCAAAATTAAATTTTGTGTCTTTCCGTTAAGGCAGAAAGTATACATATTTCTCTATTTTGGGATGTTCAATTACAAGTAAACATTTTATTAAATACCTCACTTTTTTCAGCAAATACTCTTGCTTTACATCACATCGTTACTTTTACACCAAAAAGTAAGGCAAAAATGTCGTTACACTACTTTTAACTACCCACTATAATTAAAATATTATTATTTCTTAAACATCGCATCAAAAGTAAATATTTACTTTGTGTGTGGATGGAATTAAACATAGTTAATTTAATTTCCCCGAGAAGCATATGCACTCGAGGAAATGCCTTTCGGCAACTTGTGGCCATCGATTCAACGATCGAGATGAATCTTGTCCGTCCATTCCATCCTCTGATTTTTTGCCGTTATAGACTAGAGTCACATGGCAATATTCCGGTGCATGTTTCTGTATGTATTCTCCCTTCGACGCGCCTTTCCTCGATAGCCTACACAAAATCCCGACAAAGATATTGTACAAATAGATCAAATTTGTTGAAAATTTAGATAAAATTTATGTAAGAACCTAGAAAAAGTCGAATGCTTGGCTCCCATGACAAGATGAGTAATATTGACGACAGGGATGAGCTCTAAAATGGCCTTCTCTAAGGCATGGCTCTCGACAAGCATTGTGTCGACAGCGACCTGCAGAGAATTATCGTTTATTTCACATTGATGATAAATTAAATTGTCTAGTGGGTCAGACCGGCTCAAATTACTTCAATTCGGTCGTTAATCGATCTTAGTGTAATAAACCAGAGCTTGATTCTTACTATGAGCTTCATTTGTCTATGTTAGTTTGGAATTAGCTCGAGTTTGTCTTAAAAATATGTGAAAACTTAATCATAAAAATAGTCGAATAAAAATAATAGTCAGCAATCAAAGATAAAATATATATATATATATATATAAATATATGATGTGATGCTTTGAAAAAAATTGATTAAATTATTGTAGATGAATAATGAAAATAGATAGAAAATAATAATAATAATAATAATAATAATAATAATAATAATAGAGAACATAACCATACAAATCCAAGTAAACATAGAATTTGAAAACTTTTAGAATCAAAACTCAAAATATAAGTAAGTTTTAAAAATATGAAAAGTAAAAAAAAAAATATCATTTGAACTTCTGAACAATCGAGATAAAAAAAAAAAAAAAAAAGTATTTTACATCATGGTAAAGTAATAAATTTGACTCATTGAATCATTTCGATTGAACTGTGTAAATTTATATAATTTAAAAAAGAAAAATACAAAAGAATCTATAAAGTAGAAGTTTCATTGCATTGCTTGCCTTGGATTCGCCGCATCGGCTAATGTATTTTCCGAGGAGATGATTCCGCTTGTTACTTTCTTCGCGAACGTAAACCTTGAGCTGCTCTTGGCTTAGCTGGCTCCTCGACAGCCTCCCCACTGCAAATTTCGATGCTGATAAATAATAATTTCACTTAAAAATTTAAATTATTAAAAAATACATCATTAATTACATATTATATAGTCTTTCGGCAAAATGCAAACGAAAAGTGCCCGATCACCTTGTGTAGGGATGTAAGCAATGGGAGCGAATATATGCACGAGAAGGACCCGACTTCCCGGAGGGACAACATGGTCGAGCGCCCATTCGAGAACGTGCAAATCATTCTTACCAACGGCAACGTACACGTCTTTAGTCTCCGGATCCGCGATTTTGCTTCCATCCTCGCCGGGAATTTCCACAATTTCACTCGTCGAAGTTGATTGATCGTGGTTTCGACCCTCTTCTCCATCCCGTTCCATTTTTATCGCTACGATGTGAAAATAAGACGAGCGCAAGAATGGGTTCGATGAGAAAAAGGGATGCAAAAGTGCGGTTGCTTTCAAAACATGTGATGAAAGGATAATAAAGTGAATCGAAAAAGCTCGATTCTCTTTGTAAATTATTGCAAAACTTTGTTTTTTCGAAAAGTAGAGGCTTTGAGCTTTCTTCTTGTCTATATCCATTCGCGTGGTCCTCATTTTCTCGATTGTTTAGTAGAAAATACCGTGTCTTGTTCCTCCCAAAATGTAATAAATCAAGAATCACCGAAAGGGACAAGCATACAACAAGCAAAAACCTCATCAAGTAGATCACGTAAGAATCGATCGACTTCTTCCATCGATTGCCACTAATGTTTGTTTCGTCGAGAACATTCTCCATCGAACCATGTTCGACCTCTTACACTGTCTTAAGCTTTTCAACAAGTTTGTTAGAGCATTTCTCGACAAGATTCAAGTGCTTTTCGACATCTAGATAGTTCGATCATCCGCGATTCTATCGAATTTGACAAAAACCAGGATGTTCTTATACCAGGAATCATAACCAAGAAAACACAATACGACAATTGCAAGATCCATTCCAAAAATTTGTATAAATAACTCATCAAAACTGTAGTAGCCACATATGTAAGAACAAGAACCGAGTCGAAAATCGAAATCGAAGTCGAAATCGATCGCTCAAACCTGCTCGTCCCTCCGAGGTTCGACATAATGTGCACCTTCTACTTCACCCGTCGTCGACAATTCAGACAACAAGTCCATCGCCGCATGCTCGCCTAACAATATCGCGACGACGTCTTTCATCGAAGGCCGTCGAAGAGGGTCGGGATGGCAACAAGACAACCCTAATTTCAAAACCGACTCCATTTCCTTGACGTCGTACTCTCCATTCAACCTCTTATCCGCCGCCTCCGAAAGCCTTCCCCGCGCGTAATTATACCTCACCAAATCGATCAAAATCTCGTCCTCCTCCCTCTCAACTCTCGTCTCGATCGGTCTCCGCCCGCACGCCACTTCCAAAACCACGACCCCGAAGCTATAAACGTCGCTCGCCGCCGTCGGGGAAGCTAACGTCACGACCTCCGGCGCCAAATACCCTAACGTCCCGACCACCCGAGTCGTGTTCGGAACCTCACCGTGCGTGTAGAGCTTCGCGAGCCCGAAATCGCCCAACCGACCGCGCATTTCGCCATCCAACAATACGTTGCTCGACTTAATGTCGCGATGCACGACGACTTGCTCCCATCCGTGATGTAGATAATTCAACCCCTCAGCGACGTCCGCGAGAACTCGCTTCCGACCCTCCCAATCCATAACCTTCCGCGGCTTGTCGAAGATCCACCGGTTAAGGCTCCCGTTCGGCATGTAGTCGTAGACGAGCATTAGCTCGTTGCCGCGCCTACACCATCCTCGCATTTGCACCAAATTCTTGTGTTGTAGCCGCCCCATGCTCGATATCTCGGCCATGAACTCGCGCAACCCTTGCTTCGAGTCGTGGTTTACACACTTCACGGCGATCTCGACGTTATTCGCCAATGTACCTAGAAAAAATGAACAAACTCAAGTCCTATATCGAAAAAGATACGATATAATCCCAGCTACGTTTTTTTCTTCATTTATGTCGGAGATGCAGAATGACCGTCTCATCTAAAAACTTCCGTTGTTAAAAAAACGAATCATTAATTTATTTATCCACATACGGGAGTCCACAACACGCCCCTCGGGTGCAAGTGAAAAGTAGGCGCGAAACTTGCACGTGCATATGAGAGAAATAGAGACGGTGAACTCGAACTCGTCTACGGCTCTCTGATACCATATTAAAATATTAAATTTACTAAAACCAAAAATTGCATTATTTGATCATCATAAAACAAAATTGATAAACTGCAATCTAAGAACGAGTTGTTAATTTATATATCCGCCAACCGAAGTCTTCAACAATCTAAAAGCAAATTTGTGAGCCTATTATGGTACTAGTGTAGAGTTAGACCAGTTTACGACAATACCTTTGTAAACTTTCCCGAATCCGCCGGAGCCGAGGAGCTCGTCGTTCGAAAAGCCTTTTGTCGCCGAACTAAGCTCGTCGTAAGAATATCGATGCGGCCAATACTCCATCTCCCATTCCTCGATCTCGTCGTCTTCTTCCTTCTTCCTTTTTCTTAACCAAAACCATAGCGCCAATCCGCCGGCAATGCAAATGACGACGACGCAACCGACGACAATGCCGGCGATTACGCCGGTGGAGATGACGGAACCGGAGGATCGGAGCTCGAAAACCGGGAGGTCCGTGGTGTTGAGATCCTTAGCAGTTCCTTCATTGCTGAAGCTCCAAGCTAAAATCCTCTGTGCTTCAATCCACTGTGTTTTTGAAGCTGAGAATCCGACGAACATTTCCGGTGCAAAATAGTTAGCAATTTGGGGGTTTCTGTAGATCAGCAATGGCCGGGCCGGCCGCCGGACTCCGGCGGGGGCCACCGTGACGTTGATCTCGTTTCCGGGGCCGTTGAAGTCGATCCAGGCGTGGATGTTCTGTCCAGTTCGCATTTCGACAGGGACGAAGCTGGAATTGGATTCGCCGGCGTAATATCCGGCGGGCTCTGTGGCGGCGGAGAGAATGGTGTTGAGATCAATTCCGATGTGGTTGCTGTCGGGATCGTTGAACTCGGTGTTCCGGCCGGTGTCGAATTCGACGGCGACCAGCGGCGCGACGGACGGCGGCGCCGAGTAGAAGAGGCCGAAGTATTGTCCGGCGAGGGCGTCGGGCGGCGAGGTGGTGTTGGAGAGGACGAAGGCGAGGCCGAAGCCGGGGCTGGTGGAGATCTCCGGCAGGACGGAGAAAATGAACTGAGTGGAAAACGACGTCGTCACGGCGGCGGAATTCGCCGGCGATTTGAAAGGGATTGGGAGCGGGTAGAAGGCGCGGCCGAGGGAGAACTGGTTGGAGTCGTTGGTGAGGCGAATCACCGGCGGCTCGAGACGGGCGTCGTCGGTGAGGGTTAGATTCGACGCGCCGCCGCGCGCGGCGGCGGGGAAGGAGTTGAAGGCGAAGTTGAGAGATTGAACCGTAGCGTGTAATTGTAGGAACAGTAGGAAAATCACCGGAGAGAACATCATCTTGCCCATTGATTGATTAATTCACAATTAGGGTTTGGAACAGATTGGTGATTTGGGGATTAGAAATTGAGATGAAGAAAGTGCATCTTGAATTGAAAATTGGATAGTTTGATCAGAAAAGATTGGATTTTTAGATTGGGATCTGTCTGAAAATTAGACAAATTGATTTTGATAGGTAATTGTAAAAGGTCAGCCACTAGAATTGAACAAGTTGAGGACTGGTTCAAGGTTGTAATAATCTGCACTTGAGCCATTAATGAGGGTGGTTGAATTATTATTATTATTATTATTTTATTATTTTTCAATGAGGGTTGAATTATGACATCTAAAAACTGCTGTATTCCCATTTTGTTTTCTTCCAAAGGTATTTCCGGTCATTCTAGCTTTTACATGTTCCCTTTGTGGTATAAATATGCTATTTTAACAATCATTTGATCATATTTTCTATTTTGTTCAGTTTTATTTATTTTTTTTAAATATACTTATATATTTTAATTATATTTTTAAATTATATTTTTTTTAATGATAAATTAAATTATTTAATTATTTTAATTTTAATTTATAATTATTTTTATTAATACATTTTTTAACAATATACTAATTATATTTGACTTCAATTCTCGTGCATATGAGACCATGAGAGTATTAATTATTCTTTTAAAACAATAATTAAACAAAAGAATATACACTTCTTTTGTGTCTGTTTTTATCGTAGATACAATAATTTATAAATGTTTAAATTAGTAAATAATTAATAATATATTAGTAAAAATAATTATAATATAATAAAAATAATTAATTATTATAATTAAAATTTAAAACAAAATTAATATGTAATTTTTTTTTTAAAAAAAATAAAATAAATAATATGTGAGACGGATAAATAGTAATTACGCGGAGAGAGTAGAAAATAAAAAGAAAACAAAAGAAAAATATAAATTCATAATAAGGCAGGTCTAGGTGTGGGCCCCAGGGGTGTAACGTAAATTACACGTGGCGGTCAAGTAGGGGTGCAGCTAATACCCGGCGTTGATTGTCAATATTGCCACTAATCACTTTGCTATTGGACCTTCGGCTTCTTGTCCATTTGCAGTTTGCTGTTTGTTTACCCTTTTTTAGAAAAGCAAAAAATCACATTTTATTATTATTTAATTAAATATGAAAAATAAAATTATATAGCAATAATATTATTTATTATAAATAAAATAAATATAAATTTAACTAATAAAAAATAATAATAATAATAATAAAAATAATATAAATCATCATATCTAGTCTTAATACAAAAAAATCTCAACATTCTAAATATTGAATTTATTAACTAAAATTAGAAACAAACACGTCCTTTGATTTTGTTTCATCAAGTGGCGTATTATTTATTTTCTTATTGAATAATTCCCGCCTAATAAAAAGCGAATATCCGAATAATCGTTTAGCCAAACATGTCCGCGTTGAATATTGAGGGGTAAAATTGGAAAGTAGAAATAAAAAATAAAATAAATTTGGAAGGTAAAAAGTTTCTATAAATAGGGCTCTTGTGCTGTTCCTTCAGTTTCTTGAAGCTGCCAACGAAATTTCCAGCGTCTTCTCCTCATTGACGGTTTTTCAGTTTTTTTTTTGTTTACTTTCCTAAGAAGATTTTTGCTCAAGAATGACTCGGAATTTGAATTCAACTCCGGATTCTACGGAAAACGTCAAGTTTCTCTACAGTTACGGCGGTAGAATCGATATCCGCCACTCCGACGGCAAGCTGCGGTACGTCGGCGGTTACACGCGTGTTCTTTCTGTCGATCCTTCCGTTTCGTATGCAGGTAATGTTGTGATGAGATGTGGAGGTTTAATTTTGTTTTCGTTTTTTTTTTGTTTTTGGAAACCTGAAGTTTGTTTTCGGTTTGGTACAGAGCTGATGGTGAAATTTGGGGAATCGTGTGGATTTTCTGTGAATTTGAAGTGTAAATTGCCGAGCGAAGATCTGGATGTACTGATATCAGTTAAATCTGATGAAGATCTTCGTAGTGTGATCGGAGAGTACCGAAGAGCTTCGCCGGAAGCGAAGATCAGAGCGGTACTTTTTCCGATCAAATCGGAGAAGAAAGTGTCTCCTCCGTCTTCTCCAATGTCGTGTTTCGATTTTCCTTCCGCTCCAAAGCCTCGCCGCTCGAAAACTCCCCCCGCCGTATTCTATTGCTCAAATCCTTCCTGTGCTGCCGCGCACCGTTCATCTGCGGCGGCTATCGCCGCCGGAAGATGCCGTTGCTGTCAGGCCAGAAGTATGAGTCACTTTTACCTTGTTCCACGCCGAATTCACTCTCATTAACACCCAAAAACGAAAAATAAATTTACATATACCTATATATATATATACACACACACACATAGAGCTTGTTTAGATTAGATCTCCAAATACCTTAAGGATGTTGATAATCATGAGAACCTACTTCGTTTATTCGTCTCGGATTGTATATTTGTTCCTCTTCCAGATTTCTTTGTTAAGTTTGGACTCATCTTCTTCCCTGGCCTGATACTTTTTCCATATATTCTTCTTCGCTGTACGTAAACTGTAAATCGTTCATGAATTAGGGTTCCGTCACCCGCCGTTACCGGATTTGACGGATTCCAGTTATTTTAATGGACGCCGTCAATAATTGTCCGGTAGGCGTTATTATGAGCGCTGCCTCGTTTAAATGACTCTTCTACTTTCTGAATATTCCTCTCCTCGAAACGCTGTCGTTTCGTGGCGGTCACGTGTCGTTCGTTGCTAAGCTCTTTTTTCTGTTTAACTCGTACGTAGGGACACGTGTCGTTGAGATGACGAAGGCTGTATCAGATCCCCAACTATGGGGTGGTTCTGGCTTCTATAAATTCGTTTATTTTTGTCGTTTCTGTATAAATTTTTATCATTAAATTTTTATTATTTAAATTACAGTTAAAATTCAAAATTAATGTTTATTTATTTTTAGTCTTGCTTTGATATTTTAAAATAACTAATGTTTGTCTGTTCAAAGTTTGGATGATGCGGCAGGTTTGAATTTGTGATCACGAAGTAATGAGTTCAAATCTCTTCACATATAGTTCGTTTAGTGTGATTTTTTTGTTGGTCTGGTTTGCAGAATATTATGTTTGATCGAGGGTTTTTCCAGTGCACCATCTCGGATTTACCTACGTCATTTAAAAAAAAAATTTGGATTTTAGGTTTGAATACTTAAATATTAAAATTAGAAATTTAAAATACGGATAATAAACCTTTTATCTTTATTTTACTTGTCAGTATTTGCAGAATGACGCTTATTTTTTAAAATATTATTTAAATGGTTGTTTGTTCTTATTATTCCAATTTAGGGAATTTGATGTTATATGCTTTTACATGTAGTCAGAAAGGGCTGCTGGTTTCATTCCTCTACAAACACCATAAATACAGACCCTATAGCTATAACAGACATTATTGATTGATTAAATTATGTGTATATATTTACTGAATTGTTGGAGAGAATAAAGCTAAAGCAAAAGCAAATAATTAGTGGGAAAGGAAGGAATTGATACTAAACAATTTTAATAATAATGATTCGAATCAAATTGGGCAGGAGAAAATGTATGTACATAACCAAAGAGAACAAGTACTTCACCTATTATACATTACCATCTTTTCAAGGGCCTTATTTATTTTTAGCGTATACGGAGGGAGGGAGTGTTATTTACTTTGATACTAGTATTTTATTTAAGAAAAGATTATTATGGTGGTAGGAAGTAGGCAAGTTGGAGTTGGACCTGAAAGGGCAAAGGAACAAATGGATGGTCGTTTATTCGAAATATAATAATGCATTTTCTTTATTTTCGTGTTCCAAACTGGCAAAAGGGCTATTTACATTTTATTTTCTTTCTTTCATCTCTCTCTCTCGTCTTTAATATTAGTTATAGTTAGAGATTGTGGCAGGTCGTGAATTGATTATTACCACTTATATTATAGATTAATAATGCAAAGGGAATAAAGTTTGAAAGAATTCGAGTTTTGGTACTTGGTTATAAAATACTCCATCCAATGATATAACGTCTATTCTAAATTGGAAATATATTTATAATGTTAGTGGATAGTATAATTATTAAAAAAAAAAATGAATACATGAATAGATTGTTAAGGTACAAAATAACTACACAATTCATTTACTCCCGGTGCAGAATTATCGTTTACTTTTTGCACATAAATTTTTACGTATTAGTATTATAATGACTTGTAATGAAAAAGATAAAAGTACCCATATTAGTATTGTATAATATAAAAGTAATGATATTTGTGTAATATAATATAAGTTAAAAAAATATTTATTACGTTAGACAGACAAAAATAAAAAATAACCACCTTTCAATGAAACGGAGGGAAAACTTATTTTTGAATAGCTACACAAGATTAGACACATTAGCAAAGAGAAATTAGTAGTGTTCTTTTGATATTTAGTTTAATTTTTTAATTTTACCCAAAAAAAAAAAAAAACGAGAAAAAATTTGATAAGTAAAAACACATTTGGAGTTTCGATTTCTTCACTTCTAACCTTAGAAGATTTTGAGAGTAGATCGATATGAAAGGATGAAATCTTGATTTGAGTGAATAATTTTAGAGAAAGAAGAGATTCAACATTCAGTAGCATATGGGATGCAAATTAACCGGTTTCTTGCTCGAATTCATCGCCATCGGATTCTTCTGCATTGTCAACATCGTCATCATCTGCATCATTGTCGAAATCTTCCTTATCATTGTCCACCGTGGTTCCCCCAAAAACTATAGCATTTTTATTCGCTTTACTGATTTCGTTGAGCTGAAAACATTACAAGATTTAAAGGTTGATCGTGAGAACAACCATGCTAAGTTATTGAAGTCGATTCAATGGGACATATCCTTCTATCACGATTCAAAATTTTCTAATGTACATAGCTCATGTTCAAATCTTTGCTATCGAAGAATGATATGATTTCGTTATAGCTACAAGAATAAAAGAAACTGAGCGACAAAAAAAAATTAATATTCAATCAACTCATAACAAGTTAATAATTCAATTCAAATTATTATTTTTTATATCACGGCTTTTCCATACCTAACATAAAAAAGAACAGATATATCATTAAACACAAAGTGAGCACACTCAAAAATGTAATTCAAGAATGATACTTTACGAAACATTAAATGAATCAAATTTCGATCCATAGGATGGTTTAACTTCCTCTAATTCGATACTAACAAATAATAAGAGCAAAATGATGTTAAAAACACCAAAGCCACCTTCTTAAAAGTGAAGTATTATGCGTATTTCGACTAACTTTGATTCTTTTGGATCTAATAGAGACCATTTAATGCACTGAACGCCATCTCATTCGAATGTAGGAATCAGAATCAGAATTATAATATGCCCTATACTCGAATTACTCGGACATTCGGGAATTTTGGTTATTACCCAATAATATCAAAAGATAAGCTCTTGTATCTATTCAACACCATACAATCTATATAAAGATATACATATACCTATAATACAAAATATCATACCAAATATTTATTTTCCGTTTAAAATATAACATAAAAACTTATATTAATCCATAACATTGCATCCTATTCCCATTTTTTCAAAATTTCTTTTTCATATTAAAAGTCCGAAAACAATAACAAGCACACGGCAAGGGTTTGTTCTTTTTCTTTCTCGCAAAATATTTAACAAATAATAAAAATCACTTCACCCGAACAATAGGATTGAATTTGGAGATTAAATTTTTTTATTATAGAATTCAAATAATGAAATATTGAATATAAACTGAATAGAAACACAAAAATGCACAATTCTACAACATACTTCCACAATAATCAATAACTAACAACAAAAAGTTCCACAATAATCAAACGTACTAAAAGAGCACAACCCAAAATTCTTCACTATCACACTACAACCAATAAAGGTTTTTTCTTTTCTGCAAAATCATCTAATACAAAGCCTATTTTTCATTCAAATCTAACACAGTTTTTTATTAAAAAACAGTTCAAATTCGAAACAATCCAAAATTATCCAAATTAAAGTAAACACACCAATTTTTTTGATTCCAGTACAAGAACTCAATAGAGAATCATTCGAATTCCATATTTATCCACATCTCGACAAAAGTTAACAAGGATCTCCTCATCAATTCATACATTTTTGCACACATATTCAGCTTCCAGTCAACAAGAACCGAACAAAACATTCATAAATCAATGTGCGTGTGTGGTTCTAAATCGAATGTGATTACTAGTATCTGCGAGTGAAGTATGAACACTAACCTACCCCAATTTTCGAACAAGATTAACTCAATTCGTACCAAATTAAAAAGCTCCAAAATTTAGGCATCAAACAAAATTCACTCAATTTAATATAAGTCAGCATCGAATTTCAAACACTCGAACTCGAATTTCGAAAAACAATTTGGGTACAAAATACCTTTTCTACATATTCGGACTCCTCCATGGCGAGTAGGAGCTCGTCGTTTTGCGACTGAGGCCACTGCGCCGGTAGCAAATACGACGTCGGAATGATCCGAGTCGACCATGGATACTGAACCATGAACGCCGGGTACTGAAGCATTTTCCCGATCTGTCGACGATTTGAAACTGAAACTGAAAATTGCAATTGGGCGACGATTTCTACGGTGTTCTTAATATAGGCCTTATTTCGGGCCGGCCCAATGGGCTAAAATAGTGTCGGGCCTTAGTTGTTTCTTACATTTTTTTTTTTTTTTTTGAAAAAATATCCTTTTAGTGGTTATAGTTATTACTTTTGATTTTTGGTTTAAAATGGACATTACATTCTATACTTCTTCGGCGTTAATATTTAATTATATTGGATACAAATTTTAATAAAAATAGATAACAATAATTACTATTTTTTATGGTAAAAGAAATATAAAAATAATATTGCTTCCTTCTCAGTCATATTTAAATAAAAAAATTATAAATATATTTTTTTATTACATTGTTTAATTTTCAAATTATTTTATTTAATACAATCTATTTAAATTCCAATATGGAAAACCCAATGTTGCGTAGTATATGAGGAGGGGAGTACCATTTATGACTTTGAAAAATATTTTGATAGTAATATATAATTAATTTTATTAAAATAAAAAATAATATTTTTAAATTAAAAAATGTAAAAAAAATATTTTTAGTAAAATACTTAATATAAATACGTTATTGCCATATTTATTATATCAATTAACAAAAAAAATCAAATTAAACTAGTATATTATACCCCGATACAAATAGGGCACATATATTGCTACCTTAATACCAATATTTAAATATGGAAACAAAAATAAAACAATAATAAAAAATAAATTTTTATCAATTTGTTATGTCTTAATTCTTATGTCATTGTTCTTCTTTCTTCGAACCAGAAATTTCGAACCAGAAATTTTGAGTGAATCTTACGTTTAGCACCATTCATAGCATGAAAGAGATGAACAAATTTAAACCCCCATTCGACACCAAATCCTTATGTGTTTTCTTGATTTTTTCTTCCATATATATATATATTTTTCATTATTCATTATGAAAATTAACATATTCGCATCGATTTTTGTATTATTGTTTTTTTATTTCACTGTTGACTATTTTTGCCGTACCGGAGATCATCATGACATGGATCACGATAATCGTTCTCCTAGCATTTTTTGGAAAACCACGTCGAGAAGAATATAGAAAGATTGCGATGGATGCCGGGAACTGCTTTTGGCAAATTATGATTAACGACAAGACCGGGATTGTTGGGTTTTCTTGTGTCGCAATTGTTGGTGTATTTGTAATGCTTCAAGGATCATGAATGTGTTTGGATATGTTTTGGAGTTTTGGATTATTTTGGAATAGTAAAAAATTAGGGTTTGTTTGGTTTTTGATATGTAATCGAGTTTTTAACTTGAGTTTTGATTTAATTAATATTTTAATATAGTATTTTGTGAAATAAAATAATATGTTTTTAATGAAACAATATATATTGAATAATAGTAATTTGTATATGAAGTAGAAGCCAAGCATACCATATATGATTCAATCTAACCATATATTAGATGTGATGTTTTGTGTGTTTAGATATACTCTCTCCGTCCACTTACAATGTTTACATTTGCTTTTGGCGCGGTGTTTAAGAAATAATAGTATTTTAATTATAGTGAGTAGTTAAAAGTAGTGTAATGATATTTTTGCTAATGATGTGATGTAAAGTAAGGATATTTGTGGAAAAAAATAGGGTATTTAATGAAATGTTAACTTTGTAATTGGACGTCCCAAGATAAAAATATGTAAACATTGTAAATTAACGGAGGGAGTATATTATAAGTATTTTAGGGTATGTTTATTTGGGTTTGATTGGAAATATTTGACTTGAATTTGGTATTTAGATAATATATGATATACTAGTTTTATATGTAATATATATAATATTTTCGTTGTTGTAACGGATTAGAATTAGTGATCGAATACAAATAGAACGTAAAATAGATACAAATTTATGTGATTCACTAATAACGTATTGGCTACGTCCACATAAAAAAAACAGACTGCCTTACACGCTACAAATTTTCTAAATCTATTTTAAAAAATTAAGAAAATACATCATTAGGCATCTCAATAACAACTCAAAAGTCCAATATTGCATATCGTTGGTCCGGGGGCTACTCTGGACCTAGGCAAGGGGACTTCGCCTCCCTTGACCCTTCAACTCGTTGACTGGTCAGTAAGACTGCCGTAAAAATTCAGTGAAATGATAAACTAGATTAAAAGCATATCAATATTTCGAAATATAACTATCCAACATTAGTAGTGATTTGGGTGCTGATTAGCGTATAAATATATTTGTTGTCTTGATATACTATACAATATGAAATTGTATTATGTGATGTCAGAATATATACAATACGAATGCTTATTTGACCCGATCAACACTTTAACGGCTTCGATACAATGTTACATTCTTGGCGATCGAATATTACCAAAAATCTCTACACGAGCAATATCCGTCCGAAAAATGGTGGAATCGATTCTTATCCCTAACGACGATTTCCCGACTAAAAACCTTCGAAACCATCTTCGCAGCGTTGTGACAATCGTTACATATTCTAAGGCTTTTAGTCACCCTTATTACATCCCCCGGGGCTGTCCGAATGAGCCCGTAAGCGATTGCTAGCTTCTCGCCGTGATGCGCAATCGAGGCTTCTCGATCATCGTCATCCTCGGCTTCTAACCTCGCTTGCGACGTGTCGGGTACATATCCCGCCAATTTAATCTTCCCCATCATGTCTTCGAGTGCATTGTATACGTCGATGTATTCGGGGTGTCGTTTATCCTCGGCTAAAAATCGATGGACCGTACCGTCGATTTCGATGTAGCTGCACCCGGGTCTGTTCTTGATCGCCCCGAGCCTTTTCGCCTCGTTTCTTAGGCTCACGGCATCGTTCGATCGACCCACCGAGGCGTATAGATTTGAAAGTAGTATGTAATCCCCGCCGTGCGGTGGCTCGATTTCGACGACGCGGTTGAATGCTTCTTCCCCGATTTCGACGTTTTTGTGCGATCTGCACGCTGCGAGCAACGTTCGCCATACGATCGCGCTTGGCTCAATTGGCATGCTTTTTATAAACTCGTACGCTTCGTTTATCGATCCCGCTCGACCGAGCATATCCACCACGCAACCGTAATGCTCGATCCTCGGCGCGATTCCGAAATCTCGACTCATACTATCGAAATACCGCTTTCCTTTGTCGATCAATCCCGCGTGATTGCAAGCGCCAAGAACGGCGATGAACGTTACGTCGTTCGGCAACACGTTTTCCCGCCGCATCGATTCGAAATGCTCGAGCGCGGCTTTGCCTCTCCCGTTGCTCGCTAGGCCTTGGATCAACGCCGTCCACGCACTGACATTCTTCACCGGCATTTGGTCGAAAACTTCGAGCGCTCCGTCGACGAACCCGCATTTCGCGTAGAAATCAATTAGCGCTGTCCCGAGATTTACCGTAAGCATCGTTTTCGTCCTCCTTATGTAAGAATGAATTGATTTTCCCGTCGAGAGTGCTCCAAGAACCGCGCAAACCGATGCCACACTTACCAACGTGACTTCGTCGGGTTTTACATTCGCATTCCTCATGTCGCGGAACAAATCCAACGCCTCACCGCACCGATTCGATCGATTGTAAGCGGCAATCATGGCGCTCCACGCAACGACGTCCCGATTCGACATTTTATCGAACAAATTCCGAGCAATGTCGACGCGGCCACACCTCGAATACATATCGACGAGAGAAGTAGCCAAATTATGATTCCTAAAAAGCCCTTTTCGAAGAACATAGCCACAAATCCAATCCCCCAATTCCAAATCACCAATCCTTCCACAAGCTGTCGAAACATTAATCAACGTTACTTGATCGAATCTGTCTCCAATTTCAAGCATTGTTCGAAACAATCTCACGACCTCATCCCAATGTCCGTTTCTAACATACCCTGAGAACATGTTGTTCCACGCAACTGAACTTCTTTCAGGCATTTCGTCGAACACTTTCCGCGCCATTTCCACTTGCCCACAGCAAGCGTACATATAAACCAAACCATTCTCGACAAATTCTCTACACGCAAAATAATCGACACGTTTCACAAAAAGAGCATGAATCTGCGCACCTTCTCTTACAGCTCCAATTTTCGAACAAGCTTTGAGGATTCCCGAAATTGTGAATTCGTCAGGGCAGAGATGTTCGATCATTTGTCTGAACAGAAGAAGGGATTTTTTGGGGGATTGGCTGTGCGTAAAGGCTCTTATCATTACGTTGTAGGCTGATGCTTGAGGGATTTCGAGATTTGTGAAAATTGAGACCGCGTAATTAATGTCGGGGTTGCGGAGGAGGAGGGCCGCCGCCTCCAGGAGTGGCTCCGCCACCGCGGGGTGGTGGTGGCGGCGAGTTTTGATGAGGTGGGCGTGGACTTGCTTGAGGTCACGAGATGTCTTGCAGTGTTGAATGATGAATTTCTTTGGATTTTCCGGGACGACGACGGTGATGGGATTGGGAGCTTTTGGTAATGTTGACAGCGTGAACGCCATTGTTAGAGAGTTAAAGCTTTTTTACAGTTAAAGAAAGTTGTGTAGCTTCTATACGCGTTGTTGGGTAGGACAGTAGAGTGTCGTTACTATCATTGTCACTTGGAATGTTCGAAATATTCGATCGTCTTATCATCATCGTGATCAATCTGCTAGTCAAATTATGATTCCGGTAGTGACACTGTAGACAATGTCAGAGTCGAATGAATGTCAAATAAATTAAGCTCTCAATAAGATATGCAATAAGATCACATGTTTTTTTTGTAATTCATCATGTATTATTCAATAAGATCCTGCATTTTAAAATTTGAACAAGTATAAACATTCTATTTATCGACATATATATTGTAATTATATTTAATTTTCATATAAGATAAATATTGAATATAATATTTTATATAATAAATGTTTACATTAAAAATTTTAAAAATAGTTTAGAGATAACTTTAAGTAATTTAGGTTTTATTTACATATATTCTTCTAAAAATTTGATATTATTCATAAAATTTAAAAAACTTCTATATCTATAGTTTATATCAACAAATAATTATTACCCGCAACGAGTAATCTAAAGGTATGCGAGAATAAACTTTAAGTTAATAATCGTGAGATTATAAATTAAATATTCTTCGATATCTTGTCAGCCGAGAGTTCACCTAACAAGCACTTAAAGAATAGCGACGGCGGATTTTATTATGTCAATAGTCGCCACATGTAAGAATATTGAGCATAGGATTTGAAAAACATAGTACATTACCACAAAAATTTGAGAGGCTATCTTATGTTACACACTTTTTTCTTTTCATTAAAGTTTGATTATTCCTTGGATATGTCTTTCATATTATTTACAATTTTTTTTTCCTTCAAAATTATCAAATCAAATATACATTTATTCTAATTAAATATTGCCAAAAAAAAACTAATTTAATTTTTATTTAAAACATCAAATTAAATACATATTTATATTATATCAAATTTCCTTTTAATTCAATTTTTTTTTTATCATGCTCAAACCCCAAATCTAAATCCAAATCGTCACCAAAAATTCCTAACACCTTTCTTCCACTGTACCCAAAACTGACTAAAAGGAAGCATCGGATTCATGATCGATCACAGCCATATCCCTTAATGGGAATATCTTTTCCTTAGTATCGCCTATAAATCCCACGCCAATTCTTACAACCTCGGCACCACGTAAGAACTAAGCTAATAGACAGGTGGCATAACCATGCCAAGAAACGACTACTACAACTATGCCGGGGGCAGGGACCCCCACAAGTCCTCCATCGACGAGTACCTCGAGCGTGTGACCCGGCTGCAGCACATGCCGAGCGTCGCACCCGAAGTCCCGACGCGCGGCGATTATGATGATCATCATCATCAACAACAATTCGAGCATTATCGTAACCACCCCGCCGCCCCCGAGACGCACAAGAAAGTTCACATCGTCGAGCACGAGAAGGTTGTGGAGATTGGCCGGGGCGGGAAGTACGAGGTTTATCATGAGGATGAGAAGACCATTGATGTCGAGGCGGATGGGTTCATCGACAAGAAGCACAAGAATTTCGAGCTGTCCAAATGGGACACCATGCGGGCGTACTAGGTTGTCGGGATGTGTGGCGCGAGCCTAATTTGATAAGTTTGGCCTAGAAATAACATGGTTGCCGCATTCTATTTGGTTTGTTTTCGGAAGTAATGATATGTATTGTTTGCGATGAATAATTATGTGACAGGGTTTCACTCCGTCGTGTAATATAGTTATTTGATGTGATGTAAGAAGCAAACTTATATGAATTTTAGTATCCTTGGATTTCTCTATTTCTTGTTTTTGTCCCAAAGATACGGGTGTGTTTCTTTTGGTTGAGTTTGATAAAATTTGGTTTGGATTTGGTATTAAAATAATGTTTCATAAGATATTTTGTGAGAAGAAAAAATATATATTTTTTCGATAAACGCATAGTCCAAATAGTAAAATTTGGAAAAATTGGAGTAAAAAAACAAAACCGTAAAAACTTCTCATTTTGGTATTCATGGTTGAAGTGGCAAAATTTAGAAGTTATGATGTGTTGGGAATTCCCGTTAGCGAGTATATGATTATTAATGACTGCGTTTTTCTAACCGTTAGAGCTTTTAGGTGAGGGGGTAATTTAACATCCGACATGTTGTATATCTTGTGTTGTTATTTTCTAGTTATTTTTGTGATCATTTCCATTAGAATATTGATTGAGGATTTATAATTAGCATCATGCTAATTGCTTTAGTCTGACATATAAAAATATAATAGATATCACATATGTTGTATAAAATATTACTACGTGATGTTAATTTTATTTTATATGTGTTGTAGATTTATATGTAATGTGATATTTGATATATATTTTTTATAATCAATACCGTAACCACCATCCTTTGCGATTTTTACATAAGTGAATAGCTTCTTCTTTATAGTTGTGAATATATTTGAATATATGCCGAAGATATTTTACAATTTTGAATTGATTTGAAAATAATAAAAAAATCGAATATAAAATTGATAATGAATGTAATAGAAATAAGTGTTAGAATGTAATATTTTTTGAATGAAAAAATTCTTTTTATTTAATATATTAAACAACAAATTATTTTCACTTAAAATATTTTTCAGCTATTTATCAAAGAGTGATCCGGTCAAAAATCAGATGAGTTCTCCGTATATTTTGAATATGATATACAAATTTATTTAAGTAAATAGAAGCGTTTTTAGAAGCATGAGATTCTCACAGCCATATTACTTTTCATTATAGCATACGATCCCAATTATCACATGCTGAATCGTATATAATATTTAATACTATCGAATAATATAATTCAAAAGATATATATATATATATATTTAATACCATGTTACATTCTTTCTTTCGACACTTGCCGTCTAAGAAAAAAGACAGGATATTCGTCGTGCCTAGTTTGCAGGGTATTAGGTTCGGCCGGAAGTTTACCTAAGGTGTGTTTGTTTGGGGGTTTGGATTTTGAATTGGGATTTGAATAGTAAAAATTTTGAATTTGAATAGTTGTATGATGTGATATAAATAGGTGTTGATGTGTTGTTTTGAATGTAAAATTGATTTTTTAGTATAATATAAAAAATGAAAAATAGGCGTTTGATTTGATGTTTTTGGAGGAAAAAAATTGGATGAATAGGAAGATTTTGCACAAATCTTACAAACGAACACACCCCTAATGTGCACTTTCGGGTAGCGGCTGCGAGTTCCTATGTCAGAAAAATAATTAAAAAAAAAGACACGGTACCTTGTTCTCGACCAATCTACAAGCACGGAGACAACATACAATGCCGTTGCGATGAAAAATGCAATTGTAGTTTTCAACATCATCTGTAATTTGCAGGCTATTGCGCTCAGCTGAACATTTACCTAGTGGGCACTATAAGAGTAACTATTGCAGATTTTTACGTCATAAAGAAAAAAAATAAATGATTCTTACTTAGACTACGTACTTCGATTATTAGCAAATGTTGTCTTATGTAAGAATTGTTTACAACTATGAAGAGTCTTCTTCATAAATCTCTAGTCTCTTCTTCGCTAAATCGGCGCGAAGACATCCGGTCGAACAAACTCCTCAAACTATTCCTACTCTCCTTACGCCTCTTGACCCCGTGTCTCGGGGCCGGCGACGGGTTCTCGGTGTCGGCGTCGAGCACGAGCCCTTCCTCGAGCCTTTTGGACACGGCGACGATTTCGTACGAGTCCCAAAGCGATTGCCTAAAATCCCAACTCGTACTAAACCGGTGGTTCTTCGTGGCCATGCTCATGGCCTCGAGGCGGAACCGAGTCGGCTTCCCGCCCTTAAAGTATCGGCGGTGGGCGTCGAACTCCGAGGGCGCATCGGAGGCCTTCGAGCTCGAGGAATGGCCGTGCCATGCTTGGGCTACGGCCTTGAGGATTTCGATGTGTTCTTGATCTTGTTCTTGCTGTTGTTGTTTCTTCATGATTTTTTTAATTTGATGGATTTAATTAAATTAGGGTTTTTGGTATGGGCCATGGAGGGATGGAGTGATGAAGAAGATGAGGTTGTAATAAGTTTGGATGGACTTATATTATCTTGTTTGGAGTTATGTGTTTGGTGTCACAATCGGACATGAGTGGCTGATGGGAGATCACAACTTTCTATGCTTCTATCCCATATATATATATATATATATATATATCTTTGTTTGACAGTTTGAATTTTGAATTGAGATTTGAATAATAAAAATTTTGAATTTGAATAATCGTACGTGTGATGCAATATAAATATGGGTTGATATAATATTTTGAATATAAAATTAATTTTTTGTATATTTTAAAAAATAAAAAATAAATATTTGATTTTATATTTTTGGGATATTTTTTTTTAGTAAATAGTTAAAATCGTTGGAAATCTTCTAAACAAACCAACCAAATTAATTACTCCCTTCATTTCGATCCAAAGAAGCCCTTTGATTTTTTATATATATATAAATTAATTATATGTGTTATGATAGATTTGTAATTTATATAAAAATTAAAAAATATTTTAGTATTCGTTTGTGATTATTTTTATTATAATAATAATAAAAAAATATTTTTGAATAAGACGAATGAACATAGCAAAAAATGTAGTTTGCATTGGGACATATGGAATAGTTACTCAGATAATTAAGTAGAAATATAGCCATTTTATCTATGTTTATTATTAGTCACAAATATATTTATTTTAATTACAATAATACAATTTATTTTTTGTTTTTAAAATAATATTGTGTAAACTAAATTCTACAAAACAAATTATATTAAATAAACTATGTATAACAAACAAGACTCAGAGGGTCGTGGTCACGAGTTCACAATCAGACTGACTTCTAAATAATATTTTTTCCATTTATAAAGTATATACTCGTTTGAGTTGAATACAAATATTAATAAATATAATATTATGTTGATTTATTAGGATTTATGATATAAATAAAGACTATTTTAAGAAGTATATGAATGCGTTAATGTGAATTTTTTTTTTTTTTTACTCTTTTACTACTTAACAATAATTTATAATACCATACCCAATAAAAAATACGGACAAAATGATTATATCATCGAAAAAACCATATTAAAAGTTGACCAAACAACAAAATAAATCGGAGATAATATAAATTTAGTTAGACAAAATATCAAAAAACTTATTTGCACAATGTTTGAACAATTACAAGGGTTTTAAAGTATGAGATAGATCTTATAAATGTAGAAACAAATCAAATCATTCTCTATTCCACATCATACAATCACAAAATTTGGTAAGTCACAAATGAGATAAACAAGAATTTCTAACAAAATTAACTTTGAAAACCGAAAAAAAAAAAAAAAAAGAAAGAAAGATAGGGAACTCTAAAATCTTTAATAGTTGTTTGCGAATGTACGAAAAGCATTCGTGCAAAACACAAAAGTCGTTCCATGTTAAGGAATACACTTTCTACGAAATACCAAGAACGATCATCGATCAACTCATATCCTCAAAACAAAGCTATGTCGCGACAATTTCGACAACAAAAACTAATGAGAATCGTAAATATACATATATATATATATATTTCCAAATTCAAACAATAGAAAATTTAAAAGTGAATTGAAGCACAAAATTAAGTTATCCAAGTGGGAAAAAAGATAAATTGACATGAGAGAAAAGCTGCTACAGGAAAACAATTTTAATTACTTCATTGGCGATTGGTCCCTTCACTTTACATACAAAAGGCGTGCTTTCCCCTCATGCGCTTTTGCTTTTAATTTCACGCTTTTTCAATCTTCATTTGGCAAGATTTGAATTCAATTCAACTATATATATCAAACTTACTGTGTTATGGTGGTCCATAATCTACACCTATTTAATATAATGTGACTTGTTTTCTCGACTTTAATTTGCAAATTATTAGGTTCGTTCGGAATTTATCCAAAAAATACTTGAAAAGTAGCAATTGCGGATTTTTACGTCATAAAAAAAATACATGTTAAAATATATACCTTGTATTCAATCTTTTCCTGTTCATGAGGCAATTTATACTTTTGAGTGAGAAAAACGAATATATAAAAAAATTACTTTTAGTTGGTAAGATGAAATATTTATTTATTTATTTCCAAATACCACATATCTATACATATGCATGCAATATTATATGTAAAAATGTATATGGATGGATATAAGTTAATGTATGTGTTGCTTAACTTCAAAGTGAAATATTTGGAACATGATGTGATATAATCTATAAGATGTTTGATGTAATATTTTGAATGTAAAATTATTATTATTTTTGAAATAATTTAAATAAAAATAAATATTTGATTTAATAAGAAATTTTGAGAAAAAATTCATTGAATAGTGCGAGACCAGACTTTACAGAAAAAAAGTCCCGATTATCAATATATAACTATGTTAACAATTGATTTTTATATTTAACTCAATAATTGAGATATGAGTCGACATTGTTGAATATCAATTTCAGTATATACTTTAAAGTACTGAAGAAATCAAGAAAATGAATCTATTATGATGCATAATATATAATTATTACATAAAAAAGAGAAACATAATAACAATTAGTGAATGATCATAATTGTGAAAATGATCATTGAAGATTGATTACAACTTTGGATTTAAAAGTTACATAAAAAAATAATTATTTTATATAAAACATTACATCTAACATTTATTTAAGTTACATCAAATATCTATTTCCATTCAACTTTTAGGATTTTTCGGTTTAGATTTATTTATTTCAATTTGAATTAAAATAATATTTTGATAAGAGGCTACTATCACTTAATAACAATGGATGTATCAATTATTTTATAGGAACCTAACATATTTTTATCAAAAATGATCTGAATTGAGTAATAAAATATATGATTTGAAATCAAAACTTTCCAAAACTCTAAAAATATATATTTCCAACACATATAAATATGCAACATAATTATTTATGTAATGTCAAGAATAAAATAAAATATTATTTATGTAATATCGAGCCTAGTTTGTAGCGCACTCGATGAGTAACGACTATAATTCCCACATTATAAAAATAAAAAAATGAAGTAAATAAAATAAATAAATAAAGAAATAAAGGTCCCTTTTGGAAGGCATAATGCAATGCCTTACAATTATACAAATTCACTTTAAAAAGAGAAGGCTGTAATGTATGAAAAAAATGCCCACTTTCTCATATCCATTCCTTTCTTTTACCATTTGCCTTATCACTCTCTCTCTCTCTCTCTCTCTCTCTCTCTCTCTCTCTCTCTCTCTCTCTCTCTATATATATATATATATATATGTATGTATTTGTGTCGTCCCTCTCTTTGGAAACGTGCCCTTTGCTGCATATTAAAGTCACCAAAAATATTGCATGCGTAAAACACACACACATACATACATAGATATATATATATATATATGTATATGCACACATAAAAAGGGACACTGAAAAACCCTAATTTGACTGTGTATATATATATGAATAGAATTTATTGCTTGTGAATTGTGATGAAATGTACACAATGGTGTGTCTTCTTCTTCTTCTTCTCCTTCTTGAATGCCAAGATGATTTCCACCATTATTGCTCCTCAAGGATTTACAGAGGGTTTTCGTCGTCGTCGCGACATTTTTGGATGAAGAAATATGATTGATGGTGTCAAGAATGCATTCATTGCATGTATGATGATGATGATGATGCATATATGAATATATATATATTTATATTTATGGGAATGAAGCAATCCTGGTCCAGACAAGAGTATGAAGTATTATTTGAGTTATAACAAGAGGTCATTTTATTTTAATTTGATTTATTATTATTTTATTTTTGTTGGAAATATTTATGTTTATGTGTGATCATTTGTAGGTTTGATTATTTGGACATTTTAGATTTGTGTTGTAGTGGTAGTAATTGAGTGATCTTGTTATATATATATATATATGACGAGTTTCATAATTTTGAGAGGCTTTTAGTTTCGATTATTTCAATTTATTTGTTTCATAAATTGAATGCACTTAATAGAGAAAGAGAAAGATCAAATTTCAAGAAATATAGCTTGTAATTTGATTAATTCAATAATGTCTTAATTTTTTTATTTTATTTTTGTTTAATGGTATTTTTGTAGGATTTTACTATTAACTAAATTCTTTTTCTCAAAAAAATATAAATCAAATATATATTTTTTACTTTGATTTATATTTTTTTTCTATTAACCTAAAATCAATTTCAACACCCATTTATATCACATTATGCAATTATTCTAATTTGATCGTTATTTCTAACAAATTTCTTTTTCTAAAATCTATAATGCCAAATATATACTATTTTTCAATAATTTTTCTTTTCTATTATCTTAAAAACTCTTCGAAACTCCAAAATTTATTTAAACATAATATTAAATACCTATATACATAAAGAATTGTCCCTAAAGAATATTTTTAATAATATTTATTCCTTTATATTTAAAAAAAAACTCGCACATTCAAAATAATAAATAAATAATAAAAAATCTAAACACTCAAATGAACACTACACTTAAGTGTTTCAAAATAAATGTAGTTCCGTAAGAGATGACCGAGTGATGTACGGATTGGACTTGTGACTGTGAGGTAATTTTATTTTTTAATAAAATATTAAATTAAAATACTGTTTAAATTAAATAATAAAAAAAACCCAACCCAAGTAGAAACTCTCTCGTGAGTCAAATAGAAATACACCACATTAGAATGAACAAGCCTTAATATCTCCTTTTCATACCTCTCGAATAATAATAATAATAATAATAATATATTTATATTGAAAATAGTGCAAAATAAATAAATTTTAATTTTAATTTTAATTTCAAATCATAAATGAAGAGATCTTTTTTTATTGTTCATATTTTACATAAATAATAGGAGTGACCCATTGGGCCTGACCCATTTTTACTTGGGCTAGATAATCTAAAAGAAAAGCCCAACAAGTAAAAAAACACTCCATATTTAAGAATATTTCAATGGTCACAAATTTTCCTTAATAAAATATTTAAAAAATAATAATATATAGTTTTAATATTATACTCCCAATCTGTCAATTTTATTTTCAATTCCTTTGTAAAGTGAGTATAAAATTAAGGGACATATTGGGAATAATACTCCATTAGTCCCACTTCCTATGTCCATATTTTCGTTTTCGTCCGTCTCACTTATTTTGTCACTTTCAAATAATTATATACTTTAATTTTATTTTTAAATATTTAATTTATAATTTTTTAATTTTAATTATACTAATCAATTATATTAATCTTAATCTATAATTATTTTTATTATACAATAATTATTTTCACTAATATATTTTTTAATTATTTACTAATTATACTCGTTCTAAATTTTCATATCTACGTCAACGCGGACAAAATATTTGGGACGAAGAGAGTAATTTTCAATAACTCACAATTTTTTTAAAAAATTTATTTTTTATTTTTAAAAATAACTAGAGTGCCTTCTAGGATTCCTATATTGTTGTTGGTACCCTGACTGACCTGCCATGTGCTCTAATATATACATATATTAATATATATATATATATTTATTTATTTATTTTTTAGTTTGGTAGTCAAGAGTGGGAATTGGTCATGTCACAAGGTTTTATTTATTTGTTTATTTTTCTATGAAAATTTTTAATTTTATTATTTATAATATATATTTGACAAAAGCTAACTTTAATTATCTAAACATTTCAATGTTGTTTAGTACTACTCCCTAGAAAATATACACATTTCTATTTTGAAACGTCCAATTACAAAGTAAACATTTTATTAAATACCTCATTTTTTTCCACAAATATCCTTACTTTACATCATATCATTACTTTTATATAAAAAAACAAGAGCAAAAATGTCATTACATTACTTTTAACTACCCATTATAATTAAAATACTATTATTTCTTAAACACCGCGCCAAAGATAAATGTATACTTTATCCCGTGGACGACGGAGTGAGTATTTTTTAATTATATGATTTCATAACATGACTTGCTATTTGATATTGAAAACAAAAACATGCTTTTTGCTTCTTCATTCTTTGTTCACATCAAATTGAATGCTTAATTAATAACCATACTTTGAGCCAAAAAATAAAAATAAAAAAATCACTTTTGATAGTACTCATTTATAGTAATATTTTAAAATTTGTATATTAAATATATATTTTTTCATAAAAATACTATATATATATATATATTTATTTTCTATTTCAAAATTTTAAAAATTATATTTAAATCTTTTTTTTTTTTAAAATTTTTTGGTTGAGATACAAATTTAAGCCTGACATTGAAATATTAAAAGAAAATCTACATTTTATAATCATATATAATTGTACTAAGAATAAAGTCTTTCAAAAAAATTCATAAACATTGGCTTCAAAACATACAATATCATTCTAATATTAAATTTTGGAATGAAAAACCTAAATTTTGTATAGCCACAAAAAATGTCTTGGAAAATGGGATCTTGATAAGCCATGGCCCTTTCTCTCTTATGTTATTATTATTATTTTTAATGCACAATATGATGTATTTTTCATTTTTGTTTTTATTTTTATATAAAAATATGATATGTAATGTATAAATAGTATTTTCCTTTTATCTTCCAAAAGTGTTCTTAATTCCTTTGAGTTTCAAAGAAAATATTTTGATGGATGGAGAGATTATTATTGTATAAATCCACACATGTTTTTTTCTTTTTTTTTTTTTTTTTTGGGATTTTCTTCAAAATTTTTATTATTCATCAAAATTTTATATTTAAAATATTACATCAAAGATTTATTTGTTTAGTATTTTAGTTTAAAGTATTTTTTTTTATGTAAAATATAAAAAATTATTCGATAATATAAAAATTAATATTTTGCATTAATTGTTAACTTCTGTTGATAAAATATTGGAATCGTATAAAAAAAAAAGTATGTTGGACAAACAAATCCGTTATTTTTTATTTTTTTGTTTTTTAAAATAAATATTGTGCATTTATAGTGTAGAAATAATATCATCATTTTATTAAATGAGATTTGTTTGTAAGATTGTAATCAAAATAAGATACTTTAGACAGAATTTAGTTATTCAATGAATTGCTTGTTTAAGTGTCAACCATTTTTCTGACTTCTTGAGAATAGCCACAACTGTAAATATTCAACCATTTTTGTAGTCCAGCTAATAATAGATTAAGTGGATATTATTTTAAGTTTTTCAGGATTTTTTATTTTATTTTATTTATTTATTTTTAAGACTTTTCTGTTTTCTATTATGAAATTCTTGAAATGAAATAATAATTAAATTTGGAGTAGAGGATGAGGTAGAACTTCTTGACCTTTAGGTCCGAAGTCTGATTTTTTTTATGAAAAAATAATATATATATATTTTTATGCGTCAATTGAATTTTTTTTTCTTATGTCATATTCAAAAGTTTTTACTTTTAATTTTATTATAATAAAAAAGAATTTACGTTAATATTAAAATATTTTTAATTTTAAATAAATCACATATAGTCATAAAATACGAAAGACAAAAATATTAAAAATATTTTAATTTACTAATCAATAAATATTATTATTTTTAATTTATTAAAAAAATCCAAAAATATAAGACGGAAAGATTTTATATATAGAGATTCATGTCAATAATAAAAATTATTTGAGAAACAAATTTTAGATCGAAAATTAAATATATTATTTCGAATAAATGAGTAATGTTCCCTTAATAGAGTTAAAAATATTGAAGTATATATATGAATATATGTACCATAAAAATATGTGTGTTTGTCTTGTAAAATTGTTGAATTTTTTTTTATTTTTATGTAAAATATAAGAAATTGTGTAAGAAATATAAAAATAATAAATATATGTATTATATTAATTTTTTTAAGCAAACAGGTAAAAAAAAAATGTAGAAAGAACAAAGTCATTAAATTGCATAGATACTTTATATAAAAGTTTATAAAGTTTTAAAAAAATCTAAAAATAATAAAAAATTAAATATTTTCATAAGTTTGAAAATATTATTATTAATAAATAATGACAAAATTCTCAAAAAACAATGTCTATATTAAATAGAGTTATGGAAAAGAAAAAGAAGTTTCCAATAGAGTGAATTTAGGGGTTGCAAAAGGGGATTTCACTTCTTTTTAGCAAATGCCTAAATGCATACATAAATTATTACAACATATTACGTTATTAAGTATTAACCCCCAATCCCAATCCCAATCCCAATCAATCCCACCTTGGATTCAATAAAGTTGGTCACCTTCAAACTAGTATAAAAATTGACAACAAACCTAGAAACACATGAAAACCATCAAACTAATCAAAATTCAATTTTTTTTAAATATATATATATATATATATATATAAATCAATACATTCATACATAAATAATAATATTTATTAAATAAAAGCCAAGCCAGGTAATAAAGCATCAAACAATTGAATAATAATGTGTGTATAAGATAGCTTGATTGAATCTTGATTCTTCTTCACTCCCCTCTCTCACTCCCCCCCCCCTCTCTCTCTCTATATCATATCATATATATATACATACATACATACACAATCTTGATCTGGGCTTTGAAGATGCAGGATCAGATAGGGATTCCAGCCTGTTTTTCATCAGGGGAGAAGAACATTGATGAAGATCATCATCATCTTCATCATCTTCATCTTCATCAAAATCCTTCTGCAATTACCAGGTCAGGCCAGAATGTATTCATGTCAGTCTACCGGACAAAGCTCGCCGATCAGTGCCGGTCGATCGCCGTCGCCTGGTTCAAGAACTTGCTCATCCATGGCCTCTCTGTCTCCATCCAGGGCCCTGAGGGAGACACTCAATACACCTGCAGAGTTGAGGTCAAGAAGCCATGGTGCTTCTGGAAGAAACAGGGCTCCAAACGCTTCCTCGTCGACAACGCCAAGCCCGTCCATGTTTTCTGGGACCTCAAAGCTGCCCGCTTCAACGGCGACGTCGAGCCGACCTCCGATTACTACGTCGCCATTGTCTGCGACGACGAAGTCGTCTTGCTGCTCGGGAATTTGAAGAAGGAGGCTTACATGAGGACGGGATGCCGCCCCGCCCTCATCGATCCGGTCCTAGTGTCGAGAAAAGAACACATTTTTGGCAAGAGGAAGTTTCTTACAAGAGTTAAGTTCCACGACAAGGGGAGCTTCCACGACGTGTCGATCGAATGCAAGAACAGAGGCTGCACCGACGCCAAGATCGATCCGGAAATGGAGATTAGAATCGACGGGCATTTGGCTATCCATGTGAAGCATCTGCAATGGAAATTCCGAGGCAACGAATGCATCCGTTTCAAGAAAGCTCGAATCGAAGTTTATTGGGACGTGCACGACTGGTTATTCAGCCCCGGTTTACGCCACGCCTTGTTCATATTCAAGCCATCCGCAGTGTCGTCGTCTTCTTCTCCGACAGCCTCGTCGTCGAACTCGACCGACGCCGGATCGCCGGAGTTTTGCCTCTTTCTTTATGCCTGGAAAGTTGAGTGACAAGAAAACACCAAATTAGGTCTCAATGATTTTTTACAGTTACAGCATTGCCTGTGAAAAGGGATAGAAAAAGAAGCCATGGAAATGTTGTTTTGCTGATGAAGATGATGAGTTAGAGAGAGAGAGAGAGGGAGGAGAGAGAGAGAGGGCAAAGCACATGGGAAGAAAAGTGGACCCTTTGTAGAGATTGGAACATAGTTTACAGCTGGTTGTCCACAAGTGGACAATGATGAAGAAGACACATTGGCTAACACATATATAATATAGATATATATATATATATATACATATATGTATGTATCTATGCAAAAATAATCTCTTATCTAGAGGGTTCTTCAATATCTTAATTATTTTAAATTTCTTGGAGTGATCTAGTTTTGATAAGTGAGCAAACTTAGCGTGAAGTTTTTTTTACCTATGGTTAGGACAATAGACATGAGTTTGTGTTAGTGTGTGTAAAGTCAAGAGTTTGGTGGTGTAATAGCCTTTCACATTTTGCATATATACATATATATATATATATATATAGAGAGAGAGAGAGAGAGAGAGAGTGGTTAGGACAATAGACATAGTTTTGATGCTGATTTTTCCAATTAACACACATGAAAAACTAGCAAACAACATACCCCCTATCCCAAAAGAAGAGAGATGTTGGTTTTTTCCGTATAGATTTCTGAATATTAATTATTGTTTTAATACGTAGTACAGATCGAAGATCAAAAAAAATAATAATAAAAATATTTCTATTAGTTTTTTATAGTACAAGTACAATGATATTTGTAAAGTAAATTATACAAATATAAAAATATTTTAATATTAAATACAATAACGCAAAAAAAACAAAAGTACCCTATAAAGGTATGTTGTACGAACATATATCATGCGCTGAAATCAATAGTATTACATATATTGTATAAATTATTGTCATGTGCTGTTAGTAGTGTGCTGAATTATGTGTGATTCAATATAGTAAATGTAGCCATATATATATGTATGTATGTATTTTACAATTAGGTCCCAAAAGTTGTAAAGCAACAAGACAAGGAAACAAAGAGACAAGAGAATGGAATTTAATATATAGAGAAGGGCAGGCAGGCAGGAAGGTATCACAAGTGTTTTCTGAAGTTCACATAATGTAACATTAACTAACAGACAGGAAGTTTATCCGGCTCGGCGACAGCTGTAGGAGCGCTATGTTCTGCGCGCATACAACTCATCGATCGAATTATTGGCCGCGAAGAAAACAAATAAACAAATAAGTTTTTCGAAAGATAATTCAAAAAAATGAAAACATAGAGGCCACTGCAAGAAAGCATGGGGGGGGGGGGGATGGTGCAGGACATCTAACCAGCTATCGGCGCGCTTTAATGAGGTTGTGGCACCGTTGGTTCGTTGCCCATATTAGTCTCATCATCAGTGTGGTGTCACATGACAATGTCTGAAATTTTGTCATTATTTCGAGCCAAATCCAAACAGTTTTGCAAAGAAGTTCTTGTTCTTTCCACGAGAGGTATCGTTGTTTGCCTTTGTTGGTGTCTTAGCTGGAGCTGGAGATGGTGTAGGTATACCTAAATGGGAATAAAATGTAAATTTCATCGAAAAGTTTCAACACTCTACCAAATTATGGTTTTAAAGATTTGTTTATGCATAATGTTCTTGCATTGTCTTTGATAAGCAAACCATGTTCCTAACCTTCGAAGTTACTCAGAGCTAAAGTATAGTAATGTCCCTGAATTTAAAATTCAACACCATGCTAAATAGTACTCGATGAACTATGAGAAAACACACGATGTTACGACATGAAACACATAATTTATATTAATATAATATAAATATAGCACAAGAACTAATAACATATAACATATTCCTAGAGAACGCATGATATACTTCTATAGAACATACGTTTTAAATATATAAAACGAACATATAGCACATGCTCTTATTTCACAGAATATGTGCTATCTGCATTAAATATAAGTGCTATTTGAACTTCTGATCGGTGCTATCTAGGGAAATCAGCACGGTTCTATAATTGAACCGAGACATATTAATAGAGCTAAACTTACAAGAAAACGCGAAGAAGTATTTAATATAGAAAGGAAATACCTGAAGCAGGTGAGACTTTCTTTTTCCTAGCATCATTCGTGTCATTTTCTGCAATAACTTCATTGGCAGGAATCTTCTCGGAGACTCTATTTCCTGCTGTTCCATTGCCCCACTTAACTACATTCATCAATGCAAAAAGAAGTATAGAAACATAAAAAATAAGGTCAAGTTACTTCCATCCTAAATAAGAAATTTTAGCTTACTTTCGCTAGGGGGTTTTCCATAGGTATGGCTCAGAGCTTCAAAGAAGTCGCTATCGCAATGATCTTGCTTTACTGCAACATGAGATGCAATGTTGCATATTATTGATCTTCGGTTTATCACCAGATATAAAATTTTTCGAACTTTTGGGATACCCACACTGATCATACAGGGTGTTCCTATAGTTGGGGACAGAAGAAGCTGTGAGGAGCTCAACTGCCTCTGCATCTCTGGTCATCGATAACTTTGGTGACGAGCTCAAGTTATGTGTGTCCAATAAAATAGCCGCCAGCTGAAAAAGGAACACACACACAAAAAAAGGGAAATTCTTGATCGTAATTTGATCCAAATTCATTCAGCAAGATGTTGAAGTTTTCAGAAGGTTAATGATTTTCTACCAGAAGCTTTTCTACAACAGGAGTTCGAAGCAGGCTGTATGCATCCTCACAAAAGTTGTCTGTAAGAACAGTACATGCCGATCCAACCTAGTGATAAAAAGCCATAAAGAGCAATGTAAATGCATCGTTCAAAATATGCAGGCTTGTTATGGGTTCAGAATACTTAAGAAGAACGTAGAAAGACAACCTTGCCGTTGGTTTTAAGGATATCCTCCCCAACTTCAACTATACTCAACTGCTTAGCCATCATTAGAGTCTCCAATTCAACCTGATTGAATATGTATTACAGAATTAAAATCGACTCGCATTGTGTTGAAAGAACCAACCAATAGAAAAGACTACAACTCCCATCACAGTATCAAAAAGAGTTCTTTGAGTCCTAGATTTGACTCGAGCTACGTCTACTACTTTCCAGAGTTACCTAAAGGATTGTTCATACATTTAGACTTCCTTCATTGCAATAATTTCATAAAATTATTTCGATACTGCTCCATTCGTAGGATGGGGTTAATTGTTCTATAATTTAGTTCATCAAGGGCTTTTATCGAAAACACTAAACATGTAAACCTAATCAGATAAAAAACATAGCCTTAAAATTTTTATTTTCTTTGTAAATCTAGAGGTCGCGTTTACGTTGTAGCATTGAGCACAGTGTGTCCTTCACAGTCACTTAGAACAAGCCAAAGATCCAATTTATGAAACTTGATTTTCAGACTTTTGCATGAAATAATTGTACAATGGAACTATTTAACATAATAATCAAACCTACACGATTATGAGTTCCAAATACGACTATTACCTTTGCATGAAAATGCATTCCATAATGCAAATATTTACAAGAAGTAAAATACTAACAGCAAACGAGACGATGCATTCGAACAAGTAAGAACAGTTAAACATAAAACAACACATCACTACCAAAATTAGCTGTGATCGTCATATCATCATCTATAACATATTATTCTAGAGACCGACAGCAAAGTGTAGCACATTAATAAAAGCTCTACTAATGCAAAATGGCATAACAATGGAGGCATTTGATCAAGAAATCAACAAGTAACTTACTTTCCAATATATTCGAACTTAAACGAATTCGATACCTCATTAGAAAAGAGCAGAGAAGCAGCATCTAGGCCGGCGTCGTGGAACAGCCAAGCTGCTTGACGCTGCTTCCACATTTTTCCTCTCCTTATGTTCATCACAGGCACAACAAACTCCATAAACCTCCCATTTTGTGCTCTTTTTTTATCAGCTCTCATTTTGTTGTCCAACAACCAAGCATAGCATGTTGCTGCCACCATTGAACTTGTACCTAAGCATAAACACAAGAAATTTTCTGACGTTTGTGCAAATTTTTACAGGAAAGGGAGAGATTCTGAAATTGAAGAAAACAGTAAACGTTTGGAGGAAGAAACTCAACTGTTTGATGGACCAGAGAGGACGACCTTGGCTTTGCCATCGATTTCGCCGCTCATCAGCTGGAGAATCTTAATCCTCTGCTCCTTCAGGAAGCCATTCAAGCTCCGATTATCGACCAAATTATCGCGGTCCTTCTTCACGACCTTATGATCAGTTCTACACGTGGAAGAAGATATTGACCGTCGGTGAGCAGACTCCACCAGGTTCCGCGGCGGGGACAGCACCCCGACCTCCGGCACCGAGCACGAACTCGGCGACCTCCGATGAGTCGATTCCGCCGCCGGAATTTTCGACGGCGAGAGAATTCGAGCGTCTGAATTTGCACCGTCTCCATTGCCGTTGCTTGAGGCAGCTTGGAAATTCCTTCTCGAAGGAGAAAAGGCGGGAAGGTTGGTTGGAGTCGACGGGGCACCGGAGGCGCTTTGGAAGCGCGACTTTCGGTGAACTGATTGGCGCGGAGGGAGCGGCGGCGGACTGTTCGGCGGCGTACGGTCCGGCGAATTGTTGGAGATGTTGGAGAACCATTTCTGGAGCTCCGATGCCGGGGACGGGTCCTCTTGCGGAGGATCCGAATTCGTTTCGGATCTATTCCGGGTATGGATCGCCGTTCGGGTTAGTATTTCTCCACTAAACCCTTCCATTTGCCTATTTCTATATATATATATAACGGAATTATTTACATATTTAGCAATAATCTCAAGTAACATATTATATTATAAAGGTAATTGAGTATTAATTTTTTTTTTAATTTCTTGAAATTTATATTTAAAATAATTAACTTTTTAATTTAATAATTATTAATTAAAAATATTATTGATATATATTTTAAAAATTAACATAAAAAATATTATTTTATTCGAATGGAATATATATATTGAAATAATTAAAAATACGTTGATCATCAATAGTTATTTTTTTATTTATTTATTTTTTAAGTATATATAAATTTATTGTAGGCTAACTTTACTTGAAATTTTGGTTAATAAAAACAATTACTTACAAATAACCCAAATAAAATCTATTTAAAGAAATACTCACCAAATATTAACACAAAAGATTTGAATATCATATTAAATCACACAAAATCAAATATATAGTATTTGTACGTAAAATAGAACTTTCTTAATTAATTAAAAGTTAGATAATATTTTCACTAATAATTTTAAATTTCATATATAATTTACATACATAAATACATATGATTCTATCCATTCACTCTAATTACTTATATAAGTAGCATGTAATTTTAATGAACAAACATATATCGTATTAGTTAAAACTATGTGCTGATTATTCATATATTGATCAGAAATAAAATCTTTTTATAAGAATACAAAAAAGGGTAAAAAAATATATGCACAATAGATATACGACAATTTTTCAGAAAGAAAACTCTTCACCTCCTTACAATTTAGCTGATATTGTGCTATTGATTTGACATTGATTATGTTATAATCAAGATTGATATTGTTATAAACGTGATTAACTTTGTGTCAAGATGAGACGAATGGTTAAAAATATTGTCGTAACTTGTGAGTTATGATTTGTTGCATTTTTCAATGTATGTATGTATATATATATGTATGTATTAGTACCTTCTAGCGGATCTTGAGAGCGGATCCATTTTTTCAAGAGTCGCCGACACTGAAGATCTTCCCTTAGTCACGCCAAATCTCGGAGATGCAACAAGCCGCGACGGCGAATTTTGCCTAACCGGAGACAAAGCCACCATGCGCTTTGCTTCTTCGAGCCACTCTTGAGTTTGCCGGCTACTAATACTCCGAGTGCTCGAATCAAATTCATCCACGCCACGGTCACGGGGTACATACCCTTTACTACGGTTGTCGGGGTCATAAGCCTTGTTATGATCAACGCTTTCAAAGAACACATCGGCCACAAAATCTTTGGCATCGGGAATTTGACCGGAATTATTTTCGCCGTTGTTTCGCGACTCGCCATTTGGGATGACTTGACGGTCGCGAAATCGTCGATTCATGGCGTTTCAATTATCGCAACACATATGGATTAGATCGTTGACAAAAATGTATTTATACGACGGAAAATTCGATGAGAAACTAATGGAAAATATTGTGAAATGAGAAATGGATATGATAGGGAAGATTAAGAAGAGTATATATATATATATATATATATATATATATATATAATGAAAACAAATAAAATGTGATGCCGGCCAAAGCCTACCAAGAATCTGTCCGATTGAGTGTAATTTTGTAGGAATGGCACATTGGCAAGTTGTGACAGTTTATTTTTTTCAGAAGAATTTTTCAATATAGATATTAAGGGGTTTGTTTACTTGTATTTTTAAATTTATTTATATATTATTCATAATATATTCTTTTTATTTGAAATATATTTTTGCTCTATCTAAATTTATTTTTAAATTATTTATAAAAATATTACTCCCTCAGTTCGTCTCAAAGGGTCATATTTATTTTTTGCGTCATTATACTTAACATTAAAAATATCTTTATATTTATATAATTTTCTGTACAAATGTCCTTATATTAGTATTTGTATAATTTATAATTTTTTCTTAATTTATATTACATTTTGATATAATAATTAATATTCAAAGTAAATAAGAGCATTGAAGACGGACAAAAATAGTATAATTTATTACTTAGTAAAAAGTTATACTTTCCCTATCAGCTGATTTTAGTCCCACTTCTTTGTAAATTTACAAGGAAGAGCGACTTTGACAATATTGATTAATTGGTTTATCCTAATATAAAATATTTTAATAAACTAATTCACTAATATAATTTAAAATGAAACTTTCTTAACAATTTTACAAAATATAATATTAAAGATATACTATATTATAATGTAAATAACAATAATTATTATATTTATTTGGTGCGGACTAATTCCCTCTATTGCGGGTTAATCCACTCCCAACCCACAACTTGCATGGCTAGCTTAGCTCTGTATTTTAAAAGGGGTAAAATATTACAACTCAACCCTCCATAAAAATGAAGCGGGCTAGTCTATTCGATGGACTCAATTTATTTTGACGTTTCTAATTTTGGTATCAAACACATTATCAATTAAAAAGACTTACAAGCTTGTCTAATAAACTTTCTTATATATATAAAAACACTTAGATGAGCTTTTGTTTATTTACTATTTGTTCCGTCGCACATAATTTGTCAACTCTTTTTATTTCGATATTTCTCGCATAATTTGTTATTTTTTTAAAATATAATTATACACTACAATTTTTTTTTTAATTAAACTATTTAATAATCTTAATCTAATGTATAATTATTTTATTATATCATAATACATTCACTAATACACTTCATAATTATTTACTAAGGTTACTATATTAGCCCATGGTGATGAACTAAGTTTCCGGGGGGTTGAACTCCGGCAAGAAGAAAGAAATTGATCAAGAGCTGCGTGCAATAATCCGGGATGCCATTAAAACAAGGGTAAACTGTTTTTTTAGTCCCGTAACTGGATCTCCTTATCATTTTAGTCCCGTAAGTGGAGTCTGTCGCAAACTAGTCCCATAAGTGAAAAATTTTCGTTGTTTTAGTCCTCCGGCGCCGGAGACGCTCGCGTGGCTCGCCGGAGGTGACGTGTCCGCCAGGTGTTGCTGACCTGGCGGACAAGTGGATTTTATTTTATTTTTTTTTCATTTTTAAATTTTTTTAAAAAATTATTTTTAATTTTATTTGTATTTTTTTATTTGGTCCAATTAAAAAAAATTTAAAAAAAAAAAAAGGAAAAAAAAAAGTAAATCCACGTGTCCGCCAGGTGTCGCTGACCTGGCGGAACACCTGGCGGACACGTTACCTCCGGCGAGCCACGCGGGCGTCTCCGGCGCCGGAGGACTAAAATAGCGAAAAACTTTCATTTATGGGACTAGTTTGCGACAGACTCCATTACGGGATTAAAATGATAAAGGGTCCAGTTACCGCGACTGAAAGAACCAGTTTACCCTTAAAACAAATATTATAAGTTATTTTTTTTATCGCACAATAGTTAACAAAAAATGTTGAATTCGAAAGCTTTTAGTAAAATAATTGCATTTGATTGTCACAGCGTTTTAAGGAATGTGATATTAAAAAAATATTTTAAGTCGAATTGGGATTATTTCCAACATCCGAAAGTATAATTCATCCACGGAGAGCTTGTTTTTCAAATAATATAGATTTAGCAGAAAATAATGATTATAGGGTAATGATGAAAATGAAGATCTCAAGACACTCTACCCAGAATTGATCAATATTTACTACGCGAATTCGATTTTTGTATGAACAATGATTAAAATGGTAAGAAAGAACAAAATCATATACTTTACTTTACATAAATTCAAGTGGAAGAAAATGAGTTGAGATATTGAAATTTTAAATTCAATTTAGAGCCAATTCTGTAGATTTAAAAAATGGAGGATATGATTGATTCAACTCCAACTCATTAGCACTGGAGATTCTTCTCCTTCAGTTTATTTTATTTTGAATTTCATCGATCTCTATGTATGAATGAATAAGTGTAGATCTGTGGTGATCGAGTATCAGAAAATTAGAAGGTTCAGACATGGCTTATTATGCTTTCTTATCTGCCATGGATAATCTAAAGAGGTTTCTGCGTTCATCAGATTATTTCAACCTTTCTCCGGAAATAGTATCCATCTATGGCGAGCTTGATTCGATGAGATATCTTCTCAGTAATTACAATAGAATGAAGGGCAGGAAGCTGAGGGTGAATCCTTTGTTGGAACAACAAATCGAGGACTTAGCAGAAGAATTTGCAGATCTGATCGAACCTTTCTTACAAACAGCTGCATCAGATAATGAAGATGAAGATGAAGTAGATGAAGATTCAGATCCGATGGAATATTTCTTACAGCAATCATATGAAGTTAAAAATCCCAACACACTCTCCCCCGAATCGATGGATCTTCTTCGACAGCTCATTTCCTTGCTCGAAAAGTTCTCCTTGGAGGTACAGAACATGAAAGAAGAGAAGATTACAGACGATGGTATGGTTGTTTCATCAAGAATGATCTGTCGATGTGAGTGTGAGCCTGTGGGGTTGGAGGAGGAGATAAGGCTACTCATGGATTGGGTCGTTGGAGGTCCTGAAGAGCTCCTGACAATGGCGGTTGTCGGGATGGCTGGTATTGGTAAGACTACTTTGGTCGAACAAGTTTACAACCATCCATCTATTCAATCCATTTTCGACACTAAAATCATGATTCTTGTCGGTCCCAACTTTGTCGAGAATGAATTTTTACAACTTCTTGTAGACCATATAGAAGGCGAGGGTAAGCACAAAAAGTTTACCAATATGCAAGAATTACGAATGCATCTTCGAGGACTTATGGGGATTCGGAGGTATCTAATAGTTTTAGAAGATGTGTGGAGTACAAGAACTTGGTTCTCCGTAGATAATTATTTTCCAACGGGATGTAAGAAAAGTCGAATCATCTTGACTTCTAGGATGTTAGATATGACCTATAGCGTGCGCTTTCAGAGAAAATGTTTCTTGGATGAAGATGATAGTTGGAAACTATTACATAGAATTGTGTTCACAAGTTCCGAAGAATCTTGCAGCTTCAAACTTGAGAAAATTGGGAAGAAAATTGCCAAGAATTGCGAAGGACTTCCTCTAGCTATTGTTTCCATTGGCCGTCTTTTGCGCAATGTTGAGAAGACGGTGGAATATTGGAAGAAAGTTTCGGAGGATGGGAATCCTCTTGGTATTGGGGTCGACGACAACTCATACATAACAAGATCGCTTCTCTTGAGCTACGACATGTTGCATCACTATCAAAAATTATGCTTTCTCTACGCGGGAGTGTTCCCACAGAGTTTCGTGATCTTTGCCTCTGAACTCATTCGATTATGGGGAATGGAGGGATTCAATTGCGCGTATCGATATGATTCTTGTTGGGTATTGAACGAACTTATCTCAGCAAGTGTTGTTTTGGTTCAAGAATATAGTTCCACAACTTGGACACCCAAAATATGTCGAGTTCATTATGTCTTTCGAAACTTATGCATTAGTATAGCCGAGAAGGAGAAGTTTTGCCATGTCCTAAATAAATATACGTATTGTTTTCCTCGGGGAACAAATCATCAGCCGCGGCTGTGCACCCACAACAATGTTATGCTCGCCATTGAGGAAGTGCGCGCCACAATGGAGTCGATTTCTTCCATACGGTCTCTTCTCTGTTTAGGTCCGTATCGTCCATATCCCATGCGGATACACTTGAGCTTTACGTTGTTGAAGATATTAAATGCACCTAATATCCGCTTCTACACATTCCCCTACCAAATACTAAATTTAGTTCGGTTGAAGTACATCACCATCACATATAACGGAGAAATCCCGAAGTCTATTTCAAAACTTCAAAAACTTCAAGTTTTGATCGTGGATCGACATGTAATTATAAAATCCTTGGAGGATGTTTGTTATCTACCTGTGGAGATCTGGAATTTGAAGCAGCTACGGCATTTACAATGCTCGGGATTTGACCTACCGGATCCTTGTACTGATCAAACCTTCCTACTACACCTCAAAACATTGTCGGGTGTGAGTGCACGCAGTTGTACCAGGGGAGTTCTTGCAAGATTGCCAAAGCTAAAGAAGTTAGGAATCCATATTGTCCTAGGACAGAATGAAAAGGAAAACTTCAGTTTTTTCGGTGACATTGCCGACATGAACCTTGATCTTTCTTCATTAAAATGCGTTGTATGGGGTTTCCACACTCAAGTTATTTCAGAATTCCGGACTTTTCCCTCTTCCTGTAAAAAGATAGCATTGAGTGGTTGCAGATTACCATGGAAGTGTATGAAAGTTTTTCGCGGGGCTCTTCACATACTAAAACTGCGACGCAATGCCTTCTGTGGACCCATGTGGGAACCCGTTCTTGGGGATTTTCTTAATCTTGAATACCTGCTGCTGGAAGACTTGGACATGGAGGTGTGGGGAGCCAACTCTCGCCATTTCCCCACACTGAAACACCTGATCATCAGACACTGCTACAAATTGCGAGAGATTCCTATCGATTTTGGGAACATCAGAAGCCTCAGAACGATAGAGGTGGAAGATTGCCGTCCATCAGTTGGCACATCGGCTAAAAAAATACAGAAGAATCACCAAGAGCAATTCGTAAATAAGCATCTCCATGTTCACATCCATTCCTCATGGGACGACAAAAAGAACTAAGATTGTGTTCTTTTGTGGGTTTCACGGCTGTTCAGATTTTTTTTTCTTAAAAAAAATCAAATCAAACTATTACTTTTCTCCTTTTATATTATACTAGATCACGTCAACCTCTATTTATATCAAATTAAACAACCATTCAAATTCAATTTTTTACTATTTAAAAATCCAAATCCAAAACTTCAAACCCACAAACAAACACACCCTAAAGCCTTAGACAATCCTCTGTTTAGTCGATCTGCTCACAAGGTAATCAATAAATCTTTTATATTCCTCTACATTATGATCGAAATCTTGCATACTCTGTTGGTTAAATTGCATTCAGCTGCGTGCTACTGATATTAATTAGCCTATATATGCAAGTACGTTAATTGTTGTTTGAATCATATAAAAATGAATTGCCTAACTTGTTAGAAAATTTGTATATATATTAGTGGCACTAATGTATGAGTACAAGAATTTTAGGCTAATTTTGTATTGCCAATACACTTCGAATAAACAACAATTATATTTATATTTACATCATATTTCAAAAAATTTAATCTTATTTAATTTATTTGCAAATGAAAATATTTATATTTCTCTACCCACTACTTTTTTTTTTTCCTTATTCTTAAAGGTAATTTTTTTTTTATTTTTATCTATTTTTCTTAAAATCGGTGTCCGGTCAAATGAATATATAATTGGATGACAAAGAAAGTATATCACAACTTTGCATAACTCAGGATGCGTTTGTTGTCAACTTGTTTTATTCTCGTGTCATACTCCCGTAAAATTTTATTTCAATTATTTCCTAAAGATTTTAAAATATGACACAATTACAAGAAAACTTGTCGGGGTTGAGGATCCCATCCCATTAAATAGTTTTATTGTAAATGTATCATATTTTAAAATTTACAAGAAAATTTGGTAATATAAGGCCATTTATTCCCAAATATGGTAATACTAGGGATGAAAACTTGTCATTTTTTTTTTTGAAAACTTGTCGGGGTTGAGGATCCCATCCCGTTTCAGCAACTTACCTGAGGGTTTGATCCTCATTTACGGAACGTAATAATTAAAAACAAATATTTTTAGTCGAATCAGGATTATTTCCAACATCCGAAAGTACAATTCATCCATGAACGAGCTTGTTTTAAATAATATAGATTTAGCATTAAAAAAAATTAAAAAAATAATTATAGGTCTTGATGCAAATGAAGATGTTACTAATCAAGATCTCAAGACACTCTCCCCAGAATTGATCAATCTACTACAAGAATTCAATTTTTGGCGCCAACAATGATTAAAATGATAAGAAACAAAGAAATGATGTGTTTCTCTTTATATAAATTAAAGTGGGATGAAGAAAATGAGGATGAAATAATGAAATTTTAAAATCAATTTAGAGCCAATTTTGTAAGGGGAAAAGGAAACGTAAAAATGACTAGGGGTGACAAAAAAATCGAACCGAACTGCTGAACTGTTGAACCGAACTGAATTGTTAATCGAGCAGATTCGGTTCAAATACAAATACTGCATTTTTTATATTTGCTTGTTCGATTTGGTTCCAGTTTTTGATATTTTTTCGGTTTGATCAACCGAAGCGAATATATTTATATTATTATATTTTAATAATTATATTAATAATTATATACAGTTCGGATAAGTAAAATATTTGCAAATATTTTTTTTAATTAAAATTTAAATTATTTTGTAATATATATATATTTTTAATTTCTGTTCAGTTCGAATACTGTTGGCGATTTTGGGTATTTGTTTGGTTGGATTCGAATATCAAATACCTACTATTTGCAAATACCCTAACCGTACCCACACCTAAAAATTACGAGTATAAATATGTGATTACAGAACTAATAAATAAATAAATAAATCCTGGAGGATATGTTGGACAGCTCCAACTTTGTTTATTTTATGTTGACTTGCATCGATCTCTATGTAATTAACGATGAGTTTAGATCTATGGTGTGGTGATTATCAGCAAATTAAAGAGGGTTCGACATGGTTTGTTTTGCTATCTTATCTGCCAGGGATAAACTAGGAAGATTTCTCTATCGATCTGAATATTCTGAACGTGGTCGGGAAATAAAATCCATCTATCACGAGCTTGATTCAATGATACCTCTTTTCAATAAGTACGATAATATGCAGGGGAGGAAGCTGAGTGTGGATCCCTTGTTGGAACAGCAAATCAAAAACTTAGCAGAAGAATTTGCAGATCTGATCGAACCTTTCTTACAACCTGCAGCTGCATCAGATGAATTAGATGAAGATGAAGATGAAGTTCAACATCCCAAGAAACTACAAGTCTCCCCCGGATTAATCGATCTTCTGCGACAACTCATTTCCTTGCTCAGAAAGTTCTCCTCGGAGGTACACAACATGAAAGAAGAGAAGGTAACAGACGATGATCCTCGTGGGATTTTTGTTTCATCGAGAATGATCTGTCGATGTGAGTGTGAGCCTGTGGGGTTGGAGGAGGAGATAAGGAAACTCAAGGATTGGGTCGTCGGAGGCCCTGAAAATGTCCAGGCTATGGCGGTTGTCGGGATGGCTGGCATTGGTAAGACTACTTTGGTCGAACAAAATTACAACCATCCATCTATTCAATCCATTTTCGACACCAAAATCATGGTTCTTGTTGGTCCCAAATTCGTGGAGGATGAACTCTTGCAACTTCTTGTAGACCATATAGAAGGCGAGGAGAAGCACGAAAAGTTTACTAATATGCGCGGATTATACACGCATCTTCGAGGACTTCTAGGGGCGCGGAGGTTGCTACTTGTGTTAGATGATGTGTGGGAACATACTATCTATTGGAAAACTTGTCGTAGATTTTTAAATATAAATAGCAGAAGTCGAATCATCATAACTAGTAGGTTGTCAGGTACTCTTCTTCAATTGAGACATGAAAAATTGTTTCTTGGACGAAGATGATAGTTGGAAACTACTACGCAGGACAGTGTTCACAAGTCCTGAAGAATCTTGCGGCTTCCAACTTGAGAAAATCGGGAAGAAGATTGCCAAGGACTGTGAAGGACTTCCTCTGGCTATTGTTTCTATTGGAAAGCTTTTGCGCCGCGCCGAGAAGACGGTGGAATATTGGAAGAAAGTTTCGGAGGATGAAAATCCTCTTGGTATTGTGGTCAATGACAACTCACACATCACAAGGTCGCTCCTTTTGAGCTACGACATGTTGTCTCGGGGTCAAAAGCCGTGTTTTCTCTATGTAGGAGTGTTCCCGCGGAGTTATCTGATCTCTGTCTCCGAACTCATTAGATTGTGGGCAATAGAGGGATTCACAGATACAAGTGACAGGCAACTTCTGGATTCACTTGTCTACTCAAGTGTTGTTTTGGTTCACGAAAGGAGCTCGACAATTGAGAATACCAAAACATGTAGAGTCCATTACGTCTTTCGAAACTTATGCATTAGTATAGCTGAGAAGGAGAAGTTTTGCCACGTCCTAAATAAATACACGTATAGTTTTCCTCGCGGAACAAACCATCAGCCACGGCTGTGCACCCACAACAATGTTATGCTTGGGATTGAGGAAGTGCGCGCCACAATGGGGTCGATTTCATCCATACGGTCTCTTCTCTGTTTAGGTCCGTATCATCCGTATCCACTACGGCTACACTTATGCTTTACAATGTTGAAGATATTAAATGCACTTAGCATCCGCTTCTACACATTTCCCTACGAAACACTGAAGCTAGTTCGGTTGAAGTACCTCGCCATCACATATGATGGAGAACTCCCAAATTCTATATCAAAACTTCAAAAACTTCAAGTTTTGATCGTGAATCGACATGTAAGTATAAAATCCTTGGAGGGTGTTACTTTTTTACCTATGGAGATCTGGAATTTGAAGCAGCTATGGCATTTGCAGTGCTCGGGATTTGACCTGCCGGATCCATTTACTGATCGAACCTTCCTACAAAACCTCAACACGTTGTCTGGTGTGAGTGGTTGCAGCTGTACCAGGGGAGTTCTTGGAAGATTGCCGAAACTAGAGAAGTTAGGAATCCATATTGTGGCAGGACAGAATGAAAAGGAAAACTTCAGTTTTTTCGGTGACATTGCTGACATGAAACCTTACCTTGATTCATTCAAATGCACTGTCTCGGGTTTCAACACTCAAGTTATTTCAGAACTTCCCAATTTCCCCTTTAAATGTGAAAAGATAACATTGAGTGGATGCAAATTTCCATGGAAGTATGTAGAAGTTTTTCGATGCAACCTTAGAATACTAAAACTGCGGCGCAATGCCTTCTGTGGACCGGTGTGGGAACCCTTTCATGGGGAATTTCGTCGTCTAAAATATCTACTGCTGGAAGACTTGGACATGGAGGTGTGGGGAGGAGCCAACTCTCGCCATTTCCCCAAACTGTTGAGCCTAATCATCAAACACTGCTACAAATTGCGCGAGATTCCTATCGATTTTGGGAACATCATAAACCTTAACACCATAGAGGTGGAAGATTGCCGTCCTTCGGTCGCCATATCTGCAAAGAAAATACAAGAAATTCACCAAGAGAAATTCCCAAAAAAGCATCTCCAAGTTCACATCCATTTCTCGTGGGAAGACAAAAGAAAAAGAGGTTAGGACTGTCCTCTAGTTGATCACTTCACAAGGTAATGAATCAATGTTTTATATTCCTATCGATTACTATTTCTGAGTATCCTCATCGTCTTCATCATGATCATCCAGGACATCGAAATCTTGCATACTCTGTTGCTTCAATTTCATCTAGCTCCTACTGACAGTAATTAGCCTATATATACAAATATATATATATATACATGTATGTGCAAGTGTTAATGTTATTTGAAATGGATCATTTTTCATAATAGATGTTACTAGTTCTGTCATTGGTGTGCCATTTGGGATGTATATAAAAACTCATATCTTGTTTAAATTTTTAATTTTTAGAAAATGTAACTGTATTATATATATATATATAATATGTGTATGTATTGTATTATCTACCAAAAAAAGATGTGTTCTTTTATCAAATTGTATCAAATTTCAACTATTCACCATTTTTTCGGATAAATCAAACACTTATATTATACTAAATCAATTTTACATTCAAAATATCACATCAATATTTATTTATATTACATCATATAAATATTCAAATTCAAGATTTTTACTGCTCAAATCCAAACCAAAATCCAAATCCCCGGACAAATACTCCCTTCAGCCAAAAAAAAAAACAAATCGAAAACATATAGTATATAGAAATTATGATATGTATATGCTGTAATCCCATCACCAATAAAATCATAGAGGATATTTTTGATTCACCTCTAACTAATTATAAATATAAAAAATAAAAATAAATAAAATTAAAAACTGAAAGGTTAATTATTGAAATATATAAGATTAACATCTATGCTATGCAATGTTATGTTATGTCACTTTCCGACAAACAGAGACAGGCTCAGCCCCACCACAGCATGCTCTTCTCCTTTGGCTTATGTTGCTTTTCAATCGGCCATGGATAATCTAAGCAGCTTACTTGAAACAGAACCCAAGGGTTGTCCAGTAATAAAATACCTCTATGACGAGCTATATGCAAAAAAATATCTCAGAAATTACATGAAATGCAGGGCAGGAAGCTGAGGGCGGATGCCTTGTTGGAACAGCAAATCGAAGACTTAGCAGAAGAATTTTCAGATCTGATCAAACCTTTCTTACAACCACCAGCTGCATCAGATAATAAAGATGAAGATGAAGTAGATGAAGATTCAGATCCGATGGAATATTTCTTACAGCCATCATATGAAGTTTAAAATCCCAACACACTCTCCCCCGAATTGATGGATCTTCTTCGACAGCTCATTTCCTTGCTCGAAAAGTTCTCCTTGGAGGTACACAACATGAAAGAAGAGAAGATTACAGACGATGGTCGTGGGATGGTGTTCACAAGTCCTGAAGAATCTTGCAGCTTCCAACTTGAGGAAATCAGGAAGAAGATTGACAAGGACTGCGAAGGGCTTCCTCTAGCTATTGTTTCCATTGGCCGTCTTCTGCGCAACACTTAGGTCCGTATCATCCATATCCTATCTGGATACACTTAAGCTTTACAATGTTGAAGATATTAAATGCACTTAGTATCCGCTTCTACACACGCCCCTACGAAACACTGAAGCTAGTTCGGTTGAAGTACCTTGCCATCACATATGATGGAGAACTCCCAAACTCCATATCAAAACTTCAAAAGCTTCAAGTTTTAATCATGGATCGACATGTAAATATAAAATCCTTGGAGGGTGCTTCTTATCTACCTGTGGAGATCTGGAATTTGAAGCAGCTATGGCATTTGCACTGCTCGGGATTTGACCTGCCGGATCCATGTACCGATAGATCCTTCCTATGAAACCTCAAAACATTGTATGGTGTGGGTTCTCGCAGCTGTACCAGAGGAGTTCTTTCAAGATTGCCAAAGCTAGAAAACTTAAAAATCCATATTGTGCTAGGACGGAATGAAAAGGAAAACTTCAATTTTTTCGGTTACATTGCTGACATGAAACCTCTGCTCGAGCCATGGCCCCTTGATGATGTTGATCCAATTTCAACAAAAAGAATTAAAGCTGAGACAGTCCTCGATCTAGTCGATCACTTCACATGGGAATCAATCAATCTTTTATATTCCTCTAAATCATAACTACGATTTGTTTGTATCGTCACCATTATGATCATCTTCATCGTGATCATCCAGGTCATCAAATCTTGCATACTAATTTGTTGGTTCAATTCCATTCTTCTGCTACTAACATTAATTAGCTCTATATATGCAAGTGTTTAATGTTGTTTGAAATGGATAATTTTTCATGATAGATTTTACTAGTTCAATCATCGGTGTTCCATTTGGGATGTATTTACTTGGTCACTATGATTTGTTCGCAAGGTCGTAAAGATTTGTGAAAATTTGCACCAAAGAAAATTTTGTGGAAAAAAATAAAAAAATTTGCAAAACCAATTTTGAGGGTGCACGGTTTAAACAATAAAAATCAAGAAATCAAAAGGAATTCATCTCGGAGAGAAGAGGACGCCACGGACGGCTGGAACAAGAACGACTGTAAAATTTGTAGTCTTTGCTTTTGATTCTAATTATGTTTAGTGGCCAAACTCTTATTTTAGTTTAAGGTTGAATTGAAATTTCCAATTATGGATTTGTAAGATAGTTTTGGTGTGAATTAAATCTTTGGATTAACTAATATTTATGCAGGTTTTGTATCTACCATCATTAGGTGTGATTTGTTATTGTGACCGAAGGTAAATAAAACAGAAAGTAAAATAAAATTATATATAAGAAAATTGAATAATTTTAATAAAAAATAATCATTCTAACATAAATTTATTTATCTAGAATAAATTATAAGATAAATATCGTTTAGTATTAAATAAATATAATAGATATAAGTTTATTTTGTTAATTAAAACCTCACTCTTGACGGTTTAATTAAATGATTAAATTAAAAATAATTTAATTTGATTTATATAAAAAATTATTTTATAATTTAATTGCATTATATAATTTAAAAATATCATAACTAATTTTTAACTATAAAATTCGTATAATATAATTTATGTATAATTAAATACAGATAAAATAATCTATAAATTAAATATATATATATATTCTTCACTCCAAATTGCCCCAATTTTGAAGAAAATCAAAATAAATTCATTTTATATATTTTCCCCTCTCTTTCCCCTTTAAAAAATAGAACCAAACTAGATAATTATATATTTTTTTTCTCCCCTCCCATCCCCTCCCCTCCCTTCCCCTCTATTATTCTCAAACCAAACAGACCCTAAATTGATGTTCAATAGTATTATAATTTTTTTATTTTTTTGGGGATCAAATTGGCGTGTTTCTATTGTGGTTGAATCAAGAATAACATTATAAGGTTAGAGGGATAACACGTGGGGTTAGAGCAGCAAGATTTAGAGGCCAATTTCGACAACAATAATTTAGGTGAATTTGGTATTTAATGGCATTTTTTTTTTTTTTTGTGGGTGTGTGTGCGAGTAGATGCTCACAATTTTTGGTTAAGCATGTTGAAAATGTGCTTCGTGTGTCTGTTTTTCGTTTTACAATACGAGCATATGCATACATTTTGTTGGTCAAAAAAAGTAGTAGATTCCAACACTGTTTTATTTTGTCTGTTTGGCATAGGTTATCATTATTTTTTTATATCTTATTCTAGTTTCTTTCCGGTACTAGATGTCACACATTTTCAAATTTATGTGAGATGTTCTCACACTGTGTATTATTTGTTGAGGGCCAGTGTGCCACAAATGCTTATAGATGTTTTAATTGTTTGCATATATATATATATATATATCTTAGTATGCGTTCGAAAGCATGTAACAACATTATTTGTGTTATAATGGTATGTTTTGAGGGAAAGTGTACTAAAAAATTGAATATCTTTTATGATTATGCATGCCTTATCAAAGTTTCTATTTTGTTTTAATTCATGTCTAATATGGATAGACAGGGTCACTAAAAATTTACGTCTTTTTTCGGACTATGGTGGTTGCTTTTGTTGGGCGCATTTGTTTCGAATTTGTATTTTTGTGTATTTATTTTAATTGTGTGATATATGTATCCAATATTTGTGATTTTTCTTTAATTACGTGTTTGATATCAATAAAAGTTTGTATTTTTGTTAGACTATGTGACCTAAAGGTTGGATATATAATTTTTTGTATTTGTGGTTATTGTTGCATATTTATTTTAAATGTGTGTAAATCATTGCACATCTTTTGTGATTATACATGCCTTATATGTTGGGGTAGACTCACGCAATACTTTTATTTTTGTTTTAATTATGTGTTTGATATTGTTTGGAGTAAACACAGTAAAAATAAAACTTTTCATTTTTATTCGAACTATGTGGATGATTTTTTTTTTAGATTGCATATTTGTTTGAATTTTTTATATTTGTGGTTGTTGGGTATTTATTTTTTATTGTACACCTTTATATGATTGTGCATGTCTTATCTATTTATCTTTTATTATTGTGATTTTTTTGTGGTTGTTGCGTATTTATTATAATTGTACGTTTATTACTTGGAGTCCTTGAAAGCATGTAATAAGATTGGGTAAGGGCTAAGTGTAATCAAAATATTGTACATCTTTTATGATTGTGCATGTCTTATCCAATGACGGTAGCTCTATCCGAAGTTTGTATTTTTGTTTTAATTATGTGTCTGATATTATTTGCACGTAGACACGGTAAAAGTAAATATTTGAATTTTTATTTGAACTATTTGTTTGCTTTTTGTTGGGGGCATGTATTTGTTTGGAATGTGTAGTTTTTTATATTTGTGGTGACGCGTATTTATTTTAATGTATATTAATTAGAGTGCCTTGAAAGCTTGTATTGTATATTTTGACGGCAAGTATACTCAAAATATTGTATATCTTTTATAATTGTGCATGTCTTATCTATTGGGGTAGTTGTACCCGATGTATGTAATTTTGTTTTAGTTACATGTTTGATTATCATTTGGGGTAGATACGGTAGAAGTAAAATTTTGTATTTTTTATTCAAACTATATTATTGCTTTTTGTTGGAGGCTTGTGCCTTAAAGGTTGCATATCTGTTTGGAATATGTGCTTGTTTATATTTGTGGTTGTCGTGTCTTTATTTTAATTGTGTGCTTCTTAATTGGGTAATAAGATTAGTTGTGTACTTATTGTATGTGTTGATGTCAAGTGTACTAATGATCCCAACAAAAAGAAAGAAAATTACGTACCAATTCTTGTCGGATTTGGCTTCTAATCCTTTCCTCTACTCACGATGTTGTTCTTGATTCAACTTCAATAGAGAGAAAACACATCAGTTTGATCCTAACAAAATAGAAAAATTATAATACTATTGAGTCTTGAAAGAAAGTTACGTACCGATTCTTATCATGATTTGTCCGTATGCCTTGCCCCTTTAACATCACAAATGTTGTTCTTGATTCAACCTCAATAGAGAGAAAACACATCAATTTGATACTAGCAAAATAAAAAAAATATAATACTATTTAGTCTCAACAAAATGAAAGAAAGTTACGTACCAATTCTTATCATAATTGGTCTGTATGACTTGCCCTTTTAACATCACAATTTTGTTCTTGATTCAACCTCAATAAAGAGAAAACAAAATGAAAAATCTAGCACTATTGATCCCAACAAAAAGAAAGAAAAATACGTACCAATTCTTGTCGGATTTGGCCTCTAATCTTTCCCTCTACTCATGATGTTGTTCTTGATTCAACCTCGATAAAAAGAAAACACATCAGCTTAATCCCAAAAAAATGAAAAAATTATGATATTATTGAGTCTCAACAAAATAAAAGAAAGTTACATACCAATTCTTGTCATGATTGGTCCGTATGCCTTGCCCATTTAACATCACAATGTTGTTCTTGATTCAACCTCAATAGAGAGAAAACAAAATAAAAAATCTGGCACTATTGATCCCAAACAAAAAGAAAGAAAATTACGTACCAATTCTTGTCGGATTTGGCCTCTAATCCCTCCCTCTACTCACGATATGTTCTTGATTCAACCTCAATAGAGAGAAAACACATCAGTTTGATCCAATCAAAATGAAAAAATTATAATACTATTGAGTTTCAACAAAATAAAAGAAAGTTACGTACCAATTCTTATCATGATTGTTCTTGATTCAACCTCACCAGAGTGAAAATACATCAATTTGATATCAGGCATCAATTTAATCTCAACAAAATGAAAGAAAGTTACATACCAATTTTCATCGGGTTTGGTTTATTAGCCTTGCCCCTCACGATGTCGTTCTTGATTCAACCTCAATAGAGAGAAAACACAAATTGAGCCCAACAAAATGAAAAAGCAATAATACTATTGAGCATCAATTTAATCTCGACAATTAAAGAAAGTTGCATACCAATTCTCATGAGGTTTATCGTAAAAGTGTGAGCATCTTCAGCTGTAGGATTGCAGCTTTAAGAAGGATCGATCACAGAAGATAGTCACTGCTGAAAGATTCAAGAACCTCACTGTCATTATCATCATCGTCTTCCTCGCTTTCAGTATATGTTTGAATCCACCTGCAGAGTAGTTCATTCCCCGTCAATATTACAATTGATTAATAAACCAAAAAAATAGCAGCACCAAGCTACACCAACCTGAAGTTCGGTCAATATATGTGCAATAGCATCAACCTAAAAGCACTCGGGCATGTAAGAGCACGAAGACAATCAAGAGCTGCAGGGGATGTCACCATTCGAGGTTGGAGAAGCGGAAGAAGAACCATTATAACATGCCTGGAACGAACAGCTTCTCTAGCTTGACGATATCCTTGTCCAAGCACGAGATCCTGCGATCTCCAACTAAACCAGAAGCAACTAATGAAGCAGATGCCTGTGATGATGAAGTGTTACCTGTGATGATGAAGTGTTACCAACAGATCATGGCATAGGTGTCAGTTCCCCAGTTTGATCCCTTGATTCATTCTGATTTGGACCACGCTCTGGGACATTCCTCTCTGAATTTCTGTCCCTGGAGTTTATAGCAGATTGATTTCCAGCTTGAGTAGAAGAAGCTTGCTGACCTTGCATTAGACTTGGCTTATTGCTTATTCGGCACAAATTCAACGCTGGTTCAACAATCTACAATTTTGACAATGAAAATTTTCAAAGTTAATTGAGGCATGCAATTAAAATAAATACGCTAAAACACAAATTCCAAACAAGCTTGCTTTGTTGTTTATGGGCACCAGGCTGTACAGATTTTTCAAGGAACTACAAGCAGCAGAGAATGACCTTGGTTTCTTCTTTGAGGACAAAGTGCAAGGCTCACTTCTCAAGCTGGAATACGTTTGGTCTATCCAACAAGAATCCACAAGTTGCTCATTCAGATGGCCATTGCATTTGTATTGATGACAACTCCTGCCCAGATGCGTGTTGTGCTAAAGATGATGGAGCAGCCAATGGTGATAACTTAGCAAGGATGCAGTCTCACCTAATCCAGATGCTCATGGATAAGCTTCTCAAGCTGGAATGGCCATTGCATTTGTACTGATGACAACTCCTGCTCAGATGCGTGTTGTGCTAAAGATGATGGAGCAGCCAAGGATGGCATTGGTGATAACCTAATCCAGATAATTAAAGGTGCTCATGGATAAGCCCTGAAGTTGGTGTTGATCAGAAGAAAATTAAACAAAAAATCATGATCCATATATCTAGGAAGGAATGATTATCAAATACCTAGAATGATAAGAAACTGGAGTAGCAGCAGCAATGGCTGCTCCTCTTTCAATGGTCTCAAAGTGGGAGTCGCTGCATCACTAGCTGCTAAAGTACTCGGCATGTAAGAGCACGAAGACAATCAAGAGCTGCAGGGGATGTCACCATTCGAACCAGCCCAGCACAACCTGCTCGAGCACCTAAATCTCCAACTAAAAACCAGAAGCAACTAGCAGATGCCTGTGATGATGACCAACAGAAGATGGCATCAGTTCCCCAGTTCGGTCCCTTGATTCAATCTGATTCGGACCACACTCGCATGCACCAATTCTATTCAATGCAAAGTGATATAACTTCACAATTTGCTGCTGCATCCACATGTAGAGGATATTCGTAAATCATGAGTCTGTAAGTAATATATTTGTCTTCTTTTTTTCTGCTGGAGAGAGTCTAGGAATAATTTAGCAACTACACCATGGATCCACGGGAACTTTTGTAATATCCGAATAGTTGACAGCATCCACAATGCAAAAAGCAGAAAAGAGAGGGTGCTTCACACGGCGTGCATTGAATGCTGAAGTGACATCCTCTAGATTTCGCCCGAGGATTGCATATATAACATCACCACTGGCATTAAATGTTATCACCGACTGTCTGATCTAATGATGCTTGTCATGAAGAAATTAGAGCGCATACCAATAAGCTCACTTGAGTTAATTCGGCCTGCTACCTATTTTGGTCACCACTGGCAGTTTGGCTCCCACTCGGATGAGCTCTGATAACTTTTCTTAACCTAAAAAAATAAAATAATATTAGAAAGCTTATAGCTATGGGTGTGCACTTGCCATTTCACCACTTGATCATTCCCCGTCAATTTCACAATTGTTTAATAAACCAAAAAAGTAGCAGCACCAAACTACACCAACCTGAAGTGCGGTCAATATTGCAATAGCATCAACCTAAAAGCACTCGGCATGTAAGAGCACGAAGACAATCAAGAGCTGCAGGGGATGTCACCATTCGAGGTTGGAGAAGCTGAAGAAGCATGCTTTACACGAACAGCTTCTCTAGCTTGACGATATCCTTGTTCAAGCTGAGCACCAAGCCAAGCACGAAATCCTGCGATCACCAACTAAACCAGAAGCAACTAATGAAGCAGATGCCTGTGACGATGAAGTGTTACCAACAGATGATGGTGTCAGTTCCCCAGTTCGAACCCTTGATTCATTCTGATTTGGACCACGCTCTAGGAAATTCCTCTCTGAATTTCTGTCCCTGGAGTTTATAGCAGATTGATTTCCGTATTGCTGACCTTGCATGAGACTTGGCCTATTGCTTATTGATGAAGGATGGCACACAAGCTTTATTAAAAAATTCAATGCTGGTTCAACAATCTACAATTTTGACAATGAAAATTTTCAAATTTAATTAAGGCACAAATAACTTTAAAATAAACCATACGGTTGATGTGCAACATTACCTCAGGTTCATCATAGCCATCACCATCGTTAGGTCGAATAGAATCCACAAGCAAGAGGAGATGTGCCCTGAATTATTGTCACAGTTCCAGCCAACTTAACAATCTGATGGACAATATTTGGCGGAAGAGAACAAACACGCTTCATTATCAACTGCAAAAGTATGGAGTGAATCAATAACCATCCTCAACAAGTGATACAAAGCAGCAACAAAATAAGGAGTAAACAACCAAATCATACCAAAATGTGTATGAAGAATTTAGTGCAAGTGGAAACAACAAAAAATATAGGCAGGACAAACTACCTGAATTGACCCAATAGTTCATAAGCAGGAAGAAAGACCCACATATGTATGGGCATTTCTAGGAGTCGCAAGGAGTCTGTCCATGCCACCGCAATCAACAAACAATGCAGAAAACTTTCTGCGAGCAGCCAATGCACATATTAGCTTCAAAGTTCATTCATAAGGAATTTAGTGTAGGGTGTTTCTTCGAGCATAAGACTTCGCTGCAGTAGTGCAAGGCATACATTTACTCCTTCTCATGGAGTACAGAACCAAGAACTTCAACATACTCCCCAAGAAACACAAGACACTGGATACAGAATTTCTCTCTCAACTTCAGAAGGGAATGACCACCTGGAATAGAAAATTCAGCAAATTCATGGCTTTGAATTCTACAAGTATCAGCATATCAAATGAAAATATAGATATATAGCATAAATAACCATGTCTCAAATACAAAACGATTAAAACATATAGGAAAGTGTCATCAGTTAAAGACATCTCATGAAGCATAGGAGCACCAACCTTGCAAGAGCAACTGCACTGGCAGCATCCATAACAGTGGGATGAAGATCTGGATGCAGCAACCACAATAGCTTCTTCATCATTCGTCTTCTTGTATTCCTGCACTAAAGATATGCACAAATAAGTTCATGAGAAACAAGCATTCAACAAGAACCTAGAGAGGTGAGAGAACCTGCTCACCTCTAATCAGCTGTCTTAACGACCTCAGCAGCAGCAGCACCTGCAGCCTTAATGGCACAGGCAGGTGCATGGTCTGTTCTTTCTTCGCTCAGCAGCTCCGACTGCTTTCATAACCAACTCAGTAATGTCTCAGAAACTCCTTCATTGGACCTACCTCTTGATCGCGATCGATACTCCTTCAAAGTCTTCTTCCCCATGAGATTTTCCACCAGGTTTCTCTTTTGACTGGCAGAGATCCCACTTCTCGTCACTATCTGCTTCAGCATCATATGCATCAACCTCAGTAGCTACACTATCAAGATGTTCCTCATCACCCCAGTACATATCCCCATATGTTTGCCTATTGCCACACCTCTCATCATCTCAATCAAGGTTGTCCATAGATGTGGGATCTTTTTCACGTTCACTCTCAGTGGGATGGGCTCTGATAGTCTCAGTATCCATGTGAAAACTCTCTGTCACTTGCTTTGACTTACCCCTGCCATCCTCTTTGGCCTTTAGAGCCATGCTAGACACACATTTGTTGTCAAACAATACCTTAGAAGCTTTTGGTTTGTGTTAACCGTACTCGTAGATATCACATTATGTCAACACATCTTCCACTAACTGACCACCGTTGAAAAAGCAACATCAAAAGGAAATTATGAGAGGGGAAAAAGAAAACAGTAGTAAAGTGAAATAAAAATCTCGGAATATACTTCTCCAAGCATGCAGTCAGCAGGCCAGTAGCATAAGTGCGCAACATTTCAGCATCTGACCCTTTCCTTCTCTCTTTGTAGTTCTTTTTTTTTCATTTTTTTTTTTTCTCCTTGGGTAAGTCCTGCATGTCCAACCCTCACCAGCCGTCTTTACAACCTATTTTTCAGCTATTCAAATATCAGTCTCAGCTCCAAATCAACCCGCTGAAAAGATGTAGAGATCATGAAACCAAACATGCCAATTTTACCTCCAAAATATTCTTGTTCTCTGTAATCAGTGTGATATAGGATGTTCCTGCTTAATGAGTTCTTTTTCTTCCTGCCAATGTGAAAAAACCATATATGGTTATTGAACAAACTAACAACCAATGGGATTTAGTAAACCTAAACAAGTTACCTACTTTGTTTTCTTGTTCTCTTTCGCGACTTGTCTTCCATTTTGCCGCACGCAGGTTCAACATCTCCTTGAGGTCAACATCCAATTGGCTTTTTTTCAGTTTTTTTCTTTTCTCCCTTTTTTTTTTCTTTTTCATTTTTTCTCTTTTTTTTTCATTTGTTTTTTTTTAATTTTTTCATCTTTGTTTCCATTTTTTTCAAATTTTTTACCCCTTTTCCAGCTTTTTTTTTTTTTTTCAACCTTTTTTCTTGATTTCTTTGCAAAATAATACAGTAAGAACAGCAACAAAAAAAAGCACAAACTTGCAAACTGTAACACAAAATAAAGCCAACGATAAACCATCTCTCGCCCAAACACTTACCTTTTTAGCTTTGGCATTCAAAAGAGGATGGATATCTCTTCTTAACTTCAACAAAGTAGCAAAACCATACTTTTGAAGCATATTCTTCATGTCCATCCCTCACGTCTTCACAATCTGGTTTTAGACAATTAGAATATTAGTTTTATTTAAATCCAAATCAACCCACTTAAAAGATACAAATATTAGAAAACCAAGCAAGCTAGATTTACCTCAACAATGTTCTTATTCTCTTCAATCAATATAGCTCGCCACTTCTTCGAGTAAAAGAAAGCTGAGATAGGATGTTTCGGCTTTAATGGGTCTTTTTCCTTCCTACCAATGCAAAGGAACCATACATGATTATTAGTTTGATTCAACTCCAAATCAACCCACTTAAAAGAAGTAGAAATGAGAAAACCAAGCAAGCTAATTTACCACCAAAAAATTCTTATTCTCTAAAATCAACGTAGCTCGGCACTTGTTCGAGTAGATGAAGGCCGCCATAGGATGTTTCGGCCGTAATTGGTCCTTTTCCTTCCTATATGTGCAGAAGAACCATATATGATTATTAAACAAATTAACAACCAATAGGATTTAGTAAAACTAAACAATTCATATATACTTACTTCTTTTTCTTATTTTCTTTCACGGCTTTCTTTTTTTTTTCAATTTTTTTCCTTTTTTCTCTTTCTTTTTTTTTCCTCTGTTTTTTCATTTCTGTTTTTTTTTTAACCATTTTTTTTTCAGATTTTTTTTTCTTTCGTTTTTCTTTTCGTCTTTTTTGGTACGCACTGCATGTCCATTGTGGTGCTGCATTATAAAATAAAGAAAACATTAATGAGATGTAATTAAGCCAACGATAAACCATCTCCTGCCCAAACAATTACCTCTTCATCTTTGGCATCCAAAAGAGGATGAATATCTCTTCTCAACTTCAAAAAAGTAGCCAAACCGTACTTTTGAAGCATAGTCTTCGTGTCCATCCCTCACCTGTAGTCTTCACAATCTGGTTTTAGACAATTCAAATGTTATTTTTATCTAACTCCAAATCAACCCACTTTAAAGATATAGATATTAGAAAACCAAACAAGCAAGTTTTTACCTCAACAATGTTCTTATTCTCTTCAATCAATGTAGCTCAGCGATTTTTCGAGTAGATGGAGGCCTGCTATAGGATGTTTTGGCTTTAATATTTCCTTTTCCTTCCTATCTACTTAAAAAAACCATATATGATTATTAAACAAACTAAAAACTAATGAGATTTAGTAAAACAAAATTAATTAATGTATACTTACTTAGTTTTCTTGTTTTCTTTCACGACTTCACTAATTGTCTTCCATTTTGCCCACAACAAGTTCGACATCTCTTTGAAGTATGCATTTTGAATGGCTTTCTTTTTTGTTTCATCTTTTTTCCTTTTTTTTTTATTTGTTTTACTTTCGTTGGGTAAGTATTGCATGTCCACCCCTCACCGCCGGTCTTCAAAACCTGGTTTCCGACAATTCAAATGTTAGTTTGATTCAACTCCAAATCAACCCACTTAAAAGAAGTAGAAATTAGAAAACCAAGCAAGCTAATTTACCTCCACAATGTTCTTATTCTCTAAAATCAATGTAGCTCGGCACTTGTTCGAGTAGATGAAGGCCAACATAGGATGTTTCGGCCGTAGTGGGTCCTTTACCTTCCTATCTGTGTAGAAGAACCATATACGAGTATATAACAAACGAACAACCAATAGGATTTAGTAAAACTAAACAAATCCATATATACTTACTTTTTTTTTTCCTGTTTTCTTTCACAGCTTTCTTTTTTTTCAATTTTTTTGCGTTTTTCCTGTTCTTTTCTTTTTTCTGTTTTTTTAATTTCTTTTTTTTTTTAACCTTTTTTTTCAGATTTTTTTTTCCTTTACTTTTTTTTTCTTTTCATTTTTTGGGTAGCCACTGCATGTCCATTGTGGTGCTGCATTATAAAGAAAACACTAATGAGATGTAATTAAGCCAACGATATACCATCTCTTGCCCAAACAGCTTTGGCATCCAAAAGAGGATGAATCTCTCTTCTCAACTTCAAAAAAGTAGCCACACCATACTTTTGAAGCACATTCTTCATGTCCATCCCTCACCGGCAGTATTCACAATCTGATTTTAGACAATTCAAATGTTAGTTTTATCTAACTCCAAATCAACCAACTTTAAAGATATAGATATTAGAAAACCAAGAAAGTCAATTTTTACCTCAACAATGTTGTTATTCTCTTCCGTCAATGTAGCTTAACGCTGTTTCGAGTAGATGGAGGCCTGACATAGGATGTTTTGGCTTTAATATGTCCTTTTCCTTCCCATCTATGTAAAGGAACCATATATGATTATTAAACAAACTAACAACCAATGAGATTTAGTAAAACTAAACAAATTAATGTATACTTACTTTGTTTTCTTTCACGACTTCGCTAATTGTCTTCCATTTTGCCCCCAACAAGTTTGGCATCTCTTTGAAGTGAGCATTTGGATTGGCCTTCTTTTCTGTTTTATCTTTTTTTCTCTTTTATTTATTTATTTATTTTACTCTCTTTTGGGTAGGTATTGCATGTCCATCCCTCACTGCCGGTCTTCAAAACCTGGTTTTAGACAATTCAAATGTTAGTTTGATTCAACTCCAAATCAACCCACTTAAAAGAAGTAGAAATTAGAAAACCAAGCAAGGTAATTTACCTCCACAATGTTCTTATTCTCTAAAATCAATGTAGCTCGGCACTTGTTCGAGTAGATGAAGGCCAACATAGGATGTTTCGGCCGTAATTGGTCCTTTACCTTCCTATCTGTGTAGAACAACCATATATGATTATATAACAATCTAACAACCAATAGGATTTAGTAAAACTAAACAAATTCATATATACTTACCTTTTTTTCTTGTTTTCTTTCATAGCTTTTTTCTTTTTTGCTTTTTTTTTTAACTTCTTTGCTTTTTATCTTTCTTTTTCTTTTTTCTCTGTTTTCTTTTTTTTTTCTGCTTTCTTTAATCGTCTTTTTTTTTCAGATTTTTTTTTCTTTCTTTCTTTTTTCTTTTTTCTTTTCATTTTTTTTGGATAGGCACTGCATGTCCATTGTGGTGGTGCATTATAAAGAAAACATTAATGAGATGTAATTAAGCCAACGATAGACTATATCCTGCCCAAACACTTACCTTTTCAGCTTTGGCATCCAAAAGAGGATGAATATCTCTTCTGAACTTCAAAAGAATAGCCAGACCGTACTTTTGAAGCACATTCTTCATGTCCTTTCCTCACCGACACAATCTGGTTTTAGACAATCAAATGTTAGTGTTATTTAACTCCAAATCAACCCACTTTCAAGATATAGATATTAGAAAACCAAGCAAACAAGTTTTTACCTCAACAATGTTCTTATTCTCTTCAATCAATGTAGCTCACCGTTTGTTTGAGTAGATAGAGACATGACATAGGATGTTTTGGCTTTAATATGTCGTTTTCCTTGCTATCTATGTAAAGGAACCATATATGATTATTAAACAAATTACAAACAAATGAGATTTAGTAAAACAAAACAAAACAAATTAATGTATACTTACTTAGTTTTCTTGTTTTCCTTCACGACTTCATTAATTGTCTTCCATTTTGCCCCCAACAAGTTTGACATCTCTATGAAGTGAGCATTTGGATTGGCTTTATTTTTCGTTTCATTTCTTTTTCTCTTCTTCTTTTATTTATTTAACATTCTTTGGGTAAGTATTGCATGTCCAACCCTCGCCGACGGTCTTCAATACCTGGTTTTAGACAATTAAAATGTTAGTTTGTCAACTCCAAATCAGCCCACTTAAAAGAAGTAGAAATTAGAAAACAAAGCAAGCCAGATTACCTCCACAATGTTCTTATTTTTTACAATTAACGCAGCTTGGCACTTGTGTGAGTAGATGAAGGCCGACATTGGATGTTTTGACCTAATGAGTTCCTTTGCTTCCTGTGATGTAAAAGAACCATATGTGATTACCAAAAAAACTAACAACTAATAGAATTTAGTGAAACTAAACAAATTTATATATACCTACTTTGTTTTCATGTTTTCTTTCACAGGTTCGACATTTGCACTTTGATTGACTTTTTTTTTTTCTCTCTGTTTCTTTGTTCTTTTTTATTTTATTTTTTTTTTCATTTGTTTCATTTCTTTTTTTTTTCTGATTTTTTTTCTCTCCGGTCTTTTTGTTCATTTATTTGAGTAGGCACTGCATTTCCATTGTGGTACTGCATTATAAAAGAAAACATTAAATGAGAACCATGCATACTTATAAAGGGGTTATCTAAGTTGCAATGCATAAAAGACATGAAAAATATATATTCGTAGAAAGTATTTCAATTAAAATATAGTTAACTTACCTTGAACAATGCACTCCAATCTTTCACCCGGCATCACAGCTAAATGGATAATAATAATAATGAGTGAACCAAGCTGAGCTCAACAAACCTCACCATGGGTTAGTGTATGCACTCAAGTTAAATCATAAAAATGACAATCCCATGGGCTTGCATGTCAATCATATCTCCCTCACTTAAGGGACCTAATGACAAGTATCAGGAGGTCTTTAAACAGGTGTAATGGGGCTCGGGGTATAGGTAGAAAAAAGATAATGAACGGCTAAAAAGTGTCGAAACAACAATGGAAAGAATTAAAGCATATCACTTGTAAGAACTGAAATCAACATTACATTGGTAACCATAACTCCACTCATTTTTGTTTCTTTTTGTTTTTTTTTTTACTTTTTTGTGCTGCTTCTTTTTGTTTTCTTGTTTCAGCACTTTTTTTTTTTTTTTTTGTTTTGTTGGGGTCTAGCCCCTTTGTTTTATTTTCTTTTTTGTAAACATCAACAACACTATACTTTCCCTTTCTACATTTTATACAAGAAGAATATAAATGATAGCCATAAAACTTCCACTCTTCCTTCGACACAAGGATCAATATAAGGTATAAATCCAAAAAATGGTATATGGCTAAAGGATTAATGATTAATTGAAGAATGAAAAGGTTTTCAAAAGGCTCAACAGTGTTAACTAGTGGATAAAATTTTTGGGTAGGATAATTTAAGCCAAGTGGGTATACCTAATGCCCCCGTCATCTTACTTATATCAGGTCCTTATGTGTGTTCAACATGCATTTCGAGGCAAGTTCTAGAATGCCAATTTAGATCTAACATCACACATGAAAAAAAATATATAAATATTGACTGCTCTAGGCTCAAAGTCCTCACATAGGAAGGAAATAAAATATTAAGCTCGGCAAGGTTCAAACATCAATGGATGGCAAGTGAAATAACAATGCATCGACATAGTTGATATCCTGGAAGGGGGAAATATAAAGTCCATGAGCCCCAAACAAGAAATTGCAAAAGCAGACCAATCTAATCCAAGATTAACAGAAAACCCAACTTACAGGGGTCCGGTGGGCAGAGCAGAGCAGAGCAGAACGAACGAAGGCCGGGTAAAGCGTTGGTTTTTCTCCTTTCTCTGGATCTTCTTCTGCAATCAGACGAAGAAACTTGTAAAATCGAACCGATTCGATTAAAGAAAAATGAAAAAATCGAATCAAGAAGCAGATTGAATTTAAAATGGAAAACCTAAAACGGATGACTAGGGACGACGGACTTTCTTATGGCCGCCGGCCGACGACCGGCGTAGACGACGGAAGACAGTCTCTTCCATGATCGATTTCCGCTCTTCTTGTCTCTGGACTTTCTCTTCTCTCCCATTTCCATCCGTCTCTCTCTCTCTCGTGCTTCAAAAGTATGGTAATAATCTTCCTTCCCGTTATGAAGTTTGGTTTAAGTATGGTAATAATATTTCAAATTATGGTAATAATTTTTCAAATTTTTATAACTAAAACACACTACTTGATAAAAATTATATTATTATTTTTCATATAAAAAAATATTAAATCAAATTAGTTATTTAATATTTTATTGATAAAATAGATAATTAATTTTAGCATAAATTATTTTTATATTAGGAGTAATTATTTGTAATCATATTAAAACTCTAAAAATTTAAATCTAAATTTAGATTTTTAATAGTAACAAATTATTAATGTAGTTATGTAAAATATATATTAAAATTTGGATCTAAGTGGGTGCTATTTAATTAACATTGGTATTAGTTAGTTTGTTTTGGTAATTAGTAGTATTAATTAAGAAAAGTGATCAACTTAGAATTTTTTTTTTATTTGATGTAACCATTAGGAATTTTAAATTTTAAAAATATATAGTCGACATCAGTTAGTTTCTTTTGGTAATTAGTAGTATTAATTGAGAAAATTGATCAAATCAAAAATTTGTTTGGATAAATCGAAAATCCTTTAAAATTGGCAAGATTTGACAATTGTTATTTTTTTAAAAAAGTGATAAAATATTGAAAATTAGTAATTATTTTAGAGCTATTTTCAATATGGCTATTTCATATTTGCATCAAATTACATCTTATCTTTAAAAATAAAAAAATAAAAAAATAAGTTAGTTTAAATATTTAATCTTATTTTAAAATTAGGGATGGGCATTCTGGTCGGGTAGATAGGGTCTGACACTAGATCGGATTTGGATTAATCGAGTCGGTGTTTTTTTATGAAAATATATAAAAATTTTGGGTACTCGATAAAAAAAAAAAAAAAAAGGTAAGATATCGGGTATTAACGTTTACACCCAAAACCCGTTCGGGTAGTCGAATTTGTTTTGGTATTATATTTTAACATAGGTTATTATTAATAATAGTAATTAGTTGAAATAGGAGTTCGATTATAAGATTTTTAATACAATATATATATATATTATATTTAATTTTATATTTTTATAATATATATACATTGATTGAATATGATATTATTAATATTATTAAATATTATTATTATTATTTTTTATCATTTCTCTAATTTAAAATAATTAAGATATATTAAAAGTTCAAGACGCTTACACTTAACTCGATCGAAATTTTAAATTTATAATTATAGATGTACATCATTATATGTTATTTTGTATATTTATAACTTTTGAATTATTTATAGTTAAAAATTTAGCACTTATAATTTTATATGCATGAAATACTTTATTTATATTTAAAAAATAGTAAAACTATCTTTTTAACATAAAAAATAAAATAAAACTAAAAAAGAAAATTAAGGTATTCAAATTCGAAGAGGTCGAGTACCACATATTTCGGGTAATTGAAATGTTTAGGTCAAGTCGGATAATATAAAATATTACCCGAAATTTTAGACTACCGACTCGAACTACCCAAATTAAAACTCCATTGTGGAAAATGTAACAAATATTATGCATAATAAAGCTAACAAAAGTTGCAGCACAATATTGGTATTCTTGCTTTATACATACAATGGAATAATATTTTAGACTTATATATGTACACTTTCTTAAAAGTCTAAGGGGTTTTTACTTAGTGTTTTGATTTTGATTTTTTCTTTTTTTTTTTTTAATGTGAGGCAGTAATATTTTATATTGAATATTGATTTTTGTAAAAAGAAAATATATATTATGAATCGTGTTGGAAAAAGAAAATTATGGGCAAACAAACCCTAATTAATTATCTTGTTTGGATAGTTCTTCAGACCATTTTAAGAATTCATGGTGAAAGAAGAGTCTCGCATCTTTTAACACAGTGAAATTTGATTTTGACACCAATATTAGATCCGTCGTTGATGTGAAATTTTGGAAAAATTTTAGGCTTTTAGATCATATAATGCTAAGGATAGCATCGATAAATGCTTCAAATAATTATTGTATTTAAATTTGTGCACACTTGAAAGTTTCTCTGGCACCTATGGACATATATGAGTTTTGTCTAGGGAGTTGAGAGTCACCTTCACATAACCATAAAATTGACGGTTAAGTAAATGGTTTTTGTGACAAAATTAATATTAAAGACTCAAAAATCGCATTGTTATAAAGGCAAATAAATAGGCATAATATATAGACTCGATAAATTTGAATCTAAATAAGATAAGATCTAATCTAAATATAAATTTATTAAATTTAAAATTAAATATTTAAAATATCTCAACCGTTTTGATCAAACAAATATTTAGAAATCACCATACATGCCCTCTAACTTATCAATAGCTGGGAGGGCACTTGTAATAATTCTTATGAACGTATTGTAGATTTACCTAGCTACGTAAATGTTTGTAAGATGAGACTAGAGATATTGTCGTAAATGTAGTTTCAAATATCTACTTGTAAGTAGTCAATCCATAAAATAAAATTATCATTGACTACTTATTCCCTAGGCGACGGTTATAATGTTGACCGGAAAAAATCAACGTAGTATTGATTTGCTTCAATCATAAAATATAAAACATAACGACAACATACATTTTTTTTTTTATAGTATATGAATATATTTATTGTATTGAAATTAATAATAGCATATACTATATAAAATTATATCATGTACTATCAATTTATGTCCTATATTTATATTATATTAGCATAAATAAGTAAAGAAAACAGTTCTTCAGCTCTTCCGACACTTATTGTAACTCAACGCCACGGTTTTCGCTATCCGATCCTCCTTGTCGTAGTTTTTCACGTAATTGCTCACATTATCCGAGAGGAGAATGGATGAGTCAGTAAAGGCGGTGTCTTACTAAGCTAATCGCTTACTGTTACGATTCGAGCTAAGATTCAGCCTTTCAGCCGGATAGGCTTTTACAACGAAGCCAGGATTCTCGCGAACCGTTCTTGACCAAACCAAAACCCTATTCCTTCAATAAACAATAAAGGCTCGAGAGACATATCTTCCCCTTTACTACTACAAACCAGAAGGGAATACCACATAGCAACGGTTCGAAGGGCGGGAAGCGTCGTTGTTCAGACTAGTTACCGAGTCCTTTTCAGATCTCTATAGCATTCGTCCGCCAGGAATGACTCGACCGAGTTGGAGAGGGAGGACCCCGGCGTCCTGGGCCATCGCACGGATTGCGCTCATTTCTTGCGATGTGTAGTCCACAAGAATACCTCCGATCACCACAAGCGCCAGCGGTAGTCCGTTGCATTGCTTGGCAATCAGCCTCCCCGAAGACTTGGACATGAAGGTGTGGGGAGCCAACTCTCGCCGTTTCCCAAAACTGGAGCGCCTGGTTATCAGACACTGTTACAAATTGCGCGAGATTCCGGGAACATCAAAAGCCTTAAGATGATAGAGGTGGAAGATTGTCGTCCGTGTGTTGGCACAACGGCTAAACAAATACAGGAAATTCACCAAGAGAAATTCCCAAATAAGCATCTCCAAGTTGGTAACCATATCTCATGGGAAGACAAAAAGAATTAAAGCTGAGACAGTCCTCGATCTAGTCGATCACTTCACATGGGAATCAATCAATCTTTTATATTCCTCTAAATCATAACTACGATTTGTTTGTATCGTCACCATTATGATCATCTTCATCGTTATCATCCAGGTCATCAAATCTTGCATACTAATTTGTTGGTTCAATTCCATTCTTCTGCTACTAACATTAATTAGCTCTATATATGCAAGTGTTTAATGTTGTTTGAAATGGATAATTTTTCATGATAGATTTTACTAGTTCAATCATCGGTGTTCCATTTGGGATGTATTTACTTGATCACTATGATTTGTTCGCAAGATCGTAAAGATTTGTGAAAAATTGCACCAAAGAAAATTTTGTGGAAAAAAATAAAAAAATTTGCAAAACCAATTTTGAGGGTGCACGGTTTAAACAATAAAAATCAAGAAATCAAAAGGAATTCATCTCGGAGAGAAGAGGACGCCACGGACGGCTGGAACAAGAACGACTGTAAAATTTGTCGTCTTTGCTTTTGATTCTAATTATGTTTAGTGGCCAAACTCATATTTTAGTTTAAGGTTGAATTGAAATTTCCAATTATGGATTTGTAAGATAGTTTTGGTGTGAATTAAATCTTTTGATTAACTAATATTTATACAGGTTTTGTATCTACCATCATTAGGTGTGATTTGTTATTGTGACCGAAGGTAAATAAAACAGAAAGTAAAATAAAATTATATATAAGAAAATTGAATAATTTTAATAAAAAATAATCATTCTAACATAAATTTATTTATCTAGAATAAATTATAAGATAAATATCGTTTAGTGTTAAATAAATATAATAAATATAAGTTTATTTTGTTAATTAAAACCTCACTCTTGACGGTTTAATTAAATGATTAAATTAAAAATAATTTAATTTGATTTATATAAAAAATTATTTTATAATTTAATTGCATTATATAATTTAAAAATATCATAACTAATTTTTAATTATAAAATTCGTATAATATAATTTATGTATAATTAAATACAGATAAAATATCTATAAATTAAAAATATATATATATATATATTCTTCACTCCAAGTTGCCCCAATTTTGAAGAAAATCAAAATAAATTCATTTTATATATTTTCCCCTTTCTTTCCCCTTTAAAAAATAGAACCAAACTAGATAATTATATATTTTTTTTCTCCCCTCCCTTCCCCTCCATTATTCTCAAACCAAACAGACCCTAAATTGATGTTCAATAGTATTATAATTTTTTTATTTTTTTGGGGATCAAATTGGCGTGTTTCTATTGTGGTTGAATCAAGAATAACATTATAAGGTTAGAGGGATAACACGTGGGGTTAGAGCAGCAAGATTTAGAGGCCAATTTCGACAACAATAATTTAGGTGAATTTGGTATTTAATGTCGTTTTTTTTTTTTTTTTTTGTGGGTGTGAGCGAGTAGATGCTCACAATTTTCGTTAAGCATGTTGAAAATGTGCTTCGTGTGTCTGTTTTTCGTTTTACAATACGAGCATATGCATACATTTTGTTGGTCAAAAAAAGTAGTAGATTCCTACACTGTTTTATTTTGTCTGTTTGGCATAGGTTATCATTATTTTTTTATATTTTATTCTAGTTTCTTTCCGGTACTAGATGTCACACATTTTCAAATTTATGTTAGATGTTCTCACACTCTGTATTATTTGTTGAGGGCCAGTGTGCCACAAATGCTTATAGATGTTTTAATTGTTTGCATATATATATATATATCTTAGTATGCGTTCGAAAGCATGTAACAACATTATTTGTGTTATAATGGTATGTTTTGAGGGAAAGTGTACTAAAAAATTGAATATCTTTTATGATTATGCATGCCTTATCAAAGTTTCTATTTTGTTTTAATTCATGTCTAATATGGATAGACAGGGTCACTAAAAATTTACGTCTTTTTTCGGACTATGGTGGTTGCTTTTGTTGGGCGCATTTGTTTCGAATTTGTATTTTTGTGTATTTATTTTAATTGTGTGATATATGTATCCAATATTTGTGATTTTGCTTTAATTACGTGTTTGATATCAATAAAAGTTTGTATTTTTGTTAGACTATGTGACCTAAAGGTTGGATATATAATTTTTTGTATTTGTGGTTATTGTTGCATATTTATTTTAAATGTGTGTAAATCATTGCACATCTTTTGTGATTATACATGCCTTATATGTTGGGGTAGACTCACGCAATACTTTTATTTTTGTTTTAATTATGTGTTTGATATTGTTTGGAGTAAACACAGTAAAAATAAAACTTTTCATTTTTATTCAGAACTATGTGGATGATTTTTTTTTAGATTGCATATTTGTTTGAATTTTTTATATTTGTGGTTGTTGCGTATTTATTTTTTATTGTACACCTTTATATGATTGTGCATGTCTTATCTATTTATCTTTTATTATTGTGATTTTTTTGTGGTTGTTGCGTATTTATTATAATTGTACGTTTATTACTTGGAGTCCTTGAAAGCATGTAATAAGATTGGGTAAGGGCTAAGTGTAATCAAAATATTGTACATCTTTTATGATTGTGCATGTCTTATCCAATGACGGTAGCTCTATCCGAAGTTTGTATTTTTGTTTTAATTATGTGTCTGATATTATTTGCACGTAGACACGGTAAAAGTAAATATTTGAATTTTTATTTGAACTATTTGTTTGTTTTTTGTTGGGGGCATGTATTTGTTTGGAATGTGTAGTTTTTTATATTTGTGGTGACGCGTATTTATTTTAATGTATATTAATTGTAGTGCCTTGAAAGCTCGTATTGTATGTTTTGACGGCAAGTATACTCAAAACATTGTATATCTTTTATAATTGTGCATGTCTTATCTATTGGGGTAGTTGTACCCGATGTATGTAATTTTGTTTTAGTTACATGTTTGATTATCATTTGGGGTAGATACGGTAGAAGTAAAATTTTGTATTTTTTATTCAAACTATATTATTGCTTTTTGTTGGAGGCTTGTGCCTTAAAGGTTGCATATCTGTTTGGAATATGTGCTTGTTTATATTTGTGGTTGTCGTGTCTTTATTTTAATTGTGTGCTTCTTAATTGGCTAATAAGATTAGTTGTGTACTTATTGTATGTGTTGATGTCAAGTGTACTAATGATCCCAACAAAAAGAAAGAAAATTACGTACCAATTCTTGTCGGATTTGGCTTCTAATCCTTTCCTCTACTCACGATGTTGTTCTTGATTCAACCTCAATAGACAGAAAACACATCAGTTTGATCCTAACAAAATAAAAAAATTATAATACTATTGAGTCTTGAAAGAAAGTTACGTACCGATTCTTATCATGATTTGTCCGTATGCCTTGCCCCTTTAACATCACAAATGTTGTTCTTGATTCAACCTCAATAGAGAGAAAACACATCAATTTGATACCAGCAAAATAAAAAAAATATAATACTATTTAGTCTCAACAAAATGAAAGAAAGTTACGTACCAATTCTTATCATAATTGGTCTGTATGCCTTGCCCTTTTAACATCACAATTTTGTTCTTGATTCAACCTCAATAAAGAGAAAACAAAATGAAAAATCTAGCACTATTGATCCCAACAAAAAGAAAGAAAAATACGTACCAATTCTTGTCGGATTTGGCCTCTAATATTTCCCTCTACTCATGATGTTGTTCTTGATTCAACCTCGATAAAAAGAAAACACATCAGCTTAATCCCAAAAAAATGAAAAAATTATGATATTATTGAGTCTCAACAAAATAAAATAAAGTTACATACCAATTCTTATCATGATTGGTCCGTATGCCTTGCCCATTTAACATCACAATGTTGTTCTTGATTCAACCTCAATAGAGAGAAAACAAAATAAAAAATCTGGCACTATTGATCCCAAACAAAAAGAAAGAAAATTACGTACCAATTCTTGTCGGATTTGGCCTCTAATCCTTCCCTCTACTCACGATGATGTTTTTGATTCAACCTCAATAGAGAGAAAACACATCAGTTTGATCCAATCAAAATGAAAAAATTATAATACTATTGAGTTTCAACAAAATAAAAGAAAGTTACGTACCAATTCTTATCATGATTGTTCTTGATTCAACCTCACCAGAGTGAAAATACATCAATTTGATATCAGGCATCAATTTAATCTCAACAAAATGAAAGAAAGTTACATACCAATTTTCATCGGGTTTGGTTTATTAGCCTTGCCCCTCACGATGTCGTTCTTGATTCAACCTCAATAGAGAGAAAACACAAATTGAGCCCAACAAAATGAAAAAGCAATAATACTATTGAGCATCAATTTAATCTCGACAATTAAAGAAAGTTGCATACCAATTCTCATGAGGTTTATCGTAAAAGTGTGAGCATCTTCAGCTGTAGGATTGCAGCTTTAAGAAGGATCGATCACAGAAGATAGTCACTGCTGAAAGATTCAAGAACCTCACTGTCATTATCATCATCGTCTTCCTCGCTTTCAGTATATGTTCGAATCCACCTGCAGAGTAGTTCATTCCCCGTCAATATTACAATTGATTAATAAACCAAAAAAATAGCAGCACCAAGCTACACCAACCTGAAGTTCGGTCAATATATGTGCAATAGCATCAACCTAAAAGCACTCGGGCATGTAAGAGCACGAAGACAATCAAGAGCTGCAGGGGATGTCACCATTCGAGGTTGGAGAAGCGGAAGAAGAACCATTATACCATGCCTGGAACGAACAGCTTCTCTAGCTTGACGATATCCTTGTCCAAGCACGAGATCCTGCGATCTCCAACTAAACCAGAAGCAACTAATGAAGCAGATGCCTGTGATGATGAAGTGTTACCTGTGATGATGAAGTGTTACCAACAGATGATGGCATAGGTGTCAGTTCCCCAGTTTGATCCCTTGATTCATTCTGATTTGGACCACGCTCTGGGACATTCCTCTCTGAATTTCTGTCCCTGGAGTTTATAGCAGATTGATTTCCAGCTTGAGTAGAAGAAGCTTGCTGACCTTGCATTAGACTTGGCTTATTGCTTATTCGGCACAAATTCAACGCTGGTTCAACAATCTACAATTTTGACAATGAAAATTTTCAAAGTTAATTGAGGCATGCAATTAAAATAAATACGCTAAAACACAAATTCCAAACAAGCTTGCTTTGTTGTTTATGGGCACCAGGCTGTACAGATTTTTCAAGGAACTACAAGCAGCAGAGAATGACCTTGGTTTCTTCTTTGAGGACAAAGTGCAAGGCTCACTTCTCAAGCTGGAATACGTTTGGTCTATCCAACAAGAATCCACAAGTTGCTCATTCAGATGGCCATTGCATTTGTATTGATGACAACTCCTGCCCAGATGCGTGTTGTGCTAAAGATGATGGAGCAGCCAATGGTGATAACTTAGCAAGGATGCAGTCTCACCTAATCCAGATGCTCATGGATAAGCTTCTCAAGCTGGAATGGCCATTGCATTTGTACTGATGACAACTCCTGCCCAGATGCGTGTTGTGCTAAAGATGATGGAGCAGCCAAGGATGGCATTGGTGATAACCTAATCCAGATAATTAAAGGTGCTCATGGATAAGCCCTGAAGTTGGTGTTGATCAGAAGAAAATTAAACAAAAAACCATGATCCATATATCTAGGAAGGAATGATTATCAAATACCTAGAATGATAAGAAACTGGAGTAGCAGCAGCAATGGCTGCTCCTCTTTCAATGGTCTCAAAGTGGGAGTCGCTGCATCACTAGCTGCTAAAGTACTCGGCATGTAAGAGCACGAAGACAATCAAGAGCTGCAGGGGATGTCACCATTCGAACCAGCCCAGCACAACCTGCTCGAGCACCTAAATCTCCAACTAAAATCCAGAAGCAACTAGCAGATGCCTGTGATGATGACCAACAGAAGATGGCATCAGTTCCCCAGTTCGGTCCCTTGATTCAATCTGATTCGGACCACACTCGCATGCACCAATTCTATTCAATGCAAAGTGATATAACTTCACAATTTGCTGCTGCATCCACATGTAGAGGATATTCGTAAATCATGAGTGTGAATAATATATTTGTCTTCTTTTTTCTGCTGGAGAGAGTCTAGGAATAATTTAGCAACTACACCATGGATCCACGGGAACTTTTGTAATATCCGAATAGTTGACAGCATCCACAATGCAAAAAGCAGAAAAGAGAGGGTGCTTCACACGGCGTGCATTGAATGCTGAAGTGACATCCTCTAGATTTCGCCCGAGGATTGCATATATAACATCACCACTGGCATTAAATGTTATCACCGACCGTCTGATCTAATGATGCTTGTCATGAAGAAATTAGAGCGCATACCAATAAGCTCACTTGAGTTAATTCGGCCTGCCACCTATTTTGGTCACCACTGGCAGTTTGGCTCCCACTCGGATGAGCTCTGATAACTTTTCTCAACCTAAAAAAATAAAATAATATTAGAAAGCTTATAGCTATGGGTGTGCACTTGCCATTTCACCACTTGATCATTCCCCGTCAATTTTACAATTGTTTAATAAACCAAAAAAGTAGCAGCACCAAACTACACCAACCTGAAGTGCGGTCAATATTGCAATAGCATCAACCTAAAAGCACTCGGCATGTAAGAGCACGAAGACAATCAAGAGCTGCAGGGGATGTCACCATTCGAGGTTGGAGAAGCTGAAGAACCTTTATACCATGCCTTGAACGAACGCTTCTCTAGCTTTACGATATCCTTGTCCAAGCATGAAATCCTGCGATCTCCAACTAAACCAGAAGCAACTAATGAAGCAGATGCCTGTGATGATGAAGTGTTACCAACAGATGATGGCATAGGTGTCAGTTCCCCAGTTTGATCCCTTGATTCATTCTGATTTGGACCACCTCTGGGACATTCCTCTCTGAATTTCTGTCCCTGGAGTTTATAGCAGATTGATTCCAGCTTGGGTAGAAGAAGCTTGCTGACCTTACATGAGACTTGGCTTATTGCTTATTCATGAAGGAGGGCACACAAGGTTTATTAACAAATTCAACGCTGGTTCAACAATCTACAATTTTGACAATGAAAATTTTCAAAGTTAATTGAGGCATGCAATTAAAATGAATACGCAAAAACACAAATTCCGAACAAATGCAACCAACAACACTTGCCCTAATATAAAATAAGCAACACGTGGGGTTAGAGCCGCAATATTTAGAGGTTAACTATGAAGGGAGTTGATAAGATTGGTTTCTGAAAATCTATGCAAATAATGAATTGACCTAGCTATTACAATAATTTTAGGTGATTTACTTTTATAATCTACAAGTGGATGCAGCAGCAAAATGTGAAGTCATATCACCCGAATTGCAAGATCCATTCAGACTTCTCCCAAAACTATAAAAATATATAAATATATGACTCTACTATTTTGACCACAAAATGTATGCATATGCTCATATAGTAAAACGAAAAGTTCAAAGCACATTCTCATCATGCTTAACGAAAAAAATGTAAGCATCTACTCAAAGCTTAAGGCTTTCACACGGAGTGTGTTGAATGCTGAAGTGACATCCTCTAGAGGAAAAATAATCAAACTTAAGCATAAGCTAATATCAAAATTTTTTGTTCATATCAAGGAATTTATTACAAGTTTAAATTTAAAACTTTAAATCATAATATAATTAACATTACAAATACCTCATTCCCAGCAGAATGGTAGCCCCCACCATCATAGGCAGTAAATTGATAAAATTGATGAATTGGTCTTTCGATCCCACAAAACTCCATTCCAAAGCAGCATTGAGTCAATATGAATGATCACATCCATGATCATGTCCAGACGGGTTATTAGAAGTATCAGTCAGTGTCAGATCCAATTGACAAGACTGGATATCATCATACACAAGGATTTAACGCCGGGATGAATCTGATGGCAGTGATGCAAACATTGAATGCTTGGCTCAGGGCAGACATGAGGATAAATAGGTCGGACTGGTTAGCAAACTCTCAACAGATGGTGTGCATAACAAGTTCGAATCCATATGGTCTGAGTGTATGTTCACCAGTTTGGTCTATCCAACAAGAATCCACAAGTTGCTATTTCAGATGGCCATTCTATTTGTATTGATGACAACTCCTGCCCAGATGCGTGTTGTGCTAAAGATGATGGAGCATCCAAGGATGGCATTGGTGATAAACTAATCCAGATAATTGAAGGTGCTCATGGATAAGCCCTGAAGTTGGTGTTGATCAGAAGAAAATTAAACCAAAAACCATGATCCATATATCTAGGAAGGAATGATTATCAAATACCTAGAATGATAAGAAACTGGAGTAGCAGCAGCAATGGCTGCTCCTCTTTCAATGGTCTCAAAGTGGGAGTCGCCGCATCACTAGCTGCTAAAGTACTCGGCATGTAAGAGCACGAAGACAATCAAGAGCTGCAGGGGATGTCACCATTCGAGGTTGGAGAAGCTGAAGAAGCATGCTTTACACGAACAGCTTCTCTAGCTTGACGATATCCTTGTTCAAGCTGAGCACCAAGCCAAGCACGAAATCCTGCGATCTCCAACTAAACCAGAAGCAACTAATGAAGCAGATTCCTGTTATGATGAAGTGTTACCAACAGATGATGGCATAGGTGTCAGTTCCCCAGTTCGAACCCTTGATTCATTCTGATTTAGACCACGCTCTGGGAAATTCCTCTCTGAATTTGTCCCTGGAGTTTATAGCAGATTGATTTCCGTATTGCTGACCTTGCATGAGACTTGGCTTATTGCTTATTGATGAAGGATGGCACACAAGATTTATTAACAAATTCAATGCTGGTTCAACAATCTACAATTTTGACAATGAAAATTTTCAAAGTTAATTGAGGCACAAACAACTTTAAAATAAACCATACGGTTGATGTGCAACATTACCTCAGGTTCATCATAGCCATCACCATCGTTAGGTTGAATAGACTCCACAAGCAAGAGGAGATGTGCCCTGATTTATTGTCGCAGTTCCAGCCAACTTAACAATCTGATGGACAATATTTGGCGGAAGAGAACAAACACACTTCATTATCACCTGCAAAAGTACGGAGTGAATCAATAACCATCCTCAACAAGTGAAACAAAGCAGCAAGAAAATAAAGAGTAAAAAACCAAATCATACCAAAATGTGTATAAAGAATTTAGTGCAAGTGGAAACAACAAAAGATATGGGCAGGACAAACTACCTGAATTGAACCAATAGTTCATAAGCAGGAAGAAAGACCCACATATGTATGGGCATTTCTAGGAGTCGCAAGGAGTCTGTCCATGCCACCGCAATCAACAAACAATGCAGAAAACTTTCTGTGAGCAGCCAATGCACATATTAGCTTCAAAGTTCATTCATAAGGAATTTAGTGTAGGGTGTTTCTTCGAGCTTAAGACTTCGCTGCAGTAGTGCAAGGCATACATTTACTCCTTCTCATGGAGTACAGAACCAAGAACTTCAACATACTCCCCAAGAAACACCAGACACTGGATACAGAATTTCTCTCTCAACTTCAGAAGGGAATGACCACCAGGAATAGAAAATTCAGCAAATTCATGGCTTTGAATTCTACAAGTATCAACATATCAAATGAAAATAAAGATATATAGCATAAATAACCATGTCTCAAACACAAAACGATTAAAACATATAGGAAAGTGTCATCAGTTAAAGACATCTCATGAAGCATAGGACCACCAACCTTGCAAGAGCAACTGCACTGGCAGCATCCATAACAGTGTGATGAAGATCTGGATGCAGCAACCACAATAGCTTCTTCGTCATTCGTCTTCTTGTATTCCTGCACTAAAGAAATACACAAATAAGTTCATGAGAAACAAGCATTCAACGAGAACCTAGAGAGGTTTGAGAACCTGCTCACCTCTAATCAGCTGTCTTAACGACCTCAGCAGCAGCAGCACCTGCAGCCTTAATGGCACAGGCAGGTGCATGGTCTGTTCTTGCTTCGGCTCAGCAGCTCCGACTGCTTTCATAACCAACTCAGTAATGTCTCAGAAACTCCTTCATTGGACCTACCTCTTGATCGCCATCGATACTCCTTCAAAGTCTTCTTCCCCATGAGATTTTCCACCAGGTTTTTCTTTTGACTGGCAGAGATCCCACTTCTCGTCACTATCTGCTTCAGCATCATATGCATCAACCTCAGGAGCTACACTATCAAGATGTTCCTCATCACCCCAGTACATATCCCCATATGTTTGCCTATTGCCACACCTCTCATCATCTCAATCAAGGTTGTCCATAGATGTGCGATCTTTTTCACGTTCACTCTCAGTGGGATGGGCTCTGATAGTCTCAGTATCCATGTGAAAACTCTCTGTCACTTGCTTTGACTTACCCCTGCCATCCTCTTTGGCCTTTAGAGCCATGCTAGACACACTTTTGTTGTCAAACAATACCTTAGAAGCTTTTGGTTTGTGTTAACCGTACTCGTAGATATCACATTATGTCAACACATCTTCCACTAACTGACCACCACTGAAAAAACAACATCAAAAGGAAATTATGAGAGGAGAAAAAGAAAACAGAAGTAAATTGAAAATAAAAATATTGGAATATACTTCTCCAAGCATGCAGTCAGCAGGTCAATAGCATAAGTGCGCAACATTTCAGCATTGACCCTTCTCTCTTTGTAGTTCTTCTTTTTTCGTTTTTTTTTTCCTTGCGTAAGTCCTGCATGTCCAACCTCACCAGCTGTCTTTACAACCTATTTTTCAACTATTCAAATATCAGTCTCAGCTCCAAATCAACCTGCTGAAAAGATGTAGAGATCATGAAACCAAACATGCCTATTTTACCTCCAAAATATTCTTGTTCTCTGAAATCAGTGTGATATAGGATGTTCCTGCTTAATGAGTTCTTTTTCTTCCTGCCATTGTGAAAAAACCATATATGATTATTGAACAAACTAACAACCAATGGGATTTAGTAGACCTAAACAAGTTACCTACTTTGTTTTCTTGTTCTCTTTCGCGACTTGTTTTCCATTTTGCCACCAGCAGGTTCAACATCTCCTTAAGGTCAACATCTGATTGGCTTTTTTTTCAATTTTTTTCTTCTCTTTCTCTTTTTTTTTTCATTTTTCATTTTTTTTTCCTTAATTTTTTCATCTTTGTTTCCGTTTTTTTCAAAAAATTTTCCCCTTTTCCAGCTCTTTTCTTTTCTTTTTTTTTTCTTTTCTTTTTCTCAACCTTTTTTATTGATCTCTTTGCAAAATAATACAGTAAGAACAACAACAAAAAAAAGCACAAACTTGCAAACTGTAACACAAAATAAGGCCAACGATAAACCATCTCTCGCCCAAACACTTACCTTTTTAGCTTTGGCATCCAAAAGAGGATGAATATCTCTTCTCAACTTCAACAAAGTAGCAAAACCATACTTTTGAAGCATATTCTTCATGTCCATCCCTCACATCTTCACAATCTGGTTTTAGACAATTAGAATATTAGTTTTATTTAAATCCAAATCAACCCACTTAAAAGATACATATATTAGAAAACCAAGCAAGCTAAATTTACCTCGACAATGTTCTTATTCTCTTCGATCAATATAGCTCGCCACTTGTTTGAGTAGAAGAAGGCTGAGATAGGACGTTTCGGCTTTAACGGGTATTTTTCCTTTCTATCAATGCAAAGGAACCATATATGATTATTAGTTTGATTCAACTCCAAATCAACCCGCTTAAAATAAGTAGAAATTAGAAAACTAAGCAAGCTAATTTACCTCCACAAAGTTCTTATTCTCTAAAATCAATGTAGCTCGACACTTGTTTTCTTTTACAACTTTCTTTTTTTTCTATTCTTTTGTTTTTTTCTCTTTCTGTTTCTTCAATTTTTTTTGCTTTTTTCTTTTCTTTTTCTTTTTTCTGTTTCTTTTCATTTCTTTTTTTTTTTAACTATTTTTTTTATTCAGAATTTTTTTTTTTCTTTTCGTTTTTTTGGGTAGGCACCGCATGTCCATTGTGGTGCTGCATTATAAAGAAAACATTAATGAGGTGTAATTAAGCCAAGGATATACCATCCCCTGCCCAAAAAGCTTCGGCATCCAAAAGAGGATAAAATATCTTTTCTCAACTTCAAAAAAATAGCCATACCGTACTTTTAAGCACATTCTTCATGTCCTTTCTTCAATGGCACAATCTGGTTTTAGACAATTCAAATGTTAGTTTTATTTAACTCCAAATCAACCCACTTTAAAGATATAGATATTAGAAAACCAAGCAAGCAAGTTTTTACCTCAACAATGTTCTTATTCTCTTCAATCAATGTAGCTCACCGCTTGTTCGAGTAGATGGAGTCCTGACATAGGATGTTTTGGCTTTAATATGTCCTTTTCCATCCTATCTATGTAAAGGAACCATATATAATTAGTAAACAAACTAACAACCAATGAGATTTAGTAAAAACAAAACAAATTAATGTATACTTACTTTAGTTTTCTTGTTTTCTTTCACGATTTCACTAATTGTCTTCCATTTTGCCCCCAACAAGTTCGACATCTCTTTGAAGTGAGCATTTGGATTGGCTTTCTTTTCTGTTTCATCTTTTCTTCTTTTTTACTTATTTTACTTTCCTTGGGTAAGTATTGCATGTCCACCCCTCACTGCCGGTCTTCAAAACCTGGTTTTAGACAATTCAAATGTTAGTTTGATTCAACTCCAAATCAACCCACTTAAAATAAGTAGAAATTAGAAAACCAAGCAAGCTAATTTACCTCCACAATGTTCTTATTCTCTAAAATCAATGTAGCTCGGCACTTGTTCGAGTAGATGAAGGCCAACATGGGATGTTTCGGCCGTAATGGGTCCTTCTCTGTAGAAGAACCATATATGATTGTATAACAAACTAACAACCAATAGGATTTAGTAAAAGTAAACAAATTCATGTATACCCACCTTTTTTTTCTTTTTTTCTTTCATAGCTTTCTTTTTTTTTTTTTTTTTTTAACTTTTATGCTTTTTATCTTTCTTTTTCTTTTTTCTCTATTTTTTTTTCATTTATGCTTTTTTTAACTTTTTTTTTTCAGATTTTTTTTTTCTTTCTTTCTTTTTTCTTTTCGTTTTTCTGGGTAGGCACTGTATGTCCATTGTGGTGTTGCATTATAAAGAAAATATTAATGAGATGTAATTAAGCCAACGATAGACTACATCCTGCCCAAACACTTACCTTTTCAGCTTTGGCATCCAAAAGAGGATGAATATCTCTTCTCAACTTCAAAAGAATAGCCAGACCGTACTATTAAGCACATTCTTCATGTCCTTTCTTCACCGACACAATCTGATTTAGACAATCAAATGTTAGTGTTATCTAACTCAAACTCAACCCACTTTAAAGATATATATATTAGAAAACCAAGCAAACAAGTTTTTACCTCAATAATGTTCTTATTCTCTTCAATCAATGTAGTTCACCGTTTGTTCAAGTAGATAGAGACATGACATAGGATGTTTTGGCTTTAATATGTCCTTTTCCTTGCTATCTATGTAAAGGAACCATATATGATTATTAAACAAACTAACAACCAATAAGATTTAGTAAAACTAAACAAACTAATGTATACTTACTTAGTTTTCTTGTTTTCCTTCACGACTTCATTAATTGTCTTCCATTTTGCCCCAAAAAAGTTCGACATCTCTATGAAGTGAGCATTTGGATTGGCTTTCTCTTTTGTTTCATTTTTTTTTTTCTTTTGTTCTTTTATTTATTTTACTTTTTTTGGGTAAGTATTGCATGTCCAACCCTCACCGAAGGTCTTCAAAACCTGGTTTTAGACAATTAAAATGTTAGTTTGTCAACTCCAAATCAACCCACTTAAAAGAAGTAAAAATTAAAAAACAAACCAAGCCAGTTTACCTCCACAATGTTCTTATTTTCTACAATTAATGCAGCTTGGCACTCGTGTGAGTAGATGAAGGCCGACATAGGATGTTTTGACCTAATGAGTTCCTTTGCTTCCTGTTGATGTAAAAGAACAGTATGTTATTACTAAAAAAACTAACAACTAATAGAATTTAGTGAAACTAAGCAAATTTATATATACCCACTTTGTTTTCATGTTTTCTTTCACAGCCACCAACAGGTTCGACATCTGCACTGACTTTCTTTTTTTGCTTTTCTTTTTCTTTTTTCTCTTTTTTATTTTCTTCCTTTTTTTCAGTTCTTTTTTTTCTGATTTTTTTTTTTCTCTCCGTCTTTTTGTTCATTTCTTTGAGTAGGCACTGCATTTCCATTGTGGTACTGCATTATAAAAGAAAACATTAAATGAGAACCATGCATACTTATAAACGGGTTATCTAAGTTGCAATGCATAAAAGACATGAAAAATATATATTCGTATAAAGTATTTCAATTAAAATATAGTTAACTTACCTTGACCAATGCACTCCAATCTTTCACCCGGCATCACAGCTAAATGGATAATAATAATGAGTGAACCAAGCTGAGCTCAACAAACCTCACCATGGGTTAGTGTATGCACTCAAGTTAAATCATAAAAATGGCAATCCCATAGGCTTGCATGTCAATCATATCTCCCTCACTTAAGGGACCTAATGACAAGTATCAGGGGGTCTTTAAACAGGTGTAATGGGGCTCGGGGTATAGGTAGAAAAAAGGATAATGAACGGCTAAAAAGTGTCGAAACAACAATGGAAAGAATTAAAGCATATCACTTGTAAGAATTGAAATCAACATTACATTGGTAACCGTAACTCCACTCATTTTTGTTTCTTTTTGTTTTTTTTTTTTTTTTACTTTTTTGTGCTGCTTCTTTTTGTTTTCTTGTTTCAGCACTTTGTTTTTTGTTTTGCTTTTTTTTTTTTTTGTTTTGTTTTGTTGGGGTTTAGCCCCTTTGTTTTATTTTCCTTTTTGTAAACATCAACAACACTATACTTTCCCTTTCTACACTTTATACAAGAAGAATATAAATGATAGCCATAAAACTTCCACTCTTCCTTCGACACAAGGATCAATATAAGGTATAAATCCAAAAAATGGTATATGGCTAAAGGATTAATGATTGATTGAAGAATGAAAAGGTTTTCAAAAGGCTCAACGGTGTTAACTAGTGGATAAAATTTTTGGGTAGGATAATTTAAGCCAAGTAGGTATACCTAATGCCCCCGTCATCTTACTTATATCAGGTCCTCATGTGTGTTCAACATGCATTTCGAGGCAAGTTCTAGAATGCCAATTTAGATCTAACATCACACATGAAAAAAATATATATATAAATATCGAATGCTCTAGGCTCAAAGTCCTCACATAGGAAGGAAATAAAATATTAAGCTCGGCAAGGTTCAAACAGCAATGGATGGCAAGTGAAATAACAATGCATCGACATAGTTGATATCCTGGAAGGGGGAAATATAAAGTCCATGAGCCCCAAAACAAGAAATTGCAAAAGCAGACCAATCTAATCCAAGATGAACAGAAAACCCAACTTACAGGGGTCCGGTGGGCAGAGCAGAGCAGAGCAGAACGAAGGCCGGGCAAAGCGTTGGTTTTTCTCCTTTCTCTCGATCTTCTTCTGCAATCAGAAAGGAAACTTGTAAAATCGAACCGATTCGATTAAAGAAAAATGAAAAAATCGAATCAAGAAGCAGATTGAATATAAAATGGAAAACCTAAAACGGATGATTAGGGACGACGGACTTTCTTATGGCCGCCGGCCGACGACCGGCGTAGACGACGGAAGACAGTCTCTTCCGTGATCGATTTCCTCTCTTCTTGTCTCTGGACTTTCTCTTCTCTCCATTTCCTTCCCCCTCTCTCTCTGTCTCTCTCTCTCTCTCTCTCGCGTTTCTTTCTAGTTTCTTCCTTACCGTTATGAAGTTCGGTTTAAGTATGGTAATAATTTTTCAAATTTTTATAACTAAAAAGTACTACACGATAAAAATTATATTATTATTTTTTATATACAAAAAATATTAAATCAAATTATTTTTCCACCTATAATTGACTATTTTAAAATATAATGAGATGTTTTATTTATTTAATATTTTATTGATAAAATAGATAATTAATTTTAGCATAAATTATTTTTATATTTGAAGTAATTATTTGTAGTCATATTAAAACTCTAAAAATATATATTCAAATTTAGATTTTCTATAAGAAATTATTAATGTAGTTATGTAAAAAAAATTAAAATTAAAATTTTAGATCGTGCCATTTAATTAACATTGTGTGGTATATATAAATTACGGGTCTTTTGATAATTATTAGTATTAATTAAGAAAAGTGATCATTGGAAATTTTGACCTTTAAAAATTTATGGTATGTATTAATTAGTTTCTTTTGGTAATTAGAAATAGTAATTAAGGAAAATGATCAAATCGGATTTTTTTTATTTGATGCAATTTTTTATTTGATGCAACCATTATGAATTTTAAATTTTAAAAATGTATAGTCGATTAGTTTCTTTTGGTAATTAGTAGTTTTAATTAAGGAAATTGATCAAATCAGAATTGGTTGATTGGACCATTTTGGATAAATGGAAAATCCTTTGAAATTGACAAGATTTGACAATTGTTAATTATTTTTTTAAAGTGATAAAATATTAAAAAATAGTAATTATGTCACAACTATTTTCAATATGGCTATTTCATATTTGCATCAAAATAGTCTTTGGTCTTTATTTTTTTTTTAAAAAAAAAGTTAGCTTAGATATTTAATCTTATATATGTACGCTTTTTTAAAAGTGTAAGGCTTTCTTTATTTAGGTTTTGTTTTTTTAACCCTAAACTCCAGCTTTTTACTATTTGAACTGCATTTTCGAAAAAAATATATATTTTTCGCTCATTAAATATCTCATTATACATTATTTTAATATCAATTTCAAATCAAAATTTTCCAAACTATATCAAAAGATAGTGTTTTGATTTTGAATTTTTTTTATGTGAAGTAGTAATATTTTATATTGAATGTTGACTTTTGTAAGAAGATAAAATATAAATATTGTAAATCGTGTTAGAAAAAAAATTATGGACAAACAAACCCTAATTAATTCCTTGTTTGGATAGTTTTTCGGACCATTTTAAAAACCCATGGTGAAAGATGAGTCACCCATCTTTAACACAATGAAATTTGATTTTGACACCATCATTGTATCATTCATTGATGTTAAATATTGGAACAAATTCAGGCTTGTAGATCATATAATGCTAAGGATGGTATCGATAGATGCTTCGAACAATTTTTGTATTCGAACTTGTGCACACTTGAAAGTTTCTCCGGCACCCATGGAAAAATATAAGTTTTGTCTAAGGAGTTAAGAGTCGCCTTTACATAACCATTAATTTGACGGTTAAGTAAATGATTTTTGTGAGAAATTAATTATAAGAACTCAAAAATTGCATTCTTAAATAAAGAAAATAAAGACCAATAAATACACATAATATACACAGACTCGATAGAATAAGATAAGACAAATTTAAATTTAAATCTACTAAATCTAAATCTAAAACTAAATATCTAAAATATCTCAACAATTCTGATCAAACAAAGATAGTGACAAATCACCATATATGCCCTCCAACTTATCAATTGTCGGAAGGGCACTTGTAATAATTTTTGCAAACGTTATTGTAGATTTACCTAGCCACGCAAATATTTGTAAAATGGGACTAGAGATATTGTCGCGGATGTAGTTTCAAATATCTACTTGTAAGTAGTCAATCCATGGAACAAAATTCATCATTGTGAGGACTACTCATTCCCTAGGAGATGGTTATAATGTTGCTGAGAAAAATCAGCATAACATTGATTTTCCTTAATCTTAACATATAAACATAAAGACAACATTCATTTTCTATAGTACATGAATATATTTATTGTATTGAAATTAATAATAGCATATATTATATAAAATTATATCACGTGTTACTATCAATTTATGCCCTATATTTATATTATATTAACATAAATAAGTATTGTATGTCTCAATATCTAATGTTGTTATCACTTTATTGAAGTAAAATTGCTCATTCGCCAAGAGCGATCTCCGGTCAATGTATTCAAAAATCCATTGGTAAGCGATGTCCAAAAAGCTTGTATTTTTCTATCAGGTCTAATTCTGATCTCGGATCATTTAAAATATCATATAAAATATTATTTTAATTTAAATCATTATTATATCCAAACCTCAAACCTAAACCTTGTGAAGGTTTATTAAAGACAACAATGGCACATAAAAAACAGGGGACACTTCATGAATCAACTGCAGTCGCGCCGTAACCTCGTCCATCTAGTCCTCTCGGTGTTTTTCTGAACGGATTGAAAGCAATCATCGTCAGTTCACGCGTATAAAGACAAAAAATCATCAAAGCTAAGCATGTTCCTTTTACCTCGATTCATCTCACTCGCAATCGGGGCCTAAAACAGAGTAAAATGAAATTATATATAAGAAAATTGAATAATTTTAATAAAAAATAATCATTCTAACATAAATTTATTTATTTAGAATAAATTACAAGATAAATATCGTTTAGTGTTAAATAAATATGATAGATATAAGTTTATTTTGTTAATTAAAACCTCACTCTTGACTGTTTAATTAAATGATTAAATTAAAAATAATTTAATTTGATTTATATAAAAATTTATTTTATAATTTAATTGCATTATATAATTCAAAAATATCATAACTAATTTTTAACTATAAAATTCGTATAATATAATTTATGTATAATTAAATACAGATAAAATAATTTATAAATTAAATATATATATATATTCTTCACTCCAAGTTGCCCCAATTTTGAAGGAAATCAAAATAAATTCATTTTATATTTTTTCCCCTCTCTTTCCCCATTTAAAAAAATAGAACCAAACTAGATAATTATATTTTTTTTTTCTCCCCTCCCATCCCCTACCTTCCCCTCCATTATTCTCAAACCAAACAGACCTTAAATTGATGTTCGATAGTATTATAATTTTTTCATTTTTTTGGGATCAAATTGGGTGTTTCTATTGTGGTTGAATCAAGAATAACATCATAAGGTTAGAGGGATAACACGTGGGGTTAGTGCAGCAAGATTTAGACGCCAATTTCGACAACAATAATTTAGGTGAATTTGGTATTTAATGGTTTTTTTTTTTGTTGTGGGTGTGTGTGCGAGTAGATGCTCACAATGTTTCGTTAAGCATGTTGAAAATGTGCTTCGTGTGTTTGTTTTTCGTTTTACTATACGAGCATATGCATACATTTTGTTGGTCAAAAACAGTAGTAGATTCCAACACTGTTTTATTTTGCCTGTTTAGCATAGGTTATCGTTTTTTTTTTATATTTTATTCTAGTTTCTTTCCGGTACTAGATGTCACGCATTTTCAAATTTATGTTAGATGTTCTCACACTGTGTATTATTTGTTGAGGGCCAGTGTGCCACAAATGCTTATAGATGTTCTAATTGTTTGCATATATATATATATCTTAGTATGCGTTCGAAAGCATGTAACAACATTATTTGTGTTATAATGGTATGTTTTGAGGGAAAGTGTACTAAAAAATTGAATATCTTTTATGATTATGCATGCCTTATCAAAGTTTCTATTTTGTTTTAATTTGTGTCTAATATGAATAGACAGGGTAACTAAAAGTTTTCGTCTTTTTTTGGACTATGGTGGTTGCTTTTGTTGGGTGCATTTGTTTCGAATTTGTATTTTTGCGTATTTATTTTAATTGTGTGATATATGTATCCAATATTTGTGATTTTGCTTTAATTACATGTTTGATATCAATAAAAGTTTGTATTTTTGCTAGACTATGTGACCTAAAGGTTGGATATGTAATTTTTTGTATTTGTGGTTATTGTTGCATATTTATTTTAAGTGTGTGTAAATCATTGCACATCTTTTGTGATTATACATGCCTTGTATGTTGGGGTAGACTCACGCAATACTTTTATTTTTGTTTTAATTATGTGTCTGAAATTGTTTTAATTATGATTTTTTTTTTAGATTGCATATTTGTTTGAATTTTTTATATTTGTGGTAGTTGTTGTGTATTTATTTTTTTGTTGTATGTTTTGAGGGCAACTGTACTTCTAAAATATTGTACACCTTTATATGATTGTGCATGTCTTATCTATCTATCTTTTATTATTGTGAATTTTTTGTGGTTATTGCGTATTTATTATAATTGTATATTTATTACTTGGAGTCCCTGAAAGCATGTAATAAGATTTGGTAAGGGCTAAGTGTAATCAAAATATTGTACATCTTTTATGATTGTGCATGTCTTATCCAATGAGGGTAGCTCTATCCGGAAGTTTGTATTTTTGTTTTAATTATGTGATATTATTTGCAAGTAGACATGGTAAAAGTAAATATTTGAATTTGTATTTGTACTATGTGTTTGCTTTTTGTTGGGGCATGTATTTGTTTGGAATGTGTAGTTTTTTATATTTGTGGTGACGCGTATTTATTTTAATGTATATTTATTGGAGTGCCTTGAAAGCTCGTATTGTATGTTTTGACGGCAAGTATACTCAAAACATTGTATATCTTTTATAATTGTTCATGTCTTATCTATCGGGGTAGTTGTACCCGATGTATGTAATTTTGTTTTAGTTACATGTTTGATTATCATTTGGGGTAGATACGGTAGAAGTAAAATTTTGTATTTTTTATTCAAATTATATTATTGCTTTTTGTTGGAGGCTTGTGCCTTCAAGGTTGCATATCTGTTTGGAATATGTGTTTGTTTACATTTGTGGTTGTCGTGTATTTATTTTAATTGGGTGCTTATTAATTGGGTAATAAGATTAGTTGTGTGCTTATTGTATGTTTTGATGACAAGTGTACTAATGATCCCAACAAAAAGAAAGAAAATTACGTACCAATTATTGTCGGATTTGGCCTCTAATCCTTTCCTCTACTCACGATGTTGTTCTTGATTCAACCTCAATAGAGAGAAAACACATCAGTTTGATCCTAACAAAATAAAAAAATTATAATACTATTGAGTATCAAAGTTACGTACCGATTCTTATCATGATTGGTCTGTATGCCTTGCCCCTTTAACATCACAATGTTGTTCTTGATTCAACCTCAATAGAGAGAAAACACATCAATTTGATCCCAGCAAATTGAAAAAAATATAATACTATTTAGTCTCAACAAAATGAAAGAAAGTTACGTACCAATTCTTATCATGATTGGTCTGTATGCCTTGCCCTTTTGACATCACAATTTTGTTCTTGATTCAACCTCAATAAAGAGAAAACAAAATGAAAAATCTAGCACTATTGATTCCAACAAAAAGAAAGAAAAATACGTACCAATTCTTGTCGGATTTGGCCTAAAATCTTTCCCTCTACTCATGATGTTGTTCTTGATTCAACCTCAATAAAGAAAAAACACATCAGTTTAATCCCAAAAAAATGAAAAAATTATAATATTATTGAGTCTCAACAAAATAAAAGAAAGTTACGTACCAATTCTTATCATGATTGGTCCGTATGCCTTGCCCATTTAACTTCACAATGTTGTTCTTGATTCAACCTCAATAGAGAGAAAACAAAATGAAAAATCTGGCGCTATTGATCCCAAAAAAAGAAAGAAAATTACGTACCAATTCTTGTCGGATTTGGCCTCTAATACTTCCCTCTACTCACGATGATGTTTTTGATTCAACCTCAATAGAGAGAAAACACATCAGTTTGATCCAAACAAAATGAAAAATTATAATACTATTGAGTTTCAACAAAATAAAAGAAAGTTACGTACCAATTCTTATCATGATTGTTCTTGATTTAACCTCACCAGAGTGAAAACACATCAATTTGATATCAGGCATCAATTTAATCTCAACAAAATGAAAGAAAGTTACATACCAATTCTCATCGGGTTTGGTTTATTAGCCTTGCCCCTCACGATGTTGTTCTTGATTCAACCTCAATAGAGAGAAAACACATAAATTGAGCCAAAGAAAATGAAAAAGCTATAATACGATTGAGCATCAATTTAATCTCGACAATTAAAGAAAGTTACATACCAATTCTCATGAGGTTTATCGTAAAAGTGTGAGCATCTTCAGCTGTAGGATTGCAGCTTTAAGAAGGATCGATCACAGAAGATAGTCACTGCTGAAAGATTCAAGAACCTCACTGCCATTATCATCATCGTCTTCCTCGCCTTAAATGTATGTTCGAATCCACCTGCAGACCACTTCTACAAGCAGAATTCGGTGTTGAAAAACCAGGTGGTGTGAGTGTATGTTCACCAGTTTTACCGATGATCCAAACCCATTTTCTTTCATGTCTGTTTTTCCGTTTCATTGGCAACACTATTGGAGTTCTTCTCGGATTGTCTGGATCGCCACTTGATTTCCCAGTAGACACTGATGGTGTTCCTGAAAAGTTGCTCGTTCAGATGGCCATTGCATTTGTACTGATGACAACTCTTGCCCAGATGTGTGTTGTGCTAAATGATGGAGCAGTCAATGGTGATAACTTAGCAAAGATGCACTCTCAGCTAATCCAGATGCTTGAAGGTGCTCATGGATAAGCCCTGAAGTAAGTATGGATAAGGCGGTGTTGATCAATAGAAAATTAAACAAAAACCATGATCCATATATCTAGGCAAGAAGGTATAAGAAACTGGAGTAGCAGCAGCTATGCCCTTTCGATGCATCTCAATACTTGCACGCCCGTAATGGAACAAAATATAATCTCAAAAAGAACATGTACAAATCTGACAAGACTAAGGTCACGTATGAACATTATGCCTGTATTATCCAATGTTATAACTTGTATTTCCAGATTGGATCACAATATATATAATCGAGGTAGATAGCCAAGAGGTTATTCAGCCAAATATATGTATATATATATATATCGAGGGTAAGGCTTGTCAGGAGTAATACTAGCTAAAGTGTGCACATATTTAGGCCAAGTTTCCTCTTGAAATCTAATAATAACATGAAGAAATTAGAGCCCATACCAATAAGCTCACTTGAGTTAATTCCGCCTGCCATCTATTTTGGTCACCACTGGCGGTTTGGCTCCCACTCGGATGAGCTTTGATAACTTTTCCAAACCTAAAAAAATAAACAAATAAAATTATATTAGAAAGCTTATAGCTATGGGTCCCCGTCAATTTTACAATTGATTAATAAACCAAAAAAACAGCAGCACCAAGCTACACCAACCTGAAGTTCGGTCAATATATGTGCAATAGCATCAACCTAAAAGCACTCGGCATGTAAGAGCACGAAGACAATCAAGAGCTGCAGGGGATGTCACCATTCGAGATTGGAGAAGCTGAAGAACCTTTATACCATGCCTTGAACGAACGCTTCTCTAGCTTTACGATATCCTTGTCCAAGCATGAAATCCTGCGATCTCCAACTAAACCAGAAGCAACTAATGAAGCAGATGCCTGTGATGATGAAGTGTTACCAACAGATGATGGCATAGGTGTCAGTTCCCCAGTTTGATCCCTTGATTCATTCTGATTTGGACCACCTCTGGGACATTCCTCTCTGAATTTCTGTCCCTGGAGTTTATAGCAGATTGATTCCAGCTTGGGTAGAAGAAGCTTGCTGACCTTGCATGAGACTTGGCTTATTGCTTATTCATGAAGGAGGGCACACAAGGTTTATTAACAAATTCAACGCTGGTTCAACAATCTACAATTTTGACAATGAAAATTTTCAAAGTTAATTGAGGCATGCAATTAAAATGAATACGCAAAAACACAAATTCCGAACAAATGCAACCAACAACACTTGCCCTAATATAAAATAAGCAACACGTGGGGTTAGAGCCGCAATATTTAGAGGTTAACTATGAAGGGAGTTGATAAGATTGGTTTCTGAAAATCTATGCAAATAATGAATTGACCTAGCTATTACAATAATTTTAGGTGATTTACTTTTATAATCTACAAGTGGATGCAGCAGCAAAATGTGAAGTCATATCACCCGAACTGCAAGATCCATTCAGACTTCTCCCAAAACTATAAAAATATATAAATATATGACTCTACTATTTTGACCACAAAATGTATGCATATGCTCATATAGTAAAACGAAAAGTTCAAAGCACATTCTCGTCATGCTTAACGAAAAAAATGTAAGCATCTACTCAAAGCTTAAGGCTTTCACACGGAGTGTGTTGAATGCTGAAGTGACATCCTCTAGAGGAAAAATAATCAAACTTAAGCATAAGCTAATATCAAAATTTTTTGTTCATATCAAGGAATTTATTACAAGTTTAAATTTAAAACTTTAAATCATAATATAATTAACATTACAAATACCTCATTCCCAGCAGAATGGTAGCCCCCACCATCATAGGCAGTAAATTGATAAAATCGATGAATTGGTCTTGCGATCCCACAAAACTCCATTCCAAAGCAGCATTGAGTCAATATGAATGATCACATCCATGATCATGTCCAGACGGGTTATTAGAAGTATCAGTCAGTGTCAGATCCAATTGACAAGACTGGATATCATCATACACAAGGATTTAACGCCGGGATGAATCTGATGGCAGTGATGCAAACATTGAATGCTTGGCTCAGGGCAGACATGAGGATAAATAGGTCGGACTGGTTAGCAAACTCTCAACAGATGGTGTGCATAACAAGTTCGAATCCATATGGTCTGAGTGTATGTTCACCAGTTTGGTCTATCCAACAAGAATCCACAAGTTGCTATTTCAGATGGCCATTGCATTTGTACTGATGACAACTCCTGCCCAGATGCGTGTTGTGCTAAAGATGATGGAGCAGCCAAGGATGGCATTGGTGATAGCCTAATTCAGATAATTGAAGGTGCTCATGGATAAGCCCTGAAGTTGGTGTTGATCAGAAGAAAATTAAACAAAAAACCATGATCCATATATCTAGGAAGGAATGATTATCAAATACCTAGAATGATAAGAAACTGGAGTAGCAGCAGCAATGGCTGCTCCTCTTTCAATGGTCTCAAAGTGGGGGTCGCTGCATCACTAGCTGCTAAAGTACTCGGCATGTAAGAGCACGAAGACAATCAAGAGCTGCCGGGGGTGTCACCATTCGAACCAGCCCCGCACAACCTGCTCGAGCACCTAAATCTCCAACTAAACCGGAAGCAACTAGCAGATGCCTGTGATGATGACCAACAGATGATGGCATCAGTTCCCCAGTTCGGTCCCTTGATTCAACTGATTCGGACCACGCTCGCATGCACCAATTCTATTCAATGCAAAGTGATGTAACTTCACAATTTGCTGCTGCATCCACATGTAGAGGATATTCGTAAATCATGAGTCTGTGAATAATATATTTGTCTTCTTGTTTCTGCTGCAGAGAGTCTAGGAATAATTTAGCAACTACACCAGGGATCCACGGGAACTTTTGCAATATCCGAATAGTTGACAGCATCCACAATGCAAAAAGCAGAAAAAAGAGGGTGCTTCACACGGCGTGCATTGAATGCTGAAGTGACATCCTCTAGATTTCGCCTGAGGATTGCATATATAACATCACCACTGGCATTAAATCTTATCACCGACCGTCTGATCTAATGATGGCTCCGGAGATCCCACACCTCAGAGTTTAAGATTACCTATTTCAAAGTAGAGGAAAAATAATCGAACTTAAGCATAAGCTAATATCGAAAATGTTTGTTCATATCAAGGAGTTTCTTACCATTTTAAATTTAGAACTTATTATCCAATGTTATAACATGTATTTCCAGATTGGATCACATTATATATAATCGAGGTAGATAGCCAAGAGGTTTATTCAGCCAAATATATTCAGGAGTAATACTTGCTAAAGTGTGCACATATTTAGGCCAAGTTTCCTCTTGAAATCTAATAATAACATGAAGAAACTAGAGCGCATACCAATAAGCTCACTTGAGTTAAGTCGGCTGCCATCTATTTTGGTCACCACTGGCAGTTTGGCTCCCACTCGGATGAGCTCTGATAACTTTTCCCAACCTAAAAAATTAAATAAATAAAATAATATTAGAAAGCTTATAGCTATGGGTGTGCACATGCCATTTCACCATTTGAAAAGGAAAAGCAGTTCATTCCCCGTCAATTTTTACAATTGATTAATAAACCAAAAAAATAGCAGCACCAAGCTACACCAACCTGAAGTATGGTCAATATTGCAATAGCATCAACCTAAAAGCACTCGGCATGTAAGAGCACGAAGACAATCAAGAGCTGCAGGGGATGTCACCATTCGAGGTTGGAGAAGCTGAAGAAGCATGCATTACACGAACAGCTTCTCTAGCTTGACGATATCCTTGTTCAAGCTGAGCACCAAGCCAAGAACGAAATCCTGCGATCTCCAACTAAACCAGAAGCAACTAGTGAAGCAGATGCCTGTGATGATGAAGTGTTACCAACAGATGATGGCATAGGTGTCAGTTCCCCAGTTCGAACCCTTGATCCATTCTGATTTGGACCACGCTTTGGGACATTCCTCTCTGAATTTCTGTCCCTGGAGTTTATAGCAGATTGATTTCCATGTTGGCTAGAAGAAGCTTGCTGACCCTGCATGAGACTTGGGTTATTGCTTATTGATGAAGGAGGGCACACAAGGTTTATTAACAAATTCAACGCTGGTTCAACAATCTACAACTTTGACAATGAAAATTTTCAAAGTTAATTGAGGCACAAATAACTTTAAAATAAACCATACGGTTGATGTGCAACATTACCTCAGGTTCACCATAGCCATCACGATTTGCAGCATCCAAAATGACAGCTATACCAACCCGATCATTGGTCAATGTAGCATTCACAGAAGGTTTGCGGCTATAAGGAATTTAGTGTAGGGTGTTTCTTCGAGCTTAAGACTTCGCTGCAGTAGTGCAAGGCATACATCTACTCCTTCTCATGGAGTAAAGGACCAAGAACTTCAACATACTCCCCAAGAAAAACAAGACACTGGATACAGAATTTCTCTCTGAACTTCAGAAGGGAATGACCACCTGGAATAGAAAATTCAGCAAATTCATCATTACTCTCTAGTTCCATAGGCTTTGAATTCTACAAGTATCAACATATCAAATGAAAATATAGATATATAGCCTAAATAACCATGTCTCAAACACAAATCAGTTAAAACATATAGAAAAGTGTCATCAGTAAAAGACATCTCATGAAGCATAGGACCACCAACCTTGCAAGAGCAACTGCACTGGCAGCATCCATAACAGTGGGATGAAGATATGGATGCAGCAACCACAATAGCTTCTTCATCATTCGTCTTCTTGTATTCCTGCACTAAAGAAATGCACAAATAAGTTCATGAGAAACAAGCATTCAACAAGAACCTAGAGAGGTGAGAGAACCTGCTCACCTCTAATCAGCTGTCTTAACGACCTCAGCAGCAGCAGCACCTGCAGCCTTAATGGCACGGGCAGGTGCATGGGCTGTTCTTGCTTCGGCTCAGGAGCTCTGACTGCTTTCATAACCAACTCAGTAATGTCTTTGGAGCCAACCTTGCATCGTTGGAAGCAATCATCAGTATCATCCCTTGCAAGGATGAAAGAATCGCCATTGTTTCTACCTAAACCTTTTTTAGCATCAAAAGCTTTTCTCGGTTCTTGACTTGTCATCGGACTTTTTTCTTTCCCATTCTGTCCCACTCCAGATATAATGGCAGAACCTGGAGAGGCATTCTCAGAAAATCCTTCATTGGACCTACCTCTTGATCGCGATCGATACTCCTTCAAAGTCTTCTTCCCCATGAGATTTTCCACCAGGTTTTTCTTTTGACTGGCAAAGATCCCTAATATGGCACTTCTCGTCACTATCTGCTTCAGCATCATATGCATCAACCTCAGGAGCTACACTATCAAGATGTTCCTCATCACCTCATTACACATCCCCATATGTTTGCATATTGCCACACCTCTCATCATCTCAATCAAGGTTGTCTATAGATGTGGGATCTTTTTCACGTTCACTCTCAGTAGGATGGGCTCTGATAGTCTCAGTATCCATGTGAGAACTCTCTGTCATTTGCTTTGACCTACCCCTGCCATCCTCTTTGGCCTTTAGAGCCATGCTGGACACACTTTTGTTGTCAAACAATACCTTAGAAGCTTTTGGTTTGTGTTAACCGTACTCGTAGATATCACATTATGTCAACACATCTTCCACTAGATGACCACCACTGAAAAAGCAACATCAAAAGGAAATAATGAGAGGGGAAAAAGAAAACAGTAGTAAAGTGAAAATAAAAATCTCGGAATATACTTCTCCAAGCATGCAGCCAGCAGGCCAGTAGCATAAGTGCGCAACATTTCAGCATCTGACCCTTTCCTTCTCTCTTTGTAGTTCTTCTTTTTTCGTTTTTTTTTTTTTTCCTTGGGTAAGTCCTGCATGTCCAACTCTCACCAGCCGTCTTCACAACCTATTTTTCAATTATTCAAATATCAGTCTCAGCTCCAAATCAACCCACTGAAAAGATGTAGAGATCATGAAACCAAACATGCCAATTTTACCTCCAAAATATTCTTGTTCTCTACAATCATGTGATATAGGATGTTTCTGCTTAATTAGTTCTTTTTCTTCCTGCCAATGTGAAAAAACCATATATGATTATTGAACAAACTAACAACCAATGGGATTTAGTAAACCTAAACAAGTTACCTACTTTGTTTTCTTGTTCTCTTTCGCGACTTGTTTTCCATTTTGCTGCCGGCAGGTTCAACATCTCCTTAAGTTCAACATCTTATTGGCTTTTTTTTCAATTTTTTTCTTCTCCTTCTCTTTTTTTTCATTTTTTCTTTTTTTTTCTTAATTTTTTCATCTTTGTTTCCATTTTTTTAAAAAAAGTTTTCCCCTTTTCCAGCTATTTTCTTTTTTTTTTTTTTTCCTATTTTTCAACCTTTTTTATTGATCTCTTTGCAAAATAATACAGTAAGAACAACAACAAAAAAAGCATAAACTTGCAAACTGTAACACAAAATAAGGCCAAAGATAAACCATCTCCCGCCAAAACATTTACCTTTTTAGCTTTGGCATCCAAAAGAGGATGAATATCTCTTCTCAACTTCAACAAAGTAGCAAAACCATACTTTTGAAGCATATTCTTCATGTCCATCCCTCCCATCTTCACAATCTGGTTTTAGACAATTAGAATATTAGTTTTATTTAAATCCAAATCAACCCACTTAAACGATACAGATATTAGAAAACCAAGCAAGCTAAATTTACCTCGACAATATTCAAATTCTCTTCAATCAATATAGCTCGCCACTTGTTCGAGTAGAAGAAGGCCGAGACAGGATGTTTCGGCTTTAATGGGTCTTTTTCCTTCCTATCAATGCAAAGGAACCATATATGATTATTAGTTTGATTTAACTCCAAATCAACCCACTTAAAAGAAGTAGAAATTAGAAAACTAAGCAAGCTAATTTACCTCCACAAAGTTCTTATTCTCTAAAATCAATGTAGCTCGGCACTTGTTTTCTTTCACATCACAGCTTTCTTTTTTTTCTATTTTTTTGCTTTTTTCTTTTTCTGTTACTTCAAATTTTTTTGCTTTTTTCTGTTTCTTTTCACTTCTTTTTTTTTTAACTATTTTTTTTATTCAGAATTTTTTTTTCTTTCTTTTTTTTTCTTTTCGTTTTTTTGGGTAGGCACCGCATGTCCATTGTGGTGCTGCATTATAAAGAAAACATTAATGAGATGTAATTAAGCCAAGGATATACCATCCCCTGCCCAAAAAGCTTTGGCATCCAAAAGAGGATAAAATATCTTTTCTCAACGTACTTTTAAGCACATTCTTCATGTCCTTTCTTCACCGGCACAATCTGGTTTTAGACAATTCAAATGTTAGTTTGATTCAACTCCAAATCAACCCACTTAAAATAAGTAGAAATTAGAAAACCAAGCAAGCTAATTTACCTCCACAATGTTCTTATTCTCTAAAATCAATGTAGCTCGGCACTTGTTCGAGTAGATGAAGGCCAACATAGGATGTTTTGGCCGTAATGGGTCCTTTACCTTCCTATCTGTGTAGAAGAACCATATATGATTGTATAACAAACTAACAACCAATAGGATTTAGTAAAAAGTAAACAAATTCATATATACTCACCTTTTTTTCTTTTTTTCTTTCACAGTTTTTTTTTTTTCCTTTTTTTTAAACTTTTTTGCTTTTTATCTTTCTTTTTCTTTTTTCTCTATTTTTTTTTTCATTTCTGCTTTTTTAACCGTTTTTTTTTTTTCAGATTTTTTTTTTCTTTCTTTCTTTTTTCTTTTCGTTTTTTTGGGTAGGCACTGTATGTCCATTGTGGTGCTGCATTATAAAGAAAACATTAATGAGATGTAATTAAGCCAACGATAGACTACATCCTGCCCAAACACTTACCTTTTCAGCTTTGGCATCCAAAAGATGATGAATATCTCTTCTCAACTTCAAAAGAATAGCCGGACCGTACTTTTAAGCACATTCTTCATTTCCTTTCTTCACCGGCACAATCTGGTTTTAGACAATCAAATGTTAGTGTTATTTAACTCCAAATCAACCCACTTTAAAGATATAGATATTAGAAAACCAAGCAAACAAGTTTTTACCTCAACAATGTTCTTATTCTCTTCAATCAATGTAGTTCACCGTTTGTTCGAGTAGATAGAGACATGACATAGGATGTTTTGGCTTTAATATGTCCTTTTCCTTGCTATCTATGTAAAGGAACCATATATGATTATTAAACAAACTAACAAGCAATAAGATTTTGTAAAACTAAACAAACTAATGTATACTTACTTAGTTTTCTTGTTTTCCTTCACGACTTCATTAATTGTCTTCCATTTTGCCCCCAAAAAGTTCGACATCTCGATGAAGTGAGCATTTGGATTGGCTTTCTTTTCTGTTTCATTTTTTTTTTCTTTTGTTCTTTTATTTATTTTACTTTCTTTGGGTAAGTATTGCATGTCCAACCCTCACCGACGGTCTTCAAAACCTGGTTTTAGACAATCAAAATGTTAGTTTGTCAACTCCAAATCAACCCACTTAAAAGAAGTAAAAATTAAAAAACAAACCAAGCCAGTTTACCTCCACAATGTTCTTATTTTTTACAATTAATGCAGCTTGGCACTTGTGTGAGTAGATGAAGGCCGACATAGGATGTTTAGACCTAATGAGTTCCTTTGTTTCCTGTTGATGTAAAAGAACCATATGTTATTACTAAAAAAACTAACAACCAATAGAATTTAGTGAAACTAAAGCAAATTTATATATACCCACTTTGTTTTCATGTTTTCTTTTGCAGCCATCAACAGGTTCGACATCTGCACTTTGATTGACTTTCTTTTTTTGCTTTTCTTTTTCTTTTTTCTCTTTTCTTTTTTTTTTTCCTTTTTTTCAGTTCTTTTTTTTTCTGATTTTTTTTCTCTCCGTCTTTTTGTTCATTTCTTTGAGTAGGCACTGCATTTCCATTGTGGTACTGCATTATAAAAGAAAACATTAAATGAGAACAATGCATACTTATAAACGGATTATCTAAGTTGCAATGTATAAAAGACATGAAAAATATATATTCGTAGAAAGTATTTCAATTAAAATATAGTTAACTTACCTTGAACAATGCACTCCAATCTTTCACCCGGCATTACAGCTAAATGGATAATAATAATGAGTGAACCAAGCTGAGCTCAACAAACCTCACCATGGGTTAGTGTATGCACTCATGTTAAATCATAAAAATGACAATCCTATAGGCTTGCATGTCAATCATATCTCCCTCACTTAAGGGACCTAATGACAAGTATCAGGGGGTCTTTAAACAGGTGTAATGGGGCTCGGGGTATAGGTAGAAAAAAGATAATGAACGGCTAAAAGTGTCGAAACAACAATGGAAAGAATTAAAGCATATCACTTGTAAGAACTGAAATCAACATTACATTGGTAACCGTAACTCCACTAATCTTTTGTTTTTTTTTTTGTTTTCTTTTTTCTTTTTTGTGCTGCTTTGTTTCAGCACTTTGTTTTTTGTTTTGTTTTTTTTTTCTTTTGTTTTGTTGGGGTCTAGCCCCTTTGTTTTATTTTCTTTTTTGTAAACATCAACAACACTATACTTTCCCTTTCTACATTTTATACAAGAAGAATATAAATGATAGCCATAAAACTTCCACTCTTCCTTCGACACAAGGATCAATATAAGGTATAAATCCAAAAAATGGTATATGGCTAAAGGATTAATGATTAATTGAAGAATGAAAAGGTTATAAAAAGGCTCAACAGTGTTCACTAGTGGATAAAATTTTTTGGTAGGATGATTTAAGCCAAGTAGGTATACCTAATGCCCCCGTCATCTTACTTCTATCAGGTCCTCATGTGTGTTCAACATGCATTTCGAGGCAAGTTCTAGAATGTCAATTTAGATCTAACATCACACATGAAAAAAAAAATATAAATAGACTGCTCTAGGCTCAAAGTCCTCACATAGGAAGGAAATAAAATATTAAGCTCGGCAAGGTTCAAACATCAATGGATGGCAAGTGAAATAACAATGCATCGACATAGTTGATATCCTGGAAGGGGGAAATATAAAGTCCATGAGCCCCAAACAAGAAATTGCAAAAGAAGACCAATCTAATCCAAGATGAACAGAAAACCCAACTTACAGGGGTCCGGTGGGCAGAGCAGAGCAGAACGAAAGAAGGCCGGGCAAAGCGTTGGTTTTTCTCCTTTCTCTCGATCTTGTTCTGCAATCAGACGAAGAAACTTGTAAAATCGAACCGATTCGATTAAAGAAAAATGAAAAAATCGAATGAAGAAGTGGATTGAATTTAAAATGGAAAACCTAAGACGGATGATTAGGGACGACGGACTTTCTTATGGCCGCCGGCCGAAGACCGGCGTAGACGACGGAAGACAGCCTCTTCCATGATCGATTTCCTCTCTTCTTGTCTCTGGACTTTCTCTTCTCTCCATTTACATCCCTCTCTCTCTCCCATCCCTTTCTCTCTCTCGTGCTTCTTTCTAGTTTCTTCCTTACCGTTATGAAGTTCGGTTTAATTATGGTAATAATTTTTCAAATTTTTATAACTTAAAAATACTACTAGTTAAAAATTATATTATTATTTTTCATATAAAAAAAACTATTAAATCAAATTATCGTTCGGCCTCCTTGTAATTAATTATTTTAAAATAGAATGAGATATTTTATTTATTTAATATTTTATTGATAAAATAGATAATTAATTTTTGCATAAATTATTTTTATATTTGGAGTAATTATTTGTAGCCGTATTAAAACTCTAAAAATATAAATTAAATTTAGATGAAATTTTTTTTATAGTAGCAAATTATTAATGTAGTTATGCAAAATATAAATTAAAATTTTAGATCAACTGGTGTCATTTGATTAACATTGGTATTAGTTAGTTTATTTTGGTAATTAGTAGTATTAATTAAGAAAAGTTATCAAATCAATTTTTTTATTTTTTAATTTGACGCAACTGTTAGAAATTTTAAATTTCAATAATGTATGGTATGTATTAGTTAGATTCTTTTGGTAATTAGTAATAGTAATTAAGGAAAGTGATCAATTTATAATTTTTTTTATTTGATGTAATCATTAGGAATTTAAAATTTTTAAAAATATAGTCTGCATCAGTTAGTTTCGTTTGGTAATTAGTAGTATTAATGGAGAAAAGTGATCAAATCATAAATTCTTTCGGATAAATCGAAAATCATTTGAAATTGGTAAGATTTGACAATAGTTATTTTTTTAAAAAAGTGATAAAATATTGAAAATTAATAATTATGTCAGAGTTATTTTCAATAGGGCTATTTTATATTTGCATCAAATTGCGTCATGTCTTTTTTTAAAAAAAAATAAAAATAAAAAGTTAGCTAAGATATTTAATTTTATCTTAAAATTAGAGATGGGAATTCGGGTCGAGTAGATAGGGTCTGACACTAGATCGAATTTGGATTAATTGAGTCGGTGTTTTTTTATGAAAATATATAAAAACTTTGAGTTTTGGGTACCCGATCAAGAAAAATAGGTCAAGTATCATGTATAAATTTTTATACCCAAATTGAGGTGTACTTGATATTTTTTATACTTGAAAAGTTTAGGTTGGGTCCGATAATATAAAATACTACCAGAATTTTTAGATTTCTGACTCGAACTACCTGAATTAAAACTCCAATTTCGTGAATGTAGTTTCAAATATCTACTTGTAAGTAGTCAATCCATAGAATAAAAATTCATCGTTGCGAAGACTACTCATTCCCTAGGAGATGGTTATAATATTGGCCGAGAAAAATCAGCGTAGCATTGATTTGCCTCAATCAGAACATATAAAACATAAGGACAACATATATTTTTTTTTTATAGTGCAAGAGCATATTTATTATATTGAAGTTAACAATAACATATATTATAAAAATTTATATTATATACTATCAATTTATGTCGTATATTTATATTATATTAACATAAATCAAATATTATATGTCTCTATATCTTATGTTGTTATCACCGTACTGAAGTAAAATTGCTCATTTGCCAAGATCTCCGGTCAATGGATTCGAAAATCCATTGGTAAGTGATGTCCAAAAAGCTTGTATATTTTTATAAGGTTTAATTATCATCTCGGATCATTTAAAATATCATATCAAACACTATTTTAATTTAAATCCTTATTATATCCAAACCTCAAACCTAAGTTCGAACTTTACAGAAATGACACTTCCCGAAGAAGGCGGGTTCATTACACTCATATGTCGAACTTGAAGTCGACCGTTGCTTTATGTCGAAAAAATTAAGTTCATATTAGGCATCGTCCTCGTCTCAACATGAAAGTCAAAAATAGCTCAAAGTACCGTGAAAATTTATTCAAGACAACAATGGCACATAAAAAACATGGGACACTTTAAAAATCAACTGCGACGTGTAGTCCACGAGAATACCTCCGATCACCACAAGCGCAAGCGGTAGTCCGTCGCATTGCTTGGCGATCAGCCTCCCGATACCTTATTACAACACAATATAATGCAACTTGAAGCATAAGAAATGAAGAATCGACAACAACAAGATGAGAAAATAAACACCGGTAAAACATACAAATAGCACATCTCTTTATTTCACACCACTTGTGTAAAATAAAGACACGAGTTGTCCATTCATATTTATAACTTCTTTTGAATGAATGAAAATAGTAAAAATAGTAGTTTAAATTGAGACCGAGGAATACGTGTTATTAGTTAATATGCTCTATTTGTATTGTGTACTGTATGTTAGCATACGATACAACACTGTACTGAATTTTAAAATTCAGCACAGTAACCGCAGCCTAAGAACAAAGATTCCGACATACCTTTCAACTTGTCGGGGCAACAATTGAGCTTCCCAAACACTTCGCACTGCAAAAGATCCCAACTTTCAACCTCAGTGAGAAACCGTAGATTGTGCGGATTTCTACTAGGATTCGCATGAGTCCCGACATTTTTTGTCCGACTCGTTATCGAAACCTTGCTATTTTTCCTTTCCTTGGGCAAAGCCAGCTTGCTATCGTTCCACGCTTGAACGTCCCAAACATCGTCCATCACTAGCAAAAATTTTCTTGTTCGAGGTAGGTTCGGACAGCCTGAGCCAAGTGGAGATCAGTGTTTCCAGACATGTCTAGATCGGTGTACCCTTTAAGGATCTTGAGCAAGACATCTCTTCGATTGAAATCCTGCGAAACGTAAATCCATATGCGCATCGGGAATTCTTACTGGATCCCCTTATCCTGGAAAATCTTCCACGGTCGTCTTGCCCAAACCGGGCATCCCGATGATGGACACAATGTCGAGCTCCTCGGTTTCTTCCTTGAGGTAGCCCTTGACCGTTGCCTCCTCGTCTTCGAAACCTACTACGTTGTCTTGCCTTATCAACTGAATCTGTGTCAAGAGTAACAACATTGCAATATGATAGAAATTTTTAGGCTTTCTTATATAGGAGCTTTTGAATTTTTTAACACTATTCATTGATAATAAAACCTTTGAAAAAAAAAGAAATCACATCTAATATTAATTTTTTTATTTTTCAAAACTCCATCAAATCCTAAAACAAAGTATTATCTCATAAATTATCTTGTTCTTTTAGCATTCTTTTTTTTTTTTTACTCATTTATATCTTTTACTATCAGTTTAAAAAAATACTTCATCCGTCCGTTAAAATTAAATTACCTAAAAAAACAAGGTAAGGTTAATTAAACCGTTAAAAAAAAATTAATTTGATTTATATAAAATTTTATTTTATAATTTGATTACATTATATAATTTAAAAATATCATAACTAATTTTTAACTATAAAATACGTTAGTATAATTTATGTATAATTAAATACATATAAAATAATATATAATATTAAGGATATACTAATTTTATAATTTTTTTTTTTTAAAAAAACAAACATATTTTCTTCCCTCCAAATTCCCCCAATTTTGAAGGGAATCAAAATAAGTACATTTTATATTCTTTCCCCTCCATTCTCCTCAATCCAAACAAACCCTAAATATCGATAGTTATAATTTTTTTTCATTTTTTGGGGATCAAATTGATGTGTTTCTATTGTGGTTGAATCAAGAACAACATGGTAAGGTTAGAGGGATAACACATGGGGTTAGAGCCGCAAGATTTAGAGGCCAAATTCGGCAACAATCGGTATGTAATTATCTTTCAATTTGTTTATGTAATGAATTTGACCGAGCTATTACAATAATTTTAGGTGAACTTGGTTTTAATGGTTTTTTTTTTCTTGGGTGTGTGTGCGAGTGAATGCTCTCATTTTTTTTTCGTTATGCATGATGAGAATGTGCTTTGCGTGTTTATTTTTCATTTTACTATATGAGCATATGCATAAATTTTGTTGGTAAAAAAAATAGTAGATTCCCACACTGTTTTATTTTACATGTTTAGCATAGGTTATCGTTATTTTTTATATTTTATTCTAGTTTCTTTCCAGCTCTAGAAGTCACATATTTTCAAATTTATGTTACATCATCTCACAGTGTATTATTTGTTGAGGGCCAATGTGCCCCAAATACTTATAGATGATGCAATTGCTTGCACATATATATATATATATATATTTAAGTATGCGTTTGAAAGCATGTAAAAACATTATTTGTGTTATAATTCTATATTTTGAGGAAAAGTGTACTAAAAAATTGTATATCTTTTATTATTATGCATGCCTTATCAATTGAGTAGATGTGCTAAAAGTTTCTATTTTGTTTTAATTCGTGTCTAATATGGATAGACAGGGTCACTAAAAATTTACGTCTTTCTTCGGACTATGGTGGTTGCTTTTGTTGGATGCATTTGTTTCGAATTTGTATTTTTGCGTATTTATTTTAATTGTGTGATATATGTATCCAATATTTGTGATTTTGCTTTAATTACGTGTTTGATATCAATAAAAGTTTGTATATTTGTTAGACTACGTGACCTAAAGGTTGGATATGTAATTTTTTGTATTTGTGGTTATTGTTGCATATTTATTTTAAGTGTGTGTAATTTTTTGTGATTATACATGCCTTATATGTTGGGGTAGACTCACGCAATACTTTTATTTTTGTTTTAATTATGTGTTTGATATTGTTTGGAGTAAACACAGTAAAAATAAAACTTTTCAATTTTATTCGAACTATGTGGATGATTTTTTTTTAAGATTGCATATTTGTTTGAATTTTTTATATTTGTGGTGGTGGTTGTGTATTTATTTTTTGTTGTATGTTTTGAGGGCAAGTGTACTTAAAATATTGTACACCTTTTTTATATGATTGTGCATGTCTTATCTATTTATCTTTTATTATTGTGAATTTTTTATGGTTGTTGCGTATGTATTACAATTGTACGTTTATTACTTGGAGTCCCTGAAAGCGAGGTAGACACGGTAACAGTATATATTTGTATTTTTATTTGAACTTGCTTTTTGTTGGGGGCATGTATTTGTTTGAAATGTGTAGTTTTTTATATTTGTGGTGATGCGTATTTATTTTAATGTATATTAATTGGAGTGCCTTGAAAGCTTGTATTGTATGTTTTGATGGCAAGTATACTCAAAACATTGTATATCTTTTATAATTGTGCATGTCTTACCTATTGGGGTAGTTGTACCCGATGTATGTAATTTTGTTTTAGTTACATGTTTGATTATCATTTGGGGTAGATACGGTAGAAGTAAAATTTTGTATTTTTTATTCAAACTATATTAATTTGGAATATGTGCTTGTTTATATTTGTGGTTGTCGTGTATTTATTTTAATTGTGTTCTTATTATTTGGGTAATAAGATTAGTCGTGTGCTTATTGTATGTTTTGATGACAAGTGTACTAATGATCCCAACAAAAAGAAAGAAAATTACGTACCAATTCTTGTCGGATTTGGCCTCTAATCCTTCCCTCTACTCACGATGATGTTCTTGATTCAACCTCAATAAAGAGAAAACACATCAGTTTGATCCAAACAAAATGAAAAAATTATAATACTATTGAGTCTCAACAAAATGAAAGAAAGTTACGTACCAATTCTTATCACATGATTGGTCCGTATGCCTCTTGCCCCTTTAACATCACAATGTCGTTCTTGATTCAACCTCAATAGAGAGAGAACACATCAATTTGATTCCGGGGAAAAAAAAAAAATAATACTATTTAGTCTCAACAAAATAAAAGAAAGTTGCCTACCAATTCTTATCATGATTGGTATGTATGCCTTGCCCTTTTAACATCACAATGTTGTTCTTGATTCGACCTCAATAAAGAGAAAACAAAATGAAAAATCTAGCACTACTGATCCCAACAAAAAGAAAGAAAATTACGTACCAATTCTTGTCGGATTTGGCCTCTAATCTTTCCCTCTACTCATGATGTTGTTCTTGATTCAACCTAAATAGAGAGAAAACACATCAGTTTAATTCCAACAAAATAAAAAAATTATAATACTATTGAGCCTTGACAAAATAAAAGAAAGTTACGTACCAATTCTTATCACGATTGGTATGTATGCCTTGCCCTTTTAATATCACAATGTTGTTTTTGATTCAACCTCAATAAAGAGAAAACAAAATGAAAAATCAAGCACTATTGATCCCAACAAAAAGAAAGAAAATTACGTACCAATTCTTGTTGAATTTGGCCTCTAATCTTTCCCTCTACTCATGATGTTGTTCTTGATTCAACCTAAATAGAGAGAAAACACATCAGTTTAATTCCAACAAAATTAAAAAATTATAATACTATTGAGTTTCGACAAAATAAAAGAAAGTTACGTACCAATTCTTATCATGATTGGTCCGTATGCCTTGCCCTTTTAACATCACAATGTTGTTCTTGATTCAACCTCAATAGCTCAATAGAGAGAAAACAAAATGAAAAATCTGGCACTATTGATCCCAACAAAAAGAAAGAAAATTACGTACCAATTCTTGTCGGATTTGGCCTCTAATCCTTCCCTCTACTCACGATGATATTCTTGATTCAACCTCAATAGAGAGAAAACACATCAGTTTGATCCAAACAAAATGAAAAAAATTATAATACTATTGAGTTTCAACAGAATAAAAGAAAGTTACTTACCAATTCTTATCATGATTGTTCTTGATTCAACCTCACGAGAGTGAAAACACATCAATTTGATATCATGCATCAATTTAATCTCAACAAAATGAAAGAAAGTTATGTACCAATTCTCATCGGGTTTGGTTTATTAGCCTTGCCCCTCACGATGTTGTTCTTGATTCAACCTCAATAGAGAGAAAACACATAAATTCAGCCCAACAAAATGAAAAAGCTATAATACTATTGAGCATAAATTTAATCTCGACAATTAAAGAAAGTTACATACCAATTCTCATGAGATTTATCGTAAAAGTGTGAGCATCTTCAGCTGCAGGATTGCAGCTTTAAGAAGGATCGATCACAGAAGATCGTCACTGCTGAAAGATTCAAGAACCTCACTGTCATTATCATCATCGTCTTCCTCGCTTTCAGTATATGTTCGAATCCACCTGCAGAGTGACCCGTCAATATTACAATTGATTAATAAACCAAAAAAATAGCAGCACCAAGCTACACCAACCTGAAGTTCGGTCAATATATGTGCAATAGCATCAACCTAAAAGCACTCGGGCATGTAAGAGCACGAAGACAATCAAGAGCTGCAGGGGATGTCACCATTCGAGGTTGGAGAAGCTGAAGAAGAACCATTATACCATGCCTTGAACGAACAGCTTCTCTAGCTTGACGATATCCTTGTCCAAGCATGAGATCCTGCGATCTCCAACTAAACCAGAAGCAACTAATGAAGCAGATGCCTGTGATGATGAAGTGTTACCTGTGATGATGAAGTGTTACCAACAGATGATGGCATAGGTGTCAGTTCCCCAGTTTGATCCCTTGATTCATTCTGATTTGGACCACGCTCTGGGACATTCCTCTCTGAATTTCTGTCCCTGGAGTTTATAGCAGATTGATTTCCAGCTTGGGTAGAAGAAGCTTGCTGACCTTGCATTAGACTTGGCTTATTGCTTATTCGGCACAAATTCAACGCTGGTTCAACAATCTACAATTTTGACAATGAAAATTTTCAAAGTTAATTGAGGCATGCAACTAAAATAAATACGCTAAAACACAAATTCCAAACAAGCTTGCTTTGTTGTGTATGGGCACCAGGCTGTACAGATTTTTCAAGGAACTACAAGCAGCAGAGAATGACCTTGGTTTCTTCTTTGAGGACAAAGTGCAAGGCTCACTTCTCAAGCTGGAATACGTTTGGTCTATCCAACAAGAATCCACAAGTTGCTCATTCAGATGGCCATTGCATTTGTATTGATGACAACTCCTGCCCAGATGCGTGTTGTGCTAAAGATGATGGAGCAGCCAATGGTGATAACTTAGCAAAGATGCAGTCTCACCTAATCCAGATGCTCATGGATAAGCTTCTCAAGCTGGAATGGCTATTGCATTTGTACTGATGACAACTCCTGCCCAGATGCGTGTTGTGCTAAAGATGATGGAGCAGCCAAGGATGGCATTGGTGATAGCCTAATCCAGATAATTGAAGGTGCTCATGGATAAGCCCTGAAGTTGGTGTTGATCAGAAGAAAATTAAACAAAAAACCATGATCCATATATCTAGGAAGGAATGATTATCAAATACCTAGAATGATAAGAAACTGGAGTAGCAGCAGCAGTGGCTGCTCCTCTTTCAATGGTCTCAAAGTGGGGGTCGCTGCATCACTAGCTGCTAAAGTACTCGGCATGTAAGAGCACGAAGACAATCAAGAGCTGCAGGGGATGTCACCATTCAAACCAGCCCAGCACAACCTGCTCGAGCACCTAAATCTCCAACTAAACCGGAAGCAACTAGCAGATGCCTGTGATGATGACCAACAGATGATGGCATCAGTTTCCCAGTTCGGTCCCTTGATTCAACTGATTCGGACCACGCTCGCATGCACCAATTCTATTCAATGCAAAGTGATGTAACTTCACAATTTGCTGCTGCATCCACATGTAGAGGATATTCGTAAATCATGAGTCTGTGAATAATATATTTGTCTTCTTGTTTCTGCTGCAGAGAGTCTAGGAATAATTTAGCAACTACGCCAGGGATCCACGGGAACTTTTGCAATATCCGAATAGTTGACAGCATCCACAATGCAAAAAGCAGAAAAAAGAGGGTGCTTCACACGGCGTGCATTGAATGCTGAAGTGACATCCTCTAGATTTCGCCTGAGGATTGCATATATAACATCACCACTGGCATTAAATGTTATCACCGACCGCCTGATCTAATGATGGCTCCGGAGATCCCACACCTCAGAGTTTATGACTACCTATTTCAAAGTAGAGGAAAAATAATCGAACTTAAGCATAAGCTAATATCGAAAATGTTTGTTCATATCAAGGAGTTTCTTACCATTTTAAATTTAAAACTTATTATCCAATGTTATAACTTGTATTTCCAGATTGGATCACATTATATATAATCGAGGTAGATAGCCAAGAGGTCATTCAGCCAAATATATTCAGGAGTAATACTTGCTAAAGTGTGCACATATTTATGCCAAGTTTCCTCTTGAAATCTAATAATAACATGAAGAAATTAGAGCGCATACCAATAAGCTCACTTGAGTTAAGTCGGCCGCCATCTATTTTGGTCACCACTGGCAGTTTGGCTCCCACTCGGATGAGCTCTGATAACTTTTCCCAACCTAAAAAATTAAATAAATAAAAGAATATTAGAAATCTTATAGCTATGGGTGTGCACTTGCCATTTCACCATTTGAAAAGGAAAAGCAGTTCATTCCCCGTCAATTTTACAATTGATTAATAACCAAAAAAATAGCAGCACCAAGCTACACCAACCTGAAATTTGGTCAATATTGCAATAGCATCAACCTAAAAGCACTAGGCATGTAAGAGCACGAAGACAATCAAGAGCTGTAGGGGATGTCACCATTCGAGGTTGGATAACCTGAAGAAGCATGCTTTACAGGAACAGCTTCTCTAGCTTGACGATATCCTTGTTCAAGCTGAGCACCAAGCCAAGCACGAAATCCTGCGATCTCCAACTAAACCAGAAGCAACTAATGAAGCAGATGCCTGTGATGATGAAGTGTTACCAACAGATGATGGCATAGGTGTCAGTTCCCCAGTTCGAACCCTTGATCCATTCTGATTTGGACCACGCTCTGGGACATTCCTCTCTGAATTTCTGTCCCTGGAGTTTATAGCAGATTGATTTCCATGTTGGCTAGAAGAAGCTTGCTGACCTTGCATGAGACTTGGGTTATTGCTTATTGATGAAGGAGGGCACACAAGGTTTATTAACAAATTCAACGCTGATTCAACAATCTACAACTTTGACAATGAAAATTTTCAAAGTTAATTGAGGCACAAATAACTTTAAAATAAACCATACGGTTGATGTGCAACATTACCTCAGGTTCATAATAGCCATCACGATTTGCAGCATCCAAAATGACAGCTATACCAACCCGATCATTGGTCAATGTAGCATTCACAGAAGGTTTGCGGCTATAAGGAATTTAGTGTAGGGTGTTTCTTTGAGCTTAAGACTTCGCAGCATTAGTGCAAGGCATACATCTACTCCTTCTCATGGAGTACAGGACCAAGAACTTCGACATACTCCCCAAGAAACACAAGACACTGGATACAGATTTCTCTCTCAACTTCAGAAGGGAATGACCACCTGGAATAGAAAATTCAGCAAATTCATCATTACTCTCTAGTTCCATAGGCTTTGAATTCTACAAGTATCAACATATCAAATGAAAATATAGATATATAGCATAAATAACCATGTCTCAAACACAAAACGATTAAAACATATAGGAAAGTGTCATCAGTAAAAGACATCTCATGAAGCATAGGACCACCAACCTTGCAAGAGCAACTGCACTGGCAGCATCCATAACAGTGGGATGAAGATCTGGATGCAGCAACCACAATAGCTTCTTCGTCATTCGTCTTCTTGTATTCCTGCACTAAAGAAATGCACAAATAAGTTCATGAGAAACAAGCATCCAACAAGAACCTAGAGAGGTGAGAGAACCTGCTCACCTCTAATCAGCTGTCTTAACGACCTCAGCAGCAGCAGCACCTGCAGCCTTAATGGCACAGGCAGGTGCATGGGCTGTTCTTGCTTCGGCTCAGGAGCTCTGACTGCTTTCATAACCAACTCAGGAGCACTGGCAGCATCCATAACAGTGGGATGAAGATCTAGATGCAGCAACCACAATAGCTTCTTCATCATTCGTCTTCTTGTATTCCTGCACTAAAGAAATGCACAAATAAGTTCATGAGAAACAAGCATTCAACAAGAACCTAGAGAGGTGAGAGAACCTGCTCACCTCTAATCAGCTGTCTTAACGACCTCAGCAGCAGCAGCACCTGCAGCCTTAATGGCACAGGCAGGTGCATGGGCTGTTCTTGCTTCGGCTCAGGAGCTCTGACTGCTTTCATAACCAACTCAGTAATGTCTTTGGAGCCAACCTTGCATCGTTGGAAGCAATCATCAGTATCATCCCTTTCAAGGATGAAAGAATCGCCATTGTTTCTACCTAAACCTTTTTTAGCATCAAAAGCTTTTCTCGGTTCTTGACTTCTCATCGGACTTTTTTCTTTCCCATTCTGTCCCACTCCAGATCTAATGGCAGAACCTGGAGAGGCATTCTCAGAAAATCCTTCATTGGACCTACCTCTTGATCGCGATCGATACTCCTTCAAAGTCTTTTTCCCCATGAGATTTTCCACCAGTTTTTTCTTTTGACTGGCAAAGATCCCTAGTATGCCACTTCTCGTCACTATCTGCTTCAGCATCATATGCATCAACCTCAGGAGCTACACTATCAAGATGTTCCTCATCACCTCATTACACATCCCCATAAGTTTGCATATTGCCACACCTCTCATCATCTCAATCAAGGTTGTCTATAGATGTGGGATCTTTTTCACGTTCACTCTCAGTAGGATGGGCTCTGATAGTCTCAGTATCCATGTGAGAACTCTCTGTCACTTGCTTTGACCTACCCCTGCCATCCTCTTTGGCCTTTAGAGCCATGCTGGACACACTTTTGTTGTCAAACAATACCTTAGAAGCTTTTGGTTTGTGTTAATCGTACTCGTAGATATCACATTATGTAAACACATCTTCCACTAGATGACCACCACTGAAAAAGCAACATCGAAAGGAAATTATGAGAGGGGAAAAAGAAAACAGTAGTAAAGTGAAAATAAAAATCTCGGAATATACTTCTCCAAGCATGCAGCCAGCAGGCCAGTAGCATAAGTGCGCAACATTTCAGCATCTGACCCTTTCCTTGTCTCTTTGTAGTTCTTTTTTCGTTTTTTTTTTTTTCCCTTGGGTAAGTCCTGCATGTCCAACCCTCACCAGCCGTCTTCACAACCTATTTTTCAATTATTCAAATATCAGTCTCAGCTCCAAATCAACCCACTGAAAAGATGCCAATTTTACCTCCAAAATATTCTTGTTCTCTACAATCATGTCATATAGGATGTTTCTGCTTAATGAGTTCTTTTTCTTCCTGCCAATGTGAAAAAACCATATAAGATTACTGAACAAACTAACAACCAATGAGATTTAGTAAATCTAAACAAGTTACCTACTTTGTTTTCTTGTTCTCTTTCGTGACTTGTTTTCCATTTTGCCACCGGCAGGTTCTACATTTCCTTAAGGTCAACATCGGATTGGCTTTTTTTTCAATTTTTTTCTTCTCTCTTTTTTTTTTTTCATGTTTTCTTTTGTTTTTTTCTTAATTTTTTCATCTTTGTTTCCATTTTTTTCAATTTTTTTCCCCTTTTCCAGCTCTTTTCTTTTCTTTTTTTTTTTCTATTTTTCAACCTTTTTTTGTTGATCTCTTTGCAAAATAATACAGTAAGAACAACAACAAAAAAAGCACAAACTTGCAAACTGTAACACAAAATAAGGCCAACGATAAACCATCTCCCGCCCAAACACTTACGTTTTTAGCTTTGGCATCCAAAAGATGATGAATATCTCATCTCAACTTCAACAAAGTAGCAAAACCATACTTTTGATGCATATTCTTCATGTCCATCCCTCACATCTTCACAATCTGGTTTTAGACAATTAGAATATTAGTTTTATTTAAATCCAAATCAACCCACTTAAACGATACAGATATTAGAAAACCAAGCAAGCTAAATTTACCTCGACAATGTTCTTATTCTCTTCAATCAATATAGCTTGCCACTTATTTGAGTAGAAGAAGGCCGAGATAGGATGTTTCGGCTTTAACGGGTCTTTTTCCTTCCTATCAATGCAAAGGAACCATATATGATTATTAGTTTGATTCAACTCCAAATCAACCCACTTAAAAGAAGTAGAAATTAGAAAACTAAGCAAGCTAATTTACCTCCACAAAGTTCTTATTCTCTAAAATCAATGTAGCTCGACACTTGTTTTCTTTCACAGCTTTCTTTTTTTTCTATTCTTTTTTTTTATTCTCTTTCTGTTTCTTCAAATTTTTTTGCTTTTTTCTTTTTTTTTTCTTTTTTCTGTTTCTTTTCATTTTTTTTTTCAACTGTTTTTTTTATTCAGAATTTTTTTTTCTTTCTTTTTTTTCTTTTCGTTTTTTTGGGTAGGCACCGCATGTCTATTGTGGTGCTGCATTATAAAGAAAACATTAATGAGATGTAATTAAGCCAAGGATATACCATCCCCTGCCCAAAAAGCTTTGGCATCCAAAAGAGGATAAAATATCTCTTCTCAACTTCAAAAAAATAGCCATACCGTACTTTTAAGCACATTCTTCATGTCCTTTCTTCACCGGCACAATCTGGTTTTAGACAATTCAAATGTTAGTTTTATTTAACTCCAAATCAACCCACTTTAAAGATATAGATATTAGAAAACCAAGCACGCAAGTTTTTACCTCAACAATGTTCTTATTCTCTTCAATCAATGTAGCTCACCGCTTGTTCGAGTAGATGGAGTCCTGACATAGGATGTTTTGGCTTTAATATGTCATTTTCCATCCTATCCATGTAAAGGAACCATATATGATTATTAAACAAACTAACAACCAATGAGATTTAGTAAAAACTAAACAAATTAATGTATACTTACTTTAGTTTTCTTGTTTTCTTTCACGATTTCACTAATTGTCTTCCATTTTGCCCCCAACAAGTTCGCATCTCTTTGAAGTGAGCATTTGGATTGGCTTTCTTTTCTGTTTCATCTTTTCTTCTTTTTTATTTATTTTACTTTCCTTGGGTAAGTATTGCATGTCCACCCCTCACTGCCGGTCTTCAAAACCTGGTTTTAGACAATTCAAATGTTAGTTTGATTCAACTCCAAATCAACCCACTTAAAATAAATAGAAATTAGAAAACAAAGCAAGCTAATTTACCTCCACAATGTTGTTATTCTCTAAAATCAATGTAGCTCGGCACTTGTTCGAGTAGATGAAGGCCAACATAGGATGTTTCGGCCGTAATGGGTCCTTTACCTTCCTATCTGTGTAGAAGAATCATATATGATTGTATAACAAACTATCAACCAATAGGATTTAGTAAAAGTAAACAAATTCATATATACTCACCTTTTTTTCTTTTTTTCTTTCACAGCTTTCTTTTTTTTTTTTCTTTTTTTTTAAACTTTTTTGCTTTTTATCTTTCTTTTTCTTTTTTCTCTATTTTTTTTTCATTTCTGTTTTTTTAACCGTTTTTTTTTCAGAATTTTTTTTTCTTTCTTTCTTTTTTCCTTTCGTTTTTTTGGGTAGGCACTGTATGTCCATTGTGGTGCTACATTATAAAGAAAACATTAATGAGATGTAATTAAGCCAACAATAGACTACATCCTGCCCAAACACTTACCTTTTCAACTTTGGCATTCAAAAGAGGATGAATATCTTTTCTCAACTTCAAAAGAATAGCACATTCTCACCGACACAATCTGGTTTAGACAATCAAATGTTAGTGTTATCTAACTCCAAATCAACCCACTTTAAAGATATATATATTAAAAAACCAAGCAAACAAGTTTTTACCTCAACAATGTTCTTATTCTCTTCAATCAATGTAGTTCACCGTTTGTTCGAGTAGATAGAGACATGACATAGGATGTTTTGGCTTTAATATGTCCTTTTCCTTGCTATCTATGTAAAGGAACCATATATGATTATTAAACAAACTAACAACCAATAAGATATAGTAAAACTAAACAAACTAATGTATACTTACTTAGTTTTCTTGTTTTCCTTCACGACTTCATTAATTGTCTTCCATTTTGCCCCCAAATGTAAGTATTGCATGTCCAACCCTCACCGACGGTCTTCAAAACCTGGTTTTAGACAATTAAAATGTTAGTTTGTCAACTCCAAATCAATCCACTTAAAAGAAGTAGAAATTAAAAAACAAAACAAGCCAGTTTACCTCCACAATGTTCTTATTTTTTACAATTAATGCAGCTTGGCACTTGTGTGAGTAGATGAAGGCCGACATAGGATGTTTTGACCTAATGAGTTCCTTTGTTTCCTGTTGATGTAAAAGAACCATATGTTATACTAAAAAAACTAACAACCAATAGAATTTAGTGAAACTAAGCAAATTTATATATACCCACTTTGTTTTCATGTTTTCTTTCACAGCCACCAACAGGTTCGACATCTGCACTTTGATTGACTTTCTTTTTTTGCTTTTCTTTTTCTTTTTTCTCTTTTTTTTTCCTTTTTTTTCAGTTCTTTTTTTTTTCTGATCTTTTTTCTCTCGTCTTTTTGTTCATTTCTTTGAGTAGGCACTGCATTTCCATTGTGGTACTGCATTATAAAGAAAACATTAAATGAGAACCATGCATGCTTATAAACGGGTTATCTAAGTTGCAATGCATAAAAGACATGAAAAATATATATTCGTAGAAAGTATTTCAATTAAAATATAGTTAGCTTACCTTGAACAATGCACTCCAATCTTTCACCCGGCATCACAGCTAAATGGATAATAATAATGAGTGAACCAAGCTGAGCTCAACAAACCTCACCATGGGTTAGTGTATGCACTCAAGTTAAATCATAAAAATGACAATCCCATAGGCTTGCATGTCAATCATATCTCCCTCACTTAAGGGACCTAATGACAAGTATCAGGGGGTCTTTAAACAGGTGTAATGGGGCTCGGGGTATAGGTAGAAAAAAGATAATGAACGGCTAAAAGTGTCGAAACAACAATGGAAAGAATTAAAGCATATCACTTGTAAGAACTGAAATCAACATTACATTGGTAACCGTAACTCCACTCATTTTTGTTTTTTTTTTTTTTGTTTTCTTTTTTCTTTTTTGTGCTGCTTTGTTTCAGCACTTTGTTTTTTGTTTTGTTTTGTTTTTTTTTTGTTTTGTTTTGTTGGGGTCTAGCCCCTTTGTTTTATTTTCTTTTTTGTAAACATCAACAACACAATACTTTCCCTTTCTACATTTTGTACAAGAAGAATATAAATGATAGCCATCAAACTTCCACTCTTCCTTCGACACAAGGATCAATATAAGGTATAAATCCAAAAAATGGTATATTGCTAAAGGATTAATGATTAATTGAAGAATGAAAAGGTTATAAAAAGGCTCAGCAGTGTTAACTAGTGGATAAAATTTTTGGGTAGGATAATTTAAGCCAAGTAGGTATACCTAATGCCCCCATCATCTTACTTCTATCAGGTCCTCATGTGTGTTCAACATCATTTCGAGGCAAGTTCTAGAATGTCAATTTAGATCTAACATCACAATGAAAAAAAAAATATAAATATTGACTGCTCTAGGCTCAAAGTCCTCACATAGGAAGGAAATAATATATTTAGAGCTCGGCAAGGTTCAAACAGTAATGGATGGCAAGTGAAATAACAATGCATCGACATAGTTGATATCCTGGAAAGGGGAAATATAAAGTCCATGAGCCCCAAACAAGAAATTGCACCAATCTAATCCAAGATGAACAGAAAACCCAACTTACAGGGGTCCGGTGGGCAGAGCAGAGCAGAGCAGAACGAACGCGTTGGTTTTTCTCCTTTCTCTCGATCTTGTTCTGCAATCAGACGAAGAAACTTGTAAAATCGAACCGATTCGATTAAAGAAAAATGAAAAAATCGAATGAAGAAGCGGATTGAATTTAAAATGGAAAACCTAAGACGGATGATTAGGGACGACGGACTTTCTTATGGCCGCCGGCCGAAGACCGGCGTAGACGACGGAAGACAGTCTCTTCCATGATCGATTTCCTCTCTTCTTGTCTCTGGACTTTCTCTTCTCTCCATTTACATCCCTCTCTCTCTCCCATCCCTTTCTCTCTCTCGTGCTTCTTTCTAGTTTCTTCCTTACCGTTATGAAGTTCGGTTTAATTATGGTAATAATTTTTCAAATTTTTATAACTTAAAAATACTACTAGATAAAAATTATATTATTATTTTTCATATAAAAAACTATTAAATCAAATAATCGTTCGGCCTCCTTGTAATTAATTATTTTAAAATAGAATGAGATATTTTATTTATTTAATATTTTATTGATAAAATAGATAATTAATTTTTACATAAATTATTTTTATATTTGGAGTAATTATTTGTAGCCGTATTAAAACTCTAAAAATATCAATTAAATTTAGATTAAAACTTTTTATAGTAGCAAATTATTAATGTAGTTATGTAAAATATAAATTAAAATTTTAGATCAACGCCGTGTCATTTAATTAACATTGGTATTAGTTAGTTTATTTTGGTAATTAATAGTATTAATTAAGAAAAGTTATCAAATCAATTTTTTTATTTTTTAATTTGACGCAACTGTTAGAAATTTTAAATTTCAATAATGTATGGTATGTATTAGTTAGTTTCTTTTGGTAATTAGTAGTATTAATTGAGAAAAGTTTAAGTCGAGTCCGATAATATAAAATACTACCAGAATTTTTTATCTACTTGTAAGTAGTCAATCCATAGAATAAAAATTCATTCCCTAGGAGATGGTTATAATATTGGCTGAGAAAAATCAGCATAGCATTGATTTGCCTCAATCATAACATATAAAACATAAGGACAACATATGGTTTTTTATAGTGCAAGTGTATATTTATTATATTGAAGTTAATAATAACATATATTATAAAAATTTATATTATATACTATCAATTTATGTCGTATATTTATATTATATTAACATAAATCAAATATTATATGTCTCTATATCTTATGTTGTTATCATCGTACTGAAATAAAATTGCTCATTTGCCAAGATCTCCGGTCAATGGATTCGAAAATCCATTGGTAAGTGATGTCCAAAAAGCTTGTATGTTTTTATAAGGTTTAATTATCATCTCGGATCATTTAAAACATCATATCAAACACTATTTTAATTTAAATCCTTATTATATCCAAACCTCAAACCTAAGTTCGAATGACACTTCCCGAAGAAGGCGGGTTCATTACACTCATATGTCGAACTTGAAGTCGACCGTTGCTTTATGTCGAAAAAATTAAGCTCATATTAGGCATCGTCGTCGTCTCAACATGAAAGTCAAAAATAGCTCAAAGTACCGTGAAAATTTATTCAAGACAACAATGACACATAAAAAACATGGGACACTTTAAAAATCAACTGCAGTCGCGCCATAACCTCGTCCATTTGGTCCTCTCGGTCTTTGTCTGAACGGATCGAAAACAATCATCGTCAGTTCACGCGTATAAAGACAAAAAATCATCAAAGCTAAGCATGTTCCTTTTACCTCGATTCATCTCACTCGCAACCGGGGCCTAATTTAAGCTCGAATCCACTCCACCTGGCTTGCTGTTGTCCATGCATCGGCTGTTTCGCTTCCTTAATTTTCTTGGCGCGCTCGACGGCTGATTTCCCGACGACATCTAGACTCAACTTCTTGAGGCTATCCTCAATCACCTCCGGAATTTCAGCGAGTTTTTCGCAGTTTTTTATCACAAGAGACCGAAGAACCGGGAAGTCCCCAGCCGAGGCTCGCCAAAAAACAAGATCCGAATTCGCTATTAGTAAGAAATGAAGCCCGCGGAATCCATGGCCCTCGGCATCCCACAAACGACCCGTGAAGGCGTTATCTTTCAACTTGAGAACCTGCAAAGAAACGATCTTTCCCAACGTCGGCATGCAACGCCAGTCCAAATACGTGGCCGATAACGTTAGCCTCTTGAGGCCTACTGGGAAAAAGCTCGGCTGCGGAAGAGCCGGCATCGGATTTTCGGATGCCGCGCCATAAGCCAAATCATTCACCAACTTCAAATTTTCGAGACGATCTAATGTACCCAATGAGTAGTTCCCTTCCAATAGCGTCGTTAGTTTCCCGCGAATCCCCAATCTCTTTACGTTGCGCACCCTTTTGAAAACCTCCGTCGTGCAAAACTCGGGCGACAAGTGAGTCAGCGTTTGGAGATTCTCGCAAGCCTGATCAGCATAGCTGCGCGCCGTAAGAAGAATCGCAGCTTTAGTCTTTAAGTGCCTAAGCTGCATCAGCTTCCATAGATTCGCTCGGATTTCAAGCGTACGCGACTTTGTGTCGATGAGAAGTGTCTGTAGGTTCCATAAATCTGCAATCGAGTCGGGGATGATGTCGACATTTTCGAACGATAACGTGACGTACCTCAAGTGTATCAGCTTCGGAACTCTCGCAGGAAACGTATTGAATTTGAACGACTTCGACTCTAAAACTCGGAGTAAATTGAAGGCTTCGGGTATCTTCGTAATGTATTGCGGCTCCAACAAGAACGGCGCTTTGTTGCAGCACAAAAAAGATCGAACTTTCGGGCCCTTGAGCTGTTTCTGTGCGAGGAACTTGGGGATGTGGAAATGTATACAGAGGCGGCGATACTTGGCGAGGTCCGAAACCGGAGGATCAAAGACACCTTCCTTCGACATTTTTATTTCTTGGAACAGATTCAGATCGTCGAATCCAGCCTTCGAGTTACAAAACTCTCGGATCACATCATGTACCCGGCAAGTTTTTACTCCGCCCACGGAATTCATTTTCTCAGCCATCACCAAGTTCCGGTTTATCAGATCGTTTAAAATCCCCTCCGCCGTTTCCTCGAGGCTCTCACCGTCCTTATGCTGAACGAATCCCTCGGCAATCCACAGCCGCGTCAGCGTCCAGGCGGAGATTTCGTGGTCTTCCGGGAACATCCCCAAGTAAAGAAAACAGTTCTTCAGCTCTTCCGACAACTTCTTGTAACTCAATGCCACAATTTTCGCTATCCGATCCTCCTTGTCGTAGTTTTTCACATAATTGCTCACATTATCCGACACCTTATTCCATGCGTTCTGGATTGCGCTCATTTCTTGCGACGTGTAGTCCACGAGAATACCTCCGATCACCACAAGCGCAAGCGGTAGTCCATCGCATTGCTTGGCAATCAGCCTCCCGATACCTTATTACAACACAATATAATGCAACTTGAAGCATCCGATGAAGAAATGAAGAATCGACAACAACAAGATGAGAAAATAAACACCGGTAAAACAGACAAATAGCACATGTCTTTATTTCACATCACCTGTGTAAAATAAAGACATGAGTTGTCAATTCATATTTATAACTTCTTTTGAACGAAATGAAAATAGTAAAAATAGTAGTTTAAATTGAGACTGAGGAATACGTGTTATTACTTAATGTGCTCATTTGTATCGTGTACTGTATGTTAGCATACGATACAACACTATACTGAATTTAAAAATTCAGCACAGTAACCGCAGCCTAAGAACAAAGATTCCGACATACCTTTCAACTCGTCGGGGCAACAATTGAGCTTCCCAAACACTTCGTACTGCAAAAGATCCCAACTTTCATCCTCGGTGAGAAACCGTAGATTGTGCGGATTTCTACTAGGATTAGCATGAGTTCCAACATTTTTTGTCCGACTCGTTATCAAAACCTTGCTATTCTTCCTTTCCTTGGGCAAAACCGGCTTGATATCATTCCACGCTTGAACGTCCCAAACATCGTCCATCACTAGCAAAAATTTCCCTTGTTCGAGGTAGGTTCGGACAGCCTGAGCCAAGTCGAGATCGGTGTTCCCGGACATGTCTAGATCGGTGTATCCTTTAAGGATCTTGAGCAAGACATCTCTTCGATTAAAGTCCTGCGATACGTAAATCCATATGCGCGTCGGGAATTCATACTTGATCGCCTTATCGTGGAAAATCTTCCATGCTAACGTCGTCTTGCCCAAACCTGGCATCCCGATAATGGACACAACGTCGAGCTCCTCGGTTTCTTTCTTGAGGTAGCCCTTGATTGTTGCCTCCTCGTCTTCAAAACCTACTACGTTGTCTTGCCTGATCAACTGAATCTGTGTCGAGAGTAACAACATTGCAATATGATCACATTTTTAGGCTCTTTTTTATTTAGAAGTTTTTCAAATTTTTAACACTATTCATTAATAATAGAAAATCACATCAAATATTAATTTTTTTTACTATTCTCTACATTTTTCAAAACTCCAACAAATCCTAAAACAAAGTATTATCCCATAAATCATATTGTTCTTTTACCATTCTTTTTTTCTTATTTATATCTTTTACTATCAGTTTAAAAAAAAAAAACTTAATCCATCCGTTAAGATTAAGTTTACCTAAAAGAAACAAGGTGAGGTAAAGTCGTCTCTAATGAATAAATTTCATTTATACAATTTTAACTCAAAAAAATGTTGAGATACCGATAAAACTGTCAGAACGCAGACATATTTCCTTAACTGGTTCTTTAAATTCTTACAAATTGCATAAAAAACAGATTTTCCATAAAGAGTTAGACAATAAATTCAATTATTTTTAGATCGTTTCCTCTTTCTAACTTGAAAGATTCAAGCTTCACATTTACCCAAATCGATCAACTCAACAACATAAGCAATAAATAAGCAAACTTCTCATAGTGATTCTAATCAATATAAGAAAACAAACTCACACAAGAATCAGAAATCCAATATCAGAACAATAATAAAATAAAAAAAATGGATTACCTTCCCAGGTGCCCTCGGCGACGCAAAAACCTCCGCCGCCGATCCATCGCCGATCTGCATCTTGACAAAGTCGACCTTAGCTTTATCGAACATGGGTTTGACCTTGCTCAATCTGAGGGTTTTGACCTCCTTAGCCAGGTTGAGGCTCCTTGAACTGGTAATAGCTCTCACGAACTTAGGCCTGGACGACGCCGCCGCCGTCGCCGCCGCCGCCAAGCACGTGTCAATGGTGTCCTCGGCGTCGTAGACGACTTCCCTAATTTGGCGCTCCAGAGCTCGAAACGGCTCCTCCTTGTGCTGCTTTTTTCCGGCCTCCACAAGAAAACCTTTTAGGAGACTCAGATCGCTTTTCAGGAGCTCCAGCTCAGTCTCGGCGCCGGCGATCAGGTCGACGTACGATTTCAGAAGCTGGGTGACGTTTTCCAGGAGGAAAGTCACGGCGGCCTCCGCCGCCATGGCTGGTGGTGGATCGGGGAATTCGCCGGCTCCGGCGGCCGGTTAGATCTTTAATTTCGCCATGGATTTGAGTAATTGATTGGTGGAGGAGAAATTCCGGCGATTGAGGGTGGTGTTTTCCGATCGGCTTCTGAGTAATTGAGGAGAGAGAAGCAGCGGTGGTGATGATTGGTAGTGGTGGATCGATGGACTGACTTTGTTTATTCAAAAGTCCTCCATTATTATTATGAAACTTTTATAATATGTTTGTAAAATATATTTTTTTAAATTATAAATATATATCATGCATCCGTAACATGGCTCCGAACTAATCAACACGGTCGTGACTAATCCAACGCGGCCTGCTGGTTGTCTGGATCGTCCAGTCATTCTCATTTATCCTTCCACACCATCCTCTTCAAGTCAATAAGATTGTGTTCAATTTCAGCCGATCATTCATAAAATTAAAATTGATAAAAAAAAATTTCAGTGAAACCAAAATTAATAAGATGATATTGAATTGAACTAAAAATAATTTATACTATTATTATTATAAATTTGTAATTATTTTTTTAATGTGCATTAGAATAATTTATTATTTTTTTAAAATTTATGCAAATCGTGACAGTAGAAATGCACATGGACCATACTTTTATTGATATGTTAATTTGATTGACAACTGAGCAACTTTGGGTAACATGTTCCGATAAAAAAAAGTGTCGGCATATTTCAATGTTATATTTATTTATTTATGTTTATTGTTTGGTTAAATGTAAAAGTGTCAAAACCCCAATCGAATTTAATATTTTTTAAATTAAATTTGAAGAGTCAAATTATTATATTAGACTAACTATGTATGTATGACAAAAATTCACATAATGATCAGATCATCGTATGGGACAAATATACATTGCAATTATGAAAGAGGAATGCTTTGGAGAGACAATAAGGGGGTTGTTTTTCAAGCTTCTTGCCACAAAGGGGCAATTTGCAATACATGAGAATAATAAAAAACATACAAAGTCAATTAAAACATTCAAAATTATTCCATATAATATTTCATAATTTTTTATACCTCCCAACAAAAATATTTAAAACTATAAATATTAACCAAAAACACTCGAGTACACCCTTAAGTACGACATTAACACAAGTTTTCGACCAATATGATCGCTCTGATACTACTTGTTCGATCATACAATATTCAAACAACATCCTCGAATCAACGAGGGAATATTTTGCTAGAATTCCCCGATCAAAAAATATATTGTCACAACACAATTCTAACACAAACAAATCTAGCTAGAAAACAATGTATACATTATCGTAAAGACAAAAACACAAGATGCCGACGAAAATCTAACCGCCTTTCGATGAATAACACCACAAAAAGTCGAGACAAACGAACATTGTAATGTTAATACTATAATCGGGAGGCATGTACTAACCTGTCATAACTTGTAAGGTTGCTTCAATCAAACAACTCACAAAAATTCTTTACGAAAAAGGAGGCACCTGATCTTGTGCGATCAACAAAGTATCGAGCGTGTATCTTTTGATTGATTTTCGCGTGGAAACTTTATCTTCTTCCACTTCCTGCGGTGTCGAGGATCTGCTGGACCAATTTCTCCGGCAATCTCTTGGTAGACTGTAAAAGGCGCCAATGGTCAGTTCTGCTCGAAAAAATCAGTAGTTATAAAGTTGTGTAAGATTTGAATCCGACCTGAAAATGTCTCATATGTAGAATTGGTTCGCAGCCATATTCGGCGATTAGTTTCCCGTTCGGGGTCGTATGCTGGCTGAACCGCATAGCTTCGTACGCTTTAAGATCATCCTTTTTGTGCGGCAAGCTTTGGCAGACATTAATCAGCGACGCAAGAGAGTTCATCTGAGATATTGCTCAAAAATTTAGTAACCGAAGAATAATGCAAGAACCAAGTTTTTAGATAATTAGACGTGTCAAACCTTCATGTAAGGGCAAGATGCACATCCGCCGTGGAGGGAGCAACCCTCGCCGCTTGCGACTCCGGGAATCATGGGGATCGTCGAGAAATCGCCTGCTCTGGATGAGTTCGGCGTCGTGGTGATCGATTCCGAGGAAACTGGAAAAACTATCTCTACGCTTATTTTAGATTTCGATTGAGATCCTGCCGACATTAGTTTCTTTCGAACTGCAGCAACGATCGAAGTTACCATTCCCGATTCAGTTCCCAAAATGAATTGAAGATGATCGTCGATGTTCCTGTCTAATGCCTCTTGCACTCTCTCTTGGATAAAGTCTAAGATGTTCTGAGTCGAACCGACCACTCCCATTCCTCGACGCTTTGCTTCCATGGCCATGGAGAACATTTCGCTGGGAACTTCGAAGTGGGCTGTTAGAAATGCGTCGCAATACATTTCGTTTATTTTCGCGACAACTTCCTGACCAAAGAGGTGATGTACGATGCAATTTCCCTCCTGTCGAAACAGCGAACCATATCATCTACGAAGCAACAAATATAAATCTCTCATCGTGCGCGAGCATCCAATCGAGCTTTTGATTAAAAAATTGACTCAAAGATTACCTGAAAATAATGGAGGCGAGGTATCAACGACTTTATTGAGCTCCGGTTGTGCTTGGGGTGAATCTTGGCGATTTCTTCGTCGCTCATCATGGTCATTTGTTGAAAGAGCTCCATGATGTTCGCTCCCATGTACGTATCGGGGCCATACCACACGTTTAAATTAGGAATTTCAGAAAATGCCTGTGAGACGTACAACAAATCCAACTTATTAAACTAAAGCTGTTAAACGAACCAAGGCGTTCATAAATTTGGTCCTATAAAACTTAGTTTAAGTTCGTTTGTGAATATAAACGAACCGAACCGAACCAAACAACATAAATAAGCTTGTTTGTTAACAAACGAGCCAAAGCCTTGCTTGCGGGCGTTCATTTAAATGACATTTATAATATATATATATATAATTATGAATTAAAAAGAAATAAATAAAATAAAATATCATATCAGACAAACATGCACGAACGAGCTTAATTGAGCTGAACACAACACAAACTCGACTAATAAAATTGTATGTCTAATCGAGCTCGAACACTACAAACGACTTCGAATTCTTAACGAATAAACCCGAGTCTTGTTCTTTAGGCTTAACGAACAAACGCAAACACTTAAAATTCAGTTCGGATCGGTTCGACTCGTTAACAGCTCTAATTAGGACAAAGCTAAAGTGAGAAAAAACGAGCAACAGTGAGAAAAAAGAAGTGCATCGAACCTGTAGAATGGTTTGGACAACATTCGAAGAAGTGCACGTTATTGTCGGGACAACTTCATGGGCATAAGCTTTCGTCTCCAAGGAGGTGTTAATGTACACAACGTGCAAAGAAGGCGAAGGATTGGGAGCAGCGCCTGCCTGCGAAAGGTAATCCATGTAAGCAGGAGCGGCCGCAGCATCAGCCAACGAGCAGCCAATATGCTCGGTGGACATCCGGTAAACACCTACCTGAACAACATTCACAGTTAAAGAAAAACATGCCAAATGCGACGCGATGAACAGAATTTCTGTGTAAGATACAATACCTCTGGAAATCCGGCCTGATCGAGGATAGCGCGGACATTCTCAGACATAAAATCGACGCCAAGAACAGTAATGAATTCGCACCCTGCTTCAGCCATTTTTACAGCTGAGTCGGCCATAATGAGCGAATCCGATATGTGGATATGAGGCCAGAGCTTCTGCGCCGCTGTTAAAACTCCTTGAACTTCAGGATCCATGTAGAAATGCGCGACGACGCCAATCTTCCTCTCCTTTAGTAAATTCACGAGCTCGTGAACTTTTTGCTCGTGTGGATGCAAGAACCTAGCCTGGAATACGCTCGATTAAATACAAGAATCATTTCAACTACTTACCACACGATTTTCGAAAGAACTCCGAATGTAAAGCATATAGGTTCAACAAATAAGGACAAAGGCGCTTTTAAACTATTTGACTACTCACATTCACGCAATTAAGCTACAATTCTTCCACTATACAAGCTTCAATTGTCTCTCAAAATCGATCAATTTACACTAGAATCTTAACAATTAAAGGAGGATAATTCCGATCATTGATCTTAGTTCTCTAATGCTTACGAGAAGACAATACCGAAGAATCTACGATCAAGCATATCAATCAACAACACAATCAAGAAACCGGCTATTCGATCACTCACATTCACGCAATCACGCTACGATTTCGTCCGACAATTGATCATAGTTCCCTATTCAGTTCAATGTTTACTAGAAAACAATACCGAAGAATCTATGATTAAAAATATCAATCAACAACACAATTTCGATCATTCGCATTAACTCGCTCCATTTACGCTAAAATCATAACAATCAAAGGAGGACAATTCCGATCATCGATCATAGTTCTCTATTCAGTTCAATGCTTACTAGAAAACAATTCCGAAGAATCTACGAATCAACATATCAATCAACAACACAATTACGATTAATCATTGAACACCAAAACCATAAAAAAGCCAAAAGATCAAGCTTCACCTGAGCTTCAGCATAGCTGCCTTTGGCCTGAATGCCGTCGGAAGTTATAATCAACGACGGGAAGGGGTCACCGTGGTGCCGGCCCTCGCTCATCGCCACGGCGGCGTTAGTTCTCTTCTTCATACTCATCAACACATTGTGCCAAGTGTTGGCTCGACTACTACTCGAATTCCCACTCCTCTGTCCATTAACACCTACACTACCTAAAGCTTTTAAATCCTCTGTTTTTACCGCCAGAACCTCCGCCGGCGTTGCGCCGTCGAGCGCCGCAATCAGGCAAGCGCAGAAGCCTTTAGTTACCTCCGAATCGCTGTCCGCCATAAACCTCAACCTTTTGCCATCGCCGTCGAGCTCGACGTGCAGCCAAACCTGCGCAGTGCATCCCGGCACGCGATTCGCGGCGGTTTTCAGTGAATCTGGGAACGGCGGGAGCCGCGCCGCGCAGCGAATTAGCTTTCCGACGCGATCCGCGGGTTCAACGAGCGATTGGAATTCTTCGAGGAGGAGCTGAAGTCTCGCCGCGGCGGTTGCGCTGCCGCTGCTCTGACGGTCGGCGGCGACGGCGGAGCAGGCGAAGGTCGGTTTACAAATAGGCTTGAAACGATTGCCGGAATCGGAATTTGAGGCCTGCGAATGGACGCATCGGAGAATCGACGGCGGATTGGGCCTGGAATTGCTAGGGTTAGCGAAATTGAAAGCGAATTTGGAATCGGGGGAATTGCAGAGGAAGGGTGAAGAAACGGCTCTCATGGAAATCGCGGCGGACTCCATGGTGGGAAGAAGAAATGGAATCGAATTCAAGAAGTGGCGTTGATCGATCAAGAAGAAGAAGAAAGAGGGATTTTTTGTCGGGGTATGATTTGATGTGATTCGATTATGGTAGATGGAAGCAATAAATTGGAGGGGCTGAAAAAGCGGGATTGATTGGGGAGTGGCGAAGCAGAGAGAGAGAGAGAGGGATATGATATTTAAGGTAGACGAAGATGGAGGGCTCTGCTCTTCTCTGCGGGATAATACGCGGTCCAAAAAACAGCCACCATATTGGCCTTTTGGAGAGGCAAATTCTTAAGGCTGTGTTTGGTTGACGTTAGAATTTGGTTTTTGCAGTTTAGAATAGAAATTTTTGGAGATTTAGAAGTATTAAAAATAATAAAAACTAAGTATATGATATTTGATACGATTTTGTATTTTTTAATGTCCAATTCGAATGTATTTAAAAGGAGTTTATAATATATTAAAAAATATATTTTTTTTTATCAGTTAGATAAAGTATATAATAAATTTTTGATATTTTTGTCTTTATTTAACTTTATGTATAGAATAAGAGTATATTTTTAATTTAAATATAAATTATTTTGATATTAGTATATAAATATTTTTATTAAAATAAAAAATATGTACTATTTAATGAGACAGATAAAATGATAAAAAGAATATAAGTATATAAATTTAGATAAAATATAATGTGTATTAATAAAAATAATTATATATTAAAAATAAGATTATTAAATAATTTAATTTAAATTAAAAAAATATAAAATATTAATTTTAAAATATGATTAAATGTATACTTCTATTTTAAAAGAGGCATAATCATGTTGGCCGGATCCAAATAAAAAAAAATAAACAATTTCTTTGGAGCAAGGAGTAATTAATTACCGTCACAATAAAATAATAATTTTTTAAAATAAATGTTAAAAAAATAATTTTATTGCTTAATAAAGATTCTTAATATTTTTTTTATTATTTAAATTAAAAAAAAGCATTTAATTAATTATATAAATTTCAAATCTACCTTTGTGAAAATATTCCCAAAAATAGGATGGCCAGTGAATTTGTTTCGGGATTGGTTAGAAAAAACAAATTGACAATTGGTTGCGTATGGCGGCGCTCAGTGGTCAGTCACACTTACCAACTGCTGTTTTAATTTTGTGTCAGTCAATCTATTCTTTTGTGTAATTTAAGGACATCACTGTTCTTTTCGAAAGGACTCCGTGGAGTCGAGGTCCCAGAATAACGGAGCTTTTCACAATGATTGGCGGTGTAAGACTGTAACTGTTGACTTTTTCTGGACTCGAGGTCCATGGAGTAGCTGTGTGGAGTCATGTTTAGCTACACAATTTGGACTCGGACTGAAGAAAAAAAATCTAGTGTAGTCTAAGAACAAAGAAAAAAGCAATAGCCTTTTTTTCTTTTTTTCTTTTTTTTTTTTTTTTTTTTTTTTGTTTATTAATTTTTGCTTATTAATTTGTGTGTGTGTGTGTAAAAAGACACAAGAGCAACGATATTAGTCTAAGACACACAAGCCTTTAAAAAATTATATGTTCAGGTTGTGTCCAAATTGTATTTCAATTTCGATAGCTTTCGAGGAACAAAGTATACAATGATTTTTATTAAAATATTTTACTTTCTTAATAAATAAATTTTATTTATTAAAAATGCAAGGGATAAAAAATTAAAGTATACACATGGACATGGGTGATTGCAAAGAGAGATAGAGAGGAAATTGGAAGGGGTGGCTAGAATTAGAGTTGTTAAACGATCTGAGCCGTTTGTGAACTCGGCTTGGTTCGGCTCGATACGGTTCGGTTAAAGTTCGTTCGTGAACGTTAACGAGTCGAGTCGAACAATATAAATAGACTCGTTTGGGTAACGAACGAGTCCGAGCTTTGTTCGCGAACCTTTGTTTAAGTAATATATTTATTATAAATATTATATATACATATAAAATTATAATTTATAAATAAATAAAATATTAATTTAAAATATATAAATCAAATAATTTTGAATTTTCTTTATAATTTATATATAAATTTTAAAAAATAAGACAAACGAGCTCAAACGAGCTTAATCGAGCCTAAACGAGCCAAACATGAACACGAGTTCAAACAACAAAAATTCTTAACAAACCGAGCTCGAACACTACGAATAAGCTCGAAAGCTTAGCGAACGAACACGAGCCTTGTTCGCGAACGTTAACGAACACTTAAAATTTGGCTCGGCTCGACTTGGATCGTTAACCGCTCTAGATAGAATGGAGTTTGCAATAGTGAGAGAAAATAGACCTCACCTACGCGAGGCATTCTTCCAAGAACGTCGATTTTTTTTTACCTCGGCTATGTTTCTTTACGCTCAAAAGATCAGGTTTTTATTATTTTGATTTTGCTGTTTTTCGAAAAAATATTTTTTTTTCTCTCTCTTACAAAATATTCTATTATATATTATTTTAATAGCAAACTAAAATCAAAATTTTTTCGAACTCATCAAAAGAAACAAACCCCTCGGTAGATAAGCCATTGCAATGTGAAAATTTTGAAAAGGATGAAAAAATCTATCAAACCATAGATATATAAGGCATTGCAATATGAAAATTTTGAAAGAAGTGAAAAAAAATCTATGGAATCATAGGATGAAGCCCTCTAAATATGTTAAATGTTAAGTGAGAGACCATTTTGTTCTTTCTAGAATTCCGATGAAGGAATAAACGATTCTGCTGAAACTTGGCATAGTGGGCAGCCAACTTGGTTATCTTCAAGAATAAGCCCCTTGTTTCTTAATTCATCCCTCACCGGAATGCCACCAATCCATTCATAACTCTCCACCCGATCAGCCACTCCCACTCGGAGTCGATGGTTATCAAATAGATTCCTCCTAAGAAACACCTTCCACACCCAACCAAAATCAGTCCAATCCTTGAAACCATTTTTATCATTAATAGATAGATGAAAAATTCTTGGGAAGCTGTTTTTCCAGTGAATCCTGCCCTACCAACACATCCTCCCAAAATCTCGTTTTTAATTTCCTCCGTCTCCCATTAAAATTTTTAGCTTACTTGTCGAATTTACCTCCTTCTCGAAACTGGACCAACCTTTTTTAATCCATCCCCATAGCGACCTTGAAGAGGAAACTGCTCCCGAAGACGGAGACGGAGACGGTGGAAAAAACGAGATTATTTAGATCATTCACCACACACACATATATGTGTGTGTGTGAAAGAAAATAAAAAAATAAATTAATTTGGTCATTTAACACTATATATTTGTAACGTTTTTAACTTGTCTGATTTAATTATAACTTTTATTTTTGCTATTACTCTGGTTAAAATATATACCACTATGCATTAATTCATAGGAATTGTATTATCTATATATACATTCTTCTTCATTCTTGTATTGTCATCGACAAAGGAGAAAGACATGGATACATTCCAACAGCTGACAATGGCTTTCCTTTCCTTCACCTTCCTCATCATCTTCATCCACCGGCGGAATTCCTCGCCGGGAAAGCGCCTGCCGCCGTCGCCACGTAAGCTTCCGGTGATCGGAAACCTCCACCAGGTCGGCGGTCTCCCCCACCGTTCACTCTACAACTTGTCCCGCCGCCACGGCCCTCTAATGCTCCTCCACTTCGGCAATGTCCCGGTCGTTGTGGCGTCGTCGTCCGCCGCCGCTTGCGCGATAATGAAAGATCAAGACACAATTTTCTCCGACCGGCCATGGCTCCGAATCGCCGACCGGCTAACGTACGGGTCGAGGGACGTGGCGTTCGCGCCATATGGCGAGTATTGGCGGCAAGCGAAGAGCATTTGTGTCGTCCATCTTTTGAATACTAAAAGAGTTCAATCTTTCCGGCGAGTTCGCGAAGAGGAGACGTCGGCGATGGTGGAGAAGATCAAGATTGAATCGGGGAAATCCTTGCCGTCCGTTGTGAACCTTAGCGACGCGCTTGTTTCCCTAACAAACGACGTCGTTTGTAGAGTCGCATTTGGAAGGAAGTATAGAGTCGAGGATGGCGAAGGGCGAAGGTTTAAGGAGTTTCTCGGAGAGTTTATAGAATTATTAGGTACTTTGAACGTTGGAGATTATATTCCGTGGCTTCGATGGATTGGTCGAATCGATGGGACCGACTCCAAGGTCGAAAGAGTCGCAAGGTTGTTCGACGAGTTCTTGGTTTATGTGATTGAAGAACATCGGCGATCGAGGGAGAAAGGCGAGGCCGGGGGTCTTGATGAAGAAAATGATCTTGATTTTGTCGATATTTTGTTGAAATATCAAACCGAAATTGAAGAGTCGACTACTCTCGTCAAAGATGAGTCGATCAAAGCTATCATTGTGGTAAGTTAAAACTATTTTGTTGTTATAACTTTTTCGTCCTAATTCAAAGTTTATTTGAGTTTGATTCGAGATATAACATTTCAATATAATTCTTTTTAACCCTTGATGATAGATTATCTTGTAAGTTTAACTTTTCAGGTGAAATAGTCGTTAAAAAAGTCATTCATTTTGTTATTATTTGTATAATTTTATTGATTTGGTTGAAATTTGTGCACGAGGTTGGATTTTAAATTTTAGTTTAAACAGTTATTTTAATATTTTTTTTCAAAAAATAATATTTTTTTCCGTCCGTCCATCTTTAAGGGTCATATTTACTTTTGCATAATTATATTTAATATTACAAATATTTTTATATTTATATAACTTTTTATACAAATATCCTTCTATTAGTATTATAAGACAAGAATGAAAGTATTTTTTCAATTTTTTCTTAATTTATACTATGTTATTTTGATATAATAATTAATATTAAAAGAAAAACACGCAAAAAAAATAAATGGGATCCTTAGAGTCGGACAGATGTATATTTTTATAAAAAATTGCTAGTATTGATTTTTGATTTTTCGACAGGACATGTTCGCCGGCGGAACGGACACCACGGCGTCGCTCTTGGAATGGGCAATGGCGGAGCTAATAAAGAATCCCGAAGCGATGAAAAAACTTCAAAACGAGGTGCGAAAAGCAGCTGAAAAGAGCCAAGAAATCACCGAGGATGTCGTGGACAAAATGCCGTATCTAAAAGCCGTGATCAAAGAAACTCTACGGCTCCATTCCCCGATCCCGTTGCTCGTCGCGCGCCAATCGACTAAAGATACCAAATTGATGGGCTACGACATCGCGGCCGGCACGCGCGTAGTGATAAATGCATCGGCCATCGGCCGCGACCCCTCATTGTGGGAAAGCCCCGAAGAGTTCAAACCAGATAGGTTTTTGGACTCGACTATCGACTTTAAAGGATTTCATTTCGAGCTCGTCCCGTTCGGCGCGGGCCGGAGGGGATGCCCCGGTGTGGCGTTCGCCGTGACTATAAATGAGCTGGCGTTGGCTAAATTGGTGAACGAGTTCGATTTCTCGTTGCCGGAGAAAAGGGAAGTGACGGATTTAGACATGTGTGAAGCTCTTGGAATCACTGTCCGAAGAAAGAATCCTCTTGTTGTTGTTGTTACTAATTCACTCCCGTGATTTTTAACCTTATAAGATTATCGATGAAGTAAATAATCGTTAAACCTGAAAGTTTAAGTTATTAAAATACGTATCGCTTATTTATCTATCTATAAAATGGAGTTAACCATCAACCTGAAATTTGTTGTGGACAATAAGGTATGAACTTAAATTTTTCAGAATCGAGAGATGTGGTTTTAAATCGTCGGGTTAAGATGTTTAATGTAGTCTACACAAACAATGATGGATATGTGGATGAATTTCATTTGGCAACTACTACTTAGACATGTGAGTTATCACTGTTGGACAAAATTTTTGATATATGACTAATTGTCTAGTCAACGTCGACAATAATTTTTAATGAATTAATGCCAAAAACTATTTTGGAGTTTATTTAAGATTTTGAAAATTTCAAAAAAGGAATTATTGTGGATTGTGAATTATATATATATATATATATTAATATAATATAATATAGGGAAAGAGGGTGTAGCCTCAATCCCTTGACTTTTAAGTGGGTAGAATTTTCATTTTTTCTGTTCTCATGTGATTTTTATTTTTGAAAAGGAGTTGCATTTTAAATTTATAATTTTTTTAATATTTTAATTAAATTAATTAATTATAATAAATAAATGATACTTATTTTAAAAGTTTAAATTTTTCGGTGAATCGATCATTCACATAATCTAATATTATATCAAAATTCATTCATCTCTTACTTGTGAGAAGACGTGTATATATTATATTTATAAAAAATATGCAATAAAATTACAAGTATAAATAAATAAAAGAAACATACCTTAATACATATTTTAAATTTATTTATATTATAAAAAATTTTATTTTCCATAAAATAATATATATCAAATATATTTTATTGGAATATAATTTTAAAACATTCCAAATATATTATATATATTACTCTCTCTGTCTCTTAACAATGTCAATTTGTCTTTTGCGTCATTGTAATTAATATTAAAAATATTTTTATATTTGTATATTTTTTTTTGTACAAACATCGTTATATTACACTATTATAAGACACTAAAATATATATATATATTTTTTTTTATCATTTTTTTTTATTTGAAATACATTTTGATATAATAATTAATATTTAAAGATTAATATGTAAATATTAAATAAATACTTAATTAGGGAAATGAGAGATTATTAATTACCCAAACGTATAATTGAATTTTCTTTGGCTACACTATTTACACATATTTTCAAACTTAATTTTGACATTATTTCTAGAAGACCTCTTTAAAATATATCCATTAAATATATATTTATATATATATACTTTATCCGTGCGTCTCTAGAAGGCCTCTTTAAAATATATCCATTAAATATATATTTATATATATATACTTCCTCCGTCTGTCTCTGAGTTATATTTATCTTTTGTATCACTGTACTTAACATTAAAAATATCTTTATATTTGTATAATTTCGTGTACAAACACCCTTTTATTAGTAATGAACTAATGATAGAAATATTTTTGCTATTTTCTTTACGTTTTGATATTATAATTAATATTCAAAGATTAATACGCAAAAATTAAAACGGACGAAGGTAATTCATATTTTAAAAATATTATTTCAAAAATGATTTTATATACAAAAATCTCATTGAATATTTTTTTTCCATCACACAAAATACCTAAACCTTATTTACATACATATTTACAAAGTATCTAAACCTTATTTACACACACACACACACGTGTATATATATATAGACTTTGACACTATTTATCATATTTATTTTTCAAAAAACACCACTTCAAAAAACAATTTAGGTGTTTTATTTTCTCGGTTTTGATTCGGTTTAAAAGTTTGAATTTTTTATTTAAGTAATGTTTAATATTCATACCGCCTCAACAAAAAAAAAGGAATTATTTATTGAAAACATAAAAAATAAAAAGATAATTAAATTATTTTTAAATATTTAGTTAGTAATTAAAAAAATACAAAAATAAAAAATAAAGATAGCGACAATTATGGTATATAAATAATAAATGAAGAGTAATAGTTAAATATTAATTTTGATTTTTTCAAAATTAATAAAAAAGTGAAATGAAAATACGTATTTTTTTTGAAATAAAGTAAAAAATTTAAATAGTAAAAAATCAACAAGAGTGTGTTTGTTTTGTATTTAGCTTGAAAGAATAATAAAAAATTATATAAATAATATAAAAATAATTAGTGTGTATAGTATATTAAACTTTTTAAAAATATATATTCAAAAGAATTTGGATAAAAGAGCAAAGCTGAAATATAAAAAAAATTACAATTGAACTCTTAAACTTCCAAAACACCTTCCAAAATAGAGCCTTGTTTTCTGAAACCGTCGGAAACTTTAAAATACTTTCGAAACATATCAAAATACTGCCTTAGCAAAGAAGTTTCTTTCTGTGGGCTTGGCAATGCTCAGGTCACTCTACCTATTCCAACATTAATAATGTTTGGGCCAATGTAAAAAAAGCTGGCTATCAATTTATGAAGCTGGTCCATTTTAGAACACAAATACAGCTACCTTAAGCAGCAAACAAAATTAATTGACATGAAGAATTTAATTACAACCAAAACTGAAATAAATAGTGCAAGAATCACACCAAGTTATCATCAAAATTAATCACATCGTGTTCTAAGATGATCGGGAAAATAATAATGGATGCATATGAGCTTTATCCTTCTCTATTAGCAATAGCAGTGATTTACTGTTTTTGGTTTTTTACCGTTAGGTTCTTCATTTCTCCGAAAATGGACAAGTTCCCGCCATCGCCGCCGAAGCTTCCGATCATAGGAAATCTTCATCAAATAGGGGATATGATCCATCGTTCTTTGGCGAAATTGTCCGACAAACATGGCCCGTTGATGTCGCTTCAGCTCGGAAATAAACCTGTCGTGGTGATTTCATCGGCCGAAGTGGCGAGGGAGGCTACAAAAAACCACGACATATCGTTTTCAGACAAGCCGACATTAATTGCGACGAACAAGCTTTTTTATGGTAGCAAAGGGCTCATCTTTTCGCCCCATGGCGATCAATGGAGGAAGTTGAGAAGCATATTTGTCAATAACCTTCTCCACAAAAAAATGATCAAATCTTTCAAAACTTTTAGGGATGAAGAAACGGAGAGCTTGTTGCAAAGCCTCGACGAGATGAGCGCAACTTCCACGCCGGTGAACTTGACCGCGATGTTCAAGTCAATGGCGAATGACATGATATGTAAATCAGCGTTTGGGAAGAAGTATAGGAAAGGAGAAGAAGGGGCCAAGATTATGGGGATAATCGACGACATGGTGCAATTGCTGGTTACATTCACTGCGGGGGAATATATTCCGTGGCTTTCTTGGACGAATCGATGTAACGGATTTCTTGCAGCCATTGATAGAGTTTCGAAGACGAAGGATGAACTTCTTGATACGAGAATTCAAGAATACATTGAATCATCATCAGGTGGAAGTAAAGGGAACAGTTTCGCCGATATATTGCTTAGTATTTATAGGGGTGAGACTCCCAACGTTTCGATCGATTTCCAAATGCTCAAAGCAGTTATTCAGGTAAGAACATTGCATAGTTATTATGGTATACATTTTATCTTTGTTTTTCGGTTTTGATTATTAGTTTGGATCTTGTCTCGGATTTAGTTTATAGTAAATAACTATCCTATCTAAAAACTTTTAGATAAGATTGGTCATTTTACATAATATCAGAGAGATTTTGAATCTTACTGTACTCTTTCATAACAAATTTGTCCACATGCAAAATTCGGAGAGATGGTCATTTAACAATTTTGATTTTTTTGTGTTTTTTTGTATAAACATTGTGAATTAGCAAAGGGATATGTTGACTATGCAAGAAAGAATTTGTTGAATTATATGAAACATTAGGATAAAGATAAGAAATATGTTGAACTATGACAAAAATCCCTTGAATTGTATGGAACATTAGGACAAAGATAAGAAATATGTTGAAATATTTGAATTGTATGAAACGTTAATCATTAAGGAATAAAAAACGTAAAATATATTTTTCCTTATAATATTTTTACAATTCTTCATATACCACTCTACAAAAACAATTAAAATTATAAATTGTAGTCGCGTAAGAGATTGAGGTGAACTCGTGATCATGAGCATGTTAAAATTATATTCCGAATTCGTAAATACAAAGTATGTTCAGTTGTGGTTTAGAATGAGATATGGATTTTTTTAATAATATTTTGATGTTTGAAAAAATAATTAATATATTTTTATTGACAATACTGCAAGTTAAAGTGATCTTTATAAGTTGAAAGTAAAAACAAACACACATGCCCTGTGTAAATAAAAACTTTAAATTTTGAGAATTTTGAAAATTTCGGAAATGATAAAAATGAGTATTGAATGTAAATTTTGTTAGTGAAAATAACAAATTTAATATATGTATATTTCTTTAGATGAAGAGTAATAGAAGTTTAGAAAGTATCTATATAAATAGAGGCTTATCCATTGAAGCTAAACTGATGTAAAAGAAACTCTAGAACCATGGTATAAATCTGTTGAACCACCTAAAATTATGTTGAATTATTGTATAAAACCAAAAAAGAAAAAAAATGCTAGTGACATAAAAAGATCGACTAAAAATTACTGTTGAATAATATATTTCAGCACCCGATTTGTATAGCTAATAGTTATGCATTTGATTTGCAGGATGTGCTTGGAGCCGGAACAGATACTACGGCAACAGCTCTAGGCTGGGCGATGACGGAGCTCATAAGACACCCCAACATCATGAAAAAATTGCAAGCTGAAGTTCGCAAAGTTATGAATGGAAAACAGGGAATTACTGACGCCGAATTGGAGAAAATGCAATATCTGAAAGCTGTGATCAAGGAAACATTACGCCTACACAGTCCTGTCCCGATTGGGCTTCGCAAGACAAATGAAGATGTACACATTATGGGATATGACATTCCTCGCGACACAATGGTGATGTTCAACTTGTGGGCTATTTGTCGCGACCCTGCCTGTTGGGATGAGCCAAAAAAGTTTCGCCCGGAGAGATTCTTGAATTCTTCATTAGAATACAACGGTATGGATTTCCATTTCATCCCATTTGGAGCTGGACGAAGAATCTGCCCCGGGGTATACTTTGCGACAGCATCAGTCGAGCATGTGCTGGCGAATTTAATGGACAAGTTCGATTGGAAGTTGCCGGATGGAGCGAGAGGAGAGGACTTGGACATCCAAGAGAAACCTGGTCTTGCAGTTGGGAGAAAAAATCCGTTGATAGTTGTTCCTATTAAGCGCACTCTTTAACAGCATCGACACTTAGTATTTATCTTACGACTACTATGCTAATAATTTCACTATAATAGTACTAAGATGTTAGAATAAATTTCTCAAACTTTGGTTCGATGGAGAAGTTCTTGTGATATATTGATGAGTTATTCTACTCTTTACATTTTATTTGATTGAATCGAAATTTCATCTTTTTCTTTTCATCTGTTTTTTGAGATTCATTGTTCAATTCTGTTTATCTTTGTTTTTGTACATGAATTTCGTGTTGTGTTTACTAAATCTTTGGAAAAAGAATTGTGACAAATGATGAAAAAAAGGGGAAAAACCTACAACAATTTCCTACAATAACAAATTTTCATAAAAATATTTTTGGGTGTAATTACTTTGATTTTATTTACTTTTCTTTTTTTGATTTTCAATTTCTTTAATACACAATCCTCACAATTTTTTTTAATAAAAATATATTATATTCGATTACAAAATATTACATCTAACCAATAATTTGCGTAGAAATACATGTTCTAGCAAGTAAAAGTTAAAATCTAAAAATACTTCTATTCATGATACCAACCATTGGATTGGTATTGCATGAAATGTAGAATACTCAAGTAGAAATGAATATGATTTTATTTATACTCATTTGTTTACTTTTCAATTGTTCTTTGACATTATCATCAAAATGAAATTAGATACCTATTTTGCAAAAAAAATCTTATAACTAAACATGTCACATTGTATGCTAATATGGGGTATATCCTATATCACTATATTTCCCTTTATTATTGGTACATTATGTTTATCATCGCCTCAAGTAATTATATTAATAAACGATGTTTTCTATAGTAACAACTCTTGGTGATTTAGGGGTCCCTAATTCATCCCAAGCTATGCTACTTAGTGTCTCTATCACCCATTCACCAAACAAATTTTAATTTTTTTTGATGGACTTAGTTTTTGCGCGCCTAGTTATAGGTAAACCACACTATGCAAGTCCTATGTTACAGACTTAATAAAAAAAAATTATCGACAACGTTTGAACTTTTAATTTGCTGTCATAAGTTTGCCTATTATACTAATTCGGCCACCCTTTATAGGTAACTATTGATTTTACTAAAAAATTAGATGAACTTCATCCATGTAATAAATATTTGACGAGGAAAGATCCAACCCCTTACGGCCATCTATATATATTTTGTACTTTATGCTTTATAGTAATAAATTTCTTTTAAGTTGGTCTTGTCTCTTTGATCCCTAATCCATACTATTGATCCACATGCTAATATAGCTTATGCCAACCCACATGTTTAATGGTCTTGCCCACTACACTCCCCATCCTATCGACAACATTAATTAGCCAATGTAATTTGATGATCAAATTTAATATAGACTTTAAATTGCATACAATCTTTATTATTATATGAATTTAACACAACAAATATATAAACTAGAACAACAATACGTATTATTTGTCCTATAGCACCTTAATGGCTGGCACGGGATCCCTGACCCTATTTTTGCCCAGCCCCACTCAGCCTGTCACCTAAAGTATATATATATATATATATATATATGCTAATTTAAGTAGTGTTAGAGAAATTTGTCATGACAATATTTTTAAACAGTACATAACGTATGGTTATATTAGCAACATGGTCACTAATCATCGATCGCCCCAAGTTGACCATCCTTTATGGGGCAATGATTTCTCAATACTTTTGAACATATGATGAAAAGATTGCATATCATTTACACCAAAAGTTTAGACTATTAGTACATGCACCAACTTCCTTCATTAATCGAGTAATTAATTAGAAACAGGCAATGGACAACTTGTTAGCATCTTTGTATACATCCAATCAAGCATTTTTATTCTTATTTATTTTTTATTTTTAATGAAAATGCTAAGATGATTAGAGAAATATATTTGAATTAATGGATCTTATAGAAGATGAATGAAGGTAGAAAATGCAAGAGGAAGATAAGGAAACAAAAAGGGACAGTGACATTTATTATATTTTTCTAGAATTTTAGAGTGGTATATAATTAATAATGAAGGGCTTATATAGACATGATATATAGACGAGATAGACTAAAATAACTATTATATATTATGATGGATATAATCAAAATCAAGGGCTTATATAGACATGATATATAGAGGAGACTAAAATAACTACTATATATTATGATGGATATAATCAAATTTAATTTAAAAATCATAATAAAATACATTAAATATCTCAAACATGGTGAACCTAAAGGTAAATAGATAGAGTGTTCTTTCTACTACTATATATGTAGCGCAAGAGTGAAATTAGTAGCAAGAAAGTCCGCGATCGATAAATTTCTTCTCTTAATCTCCTATATTTAACAAAGATTTCATATGACCGAGAAGCAAATGAAGATATTTGATCTATATCCGTGTTTTTTAGCTCTGTTACTACTATACTGTCTCTGGTTTCTTACAAGAAGGCTTTTCTTAGACGGACGAAACAAGAAACTACCGCCCTCGCCTCCAAAGCTCCCCATCATTGGCAATCTTCATCAATTGGGGCGTTTACCTCATAGATCTCTTACATATATGTCCAGGAAGTATGGGCCACTTATGTCTCTTCAGCTTGGAAGCAGGTCAGCATTGGTGATTTCATCGGCTGCAGTGGCGAAGGAAGTCGTAAAAAATCATGATATTTCCATTTCGGACATACCTGTAGTAACAGCTGCCAAACGGATTTTTTATGGCGGGAAGGGCCTTATCTTTTATGGTGAGAACTGGAAGCAATTGAGAAGCATGTTTGTCAATCATCTACTGCATAAAAGCATGATCAAGTGCTTCAAATCCATCAGAGATGCAGAAGCGTCGCGCCTGCTTGAACATATTGATAAGTGCAGCTCAACTTCTGCGCCGGTGAACTGGAGCGTGAGGTTTAAGCATATGTCGATTGAATTGATATGTAATTCGGCGTTTGGGACAAAATTTTTAGGTGAAGAGGAAACTAAGGAGATACTAGGAATGATTGATATAACGCTGGAGTTTCTATCAACGTTCACGGTGGGGGAATTTATTCCTCGGCTTTCTTGGATGAACCGGTGGAATGGTTTCGATGCTACATTGGACAAGCTTGTGAAAGAAAAGGAGGAACTCTTGGGCAAGCGAACTGAAGAGTATATAGAAACTTCATGTGGAGATTGCAACTTTGTCGATATTTTGATTGGTTTGGGACTTCATATCGAGGATATTCAGATGCTCAAAGCAATAATTCAGGTGAGGAATTAAGCATTTTTGTGAAAATTTTATTTCCTCGTACAATGTCCAAATTTCCTAATTTATGGGATTGATACTGTATTATTAATAGCAGCTGTTACAGTGCTAAATGTATATATCCAACACTGTGCTAACAACACATTAAATATATATGTGGATAACACACATATATCATACGCCAATAATATATAGTTTATAGAAATATAGTACAAATACATCAAATAAATTAACAATACATGATACTAATCTATATAATACATACCACCATTGGTCTCAACACTCGGAATATGTTAATACAACACATATATAAAATATAACTGTTAGCACATGCTTTGATGTGCTAGTTGAAATCATATGTTGTCTATTTATTTTTTATGTGCTGATTATTAATGAACTTTATTATTAATTCATGGTTAATGATATCATATTCATTCATTACTTAAAATTTTCAATCTTATTAGAATAGAGCTAGAATAATGTAATTTCAAGAATATGTCGCAAATATCGTTATATGAAGATGATTAGGGTGCTATTTAGTCCTATTCAGTATATGATAGTTTCGTATACAACATGCGCCATAATTAATTTTATCAAAAGATTGCATATATGGTAATAGTTTACATATCACATCCAATAATTATTGAACTAAGCACATGCCAAATGTTAACATAGCATATAATACAACCATGTGTTGTGCGCAATTTTATCATATTCTAGTTAGGGCTAATCAGCACGATGCTGTCGAGTTATGTAATTAACCTTTTAAACGCTGAATGTTACATGTTGTTGAAGGGCATGGATCAGATGCTAATTTGGTCAAACAGCATACTGACTTGACCAGATGAGCACTGAATCTGCAGCCGTTATAGTTTCAGCAATGTTGAATCGCACTTTTTCGTATTCGAGCCAACTTTCCTAACAAATGGCTTGTATATAACATTTATGAAAAATAAGCATGCGATCTGTATTTAACAATCATTCATTTAATCAATTTAACAATCATTCATTTAATCAATGACAGGATATTCTTGGAACTGGAACAGACCCGCCATCGACAACACTAGACTGGGCAATGACTGAGCTCATAAGAAACCCTAACAGCATGAAAAAGTTGCAAGAAGAAGTAACAGAGATTATGAAGGGAAAACAAGAAATGACCGATAATGAGTTGGAGAAAATGCAATATTTGAAAGCAGTCATAAAGGAGACCTTACGCTTGCACCCACCCGTCCCGGTTAAACCTCGCGAGACTAATGAAGATGTGCACCTTATGGGCTACGACATTCCAGCTGGTACAATGGTCATGTTTAATTTGTCGGCTATATGTCGTGATCCTGCCTGCTGGGATCAGCCGGAAACTTTTTCACCCGATAGATTCTTGAATTCTTCTATAAACTATAAGGGTTTGGATTTTCAGTTCATCCCATTTGGAGTCGGGCGTAGGATCTGCCCGGGGATGTTCTTCGCAATGGTATCCATTGAGCATGTGTTGGCCAATCTAGTGCACAAGTTCGAGTGGCGATTGCCAGATGGGGCTCAAGGCAAGGACTTGGATGTGGCTGAGAAACCTGGCTTCACAATTGGGAGAAAAAAAATCCTCTTATTGTAGTTCCAACAAGACGTTTTTAGCCCATCAAAGCAATACTTGTTGTTGAGATATTTTAGTTATTTAGGTTTAGACCTAGTTGTTTTAGATTTGATTTTATACATTAAATTATGTTGTTATGATTTGAGTCTATCGAATCTGTATGTCATGCCTATTTATAAGCCTTTATCTTCATTATGAATAATAGTGCAATTTTTAAGTTTCTATGAAATATTCTCATATATGCCATAAAAGTCTTCTTTTTTCCTAGAGTAGATACAATATATTAACTCTCATTTTTCGGGTAGACTCAACTTCGAATGATTTTCGTTTGCATATGAATTTGAGAGTCCTGCTTGCGCGACTGTATTGTGAACTTGTGACCTCACAGTCACGAGTTCATTCCCACACCACCAGACAACTAAACACACGTACTTGACAAACAATCCAATTCAACTTAAAAACAAAAATTACAAAAATAAAAACTAAACACACGTATTTGACACACATCATTTTTTCTTGCAATTGATTGATTTTCGTTCTAGTTTTTTCTAGGACAGACTGTGTGGAAATAATCTTAATCCACCCTTTAAGGATTGTAGCTCAAGTAGTTAACTACTCTCTTTACATCCTAAAGAGTTGAGGTTCAATCCACATTGGGTCGTAGTAGTGTATTGAAATATATATATATTTATATATATATATATGTCATAATTTGGTCCACTACAATAAAAATGAGGGGCAACAAAACTAGAAATTTCCCTTCCATTGTATGTTCCTTAACTAAAGAGGGAGAGTGCCGAGATCAATATTATTTCTATGTTGTATTTGTATTATATTATAAAATATATTGCCCTCTTAATTTATATTTGACATACTATCAGCACCATATTGAATAATATCATACAATATACTAACTGTAACCATATATATATATGCATTCGTTGTTGCTAAAAACCCCTATATTTTGTACTTGATTCTTTATAGTAATAAATTTCTTCCAACTTGGTGACATAGTCAGATGGCCTCTTGGGTCCCTAATCCACACTATAGGTCCCCATGCTAATATAGCTTATGGTAACACACAAATTTAGTTGTCTTTTCCACCACATTCCCCATCCTATCGACGAAAATATTAGCCAATGTTGATGATCGCATTTAATATAAGTTTTGAGTTCCATGCTTTTTGTATAAGCACATTGGACAATTCATGAGCATATATATAACAATAAAGATTGTATGTCTCCAATCATATGGTCACAACTACTAAACAAATTTAAAAAACTTCGGAATAGAATCCTTTTTGACTTTTAAGAGATTAAAATTTATATATAGGTCCCTCCTACATGAGCATGAGCCGTAATGCCGCGTTTAGTAAATGATAAATGGACACAAAAACAATGTTGTTCATTCATGATTCATGTCCCTTCAACAGCTATATAATGATATCCCAAAACTCAGATAGAATGCACTTGAAAGATAATCGAAACAAGCATAGCACCGAAAAGAACAAACCATGCTCAATTTTCAGGTGTCCCAGCTTTATCCAATTTTGCTTGCTTTAGCAGCCTTGTACCCTGTAATATGGTTCCTTTCTCAAAGGTTGTTCCCAAAGGACAAGATTGTATATCCACCTTCGCCGCCAAAAATTCCAATCCTAGGGAACATCCATCAAGTCGGGGTGATATTGCCTCACCGGTCTCTTTGGAATTTATGCAAGCAATACGGGCCTTTCATGTTCCTCCAATTTGGTATAAGAAAAGTATACGTGATTCAATCCGGGGACATCATCAAGGAGCTTGTGAAAGACCATGACATACCTGTTTCAAACCGGCCGGGATTGCTGCCTAATGAAAAGCTATGGTATGGCCTCAAGGGCCTCATCACATTGCCCTACGGCGATCAGTGGAAAAAGTTGAGAAACATATTTATGAACCAACTGCTGCATAAGAAAAGGGCGCAGTCATTTAATTCCATCAGGGACGAGGAAGTCGCAAAAATGGTAGAAACTATCAGCAAGCTGAGTTCAATAGGGGAACCGGTTAATCTGTCGAGGATGTTTTCGCTGTCGGCAGCTGGCACCGTTGCTAAAGCCACCTTTGGGGAGGTGTATGCACATGGAGCACAAAGTAATCGGATAGTACCAATTCTTGAAGAGATGGAGAAACTATCTTTCAAGTTCACTATCCGGGATTTCGTTCCATGGCTCGCCTGGATTAATCGGCTGACGGGGTTCGACTCGACACTGGACCGGGTTGCTATAGAGAAAGATGAACTTTTGGACAAAATTATTCAAGAGTATGAAGAAAATGAAAGTGCAACAATGGGCAAAGGTAAAAGTGGAGACTACTTTATTGATGTCTTGATTGGTCTTCACAAGGGCAATGGAGAATTGTCCATTGATAGAGAGACTGTCAAAGCTGCTTTCCAGGTGACGCATTTTCATTTTGTTTCTTACCAAAAACTGATCTTGAAATTAATCACTATGATATTGAGTTTGAATCTTGATTCACTAATTTGTTTGTTAATAATTTTCATTTCTTGTCGAGAAAAATTCAAATTTGATCTTGTATCTGTATCAATTATTACTTTTATCATACTTAAAAAGTGTGATCAAAACTTTCGGTACAAAATTCCAAAGAAATCTCCGTTCACGTGGTACGAGAAAGTGTGTATATAAATATATTATTTTAGGTTTGAATATTTGATTTTTTCTTTAATAACTTTTTGACTTTTTATAATTAATATTTGATTTTTTTTTTTTTTTTTTTATTTTTGTATAAAATATTTTGTATTTATTATTATTATTTTTTGAGAATTTCAAATTAAAAAATAATATTGAAAGAATAGAGGGCATTTTAATGTTGTTTTTGTATTTTTTTTTTAGGGTAAAATTGGATTAAATCTTTTTATTGAATCCCTGGAAAATAGTAAATAAAAATTTAAAGAAAGATTCATTGTTTTATTAAATATGATAAATATGAACAATCTAAAATGATAAAAATAGTATGTAGTTTCAGTTGATCTTTTATGTCCTCTGGCCTCTGAAATCACATGAAATAAATTTGCTTGATATTTCGCAACGTAAATGACCAAAACACAATCGATGAAATACATTCCAATTAAAGTGACGATGGACAAAATTTGCAATTTTCCCTATTAGAGCTCAAAATTTTGTTTCACCCCACCATGTATATGAATTCAAAATGTGCATATTATCGACTGACATTGCAAGCTTTCTTCGTCGCTTTTTTTCATTACTATAAGCCGTTGTCATCTAATTGCAGGATGCGATTGGGGCAGGAACCGGTACATCAGCTGGACTTCTAAGCTGGGCAATGACGGAGCTCATAAAACATCCAGACATCATGAAGAAAGTTCAAGACGAAGTACAAGGGATCGTGGGCGAAAGACAGTGTATGACAGATGAGGACTATGAGAAAATGGATTATGTGCGAGCTGTCCTAAAGGAAACATTGCGCTTACATCCGACAGTCCCTCTCACCCTCCGAGAGACCACTGAATCTTTCACACTTAGGGGATACGAAATTCCAGCCGGCGCATTCCTTTGGGTCAACTTTTGGGCAATACACCGGGATCCTACTAATTGGGACGAGCCGGAGAATTTTAAGCCTGAAAGGTTCTTGACTTCTTCGGGGGAGTATCAAGGGTACTTCCCCTTTGGGTTCGGACGGAGGATCTGCCCCGGAATGTCCTTCGCCTATGCGACAACGGAGCGCGTGCTCGCGAACCTTGTGCACAAATTCGAGTGGCAGTTGCCTAATGGAATGAAGCCTAAGGACATGGACGTGTCCGAGAAAGTTGATACTATGACACTAGAGAGGAAAGTTCCATTGATGCTTATGGCCAAGAAACGCTTTGCTTAGGGTAACATTGTTAAGTTTTTTGTCTTAAGCCCTCAAACTAGTAATAATATGCAACGCTACAATGATCATCGATGTTATTATATATATATAGACAGTGAATAAAGTACCAAAAGAATCATCATATATAGGGTTTTGGATTGCTTAGTTGTAGTGATGGTATGGATTTGTTTGGGGGTTTTGTAATGCACATTAATTTTGCCCTTTGAATCACATCTTGGGGCACTTGTATTTGTTTGATTTAATTTACAGATCAATAAATGTTCCCTATTGCTATTTAAATGTGTAGCTTGTATAGTTTTCCTAATTCAAGCTTATGGCAATTGGGATGGAGTTCACCCTCGATCTATCCCGGACCCGTTGTTAATAGGGTTTAGTCTCATGAATAATTCCTACAAGTTGAAAGAATGTAGGGTCGTAGTACTCACCTCCACTATGAGTAAGCAATTTTTTAATTCCGACATTATGTTGCCGTTCAACTTCAGTTTTATAGACACTAAAATTATCCAAAGTTTTGTGCTTTGCATACAATAGATATACACAACAAAATCTTGTTGCATCATCTCTAAAAGTCACAACATATTTCTTGTTGCCTAAAGACAGTAGAAAGAAAATCTTATAGATCACTATAAATTAATTCAAGGAATTCTGTTTTTCTGGTGATATCCTTGAAATGTTGACTAGTGATTTTAGTCGAGGCACATGTTTGACATTTATCTGTATTTAGTCAATCTTATGTGTATATGTGTTTTAATTTGATAAATTTAATGTCAAACGGTAATAGAACAAAATGGATATAGAGAGGTGTTAAATGTTCCATTTGCCAAGTAATCTAAGTTCAAAATTTCAATTCTCTATAGAAAATATGCACAGTTCAAAATTCTCCAACTTTATTCCTATTTATTTTCTAAGTTCTTGAAATTAAGTGTCTTCTCGCATTACTTCAATATGAATTTTGTATAATCAGAAACAATAAAGAGTCAAAATATTGAATGGCCATTCACGAAACAAGAAGCTGTCATTATCATTCATACCTTGCACCCTTTCCCCAACAGGTTTGGACAGAAAATTACCTCTGAAATGGGTTTCTGAAAAACTTGAACCTGGCCATATTATATTAGTTTGATCAGATATCATCATCGAGCTTGGAGAACAATATTTTTTTTTTTTTAATTTAATATTATATAGTATATATAATTTTAAAAGTATGCAAATTTATAATGTTATTATGTTCTATAGTTTTTTATCTTCCTTCTCAAATCCTTCGTACCATTAATTTCTAAACTTGAATGTGCAATGTATTTATTATTATTATAGTAATACGACCAGAGTTACTATGTTGATACATAAAATTCACATACTAACAATGAACGACAAATAACACATGAATTATGTTAATATAATATAAATATAACAATTGAAGTAATAGCATACAATATAAGGGTATATATCACACCAAGTAAAGATAGATAACTAAAATTATCTTAATACAATACAAATACAATAATTGAATGATACCACATTATATAGATTCACACAACACATGATAAAGAGATAGACAACACACGATATAAAGATAAACAACACATGACATAATACAAATTCAACAAATGAATAACATGGCATTATAAATTCAATACAACACCTATATGCTTTTATTTAACACAATAAGTGTTGTGTTAAATAAAAATTTATTATTTTTATTGATGGGGCGAGTTCTGATCCTGCAAAACCCATCTCGAAGACGCCGGTTGATATCCTACCTAGCTAGCTCCATCCCTGCCCAACAAACGTGGGCTACTCAAGTCTATTGTTTAGTTAATTTGGTATATGATGTAGACATGCTTTGTGGAGGCTCTACTTGATTTTATCTACACAAGTTATTTATGTAAAAATTAAATTCGAAACCACATATATCCGCTTGGAAAACAAGCCATGTTAAATTACATACAAGGCTTTTCGATTTACATTAATGTTCCTTAGTATCGAAGTTTCTGAGGCTGCTAGATGGAACTCAGGAAATTTAAATCCATCCAAACATCAATGAGCTTTTCTCTCCGGGAAATTAAATCCATCAACAAAAGGCTTAGCTCATTTTATAGTTTCTTTTTTTTTTTTTTTTTTTTTTTTTTTTTTATTTTTATAAAAATTAAGTCTCGAAAAAACTATAAAATGAATGATTTAAAATGAATGATTGATAAATTATTTAGTTATTTATTTTATTAAAAAAATATTATTTAAAATATTTTATCCTTTTTATTTATTTAAAAATTATATAATTAGGTGTGCCTTGTTTATAATCAAATATTAACTTTGGACTAATAGTACTTTAATTTAAACAATAAAATTTTTGAGTGAATAAGATTTTTTTTAAAATTTTTTGTAAAGGATTTTCATACCAAAATAAAATAATTTGTATAATGATATACTTCATGATTAATTTAAGTCCATAAACAATGAAATCAATGCTATAGACATTAAAGACAAATAATATTTTTACACACAAAATTAATCTCATCCGTTTATCTCCTTACAATCCTACGGCTTGGATGCATTCAGTATATATTGTGCTGAATTTAAGATTCGGAAAGATACCCAAACCAGTTAAATAATGTTATTTATTAGTTAGTCATCATGGACAAGCAAAATGAAGGCTATGAATTTATAAAGTTGGTATACATCTAACAGTCTATAATCCTTAAGTAGACTGTTAGTATCGATTAAGCCCCAAAAAATAAATGATCAGAATCATTTGCAACACAAATTCACATAAATAGTTCCAATGTCAGAAGCCAAAGTAAAGAAATCTTCCAATTCACATATGATGGAGAAGATGATGAATTTATCTGAATTTTATCCATCTTTGTTAGCACTTATAGTGATATACTTCATGTGGTTGCTCGCCGTTAATCTTTTCTCATATAGAAAAACCAAGAATTTGCCGCCGTCGCCGCTGAGGCTACCGATCATCGGAAATCTTCATCTAATCGGCGATTTGCCTCACCGTTCGCTTGCATCCTTGTCGAAGAAATACGGTCCGCTCATGACTGTTCATCTAGGAAATAAGCCGGTGGTGGTGATTTCGTCGGCTGAAGTGGCGAAAGAAGCCACCAAAATCCATGACGTTTCATTTTCAGGAAAGCCGGTGCTACTAGCCACAAAACAGCTTTTCTATGGCCGAAAGGGATTAATCTTTTCTCCGTATGGAGAGCAGTGGAGAAAGTTAAGAAGCATCTATGTCAATAAGCTGCTGCATAAAAGAATGATCAAATCCTTTAAATCGATCCGTGATGAAGAAACCGCAGTTGTGGTTGAAAGCCTTGAAGAGTTGAGTTCGACTTCTCAGTCCGTGGATTTGAACGTGATGTTTAAATCGCTGGCGAACGACATCATATGTAATGCGGCGTTTGGGATGAAGTTCAGGAAAGGAGAGTTCGGGAAGAAGATCTTGCATGTTATCGAGGAAACCGTGAGGCTGCTATTTACGTTTACTATGGGGGAATTTATTCCGTGGCTTGCTTGGACAAACCGGTTTAACGGATTCGATGCCGCCATAGACAAGGTTGTTGTAACCAAGGATGAACTTCTGGATTCAGGGATTCAAGATTATGTCGGAGCTTCGACCCTAGGAAACAACTTTGCCGATATAATATTCGCCGGGTTGTACTCGGGAAACACTCCCGGCATGTCAGTTGATCGCGACATGCTCAAAGCAACTATTCAGGTTCTTATTTAGATCTAAAGTCTGAGAATATCATTATTTGAATTGAAATAGTATTTGATGTGATATTTTATAATAATAATTTTATTTTGAGGCGAAAGGAGGGAGGGGGAGGGGGCGCGGGCAAATGAATAATCCGAGACTAAATCATGCCTTAAAAGAGCACAACATTAAGGTTGTCTTTTTTCTTACCATGTATTTTATTGACAGGATGTTCTTGGAGCCGGAACAGATACTACGTCGACTGCACTCGGGTGGGCAATGACGGAGCTCATACGACAACCTAAAATCATGAAAAAATTGCGCGATGAAATAACAGAGGTTATGAAAGAAAAAAAGAACATTACCGACGAGGAGTTGGATCAAATGCATTACATGAAAGCCGTGGTCAAGGAAACATTGCGCTTACACAGCCCTGTCCCGATTGGGCTACGCGAGACGACGGAAGACGTGCATATGATGGGATACGACATTCCTTCGGGTACAATGGTCATGTTCAACTTGTGGGCTATTTGTCGTGATCCCGCATGCTGGGATGAGCCAGAAAAGTTTATACCTGAGAGATTCTTGAATTCTTCGATAGAATACAACGGGTCGGATTTTCAGTTCATCCCATTTGGCGCCGGCCGGAGGATCTGTCCAGGGATATACTTTGCAACAGCATCTGTGGAACATGTCTTGGCTAATCTGATCTACAAATTCGACTGGGAATTGGCGAACGGATGTAGAGGTGAAGATTTGGATGTGATCGAAAAACCTGGTCTTGCAGTTGGGAGGAAAAATCCACTTCTTGTAGTTCCAAAGAAGAGTTGTATTTAGTGAGTTTATTTAGTGCGCATTTTCGATCGGCGAGTTCCTACGTCATAAAAAAATTTTAAAAAAAAAATAAAAAATACAACGTTGTATTTAGTGCATCAAGACAAGCATTTTGGAAGAGAATAACAATCATGTTGATGTTGAATATTTGGGGGTTTTGTAAGGCACATTAATTTTGTCCATCCGAACTATGTCTTGGGGCACTGTGTACTTGTTTCATTTAATTTACAGATCAATAAATGTTTCCTATTGCTATTTAAATTTGCAGCTTGTAGAGTTCTCCTAACTCTAGCTATGGCAATTGGGCCGGGCTTATCCTGGATCTATTCCGGACCCGATTTTAATAGAGTGGATCTATAAAGTTGGATTCAGGAGAGGTCATGGTTCTATACAATTGAGATTGAAAACATATCATTAATCCGCAAGTTTAATTTGTTTGGTTGTAGATTGAAATTGGTTTTATTGAACATGGTCTCTAAAAAAAATATCTAATTAGCTATCATATTTTTAACTATGAAATATTTTTGTAGTCAGAATGTGTCATTCAACGACAAAAATTAATTTCAGTGGCTAAAAAATAAATTATGTACTGAAATATTAAATTTGTCACTAAAATTCTTTTTAAGAAAATCCTATTTTCATAACATGAAATCATCTTTCATAACTAAAATCATTTAACATCATGCATATTTCTTTTGTTATAAATTTTACTTTTATAACAAAAAAGAATTTTAGTTACGAAATTATATTTTCATCCCTATATTTCTTTTTTTAACATTCATTGCAAATAATTTATCTTTTGTTAGAAAAGAAATTTGTCGTTAAAGATCTTTAACAACGCAGTATAGGCGACGAAAATCATTTTGTCGCAAAAATAATTTTGCTACGAATTCATTACATTTTATTATAAAAATGTTTTTTTAACTAAATTTCAATTTCTTTGTAGTAAATATTGATTTTAGATCGAAATAGTAATAATAATAAAAAAAAAAGAACAAACTTGAATGTGCAATGTGTTGTATATGACTTTTGTTTTGCAGTTTAATATTTAATTGTGGTCACATTAAAAAATAAACATCGATTTATGTAGATAGAAGAAATATATAATCGTAGGCACTATGCAAAGAAATATCGAATTGAAAAAATCATATATGTACGCGTGTGTATATATATATATATATATGTATAAAAGATGCGAATTTGGTGGATCGACTCCAAATTTAATGATAACAAAGCAATGTGGATCCTAGCAACACGTTGAGGCAGAACGGGTTTTGAGGCGCATATATTTTTTTTTTTACGGGAGAGTTCCTACAAAACCCATCCCGAATTGACATCCTACCTAACAGTCTAACTCCATCCATGCCCAACAAAATGTGGGCTACACAAGTCTATTGTTCAGTGAATTTGGCATATATGAATGTAGACATGCTTTCTCAAAGTTGTACTTAATTTCATCTACACAACTGATTTATGTAAGATTAAATTCGAAACATATAGCCGTTTGAAAAACAAGCTATGTTAAATTATATATAAGGGTTTCTAATTTAAATTAATCTTCCTTACTATACAAGTTTCCGAGGCTACTGAATGGAACTCGGAATATAAATCCATCCAAACGTCAACGAGCTCTTCTCTCCGGGTGGTTTTCCGATATAAAATTCAAACCTATTTAAATATCACCTTGGAACATATTTAGTACTCAAACTTAGGCTCTTTTTACGTACATACACAATATATTTTTGAAAATTTTAGTAATACAGTAATTTTTTTTTTTTAAAATGTGAAATCAAGTTTTTTTTTTTTTTGCCAAACATCACATCAAATCTCGACTTATTTTTAATGAATTTAATGTAAATTTTCTTGTAATACTAAATTATACCATAGATTTTTTTTTTTCTCTAAACTTATAAATTAACAATCATAATTTTAAACTTTGTTATGAATTGTGATAATTGTCGCATGATTTGTATATGTAAACTACAAATGTGTTATTTGCAAAATAAAAATTATGCACGACTTAAAAATATCTATCTATATATAAATAAATAAATAAATGACGTGTGTGAGGATCATTTAATAACTGAAATATTTCCTTTTCTTAATCGAAATAACCAATGATTCTGAAAGTTACATATTGTTATTGTAACATTAGTAAGTCATGATGGACAAGCAAAATGTAGGCTATGGAGTTATGAAGTTGGTATACATCTAACAGTCTACAATACTTAAGTAGAGTATCGATTAAGCCCCAAAAAATAAATGATCAGTATCACTTGCAACAAAAATTAACATAAATAGTTCCAAAGTCAGAAGCCAAAGTAAAAACACTTCCAATTCTAAATATGGAGAAGCTGATGAATTTATTCGAATTTTATCCATCTTTGTTAGCATTAATAGTGATTTACTTTATGTGGTTGCTCGCCGTTAATTTTTTCTCATATAGAAAAACCAAGAATTTCCCGCCGTCACCGCCAAGGCTCCCGATCATCGGAAATCTTCATCTAATCGGCGATTTGCCTCACCGCTCACTTGCATCCTTGTCAAAGAAATACGGTCCGCTCATGACTGTTCATCTCGGAACTAAGCCCGTGGTGGTGATTTCGTCGGCTGAAGTGGCGAAAGAGGCCACCAAAATCCACGACGTTTCCTTTTCGGGCAAGCCATTGCTACTCGCCACAAAACAGCTTTTCTACGGCCGGAAGGGGCTAATCTTTTCGCCGTATGGCGAGCAGTGGAGAAAGTTGAGAAGCATCTATGTCAATAGGCTTCTGCATAAAAGAATGATCAAGTCCTTTAAATCGATCCGTGATGAAGAAACCGCGGTCGTGGTTGAAAGCCTTGAAGAGTTGAGTTCGACTTCTCAGTCCGTGGATTTGAACGTGATGTTTAAATCGCTGGCGAACGACATCATATGTAATGCGGCGTTTGGGATGAAGTTCAGGAAAGGAGAGTTCGGGAAGAAGATCTTGCATGTTATCGAGGAAACCGTGAGGTTGCTATTTACGTTTACTATCGGGGAATTTATTCCGTGGCTTGCTTGGACGAACTGGTTTAACGGATTTGATGCAGCCATAGACAAGGTTGTTGTAACCAAGGATGAGCTTCTTGATTCAGGGATTCAAGATTATGTCGAAACTTCGACACTAGGTAACAACTTTGCCGATATAATATTCGCCGGGTTGTACTCGGGAAACACTCCCGGCATGTCAGTTGATCGCGACATGCTCAAAGCAACTATTCAGGTTCTTATTTGGATCTAAAGTTTGAGAATATCAATATTTGAATTGAAATAGTATTTGATGTGATATATAATTTATTTTTTTTGTGCGGGGGACGGGGAGGGGGAGGGGGCGGGGCGGGGGCAAATGACTAATCCGAGACTAAATCATGCCTTAAAGAGCACAACACTAAGTTTATCTTTTGTCTTACCATGTATTTTTGATTGACAGGATGTTCTTGGAGCCGGAACAGATACTACGTCGACTGCGCTCGGGTGGGCAATGACGGAGCTCTTACGACACCCTGGAATCCTGAAAAAATTGTGCGATGAAATAACAGAGGTTATGAAACAAAAACAGAATATTACCGACGAGGAGTTGGATCAAATGCATTACACGAAAGCCGTGGTCAAGGAAACGATGCGCTTACACAGCCCTGTCCCAATTGGGCTTCGCGAGACGACTGAAGACGTGCATATGATGGGATACGACATTCCTTCAGGTACAATGGTCATGTTCAACTTGTGGGCTATTTGTCGTGATCCTGAGTGCTGGGACGAGCCGGAAAAGTTTATACCGGAGAGATTCTTGAATTCTACTATAGAATACAACGGCTCGGATTTTCAGTTCATTCCATTTGGCGCCGGCCGGAGGATCTGTCCGGGGATATACTTTGCAACATCATCTGTGGAACATGTCTTGGCTAATCTGATCTACAAATTCGACTGGGAATTGGCGAACGGATGTAGAGGTGAAGATTTGGATTTGATCGAAAAACCTGGTCTTGCAGTTGGGAGGAAAAATCCACTTGTTGTAGTTCCAAAAAAACGTTGTATTTAAATTCGGCCGGGGGTTTATCCAATAGCAGTTGATGTCTATCAAAAAAAAAAAAAAAAGAAACAAAAAGGAAACATTGTATTTAGGTCATGTAAGGGATGGCTGGTGGTGTGGGGTGAACTCGTGACTGTGAGGTAATGAGTTCAAACCGTACGCCTCCGGGTCTTTCCTGTCATACATGGTTCGTTTAGTGTAACTTGTCTTGTCGAGCCTAGTTTGCAGGTATTAGGTTTAACCGGGAGTTTAGCAGAAAAGGAAACGTTGTATTTAATGCATCAAGACAAGTAGAAAACTATGTTGTAGAAGGGCAATAATGTTGGAATAGGGGCATCTCTTTAACTAAATAAATTGAGTATTCCAACTTAACCAAGCTTTAACATTTTTTCTTTTAAGAATTGAGTTTGTTGGCATCTCTTTAACTTCATTTTATCTAGGGTGGCTTGTGTTAATTTATTATTTTTAATATTAATATTTATTTTGTTCAAAGAAAAAAGAAAAACACACACTCGTAGCCGAAACGAGCCAAGAAATCACCGAGGATGTCTTGGACAAAATGCCGTATCTAAAAGCCATGATCAAAGAAACTCTACGGCTCCATTCCCCGATCCCGTTGCTCGTCGCGCGCCAATCTACTAAAGATACCAAATTGATGGGCCACGACATCGCGGCCGGAACACGCGTGGTGATCAATGCATCGGCCATCGGCCGCGATCCCTCATTGTGGGAAAACCCTGAAGAGTTCAAACCGGATAGGTTTTTGGACTTGACTATCGACTTTAAGGGATTTCATTTCGAGCTCGTCCCATTCGGCGCGGGCCGGAGGGGATGCCCCAGTGTGGCGTTCGCCGTGACTAGAAATGAGCTGGCGTTGGCCAAATTGGTGAACGAGTTCGATTTCTTGTTGCCGGAGAAAAGGGAAGTGACGGATTTAGACATGTGTGAAGCTCTTGGAATCACTGTCCGAAGAAAGAATCCACTTGTTGTTGTTGTTACTAATTCACTTCACGCACATGATTTTTGACTTTATACAATCATCAGTGCTAGATGAAGTAAATGATTGTTACACCAGAAAGTTTAAGTTATTAAAATAGGTATCACTTATTTATTTATCTATAAAGTGGAGTTAACCAACAACCTGAAATTTGTTGTGGACAATAAGGTATGAACATAAATTTTTCAGAATCGAGATGTGGTTTTAAATCGTCGGTTTAAGATGTTTAATGTAGTCTACACAAACAATGATGGATATGTGGATGAATTTCATTTGGTGAGTTATTACTGTTGGACAAAAATTTTGATATATGACTAATTGTCTAGTCAATGTCCACAATAATTTTTATTGAATTAATGCCAAAAATTATTTTGGAGTTTATTTAAGATTTTGAAAATTTAAAAAAAGAATTTTTGTGGATTGTGAATTATATATATATTAATATAATATAGGGAATGAGGGTGTAACCTCAATCCCTTAACTTTTAAGTCGGTAGAACTTTTTTTTTTTTTTTTTCCATGTTATTTTTATTTTTGAAAAAGAGTTACATTTTAAATATATTTTAAATTTATAATTTTTTTATATTTTAATTAAATTAATTAACTATAATAAATAAAAGATACTTATTCTAAAAGTTTAAACTTTTCGGTGAATCAATCATTCACATAATCTAATATGGTATCAAAGCTCGTTTATCCCTTACTAGTGAGGAGACGTGTATATATTATATTTATAAAAAAATATGCAATAAAATTACAAGTATAAATAAATAAAAGAAGCATACCTTAATACATATTTTAAATTTATTTATATTATAGAAATTTTTATTTTCCATAAAATGATATATATATCAAATATATTTTATTGGAATATAATTTTATAACCTTCCAAATATATTATATATATATATATACTCTTTCTATCCCTTAATAATATATCAATTTGTTTTTTACGTCATTGTAATTAACATTAAAAATATTTTTATATTTGTATATTTTTTTTTGTACAAACGTCGCTATAAGACACTAATATAATTTTTTTTTATCATTTTTCTTGATTTGTAATACATTTTGATATAATAATTAATATTAAAGATGAACAAGCAAATATTAAATAAATACTTAATTACGGAAAGGAATGAGTATTAATTACCCAAACATATAATTGAATTTTCATTGGCTACACTTAATTACATATATTTTCAAACTTAAATTTGACATTATTTCTAAAAGGCCTCTTTAAAATATATTCATTAAATATATACTTCATCCGTCTCATATCTATATATCAATTTGCTTTTTACCAGGAATTTTAGAAATATTAGTATTATATTGGAATAGAGTAGAAATAAAAATAAAAAGACTAAATTAACCCTATTAGTATTGTATGTAATAACATTTGTGTAATATATTGTAAATTAGAAGAATATTTGTAATGTTAGGTGAATAATACAATTACTAAAAAAAATAGATACTTTGTTATGGGACGTACCAAATAAAAAAATTGATAAATTGTTAAAGGACGGAGGGAGCATAATTAAAAAAAAAAAAAAAAAAAAACAAGAAAAAAAAAGAAACAGTGAGCATAATTATGGAGTTGTACAATTGTTCAATGCTTGATTGTTTTGTGATATTGCAACTACATTTTATGTTTCAAAGTGAACTAAGGTCAAGTACGATAACAAATAAAGAATACACAAAATATTTTGTTGACTCACTTGCATATCAAACCTACATTCGAGGGTTCCAATCCAAAAAACATTCGATAATCAAATATATCCCCGAGTTATTTCAGAGTTTTACATCAAAAAACTACAACCATCAACTAGCAACTTCTTCAATCTTCTTAGCAACACATTGTGAAAGATAGCAGTTATTGTACCCAAGTACTAATATTAGCAAACCACTTGTCTTGTAAAAAGTAAGTAATCTTACTTGTTGAATCTTTTGTCGATTAGTTTACATTAACAAATCGTAAGCATTCAACTACCTACTTCTACAACTTTTCTAGCTACACATTGTCAAAAACACCAATTGTTATACCGAAGTACTAACATTAGTAGACTATCTATCTAGTAAAGAGTAGTGATCGCACTTCTTGATTTATTTTTCGATTGGTTTATACCAACAAACTGCAAGCATCAATTAGCTATTTATACAACCTTCCTAGCAACACATTATCAACGTTTCTGTTTTGGTTAAGATGTTGATTGAGAATTTATTAGCACTATATTAACATCATGCTACTTTTTTTTTCTAATTAGCACATAAAAATAATATAGATTACATACGAAAATATAGCATATAATATATATTGTATAAGATATTATATATACTGTTAGTTCTATTTTAGATATGTTAGATAAATTTATATGTTATGTTCTATCTGGTAACTTTATTGTACTATCAGCACACTGTTGATTAAATATAGTCGAGCACTATAACCATTGCTTAAAATTACTAGTTATTGTACCAAAATAGTCGCATTAGAAGACGGCATGTTTAGTAAGAGTGAGTAATATTTTCTTGTTGAATCTTTCCTTGATTGGATTATATCAACAAATCACAAGAATCAACTAGCTACATTTACAATCTTCCTAACAACATTTTGTCAAATAAAGCTGTTAATGAGCCGAATCGAACAAAACTTCAAGTGTTTGTGTTTGTTCATTGATGTTCACAAACAAGACTCATATTTGTTCGTTAAGAATTTGACCTCGATTTGTTAAAAAAAATTATATTCTAATTCATGTTCGTGTCCGGCTCGAATAAGCTTGTTTAGTTCATTTGAGCTAGTTCAGATAAATATGATATTTTATTTTTTAATTCATATATATAATATTTTATTTATTTATTTCTTTTTCCATTCGTATATATAATATTTTTTTATATATTTTTTTTTCTAATTAATAATTTTATATAGTACTTTTATTTTAAAGAATGTTCGCGAACAAAGTTGAGACTCGTTCATTAGCAAAACGAGTCTATATATATTATTTGATTCGACTCATTTATGTTCGTGAACAAACTTAAATCAAATCGTACCAAATTCACGAACGACTTCATTCGTTTAACAGCTCTATACTCAAGTACTAACATTAACATAGCACCGATCTAGTAAAGAGTAAGTGATCATGTTGAATCTTTCCTCAATTGAAATTTAATTTTCTCCTTAAAAATGTGACTTCTTTAACACCATAGAAACTCTACAAACTTCATTTCCATTCTCACACACAGGCACAGCACATGCTAGTTTGTTGGTTTCTCTGCCTACCAGAAACCATGTTATAAATGCACCTGAAAACGTGGTCGGCTTCCATTATCTCTCCATGTTACAGATGATGTTAACCATAAGGACCGAACGTTTTGTTGTCTTATCTAGTGTTCTTTTTCTTGGCCTATGTTGTCCCAACATAATTTCTCAATTGGAATTTCAAAAAATAATAATAAATAATATTAAATACTTTTTAAAGAGTAAAAAAATCTCTTCCAATACCCATACAAAAAGTCAAAAAATTAAATAATCAACTTAAAATAATATATATTATACCTTTAATATAATCTCTCGTAGCATATTTATAAAAAAATCAAATAAATTTAGAAACGTTGCGAGAGTAAAGCCAAGTGCACACACGAAGGAGGGGTGGATATATATGAGGGCAAGGGGTTAAAGGGCAAAGATGAGTGGGCCCGATGATCTCTACCCTAGAAACGAAATCTGATTCAACACATCAATATTTTGTCACTGCATGCCTTTTTTATATTGTTATAAAATAATAACAATAAATAAATGTAAAATACAGCACAATAATAGCTAGCTAAAATTAATTAATATTTTTCTTTTTATTGTCCGATAAATTTACACACATTCTATTTATATATACATATATATAAATTATCTTGACAGAGATATTTTATTACTCTTATTTTAACAAATAATAACAATTTTGTCTTTTTTTTTTTTCTATTTACTTTGGATGAACGAAAATAAAAATAGTAAATAAATAAAATAAAATAGAAAAAGTAATATTATAATTTTGAAAATTTTTGTTCTCAACCAAAATTAAATAATTTTTTTCGGACATAAGAAGTATTTAAAGCCAAATAAAACAACTACTACAAAAAACTAAAAATCATGAAAAAACATCCTTAACCTATTTATCAACAACAACAATAATAAACAATAATAATTAAAAATTTAATAATAATAATAATAATAATAATAATAATTTAATTTTATTGTTGGTTTGATGAGTATTTTGGTTTGAAATTTTTTTTGGGAGTTTGGAGTCGAATTTTTAATTTAAATAGTATTTTAATTAAATATTTTTGTAAAAGTATCATATATTTTTTATTAAAAATATAATAATTGAATCGGAAAAAAACTTTAAAAGAATAAAATAAACTTGAAAGAAACACACGCTCAATGAAGGATTTAAGGTATACTCAATGAAAATCATCCCGTCAAAATTTGACATATAGCCAATTCCATTTTTTTGGGGGTGTTTTTAGGCTGTTTAATTACTTTAGGTATTATTATTATTATTATTATTATGATTATGAAACTCTCATTACTAAAAACATATATATATATATATATGTATATACAGAGGCGGAATCAGACCGGAATGAGAGGGGGGTTAATTTTTTGAATTTCGAAACGATCATCATCTATTTGTTATCCAATAATTTTATCAATGAAATTATCATATTTCGAAAATCGTGCAAAATATCAATCTGCAGTGACAACTACATATTATCAGATGAATTTTGTATTATATGAAATTAATAAATAGTAAAAATATTTATTAAAAAAAATAGTTCTTAAAAATATCATGACCTATGTATTTGGTTGAAAATTTTTTGAAGAATTTTCTTTTTTTTTTTAATTATTATTTTTTACATTTTTGTTCATATTATTTTTATATTATCAAACAAATATTATGATATAAATTATTTTATTATTCAAAAATTTAAATTTTCATATAAATATTCTATTAATTTTTACTAATTTTTTAATTTATTTTTTTATATTATATATTATAAAATAAAAACAAAAAATTAAAAATTAAAAAGAGTGGGGCGGGGGACGGCGGCTGGAGCCCCTTGCTCCCGCATACATCCGCACCTGTATATATACATATCAATTTTTCATATAAAATTTTATATTTAAATTAAAAATTAAAAAATAAACATACGTTTGTATTTTTGGTGTTACGTATTTTTTATTAACGTTATTTTCACCTTGTCTTATTTCCTGTGTTTTAATTTTTTTTAAAATCACAAACTTCAAAGATACATGATGTACAGAATCTTGACCCGACCAATTCTCGTTTGCGATTTTCAATGGATTTTTCTTAATTTTTATTTTTTATTTTAAAAAATAATCTTTGGTTTTCTCGTGTCCTTATAAACAAATCAATTTCTAGAGAGAGACGACTGTACAAAAATAATAAATGTGTTAGGTATATAGCAGACTCTCAACTTATAATCGCAGACTCTCAACATATAATCGACGGTCGACCTCATTTCAAAATTTTATTACAACTGCAAAACTTTATGGGGTTGTTTGGATGTTGGGTCGAATTCGGACTTCAATTATTTACGATTTTTTTAAAATATCAAATTAAATATTTATATTTTTTATTTAAAATTTAAATTTATTTAAAAGATTTTTTCTTCGTCCAGGTGCAGATGGGAAAACGACACTGACTAAATTTCATGATTGCTTGGTGCTAATTAATTTGTCTGTCCATTTCTTATTATATGTCCTAATTGGAATAGTTGAGTGGGTGAAAATATAAATAAACTAATTTGTTAAATTCGCGTTTTCTAGAAACCGTTGAGGTTGAGTCATGTTAGAAAATAAAATACTCGCTCAGTTCCGCCACTGATGATTTTTTTTTCTTTTTTATCCATCTCACAAAATATGATTTATTTTTTTTATTTTTAATAAATTTATTAATTTTAAACACATTAAAAAAATATATAAATCAATTTAATTAAATTTGTTATTATTTTGTATATTTTTTCAATTAATAAATATTTTTATTTATCTTTAAAACTATTCATGTATAAAACTAATTTATAATAATGATAAATAAATAAATATATTTTTTAATTTTTTTTATTATATAAAATTTAATTCTCGAAATAATATTCATATCATATATATATTTTATTAAAAAATAATGTGAAAAATATTTAAATACATATTTTTAAAAAAATTAATAATTAAATAATTAATCTCAGTGTCTACGTAACCAATCTATATTATCTAAATTTCGTATCTAAACAAAAGACTTCATATTTTCCGGGACGGAGAGTGTACTATCAGAATAAATAAAATAATAATAATAATACTATGTTTGGCAGATGAGTGTAAAATATTCGCCATGGATCAGTTGTCGAAAATTATTTCCGGCACCTATACTGAGACACTTTAAAACATTTTTATACTAATTTATACTATTATTTAATTATATTTAAATATAATTAAGATAATTAGATTATAAACTAATCAGCATAAAGTGCTGAAAAATAATCTCCAGATAAAAAGAATTATATAATTATTTTAATTACATCAATTAAATGTCTTAATTAAATGTAATTAGTTTTTAACTATTCAGCGAAGTGCTGAATTAAAAAGTTTCACCATCGGTCAAACCCTTGTAGATCAAGCCGTGAGACATCCCTTGCTTGAGAGTTGGGTCCCAACTTCGATCCTGGGTGGGTGCGTGTGTGCATGTATTGGGTGAAAATTATTAATTAATTGAACTAAAGTAAAAATATAAATAAATTATGTAGAAGAAATGTGTATTTAATTTATTACATACCCTATATTATTTTAATGTATTTTATAGTAATAATAAAGTAATATTTTTATTTATTTATTTTTGTATTATATAAAATGTTATTTTATACAAAATAATATATATTGATTATACTTGCATTAATATATTTATAAAATCAAATTTATTTATTTTATCAAATCAATATTTTATCTTATGCATCATCAATCACATTATTTATTATACTCCACAAGTACTTAACTTTCTATCTATTTTTCTATTTTGGTCCGTGAATATTCATTTTTTTAAAGTAATTGTATCATCTACTTAATATCATTGCAAATATCATTTCAATTTACAATATATTATAAATGACATTATCTTTATATCATACAATATTAATAAGGTTAGTTTAGTTTTTTTTATCTTTATTTATACTTACATCTCAATATAATATTAATATTTCTAAAAATCTGTACAAAAAATAAATTGATAGATAGATATAGGACGCGAAGAACTATAATATTAAAAAATATACTATCCAAAGCATCTCTAAATTTCTATCTAAACACATGTCAATTCCAATTTTATTTTTTTTTCCTCAATTCAAAAATTTTAAATCCAAATTCTTTTAAAACTCCAAAATTATCTGTCTAAACCGAACTCGAATAATATTATAGATATTGGTAATCTTTCACGGACAAAACCATGTGGAAGACAATTTTAAGACCTTATTGACCATGTCCTGTTGATATATTTTATATCCAAAACATAAATCAAGACAAGAATTTGGTAAGTTTTCTTTAAATTTTAGATTTGTCTTGCATTTTTCATTAAATGATTTATTTATTTTTTTAAATCATCAAATCAATCTTCTATTTTTTAATTAATATATCATACAAATAATTAATTTTTTTATTCATAATATAACTTTAAATATTATTTTCATTTAAGAATTTATTATACACAAACTATAAACCTGAAATCAAACCTTAAAGGAACACGTCGATTTTAACATAACACTTCATCAAAACCTAATCCTAGCTACCAATATGGATGCAATAGTATTCCACCCCTATGTTTTCCAAGCCCTTGGATCTCTCCTCATCTTATGGCTGATTTCAAAATGGTTCAACAAATCCAATGGAACCAAGAACTTGCCCCCGTCACCGCCGATGCTCCCGATAATCGGAAACCTCCACCAGCTGAGCTCATTGCCTCACCACGACCTCCGGCGCTTGGCGCGCAAACATGGTCCTCTCATGCTGCTGCACTTTGGCACCGTGCCTACGCTCATCGTGTCATCCGTGGAGGGCGCCAAGGAAATAATGAAAACTCATGATCTTGCATTTGCAGACCGGCCCGAGTCTTGGGTTACTAAGAGGCTGCTCTACGATCACAAGGATGTGTCGGTTGCGCCGTATGGCGAATATTGGAGACAGTTGAAGAGTATATGTGTGCTCCAGCTTCTCAGCAATAAAAGAGTCCAATCTTTCCATTCGATCCGGGAAGAAGAAATGTCCCTTTTGATGGAAAAAATTAGGGGCTCGTCACGCGCGTTGAATTTGAGTGAGATGTTCACTAAAGTCACTAATGATATGGTTTGTAGATCGGCGTTTGGTGTGAAATACGGCGAGGGAGAAAAGGGGAAGAAATTCATGGCGCTTTTGACGGAGTTTTTGGAGTTGTTAGGGACCATTTACATCGGAAATTTTGTGCCGTGGCTTTCGTGGATTACTCGTCTTACCGGGTTCGATGCAAGAGTGGATAAGGTTGCAAAAGAGCTCGACATATTGATGGAGGATGTGATCGAAGAAAGGATTAGAAGAAATCTTGAAGATAAGGCTGAGAATGAACACAAGTATGGACAAAATTTTGTAGATATTTTGGTAGATATTTACAAGAACAATTCTGCAGGCATCTCCATGGACAGAGATAGTGTGAAAGCAATACTTTTGGTACGTATGGGTGATGAATTTCTTGAAGTTCTAGAAACTAATCTTGTTCAATATTTTGTGATATTTTCAAGTGGATTTAGGATGTGTTTTCATTTTTATTTTCACGCTATTAAATCTACATTCCATTTCTATTTGTTTTTTAATATTATAGAGTATTTGATATTTAGTTCTAATTCAAAATATTACATTCAATGTATAGATTATTTTCACCTCAAAAATCATTCAAATGTTAAAATAATTAAAAATATAAACACTATTTGATTTATTTGCTTTATGGTTCACAACTTTATATCATAACCAGCTGGTGAATTTGAGTTTGGAATTTCAAAATATTAAAAACTTGAATTGAGAAAGTAATCGATAATATATAAATTTAACAATAAATTAAATAAAAAAATAAATGTTTAATCTGACGATTTCATAAAAAAAAAGTAAAAAGTAAAAAAAAAAAAGAAAAAAAAAAAGACGTTAATAATTAATGAAAACTAGATCTAGATCTTTAAGAAGCAGAGTCAAGATTCATGAATTTTTCTTACTAAATGATACTAAGTTTATTCCAAAAATAATATACTTAGTTGGTGTTTTGAGAGTATTTTAGTATATTAATATTTTGAATATGAGACCTTTAAATAGAAATAAATATTAAACTTAATATTTTATACTTTCCTCTGTGACAATGGAAAGGGTCCTATTTGAACGTGTAAAATAGTTTTAACATTTTTTAGATTTGATATGGGTAATAATATATTTGTAATTTATGTAAAAGTTAAAAGATATTCTAATTTGCTTGTAATTATTTTTACTTAGTAATAAAAAATGATACTTTTGAGTGAGAAAACAAAAATGATAGTTTTATGAAAGTGTGGAAAGTGTTCTTTTTTCATCTTAAAAAAAAAAATGTGTTTATGAACTCATACTTGATTTTCGACACAGGATGTTTTTGCAGCTGGGACGGACACCACATCGACTGTTCTAGAATGGGCGATGAGTGAACTCCTTCGACACCCCGAGGTGATGAAGAAACTGCAAAATGAAGTGAGGGGAGTAATGAAAGACAAGGGCAAGATAAGCGATGAAGACTTAGAAAAAATGCAATATCTAAAAGCCGTGATCAAAGAAACTCTTCGCCTGCACACTCCGATCCCAGCTCTAGTTCCTCGGATGGCAAGAAAAGATGTCAAGGTTATGGGATACGATGTATCAGCCGGGACAATGGTGATGATTAATGCTTGGGCCATAGGCAGAGACCCCGGCATTTGGGATGAGCCTGAAAAGTTCAACCCTAACCGGTTTCTAAATTCATCGATAGATTTCAAGGGCCAGGATTTCGAGCTGATCCCTTTTGGGGCCGGGCGGCGAGGCTGCCCGGGGATTTCATTTGCTATGGCTACCAATGAGTTTGTGTTAGCAAATATTGTGCATAACTTCAAGTGGAAATTGGCTGATGATGAGAAAGAATTAGACATGAGTGAACGCCCCGGTGTCGCCATTCGTAGGGCTGTTCCTCTTCTTGCCGTGGCATCAAAGTTCTATACTGAGGGTGTGTTCGTTTGACGGTTTGGATTTTCTATTGTAAAATTTTTTATTTGAGTAATTGTTTCATGTGGTAGGAGATGATAGTTTCTTATACGTTGCGATGTAAAGAAGATTGTAGGAGAAAATATGTTGGATAGATAATCTGGATTGAATGAAAATACTAAGAAATCGAATTCTGAAGGGTATACACGATCTTGGATATATTTTGAGTCGCGTAGATTCGCTTTCCTTATACGATATTTCGACCCTATTAACGCTCCAGGTTACACGAAATTCGTATGAGGATAAAACAAAGCAACACTCGAATTTTAGGTGAAAAATCGAGCAAGTAAAAAATTGAGAGGTTATTTGCGTATGAATAATATAATTTCCAGAATCCTCGAGAAATGAGAGACTTGAGAGTATTCTGTGTATTTCAGTAAGATTCTGTTCTAAATTCTTCTGTCGATTTTAAGGGTCAGGATTATGAGCTTACCCCATTTGGAGAGGGCGAAGAGGCTGCCCGGGGATTTCATTCGCCATTGCTAACATTGAGTATGTAATAGCAAATCTTGTCCAGAAATTTGAGTGGAAACTTCCCGATGAAGGGAAAGAACTCAACATGAGTGAACGTCCTGGGATTGGTGCTTCGAGAGCTGTCCCTCTTCTTTCTGTGGCGTCGGAGTTTCATTTTTAGCATGATGTAGTAATCAATGTCGATTAGTGTGGCTAAGGATAGAGGCTGCAGTATTGATTTGTTTTCGATACCTCTGTTGCTTGTTCTAATAGTGTTCTTCCATTCTAAGAAGATTAACAAAAGTCTCCACAATCATTGCATGCATATAATGTTCTTTGGATCTTCATACATTTATAATGTTCTTCCATTTTAGGTGTTAAGATCTTTGCACCTAAAAAGTACGTTGAAAATACAGAAGTGGATCGAAAAACAACTGAAGCATAAAAGTTATTATAAAAAATTAATGAAAGAGCACAAGATTTACATTGAAAGGAAGAGTGAACCAATGTACGATTTAGAGGGACATGCTCCGCTTAAGTGGCTTGCGGGCCGGAGGGCAAGAAAAGATGTGCCGACTGGGACAATCGTGGTGATTAATGATTGGGCCATGTGACATTTGGAATCAACTTGAAAATTTTTACCTGACTAGAGTTGTATAACAAATAAACTATTTGTGAACTCAACTCAATTTAGCTCATTTGAGTACACTAAAAACACATTCGCTAAGTTAAATACACTGTCTCCATTCTATAAGAAGGACACCATTTGTTTTTTTTTTTTTACTTAATATTAAAAATATTATTGTACTTTGTATGATAGGAGAGTATTAATATTTGGTTAAAGTATCACATATTTAACTATAATTATTTTATTCGATTGACATACAATTACTAAATAAATCTAAAATCCGATTGTGATAAAAATTTAATAAAACAATTAAAGACATAAATCACCGAAATTTCACAAATACCAATTTAATAAACAAGACTCAATTCAAATCAAAATATAATTAAAGTTGAGAATCTACATTCAACCTCGGACTAGAATTAGAAAAACTAAACTACTGTGCTTAAATTGAATGAAAGCGATGATGATCTTCCGGTGGCTCTTCCACAAATCGCCTCACCCAACCCTCCAATTCAAGGTATGAATTCTGAATTTGAGTTGTTATGATCCCTATAATGTCTTGGTTCCAAATCTTTAATCGCGCCTTTAATTATTCCCTCTCAATGATCGTGCATACAATCACCTCAATCCCATAATCTATAGCTACAAGCTTAATTCAAGCACCTCCTTAATTCTTTCATCGAAAATTTGGATCAGCTCCACTCTATTCCTAACACCAATTCATACCAAAAATTAGTATAAATCTATCCAAAATATTAATTATAATTTATAATTTATCTAAAAAATAATATAGGATAATATATGATTCATAAATTATTTGTCTCAAAATATATTATTTAAATTACTATTTAAACCACAAAAATCAAAATAAAAACTTTAATTAAAATCTCAAATAAGCAAACCCTAGAGTGTACTTTTAGAGTTTGGTATTGAAATCATGATTTTGAATTTTTATTCGAATATTAATTTGGATATAATATTTTACAAATATATATATATATATATATATATTATGAAGAATCACGAGGTCGGATCTTCTCTGACCATGCACTCTCCATTTTGTCTCTTTCTTTTGTTTTTTATTGACAATATTATAACTATAGTTATGTACAGGATCTTTGACTATATTGTTTATTTATTTATTGGAGTTAAGCTCGTAATTTATTCCATGTTGTTGGTTTGTGTCTTGGATCGAGAATTTTACACATGCAGATCACATGAACTAACTGATTTCATTCAACAGATCAACAGTAAAATTTTATAAGCTTAAAAACCAGGATGGAAGAAATTCTGTTAATTATAATTCCTTTTCAAATTGTCCCTTCGAAATCTACCAAACTATAAACTTATTGAAACCTCAAACCACATAATTAAGCAATGTCCAAATTCCTTTTCTTGATGGATGCAATAAAATTTCATCCCCTTGTATTCCAAGCCCTTTCAACTTTCATCCTCTTTTGGTTCATTTACAAATGGTTCCACAAGCCCAACGGAGCCAAGAAGCTGCCCCCATCGCCGCCCAAGCTGCCGATAATCGGAAACCTCCACCTATTTACTTCATTGCCTCACCGCGACCTCCAACGGTTGGCGCGCAAATACGGCCCTCTCATGCATCTCCATTTAGGGAGCGTGCCTACGCTCGTTGTGTCATCCGGGGAAGGCGCAAAAGAAATAATGAAAACCAATGATCTCTCATTTGCCGACAGGCCTCAAACATGGGTTGCTAAGCAGCTGCTCTACGGCCCAAACGACGTGTCATTGTCACCATACGGCCAAAAATGGCGACAACGGAAGAGTATTTGTGTCCTCCAGCTTCTTAGCAACAAAAGGGTCCAATCTTTCCATTCTATAATGGAAGAAGAAACTTCCCTTCTGTTGAAAAAGATTGAGCATTCCTCCGGTGCCTTGAATTTGAGCGAGATGTTCTCCGAATTCAGCAATGGCATGACATCGAGAGCAATGTTTGGCAAAAAATATAGCGAAGGGGAAAAAGACAAGAGATTCATATCTTTATTGAAAGATGTATCTTCTTCGGTTGGCGCCATTAATATCGGAGATTTCATACCATTGCTTTCGTGGGTTGCTCGTGTAAATGGTTTCAACGCGAAAGTGCAAAGGGTAGCGAAAGAGTTGGATGAGTTCCTCGAGTGGGTGATCCAAGAAAGGATGGAAAAAAGTCGAGAGGAGAAAGCGAAGGATGATGACATGAACAAGTACGGAGAAAATTTTGTCGAGATTTTGCTCGACATCTACCAAAATAATTCGGACGGAATTTCCATTAGCAAAGAAAGTGTCAAGGGAATACTTACGGTATGTATGATAAGATTGAGGGATGGTTCTTTCCCAAAAAAATTAATACACTACAATTTTTATATTCTCTGTACAATTCTTTGTATTTCACATAAAAAGTTTTCTTTCCAACTATGTCACAAAACAAACACTTCAGGATTCTTTTTCCTCAATTTTTGATCCGTCCAGTTAAATTTATCATATTATTAATTTTGACAAAATCAAAATTGAACTCTTAACTATTATTATCAATTAATACTTATTTACTACAATTGTCATTGTATGCCTTAGTTACATTTTCTATTTATAATTATTAATTATGAACTAAATTTCTAAAATTTCTCTCTATAATCATTTTATTTTGATTATTTTTTCAACAAAATATTTATTTTTCTTAGTTTCTGTATAATCATTTTAAAGAGTATTTGACTTTATGTCAATAGGTGTTTGGTTGGATGATTTTTAAAGAAAAAATTTGATGAATAATATAAGACCAAAACCAGAAGTTAAAACAAACAAACCAATCTATTATCTTCAGCTTCTAATTGATTTTCATCACATAGAATATGCTTGAAGGTGGAACTGATACCATATCCATAACTCAAGAATGGATGATGAGTGAATTGCTACGACACCCCGAGGTCTTGAAAAGATTGCAGGACGAAGTTCGGGGAATCTTGAAAGACAGGGTCGACATTACAGATCGTGACTTGGAGAAGATGGCCTATCTAAAAGCCGTGACCAAAGAAACACTTCGACTGCACCCTGCTATTCCATTGCCTTTTCACATGGCTAAGAACGACGTCAAGGTCATGGGGTACAATGTACCCATCGGGACATGGGTGGCGATTAATATTTATGCAATAGGCCGGGATCCGAACATTTGGGACGAACCTGAGAAGTTTAACCCGGACAGGTTTTTAAATTCTTCCATTGATTTTAGGGGCCAGGATTTCGAGCTGATCCCATTCGGATTGGGGCGAAGAGGATGCCCTGCGATTACATTCGCCATGGTTAATGTTGAGTATGTAATAGCAAATCTTGTCCAGAAATTTGAATGGAAATTGGCTGAAGATGGGGAAGAACTGGACATGACCGAACGTCCAGGGTTGCATGTTGGAAGAGCTGTTCCTCTTCTTGCATTGGCATCGAAGAAGTATCACTTTTAGCATAATTTAGCAATAAATATTTTGAGAAGAAATAATAAAATGCCGAAATTCTTTAATTTGTTTAAAGTTGCATTTTCAACATATAATTTGCATTCTCCACTTGGAATAACATTTTTTTCCAAAGTAAAAAATCAATATATACTGATGTAGATATATATATATATATATTTTATATATTATATGAATTATTTTATTTAAAATATTATATTAAATAATTATTTTAATTTAAAATTTCACTATTATATAAAAATATCGAAATGCACAAAGACAACCAATCACATTATTATTATTATTATTAAATCTTATGTAATGTTTTTTACCGGAATCTTTTATGTTTGCATGACTCTTTCACTGTGAGCTTGATTTTAATTCTTTACTACTATATTTTGGTAAAATTGCTTCTAACTATTATATGATTTCGAAATTAAGAGTAAAATCTCGTCTCTTTATATTTAAAAAAAAAAAACATTGCATGAAAATCCACAACTATAAAACCTTCTTGGTATCTTTTTTTTTTTTTTTTTGCACATTTTTTAAAGTATAAGAGAAATTTACATTAAGTTTCAAAACTATAAAGAGTTATGAATAATTTTGCTTAATATTTTATCATTTCTAAAAAACTGTGTATAATGTTTTTTTATCTGTTTTGCAAAACAGCATATTAAAACCACTATTGGAACTAAAATTCAAAATCTAAGTTAAAAGGAAACCCCAAGTAAACAAACCCTATGGTGTTCTTTTCGAGTTTTGATTTTTAAAATTATTTTTGAATTTTACTTTGAATAGTAATTTTATTGTAATATTTTCTAAATATATATATAATTGTGACAAATAGATCTTCTACCACTACTCAATTTTATTTTATTTTTATTTCAAATGCAAATTAACATGATCTAATTAACATATAAAAATATATTATTTCATCCATAATTAAAATATGGAATCCAAACTCAAAGCAAAAATTGAATTTCGTCAAATCAAATCCAATCCAACTACAATATTCATCTTTTGTTTTTATTGACAATATTATAATTATAGTTATGAACATGGATCTCCAACTATTTTATTTATTCATTCATTGAAATTAAGCTTATAGTTAATTCCATGTTGTTGGTTTGTGATTTGAATCGAGACTTTTTCACATGCAAATCACGCCAAGGAATATTTGACATAAAATATATTAACAGTGAATTCTTGTAAGCTTAACAACTAGGGGTTTGTTGATTTATATTTGAAATTGAGTTTTATATTTGAAATTCGATTTAAATAGTATTTTGATTTGATATTTTAAAAAATAAAATAAATATATATTTATCGGGGGTGATGCAAACCAAATAGTATTGATTTGTGTTTGAATATTATTGGAGACTTTCATTTGCGGATAAATAATCAATAGCTATATGTCACTAAAGTTTAAACTTTTAGCGAAGACGAAAAGCATATATAGATATGTATGAAATGTTGTTCCTTCCATTTTCAAATTGTCCCTCCAACATCTACAAAACCACAAACTGATTCAAACCTCAAACCACATAATCAAGCAATGTCCAAATTCCTTTTCTTGATGGATGCAATAAAATTCAATCCCTTTGTATTCCAAGCCCTTGCAACTTTCTTCCTCTTTTGGTTCATTTACAAATGGTTCCACAAGCCCAATGGAGCCACGAAGCTGCCCCCATTGCCGCCGACGCTACCAATAATCGGAAACCTCCACCAGTTTAGGTCATTGCCTCACCGCGACCTCCAACGGTTGGCACGCAAATACGGCCCTCTCATGCATCTCCATTTAGGGAGCGTGCCAATGCTCGTCGTGTCATCCGGGGAAGGCGCAAAAGAAATAATGAAAACCAATGATCCCTCATTTGCAGACAGGCCTCAAACATGGGTTGCTAAGCAGCTGCTCTACGGCACACACGACGTGTCAATGTCACCATACGACCAAAAATGGCGACAACGGAAGAGTATTTGTGTCCTCCAGCTTCTCAGCAACAAAAGAGTCCAATCTCTCCATGCCATAAGGGAAGAAGAAACTTCACTTCTGCTGAAAAAGATTGAGCATTCCTCCAGTGCCTTGAATTTGAGCGAGATGTTCGCCGAATTCAGCAATGCCATGATATCTAGAGCAATTTTTGGCCAAAAATGTAGTGAAGGGGAAAAGGGCAAGAGATTTGTATCTTTATTAAAAGATGTGTCTTCTTCGGTTGGGACAATTTATGTCGGAGATTTCATCCCGTGGCTTTCATTTTTTACTCGTGTAAATGGTTTCAACGCGAAAGTGCAAAGAGTAGCGAAAGAGTTGGATGAGTTCCTCGAGGGGGTGATCCAAGAAAGGATGGCAAGAACTCAAGAGGAGAAAGCAAAGGATGACGGCATGAACAAGTATGGAGAAAATTTTGTCGACATTTTGATCGACATCTACAAAAATAATTCGTACGGAATTTCCATTAGCAAAGAAAATGTCAAGGGAATACTTATGGTACGTATGATATGTTTGATTCTTTTTACTCTGTTGGAATATTTATTATTATTCAATTCTTTGTTTATTGTATTGTTTGCTTTTATAAGTTTTGAACTATGTTTATAAATAGGCTTTGATTTTATTACTAATACAATTAAGTATTTTCCTCCCAAAAATTATTTTAACTTGGTATCAAAGCCTTAGAGTTCGAGTTTAGAGTCCCACCCACCGTTCCCCCATGTATCAGTCGTCCATGGGCGGAAAATTTAGTTTGATGGCATTTATTCCCCTTGCTTGTGAGGAGCGTGTTGATTGACTCATATTTGTAAATAAATAAATAAATTATGCGTAATCTTAATAGTTTAAATTTTTAGGTGAGACGGTCATTTATTTATCTAATATACTCACATTTTGATCCATCACAAGAATTGATTTTCAGCTTCTAATTGATTATTTCATGACATAGAATATGATTGAAGGTGGAACTTACACCGTATCCATAGCTCAAGAATGGATGATGAGTGAAATTTTACGACACCCTGAGGTCTTGAAAAGATTGCAGGCCGAAGTTCGGGGAATCTTGAAAGACAGGGTCGACATTACAGATACTGACTTGGAAAAGATGACCTATCTAAAAGCCGTGATCAAAGAAACACTTCGACTGCACCCTGTTATTCCATTGGCTTTTCACGTTGCTAGGAACGACGTCAAGGTTATGGGGTACGATGTATCAGCTGGGACATGGGTGGCGGTTAATCTTTGTGCAATAGGCCGGGATGCGAACATTTGGAATGAACCTGAGAAGTTTAACCCCGACAGGTTTTTAGATTCTTCGATTGATTTTAGGGGCCACCATTTCGAGCTGATCCCGTTCGGATCAGGGAGAAGAGGATGCCCGGGGATTTCATTCGCCATGGCTAATGTTGAGTATGTAATGGCGAATCTTGTCCAGAAATTTGAGTGGAAATTGGCTGGTGATGGGGAAGAACTCGACATGACTGAACGTCGGGGCTTGCATGCTGGAAGAGCTGTTCCTCTTCTTGCATTGGCATCGAAGTATCACTTTTAGCATAATTTAGTTAGGTATCTTTATTGGAATAATGTGTGTATTAATCTAAGTATCAAATTATGTGTTCCGAAAATTCTCCGAATCACAGATTTCTCCTATCAACACAAATAAAATATATAGAGAGAGAAATGAAAATAAACTATTACTTCACTTAACACTGTGAAATAAAAGCATGTATTATTCATTCACACTTAGAACGTATGATGTAATGAGTGTGTCATATGTGATATTTAAAAGTATGTAATTTGTTGTCTATATTTATATTATTTTAATATAAATAATATATTCTTTGTAGTAACGTTTGCTTACCTTATATCTTATTTGAGAGATCATAAGATTTTCTTTTATTCACTATATGATTTGCATATTCACTATAGCTTTTTTTTCTTTTTTCTTTTTTTTCTTTAATTTCAATTTAGTATCAAAGAAAAAAAATAAAAATTCATGTACACCTTTTAGGTTATTCAATATATATAGTGCCATCATTCGCCTAGTGTGACTTTCTCATCGGACCTGGTTTACAGGGTATTGAATTCAACTGGGAGTTTATCCAATGCGCACTTCGGGTAGCGACTGCATGTTTCCACGTCATCAAAAAATATATATATAGTGCCGTCATTTCCACAAACTATTACTTACAGTCAGATCTTCGCTCATAAAGCCTTGATTCTACTTTTAACTCTGCCTTCATTGATATTTTGTTTTTGATTTTAGTTGTGTTGAGACCTCTAACCGCGTTAAGTATCTGATTCCAAATATAATTTTTTACAAAATTTTATTTTCAACTCTAATCGCATTGAGAGTTCTATTTATGACTCTAACTCTGTCAAGAGCCTCACTTCCGACTCCAACAACATTGAGAATTCTATTTTCGATTCTAAATTCATTAAGAACTCTACTTCCGGCCCTAATGGTATTAAGAGTTTTGTTTTTAACTCTAATAATATTGAGAGTTTGTTTTCGATTCGGCCGCATACATTGCTTTTTTTCTTTAGCAAATCCAAATTGATTTGATCTTTATGTTGAATCTGAAAAATTGTGTTCCCGTATATTAGAAAATATATATCTATCTATTATAATTATAGTATTTATCTTGTTTGAAAGATAGTTCTCACTCCTTAAATCTAATGAAAAAATATATACTCCCTTCGTCTCAATACAATATTCATATTTATCATTTTTGTCAGTCCCAAAACAATAGTATCATTTCCACAATATTACCTTTATTTTTTCATTATTATTACAGCCACTACTTTTTATATTGATACACTCACAAGGGCAAAAAAGTCTTTTACCCGTACTTTTTACCCACTATTAATATAATATCAATATTCCTTAAATTTCGTGCCAAACCCAGACTATAGTTTTGGGACGGATGGAGTATTACTCTCGTTACAATCATACATCGAAAGTATAGTTGAATCACGACAATATATATAAATATTATATTTTAAATAATATTCAAAATGTTAAGAGTTTTTACATTTTTCAAAATTAACATAAATTGGTGGTTATGAAATCTAAAGTATTGTATATTCTTCTATTACAATTCAATTATACTAAAAAAAATTATATTGTGTTGCTTTGGTCACTTAGCATTTATTTTCCAATCATTATTTTCTATAAAAATATTATTTTATTATACATAACATCACATCTAAACTACTATCAAACTAAAATTAATTTTTTTTTTTTAGAAAAAATCATCGACTAAATACACACATCATCAAAATTTATTTTCTATCATGGATTGATTGAAATATATGTTATTTAAAACTTCTATTTTGGTTTTAAAGTTTAGGAATTATGTTATGTATTATCATTTTTCTTTTGTTTGTTCTTATATTTATATATTTAATCTTAAAAATATGAGTATATTGAGAAGGGGAATCGAATACAAATTAAAATTAGTTGATGTTAAAAATAGTACACAGGTAAGTGGTAGGCAAATGAGTATTTAAGTTTATGACTAATTTCTAGTACTATGATATATATTTTTTATTTAATATACTATATGATTTTTTTTTTAAATATCATATTAAATAATTATTTCATAACCAATCACATGATTATTAGTATTATTAAAGTGTGTGGAATAACAAATTTTATTTTTTTAAAAAGAAAAAAATCTGAAATTTCTTCTCAGTGGTCCCGTCAACTCCAAATTATATATATATATATATGATATGATACGATATGATTCAGATTCCCCACAAAGTAGCATGACCTTCAATATTAATGTTAAGTCTTATGTATTGTTTTGTTTTTATCGGAATCTTTCATGTTTTCATGTGGCTCTTTTACTTTGAGCTTGATTTCAATTCTTTACTATAAAATTTGTATTCTCTAGAAAAATATATAATATATTTTTTTTTAGCAAAAAAATCATATTCAAATTATTATTTGAACTACAAAAATCAAAATCAAAACATAAAATGAAATTCCAAAAAAACAAACCCTGTTGTGTTCTTTGGGGGTTTTTTTTTTTAAAAAAAAGTATTTGTTTAATTTTAGTTTAAATAGTAACATTAATTCAATGTTTTCGTAGAAAAAATAGTATATTTTCTATAAAATCGTGACAAATAGATCTTCTACGGCCACTTAGCTTTGTTTGTTTGTTTTTTTTTTTTAAACATAAATTAATATTATTTAACTCACATTATTTTATCCACAAAATATTATATTAAAATATTAAATAAAAACTCAAAAAAAAAAAAATGATTCCCAATCCAACTACAATATTCATCTTTTGTTTTTTTATTGACAATATTATAATTATAGTTATGCACATGGATCTCCAACTATTTTATATATTCATTCATTGAAATTAAGCTTGTAATTAATTCCATGTTGTTGGTGTGTGTTATTGGATCGAGAATTTTTCACATGCAGGTCACTTTGAACTAATTTCATCACGCCAAGGAATCTGTAACATAAAATTAAATATATTAACATCATTGAACATATCAACACTGAAATTTGATTTGAAATTGAATATTTCATTTCAATTTCAGATACATAGTACTACTTTCCTCTTGTTATAAGGTTTTCATTTATTATTTTATTTTATTTTATTTTGTTGATTTTTTAATATTAATTATTATATCAAAATATAATACAAATTAAAAACAAAATTTTCAAAAATACTTTAATGAGACCTTATGATGGACGGAGGGAGTATTTTAATGTGATATTTTATAAAATTAAACACTACTCCCTGCGCATGCGTACTACATAATTTGTTTATTATTTATATTTCGATTCAGTTCCACATAATTTATCTTTTTTTTTAAACATAATTATACATTTTAATCAAATTTTAAAATTTAAAATTTATAATTTTTTATTTTAATTAAACTATTTAGTTATTTTAATATTAATTTATAATTATTTTTGTTATATCATAATTATTTTTACTAATATATTTTTTAATTACTTACTAAGTACATTATTCCTAAAATTTTGTGTCTAGTCTAAAGTGGACAAATTAGTTGTTACGGATAGAGTATATTTTTATGAATACAATCTACATATGGAAGAAAAAATGCTGTTTTAATATCCAAATTGTCCCTTCAAAAATCTACAAAACTACAACTTTATTGGAACCTCAAACCACATGACTGAGCGATGTCCAAATTCCTTTCCTTGATGGATGCAATAAAATTCCATCCCTTTGTATTCCAAGCTCTTGCAACTTTCTTCATCTTTTGGATCATTCACAAATGGTTCCACAAGCCCAATGGATCCAAGAAGCTGCCTCCATCGCCGCCGAAGCTGCCGATAATCGGAAACCTCCACCAGTTGATGAGCTCATTGCCTCACCACAACCTCCATCGCTTGTCGCGCAAATACGGCCCTCTCATGCTTGTCCACTTAGGCAGCATGCCTGCGCTCGCCGTGTCATCCATGGAAGGCGCGAGGGCAATACTTAAAACCAATGATCTCTCCTTTGCAGACAGGCCTACATCATGGGTTGCTAAGAAGCTGTTCTATGGCCCAAAGGATGTCTCATTGTCACCATACGGCGAAAACTGGAGACAGCGAAAGAGTATTTGTGTCCTCCAGCTTCTAAGCAACAGAAGGGTCGATTCTTTCCGGGCCATAAGGAAGGAAGAAACTTCCCTTCTGTTGAAAAAGATTGAGGATTCCTCCGGTGTCTTGAATTTGAGCCAGATGTTCTTTGAATTCAGCAATGGCATGATATCTAGAGCAATGTCTGGTCACAAATTTAGTGAAGGGGAAAATGGCAAGAAATTTGTATCTTTATGGAAAGATGTGTCTTCTTCCGTCGGGGCCATTAATATCGGAGATTTCATCCCATGGCTTTCGTGGGTCGCTCGTGTAAATGGTTTCAAGGCAAAAGTGCAAAGGGTAGCGAAAGAGTTGGATGAGTTTCTCGAGTTGGTAATCCAAGGAAGGATGGGAAGAACTCGGGAGGAGAAAGCAAAGGATATCGACTTGAACAAGTATGGAGAAAATTTTGTCGACATTTTGCTTGACATCTACCAAAGTAATGCGTACGGTGTCTCCTTTTGCAAAGAAAGTGTCAAGGGAATACTTATGGTACGTATGATAAGTTTGATTCTTTTTACTCAAGTTTTGATCCATCACATTTTAATGGATTTTGGGTGGGTAAATTGTTTTAAGGTTTGGATTTGAATTTGGCGTTTTGGAGTAAAATTATTGAATTAAAATAGTATTTGATACGATATCAATAAGTTTTTGATGAATACTTTGAGACCAAAACCAAAGTTTTAGAAACAAATCAACCTATTCTCTTCAGCTTCTAATTGATTTTCATCACATAGGATTTGCTTGAAGGTGGAACTCACACCATATCCATAGCTCAAGAATGGATGATGAGTGAAATGTTACGACACCCCGAGGTATTGAAAAGATTGCAGGCCGAAGTTCGGGGAATCTTGAAAGACAGGGTCGACATTACAGATCATGACTTGGAGAAGATGACCTATCTAAAAGCCGTGATCAAAGAAACACTTCGACTGCACCCTCCTATTCCATTGCCTCTTCACAAGGCTAGGAACGACGTCAAGCTTATGGGGTACGAAGTATCAGCCGGGACATGGGTGGCGATTAATATTTTTGCAATAGGCCGGGATCCGAAGATTTGGGATGAGCCTGAGAAGTTTAACCCAGACAGATTTTTAAATTCTTCGATTGATTTTAAGGGTCAGGATTTCGAGCTGATACCATTTAGCTCAGGGCGACGAGGGTGCCCGGGGATTTCGTTCGCCATGGCTAATATTGAGTATACAATAGCAAATCTTGTCCAGAAATTTGAATGGAAATTGGCTGAAGATGGGAAAGAACTGGACATGACTGAACGTCAGGGGTTACATGTTGGAAGAGCTGTTCCTCTTCTTGCATTGGCATCCAAGTATCAATTTTAGCATAATTTACTTTGGAATAATTAAGGTGTGATTTAATCAAGGTATTGAATTGTTTGACATATTTTCAATTATATGTTAGATATCTGCTTGCTTTCAATTTAGATTAAATTTTCATTATCTGTTGTTATTATTTGCATCGTTCAGTCTCTCACATAAAATGTAACATGATATTATGTTTATTCAGATACACTCGACTTGGAATGTATTATGAGATTTTATGATTTTGAGATGTTTGCATTTTCCATCTACCCGATTTAGTTTTCATCAAAATTACTTTTTAGTTTCAATAATATTTATACTTGGAGTTAGATCGATCGTTTGTCCTGACTCCATTCAGTTTAAAGTCTTGTTTACAACTCTAATTGTGTTTACATGACCCTTAGCTTGTTTCATTAATAAGAATATGCAGTCTTATTTAATTTTTAATTTTGTTTCAATAATCGTTTTCTTTTAGTACAATACCAAATTGAAATTATAAATTTTGAAAATTTCCGAATTTATTTTAGTTACTGAAATTCATATTTGAAAAAGATTCTCATCCTTATATTGGTTCAAAAGATTCTCATCCTTATATTGATGTGTGTGCACAATATTAATAAATTATTGATAGATTTTATATATATAGTCAACAGTCATTTTTTATGGTGCATTATATTTATTCATATATGGTAACTATAATTATGAACAGTCTATATTATTTATGACAGTTTAGTCATACATTTTATAACTATTTGCCATATTTCTAAAAAAGAAAATTTTCAAATTCCATACAGAAAACATTTTTTTGCAAAAAAAAAAATGACAATTACTATAAATATTAGAGGCAAACAAGTAAATTTAGCTCCACACCTTTTATTATTTTACAATATCATTAGGAAAATGATATCATATACTATTATGTTTAGTTTGGTATTTTTTTTAAAAGCACATTATTACATGATCGTCACAATTTTGGATAAAAATATAATATATATTATTAAATTATGTAGATGACCATCTGATCTAAAAGTTAATTTATTAGATATACGCATTCTTTATTTATTTCTCTACAAATGATAGTCCATCAATATATATATATCCATACTCGGACAAATTTCTCATGTACCTCATTCTTCAAATTTAAAAAAAAAATAATAATAATAATAAAAATAGAAAAAAGACCATTAAACTCACAGTTTTATCATATAATTCTTCATGATTGTATTAAAATATACTACTAATACATGGGATATCAATGCTCTATTTACATAATAATTTTGGAGACTTTGATACTATTTAACTTTTAAAAATATGAAATAAAATATTTTTTTTACAAACTATCAAATCATATATTGGCTTTGTTTAGACAGGAGAGTTTTGGAAGTTTAGAATTTTGAAAATTCAAAAATAATAATAAAATAAATTAATATTTTATGTGATATATTAAATAAGAAGTGTACTTGATATGATATTTTTTTAACAAGAATAATAACAAAATTCTAAAATTTATTGTGTAAACAAACATTTTATTATATTCAAAATTCCAAACTCTAAAGCTTTCTAAAATATTTTGTCTAAACGAAATCAAAGTTTTGATCTTTGTAATTTTCTGAATAGTAAGATCAAATTACAAATTAGTGCTATTATGTAATCCATTTATGAATGAATTATTGCTATTATATATTTTCAATATATAGAAGATATGCTATTCCAAATTCAAAACATCATTCCAACTTTCCTAACTTGAATTCACCAAAATTAATTGGGAAAATTATATCATATATTAATTGTGCACACACAAATATATACATAAAAATCATCACAATACCTCTCTTCATATTCCCTTCACAAAAGTTTATTATATCTCTCAAATACACACATATATATCAATCAAAAGCCCCAAAAAGCTCATCACTCCCATACACTTTTCTTTTCCATTCACTTTTTCATCAACTGAAACCATCACAAGAATTATAAGCTTGCAAAGAAAAGGTACTTCTGATTCAAGCAATTGTAACTTTAATTTATTATAATCATGTATCTAAAAGAATTAGTTTGAATTCCTTGGAGTATTCCTTTTTCTCATATAAAAATTCTCTTTCAAATCTTTAGTGTTTGTGTCGCAAAAGCATGCATCGATCATCGTTGAATTATTCCTCCGGAAGATCATCCGATGAGTTCATTGTGAACTTCTCCCAAGCTGCTTCGAAGGGTTTGGATTCTAAGGAGCATTTGGAAGCTTCTTATGGCAGTCGAAACGACGGCATTTTTATTTCCGATGATGCCCTAAAGAAGGGTGTTTTCGAAAAGCCCTTTTTGGGAGAAAGAGCAGTTCATTTGATCCCATTGGTCTTGTTTCTTTGTGGTCTGATTCTATGGTGGTTTTCATCTCCAGTCTATGAGCATTGATTTCAATTGATTGCAAATTGATTTATCTTATTTTGTAATTCTTGTTCAAAGGGATTGTTTGAGGGAGCAAAGAGCTTTAGGCCGGAATTTTTATAATCAAATTTGGGTTTCCATTCGACCTGTGTGTTTGGTATGTGTTTTTCATTTTTATTTATGTTTTATATTAAAATAATTATTTGATGCAACATTTATTGAAAAATATAATATATATTCATAGGCTGGATAGTACTGAATTTTATATTAATATAATACAAATACAATATTTTCTAATTACATACAACATACATATAATTTTAAATAAACATCATATATTTTTATTACACACAATACATATTGTATGCAATAAATGTTGTTTGTATATATACTTATAAGTGTTGGTTTAAAGAAGTCTGGCACGGTGAGTTTTCAAATTATTTATTTTTAATGGGATTGATTATGGTTGATTAGTTTGAATCAATACATTGATGATAGACACAGCACATAATTGATATTGAAACAACACTTTTTGTATATATAAATTAACATGTGAATATGTGATGTTTGCGTGTTATATGTGTTGTGTTGTCATGTAATATATACTTGAATCAATTGTGATATATGTATAATATCATTATGTATTGTCTTGAGGTGATATCAGCACCAAATATCATTAATTAGCATACTAACGTAGTCATTCTTTGTATATAAGCACATGAACTAAATTCAATATTGCCTTGTATTTGATGCGTGCACTAAATGATGATCATACACAAAACCCTAACCCTAATTCCCTAATTCACCGGTGAAGCTACAAGAACAAGAGGGATTTTCTTATGCATTGTAATCCCAACAGCTTCTTCCAAATCAATGTCGTCGCGAGACATTCCCGGTGGAAGTTCCCAGTTGAATCGATACAAAAGATTCGCTAATGCAAGCTCAACTAATGGGGTAGCAAAGTTGATTCCAGGGCATTGTCTTCTGCCAGCGCCGAATGGCAAAAGCTCGAAATATTTCCCTCTATAATCAACTTGGCGATTCAAAAACCTTTCCGGGATAAATTCATCTGGATTTTCCCAATACCGCGAGTCTCTTGACATTGCTGATGCATTGAAGAAAACCCTAGTATTCATAGGAATTTCATACTTGTTGTCGATGATGAGCTTGTCTATAGTTTCCCTAGGGGCGAGCAATGGGGCAGGTGGATGGAGTCTAAATGACTCTTTTATGACATGTTTTAGGTATGTGAGCTGGGGAAGATCAAGTTCATCGATGTACAACTTGCCCTTCCCGACTTTTCTCACTTCTTCTTGTGCCCTTTCTTTGGCTGTTGGATTTCTCATGAGTTCCGTCATTGTCCATTCTATTGTTGTCGCCGAAGTATCCGTTCCAGCTATAAAAATCTCCTGCATCAAAGTTTCGAAACAATGTATATGTAGTATAATTTACCATCCAAACTTAGGGACATGGATTATACATATATACAATTTTATTAACATCGCATGTAGATTAAATTCAACATCTTCGATACTTAAAAAATCAACATTAAATCTATATACCTACTTACATTCAACATATTTCATAACTACGGCCAATATATGAATTATAAACCTATGGAATTAAAGAAAATTTTATATTTTACGATCATATTAAATATTCATTTCATCTGGGGTAATTATGTTATCTTTCTTTTTTTACTTGTCACTTTAACTTATTCATAATCTATTTATAATAAATAATTTTATCTACCTACGATCTCATTATCTCCATCTATTTTTATTAAAATATATATTATATCATAATTCTACCTACAATAACCAACATCACATTAATTAATAGTAAATATGAATTTTAAACTATATCTTTCAATTTGCTACAGAAGGCACTAGACTACATATTTCTCAATATTATTATATATTATCATTGTTATTCTATTATTGATTCAAGAAGTTTCAACCAAGATGTTTGTCTTTATTTTCCAAGAATTCATTTTCAACAACGTGGCAACGTGATTCATTTATGAGTTTTGTTTTCATTGAAATTAAGTAAGACATGTGGGGTGGCTAGTACCTACCTTGTGGTAGCTATCGAATCCTAACTAATAATTTATTTGCTCCACCTATTTTAGCGGATAGAGTAAGAATTTGTATAATTAATAAATAATTAAAAATATATTAGTAAAAATATATTGAGATTAAAATTTACAAAATTATATATTATCAAATTAAAAATATTATTAAAGTGTGACAAAAATATATGAGCCGAGCCGAAAAAAGAAAAAAGATAAATTATGTATGAGGAAGAGAAAAATATATTAGTGGGCATTGGATTTCAAGTTTGAGAGCAACAAAATTATAATTAAAAATAAAATTTGATATAATATACATAAATAAGTGTTCAATATAATGTTTTAAATAAATATATATATTAATATATGAAATTAAAAATACCTCTTCTGATATTATGGTTTTAAAAGAAAACTAATCAAGCTTTAAAGAAATTAAACTGGCATAAAGAACTTAGAAAATTAATGGTAAAAAATAATGATAGAGACTTACCACAAGAAAGGCCTTTACTAGTTTATCAGTAAAAGCAATGGTCGGATTTGGATCCTTTTGAACCCCAAGCAGCACATCGACAATATCTTCTTCGCGATCCTGCTTCGCCTTTTTTATATCGACATGTTGCATGATTACCTTGTCGAGAAACTTGTCCAAGGCTTGGAAATTCTTCTCCAATATGTTGTCTGTGCCGTTGAGCCTTGCTCGAAGTTTGGAAAGTCGAGTTAGATATAGGTATTTTGTAATATTATTGATCGCTTACTAATACTCTCTCTGTCCGGGCTTCTTACGTTGTTTTGTCTTGACAAATAGATTAAAAAATAATAGTATTTTAACATAAATATAGAATATGTAAAATCATTGTTGATATGGTCACTGATGTTAATAAATTTTATGTTACAGAGTTTGGAAATTGAGTTAGATGTTGGTATTTTGTAATATCATTGATCACTTAAATTTAATATTTCTTTGGTCTGGACTCCTTATGTTACTTTATTTTGACAAGTAAATTAAGAAATAATATTTTAATAAAAATATAAGGTAAGTAAAAAGGAAAAAAAAATTAAAATTAAAATTAAAATATTGATAAAAAAATAATAGAATAAATAGAAAGATAGGTGACAAATTAATTACTATTTATTAAAATAATTATAGTAAACTTGTGAATGTGTAAAATTATATATTATAAATAGACTATGCATAAGTTTAGCATAATTTTAAAAAGATAATAAAAATAAAATTGCATAATTATCCAGGCTCAAGAGTATATTTTTAATCGTGTTACTATACAACTATATATACGTGAAGAAATGTGATGAGTAAAGTAAAATTACAATTAAATGATAATTATATGGTTTAATATTGAAATCAAATGTGCTAACGAATATATTACTCCAAAAGTCTAAAAATTTAAAACTATTAAAAAAAAATCATAATCATTTATTCACTTTTATTAGATTCATAAGTTTTAAATATAGCGATTGAAAGTGATTTTTTACCTAAAGGCTAATGATTAAAAATAATTAAGATTTGTTACATTGTAGGTTTTTTCTTTCTTTCTTTCTTTACATGTTTTTTTCCATTCAAATTTTAAAATTGTAAAAAAATTACATTTAAATATTGTTTTACCTTCAAAACAATAAAATTAAAAGTCAAATTAATTTTTCTAAGGAAAATAAAAAGTAAATTTATCATAGTATTATGGAAAAAGAATGGCTGGAAATATAGGACCAACAAATCGTGCATTTGTTGATTTGTGTTTTAATTTAATTAATAATCTAATCTGAGATGTTGTAAAAAATTGTGTTTATGTATATATATATAGAGAGAGAAAAATATACAGATTTTATATTTTAAAGGGTGGGTTTTGGTACAGAGAATATTGAATAGTAAAAAAGTGATAAAAATAAAATAAAATAAAATTTAGAGAAAAAAATTAATAAAGAATAAGAATTGATTTGAAAAAAATATACTCTCCCTCCGTCCCATAACAAGGTATCGATTTACCTTTTACGTCATTGTACTTAACGTTAAAAATATCCTTATATTTGTATATTTTTTTATAAAAATGTCATTATATTAGTATTATAAGACACTAATACAAATATTTTTGCAATTTTTTCTTGATTTGTAATACGTTTTGATATAATAATTAATATTCAAACATTAATATGCAAAAAGTAAATTGATACTTACTTATGGGAAGGAGAGATAATAATTCAATGGATAAATTTAAAAAAAAATAAAAATACAATGATCTAGATAAATCAACAAAGGGGAAGGAGAATGTATTGCAAGTGAAAAATAAAATAATGAATCAATTAGAAAAAAGATACATCAAATTTAAGAAATGACGATCTATAAAAAATATATTGAGGTATTTAGTATGCATTTTTTAAATTTTTATTTATTTAAAAATTTAGATGTAATATTTTATTGAATCGAAATAATACATTAAAAAAAACAACACTAAAAATTGAACATTAAACAAATTGGGCGATCTCAATTTCTATTTCGTTTTATTTTTTCACATTAAAAAACGATAAATAACTCATTTCTTTTTTAAAAATTATCTGGCTCAAAATAATAATAATAATAATAATAATAATAATAATAATAATGGTAATAAACAAAAGAAATTAAAAAAACAGAGGCAAAGTGTAAGCATTACTTACCGGTTAATCCACCGGAGCCCGGAAAAGTAATCGGAAATATTAAACTCGCCGGCGGCGTGCTGCGCATCAAGAAAAATCTGCCGGAATCCACCACCGTTGCTAATATCGATCTCCCCGAAGGCGACGCTGCTCACAAAGTTATTCACCATGGAAAAGGCCTGGAAGCTCAAGTCCACAGAGCCTGGATATTTGCTCTTCACACGCTCGATCATGGCGGACACCTCACGTGCGCGCACGTGCCCGAAAGACTGGACACGTTTGGGGGTCATGAGCTCCTGGACCATGATTTTCCGAAGCTCCCGCCACGTATTGCCGTAGGGCGCCGTGCCGACGGACGAGAGGCCGCCGTAGCTCATCTTGTCTAAGGCATAGAGACGGGGCCGGCCGGAGACGGCGGCGTCGTGGTTGAGGAAGATGTCGGCGGCCCTGTCGGGGGATGACACGACGATTGCCGGAACTGAGCCAAGCTGTAAGTAGATGAGATCACCGAATTTTTCCGACAGGGCTCGAAGAGAACGGTGGGGGAGCTTCCCTAGCTGGTGGAGGTTGCCGATGACCGGAAGCTTTTTGGGCCCCGGAGGAAGCCCGAGCCCATTTGGTTTATTTTTGGTTGAGGTCTTGATGAAGATGATGGCAAGTAGTGGGAAGACGATGATGAGCAGTGTGAGAATTTGGGAAGACATTTTTTTTATTGGTTTGGTTTGATTGTGTTGTGTTGTGTTGTGAAACTCATTCAATTATGTATAGTGTATATATATAATATTTAGCCACGAAAGTGTGTCGCCAAGTGTTGCAGAATTTTTGTGTTTTTTTTCTTTAATATTTAGATATGGGACTCACATGCAATAATATATAATTAAATTTGATTTGATTTGATTTGATTTTTTTTAACTTCATCGTTTTATTTTATTAATTCTTTATTATAGTTGGTCCCACCATTTAATAATAATATTTATAATTTGATTTAATTTTTTAATATGATTATATTTAATTAGTTAATAATAATATGATCCTGGCTACGGTGTTTTCTTCTTCTATAAATACGAGAATTTACGTAGACACGGATATAAATAATAAATAATTTAAAATGTATTAATAAAAATAATTATTCTATAATAAAAATAATTTATTATATTTCTATTAAAGATAAAGAGTTTTAATTGTAAAATATTTATTTATTTATATGTGGAATAGAAATAAAAGAATTTTAAGTAGATTCCATGATACAAGATATTATATATTATAAAGTCAAATAAATTGATTTATATTTGTTAAATATATTTTAAATTAGTAAATATTATTAAATATAGAAAAATTTCATTTGTTATAAAATAGATAAAATAGAAATGATATTATTTGTATACAGCGGATAGAATACAATTTAATTTTTTGGTATAGGATCCACTTTTCATTTTTTTTTTTGTGGTGTGGGGCTAATTTTTCATTTTAATTATTTTATTTTTCTATTTTTAAAAAAAATTGCATGTGGATCTTATATCCTTTTTCATTATAATTATTTAATGATATTTCACTTTTAATACTATGTGATACTCGAGATGAAAATGAATGAAGCGGTGAAAATTACATCAAAGAAAAAAGAAAATCATATTATTTTTTAAAATGTGGGTCGCGATAGTATGTATTATATTCATTTCATCCTATAAATGATAGTTTGTTTAGGCATTAAGACTAAGGAATAATGAAATTTTAATATTAAAGTGATATATGTAGAAAATAAAGTGATAATATTATGATAAATTTATTAAAATGATTGATAAAAAAAATAGTTGAATAATTTTTTAAACAATGACAATTTAGTTATTATTTATTAAAATAAGGTAATAAAATTATAAAAATGCGTAAAATTATTTATTATAAATGGATTGTATATAAGTTTAGCAGACAAAAAAAAAAATGAATGGTCATATGATTTTGACGGACAAATAGAGTATTATGTCATATTATTTGTTTGATATTCTTTTGTGTATCAAATTTTAAATTAAAATAATTATTAAATTTGATATAAATAAAATACAAGTGATATTTTAAAATGAAAATTATATATATTATATGAAAATAAATTTATATTTTTTCGAAAAAATTTCTTTTATATTTTAATATTGTCTCTGTCTGTTATAATGTTATAATAAGTGTAAATATGATAATATATGAGATGTGAGACATAAATAAATGAAATGTGTGATATTTATACGTGAGACGAAAGAAATAGTAATTTTTTATACTTTTATATATATATATATTATTTTGTCACCATATTTCTTTTTATCGAAATTGCTATAATATTTTAATGTATTAATGTAAATAAAAACAAATTTTCTAATATTTGCAATATGTAATAAAGTTACACTTAGTAAAAGCAATTTATATTTTATATTTGAATGTTAAATTAATTATAAAATTGTTAGCTTTCAAACCAATAAGATGAGTATGTGTTATTCTTAACTAACAATAAAAATAGATTGTTGAAAATAAAATAAACAAATACTCCATAATTTTGATACATTGTTATTTATTTCTATCATTTAAATAAAAATTTAGAAAAATATAAAAAATAAAAATATTATTGTCAAACTTTTTTTTATTGCAATTATAAATTATAAAAAAAATAAAATAAAATGTTATATGCAATCAAATTTAGATAGATTGCTACTATATACTATTAACTTACAAATATAAATAATTTATTTATTTTTATAATTTAATTGCTAAAGAATAATATATATACAAATTATTTATTTGAGTTTTGAATATTATTTTTAACATTAATTAATTTACAGGTTATTCTTTTTTTTACCATCTTAATATATTTGTCTATTTAAGATTTTCTTTTATATATACTCAAAAAAAAAGAAAAATAAATATAATTTTATATATGTTAATGCTATCATATATATCAACATCTATTATTATTATTATTATTAAAATTTATATTTTGTGATAAAATTTATTAATTTTTACTCCTTTCATCTCAGCTAACTTATTCATTTTAACTGGGCACAGAATTTTAAATATTGAGCAATTAAAAAGTGTATTAGTAAAAATAGTTATAAATTAAAATTAAAATAATTAAATAATTTAATTATAAATTATAAATTATTATTTTAAAATATGCTTAAAATATGTAATTATATTTTTTTTAAAAAAAAGACAAATTAAATAGAAAAGGCCAAAATAAAAATAATGTACAATTTATATGAAAACGAGAAAAATTTTAATAACAATAATTAATTTAACAATTTAATAAAATTTATAATCACATCGTGCATAGCGCGGCACTCCACTAGTATATATAGGTCTAAGTAGATGTAATATCTAAGTTAGAAATAAAATAAAATATAATAATAATAATAATAATAATAATAATAGTAATAAAAAAAAAAAAAAAGATTATTGTAGTCAATAGTTGAGAGGTGAATTTTTGTGTGTTTGCTTCTGTGTTTTAAAGCTATTCTTTCTTGGAAAATAATAATAATAATAATTTCTTTTACCATGGAATTCTTAAAAATTTTCGATTGCATGTAAAAATTCAATTTTATTTTAATGTTTTTTTATTATTATTTTTTATCTTTGATTATTATATCTAACTTATTTGAACAAAAATACAATAAGTTAATAAGCACTCATCATGACTAATTATGTCACTGTTTTTTAACACGGAAAACTATAAAATAATAATATTTTAATATAAAAATAAATTGCATAAAAAGTAAGATGATTAAATTGTAAAAAAATAAAATATATGACAAATTAGTTATTATTATTTGGCAAAATAAAGAGAATAAAAATTGCGAATTGTTTACTATAAAATGAATTACGCATAAATAATTTAAGGATAGTTAAAAAAAAAAAAATAGTGTATAATGGAGATATTATATTATTAATAAGTAAGTACATGAAACTGAATCCAATATTACCTTGTATTTGAATATTTGATGCATACACTAAATGATCATAGACAAAACCCTAACCCTAATTCCCTAATTCACCGGTGAAGCTACAAGAACAAGAGGGATTTTCTTATGCATTGTAATCCCGATCGCTTCTTCCAAATCAATGTCGTCGCGAGACATTCCCGGCGGAAGTTCCCAATCAAATCGATACAAAAGGTTCGCTAAGGCAAGCTCCACCAATGGGATAGAAAAATTGATTCCAGGGCATTGTCTTCTGCCAGCGCCGAATGGCAAAAGCTCGAAATGTTTTCCTCTATAATCAACTTGGCGATTCATAAACCTCTCCGGGATAAATTCATCTGGATTTTCCCAATACCGCGAGTCTCTTGACATTGCTGATGCATTGAAGAAAACCCTAGTTTTCGCGGGAATTTCATACTTGTTGTCGATGATGCACTTCTCTAAAGTTTCTCTAGGGACAAGCAATGGGGCAGGTGGATGGAGTCTAAATGACTCTTTTATGACTTGTTTTAGGTATGTGAGGTGGGGAAGATCATCCTCATCGATTTTACATTTGCCTTGCCCGACTTTTCTCACTTCTTGTTGCGCCTTTTCTTTGGCTGTCGGATTTCTCATTAGCTCCGTCATTGCCCATTCTATTGTGGTCGCCGAAGTATCCGTTCCAGCTACAAAAGTATCCTGCATCAAAAGTTTCGAAAGAATATATATTGTGTGTAGTATGAATTACCATCAAAACTTAGGGTCATGGATCGTACATTTGATCAAATTTTATTAACATTGCCGTGGATTAAATTCAACATCTTCGATACTTAAAATCAGCATTAAAGGTATACATTCTTACATTCAACATGTTGCATAACTGCGGAAATTATATGTATTAAACCTATCAAATTAAAGTAAAGTTATGCAAAAATCAACACCATATGTAGAAAGAAAAATTAGCACCAAATCTCCTTTCCAACTCAAAAATTAATTGACTCTTTACTTAGAGATTTTATCGTGTTTTCACTTTGCAATTCTTACTGTGTTTATCATATATATATATATAAAATATATTTTTCTTATAAAATATCACATTCAATTTTTATAAAATCACAATTGAAATATAATTTTTAATTTTAGAGGCATGAAAAAACCTAACCACTATACCATATAGTATTACATTATAAAAAAGAAAAATCATAAATATACAATAACCGCATATTAGACACTACAAAAAAAATATTATTTGCGACACCAATTTACAAGGGATTATGTATCACTCCCAAATTGCAGCAGAGTTTATGATGGGTCGGGAGGATGGGTCGCTATATTTTAATTTTGTGAGGGAATTACTTCATCTCTTAACTTTTCTCTTTATTACGGATAAAATGAAGAAAAACTTGCACGTTGTTAATATAGTTATATAATTTTCGAGAAAACTAATAATCCCTCGGAAACGTTATCTACAAAAGAATTACGTACTATTTAATTTGATCATTCAACTTAGCAGTAAGAAAATATATGCATATAATTTTTAAAAATAATAATAATAATTTATGAATAAGTATTAAAATTTTATACATAGATGTTACTAACAAAAATATTAATAGTGAAATAACATCACCAAGGCAACAATATACAGTATGGCTTATGTTTGAAAGCATGTTTTCTACCTTACATATTTTATTTTATTTTTCACTTTCTTTCATTAATATTCAATTCAACTATCATAATTTTTAATAAATATGTAGTTTTTTTTTTTTTCTTAGGAAAAGAACAAAATATCCAAAACTTGATAGCAACATGAATAATGAATATATCAACAAGTTGATGTCGATGTTAAGATCTATTTGTTTTGCAATTGGAACCTAAATTGGTATTATATTTTTAAACTTTTTCCTCTCAACTATTGTCTTAAAAGATTTTAAAATGGAACTCACTTGTACTGTTATGGCTCTATCTCCCTTATAAATAAATAAATTTATATAAATTTAAGATTTTAAAGTATTTGATAAACTAATTTATATTAATTGAGTGTAAAAATATATTTATTTTATTATATAAAATTTTATTTTTATAACTTTTAATATAGTTTATTAATAATTTTTAAAGTATTTGTTATATATTTTAAATTTACTATTAACAAAATATGTATTTTATCATAACTTTATTTACAACAAAATAACATCACATTAATTATTCAATAGTAAAATTGAATTTTCAACTTCCTGGTGCACTAGACTAAATTTCTCACCATTCTTATTATCATTATTCTTTTAATTGTGATTGTGATTATGATTATGATTATGATTGTGACTTGACTCAAGAAGTGCCAACCAAGATGTTTGTCTTTATTTTCCAAGAACTCATTATGCGTTATGTTTTCATTGAAAACTAAGTAGATATATATGTGGGCTGGCTAGTACCTAACGTCTGGTAGCTATCCAATCCTGACTAATAACATATTAGTGGCCGAAAATAAAAATGTTTTGATAATATATATATATATATATATAGTCAGACGAGCAGAACGGTCGTCTCACCTAAAAGTTCAAGTGAAGGTATGTGAAATTTGCACATGTATATGCTGCAAATGAGGATGTCGAATGCGCAAAATGACATCTCACATAATAAATAAATTAAGGGTGTGTTTGTTTGAAAGATTTTAGTGGATTTTTACTATTCATTCCATTTTTTCCCCCCAAAAATATCAAATCAAACACTTATTTTTCATTTTTTATATTATACTAAAAATCAATTTTACATTCAAAACATCATATCAAACCCTATTTATATCACATCATATAACTATTCAAATTCAAAATTTTTACTATTCAAATCCCAACTCAAAATCCAAACCCCCAAACAAACACACCCTAATAGTATTTTTACTTTCCGTATCTGACGTGGTATCAGAGCCCTAGGTCTCGAGTCCAAATCCCCCATCCCTATTTTGCATATGTATGTGCAAATTTCGCATACCTCCACTTGCCCCTAAAGAGACGTGTTATGGAGTTGAGACGGTCATTCTGCGCATCCGACTTTACAGAAATTAAAATGTCCTAAAGAACTCATAAATTTTATTAATTGTTAGAAATAATGAAAAAAGGAACTTACCAAAAGAACACCCTTTACTAGTTTATCGGTAAGAGCAATTGTTTGATTTGGATCCTTTTGAACCCTAAGCAGCACATCGACAATATCTTCTTCACGATCCAGCTTCGCCTTTCTCGGATCATTGACATGTTGCTCGATCACCTTGTCGAAAAACTTGTCCAAGTCTTGGAAATTCTTCTCCAATCTCTTGTCTGTGCCATTGAACCTTGCTCGAAGTTTGGAAATCGAGTTAGACGTAGGTATTTTATAATATCATTGATCGCTTAAATTTAATATTCTCTCCTTCCTTCCGGGCTTCTTATACCACTTTTTTGGATTACAAAGATTAAAAAATTATATTATTTTACTATAAATATAGGATATAGATGAAAAGTAAAATAAAATATTATAGAAAATTTATTAAAAAAATTGAAATATAAAAAATATATATATATAGTAGAATAAGTAGATAAAATAGTGATAAATTAATTATTATTTGTTAAAGTATAATTAATAAAATTGTAAGTAAAATTATTTATAATAAATAGATTATTTATAATAAGTTTAGTGGACAATCAAAATACAAAAACTTATAAGTATCTCGAAAAGATGGATAAGGTTTTTAATTGCGTTATTACACAAATATATATATTTGAAGAAATGTGATTTGAGTAAAGTAAATTTTACCATCAAATGTGCTAACAAATATATGACTTAGAAAAATCTAAATCTAAGGGTTTGTTTTTAAGGGTTTGTTTATTTAGACTCAAACTTAAAGTTTCTATTCTTTGGACTCTATATGTTTCGGAAAAAAATAGTATATATTTTTTCTTTCACAAATTCAAATCAATTTTTTTGTAAATCTACCAATAGATCAAATAGTGCATTTATAGAAATGAAGATGTAGTTTGGCGGCGAAGACCTGCTATTTTCCTCACCTATTTCCTCCTTTGTATATGTGATTTATTTATAGTCGGAAAAAAAAAAAGAAAAAGAAATTCAAAGAACAGAGGCTTAAAGTGTGTAAGCATTCGAATTCGACTAACCGGTTAATCCATCCGAGCCCGGAAAAGTAATCGGATATATTAAACTCGGCCGCAGTGTGCTGCACATCGAGAAAAATCTCCCGGAATCCTCGATTGTCGCTAATATCGATTTCCCCGAAGGCGACGCGGCTGACGAAGCTGTTGGCCATAGAAAAGGCCTGGAAGCTCAAGTCGACAGGGCCTGGAAATTTGCTCTTCACACGCTCGATCATGGCGGACACTTCACGTGCCCGCACGTGCCTGAAAGACTGGACCTGTTTGGGGGTCATGAGCTCCTGGACCATGATTTTCCGGAGCTCCCGCCACGTACGGCCGTAGGGCGCCGTGGTGACGGCGGAGAGGCCGTAAGTGATCTTTTCGAAGGCGTAAAGACGGGGCCGGCCGGAAAAGGCAGCGTCGTGGTTGAGGAAGATGTCGGCGGCCCTGTCGGGGGATGACACGACGATTGCCGGAACCGAGCCGAGCTGTAAGGACATGAGATCGCCGAATTCTTCCGACAGGGCTCGGAGAGAACGGTGGGGGAGCTTCCCTAGCTGGTGGAGGTTTCCGATGACCGGAAGCCTTTTGGGTCCCGGAGGAAGCCCGGGCCTGGGCCCGTTAGGTTTATTTTTTGTTAGGGTGTTGAAGATGATGGCAAGTAGGGGGAAGATGATGATGAGCAATGTGAGAATTTGGGAAGCCATTTTTGTATGAGGTATTGATTTATGATTTCATTTGATTGTGAAGGTTATTTTTATATAGGCCTAAATTGATTATTATTGATGTGAGATCTATTTTAGAAAAATAAAATAAAAAAGATTGTTGTAGTCAATATTTGTGTGTTTGCTTGTGTCTCTTCTAGGACAAGAATTAAGGGTGCGTTTGGTTTTACTCTAGCCAAAATAATATTTGATAAAAATATTTTTTAAAAGTAAAAAATGCATTTTATTTTTTTAAACGAATAGTCAAATAGTAAAATTTGAAAAAATTTTATTAAAAAAACAAACCCTTAGTTTAATTTGAATTTTGGGAAGAAAAAAACGATATAAAGAATGAATGCATCCAAGAAAGCCCACAACTTGGGTTAAAAAATAAACATTTTTGGTCTTGTAAGAATGGGCTTTTGTAAAATACCCGAAACCCCAGAATTGGATTCGCCACAAAATTCGCGGAAACGAAAGACTCGGCCTTTCAGTCCACCATTCCCATCTGCCAATCGATCATTTTCATTTATGTGATATCCGCCGCTTCCATATTGTATCGCATCCCAAACCAATTTGCTCGCCTGCCCTTCTGCCCCCTTATCCATTTCGTCTCCATTTACCCACTCCCACTCCCAACAATGCCTTTCGCCGCTGAATCGATCCTAAGTTCCGCATCAATGGCGACCAACGGCTGCGTAGTTTCAGCCCCACCACTCTTCGCGGCCTCAAGAGCTTCGCAACGCCTGCCCCTCCGATTGAAGCCCATCCAACTCCACCTTTGCTGCTCCAATTCCGTTTCCCTGCAGAGTTTGTTCTCCGGGAAGAGGAAAGCGCCTTTACTGAGGGTTTCCGTCATAGCCGCCCAGCAGGAGGAGGACAACGACGAAGAAGACGAAGAAGGAATTGAAGAAGAAGGAGAAGGACAATTTGGGGAAAGCTTCAATTGGGACGCGGCGGAGGGGCAGGAGGAGAGTGATGGGGCTGTCGAGGCTGTCGGGGATGCTGGGGAGAGTGATGGCGTGTACGAGGAGCCGTCTGAGGAAGCCAAGGTTTATGTGGGCAATTTGCCCTATGAGGTCGACAGTGCGAATCTGGCTAAGCTTTTTGAGGACGCTGGGGTTGTCGAAATTGCTGAGGTACAAACCAGGGTTTTGAATTCTGAATTTTTTTTAATTTGGGGATTTAGGGTTTTTGATCTTGTGTGTGTTTTTGAAGGTTATTTACAATAGGGAAACTGATCAAAGCCGAGGTTTTGGATTCGTGACAATGAGTACTGTCGAAGAAGCTGAGAAAGCTGTGGAACTGTTCCATCGATATGTGAGTCTCGTCATTGCTTTTTGTAAGAACAATGAGATAGTCTTTGTTATTGTATTTTTTTGTCGAAAACTTGCAGGCTGATGATTTATAGATTAGTTATTATATATGAAATGGGAAAAATCCAAATATCTATTGGCATTATATCCTTGATTATGGATTGACATTGTTACTTATGGTCCGATAGAAACATCCTTGTCGAAGGGATATTTGTTGGTTCATTTGTTTTGGTGTTTGGGGATTAAATTTGTTGTTCGATTATTATGTTATGATGAGAGTTAAGATAGTATTTATTGAAATATCAACTTATGTTTCTCAAGATAGTCCTTATAGTTAGCTTTTGATGCGATTGATTTGTGAGAGAAAATTAATTTTGATACGATGTTTTTGAAAAGGTTATTTTAGATGAATAGTACCAAAAGTTTCGAAACTCACTGTGTGAACAGAGGCGAATCATTTTTTCTTGATGTGATTGAAGCTAAAGGCGTCGCAAACGTAGCACATGTATTTATGCATTCTAGTATCGTATTTTAGTTATGTCTGATTTATAGGCGTAAAGATGTGCATTTGTTAGAGATAGAACAGCTTTACATATATCTAACATGTTTGATCTTAACAAAGCAGCAAATTCTTACAGTACAAATAATTATTCAAGTTTCGAATTGTTGGTCTTTTTTACAGGATATGAATGGCAGACTCTTGACAGTTAATAAAGCTGCTCCCAGAGGATCGAAGCCTGAGCGCCAGCCTCGGGTTTTCGAGCCTAGTTTCAGAATATATGTTGGCAACTTGCCGTGGAGTGTGGACGATGCACGTCTTGAGGAGCTTTTCAGCGAGCATGGCAAAGTAGTAAGTGCTCGGGTAGTCGCTGATAGGGAATCTGGAAGGTCGCGTGGCTTTGGATTTGTAGTGATGTCCAGCGAGCCCGAGATGAACGATGCCATTGCCAGCCTCGATGGACAGGTAAGCTCCTCGACCACATCTTTTAGATTTTAAATATCATACGCATTAGCTCCGGATTAATTGTGATGTGTGTGTTGCAGACTTTGGACGGGAGAGCGATCAGAGTAAATGTCGCAGAAGAGAGGCCACGGCGCAGCAGATTTTGAATTTGATTTCGACCATCGCGTGTTTTGTCGCTGTTTACGGTGATATTTATCCTGTAATCATCTTTCGACTTTTTTCTTAGTAGCGTCAGAACTCGCAGTCGCTACTCTTTGAGAACTGGTTAAGAAATTTTGTTTGATGGTTTTTCTTGCTTAAGTTGCTAATACATTGAAATCAATGGATTGAATTTGCATTGCGACGATCATTGAAAGTAGTGAATGAAATATGGCGTGCGTTTATTAAGACGACAATGTTTTGAGTGTCTGCATTATATTTATACATGGCAAAGGGCAATGAAGGGAAATAACGGCTACTAGGATCCGCGTAACTGAGCTTCCCGGCTTGTAAGGGGCACGTAGCGAACAGAAGTCTCGCTTTGAACGGTCAGTGTGCCGTCCATTTTCTTGTCGACAACTTTCAGGTCTTGGAAGACATTTCCCACAGGAATCACTAATCTGCCACCGGGCTTTAATTGCTCGGTAAGTGCTGGAGGGATAGAAGGAGCTGCGGCGCCAACATGTATGGCATCATATGGCGCGAACTCGGGCCATCCTTGCCTCCCATCTGTTAAGACTTGTTTAGATCATCACAAATGGCGAATCATTCGAAAACAAAATATTTACAATGGAGAGCATACCAGCAACATGGATTGCAAGTGATCCATCTTTCATCAAAGGGGCTGCAGCGCTTTTTTCGATATTTTTGATAGAAAACTCGGCCAACTCAGGAATATGTTCGATGCCCACAGTGCGACCTTGTGGCCCGACCATTGCAGCGAAGCAAGAAGTCAAGTATCCGGTCCCTGCACACATTATTACAAAATATGAAAATTGTGCAGTTGTCACACATTTTGCAGCACAATAACATAATCGTCGTGAGCAATTGTATTAGAACTATTGATGAAATTTAAACAATGGCCACAGAAGAATCCTAAATTGCACAAATGTGTCCGGGGAATGTAATAGAGCATAATAGATGGGAACTAAACACAAATGGGATTTATAAATGCAATTCATTTTGCAGACATGTGACGACATATCTTTAATGAAGAAGGAATTATATATATATATATATATATGTATGTGTATATATTACCAGAACCAACATCCAGTGCGTGCATCCCAGGCTTCAAATGGTTCTCCAACAGCTCAAGGCACATAGCATGCATATGAGGCGCAGAGATTGTGGCATTGTACCCAATCTGCATAGGGCTGTCGACATACGGGGGAGTGCCCTCAGGCACAAACAAAGCTCTGTCGATTGTTTCCATTACTTCTACCACTTTCTGTGATTTTATCACTCCATAGTTCCGCAGATGCTCCACCATTTCTTTGTTCTTGTTGATACTGCTTCCACTCCAATATCGCTGTTGGGCAAAGCAAACACAATGTTGCGATAAGATTTAAGGATTTAGATCGAACAAATATGCACCAACATCAAGTCCACTAAACAGGTAGAGTTAAACATCAAGAAATTGTCCGAAATCATAGAACCATGCATTCAACCCCAACCCAACCCGCGAAACAAACACAATGTTGCAATATGATTAAGGATTTAGATCAAAACAATATGCACCAACATCAAATCCACTAAACAGGTAGAGTTAAACATCAAGAAATTGTCCGAACTCATAGAACCATACATTCAACCCCAACCCAACCCGCGAAACAAACACAATGTTGCAATATGATTAAGGATTTAGATCAAACCAATATGCACCAACATCAAATCCACTAAACAGGTAGAGTTAAACATCAAGAAATTGTCCGAACTCATGGAACCATACATTCAACCCCAACCCAACCCGCAAAACAAACACAATGTTGCAATATGATTAAGGATTTAGATCAAACCAATATGCACCAACATCAAATCCACTAAACACAAAATAAACACGATATTTAGAGTTAAACATCAAGAATTTGTCTGAACCGACACTTTGAATGAGCACTTACAATAGCAATCCATATGGAAAAGCTACAACAGTTCATTCATGAACAGAAAATGCATTTCATCCTACTATAGAAACAAAATCTAATCAAACAATGACTTCTGTTTACAATTCCATTTAATGAAATCAAAATCTACAGCCTAGTTTAAAACCTCAAAATGATGCCCTTTCTGTATGTCACTAATCCAGCAGGAATTCTTCTATCAAGGATCAAACCTAGCAAAACTTGCTCGATTTGATTCCCAGCCAATTTAACAAACTATTCCAACATAAACGCTAAAGCAGGCTATAGAACATCTGAAATTCCAAAATCAAACTAAAAATATTCCTATTGACTTCTAGGGCCATCGAATTTCACCAATCAGTTCAGAACCACGCATCGCCGCCAATCAACACTACAATCCTATAACACACTTACAACAGCCTAAAGAGCGATACCAATCAATCAAAAAGAAGAGGGAGAAACAGCCATCATCAAATTCACACACATTATCGACCACGATTCCTTCAAATTTCAAATCTTTCCACAACAGAAACGAATAGCGACTACTTGTGAAAAAAGTGCAAACAAAAGAGCTCAGCACCTCCATCCGATTGCAGACACAGTTCCCCGTGGGGAGAAGATGGCTCGAGAAATGTAGCGCCGGGAGAGAGAGGAGAACGATTGCTTCAACGCAACGCGACGCGATGGAGAAGTAGAGCGATGGCTTTAGGTAGAAAGACGATCGAAAGTGGTCGGGAATCTGCTTCGTGACACGTGCGTCTCACGTGATTGAGAGATTATCATTTGGGCCTTCAGTAATTATTGGACCCAATCCTCATTCAAGCTACTTGTTGAGAATTTCTATTTTTTATTTTCTTTTTAATGATAATAATATTTTATCAATCAATCGATCGAAACGCAGAATAATTTTAATATTTTTATTTTGTAAATAAAAAATAGATAAATATTTTTATTATAATAATAAATGTATACTTTTGAATAAATTGGGATTTTTTGGAGAAGACTTGACTTACAAATGAAAATAAAAAATAAAAAAAATGGTACAGCCACTTAAATTGCAGAGTGTGAGTAGAAAATAAATTTTTCTTAGATATATATAAATAAAATAAAATAAAATACCTTTCTATACCACTTCGGTTACTTTAATTAAATTAAAATTTGTGTGGACCATTGACTCTTGTGTTGACCCATACATAGTAGTACATACTAATTTGGACAGGTGTTGATGCTTTGATTTTACCAGAATGTAAATATTGACTCATTAAAATGTTCAATTCAACAGTAATTATAAAATAGTAATATAGTTTTTAAATTTTATTATTTACTAATACAAAAAAATGATTGAATACGAAATAGTACTATAAAATAATTTAATTTTTTTAAAAAAAATGATACTGTTTGATTATATATTTCCATAACCAATATATTACCAATGATAGGAAGGTTCAGGGGGAGTTGGGACTTGTCCCCAACATGTATGGAGGGGCCTGGACCATAACGCCCAACGTGCTTCTTGCTTCAATCATTGGATGATTTTGGAAGGAATAAGTAATGACTTAATAATATGCATTTTATTTTATTTTTTTTAAAGATGACGTGCAGTCTACTTTCCGGGGGTAAATTAGGAATTTCACAGGTCAACGGACGGAGTGACATGTAATCGGATTCCGCGGGCAAGACTTTTCACACCATTTTTAATTAATTTATTTTAATACCATGACACATATATTAATTATTAAATTATATATATACATATATCTTACAAACAAGCAGGCACTGTCACCACGACCAGGTCGCAGCTCAATCGTCTAATCGCCACCGGAGACGGCTGCCGGCGCCGGAAAATGGCTCCATTTCCCGCCGGACGACGCTTCCTCATACTCTGTTTCTTCACACTGCTTCTAACAGCTCAGTCCCGACCGAATCCGGATCTCCTCCCTTCCGATTTCAACGCTCTGTTGCTGGTCCAGAAGGAATTAGGGTTCCGCCGCGCACCGGAGAGGAACCCCTGCGGATCCGCCGGAATATTCTGTGAGCGGAGAACCGTCAACAATTCCGAGTTCCTGAGAGTCACCCGCATCGTCTTCGACACTCACGACCTCCATGGCAGACTCTCTCCCGCCATTGCCAAACTATCCGAGTTGAAGGAGCTCTCCTTGGGCAACAACCAACTGTTCGACGAAATTCCTCTTCGAATCACAGACTGCAAGAAGCTCGAGATCCTCAACCTCGGAAAGAATCAGTTTTCTGGCGCTATTCCCGCCGGATTCTCCTCCTTGATCCGCCTCAGAATCCTCGATTTATCGGGAAACAGATTGAACGGAAACCTGAAATTCCTGAAATACTTCCCAAATCTTGAGAAGCTGAATCTCGCCGACAACCTGTTCGCCGGAAAAGTGCCTGTTTCTCTAAGATCTTTCCGGAATCTCAGATCCGTCAACGTCTCCGGCAACAGCTTGCTCGAAGGTCCCCTGCCATGGATGAACAACCTCAATCTTGATCAGTTTCCGTCCACAGATTTGACTGCAGAAGACAGCAATCCAAAGCGTTACATATTTGCTGAAACTCCACCAGGCCTGAAGAACTCGTCAGGTCCTGCCATGGCTCCTCGTGCAAGCCAGAGTCCATCCACCGGAGCTCCGTCGCCGACGGCGGCGCCAAAAAAGCACAAAAACAGGAACAAGAAGAAGAGAATCGGTATCTGGACACTCGGATTCGTGGCAGGATCCATTGCAGGCATCATTTCCGGGATGATCTTCTCTGTAATTTTCAAGCTTCTGATGCTGCTAATCAAAGGGCGTAAGAACGACACAAAATTGAAAATATTCAGCCCGATGATCAAGAAGCCTGAGGATTTAGCATTTCTTGAAAACGACGATGGATTAGCCTCGCTCAACGTGATCGGAAGGGGCGGGTGCGGCGAGGTCTACAAAGCCGTATTGCCCGGCAGCAACGGCAAGGAAATCGCGATCAAGAAAATAATTCAGCCGGCGAGGGATGCCGAGGAGCTGACGAAAGAAGACAGCAAGCAACTATCGAAGAAAATGAGGCAAATCCGATCGGAAATTCAGACGGTGGGACAAATCCGGCACCGGAACTTACTTCCCCTGTTAGCCCACATGCCGCGCCCCGATTGCCATTACTTAGTTTACGAGTACATGAAGAACGGCAGCCTTCACGATTGCCTACAGGTAGGGGTGGACAAAAAGTCCTAATTAAATTTTCGGTTAATTGACCAAGTTCAATTTGAATATAAATATTATATATTTGATATTTGTTCCTTTGGATTCGGTTTCGATTTTTAATAATTTTTTTAGTTAACTGAATTTAGCCTAACTGAATTTTTCGATCGGAAATAAATATTTTGATATTTGTTCGGTTCAATTATTTTTAATATTTTTTTCGGTTCATCAAATCAAACCGAATAAATTCGAAATATTCGCAAATATTTTTAGTTATTTTTTACTCTCTTTTTTCACAAACTAATACCCTATTTAATTTTAAATTTTGGATGTCCAACTTTCCTTTTTTTTTTTTTTTTTTTTTTAAATACAAATTTTACTTTTTACCCTTTATTTTTTATCTTTACCTTATCATGAAGAGTAAATTTGTCCATTTATAACCAAAAAAAAGAAAAACTAATTACAAGAAAAAAAAAATGCAGATATACTCTAGGATAATAGAAATTTGATGGGGAGTAATATATTTGTTTTTAAATTCGATTTGATTCGAATTATTTACAAATATTTTTTATTTGAGTACTGTTTACATTTAGAGCATTTGTTTGGCTAATTGAAATACCAAATATATGTATATTTACAAATAATCAAACTGTGTTCGCTCCTACCTACAGGCCGTTGCCGCCGGAAAGCGAGAGTTAGACTGGCCGACAAGGTACAAAATTGCGCTCGGCGTTGCGGCCGGGCTCGAGTACCTCCACATCAACCACCACCCAAAGATAATCCACCGCGACCTGAAGCCTGGGAACATCCTCCTCGACGACGAGATGGAGGCGCGGATCGCGGACTTCGGGCTGGCGAAGGCGGTCCCGGATGCGAACACGCACGCGTCAACGTCGAACATCGCGGGGACGGTCGGGTACATCGCGCCCGAGTACCACCAGACGTCCAAATTCACGGAAAAGTGCGACGTGTACAGCTTCGGGGTGGTTCTGGGGATTCTGGTGATGGGGAAGCTGCCGTCGGACGAGTTCTTCCAGCACACCGACGAGATGAGTTTGGTGAAGTGGATGCGGAACGTGATGGCGTCGGACGACCAGAAGCGCGCGATCGATCCGAAGCTGGCGGGGCAGGGATTCGAGGAGGAGATGCTGCTGGTGCTTAAGGTTGCCTGTTTTTGTACATTGGATGAGCCTAAGGATAGGCCTAATAGCAAGGAAGCAAGATCCATGCTGGCTCAGATCAAGAGCTAGGAAAAGGTTGGACATTATGATTGTGGTGTTCTTAGGTTATGTTGTTTGTTTGTGTGTTTTGATGGTGCAATAATGTGTTTGTGTGTGTGTATTTGAAGTGTTCATCCTGGCATCTACATTTGTCTCTACTAATGACGAACACCTATGTCCATGTTCTTTTCTTCCAAAACATGTATTGGATCATTCTCTTGAATTTCCATCGAGTATCATTTCTGCTCTCTTTTTTTCCCTATGAACTGACCTTCTAGAAATAGGTTGGTCACAAGATTATGTTCGCACCCAAATGAATCGAATATACCTGTATAAATAATAATTAAAACAACAAAAAAGCCCCTATAGCTCAGTGGTAGAGCGTCAGTCTTGTAAACTGAAGGTCTGTAGTTCGATCCTGCATGGGGGCAGGAAGTTTTTATTTTTTTGAATTGGAAATGTTATAAAAGAAAAAAGAATATTTTGGGAAATCCAAAGGACAACAAATAATGCCAAATTACCAAATAGTATGTTATGTATTATTATTAGGCCTCTCGGAAGGTGACGGTTTGTACCAAAACATTTAAATTCGGTAAAAGGAAGGAATTCCAGTTAATTTTCCTAAATATGCATATGCTTACATAAGCACTTACGCATGTAAAAGTAGAAATAAGAATTGATTGCTTAGTGACAAAAAGGTACCCTAATTAGCCATGTTAAATAATATCATATTATTTCAATTTTATAATCACATATCATTACAGGCACTAACTAGTTAGGCTAATAATAGTTTATTAAACTTAAGTAACAAATTTTACTGGAAAATTATAAAGTTAGCATTATTGAAGTGAGAATATCATATTTATAATTATATTTTGTGACACTTTTTCTGTGCACCAACAGAATGAATTATTACTGCTGCCGTCCATTGATGCACATAAATTTTAATTAACACTTTAATTTCAGCTTAATGTTATTATCTTATGATACAAATGTTAATTATTACTTATAACGTTGGTTGGTTGATATTGGGAATTATGATTATTAGAACATAATTAAATCAGATTTAGTATACATATATAAAAATTATTGCAACTTTTGTGTTGAAAACCATGATTTGGTCCTCTAGTCGTGATTCACGAGTCAAGTCATTTGTATTATTAGAACGTGTTTACTGAATGATATTACAATGAATAATATTATTTTATTTGAAGTAATCTTATTTTTATTTTAATGTATTCGTTTTCGATATAACTATAACTCGGTACAATAATAGGGATTTGGAGAATAATTTCAATGAAAGTTTATTAAAATCTTTTTGAACCGATGCACAATTTCAATTTCATAAATTTTATAGTGAACTAAATGGAATTATATAATGGTTAATGTTGGTCCTCCTATACACATGTGTATTGATCATACCAATGTTTTTGTTAATGATTCAAAGGCGAAAAGACTCACTGTGCATATGATTATGATTTCAAACTAAAATCAATACTATTCCTTTTGCATATTTTCAGTAAAAATATATTATTTCATCTCACAAAATATCATATTAAAATACAATTTAAATAAAAACCCTCCGACGCCTCAGGTCACTTGTCATATATGGTTCGCTTAGCGTGACTTGTCTGTTGGCCTAGTTTGCAAGGTATTAGATTCAACCGGGGGTTTACCGTGCACTTTTGGATAGAGTTGCGGGTTCCCATATCATAAAAGATATATATATATATATTTTTTTAAAAAAAAAACACATTAAATATAGTTTCTTTTCTTAAAACAACACATCACTAGTAACAGATCCAATTATCTCTCCAACACCTTTCTGTCGACCTAACAATTTATGTCGCTCTCGAATACAGCCTCACTAGCTCGACAGCAAAGTAAAAACACAAAGGATCTTTAGTTAAAAAAAAATTGATTTAAGTTTTATATTAAAAGAATATTTAATAAAATATTTTGTGAGATGAAAAAAAAATGTATGATTATAAAAAATTAAAAAAAAACATAAAATTCAAATGGTAAAATTAGTCTATAGCTCACTCTCCCGTGTGATCTATAAATGAGGAAATATAAATTTTTTGCTTCTTTCAAAATTGTTACAAAATTGCAAGAATTCCTATCTGAATTAAATGAACAATGTTGCTGAGATTTGCAGTGGGTGAATGTGAATCAAATATTATTCAAACTATATATATTCTTCTCCACATATATAATCTCTGACATCGTCCTTAATTTAAACAATCATCCTCTCTCTCTCTTCTCTCTCTCTCTCTCTCTCTCTCTCTCTCTATATATATATATATATATACATACATATATGTATATATATAAATGAAAACCGCATCACATGCAATGATCAAATCAAATCAATGGCTATATGTTAACCTATAATCAATAATCAATCAATAATTTCCAGGCCTTGATTTCCCCATCCAAGCTTCCACTAACCACTGTCAATGTCGTCTTCTTCATCTCCTTCTTCTCGCTCATCCCCACCAGAGCTTTTACAGGCCTCGAATGCCCTCCCAACACCCCCAAACACCCACCATTTTTCCAAATTCTCACCTCCCCATCTCCTCCCCCACTGATCAACACTTTCCCCACACTCACCAGACTCAAAACAGCCCCTCTGTGCCCTCTCAAAACCCTCCAAACCTCCATGGCACGTTTCCCATTAATCTTCTCCCACCGCCATTGAATCACCACGCAATCGCCGCCGCCGGAGCATACTGCCGCCCCGTCCGCCGCCACCGTCAGCGAATTGACGCTGGATTTGTGTTTCGCCACCGTTGCTATCAATTCGTGCCTGTTTCCGTCCTCCGATCGCTTCCAGGCCTTTATCTCCCCGTCGGCTGAGCCCGTGTAGACTATCCCGTCGCCGGCGGCGATGGCGTTCACGGCGTCGGCGTGGGCCGCCCTGATTGACTCCCGGCAACGTATTTCGCTGCTGGATGACGATATTTTCCAGGCCTTGAAGCTCCGATCCCATGAAGCTGAATACATTAGTTCTTGATCGCTGCTAACTGCCAATGCCGACACGGCGTCGGAATGCTGAGTCCAGAGCTTTTTCCGGCCATGGCGCCGGACCTGCACGTAATTCTTCGCGAACATTGATTTGACGAATCGGTCTTTGAACATCGGGAGAGTTGCGATCAGGCGGTGCTTTTTCCGGCGAGAGGTTGTCGTCGATTTGATCACTTCCTGCCAAACCCTAATTTTACAGTCTTGATGAGCGGTGAAGATTCTCCGGCCAGCGAAGGCAATGGATCGGGCCCAACCCGACCCGAATTTGTCGAGGAGGGAGAATGTGTGTAGATCAAAGACATTGATTTCGTCGGTGGAGGCTGCGTAGAGAGTGTGGTTATGAACAGCCAGGCAGGTGATTTGAGGGATTAGGGTTAGGGTTTTGAAAGATGCAATGCAGAAATTGGGAATTGGGGATTTTGGGATTATTGATGAATGGCTGTTAAGAACTGTATCGTCGTGTTCATCGTCGTCGTGGGTGGTTACAGTAGATGAATCTTGTTCTGTGGAGGATGATGGTGAAGAGTTGGAGAGGGTGGATTTGAAGGAATTGGGAATTAGGGCAGAAAGGGTTTCCTCCATTGATGAAAGACTGTGGTTTTCTTGGATGAAGAATGAGCTATTGGACTCAACCATTTATATACACAACAAAATGGGAGTGAACTATATTATATATAATATAGTGTCCGATTTAAATTGTTATTTAATTTCATGTTAAAAAAAAATACAGTGTGTTTTTATTAAATAATGTAGGGTGAATAAAATTTTGAAATATAATATTTTAATTATACTAGTATATATATGATTAATAATTAGAGAACAAAATTGAAAGCACACTTAAATTAATTCTATATTTTGGATTGAGTAATGAAATCCTTTATGAATTTAGTCTTTTACTTCAAATAAATTTACAAGAATCTCGTATTTAGGTAGTTGTCGAGGTAGCAAATTTTTGGGCAATTTTCCATTTTCAAAGTATTTAAGATAGATGTGAATACAGATTATTTAAGAAATAAAAAAAAAAAATTAAAAACTTCAGCATACTGCATATTATTGTTCTTGTATACTTTTAAAAAATTAATGTATCGTACTAACACATTAATTCAAATGTCATTTTAATAATGTTAAAAAAAGAAATAAATCTAGAGCAACTCAAAACACAAGTAAACACTAGACTGGGGCACACCCATAATTTTTGTAATATTATAACATATGTATGTGTGTGTGATTTGATTATTTATGTTATGTTATAGCCATTCTTTTAGTCTGTAAGTGGGACAAAATGAATGTATACCTGTTGCCATCAGATTTGCCAATGAGGAATATATATATGGCCTTAATTAAATAATTTAATTAACCACATATATATATATATATATATAGTATAATTAGGGGAATGTATAATGCTCCATTAGTTTGGAGAGGAGAAATAAAGCACTGTACAGAAGGAGGAAGTCGACAAGCTTAACAGACATGGTAAGCACGTGGTCTCAAATATTATATTAATAATATTATTATTATTATTATTATTATTGTCCACCAATGAGTTGGAGTTTTGGTGTATGGAAAAGTCACTTTCTTTTTTATGCTTTATAGTAATTATTTATTTAATTATGGGTTTTAAAAGAGATTTGCCTCAAAAAGCTAGCAGCCTTGATTAAATTTTTACATTAATAATAATAATAACTTGTTCATATTAATGTAATGAAATTAAATAAATATCATCATATCTTTTTTGTAATCAGCCAACAATAGAAATGCCATAAATTTGATCCTATGTTTTGCCACAGGTGTTAGATCTATTTCATATACGAAATAAAAGATAAATAACTCATTTTTTTACAAGAAAAACGAATTGAATAGAAATTAGAGAAATTGAAAATTATATGGGCGTAAATCATGATATAATTGTCATTTCAAATATAGTATATAAATTATAGTTTTATATATTGTATTTTACTAAAAATACATACACCACCTTATTTATTACTTTAAAATCTTGATTACATTACATAATTTTTTTATTCGTTAAGCTAAATACCAATTTGATCTCGGTAGTATAGATCTTTCTTTTCTATAAGTAAAAATCTGCAGCCGTAAATAGCCTCTCAAAAGGTTAGGTTTTGTTCATGGAAACAACATAGACATACATACATACCTATGGTGGTCATATTTAATATCCCTGATTTTGTATCCTCTTATCCCTCAACGGCAAGTCGACGGGTTTCTGGGCTTCATGGGGATGGTTTGGACCCGCGTAAACCTTAAGGTGGTTGAACAATGATCTTCCAAGCTGTTGCAACACAACAATACTAATTCACTGTTTGATTGATTGGTTGATTCTCCATAAAGCCAGCAGTTTGTATGCATTTTCATTCATTAATTTTATAGAGATTTGCAGAAGAAGCAGAATAGTAGACTTACACGTCCTTTAGGAAGCATCCCTCGGACAGCATGCTCGATAATTCGTTCAGGAATTCTTCTCTGAAGCTGATCAAATGTTTCCACTTTCATCCCCCCGGGTTGTCCTGAATGCCTTCGGTAGAGCTTCTGCACCCTTTTCTTCCCAGATACCGCAACATTCTCAGCATTCACCTATATATACATATATATAAACCAATTCAAAACTTAAATAGAATCATAAGAATATGACTTAATGAAAGCAACAGTCCAAATCAAAAGCCAATGTTTTGGTATTTTGAGCTTAATGCCATTGAGAAGATGAGATTCAAACAGCTCAAATGAGATGACACCTTACATAAAATTCTACAAAAGATCTCTCCTAAAGCAAGTATTTTTAAACAGGACAATAGCCGGCTTAATTAACCAACCAAGGAATTCATGGAAGAAGAGAAGCTGACCACTATAACAAATGCTCCCATGTCGACACTAGGAGTGTATGTTGCCAAATATTTTCCCCGAATGTAAATGGCTATAGTCGAAGCCAATCTTCCTAGAATCTTGTCAGTTGCATCCACGACATACCAAGGCTTATCTGTGTTAACATGGTCTGAAGCTTTGGGATACCATGTTTTATTTAAAACATCCTGAGACACAGAACAACACCATAAGAACAGAAGCAGACAATCATCAACATTCCCATACTTTCGAATGAATGCAATGCAGATGTACCATACCAGATAGGATTACTTGATTCTAAACACCAATTTTATCATTTGCACAAAGAAACAATCAATTCTTCAAACTAAATTGGATTCATGCCGAAATTAACTGTTGCAGCAACCTTTTTAAAATCTTGCCTACATTAAAGTAGAAGGAAGCCATGGCAGATTCAGGAGAAGTAGTACAGTATATACGTTAATTGCAGTATGTAATCTACGTACAGTGAAATAAACTCCCTGGCTAGCTGGCTGAATAATGGATAATATCATTATAATGAACTCACTGAATCTAATCTACTCTGGTACTAAGCTCTTCGTGTCAACCAATGAACCAATCCAACTCAAAATGCTACTACTACTACTGCTGCTTTATTTCAATAGAATTACGGCAATAAAACAAAATGGCGAAAATATCTTACCGGTCCAGTGATGCAATCAAACATCCATTGCTGCTCTGCCGGTACGAGAGCAGCCTGCTTATTCTGGCAGAGAATCATCCTGGATACCTTGTCAACGCGAGTGTACGGCCTGGATGTAGAAGCAAGGGGAAACCCTAGGAAGGGAATTCCTCTGTCGAAGGATGATGTCGTGCCCAGAAACATGGGCGTCGTTGCCAAGTGCACCGCCATTTGGTGGGATTGCTCTTCGTCAATAAATAATGTTTGTACTGTCAGTCAGGGCTATTACGATAAGGGAAAGAGCGAGGAGGAAGAAAGAAGAAATGGGGGAAGAAGAAGAAGAAGAAGAAAAAGAAAAAGAAAGGAGAAAGGGGCAGTTACATGGCTAGATAGATAAATGTGTAGGGTTTCAAATTTTTTCTTTTTTCTTTTTTTTCTTAAGTAATAAAATTAATTTGGATAAATTGTAGTAATTTTTTTTTTTATTATAATTATTATTTTTTTTTTTTTGCCTTCTTCATTTTGAGCTTTGTAAATTCTAGCAATAAACATGTTTGTTATTTAGAGCAACCATTTTCTTTTGCATTTAGTAACATATTCTACTATAACTTGACATATAAAAGAAATAAAATCCTTCTTTCTTTCTTTCTTATCTTATCACATTAATACATGTATAACTTAAATATGGGCTTCTATAGAAGCATTAGATATTTTACACTTGCACTTACAGTGCAGTATCTATCTGCCATGGATGAGCCACTTCAGGTGGAAGAATTGACTTCAGAGCTTTGAGTACAATGCTCATGGGGGGACGAAAATCAGCTTCGTATTGCACGCACAACGCAGCCACCGCAGCCATCTGTTTTCAAACAACTCAAAATTTAAAACATATTATCGTCAGAGGATAATGCTTTTGGATATAACGTGGCATTTTACCTTGGCTGCTGCCTTTGGAGGATAGTCTCCCTTCAGTTTCTTGTCAATACATTGATGCACCTTGTCTTCACTAAGATGAGGTAAGGCCTGGTAAGATACAAATTTGCCTGCCATTATAACCAAAACTCTGATTCAGACTTTCAAGATATGTTTGCAGGAAAACTTGCATACCCATGTCACAAAACTTCGTTGTCCCCGCGGTCGAATGTGATCAACTGATTTGGAACCAGTCAATAGTTCCAGAAGGACTACGCCGAAGCTGTAAATGTCGGTCTTGTGGTTTAGTACACCAGTCCATGCGTATCTGCAGTTTAGAGCAAATCAATTCAGGTAAAAGGATAGAAACAGATTTAAATTTATTGTGTTCATCATCCAGGGGAAAGACTCAGGAAAGGAGTATACTCAGGGGGATCATAGCCGAAAGTCTGAACAACCGTGGTGCTATATAGGAGCCGTTTAGCATTGTTAACAGCTTGAAATTGAAGATCATTATCAATCTTGGCAGTTAACCCATCAAAAAGTAAAATACTCCGGGACTTTATGTTACAATGGACAAGTCCTTTGCCGTGAATGAATTCTAATCCTTCTGCTGCCTCAACGGCAATTTTTATTCTCTGAGCCCATGATAGAACCATGTGTGAGTTTGCAAATTCTTTATCTCCTACATGTAGAAACATAGAAAGCAACAAATGTATCGAGTTCTAATATCATCAGCGCAAGCATACAAAATTTGTGGCAGAACAATATCTCACCAACATGATAAGTTGGGAAGCTTACCATGAAGAATATCGTATAGGGATCCATATGGAGAAAACTCAGAAGCCAAAGCTTGGAATTCAGTGTCAACACAATACCCACATAACTCGACAATGTTCTTATGCTTTAGAGTGGATGCCAGAGAAACCTGGAAGACCATATTAAAACAACAAACTATTATTGAATATATTGCCTATGCAGCTATCTCAATGAACAATATGTTGTGGCCAAACCTTTGCCTGAAATTCTTGCTCTGGCATCTTAATAAATTGTATAATTCTAATTTCTGCCACCTTCTGATCTTTCAGCCTTCCATGATATACATTTCCGTAGATTCTCTCACCAATAAGCCATGTCGAGCTAAAATTATCAGTTGCATTCTTTAATTCGTCTAATGTAATGGAAGGAATAGAGATTTGCAAGATATCTACTGTATGTTTATCCACTTCAGAAACACAAGTACCTGGAGAAATGATAAATTAGTCAAATTATAACAACAAAACAAACCTTGTAAGCTTTAACAAAGCAAGTGGGCAATGGGGAGCAGAGGACTTCCCTTATATGGATAGGAATACCACAACAATATATTCTTATCTACAAGTGGTATAGTGTGTGCATTCAAGGAGATTCATTAAGATCATTAGCTAACTAACAGTAAAATATAAACACACACACACACACACATATATATATATATACTGTCAGATTTCATCAAACGTGAACAGGATATGATGAACCAAATATGTGCATGATGTGCTCATAAATTTATTATCGTTGCTACATAAAAGGGTACCTGCTGATGGTAATTCATTTTTGTTGGATTCTTGACTTCTATTCCAAAATGCAACCCGTGGCCAAAATCGAAATCCATTATACGTTCTAGCTTTCCTATGATCTTTATTACTAGGGGGAAGCTCAGCATTGACCCCATTGTAGTTTAACTCATCTTTGGTCGGAGGTGTTACATTAACTACATCTTCAGAGGCCATTTTAAGTTGCACAGGGCTGTCTGAAGTGCTGGCTTCTTCATTTAATGGACTGTTTTCGGCCAAATTACTCTTCTCACTTGATACAATAGAGTTTGGGTTCTCTTGCTGCTCGAGTGCATACTCAAGCTGTATAACAACTTGAGCCATCGTTGGTCGTTTCTTGGGTTCACTATACAGGCATTTCTCAGCAATCTCAACAAAGGCCTTCAAGCTACCGTCTGAGATTTCATTTTTGAGACTCGAAGATACTATCTGATCAGTTTTTCCCTGGCTAATGTTTTCTTGAGCCCACCTGATCAAGATTTGTTCATTCCCTAAAAACCCTCGATCAATGGCTCGCCTCCCACACAACACTTCCAATAGCACTACTCCAAAGGAGTAGGTGTCACTTTTCTTAGTAAGTTTACCGGTACTAAAGTATTCTGGATCCAAGTATCCAAAGGTCCCCTTAACTTTTGTGCTGACATGGCTTTGTTGCAGCTTTCTTGAGCTCAAATGTTTAGCCAAGCCAAAATCCGAAACCTTAGCAGTGAAGTCTTCATCCAACAAGATGTTTGAAGCTTTTATATCACGGTGTATGATTGAATGGCCAGTGTGAAGATAGTCCAGCCCTCTACCAGCTCCAATGCATACATTTAAGCACTGCCTCCAGGTAAGAGAGGGATTGCTGTCATCATCCCTTACAAGTTTGAAAAGGTGGTCTGCCAGAGTCCCGAATGCCATATACTCGTACACAAGAATCATCTCCTTACGCTCATTGCAGTAACCAATAAGAGACACTAGATTAGCATGGCGGAGTTCTGTTAGTGTTTCAATCTCCGTCAAGAACTCGTACGCCCCTTGATGGGATTTTGCTTTTAACCTCTTTATTGCAACAGTTTCTTGCCCATTGTCAATAATACCTTTGTAAACTTTACCAAATCCACCCCTTCCTATGAGGTGTGCATCACTGAAATTTCTAGTTGCCAATTGGATCTCTGCTAATGAAAAGCGGCGACAAAGTCGTTCAGCCTTGGCCGAAGGCCTGTTTTCTTCCTCTGTATGACTAGCTTCCTGGATTCTCCACAATATATATACGATCGTATTCACAACAACAAGAACTATCATGGCAGCAGCGGCAAGTGCACTCTTGTGGCCAATAACTCTGAGTACTATTTGTAGAATCTTGTGTGTGGAGTCATTCACAAATGGAGTAGGATTTGCACCGGCAAGACTATTGTCAGGGTTGCTCAATTTCAGTACTTCAAATCCCTTAAGGAGTCCATGTCCATCCATGACTTCATCGCTTGATTGCAGGCAAATTGAAATATCACGTTTACCTTCATGCTTGCTCCCTCTCATCACTACCATATAGTCCCTATACCAGCCACGTCTGTCTTCGACTATGCCTGAAGTAGTGTTCGCAATCTTGTTATCAATATAGACTTCAAAAGCATTAGCACCGAGCTCCGCAAACTTCAGTCCCATCCCATAGAAATGAAGCCTCACCAAGTACCTGAATCCAACATCTACAGATACTCTCCAGGTAACATTGTTGGCCTTTTTTTCTTTTTGCTTGGGTACAGTTTCCCACATTCCAAACCCATCACCAATATCATCATTTGACGTCGAAATGGAACCCTGTCTGGTATTAAGCCGGCGGATAATTTCAAGCGCGGTGTTGCTATCAATATAGAAAGGAGATTTCCCTACTAATGGAACACCAATATCTTCAGTGTGGAAGTAAGAGATAGCCGCAGGTACTGATATGATCTCAATTCCATTAATGAAGGCATAGAACTCATGTAATTGACTGCTAGCAGGAGTGAAACTTACCTGGAGCAGATGATCATCTTCTACATTTATACAGAATTCTTTCACAAAAGAATTCACGCCAAGAGCACCGGCAGCAAGGGAAGCACTGAAGTTGCTCAGCAAGGTGAAAGGACCGGCTTCCACAGTAAACAAGTCCTTGTACCTATTGAAGCCTTTATATGGAGCTGAACTGAAGTGAAGGCGAATAACTTTCTGACCTGGATTCAGCTGAAATGCATAGGAGAACTTAGTCCGAGATAGCCGTGCTGTCTTGTACGGAATTGGACCCAAATTCAAGTTATGGCCATGGATGACACCAGATGTGGTTGATGAGCCCTTTATATCTACTAAGGAAGTTATCATTTTGGACGAGTCTCCCCGCCATTCCCTACCGCTGCGTGCTGCAGAAGTGCCGGTTGACCCACAGTTGACTGAAACATCAGTTGGATCATCACTGGATGCTATGATCTTGTTCAAGAAGCAGAGTAGCAGCAGCACAACAGAAACTGGATAGAGATTCATCTACCAAGCTCGCTCTGGCTGCAGCCCTGAAGAATGGTACTGTTGTTTCTTTGTCGTCCCCAAGGTTACCTGCCCAGCAACATCAGTAAAATCAATAAAAATAAATGGAAGTATTCATCTATTGACTTGTTCTGGCATGGTGATCATTCTTTAGTCTGTTAAATCCGTGTGAACTTCTGCTTGACTTTTGTTGGCATCTCTGACATTCAATTATTTTTATCTCAGCAGTAGCTTAACGAAAATATAATTAACATCCCGGGAAGTTTCTGTGTAATAATCCAAAAGCTCTTACTGGGAAATCTGTGTTTAAACTTACAGTTGATTTCTTCGCATTTTTCTCTCTTCATCTGACCAATAATATATTTCACACTTCTCCTATGGCTAAGAAAAGCTTTGTGGATGATCCAATGGTTAGTGTAGATGAATTCAAAGGCAGAGCCCAACTTGTACAGTAAGTTGGGTTTCTAAGAGAATATTTGCAGTAGATTGTGAAAATATTAAGCAACTGTAATAATATTGACTATGTTGGAAAATGGTTAATTATTTAATCGATGGAAAATTAAATTCATAATTTATGAAACCGATTATTAGGTGAGTTAAAATGTACGTGGCTATATAATGGTTATTAACGAAGTGGCTAGGCAAATGATTGCCGGAAAGACGACCATGTGTACCAAATGATGTGGTCTCTTGATGAATTATAGACTTTGTGAAGTTTAGTCTGCTCCGGAGCTTATTCGAACAACAATATCATTTTGTTGTACCCGAAGCCCAAAATATTTGAACGAAATTATAGCCCTAACATTTATGGAATTTATTTGTTTGGAATAGCATACGTGCATTTCTCATACAAATGTTGTATTTTATAAATACATTTATTGTTGTATTTGAATTCCATGAATATGCATGCATATACATAAATGCAGCTATGGCATGGATATTATGCAAACAATTCCATTAATTTTATATCGGAATCAATATGAACACTGGGTGGTTTTGAATTAAATCGTCCGTTTCGACTCAATTTATATCTCACCACATGGGTGTGTGTGTGTCTATAAAATCATTGAAATTATCGATAAATTATTATTGATTATCATAAATAATCTGAATACCGACTGTTATTTTTGGATATTTAATTGATATTTTTATGATACAATAATATTTCCAACAGAATATATAGTGAATTTCACTGAAATGATCAAAGACATACAACATACTGAGAACAATGCTAAACTTGAATGAGAGTGTCACAATACAAGCATCAGGCAATAGTTTACATGAAATGTGGTTACAGGCCGAGATAGCACGAAGCAAGTGAATAACATTATTGACTCACAAACAACAGTGGAACATTTAGGGACACACATTGATACAAATCCCAATGTAGTGCTTCAAACAAACAAAACACAACAGATTCAGATTCAGGTTCAGGTTCAGGCTCACCAGTCAGGTTGACAACGGGATCCCATAGATCAGGCGTCGTCTCTGAGCTCAGGGGCAGCTTGCATGGTGTACCTAAATGAAATGTATCAATAGTCATCAGTTTCTATATTCATGAAGCTACAGTGCATATGTGGTGTAGATGTATGTGAACTTAGTTTCTTCTATGATGCAAAGGCTTTGAGCTATTTATATGATGTGCATCAGTAGTGTTTCCTAGTGAGTGATTATTATAACATATTCCATCTACCTAGCTTTATTTCAATAATCTAACAGCAAATCACAATGACTTTCTCAAAGTGTTAATGCTTACCGGTCAAGTTTGAATGTGAGGAGGAGGGAAAATGGAAAGCTTGAATTCACCATTAGTGTTTGGCTCTTGCTCTTTTCGTTGTTTGGCTTCAAAAATTTTAATTGCTGAGTTAGCTGCATCAGTAGTACGGTGCAATTCCAGCAGTTGGAAAGTTGGAATATCAGCCAGACCTATTGGAACTTCTTTAAGTTCCTCACAGTTGTGCAACTCAAGGTGTCTAAGTCTGGGATAATGATGATGTGAGGCCACCCAGAAAGTTAAATTAGTGCGGCCAATGTGCAAGACTTCCAGACGGCGAAAGCCTCCATCTTTTGCCTCCCAGATCTTCCCCGAGAATGCTTTATCTTTCAGCTTCAGCACCTCAAGATTCTCCAACAATCCAAGGATGGACATATGACTCCAATCAAGGAAAGTATCCGCCAATGTAAGGCTCTTCAGCTTTGGTGGGAATTGATACGGCGGAGGAAGGCCACGCAGCTTGCCTTCTGAAGCAGCGCTAGGCCATGCATCATTCAGAAGCTTCAGCTTTTCAAGATTTCCCAGTTTCACTAAACCATTAAATGAGATGGTCTTGCCATCCAGGAGCGAAGCTAGCCTTCCGCGAATGCCCAATTGTTTCAATGTTCGAGCCCTGTCAAAAAATTCTTCTGTGCAACTTTCATGTGAAATTTTACCCAGTGTTTGAAGCTTTTCACTTTCTTTAGCACTCTTTCCAGCCTTAGGTAAAGTAGCCGATGCATTTGTCTTCAGATGCCTCAACTGACTCATCTTCCAAATATCAGCTTTGATCTCGAGAGTGCGTTGTGATGTATCAACAATAAGAGTTTCTATGTTCCAGAGCTTGGCAAAGGCTGCAGGAAGAACTGACGAATTAAAGGACAGGGCAATGTACCGCAAATGCACCAATTGGTACATGTCGCTCGGGATTTTTGCAAATTTGATTGGCTTGACATCCAAAACTCTAAGCAGTTTAAAACCTGCAGGGATGGATGAAGTGTTTTCTACTGGCAAGGCAGCTTCCTCTTTGGAGAAACAAACAAAAGACCGAACACGATGACCATAAGGTTTCTTAGTGATAAAGTTCACAACGTTGGAATGTATACAAATACGACGATACTTGTCTACTGTATCAACCGGAGGTTGAAATCCTTCAGGGGTCATTCTTATTTCTTGGAGAAAGTTCTCCCTTTCACTTCCAGCTTCATTTTTGCAGAACTCACGCAACATGTCATGGATGCGGCATGTTTTAACTCTGCCATCAGGTCTCCTTTTGTCTACTCTCATTAAGTTCCTGTTAATAAGTTCATCCAAATAGATTTCAGCAGTCTCCTCCAGGGTGATACTATCCTTCTGCTGTATGAATCCTTCTGCAATCCACATCCTGATTAATTTCCACGCTGGGATCTCAAAGTCTTCAGGGAACATCCCCAGATACAGAAAGCAAGCTCTCAAGTGGTAAGGCAGGTTGTCATAACTCAATGCAATAATTTTTTCCATGCGTCGTTGCGGATCCTCATTTAGGTATGTACTCACACTATTAGATACTCTTTCCCATGCAACTTTCCTCGCAGCCAGATCATTTGACTCTGCAAATATTTTGAGAAGAATGCCTCCTATTACCACTATTGCTAGTGGTAACCTATCACACTGCTCGGCAATTAGCTTTCCAAGATTTTCCAATTCGGAGGGACACTCAGGCTTTCCAAAAACCTCATACTGGAGCAGCTCCCAACTCTCCTCTTGAGTCAAGAAACGCAACATGTGGGGTTGTCTCTGTTTATTAGCATGTAGGGCCACTTCTCGATGACGGCTTGTGATCAATACCTTACCACCACTATAAGCCTTTGGCAAGGCAGTCTGGATTTTATCCCAATCCTGAGTTGTCCATACATCATCCATCACAATCAAGTATTTTCTACTCTGCAGATGGGAAGAAACTAGTTTAGCCAAATCCTGATCATTTTGCTGGCGCTCGTCATCATCAATTCTTGTAAACTCTTTCAGAATGGCTAGATAGATATCCTTCTTGGAAAACTGCTGAGAAACATAAACCCATATTCGAGTTGGGAACTCATACTGGATTTTTTCATCACGGAAAATCTTCCCAGCTAGTGTGGTCTTTCCTTGTCCAGGCATGCCAATAACAGAGATGACGTCAAGCTCCTGTTTCTCTTCAGTAAGATATCCTATTATCTTACGAGCCTCATCTTCAAAACCCACCACGTTTTCTTGTCTAACCAGAGGGACCTGTTTGAAAATTTTCAATGTCAGATTGACAAGAAGTAGATGGCTCTTCAACACAATAAGACCTCATAGCTTATAAGATATTTTTAGTGCAATAACTTGCATTCCCTTGTCTTAAAGTAAGATGATAAATATACATATCTATAAAGAGTAATATGATCATATTTTTAAATAAAATAAATAATAAGATATATATTTTAGAAGATTTGCTTAAGATCTTGTGTTTGGCACAGGGAGAGGCATGTTGTTTAAATGAGAAAAGTTAAACTTGACAAATAAATTATTTTTATTTATCTGCTTTTATTTCTCAACCATATCATATTCAAAGAAATGAATATTCAATATATTTATTTTTTTAAAAAAAATTGGTACTGTTTAATTTTTATGAAATTTTTAAATTATATTATTTTGATCTTACAAAACATCATATCTAATTTATATTTAAATATTTACTTTTTATAATTTTTTAAAGAAATTATACTAAATTATAATACAAAACATCCCATCTAATTTATCATTAATCATTTTTCTTGATCGAATAGCTGCATTTTTTAAAACATGTGATTGTAAAAGGAGTGAAAAATGCAATGATGGAGTTGTGATAACAAGATATTCAATTGCATAGTAAGTTTATACCTAAGATATCAGCTAGTTTTGGAAATCAGTTATGCTTGTTTTACACATCAACCATAAAAGATAAACAGGTTGCAATCAAGTCACAGGGCATTAACTAGAAGATTGAACAATCTGATTAGTTACTAAATAGTAGTATATGCCTTCTGGATAAAATTAGCAGGCCAAAATAAATCATGCCCAACAAAAGTCATCCCAAAAGCCAAAACCCTATATAATTGGACAGATAGCAAAGGGCATTGAATTAAAATTCGAAGTCAGTTGTTGTCAACTATCACCAATTCCAGCCTTGTGATTGCAAATTATTATACTAACAACCAAGTTAGATATGCATATAGTGATCGTTACAAAAATGGAAAAAGAATCAAGCAAAAATAAAATGTATGAATTAAGTAAAAAAAATTAAAAAAAATAAAAAATACCTCAGTTTCTTCAGCACCTCCATCGGCGACATTGAGGCTACCAAAATCGAGCTTGTTCTTGTCGTAGATCTCTTTAACTTTACCGCTGATGGACTCGACCTGACTTGCGATGCCATGGAGATCCACCGGTTTTTTGAAAGCTTGAATGAAGTAATTCCGAGACTTACTCTCGGTCGCCTGAGTCACAAAGGCGTCAATAATATCCTCAGCATCGTAAACAACATCGCGTATCTGGCGAACGACCTCTCGAAAGCTGTCGTCCTTACGCCTCTTTTTTGTGGAATCCCTGAGGAAGGCTTTGAAGAGGCGTAAATCGTTCTCCAGCTGCTCGACTTGATCCCTAGCGCCTTTGATTAAATGCGTGTGGTACAGCAGCAGCTGCTGGAGATTTCCTAGCAGGAATTCCACCGCTGCGTCCGCCATTCCAGCTCCCGATCGAGCTTTCTCTCTCTCTCGCTCTCTCTCTCTCTCTCTCTCTCTCAGGCCAATTATCGAAATGGAAAGACAGTGAGTGCCTTTTGTGACTTTTTTATACCGTGCTGAACGTGGACTGATATAATAGCATTATAGAGACTCCTGTGGCTTCGAATCAGGTTTAATCTCCACCGTTCATATTTTGAAACTACTACATCAATGGTGTAGATTGACTTGAGACTCGGAGACCATGGAGTTCTTTAATTTTCAGGCCTTTTTGATTGGTCTGTGAGGTGGAGCATTATTGTAACTATTATTCATGAACTCCGGGACCGAAGCACCAGATAAATCTGTACCGTTCCATGCTGTGGGGTTGACCATATCAACGGTGTGGATCTATCTGGCCTGGAATTTTAAGAAAATCTATTGAAAGATACTTTCCACATCATGACAACTTGTGGGCATTTAGATTAATAGTTCGTAACAAATTATTGAGTTTGCTTCTTTTAACATCAATTCATATTTTTACTATTTAAATATTTTCTAAAAGAAATATTTTTTTAAATCTTATACAATATCTAATTATATATTATTTTAATATTAAATTAAACCAAAATTTTTTAAATCTATCAAAAGCTCACTAAACTTTTTTAATTAATTTAATTTGCATAATATAAATTTGTAATGATAGTTGGAATTGCTAGGTAGCATGTGCATGCATTATTGGCTACGACCCACAAAACGACAAAAACATATGACACGACACAACACGATCAGCGGTACAAATACATTACAGCCTGGCTGTCTGACATCATATGACACGACACAACACGATCAGTATAAATTAATGACTGCTTTGTCAAAATCTATTTGTATCTATAACAAGGTTAATACTAATTAGGGTGTCTTTGTTTGGGGGTTGGATTTTGAGTTGGGATTTGAATAGTAAAATTTTTGAATTTGAATAGTGGTATGATGTGATATAAATAAATGTTGATGTGATGTTTTGAAAGTAAAATTAATTTTTAGTATAATATAAAAAATAAAAAATAGGTATTTGATTTGATGTTTTTTGCGGGAAAATTTTAGATGAATAGTAGGATTTTGGTAGAATCCTTCAAACGAACAAAATAAATTATTGATTTCAATGAGAACATAATTTATGCAAAATATATTTATATATTTAACTTTTTTATTAAAATAAAAAAAAAAAAATTAGATATTTTTATTATTTTGGAGGGAATTATCGATAAAGGGATCCCAAGTCCCTATATGGTTCCGCTGCTTGAAAGAGCGCCGGACGACTTTTCAGGGTCCATGGATCCACACTGTTGATATGGTCAACTTTAGAGGATGAACGGTAGGGATTTATCTGGTGTTTCGGTCCTGGCGTTCGTGTAGGTATATGCATGCATTCTTGCTCCACCTCATAAACTAATCAATAATGGTTGAGACTCAAGAGCTCCATGGAGTTCCAGTCTCGGGGACAATCTAGACCGTTGATGTGGTTGCTTCGCAATATGGACGGCCGAAGATTTGAAGTCCTGAGTCTCTGGATCACAGTCTATAGAGTCCACGCAGGGCAACTCCGTATATAAAAATATCACAAAAAGCACTTCCTTTCCATTTCGATAATTGGTCTGACTGAGGGATTCCTGCCAGTGAGCAGGAGCTCGATCTAGAGCTGCAATGGCGGATGCGGCGGTGGAATTCCTGCTAGAGAACCTCCAGAAACTGGTGGTCGAACAGACCCAGTTAATCAAAGGCGCCAGAGGTGAAATCAAGAAGCTGCAGGATGATCTCGGCATCTTCAGAAGCTTCCTCGTCGATTCGAGCAAAAAAAGGCGCAGGGACAACAACTACAAGGAAGAGCTCGTCCGCCGGATTCGTGATGTGGTTTACGATGCTGAGGATATAATCGACACCTTCGTGACCCAGGCTGCCGACACCAGGTCCAAATATAACATAGCTAAATACTGGAAGAAGCCGATGAATCTCAGCGACATCGCAAAAAAAGTCGCGTCCATCAGCGGCGAGGTCCAGACAGTTCACAACATGATCAAGGTTGAACTCCAGACCAACAGAGACGAAGGTCCTGAAGTGCGAGAGGTAATTGAATTTTTGTTCGGTGTTATTTTATTTTTTGGTTGCTGGAATAACTTTCTCAAGTAACATTTTAGTTTTGGCTCAGCTCTAGCTTAATTGATCAATAATTTCTGATCGTGATATTGGAATGGTGATTACTTGTAGAAGCTGACATTTCATATTGGACCCACGCACTCTGCTATCTGTCTAATTTGATCCTAAGTTTGATGCATTGACTTATCATATTGTGTATATTCTTTGTGAAATATTGATAAGTTTGTTTCAATTCAAACTAGTGTAGAAAAATATACAATGATTGAGCCTCATATTTATACGTATATAGATATTCTATTTGATCTAACAGTTACAATTAATCAACTATAATATTATAGAAATCCACACATTTTATTGAATTCTAGACCGTATCCATAAGTTCGAAGGCCTATTGTTATAGGAGTACATTCTTGATCGAATTGGTGAAGATTAAGGTGTGACTTATTAGTCTTGTACAAAGGAGTGCTGCCCAATTCACTGGTCTCCAAGAAGATGTTAAACTAGTATATTTGAAAAGATTTCAGTAGGCATCTCTACAGTAGATGACAGCTGATAGATGAATTCTTGATCATAATTTTGCAGTTTCAACTTCTTTGAGTAGATTTGTTCGGAATATTTACTTCATTCACACTTTAGCCATTCTTGTTTACCTTTATGCATTCAAAATTTTTCCTAGACATTAAAACTTTTCGATGTGGGCTTTCAATACATGGCTTTGGATGGGGGTAGGCTTTTCTTCTCTTCCTTTGTTTTTGTAATTGTCGAACTAATCTCTAAAATTCTCAAACAGGGTCCCCTGGTTAGAAGGGAGAATGTGGTTGGTTTTGAGGATGCAGCTTCTGAAATAAAAGGGTATCTCACAGAAGAAACTGATCGGCTTAATATCATCACAATCATTGGCATGCCTGGCCTTGGGAAGACAACACTGGCTGGCAAGATTTTCCGTGATGAAACTCTTGCATATGAGTTCCCCACCCGCATATGGGTTTATGTATCACAGGAGTTCTCAGTGAAGAGTGTACATCTGGCCATTCTGAGAGAGTTTACCAGAGTAACTGATGAGGAGGCGTCCAAGCTAGATAATGTTAAATTGGCAGAATTGGTTTTCAACCATCTGAAGACTGGAAAATTCTTGATTGTAATGGACGATGTGTGGACAGCTGAAAATTGGGATAAAATCAAGGTTGCTTTACCAATGAGCAATAATGCAGGTAAAGTCTTGATTACTAGTCGCCACGAAGATGTTGCTCTGCGTGCTAATAAAAATAGAGTCCACCGGTTACGATTCTTGACTTCAGATGAGAGTTGGTTACTTCTACAGTATGAAGCTTTTGGGGAGCCTGACCCTGATTGCCCTCCAGGATTGAGAGAGGTAGGAATTCTAATTTCCAGCAGCTGTGATGGCCTGCCACTAGCAATAGTGGTCATAGGAGGCATTCTCAGAAAAATTAAAGTGCTAGATGATGATAAAATAGATGCATGGAGAAGAGTGTCACAGAAGGTAGATGCATACCTACATGATCAGGATCCAGGGAAGAATATGGAAAAGATTATTGCGCTGAGTTATGACAAATTGCCTTACCACTTGAGAGCCTGCTTTCTGTATCTGGGGTTGTTCCCAGAGGACTCCAAGATCTCGGTGTGGAAACTAATCCAGTTGTGGATTGCAGAAGGGTTCATACAACCAAAGGAAGGTATCAGCCAGGAGGAGGAAGCTGGGAACTATTTGGCTGAACTTATTAACAGGAATTTGGTGACGGTAGCTGAGAGGAAACCAGATGGAAGAGTTAAAATGTGTGGTATCCATGACATGCTGCGGGTTTTCTGCAGAAGTGAAGCTAAAAAGGAGAACTTCCTGCATCACATGAAATGGACTCCAGAAGGATTTGAAAATCCTTCAGTAGAGAAGAGTCGCCGCATCTGCATACATTCTAATGTCTCCAACTTTCTTTATTTGAAACCTATTGGTACTCGTGTTCGGTCTTTTGTTTGCTTCTCCAAAGAGGACACTCCCTTGCAATCAGAACACACTTCAGCCATCCCAGCAGCATTTAAACTGCTTAGAGTTTTGGATGTCAAGCCCATCAAATTCGAAAGGATCCCAAAAGACATGTATGACCTGATGCATTTGCGGTACATAAATATTGCTGTCACCAATTTAACATCTCTGCCTCCAAAATTTGAAAACTTCTGGAACATGGAAACTCTTATACTTGATACACCATCTCGTACTCTCGAAATCAAAGCAGATATTTGGAAGATGAGCAAGATGAGGCATCTGAAGACAAATGCATCAGCTATTTTACCCAATCCCGAAGGGAGTAATAAAGAAGGCAAGAAGCTTCATACACTTGATAATATTTCGCCTCTAAGTTGCACTGGAAAAGTTTTTGACAAGGTTCCCAATTTGAAGAAATTGGGCATTCGCGGGGATCTCACCACACTCTTGGATGCTAGAAATGCTGCCTCATTCAGTAATTTGGTAAAGTTGGGCAGTCTTGAAAAGCTGAAGCTTCTGAATGATGTGTTTCCTAAGCCACCATCAGAGGGAAAATTGCAACGCCTTCCTTCAGCAAATGAATTCCCACCACAGCTCAAGAGCCTGACTTTGTCAGATACATTCCTCGATTGGAGCTGTATGTCTATTCTTGGCTCACTGGAGAACCTCAAGGTGCTGAAGCTGAAAGAGAAAGCTGTCAATGGCCAGTCGTGGACGCCAAAAAAAGGAGGTTTTTGCTGTCTTGAATTCTTGCACATTGGGCGCACAGAGTTGACTGTTTGGGAGGCTTCACACGTGCATTTCCCCAAACTTAGATGCCTTGAATTGTATAACTGTGAGAAACTTGTAGCCGTTCCACCTGATCTGGCTAACATTCCGGATTTCCAAGAGCTAAAATTGCACTGCAGCACTCTAGCAGCTGCCTCAGCCATCAAAATCCTTGAAAACCAGCAACAGAGGAGAGGAAAAAACACCATAGATGGTGAATTCAAGCTCTCCATCTTTCCTCCCTTCAATGTAGCTTGACAGGTAAGTAACAAGATTTTCATGTTACTTGTTAGTCCTCATGATCTGCGTTTACAGTTGATCCTACCTATAGTTGTCATTCCACTGTCTGCATTAGTACGTACCAAGAGTATGTATATGCATTGCTCATTAGTTTATGAAATTAAATCCAAAGATAGAATATGCATACAAATAACTATTTACAACAGAATCGATGCATATAGGATTGATTGTGGGGCTATATCATATTTCTGTAGAGAACAGACTGAACTAACTGAATGTTATTTCCGGGCGCAGGCATTTTGCATAGCTAATGGCTAGAGAAGATGTTTGAACTAGGGGGATTTCTCTCTTTGTGGACCTTGCTACAGGTGCGTTTGTGACCTGTTTGTTTTGTTTCATGTGCTGCTGCATGTGCTGTATCAATATGTTGTAGTTGTTGTTGTTGTGGACTCCACTCCCTAGAGATTATTCCACTGCTCAATAATGTTGTCTGTTGGCTTGATGCTGTCTTGGTTTGTAACCTCATCTGTCTGTCTTGTTAATTTAATCAAATTCTGCTGTTGTTATTGTTGTTGTAATGGAGATGCAATTGGTTTCTTCGCTTTTATTATAACTCATATTTTTATGTATTCTTATCACAATATTGATTAATACTATAAAATTTGTAGTTGGACTATATATTAGGAATACATTATACATGTTCTCAGTGCAAAGTCGAACTAAAAGCAAATTTAGACAATTTATCCTTCTTTATTGATGTTGTTTCTTCCAAGTCAACTGGGTGACCGATTTACGTTTTCAGTAGAAAAAGTCATTGTGTGACTAGAGATTTAAAATTTTTGATAATATATATGTGTTTTAGAGGATTTGTTTTTTTTTTTTTAATAATAATATATCACTGTGTTTGCTAGATCTAACTCCGAAATGAGGTCGGGGTCGAGGATTCCATTCCTTATTATAGATAGAGATAGGATTTTCAAATTTTTAATTAAATTTTTAAAAATATTCTTAATTATCATTTTGTTTTTATTATTTTTTAATAAAATATTTATTTTTTTAATATTTGTGTCGGATTCAAATACTTTAAATTTACTCGAAGGAATGAGTATTTTTAAAATAAAAATATACTCTCTCAGTCCAACTAGAAAATATACTTTTTATTTTGGGACGTCAAAATTACAAAATAAATATTCTATTAAAGACTTACTCTTATTTTACATTACATCGTTACTTTTACTCTAAAAGGTAGAACAAAAATGTCATTAAGATCATCTCCAATGCAGTGTGTTTTGTACAAAAAAAGGGAAGGGGCTCCAACCCAACCCCAAATCTCTTGACACCCCCCCCCCCCCTTTTTGGAGATATGCAGCGTGTGCTCTATTTTTTGTTGTATGTAATTTTAATTTTTTATATTTGAAAAAGTTGTATGTAATTTTAGTTTTTTTGAAAAATAACGTATAATTTTATCTTTTAAAAGTGATATAATTTTATTTTTTAAAAAAAATAATGTATAATTTTATTTTTTAAATTGATATATAATTTTACTGTTGAAAAGTAATATAAATTATATGTGTATGGATCTAATGTAAAAATAAATTAAAGTTGAAGTGTAATTTATAAATATGAAAAGTTATATAAAATAATATAAAAAAAAATACATAGGGAATATATTTTTTAGAGTAAAAATTGAAGTTTATGGTCAGAGTAAAATTAGAGTCAGATCAACTGTATTTTTACTGTAGCAACTGGAATAGTGGGTTGGAGATGGCTTTAATTACTTTCAACTATTTATTATAATTAAAATATTATTATTTTTTAAATACTGACCAAAAATAAATATTTTTTTTTTTTTTATGTTGAGAGAAAGAGAGTAGTATTATCTTGTAATTCAAAATACAGTAATTTATATATATGGTTGTATCTTATCGTGTCATGTCATGGCGGTCATGTATTTTGTCATTTTATGGGTTGCACCACGATCTATCATGCATGCACATGCTACCTGCTTTAAAATTTTTATGTTATTAAATTTAAGGTTAAAAATATTATTATATTTATATAATTTTTTAATAAATATTCTTAATATAAATATAATAATAATTTTTTATATTTTAATATAATAATTAGTATTTATATTAATGTGTAACTACAATCCTGTCCTGTGTAGGGACTCGTCCCATATTAATGTGTACACACATACACTGATACACATAAAGTTGACTTTATACATACACACAAGTGTGAATGGTGCAGGGTTGGTAGGGGTTGACAATGTTGTCCCATTATTATAGATTTATATTATGCAAACTAAATTAATAAAAATGCAAAAACAAATTAAGTTGACCTTGCGAGTTGCAACTTTTTTTAATGAAATCATTTGTTACAAATTCATCGATCCATTCATAATTGGCTTAAATTAATCAACGTCAAATGTTAGTGTAATTGGAGCTCATCAGTAGCACCTCACTACACTTAATAGTCTTAATAATCAGCATATTAATGATCATATTATGAAACCACTGGAGCTTTTATATATATATATATATATATATATACTTAAGAGGTGGATCCCACTTATTAGGTCAACTAGCAGAATAATAACAATAATAAAATGGACTCCGAGCATCGAGGCGGTTTTTCAATATGAAGGGCGGAGATTAAGCCTGATTCGAGGTCAGAGAAGTCTCTATCATGCTATTTCATCAGTATAAAAAGATCACAAAAAGCGCTTACTGTCTGTCTTTCCATTTCGATAATTTAGCAGAGAGAGAGAGAGAGAGAGAGCGAGCGAGCTCGATCTGGAGCTGAAATGAACGAGGCCGCGGTGAATTTCCTGCTAGGAAACGTCCAGCAGTTGCTGCTATACCACATTCGTTTAATCAAAGGCGCCAGGGGTCAAGTCGAGCGGCTGGAGCGGGATCTACGCCTATTCAAAGCCTTCCTCGAGGACTCCGCCAAAAAGAGGCGAAAGGACAACTGCTTCCGAGAGGCCGTCCGCCAAATAGGCGACGTCGTTTACGCTGCTGAGGATACGATTGACGCCTTTGTCACTCTGGCTATCTGCGATAAAGACAAAGACAAAGGTATTTTCGATTACTTCTTTAAACTTTTCAAAAAACCGTTGGATCTCCATGAAATCGCAAGTCAGGTAGCGCCCGTCCGCGACAGCGTTAAAGAGATCTACGACAAGTATAAGGACGAGTTTGCTAGAGTCAATGGCGCCGATCGTGGTGCTGAAGAAACTGAGGTGATTTTTGACTTGATTCGTACTGCTTGATTCCTTTTTGATCTATGCGTGGTTGTTAGTATAATAATTTGCAATCGATGACGAAGCTGGAATTGGATAATTGGTTAATTGATTGTTTACTTAATCGTCGGAATTAATTTATAAATTAAATATATTTTTCGAAATCGCTTATTAAATACGTGTGCGCGGGCTAGGCAAGTGATTTCCGGCAAACCGTTGGATCACATATACCAAATGATGTGATGGTGAGTTGAGACTTGGGCTTGAATTATATATAGACTTTGTGAAGTCTAATATTGCATGATTTTATTATATGGAAATTGCATGTATATGTGTTATGATCATTGCAATTACGGCATGGAAATCGTGCAAGCAACTCACAAGATAAACCAATATATTGAATTCGAAAGTGTTAAACAGGCATGCATTCATGGATATTTGCACCCATGATTCATACAAGGACAAAACTGCATTTTGATGTATGAAAGTTGGGGGATACAAAATTCAAGTTAGCATGCCAGCAATTAATGACTAATTATGGCCAATAATTGGATCATGGATTTTGAACGTTTGTTTTATCTTTGGATAAGTTGCACATGCACACCAACCAATCCGAGCACGTATTCATTTTTACGGAAAGATATTCTACCTTGACTCAATCCGATTATCGAATTTATTTTGATAAAAAAATATGTATTGTGATTATCGAATTTATTTCGATAAAAAATATATATTGTGGGTATCGAATTTGTTTCGATAAAAAATATATATTGTAATTATCGAATTTATTTCGATAATTATATTCTTGCAATATAATATTATTATTATTATTATTATTATTATTATTATTATTATTATTATTATTATTATTATATTTTTTAACCGCTTATCCTTATAGTGAAGGCATGTATTTTGTAATTAATGAAATTGTTCAAACTTCAAGTTGAATCCCTCTGAATTGATTGCAACATGTTTATGTTTGATGGTTGGGGTGTAAAACAAGCAAAAATGACTTATTTAATACCCTAAAATGATTAATTTTGTATAATTATGAAAAACTTAGCTATTTGTTAATATATTATGAAGTGGTTAATTTTCACAACATTTACAGTCCTATAAGTTCTTAAGCAAATTTTCTAAATTATAGTTTTTTTAAAAATTTTATTAAACTAATTAGTCTTAATCTATAATTATATATATTATATTGTAATTAATTTTACTAATATATTTTTAATTATTGTGTCTACTTTAAATATGACATGATAATTGAGACGGAAAGTGTATATCATAACATGATAAGATAATTGGGACGGAGGGTGTATATCATATTATTTATTTATTTAAGAATATGATCATCTTACTTGAAGTTCTTAAGGGAGTGCAAGTTATTGAAAGCTATGAGGTTTTATTGTGTTGATTCATCCAAAAACTCTCCTGTATTCCATAAAGAACCATCTACATCTTGTCAATCTGACATTGAAATTTTCAACAGGCTCCCCTGGCTGTACAAAAAAATGTTGTTGGTTTTGAAGATGAGGCTCGTAAGATAATAGGATATCTTACTGAAGAGAAACAGGAGCTTGATGTCATATCTGTTATTGGCATGCCTGGACAAGGAAAGACCACACTAGCTGGGAAGATTTTCCATGATGAAAAAATCCAGTACGAGTTCCCAACTCGAATATGGGTTTATGTTTCTCAGCAGTTCTCCAAGAAGGATATCTATCTGGCCATTCTCAAAGAGTTTACAAGAATCGATGACAACGTGCGCCGACAACATGATCGGGATTTGGCTGAACTAGTTTCTTCCCATCTGCAGAGTGGGAAATACTTGATTGTGATGGATGATGTGTGGACAACTCAGGATTGGGATAAAATCCAGACTGCCTTACCAAAAGCCTTTAGTGGTGGTAAGGTATTGATCACAAGCCGTCATGGAGATGTAGCCCGACACGCTAATAAACAGAGACCACCCCACAATCTACGTCCCTTGACTCAAGAGGAGAGTTGGGAGCTGCTCCAGTACGAGGTATTTGGAAAGCCCGAGTGTCCCTCCGAATTGGTAAATCTCGGTAAGCTGATTGTCAAGCAGTGTGATGGGTTACCACTAGCCATAGTGGTAATAGGAGGCATTCTTCTCAACCTGTTTGCAGAGTCAGGTGATCCGGCCGCGAGGAAAGTTGCATGGGAAAGAGTATCTAACAGTGTGAGTGCATACCTGAATGAGGATCCGCAACAACGAATGGAAAAACTTATTGGATTGAGTTATGACAATCTGCCTTACCACTTGAGAGCTTGCTTTCTGTATCTGGGGATGTTCCCTGAAGGCTTTAAGATCCCGGCATGGAAATTAATCAGGTTGTGGATCGCAGAAGGATTCATACAACAAAAGGATGGTATCACCCTGGAGGAGACTGCTGAAATCTATTTGGATGAACTTATTAACAGGAACTTAATGAGAGTAGACAAGAGGAGACCTGATGGCAGAGTTAAAACATGCAATATCCATGACATGTTGCGGGATTTCTGCAAAACTGAAGCCGGAAGTGAAAGGGAGAACTTTATCCAAGAAATAAGGATGACACCTGAAGGATTTCAGCCTCGAGTTGATACAGTAGGAAATTATCGCCGTATTTGTATACATTCCAACGTTGTGAATTTCATCACTATGGAACCTTGTGGTCAGCGTGTTCGGTCTTTTGTTTGTTTCTCCAATGAGGAAGCTGGTTTGCCACCGGAAAACACTTCATCCATCCTTGCAGCTTTTAAACTGCTTCGAGTTTTGGATGTCAAGCCGATCATATTTGAGAAACTCTCGAGTGACATGTACAAATTAATGCATTTGCGGTACATTGTCCTGTCCTTCAAGATGTCGATTCTTCCTGCAGCCTTTGCCAAGCTCTGGAACATAGAAACTCTTGTTGTTGATACATCACAACGCACTCTCGAGATCAAAGCTGATATTTGGAAGATGAGACAGTTGAGGCATCTGAAGACGAATGTATCGGCTACTTTGCCTAAGGTTGGAAAGAGTGACACAGAAAGTGGAAAGCTTCAAACACTGGGTAAAATTTCACATGAAAGTTGCACAGAAGAATTTTTTGACAGGGCTCGAACATTGAAACAATTGTGCATTTGCGGAAGGCTAGCTTCGCTCCTGAATGGCAAGGCCATTTCATTTAATGGTTTGGAGAAACTTGGCAGTCTTGAAAAGCTGAAGCTTCTGAATGATGCATGGCCTAGCGCTGCTTCGGAAAGCAAGTTGTGCGGCCTTCCTCGGCCGTATCAATTCCCACCAAAGCTGAAGAGCCTTACATTGGCGCATACTTTCCTCGATTGGAGTCATATGTCCATCCTTGGATTGTTGGAGAATCTTGAGGTACTGAAGCTGAAAGATAAAGCATTCTCGGGGAAGATCTGGGAGGCGAAAGATGGAGGTTTTCGCCGTCTGGAAGTCCTGCACATTGCCCGCACTGATTTAACTTTCTGGATGGCCTCACATCATCATTATCCGCGACTTAGACACCTTGTGTTGCACAACTGTGAGGAACTTAAAGAAGTTCCAATAGGTCTGGCTGATATTCCAACTTTTGGACACCTGGAGTTGCACCATACTGCTGATGCAGTTGACTCCGCCATTAAAATTCGCAAAGCCAAACAACGAAAAGGGCAAGAGCCAAACACTAGTGGTGCATTCGAGCTCAAAATTTTCCCTCCTCACATTCAAACTTGACTGGTAAGCAGTAGCACTTCATTGCTTGCTTTTGATGTTGTTGAGCTTGAGCTTCTTATCATATGCCTTTCTCTTTCAACTGATAAATAATGCTTCTATGCATGTTCATAAATATGGAAACTAATGACTATTGATGCAATTTAGGTACACCATGCAAGGCAAGCTGCCCCCGAGCTTAGAGACGACGCCTGATCTATGTCATCCCGACTGGTGAGCCCCAATCTGTTGCCCTCCTGTGTTTTGAAGCACTGCATTTGGATTTGTATCAATGTGTTGTTTGTGAGTCAATCATGTTATTCAATTCAAGTAAACTATTGCCTGTTTCTTGTATTAATTGTGACATTCTCATTCAAGTTTAGCATTGTTTCTAGTACCTTTTGTAGATTGGAATAATGATTCAGAATCACTAGCCAGAGAAATCATATAGGATTGAAATATGTTTTTTCTAATTGAGAGTACTATAATACGATTTTTTACCTGAGAAGTAAATTGCTAATTCAAAATTAAATAAATTCGATATTTATAATGTTTATACAGGAATTAACTATGATTTGATTCTTCATTTAAAAAATCTATAATTTTCAAGCCTTGGATATTGTCTTGATCCTTGAAGTTCCAACATCAGTCATTGTTAGATAATTGCATCCTCGTTAGTCGTTAGAATCCCCCAAGCTGCCTAACGAAGAATATCTATAGTATGACAATAATATCGTCTCCATTGTGTGTGAGTGTCCCTACAGGCTACAGCTAGATAGCTAGATCATATAGATTATCCCAATGGCTGAAAACCCCTATTTATCCCACACTCCAAAAATTACCTTAACTGTGTGTGTGGACATGAACAAAGACTACGACTATACTATGGGGGTGCTTCCCCCGGGCCTGGTCCCGGACCAGGCCTCTCCGCCATGGCTGAGCAAAGGCGACAACGCTTGGCAGCTCACCGCCGCCACCATGGTCGGCCTCCAGAGCGTCCCGGGACTTGTGGTCCTCTACGGCAGCATGGTCAAGAAGAAATGGGCCGTTAACTCGGCCTTCATGGCCCTCTACGCCTTCGCCGCCGTCCTCGTCTGCTGGGTCCTCTGGGCCCACCGGATGTCCTTCGGTGACCACTTGATCCCCGTCTCCGGCAAGCCCGCCGCTGCCGCCGACGACCGCTACTTGCTCCGGCAGCAGAATTACTCCCTTGTCCCCAGGGCGGATTACGTCTTCTACCAGTTCGCTTTCGCCGCCATCACGGTGATTCTGGTCGCCGGATCTTTGCTCGGCCGGATGAACTTCTACGCGTGGATGGCGTTCGTCCCGCTGTGGACGACGCTGTCGTACACAGTCGGGGCGTACACCATTTGGGGCCCCGGATTTCTCCGGGACCGGATAATTGACTATGCCGGCGGATACGTCGTCCATCTCTCCTCCGGCGTGGCCGGCTTCACGGCGGCGTATTGGGTAATTTAAATTAGATATGATTGCTTTTGTCGAATGAAGAGGCAAAATACAATATAAGTAAATAAATGTTGAATTGGAGTAATTGATTTGTTAATGTTATCAAATATAGTAATTAAGTAAATTTAAAAAAGTGCGAAAAAAGAAAAATAAAAATAAATTTGAATCTTACTGTCCTCATTATGTGTAAATTTTGCATACTTCCATTTACACCTGCTCTAATAATTTGAGCTTTTAGATAAGACATTCGACTTAACAGACAATAATCATATTTTATTAACTTATTTCCTTATATTTATATTATATTAATATAAAATATGTATTGCAACTTATAATCTATCTATTGTCTATCCATTATGACTTTGTTCTCGAGAATAATCCAATTATATAATATGAACGCAATAATATGTATTCTTTTAACAATAATAATCTTTGATTCAACAATAATAGTCTTGATTCATGTGAGATTAGAGGGTTTTGATTTAATCCGACGGATTGGAGCATGTACTTAATGATGTCCACGTGCAAAATTCATGGGAGATAATCCACGAAAAATTATACTCCCTCCCTCCGTCGTTAATATCACATATACCTTTAAAGTCATTATATTTAACATTAAAAATATTTTTATATTTGTATCATTTTTTGTACAAATATTATTTTTATTAGTATTACAAGATGATTGAAGTATTTTTGTAATTTTTTATTAATTTGTACTAAGTTTTGATATAATAATTATTTTCAAAAATCAAGACCAAAAAAAAAGTAAATGAGATCCTAGAGCCGGAGGAAGGTAGTATAATATTTACTTAATAATGTATTCTTCAAGCTTTTAAATGAGATAGTCATTTAACAATAATTGTCGAATTCGATAGTCATTTAATCCGATGGATGGATGGATAGGTTGGGCCGCGGCACTCGCACGACCGGCAGCATTTTCCGCCGAACAACATAATCAACATGCTCGGCGGCGCCGGGTTTTTGTGGATGGGGTGGACGGGTTTCAACGGTGGGTCGCCGGTGGCGGCGAACAAGATAGCGTCGCTGGCGGTGCTAAACACGCACATCTGCACGGCCACGAGCCTTCTGGTGTGGCTGGCGCTGGACATAACCGTATACCTTAAGAGCTCCGTTGTTGGTGCCGTTCAGGGGATGATCACCGGCCTCGTCTGCATCACTCCGGCTGCCGGTAATCACTCCATTCTTTCATCAATCAAACAATAATATATAAACGTCCCGTAAGAGATGATCTGGTCGTGTCGGGTTGGACTCATGACCGTGAGGTCATGGGTCAAAACCCTCAACGCCTCCAAATCCACCTGTCACACATGGTTCGCCTAGTGTGACTTGCCTTGTCGGATCTAGTTTGCAGGATATTAGATTTATCCAATGAGGATCTAGTTTGCAGGATATTAGATTTATCCAATGCGCATTTTCGATAGCGACCGCCGTTCCCACGTTATAAAAAATATATATATTATATCCAACAAAACACAATATTAATCAACCCATTTTCACTAATGAAAATCAAAATGTAATTTTATCAAGATAAAGTAAAATATCACAAGTTCTTTCTAACTTTCCTCCAATTTTTTATTGCACATTTTCGCTACTATCAATTAAAACATATTTATCTTCATACAAAACATACCATTACGCAATATTTTTAAGACAATGAATCATAAGTACAAGCTTATTTTCAAATATACTTCCCTAAACGATCAAAATATATAATAAAACTATAAAAAAATTAGTCTCTCTCACCTAAAAACACTTATGATATTAGGAATACACATTATTTATTTATTTATCTACAAATGAAAATCACCAACACAAAATAATCTAATTGAATCGAGCCGACATAGTGCGCTCGATTCTTTTCCTTTCATTTTGTTGGATAAAATATTGTCTAGTTGATCTTTTATGTCTCCTTTTTTTTTTAATTTTCGTGAATATAATCAACTTTTTGGTTCTTATTTTTGTTACAGATTGTATTTGTATGTAATGTGGATTTGATTGATACATAGGTATTGTGGATACATGGGCTGCAGTGGTGATGGGGATTCTATCAGGGTCGATTCCATGGTTCACCATGATGGTCTTGCACAAGAGATCATCTTTTTTCCAGAAGGTCGACGACACTCTCGGAGTTTTCCACACCCACGCCGTCGCAGGCCTGCTAGGCGGCCTTCTCTCCGGCATCTTCGCCAATCCGAAGCTCCTAAGGTTGTTCTATGGGACGGGTCATCGTCAAGGGCCGGGCTTGATCTATGGGATGTTCGATGGGCAGATCAAACATGGGCTTCGCCAAATGGGCTTCCAGCTTGTCGGGGCGCTCTTCGTTGCCATATGGAATGTGGTATAATTTAATGTCGAGAAGTCTATAATTTGGTTACAAACTAGAACTATTTGATTCAAAGTAAATATATAATCAGAGTAGAGATATCGTTTCATAATAGGTATTCTTAAATTGATATCTTTGAATGTAGGTGGCGACGAGCCTAATTTGCATCTTGATAGATCGGATTATTACGCTCCGAATGCACGAAGATGATCTTGAAATTGGGGATGATGCGGCGCACGGAGAAGAAGCTTATGCGTTGTGGGGAGACGGGGAGAGGCATCCGCCTCCTCTTCGATTTCCTCGAATGAAACCAAGAATCATACCTTCCTTGTGTAGATGCACTTGAAATTCATTTATTCGCGGGACGAATGTTTTTCTTAATAAGATTTTATTGTAAACACACTCCAACTCAGCTTAAGTATGTTCGAATTTGTATTTTCAATGTTATTTTAAACTTGTACTCTCTATGTATGTATCAAATTTAGGTAGTATGTAAGAATACACCATGGTGACCAAAATGCAAAACAAATAATAATTGTAGAGGAAAACATATAATTTATAGTTAACATATCATATCCAATGAAAATTATGTAGTAGTTAAAAGATAAAAGATAATACTCCATCGATCTCTTAACAAATTATCTATTTTTCCGTTTTGGACCGTTTCAACAAACTATTTATTTTCTTTTTTAACAACTGTACTATCTACCTAACATTACAAATATCTTTGCAACTTACAATATATTACAAAACGTCATTATATTTATATTACATTATACTAATAAAGTTGTTTTAGTCGTTTCTACTATATATCAATATATTACTAATACACATAAAACTTCGTAAAAAAAGTAAATGAATATCTACTCATGGGATGGAGAGTAATAATAATCCAATTATGTAGCTTGTTTTAGATACAATTGTTGTTATTAAGATGCTTTGTGTCATAATTTTGATTGGCGTTGCCATATTCATTGAAAAATGGTTGGGCAACTTTTGGTTTGTTATGGTCGAAGTTCACGAGAAAAAGCAGTTGTAAAAGCAAACAAAATATAGGGAAAAAGACAACCTTATTTGGATCGTCACCTTACAATATGGAAGATATTTTAGTTTGTTGTTTTTTTTCACGACTGCCCATTGATGTACTTTTACTCACTTTTTTTCATGTTAAAAAAACAATTAGGTGTATTTTTGAAAATTGAATTAATAATTAAAAGGAAAAAAGAGATAATGTAATACATGTAGGAGCAATTTTAATAAATAAATATTAAATGGAATATAATAATAAATGTTGGAATGTTTTATTTTGCCAAAATTAATAAAAGAATAAATTTAAAAGACAGAAGGAAAAAAATAAATAAATAAATTTGATCGGACTAAAAAAAGTATTTGTTATACAAACAGTTAGAAGAAAGCTGTAATCTGATTATATTCATGTAGCTTTATAGCATTTTTATGACAAATATTTCCTTTTCATGCTCAATATATAGTACGAGGGACGTGAAAAAAAATATATATATATATGTATTTGATGGAAAGAAATCAATATTTTTCTAATATTAACAATGAGTTGTGTTTACAAGCAACTGTGAATTGATTTCAAAAAAGAAACTAATAATCATTGAACAAAAGGTAATACAATTATTCTGTTGAACGACCTTGAGGAGAGAGCAACCTAGAAGAGGGTTTCAGTTGTGTGCACTCTTCAGAATCATTCAAAGAAAATATAAAATAAAAAATGATGAATGTATCGACTAAAATTACCAATGCCTTTCTTCTGATAATCTTTTATACCCTACTTATCAAAATTATTCGATTATCCCATTTATGACAGATGAGACTTTCCAGAAATAAAAGAAAAGCCTAATGATGATGGCTACTTGCAAGAAATATTCCCATACTTTCTAACCATAAGTAACTGATGCTCTCATCACATCACATCCCTTTTTTGTATTTTCTGCAATGCCTATGATCTCACAACTTACTTGCTTTGCCAAGAAACCTCATCCCTACCATTACTTGAACACAGACACAAAAAACTTTAGAGGAAGAACACCCCTGCCTGTCCACATTATTAAACCTTTTCCTGAATTCAGATATTCTGGGGTGGGGTGGGGGAGGAGGAATGGGAAAGAGGACAAATCTAAGAAGCAGCATTACATTGCTTGTGCAAGCAGGTTTGAATTCAAGAAGTTGTTTCTTCCACATGTTTTGTTACCCTAAGTTGATTGTTTTAAGCCCACAAGTAACTTTTTGATATCCATCTTTAGTGATTCAATAAGCCCTTGATTGTTCCTCTCCTCTACCCTCCCTCTATATAAGGGTCTCCTAACCTTCGCTATATTTTCTCAGCCTGCAAGCAAAATGAAGAAACTATTTGTATTCCTAGTGGTTCTTTCCTTGGCTGAGTTGGCTGTGGTGATTGGGCTCGGGGAGTGTTTTGATTTCCATGAAAAGGAGCTGGAAAGCGAGGGAAGACTGTGGGATATGTACGAGAGGTGGAGGAGCCACCACACGGTGTCCAGAAGCCTTGATGAGAAACACAGACGCTTCAACGTGTTTAAGGCAAACGCGCACTATGTTCACAGCTTCAACAAGAAGGATAAGCCGTATAAGTTGAAGCTGAACAAGTTTGCAGACATGACTAACCACGAGTTCAGGAGCATGTATGCTGGATCAAGAATCAAGCATCATCGGATGGCGGTGAAAGGGGGTTTACGAGGAAATGGAACGTTCATGTATGAGAATGTACAGAGCATCCCCCCCTCCGTTGATTGGAGGAAGAAAGGGTCGGTCACCCCGGTCAAGGATCAAGGGCAGTGCGGTAAGACACGGCATTTCATTTCTTTTTTACACTAAAGTCATTTGTAGTGAGTGTATATTCTGGCTAATGATGATGCAGGTAGCTGCTGGGCTTTCTCGACTATTGTGGCAGTCGAGGGGATAAACCACATAAGAACAAACAATTTGGTTTCCCTGTCGGAACAGGAACTCGTTGACTGCGACACAGAGCAGAATCAGGGCTGTAATGGAGGACTTATGGATATAGCATTCGATTTCATCCAAAAGAAGGGGGGCATCACAACTGAGAAAAACTACCCTTATCTTGGTGTAGATGGAAAATGTGATGTGAAAAAGGTAGAGTAATTCCAACAAACCGATAATTTAATAAAACATCCTTAAGAAAACTGACCAAGGTTTTATGGCAGGAGAATTCTCCAGCAGTGTCGATAGATGGACATGAAAATGTACCATCCAACAACGAAGAGGCACTGTTGAAAGCCGTTGCTAATCAGCCTGTATCAGTTGCTATAGATGCAGGAGGTTCTAATTTCCAGTTCTACGATGAGGTAATGCTGATTTTCCTAAGGTCAGAAACTTTCCTACACAGATAAAATTAAACTGAATGAAATGACATGTTTTGCAACAGGGGGTGCTCACAGGAGAGTGTGGTACAGAGTTGGACCATGGGGTTGCAATTGTGGGCTACGGGACAACCGTAGACGGAACCAAATACTGGATAGTGAAGAACTCATGGGGACCAGAATGGGGAGAGAACGGCTACATCAGGATGCAGCGTGGAGTCGAAGCAGAAGAGGGACTCTGCGGGATAGCAATGGAAGCATCTTATCCTATCAAGAAGTCATCGAATAATCCTGGAGAACCTAGCAAATCCTTCCCCAAGGATGAACTCTAAACCGCATTCACATCAACAGCAGATTTTGCAGCTGCTCGCTACTATTTATGTTTCTTAGTTCCTAAGGTAACTTCTCACGGCATTCTACTATCACTATGGATTGCATCAACCTAGTAGAATCAGACGTTTATGTACTGGATATGATCACAGTACATTAATGCAATAAACATTTCTTTCTAGTCAGAAAACAACATCAATTTATTCAATAGTTGGCATATATCACAGTTCATAACAACAATCGGAAAGAGCTAACCACAGAAATGCCTCAAGTTATGCAGCATATTATTCAACAATCTGATAACAACTTATTGAAATTCCAACGGAAAGCTCAGAAGTCAGAATAATTTGGGACAGAAACATACATACCTCTCTTACACAGATTCCAGAACACATCTGATCTGCTCCATCATCCGTAGCAGCGGATCGGATCTTTGCACCCTTTAGCAGCCGACTGCTTCAAACCATTTCTTCCACCCTTCTCCAAGTACTGCTGGTGATACTCTTCCGCTGGGTAAAATCTCTTTGCAGGAAGAATTTCAGTAACAATATTCTTACCCTTCATCTCCTTCTGCTTTGCTTCCAATGATTCTCGGGCTAATTTGGCCTGCATCTCATTGTAATAGTATATCCCTGATCTGTACTGCGTCCCTACATCATTTCCCTGTCCGAATTACGCAAAACATACAATTACCATATGCATACAATGTAAACAGGCAATTTCACAAACAGGTTGTCTGCACTATGAGATTCCTCAATATTAATCAATTGCACCAATTCGATCATTATGGCGGCAATTTCAATACTTTTTTCCACGATTCCCACAAAATTATACGCAAATTTACACAATTCACAATCCATATCAACAGAAACATTAGGCAGACAAAAATTAAATAAACAAGTATAAACGATAACTATACCTGGCGATTGATGGTAGTGGGATCGTGTTTACCCCAGAAGACGTCGAGCAAAGTGGCGAAAGAACAAGCTTTTGGGTCGAAATGAACGCGAACCACTTCGGAATGGTTGGTTGATCCGGTGCACACCAATCGGTAATTAGGGTTATGCACATGTCCCTGAGAGTATCCCACTTCAGTTTTGACGACGCCCTCCACCCTCTGGAAGGCCAACTCAACGCTCCAGAAGCAACCCGCGCCGAACTGGGCTAGCTCCAGACCCGGCTCCGCCGGCGAATCCAGATCCGGGTTGAGTGCCGGGTTACTAGACTTGCCATTCTCATTATCACCGGACGCCATTGGCGATTCTTCTGCGACTGAAGCTTGCTTGCGCGGTGGACGATCGCGTTTCAGCTGATAAGGATTGAATGGCTGGATGACGATGGAGTTTTACTTCTCTCGAAGATCGTGTCATCATTGACATTCGTAGGATAGAATTGAAAATGGTTCAGGCGAGTTGGGGGAATTCTTCTCGAACTATTTCTTGCATTAAATGGGCTGAATGTTGGGCTTTGAAGCCCAGTAAAGTGCTATGCAAACTTTGGCCCTCTAACTACTATGGCCCATAAATAGATAAATAAATAAATATTAACAAAATAATAGAGAATACTCACTCCTCAGTCGTCCCTCACAATCACCTCAGTTCTTTTCTTTGCTGTTGCTAAATTTATACATAGTCTACTAAAATAAAATATTTCATATTATTATCTATATTTAACATATAAAAATAATTTTGTAAAATTATCCAATTACTTTTTTTATCGATTTATCATAATTTTTTTATAATATTTCAAATTAATTTTTTACATATCATATTTTAACACTAAATATTACTCCCTCGGTACCAGATACCATGTCCACGTTGCCGTTTCTGTCCATACCATCGTACTATGTCACTTTCCTTTTTTGAAAAATGATTACTCATTTTAAATTTTTCAATTTTATTTTTTTTAATTTTAATTAAACTAATTAGTTATTTAATTTTAATTTACATTTCTCCTAAAATACCGTGTTTACATTGTAACATACATGGAGTATTATCTTTTAGTTTTCATGCTCAAGCAAATCCATTTAATTTTTTTTAGATGGAAGGAATATAACTGAAAATCTAAGTTTATTTGAAATACACTCTTTTCTTGTTAATAATAATAATAATAACATTTCTGTTAGAATATCTTTTCGACAAAATTCAAAATTGATTGGAAAACTATATTAAAGTTGGTGTAGATTCTCTTACCTTTTTTTTGTAATATAATTAAAAATATTCATTATATAGAATTAAATCGTGCTGAAAAAAATATATAAATAAATAAATTAGTTGAGTATATGACTATTCGAAAAAGGAGCAGGATCAAATGTTGAAAAAAACATTTCAGCACCTAGCTGAATACATATAAATTAAGTTTGTTAATTTATATTATTAGATTATTTAATTAGTATAATTATATAAAATTAAATTTAAACTCTTCAGCATGGTGCTGAAAATAGATCCATCCCGTTCGAAAAAAGCATATATAATTTAAATTCAGTTTAGTGTGTGCTTCCCATTTTAGAGTAAAAAATAATATAAAAGGAACTTTCCAATGATTATTGTCTCTATGTTGATGTTGTACTATTGAAATATTGGGTAAGAAATAACAACATAAAGTGGTGGTACAAGTACAAGGCATGCGTAAAAGAATTGTTGAAATATTTTTCTTAAAAAGAGAAAGCAACAGCCAGGTAGAGGTATTGAATTTGCATGCAGTTGTCTGGGTAATGAGTGTTTGTTTGTGTGTTCATAAAAAGGGTGATGGTAGACCTGATGTTGGGGTTGGACTTGTGATTATGGATTCAAACTTCCGACGCCTCAGGTCATCTGTCATATATGGTTTGATTAGTGTAACTTGTCTGTCGAATTTAATTTGCAGGATATTATGTTCGCCTCCTGCGATTCCAACGAAGAAAGAAAACAAAAAAAAAAAAAAGAAACGTGTTAGTACAGATGGAATACAATTCCAAAATAGTACATAAAAACATATATTAGTATAATTAATAATAATTTTGATTTTGATTTTGATTTGGAGTCACGATAATTGCGGTGCGGTGCGGTGCTGTTGTGTTATTTGTCTTCTGTGGTTAAGACTCATTTGTCAATATGTCATAATGTGTAGTGTCCACTCATGTCAACTGTGAGAAAAAAAAGGTGAAGAGTATTTATGAGATGCCTACTACTACTAGTCTACTATTACAACAACTAGGTAGGAAAAATCTAGAATAGTAGCACTAGTAGTATTGTGTGCTTAATTAATTAATTATATAGCCACTAGGAAGATTCCTTAAATGCAAAAGGTTTGAACAGGCAAATGGGAAGATTCCACCCACCCCACACTGTTTCTTCTATATCGACAAATAATCATTATATTGATTCCTCCACTCCCAAGAATTACCTATACAAATACAAAAACGTGACAGCCACTTTTATGCTAGTGTAGTAATAATCTTATGGACAAGAATCTTAGTGCATGCCTCAAAAGATTTGAGGGCCTAAATTCAAGGTTGGCTAACCACCATTTATATTAAAAATATAAGAAAAATATAAATAAAAATCAAGAATGAATGATCGATCTAAATTGTAGTACACTATTACACAAACAAACATACTATACTATTGCCTAATCTATAATTTACAAAAGAAACGAGCCCACAACTCACAAGAACACATATCCATTACAAAAACTGCCATAATTAATTTCAATGACCTACTACTTGCTTATAATTTGATTCCCTGTTTGGGATCGATGACCCATCTTCACTCGTACCATCCCAGATACCATATGGAAATAGGACCATATATGTATGTAATAAATAAATAAAGACATACATTACTTCAAGGCCGCCGCTGTTGATGAGCTGCTCTTGAGGAAAGACAAAGAAGACATAGCTTTGGCTACGGTCACTTTTCTCACCAGCAATCTCCACAGCGCATCGCCGCGGTCCTGCCGCGCCTTGAGCTTGAACTGCCGGCATAGAGGGACTCGGCATTCGTCGGGACGATCGCAGATCGACGAGTGCAGCTTGAACAGCTGCCACATTCGCTTGCATCGCGAGCACCCGCCGTTTACTCGATCCTTACACGCCCCGAAATGCTTGATCAGGAGCTGGATGCCTTGGCACGTCGAGAACTTGCTGCAGGGACTCTTGTGCTTGCTCGGATCCATGTCGTATGGCCCGACGCTAGTGCACCCTTCCGAGCATATGTGCTCGAGACAATCCATTGCTTCGCTCAATTGCGCGTACAATTTGTTATCCGCAATGTGCCTCTTCCTCCTCTTCTTCCTCTGTAAACACAAAACAGATCAATCAACTCAACATGCTTAATTGTTACCAGTTACCACCACTACACAAGGACTAATCAAATGATCCAATCCAATAAGTTTAGGTATTTGAAGAGGGGAATGTACCGATTCAGCTTCGTCGATGAATTGTAGTATCTCGAGCTCGAGGTAGGGATCGTTGTTCTGCAGGAACTTCCAGCCCTCAGACGCCTCAACAGCCTTGAAGTGACGAGACAGCAATCTCATACAATCGAGGTAAAGATCGGAAGCATCGCACAATCTTGCGAGCTGAAGCATATCCACGACGTTGTTGACGTTCAAATTTCTCCGCAACACTTTGGAACAGCTCTGCTTCAGCTGCGCCACGGAGTAGACGTGTGCCAACGCCAGCAGGTGGATACCGTAATCCTCCATGTGCTCCTCGCTACACCTGCGTGCAGCAAAGGGGCAGTTTAGACCTTTCACACGAGCGAGAGTGTGTCTCTATCTCTACTTCCGGTGGTCTTGGAGCCACTACTGTTAATCGCCGCGCCGACCTTTAGGAAATTCGGCAAATGATTGAAGAGTGGTGGGGAATGAGACAAGTGTATAAAGAAATGAATAGAAAATTATAGTATAGGTTTATGTGGACGGCTGCTTTCGAATCACAAACCAATATCAAATTGTCTATCTTAGCTGGTCAAATTCAACAACTTTCAGAATTTGTGGCTTTGTGATTTGCAGCGTGATACTTTCGAATAAAAAAATCCTTTATGCATATACGATGAATAATAAGAAAAGATATGGCTGTTGGTTGTTGATTACGCGTGTGGCGCGCGAGATACTTACTTGAAGGAATAGAGGTACTGTATGAAGACGGCGACGGCGTTGTATGGCACGCCGAGAATCGGAAGTTTCCGGTCGCTGCTCCGGCGCTTCCGCCTCCTCTCGATTATGTTCTCCAGCACCGGAGATGCCATAGACTGCAATTTTTGAAAAATTATCAGAAAACGGCAAGTTTATTATCCTTCCTCAAAACGAAAAAAGCAGTTACAGATTTAGAACGAAGCACGCAAGTAAATGATGCAAGTGCAACACCAAACAATTAAGGATTCCATATCATATTTCATTTCTTCAGAAGAATCGGGAAAAAAAAATGAAGACAGAGAGAACTCAAAATCAAAATCAAATTCGGCTTCGCTAATCGCTAGTGGTAGATCAAAATTCAAATCAAATAAAGTTGAAGTAACAAATTTCCAGAGTCTGAAATCCAGAAACAATACCAGTATCTTCGAGTGTGCAGGAAAGGCCAAGCCGCCGGTGGTGACGACTTGCACATCAGGTTCCGGCATTTCGCCGGAAACTGGAAGAACAGGCTTTACTCTCTTTTGACCTGAGAGCTTCCTCTTCAACTGAACCATGATCGATCGACGATCTCTCTCCCAACGCTGATTCCAACGAGCTCTAAGCCAATCGCGAAATCTCACAAATCACGGAGTTTGCTCCGTCGGGGTAGAGAAAGCTATTGAGTGTCCCGATATTTATAGACAGACAGCTGTGAGCTGACAAGGCGATAGACCCGCATTAGCCCTACCTGGTGTGTCCTTATCCTGACCCGGATCCGACCCAACTTTACAGAAAATGGGCCAAGTCTTGTCGCTATTGGGCGGAGTGGCCGAAACACAGGTGGATCGATAATCATTACTGTAGCCGCCTTCGCAACAAACGTAATTAATGACGTTAATTGTCCTGAGAAAATTTTAATTTCAGATTACATTAAATACTAATTATTAGATTTTAATTGTGTCTTTCACTAGCACTCCATAAATTAGTAAATAATACTAATAATAATGGATTCATCCTTTTTTTGGAATATGTGAAATGTCTGAAATGCCCTGGAGGGGGCAGAGAAGCAGAAATTGGCCTTTACATTCCAGAAGCGACTCAAGAGGAAGAGCCAATCTTGACCCCCTCGTAGCGTCCTAATCCTCTGTCGTTCATCTCTGCAACTGAATGCCACGTGGCGCAATCCTGGAACTCCCACTTGCCGGAATGGTCCGAATGAATCTGTGATGGGGGACTGAATCTACTGTATTTGTATTGTATTTTTATCGTATTCTACTACGTATATGAGTTGTAGGGGTTAGGTTGTGTTTGTTTCAAAACTGGACTCCTTCCAAACAAGAAACTTCTCTCCTTATATTATTTTTAATATCAAATTCAAATCAAAATCTATTAAAACGATGAAACGGTATTTTGTTATATCTTTCCACACTATTATGAACAATAATTTTTTAGAAAATAAAAATAAAAATATATCAGATATTTTTTTTTAATTTCTTAATATAATAAATTAAATGCATAATATTTTAATCTTTTCAAAAATGTTTTTAATACAAAGTTTTCAAAATTTGTATATAAATGAATTTTCAATATACTCCATCTGTCTCAATACAATAAACTTGTTTATTATTTCTATCTATTTCAAAACAATAGTTTTATTTCCATAAATAACTATATCACTATAAAAGTCCCCTTACTCTTTCATTATTATTATGCAATTGCCACTGTATTTTACACTAATACACTCACAAAGGCAAATATATTTTTTACTCACTGTCAATATAATATCAATATTCTTTAAATCTTATGTCCAAAGCAACCAAAACTATAGTTCCGGAACGGAGGAAGTATAATATTTTTTTATATGATATACTTCCTCTGTCCATTAAAATTAGTACATTTGGGTCCTATACGGAGTTTTAAAAAATGAATATTTTATTAAAAAATAATAGATAAATGAGAATATTTTTAGAAATTTAATAACAAATTAAAGTAAATGAAAAAAAAATATAATAAAGTTAGTGGTATTTATTGTAAGCAAGTGTTGAATAAAGAGTAATAATTAAATATTGTTTCTTTAACTATGCTAAAATTAGTAATAAGATAAATTTAACAATCGAATTAAAAAAAATAGAATAAATTTCATTGAACTATTTCTTAACCTATTGAATAATTTGATATGGTCTAATTACTTTGAATAATTTGATATGGTTTAATTACTTTAGGGTGTGTTCGTTTGTAGGATTTAGACAAAATTTTACTATTCATTCAAAAATATTAAATCAAACATTTATTTTTTATTTTTTATATTATATTAAAAATCAATTTTACATTCAAAACATCACATCATACAACTATCCGAATTCAAAATTTTACTATTCAAATCTCAACTCAAAATTCAAACCCCCAAACAAACACAGCCTTCATGTATTATAACTTCATGTACTATATATTTATATTATATTAATATATGAATATATTTACAATGCAGCGGAATTCATATACGGGGTTTGTACCATGTGTCAGACGAGGGGGCCAAAAGTTGTGCTTCCCCCAGTTGTACCTCGTCCACTACACAACACGCCACCACAGCCTTTGTCCGTACCGGACCCCAATAAATGAAATGAAATGAAATGATAACAAAAACAATAATAATAATAATAATAATAATAGTCACTGAGGTTGTTGTTCAATAATTATTTGGTAGATCGATTTTTATACAATCAATAATCTCAAATACATCCATTCATTATAGGGTGGCTGGTGTAGGATCAATGATGTATCTATATATAATATATGTAGTTAATTAGTTATTTAACCACTCTCCATTTCATAACATCTTGTAATATATATATATACTAGTATTTGATTATTTGTCATTTTTCCATAATATATATATATATATTAGACGGTTCAGTTCCCGTGTTGACGCCACAAATGGCAGATTTAATCTTATCAATATAGGTTCGGTGCTACATGATAATACAATATACAATATATGTTTTCAAATTATAAAATATGATACTATTTTCCTTCACCGTCAATTTATCTATTTACTTTTTTGCATATTAATTTTTTAATATTAACTATTATATCAAAACGTGGTATAAATCAAAGAAAAATAACAAAAATACTATAATTGGTGTCTTATAATACTAATTTCATGACATTTGTACTATAAATATAAAGATATTTGTAATGTTAAATACAATGACGTTAAATGCAAATAGATAGATTAGCGGTGGACGGAGATAATATAATTTTACACAACACAGTATATTTCCATATACAACATCGTAATATTGTGTTATATAAAAAAATATGTGCAAATTATTTTGATTATATATGCTAATTTGAACAATTAACACTCTAATCGCTGTATTTACTATTGACAACATATAATTTATAAAAATATAATATATGAATTAACAACATATAACAATAATTCACAGAACCAACATATTCTACATATTAGTATAATACAACAAAACAAAACTGATAATAGTCCACATTATATATTTAACGATTGATATAGTATACAACTAACAATAATATATACAACCCATAATAATTAATGTCAATAAGAAGTATGTGCTGTATATATTATTACCGATCTAGCTAATCAACATCATAATATCTTATCCATTTTATCTATAATACTTTGTATTTACTTATGAAATATCTCTACCCATTTTACCCTAATACTTTATATTTACTTGTAAGTTATCATGATATTTAATGTTTCAATTTGTTCAACTATCCTTTCTTTTTTTTTTCAAAGTTGGGACTTGTCATAAAATTTAAATTAGGCCTAAAGCTTCATATATTTTGCATAATATATATATATATACATAAAATTACTGTAAAAATTGTATTATTATTATATAGATCCATATATTTTGGTAACATAATAATTAATTATGTAGTATTTTATATATATATATATGTATGTATGTATGTATTATAGTATGCTACTGGTATTAAATTTTTGGATTGAGAGATAACAATGAGGAGGTGTCAAGCAATAAATATGAAAGTTATAGAATTCAATAAAAAGCCTATTAAAAAGGTAATTTCATTGGCCCATTTGTACATTAAATAGCGTATCAAATGTATTTTCAAATGCACACGAGAAAAGACATTTTCTTGTAAAAAAATAAATAAATAAATAAAAGTAAAAGTAAAAATATCTTGGAAATAAATATCTGAGATATTTCAAATGAAATGATTAATATAATTCCCGTTTTATTGGATTGGTATATGGACGCATACTAGTACTACTAATTAGAGTTTGTAGGCCACAAAACATAACATGCGTCCCATTGGCATGTCAATTGTCACATCCGTCATATCTCATGTTGAAAATTATGTCCTAAGAATGTATATGATTGAGGGACAAGTCGTTGAGAACAACTTTAATTTGAGAGTCTAGTGGGCCTTTTAGTCCATATCAAATGGGCTTTACATTGATTTAAGAGTTATGCCGAATAAACCCTCGGCCCAATAATATACATTGCCTAAGTGGGGTGGGCTTGAATCCAACTAAGATATGTCCATCTTCAATCTTTCATGTTACAAATAGAGAAAATACAGATGATTTACGTTAATGTTATTCCAACCACAAGTATCAAGTTTTACTTTGCTACAAATCTCAAATCATTATATATATATACTAACTATTTGACACCATAATAAATATACTTTAATCTTGTACAAGTCAATTATAAGACAAAATAATAGCTAGTATATATAGGATGCACAAAATGTTAGCACACAATGGATTTAAGACAATAAAGCATGCAGTCTAAGGAACCTGAGAAAAACGTAACCAACCATGCATGTTTGCAATTCAATGATCTTCATCTTCCCTCCAACCTTTTGTCCCATCAAAAATCTAAGTTCCACCTAATGTTTATTATTCCAAAAATCCAAGTATATACAACCATGCATATATAATTTTAATTTAATAGAAACACAACTTATATCAACAAATTTTGTCATTTTCAAAATAACATTTTTAAGGTGAAATATTTGTGTCTTGAATAATACCTATATTTTGAGAATATATTTAATTATGAGGTTTCAATAAGCTAAGGGCTAGACTAATTAATTAAATAACATTGCAATATATATATATATATATATATATAATGAAATTGGTTGATAATATTACTAATTTTTCTACTAGTGTTTGTCATTTTCTATAAAATCAGCATCAGATTCCCATAGTTAAAAAATCATCCCACATCATTCCCTATGATTAATCAAATCATTAGTATTTAATCTATCAATTAATTAATTAATAAGATGGATTATATTTATATATTCATATAGTTCATCTCTTCATAAACCCTTACCCTAACCCTTTGTCCTTTTCTTTCCTTAACTCTTCTATTTTGTTTCTCTGCTCAACTTTCTCGTTTCTTGTTTCTGTCTCTGTCAAAAATATATTTATACATACATATATATATATATACATATAGAGAGAGAAGAATAGAGAGAGAAAAATAAAATTCAAAAGAAACATTGCATGCAGCACTTGCATTGTCATAAACCAATTACAAGTCCCAAAATAACAGAATCCCTAATGGTTCAGATTTAGCAGGCCACGAGGTTGTCATCTTCACAGACAACTTAGTCAAAAAAGTAACAAAAGTTGAAATTCTTGTGAGCCAAAAAAAAAACATATATAAAGAAAAATAAGCACAAAGATATCTTGAAAAATAAAAAACCCTAATGCTCCTCAATTGGACCAATTATATTATGTAGTCCTTTAATTAATTTTTGAGCATCCGTCCATCCTTCATTTTCCACCTATACTTAGTTAGCACCGAGACCCTTTCCGGCAAGTTAGCGCGCCTGCGCCGGAGGTTATGGCGCTCACTAGGGTCGACGGTCGAGCTCCCAAGCTCGACGCTTTGGCGTAGCTCGACGACGCACCGGCCCCGGACGGCGTGAAATAAGCGCCGTTCAACATAAGGTCTCCTTCCGATCTCCAATTCCAACTCTTCCATTCGCTCTCCGGCGCATCCTCGTGCTTAGTCACCTACAAAAAAGTTGAACATTAATATTTTTTGAGAAAAAATATTATATTTTTATAAAGAATTACAATGATTATAAAGTAGAATTAAATTTTAAAAAAATATATATATATATGGTGTCAAATTAGTGGTGTAGCATGTGATGGGATGGAGAAAAAGAATGGACTAAAATTAAATTTGACCAAATTAAATAAGTGGTTGGTGATGGAAGATTTGGGGGTTTATGAAATAGATCTAGACCATTGAATCTGTTGGAATCTGTAGATTCAACGGCTCAGATTGACCCGGGAGTTGGGTATTTTAAATGGGCATACTTGCTTGAATAGGAAAAGCTAAATGTAAGTGTAATAATAAAAAAGTAGATGGAAAAGTATTTATTTAATTATTTCTGCAAGAATTTCCAAATAGTTATAAATACTAACACAACACCCCACCCCACCCCACCCCAACATTATTGGCCCACCTTAAAGTAATTAATTAGTTAATATAAAAAACGACTTTGCAACAACCGAACATAAGAGGGAATTGAATCATTATACCGAATGGTATTAAATGAAGCAGAACATATATATGCTACAACACTATAATAATACTTAAAATAAAATAAAATAAAATAATTACCTCTTTGCTGAACCTGTTATTTGGAGCAAGAAATCTGTTGCCCTGGCTGTTGATGGTGGGTGAAGCACTTCCTCCAATGGCATACATCTCCCAATGGGTGTAGTCATTGTTCACCACATGGAAATACCCATGCCTACATCTACACACACATATTTTAAAAACAAATTAAAAAATTGCCATCATAAAAAACAAAAACAAATCTAAATAATTAATGTATGTACCTGGGCATCCTCTGGACGAGGCCTTCTCCGAAGTGGTTGAAGGCGATGGTGACCTGCATCCCCTTGTCCTGACTGTAGGAATCGCTGTGCCCTAAAAGCATGACCTTGTCGTGGTGAGTCATGTAGTTGTTGGATATGGTGATGGCCGTGGAGCCGTGGATGGCGTCGACCAGCCCGTCCTTGCAGTTCGAGAAGGAGCAGTGGTCCACCCACACGTGGCTGCCGCCGAAGATCGACACGCCGTCGCCGTCCGAGACCGTCCGCCACCCGTAGTGCCGCGGCGAGTCCCGGACCATGGCGTTCCCGCCCTGCTTGCAGTCGTGGATGTGGACGCCGTGGATGATGATGTTCGTCACGTACTGGATCGTGATGCACGGCCCGCCGGCGATGTGAACGCTGGCGCCGCGGCCGTCGATCGTCTTGAAGGAGTTCATGATCAGCTCCTCCTTCAGCTGGATCACCATGTCCCGGGCGAAGATGATCCAGAGGGGCTGCTCCTGGATCACCGCGTGCCGGAGGGTCCCGGGCTTCGGCTCCACGGGGTCGTCGTCGCCGGAGTCCGTCACCACGTAGATCTTCCCGTCGCGCCCGCCGACGGCGTTCTTGCCGAAGCCGATCGCGCAGTCGGCCAGCCGCTGGCGGTTCTTCTCCCACGCGGCGTCGCACCGCCAGCAGTCGTCGATTGGGTTCCCGGTGTTGCACGACAGGAACCCTAATTTCCTCCTCGACGCGTTCAGTTTTCTGCCACATTGTAACATGGAATAAAATAAAATAAAATTCAGGACAATGCTGACAATATATTGATTGATTAATTAATTATGATCATTAGTATTATTATTACAATGGAAGAATTGAATTTGATTACCTGTGGACTTCTTGGACGACCAATTCAGGGTCTTGTAAAGTGGGGAAGGAGGAGGCAATGAGGGAAGGTAGCAGAGGAAGAAGAAGAAGGAGGAAAAGGGCAGAAGAAACCGAAGCTGCCATAGCCATGGCAGAAAAGCAAATTAACAGCGAAGGAAGCAGAAATGATGATGAAGTGGAGTGAAGAGAGTGGGGCTTTATATATAGTGTACGTATGTATATATATAAGATTAAAGCCGGACAAGAAGGAGTGAATTAACTAAACGTAACAGGTAGGCCCTTGTGATTTACTGCTTTTACGGAGAGAGAGAGAGAGAGAGAGAGAGAGAGAGATTATATTTGTGTATCTATATTTATATCTATAGCTATCTCTATGTATGATATATCCTCCTCTGCCAACGGTTTTCACTTGGGAGGTCCTGGACTATGACGAGCGTCTTCGCTGGGAGTGAAGGAATGACGGCGTGGGGAGTCGGGGTCCTGGGAGTGTCTAGCCCGGGATGCCTCCTGGATGTGTTAGTTTTGGTAGTTAATTCTGGACAACATTACAGTACACTACAGACACAGAGGAGAGATGTAATAAAATGTTTTGGTTTAGAATTTTTTTTATTACAATGCAGCTTTTGAAGAGAGAGAGAGAGAGAGAGAGAGAGAGAATGGCTGTGTATAATTTAATCGAGTAAAAATTGGAGGGGTGTTTGATATGATATGATTTGATTTGATTTGGTTTAGTTTAATTTAATTTGATTTAAGGGCAGAGGAGGGCACATGGTCCTATAAAAATAAGAAATTTGTTTGTTTATTTATTTAATTTTAGTTGTTTTTCCTATAAGCAACGCATGCATATGTGTAATCAAGAAAATTGGTGGCTTTATTGGCAAGGGATATTGGTCTTCAAAATTTCCATCATTTAAGCATGCATGTCACTCACATTATTAACTTGGTTTATTTCATTCTCTTTTCTTGTGTGTAAGAAGAAATGGGTTTGTAATAATAAAAATAATAATATATAGTTTTCTTTTTTATTAAGGGAAGATTTTTCTACAAGTACAATTCTTGTGGAAATTGATAACGGGTTGTAGTAGTAGGTTTAGAAAAATTGAAATTGGGTAATTATCATATTTGACTTTTGCTAAAGGGAAAAAGGGCTCTGTCTGATTCCTTCATTTAAGGAGAATCCAATGGAGTAATTCCGTAGATTTATGGTCAATAGTAAAAAGGATGAATTATATATAGGGATATGCCCTTTTTTTATTTTTATTTTTATTTTTATTTTTATCAATAAATTGATTAATTACCTTGACAACAAATAAAAGATTGGATTTTTAATCAGCATCAAATTTCAATTGTCCTTTCTCAGAATATATATATAATTGAAAAGTAAATTTGAGTACAGAACCAATATGCTGTCTGACTACGTTACTATATTTTATAATGAAATTAAAAGTACAACCTAATGTCGATCAATTAAATGTTTGGTAGAAATATCATAAATACTGTTAAGTTATTTAATTCTAATATATAAATACGAAGCACCAACAAATTAAAATTACATACGTAGAAGAAATTGAGCCAATCTTAACTTGGTTTATTATTATATTATTGCCACCCACCGACGGAAATTATAAGTATTTTGGTAGTGGCCCCTATGTATGTGACATTTTTAGTTTCTACTTTATTTGTCACTAACAATGCCTGCCCAAATAAATAAATAAATAATTACTTTCCATATATAATTCAGTTTATAAATTCTTTAATGTTCCTTTTTCATCTTTAGTGTATGTGTAAATTAAACAAGTGTATATATACTTTCAAAAATATTTTATTAGTTATGATAAATAAAATGAATAATTTTATATGTTACTCAGTAACTGCATTTGGGTCTGAATATATATATAAAGAGGAATTGAATTTGGAGGTGCATGTGTAATGTGTTAGTGGAGAATATAATTACTAATTAGGAGTGCACATGCATTGGCTCCAAAAATCAAACTTCATTTATCTCAAAATCAAACATGCCCCGCTTTCCATGCAATTTTTAATATTAATTAATATTTTCAAATCCATAAATTAAATATACATATATATATATTGAACTCATATATTTTACACATATGCCATTTGAATAATTGATATAGGTTTTTTTTTTTAAAAAAAAAAAAAAATCTTTTACTCTACAATCATTGATTGTGTTTGATATGAATTTTTCGTTACTATGAGTAATTTTTATATTATTTGAATCTCTGTATCCGCAAAGTATATGTTTATTATTTTTTGTGTTCCACTTACAAAGAATTTGAGAATAAGAGAGTACGTATTTGATTTCACATAATATCGCAATTGAATATTTAAACACAAATACACCTACAGATTGCTTACGTAATTTAGTGTCATTTGTTGTACTTTTTTTTATTGGAATTTAAATATATCATTCATATATATACATATATTCTCCTCAATCAAAGGGAAAATGAAAACAAAAATTTAGGTAATGGAGAAGACAAATTAAAGTGGGGGGAGGGGGAGGGGGAGGGGGAGGGATGATCATGTGCTGAGTGGTGAGGTCACTTTCGTTAAAGCCTAAAGGTGACGGACTAACCAGGCAAGGCCACGTGTCATGGACACGTGGCGAGAGGAGAGAGGTGCCATCCAATCGCATTTGCATGTTATTGTTAGTCAAGGGGTGGCATTGCAGGTGATACGAATAAATTCGCATCTCTATAACGCTATCATTTATTGCGCCGAACTTTGCGCTTCACACACACTTATTTGACAGTTAGGGAATTATTATAATATTTTATATGATAACTAAAAATCGTTTGGATGTCTTTGTTTTTCTGAAAATAATAATATATTAATATTTTTAAAAAAATGCGTCCCTATTTTTGTTAGAATAAACTTACTTAAAATTATGGGCTTATTCTTCTATGGTTTCAAATTTAAATTTTCTCTCTCCATAATTTTATCATATTGGTCCAGTCAATTTATATACATATTTTATAATTGTAAATTTTTTTTTATAAAAAATAATTTCTATACTTGCGCAATATTATAAATATTGTCATTAAAAACATATGAGTTTAGAAGTATTAAAAAAAAAAACTTTTTATACTTCTTTTATTGTATATAATATTCCCTATTTCCATGAAGTTTATATTTATTTTTTTCGTATTGATATTTGAATATTAATTATTATATTAAAAAGTAGTATAAATTTTTAAAAAATGACAAAAAATTACTTATATTGCCTTATAATACTAATAAAATACTATTTATACAAAAAAAATATACAAATATAATAATATTTTTAATATTAAATATAGTAATGTAAAAAGTAAATATATATAAACTTATTAAATGGACGAATGAACTTATTAAAATTTTAAAATTTACTTGTGCAAAAGAATAAAGAGATAGTAGATGAAGAATAAAGAGATAGTAGATGAAGAGAATATAGAATATCACAATCAATTATTATTTATATATAAATAGAAACATAAATCTACAAAATAAAACATATTGGGTAGTTAAACCTTGAGGCCCATTACGTGGCCTACCAAAGGCCTGTAAATTATTGATGTTGTAATATTTGGGCTTCGTCACTATTTTGGTCCAATTATTTGTTACTACTGATTCCATGAGAAATGTAATACTATCATTTTGATCTTATATATTTTACACTAAATAATAATAATAATAATAATAATAATAATAATAATAATAATAACATTGTAGAAAAAAAAAAAAACAAAACAAAAATAAAGATAGCTATCCATTGATTATTATTATTTTGATGATACGATAATCTTCACTTGCTAATATTCGAATGCGAATCGAATAAACTCTAAATTAAATTGAATAAATTTACGGTCACACGTCCAACCCTTACAGCAACAGATCATTCCCTTACGGGACCTAATGATGACGTGATATTATTGAAATTTCAAGCCATAGGTACAGGCTAAACCTGAAACCCAATGTAATCTTTTATTTTTGTTCATATGAATTTAGTTGCTACAATATCAAATACATCTTGAAGAAAAAATCAAATTATTTTCCATTTGAGCAAAATTTACTCTTTCTTTTTATTTTTTTTTTTTCTGACAGTTGATTGAATTGTATTAAATGCAATGAGAGCAAAATGTGTGACTGACAACCATAACATAAAATAAAAAGTTGGGTACTACAGTGCATGCTCTCTTAAAATTTCTCATTTATGTATGTGTGACAAAAATAAAAATGTCTGATGGAAAAAAAAAAAAAAAAATTACATGATTTTACAACCATAAACACAAATTAAAATTAATTTATTGTTGATTATGCTATGCATAGCCTACCTCATTTTTTGTTTTTCTTGATAAAATAGATGGAAACTGGAATGATTCCAGCATTTATGTGTTCTTCTATTTATATATACTTGAATAAATTGATTATTTATTAATAATAAAAACAGCAACTGTGAAATGACTGAAAATTGTTTGCATTTACTATCAATAATAGAAAAATAATAAAAATAATTCATGGCAATAATGTTTAATGTTATGTCAAGTTACAAGAAATCGGTAACTTTTACTATCATTGAATTAAAAATTGAGATTTCCTTTTGATTATATTTAAAATAATACTAATAATAATAAATAAATAAATTATTGGAAACATAAAAAGCTGCAATTAATATTCTCAGAAGGACGATTCCCCGTAGCAGAGGGAGCGTGCATCCACGCGCCACCCACGGGCTAGTCTTTATTATTGAATGCAATTGGTTGCATTGACAGTGCGAAATTCCAAGACTACTCCTCTACGGAGTAAAGTCCAGCCCAGCCTGACCCGGGCCCGACCCGGCTGCAGTTTTCATGGGCGAATGGCCATCGCCATTGTCAATTTGCTATTCTCAAAAAAGGTCCAAAATGCCAAAAACAAACTCTGCAAAAGTGCAGAGTAAAAAACTGACAAATACACACGAGACAAGGGAATATCTGCAGGCAAAGCTGAAATCATCTTATCTGGAAGGGCTATACCCCATTGGGATTCACCGCTTTCTGTTCCAATTCAATCCGGAGGAAGAGGAACCAATGGAATGGATTAGAGAAGACTTAAAGATTAAACCCCCCATCCCCACCCCCACCCCCACATTCATCCATTCAATTCAATTGGGATCATGCGTTTCACTCTTCCTCATTTATTGCATTCGTCACATTGCCGAGGCAAGATGAGACGAATTTGACCACTGTTTTCCTTTCTCACTCTGCATCGACACTGTGGCTAGGGAGAGAGAGAGAGAGAGAGAGAGACGTTGGTTGTGCAATTGGAACAATAATAATAATAATAAACAGCAATCTTGCCTTGTGGGTCTTCCGGAATTATCGCTTCTGCCTTGAAAATTCTCGTGTGCCTTGCGGATTTCCATGGCAAATCAGACAACGTATCTGTAACTTCTTCTTCAATCCACAGGTTTTGTGTGTTTTTTCCCTTCCAACGTTTTCAAACTTGTCGTGTTTCCTGCCTTGTTTTGTACAATGGAGGGACTTGGATAGTAGAATACTGCTAGTGTGTGTATGGCTATGGCTGGAAGGAACTGAGCAAAATTCAATCTGCAATTTCTTTATTTTTTATCTGGGTTTACAGTTTCGAGAATTCTTTCTTTCTTTTTTTATTATGTATGTGTGTGTATATATATACATTGCCATATTTTGGAACTTGGAGGGAAGACGAAGATGGTTTTTCAACGTGGTGTGTTGAATTTATTTATTTATTATCTTTTGGGGTTGAAGTGATTCAAATGGAGGCTACAGTACTGTTGTTTTCAACGTTTGCTGTGTTGCTCTGCTGAAAAGGGAGGTACATTGTGCTCATCTTTTTGTACGTATGTCTGCCTTCACATTGCTTTTTGAGCTTTTGCCCTTTTGGTGAGTTTCAGGAGAAAAAACAAAAGGTTATTACAGAACATAGCTGCATTTTTTTCTTGCTTGCTTGCATTGCTTACTTCTTTTTCCTGTTTAGTTTTGTGTTGTTGTTTCTTGAATTTGTAGGGCCTAAGTTTTGATTTGCTGATAATTTGCTACTGGCTAGAACAAAATGGTTAAATTTTAATTGTAGAATGACTTTCTGGAATGTTGTTTTTCTCAGGTTTTGTGATTGTCAAAATGTGACTTGGTCTTCTGTTGGTTTGGTTTAGTTTAGTGATAGAAATGGACGGGCGCCGGCATTCTGTCGATGTTCCAATATCCAGGGCATTGGTAGCGCTTAGGAGAGTTAGGTCTTTACGTGATCCAGCTACGAATTCCTTGAGCAAACTGTCTGCCATGAACGATAATTTGGATTGGGAGACTAATTCACACAATGGGATCAATTTAGGATTTGGAAATGGCAGATGCAGCGGCAATGTTGATCAAGACTTGTGTTTTGGTTCGTCAAGACGTTGTTGTAGTTCGAAGCAAGTGTCTCCTGTGGTCTTGAAAGGGGCAGTAGGGGAGAAAAGCGTGCGCCCTCTTGACGTGGAAATGATGTTTCACGACAGAGGATCGCACGATGATGGATTCAGCTTTGGTGATTGCGCTGAAGGAGGGGGTTCTTGTAATGAGCTGGATGATGGTGATGTTTTGAGTCGTGCTGGAAGCCCTTACTCGACGGAAGATAAAGATTTGAAGGAGAAAGAATGCTCGAGGATTCGTGAAATGTTGTTGTACAGAAACAGTGACGCCGGTATGATGGAGTTTTGTCATCAAGGGTGTGGGATAAGCAGCTGCTGGTCGAAAACTATGAGGTTAAGAGACTCGAGTCTCCTTCCCGATGAGGAGCAGCCTCTTACATTAGGCAATGCAGATCATACACGAGTAGCTAGAACCAGCGCGGATTGGAAGATCAACGGCGAAGGAGTTAGTACTACGCTTGTAGAAAGCCCGAGAAGTTTCTGCCAAAAATTTACGCCGAAATCGTTTACTGAATTGGTTGGTCAGAAAACAGTGACGACATCTCTTGTGAACATAATCAACAATCGAAAGATAGCTTCTTTGTACCTCTTTCATGGCCCCCGTGGAACTGGAAAGACATCTGCTTCGAGGATATTTGCTGCTGCGATGAATTGTCTTTCCCGTGACGATGGCAGACCGTGTGGTTCATGTCGAGAGTGTGCCTCGTTCTTCTCTGGACGGTCTAGGGATGTTAAAGAGGTTGACTCGGTGAGAATTAACAGAAAAGAAAGGCGTCGATTGCTGATTAAGAATGCGAGAATCCCTCCGGTGATTTCTAGATTGAAGGTTTATATCGTGAACGAATGCCACCTGATGCTCAGGGAAGCTTGGGCAGATATACTGAATTGCCTTGAGGAGCTTCCCGAGCGAGTTGTCTTTATAATGACCACTCCTAACCTCGACAAGATTCCTTCTAGCGCAGTTTCGAAGTCTCTTGTGTTCCATTTTCAGAAGGTGAAACCGGTCGACATTGGCAACATGTTGGAGAGAATATGTCTTCAAGAAGGTCTTGATCATGATCCCGATGCTTTGAACTTCATAGCTGCAAAGTCGAACGGTTCGCTTCGAGATGCAGAGATGATGCTCGACCAGCTGAGTTTGCTAGGGAAGAAGATAACCATGTCACTAGTGTATGAAGTTGTAAGTATTAATCCATCCTTTCGACTTGTTTATTTGTTGGGATCTCGAGCCTAATTCGATGATTGTTGTTGCAGAATGGATTTGTTTCGAACGATGAACTGCTCGAATTACTGCATCTTGCATTGTCATCCGATGCGTCTAACACGGTTAAAAAGACCCGAGAGCTACTCGAATCAAGGATAGATCCTTTGCAGTTGACGTCGCAGCTGGCGAGCCTCATTATGGACATTCTTGCCGGAAAATGCCCGGAGGGCGTCTCTGAGGTCAGAAGGAAGCTTTTTGGCACAAATAATTGTATGTTTTGCTGTCCCTTGGTTTTACGACGTATTTGTTCTCTATCCGGTTGCTTTCTGTGCGAATAATTTTGTTCGTCGCCACAGCTGAAGCCGATTTGCAGCAACTGAGCTCTGCGCTGAATATACTCTTGCAAACTGAGAAACAGCTGCGGTTGTCGAAGAACCAGACAACATGGCTAACTGCAGCTCTTCTCCAGCTAAGCTCAACTGGATCGTCGTATGATGCAAGCAACGCCAGGTTGAGCGTGAGGACGTTAGAACCACAAGGTGAGAAAAGATTTCGAAAATGCTATTGCATTCGATCGCTATGTAAGATTATGTTGTTGCGCTTCTTGACCAAAGTTGTGTTTTTGTAGATGGTGATTTTCTCAGCACATCTTCGACGGGAGAGAGTTTTAAGCACCGTGAGGATGTTGAAACCGGGAAGGAAGAGCTGCAGTTGGTCTGGACGAGAGCTGCTGGAGTTTGCACTTCGAGTTCTTTCAGGAAGTTCTTACAGAAACATGGGAAATTGGTATCTGTTCGTCTCAATCAAGGTAACCAATCCTCTTTAATGGATCCCATACGTCACCTGTCGTCTGTGATTGAACCGGGCATTGTGTGCAGGTACAGCAGTGGTGGATTTGGAGTTTGATCGCCTTGAGTACGTGTCGAAAGCTGAAAAATCATGGAAAACGATTGCTGGTGCGCTCCAATGCATGCTCGGCTACAACGTCGAGCTAAGAATAAACCTTGCGGCAAACAAACCCAAAGGGTTCAAGAAGGCGCCGTACTTGATCAGGCTCTTCAACTGCTCGCGCAGAGTGAATTTGAGGCAGAATCTTTCAGCAGAGTGTGGGAGCAATGCTTGGGAGAACTCAGATGCAAATGCAACTCCGGCGACACGCGACAAGCCCATCGAGATGTGTTCTTCTGAGTGTGTGTCGTCTGGAACGAAGGACCTCTTCAAGACCATCCGGAGCAACGAAGGGAATGCTTTAAGCATCGGAGCCAGCACTCCTGGAGGGCCATTTCTTTCAAACAGCGTCGATCCATTCGACCGGAGAATCGATGAAGATGGCCTGAGTTCGAAGGAGCTGTCGAGGTTCGAGTGCTGGCGAAACGCCGTGTTCCCATTCCGGAAGGTAATGTTAGGATCTTGATCCGATCTGGCGATGGTTTGTTTTTGCATTGATCTGGTTTGATGAATTGTTTGGGTTTTGTGTTGTTTCTCAGGCATGGCAGCTGAGGAATGAGCAGAGGAATGAGCAGCTGATGGATTATGCCCTGCATTGTGCTTCTGCAAACTAACAATTCTTTTACATAGTAGCAACTACTGATATGTATGGAAAGAGACTCTGATCAATTCAGCAAAATGTGTGTTGATTTATCCTCTACTGTTTTCAATGGATTATGGATTTTGTAAAAACAGCGTTGTTTGTATTATACTATTGTTGTTATTGCCAACCGTTAATTTATTTGTTGTGTGCATTGTAATAATGCTAGTATAGAGATCCGGGGGGTATTCTTGTCATTTTAACACAGCGAAACCCTAACCGCACGCACGGCTCGCCGCGGGGTCTGTAGAAGCGATTCTGGGAGGAATTGTAGGGCACTGCAGGGGATGGCACCGGAGAGGAGGGTGTAGAGGAAAGAAACCCGCTTTAATCGCAAAAGCCACGTGGATACCCTATGCAGGTGATGACGTGTACAAGTAACCGCAGCCTCCCTATTTATTCGCTTCGTTCTCATCCAAATCATTTCTCTCTTTGTCTCTCTCTCTCTCTCTCTCCCCAACAGCACAGAAAGAGTGAGAGTGCCAAGCGCGGTTGGTTAAGTGATTCGATCGGAGAGCGAGCAGACGCGCAGTCGAGTTCGTTCGTGAAGTGCTTCAAGGATCGGAGTCTCGATTGGTTCGATAATCGGTACATCCTGTCTTGGCTCGAGATCCGAGCCAAGAACAGAGGAGTTTTGCCAGACTCGTGAGAGGTAATAGGTGTGAAATCGAGTAGCTTGTGTCGTAAGTATATATCAAGGTGTTGGATTTTACTCAATTTGAAATGAATCGCGGTGTGTTTTTCTGTGTGTTTGTTATTTTGTTGTTTGAGACGATAGGGTTTTATTGAGAAGGGAGGAATATGGCTAGCAGCGAGGGCTTTCTCACGGAGGAGCAGAGGGAGACGATGAAGATAGCTTCGCAGAATATGGAGGTGACGCCGTCATTGATGTTGTCGTCGTCGCCGAAATCCCCCCGGCCCAGGTCTCCCGGTCAGAAATCTCCCGGACAGAACTTGTCGTTTCTGTCGGAGCACCACCACGTCAAGGCCCCGGGTGGAGGACATTCGGCTGCAGTTGGGGGCGTGGCGGTCAGGCATGTTCGCCGTTCCCACTCTGGAAAATTTATCAGAGTTAAGAAGGGTAAGAACTTAAAGGAATTCATTTTGATTAATTTAGTCAATTTGGTATGTAGTTTTTTGATATTGTGGACCGCAGGATGATACTACGCAGTAGTGTTTTCTAGTGTAGGGATTGGCTTGGTATAGGCTTGGATGCCTTTATCGAGTCAGAAACTGTCCACGATGTTGCTTCCGCTAACATCACTATAATATCTTCCTGAGATTTGGTTTTTTGCTAAGCAGTGGGTGAAAGATGAATGGTGTTGGATCATTTACGACTTGATGGTTTATGCTCTTTGTAACATTTAACTAACTGGAATAAAGGATTTGCTGTTTGGATTTGCTTTTGTTGCTTGAACTTAGTAGTGTTATAGCAGTCTACCAATTTAATCACGGAAAGAAGCATTTTAGCTTCCATTCAATTTCTATGTCCTTAACCATGGGCTTTATAATACTGAATTGTTAGGTGCGCATCATATGATGCATAAGGAATAGATGCTAAGCAACTGCAGGATAGTGTTGGATGTCTACCTTCTGAATGAAGCATTTGATATCTGCCTGGAACAAAAATAATCCCTGCTTTCTTTGTATATAAATGCCCTTAAAAATGCTGACTAGCTCCCATTTTGATAACTATAGGAGCACCACCAATGGAGTAGTTTATCAAGAAGGGTTGATAATAGATCAGGCAAAGACGGAACTGCAGAAGATACATTGAGTTATTTCAGTTGAATATTTTCAAGCAAACTTGGGTTGGGTTATCTGGATGCTCTACTCATTGTGATTTGTATATAAGAAAATGCTTCTAAACCTAAACACACAGAAGGAATGTCAATCTCTAAATAGGTTACTGGTATCTCAGGTTCATTTAAAGGAACTATCTAGTGCACGGAACTAAAGTAGCCTAAATCCTGATATCATAATTTACTATGAAATGCTGCTATTTGTGATCTATCATGCTCGTTAATCATTCTAACCATGGTGGGGTGCATCTGCAGTTAATATGCACATTTACATCCACTCATTTAAGCTACTCGATCAACAATGTACCTGCTGAGCGATTGAACAGAAAGTTTCAGTTAGGCTTTGTGTATTAAATGGGTGCCTTGTGCATAGTGCCTAATCATTTGACCACTAGGATCTAGTGAATATATATTTTTTATTCTCTATTCTTTCAGCGCACACTAGTTATAATTCCATGCCGATTGGTCAGTTAGTTATAGTGCCCTGAGAGACACCCTTAGGTCATAAGAAATCAATGAATTTATTGTTTTTAACTTTTATGTCTATGAGCTTTGAGATTGTGCTCCAAACCATAATTTGTCGTTTGTCTTGTAAATCAGTTTGTTTAGTTGCGAAGTAAGAGGTATGTTTTTATGTTTGAAGCTTTTGTCGTTATTCACATTCCATATTGAATGTTTGTGCATATATCTGATTGATATAGATGGAGCTGGCGGTAAAGGCACGTGGGGCAAACTACTTGACACTGGTGGTGAATCTTGTCTTGACCGAAATGATCCCAACTATGACAGTGGTGAGGTAATTGTGCATATAATAACCTATTTCTTCTTTTGCCTATATTTAAGATCTTTCCGTTGATTCATTCTATAATTCTCACTCCGTTAATTGAATAGGATCCTTATGAGCTTATTGGATCAACTGTATCCGATCCTTTGGATGAATACAAGAAAGCAGTCGCATCCCTAATTGAAGAGTACTTTTCCACCGGTGATGTAGAAGTAGCTGCTTCTGATCTTAGAGAACTAGGATCAAGCGAGTATCATCCTTACTTCATCAAGCGCATTATCTCCATGGCCATGGACAGACACAACAAAGAGAAGGAGATGACTTCAGTTCTGCTATCTGCTTTGTATGCTGATGTTATTAATGCTGCCCAGATTAGTCGGGGCTTTTTCATGCTGCTTGAATCTGCCGATGACCTGGCTGTGGACATACTGGATGCTGTTGATGTCATTGCTCTATTTCTTGCTCGAGCAGTGGTTGATGACATTCTAGCCCCAGCTTTCATCACGAGAGCCAAAAAAATGCTTCCAGAAACATCCAAAGGATATCAGGTTTTGCAAATTGCTGAGAAAAGCTATCTCTCCGCCCCGCATCATGCAGAGCTGGTTGAACGACGGTGGGGCGGTAGTACTCACCTCACTGTTGATGAGGTGAAGAAAAAAATTGCTGATCTCTTGAAAGAGTATGTTGAAAGTGGAGATACTTCCGAGGCCTGCAGATGCATCAGACAGTTGGGTGTTTCCTTTTTCCATCATGAAGTTGTGAAAAAGGCCTTGGTTCTAGCAATGGAGATTCGAACTGCAGAGCCCCTCATCATGAAACTACTGAAGGAATCAGCAGATGAGGGACTGATAAGTTCGAGTCAAATGGTGAAAGGTTTCTCTCGATTAGCAGAGAGCCTGGATGATCTAGCGCTCGATATCCCTTCTGCCAAAACAATGTATCAGACCATTGTTTCCCAGGCAATATCTGAAGGATGGCTTGATGCATCCTATGGGAAATCTTCTGGCGAGGATGGCGAGAAACCAGACAAGAATGAAGAAAAGCTGAGGCGCTACAAGAAAGAAGTTGTTGCCATTATCAACGAATATTTCCTCTCGGATGATATCCCTGAACTGATTAGAAGTCTTGAAGACCTAGATATGCCTGAATACAATCCAATTTTCCTCAAAAAGGTCATAACGCTAGCCATGGACAAGAAAAACCGAGAAAAAGAAATGGCGTCAGTTCTCCTATCCGCACTCCATATAGAGATATTCTCGACCGACGATATAGTCAATGGTTTTGTTATGCTATTGGAATGCGCAGAAGACACTGCTCTTGACATTCTAGATGCATCCACCGAGCTTGCCTTCTTCCTGGCGAGAGCTGTTGTAGATGACGTCCTTGCTCCCCTCAACTTGGACGAGATCGGCGGTATGCTGCTGCCAAATTGCAGCGGTACTGAAACTGTGAGTCTGGCCCGGTCCCTCATAGGCGCGCGGCATGCCGGGGAGAGGATCCTGAGGTGCTGGGGCGGTGGCACCGGGTGGGCTGTGGAGGATGCCAAGGACAAGGTCCAGAAGCTTCTCGAGGAATACGAGAGCGGGGGAGTGGTGAGCGAAGCCTGCCAATGCATCCGGGATCTGGGCATGCCGTTCTTCAATCACGAGGTGGTGAAGAAAGCGCTGGTGATGGCGATGGAGAAGAAGAACGACATGAGGATGCTGGAGTTGCTGCAGGAATGCTTCGGCGAGGGGCTCATCACCATCAACCAGATGACGAAAGGCCTGAGCAGGATCAAAGATGGGCTGGACGATCTCGCACTTGATATCCCCAACGCCAAAGAGAAGTTCGACGTTTACGTAGACTATGCGCGCAAGCACGGCTGGCTCCTGCCGTCGTTCGGCTAGGCTAGACACTAGGCTAGGACAGGACTCAACTCCCGCCGCCGTCGTCGTCGTTGTTTGTCTTTTGGCCGTCTGCCCTCTTGTGGGGTGGTTGGCTTGTTTTCTTTCTTCCTCAATACCTCCCCTCCCATGTCTCTCATATATCCATCCTAAGGACTTGTTCTTTTCCCCAGAAGATATATGTAATGTGTTGGCCATTTTATGTGTGTGAAACGTTTTCTCTGTGTCTGTCATGTACAAATTATTAATCTTCATTTGCTTTTGAATTAGAATTACTACTGCTGCTTTGTTTTATTCTTTGATCTGTTTGAGTCCAATTTTGTTCAGTTTTTATGGCAGATATTTTTGCCGCATCTTAGAAAATTGTGCAAAATATAACCATTTTTGTGTAAAATTGGTTGCTATTGTTGTTATTTAGTTGTAGTATTATCTTATTGTTAGCATTCTTTGTTAGTCCTCCTCGTATTTTATAGAAATATATATTTAAATAAATAAATAAAGAAAAAGGAATAAAGAGGAGATTGAGCGGAGCGTTGCGGTGGGTGACCTACGGGGGGATGTCTCAACCGCAACCTTCCGCCGCCGATGCCTCGGCCAAGATGCAGCAGTCGAGGCCGATTGTTCTGGCCGACCTCAACGTTGACCCGCCGGAAATGGACGCATGCGTTTTCTCTTCTTCCTCCTCCTCGCCGATTCCAGTTTCCAGGTGAGTTCGCCGCTCTCGTTACTGCTTGCGAGTGTCTTAAGTGAAAACTCCCCTTCGTTCATTGTGACTTGTTTGTATTTGGTTCATTCGGTTAATTAAAAGTTTGGGAATTCGTATTTAAGCAGTTCTGGGTTACACCTATAGATACAATGGCTGCTCATCTTGAACAAGGAGACTAATTTTGAGACAAGTAAATATCTGCAGTAGGCTGTTCTTGGGGAAAATTTTCCGCGCAAGGAATTATTTTAATAATTTCGGGTTCTTGAATTGCTTCTTGAGTGTGGATCGATCATGATGAAGACAGTGGTATTTAGTTTTTCTAAATGACAGTGTGGGGGAAAGGAACCTAAGAAATTGATTTTTGCTCGGACGACTTTGGATTGTGAGAAAGATTGAACTTTTGGATTTATTTAGTGTTGCGCGTTATTTGTCTTATTCAATTAGGAAATTTGGTTTTTTTTTGTTCTTTTTGTTTTGTGCGAGTTCTCCAAGCATTATATGCAAGGAAGTATTCAGACTATGTACCTATATTTTCCATACATTATGCTGTGTAAAAGAATAAATAGTTGGAATTTGCTCAAGTGATAAATGATAAACACTGCTTGAATGTATCTTGATCAGTCTCTGTCCATGCCAACAACATTTTCTTAATCTTAATTCTCTTTTCCTTAGCTTCATTTCCGATTTCTGTTGTTTCCTTGCATTCCCACATTTTCTTTGTTAGTGTATCAGTAAATCAAACTGAATAACTGCAACAATAACCTTTTGAGTTCTGCCTACCTTATTTGCCAAGTCAAATCAGGTAGTCAATTGATACGGAGGAAATAACATTTAATGCTGCGTTTCCTTTCGCTAAGAATCTAGTAAAAGGTGCCTCTTTTATTGATTCCCAAACATATTGGTTTTCTAGGACAAATGTTGATGAGACTATTCTAGAAAAAGTGGGTTCTGTGGGAAAAGATGCTGAGACATTGGATGTTGAGGCTTCGCAGCCCAAGAAAGTTGCGAAGATCCGATCAAAATCATGTAAGTTGGAGTATCCCCCTGACTGCAATGGAGCTGATGTAGATGACCAAACTAATCAAGGGGGCAGTTCTCGTGAGGACAAAGTCAGCAGTCTCAAAACTGTGAGTTTTTTTGTCTTCACATATTTGACATAGTGTTGTATCACATTCTAACAAAGAACATCAAGAAAATAAAAGAAACAAGAAATACACACTCAGAAACATTACTTGTTTTGTTTGTTTCTTGGAATATGTTATATATAAGCAGCTTGATTTGAATGAGCTTAAGATGTGGATTGAAGAGTTTCTTGTTTCTCTTGGGTTTATAATGATTAGTTATATTCCGATTGAAAGGAGAGACTAACAAATTCTTGACAAAGTAGAAGGCTCATCCTTGCCTTACCTGAGTTGGCTGTTTATGAGCACTGAGCAGCATGCTTACAAAACATATGTTTTCAGGGTTTGATACATGTAGCTCGAAAGATGCCAAAAAATATGCATGCCCATTTCATACTTGGCTTGATGTACCAGAGAATGGGTCAACCTCAGAAGGTACACATTTTCTCATGCTTATTTGTCATGTTTATTCTGTTGATGGCATTTGCTTTATGCCAATGACTGTAGGCAATTTTGGCATATGAAAAAGCCGCAGAGATATTGCTACGCTCCGAAGAAGAAATTGACCGACCAGATTTGCTCTCTGTGGTGCAGCTTCACCATGCACAGGTTATGCTGAATGTGATAAGCGTTCTAAAGTTTTGTTTTCTGGCCACATAAGCAATATTTTTTTTTTGTACTGTTCCAAGAAGTAATATGCTGTCACATGATTGTGTAATCAGGTATGAGTATGATATCTTTTTCTGTTTGCTGATTTCTGTTTGTTGTTCTATTTCATGTGCAGTGTATACTGTTAGAAAGCTTGGAGAATTGTAACTCAGATAAAGAACTGGAACCCCAGGAGCTTGATGAAGTTTGTTCCAAGCTTAGGGAGTCCATTGAGTTAGATGTTAGACAGGCTTCTGTTTGGAACACACTAGGTTCAATACTTATTCGAACTGGCCGCTTGCAGGTGCAAATAGAAATAGTTTCTTCATTAAAAATTGCAAAAACTTTTATCTAGTCAGTGATCTAACATGGCTTCTGGTCTTCCATAGAGTGCTATATCATTATATTCTTCTTTGCTGGAAATTGTCCCTGACAACTTGGATGGCCTTGGAAACCTTGGAGTTGCTTATTTCCAAAGGTAAAGAGGTTCTATACAATTCAGTGATAGAAAAAGTCTAAATTTGTAGCTTTGATGATGATGAAAAAGCATTCAACTTGGTTTTGATGACTGCTAGCGTGATAACTATTTTCCCTGTAGTGATTTAAAATTTTAAGAGATTTTCGATATAATACAGTCTCTAGACTTAAGTTGCTAACAACAATTAAACAACATTTGTGCCTCAAAACTGTTTTGCGTACATAGTTCTCTTTGTTTATTTAGTTGCTAACTTGACTATTTTAATAACTCGTGCTCCAGTGGATGTTTGGAACTTTCAGAGAAGTGTTTCCAAACTTTGTTACTGAAAGATCAGAATCATCCTGCAGCTTTAATCAACTATGCTGCCCTACTTTTGTGTAAATGTGGTTCTGTTATTGCAGGTATCACTTAAATCTAACAGAAGTTAGGCTGTCAAAATTTTGTTTCATATGGATATTTCTGTAGATGTGGTCCATTATCAATGTTATTAAGGGAGCCCAAGCATCTACTTAAATCCCTTTTTGACAGTGTTATCATTGAATCCAAATCTGCAATGATAGGTGCTGGAGCTAATGCTGATAGTGGGACTTATTCCAATCAAGTTGTGGCTGCTAATGTTGCTAGAGAGTGTTTATCAGCAGCTGCCAAAGCCTATCCTCGAGCAGCCCATATCTGGACAAATTTGGCCAATGCATATTACTTGATTGGTGATCATAAAACTTCCAATAAGTGCTTGGAAAAGGTACCTCAATTCATTACGTCTAAGAATGCAAATTATAAGTTATAAGTCTCTCATCTTTATAAATGGTCTTCCTCGATGGATAAAAAACTACCATTTTATAGTTCCTGCTAAGTCACATGTATTTTGCAGATAAATGTAGCTTTATCCTTTACTACACCTGTCCTCTTTAGTGTGAAATGGCTGTTAAACATCTTGTTTTCACAGTCGTAAGTATTTATTTTATTCTGTAGGCTGGGAAACTGGATCCAAATTGTTTGGCCACACGATATGCAGTTGGAGTTCACCGAATTAGAGATGCTGAAAGGTCCCAGAATCCTGATGAGCAGCTTATTTGGGCAGGAAATGAGATGGCTTCTGTAATAAGAGAAGGAGATTCCATCCTCTCAGAGCCACTAATAGCATGGTCAGGTCTTGCAACGGCCCACAAGGCTCAACATGAGATTGCAGCAGTATTTGAGATTGATCCAAAGGAATTACATGAAGTTAAAGAGCGTGCTATGTGTAGTCTAAAGCAGGTTAGTTATCTGAACAACATCTTCATTTCTGAAGGTTATTCAAAACAAAATGAATTTTTGTGGTCAAACAAAGTATAAATCATAAAGTAAGTATATTAAACCGGTGTTTAGGATGAAATCTTATGCAGATTGGGTCTTTTGTCTAGTGTAATTGATATTTAGTGCATTCTCGAGTCTCACATCGTTTGTGAGGTCACTTGGGCTGTGAATTCAGTGTTGGAGAGATGAACGTTCAGTAGAAACTTAGTGCTAATACACAGTTGTCGAAATTAGGCAGTAGGAGAAGATCCTGATGATGCTGTGCAGTGGCATCAATTCGGCCTTCATTGTCTTTGTACACAGCAGCTCAAACTGTCTCAGACATATCTCAAGGCAGCAGTGTCTCGTCAGAAGGACTGTGTCTACGGGTGGTCCAATCTTGGTAATCACAATTGCTAAGTATCCACAGAACTTTTAAGTGGTTAATGTTTCCTTCCTTGGTTGATTTCATTGCCTCACCAGGTATCTCACTTCAACTTCTGGAGGAATCTTCTCAAGCAGAAGAAGTATATAAGCATGCGCTGTCTTTAGCTACAGCACAACAGGCACATTCTATTTTCTCAAACCTAGGGAATTTCTATCGGCAGTTGAGGAAATATGAAAATGCAAAGGCAATGTTTAGTAAAGCTCTTGAACTGCAGCCTGGTTATGCTCCAGCATATAATAATCTTGGTCTCGTGTTTGTAGCCGAGGGTCGTTTTGAAGAAGCTAAGTTCTGCTTTAACAAGGCGATTGAATCGGATCCATTCTTGGATGCAGCTAAATCTAACATAATAAAAGTTGCTAGCAGGTGCAAAACTGATACAAGTTTGCATTCAGGTTTCATGTTTGATTCAATGAAGTGAAAATTCAAGGTAAAATCTGGTCCTCCATTATAGAAGTAAATTGAGATACCTTTCTATTTGAAATTATCCATGCTGTCATATTCCTGGCATACAATACTAAAACCTATCAAGTGTCATAACATAAATAATTGAGTAGCTTTCTCTTTTCCTGGATGTCCCACTCCTTGGGCTGTAAATTGTAACAATGCACTAGGATTACTTGTAATAGCTTTTTTTCTGAACTACCACGACATGTCTTGAATGCTTTGTTGTTGAATCTCTCACCCTTTTTCTCCCGTAGGTCTAAAGTAAGGTTAATGGGGATGGACATGCACTGATCATCAACGACAAAGCAGGTTGGAATGCTACAACTAACTCTTTAGGCTAATCTAGTTGTTCTATTTTCTTGCATTGAGCCATTTTGGGATTTCTACGAAATGCAGGAAGAGAATTAATGAGTTAAGGGTCAAAGTGGGTCGCTGTGTTGTGTCTTCTTCAGCATCCATAAGTTCCTTATGTGAATAGTGGTAGCACGATTCCATTTCCCTTTGGCGGCGTGGTGTATTCTGATGAACAGCCAGGTCCCAGCTGCTCCTCCCATCCCAGCAGCATCTCTGCCTGCCATGTTTTTGTGAAGAATGTTGATTGAGAGGATGAAATGTACTTGTTGTATTTTGGGGTTGAAAGTTGGTTAACACAAATTGGCAATTGTTGGGCAAGGAAGGAAGCAGCAATGTTGTTGGAAGACTAGACTGGCCACCAGCAGCAGTGCAGTTGACATAATAGGATTCTAGAGTCAACCCGTTGGGACTAGACTAATAAATGTTGTAATTTGTGAAAAAGATGGGAAAAGATGGATGGATGGATGATGATGACTCTTGGTTTGTTCTTGGAAGTAGTCTCTTTCGATGTGCTGCTACTGCCCACTGACTCATTGTGCAATCAAATTTCATTCCCAAAATGATTCAAGTCATGTCATGTCATGTGGGGAGAGAGACAAATCAACATACTTAGATAAAGAAAGCCTGATTCTTGAATCCTAAGTTAAAACAGTAGGAGTGGCCGGATCATATCAGATCGATCATGGGAAAACAAACCCCAGCTGGTTTTCTTGACAAATCCCATTCCATGTCGAGGAAATTACACGACAAAGAAACATATAAGGAAAGCCTGATATTCTTGAACCTTGAGTTAATAAAGAGTATGTGTGAGTATGGATATGCATTGCTCGAATGGCCCATAATAGGAGAGGATCGGATCGTTCATGGGAAAACAAACCCCCAGCTGGTTTTCTCGACAAAAAAATTCCATTCCATGTCGAGTAAATTACAACTTGTAGTAATAATAATCATAATAAATTACTTACACGAATCCATAAAAATAAGGACGGGGACGATCAATCTCAGATTTCTTTCTTTCTTTCTTTCTTCTCATCTTCCCCACTGTGTTTCTCTCTCTGTAACTTTTCTCTCCTCTGGACTGGACTTTCGTGGCTATAAATACAATTCCCACAACACTATTACAATAATAATATTATTATATTATTATCCAATTATTCGTTTTGGGTCGCTTTCCTTTTTCTTTCATTTCCTTTCATGCGTTTTGCTTTCTTGATGTTATCGACAACCCCTTTTGTCCAATTTTTCTGAAACCCTAGTCCCTCATCGATGCATGGTACATGAAAAATGGAATCAAATTCTTCTTCTTCTTCTAAACTGCCCGTAATCGTCAGACCCTTCGTGCTCTTCGTCTTTATCTCCCTCCTCTTCGTCGCCTTCCTCTCTTTCTCCTTCTCCTTCTCTTTCCAGACCAAAAAGACCTTCAACAACAATTTCTCGTCGGAGGAGAATCTTCCGGCGGATATCCGGATCCGGCCCGGGTACTCGTCGTACGACGCGTACCTGGAGCGGCAGCTGAACAAGACCCTCAACCCGAAGCTCCGGCAAATCTGGACGACCCGCGATTGGGATCGCAAGGTGAGGGTCTTCGCCGGATTCTTCGCGGACCTGAAGCAGAGGGGGCTCCTGTCGAACGGGTCCAAGTCGCTCTGCATCGGGGCCCGGGTCGGGCAGGAGGTGGCGGCCCTGAAGCGGGTCGGGGTGTCGGACTCGGTGGGGATGGATCTGGTGCCGTCGCCGCCGCTGGTGGTGAAGGGGGACTTCCACCGGCAGCCGTTCGGGGACGAGACGTTCGATTTCGAGTTCTCGAACGTGTTCGACCACGCGCTGTACCCGCGGAAGTTCGTGGGGGAGATCGAGCGGACGCTCAGGGGGGGCGGGGTGTGCGTGCTGCACGTGCTGCTGTCGCGGCGGGCGGATAAGTACTCGGCGAATGATCTGTACAGTGTGGAGCCGTTGAAGGAGCTGTTCCGGAGATCGGCGCTGGTTCAGGTGAGGAAGATCGATGGGTTTGGGTTGGACACAGAGGTGGTTTTCAGGAAACGATGACACTGGGAAGAACTTGGTTTCGATTTGATTTGATTTGCTGTCTCTCTGTCTGTCTGTCTGTCTGTCTGTCTTCTTCTTCTTCGATTCAGTTCCTTCCCTTACACTTGGTTTTTTTTGACAAATTGATTGATTGATTGATTGTATACAAAATTGTATTCAATATTGATTACTAGTTGATTGATTGCTTGCTTGTATCATCAGAATTAAATGAAGAAAGAAAGAAATATCCATAGTTGATTTTTTGTTCATTACCTTACATTGTTGATCTTGAGAAAGGGTCATCTGTAGATGAGGATCAGATGAAGGATTGAAAAGAAAGAAAGATTGATACTTGATTGCATGTTTCTATTTAATTCTTGAACTTGAAAAAGTCTTGTCTTTTTTGATCTGTGATGGTAGATGTAGATGTAGTATTTGCAGCAATAATACAGCTCTATATTGGAACACACGCACACACATTAATTGAACTTGGTACTTATGCTGGCATAGCTGGCGAGGGAGAAGTGAAGAATCAATGGAGTGGGTAATTAATTAGTTAATGCCAGTTGGAGCGGATGGATTGAATGAGAGAGAGAGAGAGAGGGGTGTTGATGAGATGAGAAACCAGCTGTGTTGATGGGAAACCAGTTGGAGCGGATAAGGAAGGTAGACTGCGGAGCAATGGGAAAAGCCACCTCACCCCATCCATCAAATAACCATGATAATAATAATAATGGAAAAGAACAAAAAGGGAGAGGAGAGGAGAGTCGAGTCGAGTCTTGTCTATCCTATGATTGAAGTTAGTTGTTAATTAATCTGAAATGCAATTCATGGTGGAGGACAGAGTGAGAGAGTGTGGTTGATTTATTAGATACAATTTTCTCAGGGGGGAGACTGACTGGAATTGGAATTGGTAGAATTGGATTGATTGATTGATTGATTATGCAAGTATTATATGTATCCATTCATTCATCCACCCCAATTAATTACTGTACAATATAATAGGTGTAATTAATGTCAACTCTGTCTGTCTGTCTGTCTGTCTGTATCCCTGTTGTGTTGCGGGGAGTTAATATTGAATAGCCTTTTTCACCCTGCCACTGCTCACAAACACTTGATTCATCACAAGTACAAATACGAATACAAATAAACAGATAAATGTCTGTGGCCGGCCATGCATATGCATATCCATCTTTCTTCTAGTTTGTTTCACCCTCTTTCTTGTCTTCTTCTACTTCACTTCCGATAATACCCATATGGATATTATTATTATTAAGAAAGAAAGAAAGAAAGCAAGAAAGAATGAATGAATGATCCTTTCTTGTAGTTTACACTGACAAAACGCACACCACCGAATCAATCAAAATACAAGACACAGACAAAGAAGAAGAAGAAGAAGAAGAAGAGCAGCTGCAATACCAAGGCCCCATCATCGGCGACTCCAATGTCTGCCATTCGTCCTCTCTCTCTCTCTCTCTCTCTCTCTCTCTCTCTCTCTCTCTCTCTCCTCCTCCCTCTTCTCTCCCATCCTTCAAAAACCCTTCTTTTTTCCTCTCCTTTTCTTTTCTGTTCCTTTAATTAAAGCCCTCAAATCAGTTCCTTCTGGCATGCCTCATCTCCATTCCTTGCTTCCTTCTCCAGAGCTTCATTGACTGATTCGTTCAAAATTGGACTGGACATGGAGAAGAAGACCAAGTCGGGCAGATATAACAATACCAACAACAACAACAACAATCATACTAACAATAATAATAATAATAATAAGAGGCGTGCGGACCCGAATCGAAGCCTGGAAACGCTCTTGGTTTTGGACAAAAATGTTAAAGGGCAGAAAACCACCACCACTGCCGCCGCCACCCAGCAGCCGACGAGAAAGCTGATCCCCGGGCACGGCCTCGAATTCAACAACTTATCCTACAGTGTACTGAAGAAACACAAGTCGAAAGACGGTGGTGCCTGGATCAACAAGGAAATCTACCTTCTCAACGACATCTCCGGGCAGGCGATGCGCGGCGAGATCTTCGCCATTATGGGGCCCAGCGGAGCCGGGAAATCCACTTTCCTCGACGCCTTGGCCGGCCGGATTGCGCAGGGGAGCCTCCAAGGCTCTGTCAGAATCGACGGCAAGCAAGTAAGCGATAAGTAGTATAATTCAGATCGAGAACTCTCGACTATGCATGTCCTTCCTTGATCAATAAGTATCGATGCGATGCTATGATATGCAGGTGACGACGAGTTACATGAAGATGATCTCATCGTACGTTATGCAAGACGACCAGCTCTTCCCCATGCTCACCGTCTTCGAGACCTTCATGTTCGCTGCAGAAGTGCGGCTTCCTCCTTCCGTCTCCACGCTCGACAAGAAGAAGCGAGTCATCGACCTTCTCGACCAGCTCGGCTTGACTGTAAGAACATGCACTTCTTCTTCATCTTTATCCTCTATTTAACAACTTCGACTTCAGCTTGTCTGTATGTTCTGCTGCTGCTGCTGCTGCAGAGTGCAACGCACACGTACATCGGCAACGAAGGCACGAGAGGGGTCTCCGGAGGAGAAAGGAGAAGGGTCTCAATCGGCATCGACATCATACACAAACCATCGCTCCTGTTTCTCGACGAGCCCACCTCAGGACTCGATTCCACCAGCGCCTTCAGCGTCGTCGAGAAGGTCAAGGACATCGCCAAGGGCGGCAGCATCGTCTTGATGACGATCCACCAGCCCTCCTTCAGGATTCAGATGCTCCTCGACCGTATCACTGTCCTCGCAAGGTTTACGATACGATAAGATACAATCATCTTTGTCTTTTTCTTTATTTTCCTTCTTTCAGCATATGTAAAACACATAATTGGTGTCCAAATTCTACTGCAGAGGTAGACTGATATACCTGGGGAGCCCAGCCGATCTCCCGGCCTACCTTTCCGGATTTCAGAGGCCGGTTCCGGAAGGCGAAAACCCGACAGAGTATCTCCTTGATGTCATCAAAGAGTACGACGAATCCACTGTAGGACTCGATCCGCTTGTTCTGTATCAGCGCGATGGGATCAAGCCGGATCAAGTGGCTAGAACTCCAGTTCCAAAAGGGCCGAGAAGGCCTAAAACTCCGATGATGACTCCTCAGGGAAGGAGTCCATGGATGAAGCATATAAGCCTTCGCAGCACTCAGTTCTCCAACGGAAACATGAATGCTCGAGCAGACTCACGATCAGGACAGTTCGATTCCAACGATGATGATGATGATGACGAAGAAGAATTCGATGCCTCCCTGGAACGGAAAAGCAGCAGAACAACACGGACACATGTGAGCTTCCAGAGCGGAGTCTACAACCAGCGTTTAGCTTCTCACTTCTACAGAGACTTCTCTACGTGGATCTATCAGGGTGTCACAGGGACACCTCGCCGGCCTCCGACGTGGACTCCGGTGAGAACTCCGACGCAAACTCCTGGAAAAACACCGATGTCTAGTTCAAGAAGCTACTTTGCTCCACCCCCGCGTGCAGTGAGGTATCAGACTCCAGTCTTTAGCCCGGCAACTGATTCGAATACGCAGTCTTTTGAGGAGTTCACCGTAGCAGAAGAAGTGCTCGATGAGCCTGAGAACAGGAAAAAATTTGCCAATCCATGGCTTCGAGAAGTGGCAGTTCTGTCGTGGAGAACTGGGCTGAATGTGATACGAACGCCGGAGCTTTTCTTGTCCAGAGAGATTGTACTCACTGTCATGGCACTGGTGCTGTCATCTCTGTTCAAGAATCTCCATGGACATGACTTCAAAACGATCAACAAGCTTCTGAATTTCTACATATTCGCCATATGCCTTGTGTTCTTCTCTTCCAACGATGCTGTCCCGACATTCATCCAAGAGAGGTTTATCTTCATCCGCGAGACATCCCACAATGCGTATCGAGCTTCTTCTTATGTCGTCTCCTCTCTGTTAGTGTACCTCCCGTTTTTCGCAATCCAGGGGTTCACATTTGCAGCAATCACGAGGTACATACTCCGACTGCACAGCAGCATCGTATACTTCTGGTTGATCCTCTATGCTTCGCTCATAACAACGAATGCCTATGTGATGCTCGTGAGCGCGATGGTGCCGAGTTACATCACTGGTTATGCGGTAGTGATCGCCACGACAGCTCTCTTTTTCTTGACGTGTGGATTTTTCTTGAAGTCATCGAAAATCCCGATTTACTGGAAATGGCTGCACTATATATCTGCAATCAAATATCCTTTCGAGGCGCTGCTGATAAGTGAATTCAAAGGCACAAGGTGTTACAAAGGCAAACCTGAAGAACTCACACCGGGGCCTCTGGGAGACATCAGAATCAGCCAACTGCACAACACATCGATCACCGAGCTCAAACCAGACTGCATGTTGATTGGGGAAGATATATTGTTCACCATGGGCATCCATAAGATAGAGAGTATTTGGGTTGATATAGGCATTCTGCTGGCATGGGGTGTTCTTTATCGACTCTTCTTCTACGTCGTTCTCAGGTTTTACTCCAAGAATGTGAGAAAATGAAGCATCAATTGCCAGTGCATTACTTACTCTTTTCAATCTAAATGTCTGCAACTATTCAAATAGATATGGCTGTACTTGTTTGGTTCAAAGAGTTACCTCAAAGGCAAGATTGAGCTCCCAGGCGCAAAGGTAAGAATCAGTTTTGATTCCAACAACTTTCAGATTCTTCACGACGAAATGAATTGTTCTTCTGATGTAACATGTTTTAAGCAGAGGCCAAAGAAACAACATCAACTTCATTACCAATTTTTGTAATAGACTTGTAACGTTCTGCACCTGCATCTGTTACTGCCTGCTTGCCCTTGAACCCCCGAGCAGTGGCTGCGCCTGTGCGGTTCGTCTGCATTTCTTTATAGCATGATTCTCATCACAACATGATTTGGACATGATAATAAACATTTAGGCTTATACAATCTAATGCTGCTGAGAGAAAAGACAAAATGATCTGTGGAAAAACCTGCTAAGTGTTCATATAAAAAGCCATGGATTGGATGTGATCATCCATGACAAAATTCCATTGATCAACTATGAAAACAAGGTCATTTCACATACAAATTGCTCGTGCTTGAAAAACATATTGGCTTATACATAGATTCTTAAATAATCAGAAAACAAACCTCTGGCGCAACGTAGCACGCCAGTTTCTGCAACTTTTAGTGTGATCCAATTTGAACTCAGACAAATGGCACTGTAAGATGGCAAAGCATAGCACCATATGGTTCGATAAAATCATGCTTCTACATCTAGATGCCTTTCTTCACATTTTCTCATCAGCCCATCAATCTCAATCTCTCCGGATAAGTTTTATTGATACAAAATTTGTTCTCATGACTTATTTTAACAAGCACTGCAATACATTGCTTACAAAAACCAATAGGAATACATGAACAGTAGTTTTTTTGCATTACATGGAGGAAATTTCATTGCAGGCTTTTGCAAACACTAAATCAAGAGTGAATCAATCTGCAGTGCAGTGAAAAAACTGCCGAGCATGCTGGGAAACCTTATTTCCGATCATGCTTATGTCAGTACTAATCACTCTATCAATTTCCTTGCCATTTCTCAGGAAAAAGAAGCTAGGAATTGCAGCAATTTTCCACTCTGCTGCCACTTCCATCACCTGCTCGATGTCGAGTTTTAAGAACATGACTTTTGAGAATTCTCCAGCTAAGTCTGTGATCACTGGTGAAATGTAACGACAGGGGCCACACCATTTTGCAGTGAAATAGATAACTGCAAGACATGGTATCTTTGAGATGAAGTCCAGCTTATCTTTTAAGACACTAGCAGAACGAATCTCAATCACTTCTCCTGTAAAAAAAATAAAGAAAACATACAAGCAGAAACAGAGAAATTAATTATACTCGTACGTAAAATAAATAACAAGGAAGCAGACATATATCAAGCTCCCTTAATAAAAAGGATAGCTAAGAAATATAATAATTGAATAAAGTAGCAAGAGTACCCAAAACATACCATATTTATATATGGAGGCAGCTTCAGAATTCTGTAACAATTTCAAAAGAAATTTCAGTTCCAAAGCAGGGAAGTGTGAGGACAGAGCAACACATGCAGGATTAATGAACATACAAATCATAATTCAAAGAAGAAGAAGTCGAAGAAGAGATAATACGAATGTAGCATTAATAAGCATATCTGGGACCTGACCTCATGCATCTGACGTTTGGGCTCAATCTTTTTCAACTCCTTCCCTTTTCTCCTTCGTTCATACTTCTGGCGATGCTCTTTGATCTTTTCTGTGTTCGTTTCAACCTGAAATTACAGATAAAGATGCAAGGCACCTAACCTCTACATTTTTCAAAAATTGAATCTCAACATCTTAAACAGCCAAAATTTTTTTGAAAAGGATGAGTAACGAGAATGATGTGAAATTACCTTCTTGAGCATCAAGTCAATCTCATCGTCAAAATCTAGTTTTGAAGCCATATGTAAATCAGTAGCTGCCTCTTCCCATAGGCCTAGCATTGCTCTTGCCATCCCCCGTGCCTTATATCCTTTTGCAGAGTCAAGATTGATCTAAAACATAACATTTCCCACACGTCATTTGGTACAGAGAAAAGAACTACTTAAGCAAGCATCACAATTACGTTTCCTCAAAGCCTGACATAAAATTTTATTACCTGTAAAGCTGCATCAGCATCTCGGATTGCAGCATTTGGTTTCTTTAACTTGACAAAAACACTTGCTGCCAGATAAATATACATTTTAGATCAACATGATGACTATGGAATGATAAAGAAACTATAATATTACATACGGAACCATGACACAAGTCATATCAACTTGTAACATGTACTTCCACAGTCACCTCTGTCTGCATATAATATTGCTGACTTAGGGTTCAACATGATCGCTTCCGTAAGATGTTCTGTGGCGTCCTGAAACTTACCTAAAGCAATGGTCATGACACAGACATTATCTCTCCAAGAAATAGATTGCACAAACTATTAATCAAACAAACTCCAAAAAGGGAAGCACCATTGGCAACTGCATCCATGGCTTTAGCTCTGGAGCACTGAGCAGCTTCTTGATTTTCTTCAGTTATTCTGATGGAAGGGTCACCCATCTGCAATGATAAAGAAAACAAACACATGCATAAGATGCAGAAACCATGGGACTTTGTTCGTCAATTTTTCCAGTTATCACCTTTTGTGGAGGATCATTGTCGGGCTCCACCACATCCGAACTATCCAACTCGAGAGTATCCCCATTAGATACACCGAATCCCAATTTATCCTGCTTCTTCTTCAATTGATCATCATCCTCCTCAGCTCTACCCTGAACAAGTCAAGATCAAATGATGCCCCCATAATTTCTAGAAGCTACACCACCAATATTTTTTAAGCTCATTGAGAATGAATAGATAGACCTCACTCGAGTAGAGCGTTGGTTTTCATTATTTGGGAGCAGTGAGTTATTAAGTTCAGTTTTATGATGCCTAGTGATGATCATTTGAAGGGATGATTTGAACTCCATTGTCAGCACCATAACAAGTTATGGTAGAATCTTTTACCTGTGGTGTTTACAGACCACATTCTACCATTCCATTTAGAATCTAAGAACTGATACACACAATGCTTCCAGGAAGAAAGAAGGGAACTTGAGCAAACGGGCTCAATCAATTCCGGCATAAGAACCATTAAAGAAAGCAAAACTTGATGCTTAGGGCTTACCGATTTCCCAAAGACTGGAACTTGAGCACCCAAGCTGAAACCAACCAGAGCTCATTTTACAGCAAACCACAAAACCATGCTCCAAAATCAGATAATGAGAAAATCTGTAGCAATCCAAACCTGAGGAGAAAGTGCTTGAAGAAGGCAAGAGGCGGTGTATGCAAAACAGAAGGGTTTCTTCTGCAGTGTTCCACCATTCCTTTCAGTTCTTCAATGCTCCGCGCATCCATTCCACGCTTGTTTTGATTTCAGTCGCCACCCCTTCCTCTTTGTCGGAATCAGCGCGCCACATATACGTCGACGGGTTCTTTGTCTTGTTCTATAAATATGGGCATAATTTGGGTCAGTGGTGGGGTGGGCCTTGATCGGCCATGGTAAATAAACCGGGCCGGGTTTGGGCTTCTGAAACAAAAATGCTCATTACACAAAGCTCCCAACTTTATTGTTTTGTTCATCAGTTTTTATCAATTGATATTCACAATTGCTGATGCATCCATGTAAGAATCAATTTTCACTCTTTCAGAGTTGATACTAAGGATCAGAATCCGCCTTAACAATATTTATACACACTATAATGTAATACTATCAACCAATACAAGAGAGCTAAAAATACAATCCTTAATGAAAAAAAAAAAAAAAAAGGGGGCCACATTATATCATATCGTAAAAGAGATATATATATATATATATAAATTATTACAGCTCTGTATAAATCATTAATATATTTATGATATCACGTATTCAATAAACTGTAATAACAGGGTGTTGTCCGCATCATCTTCAGCCAAAATTCACGACCATCTTAGCTCATTGTTGGGACAAGACCAGAGCCTTGCTGGAATCTGGTGGCTCCTTGAGTGCAGCAGCAGCAGCATATGGTGATGCATTTATCACTCTGCAATGGAGATTGGAATGTCTTGATTGTCTTAGGATGACAGAAACACTAGCCATTCATTCACCATATCATTAATTACACTCATTGTTTACGTACCTTTCCTTGCGCTTCTCCAGAAATCGAGCCAAAGATTTCTTGCGAAACTGAGGCACGGTGTCTGATAAAGACAGCACACGAAAACAATTATATTGCAGTGTCCATGGAGTCCATGTAATGATTTGATTTTAAGGAAACTAAACTGTGAAATACCTGAGGGAACAAACTTGGCGGTGTTAGCGGCTTTCAGAGGCTCGGCAACAAACGATGAAGGCATGAAAGCTCTGGCTGGCTTAGTAGGAATTGTATCATTATTACAAGGATGGACGACAGGTGGAGCAATGCTGAGCGGAGTAACCTCGATGGGGCTTGAAGTACGGACATGAGGCTGACTTACAACAAAGGGATCAAGAACAGGAGCTCTCGGCGCTGGGGAGCCATTTCCAGCCAGTAGCATTATAGCCTGAGCCTATTAGCCATCGATCCACAAAGTTACAAGAAATTCAAGACATTCGATCATACATGCTTAACCTTCTAACTTGGGGGGTACCTTGTTAGAAGAAATGTTGTCGTAGACACACACCGAACCATTATAAAAGATTGTCAGCTGATTACTAGGATTCTGTGGGATCTTCGAGCCATTTCTGTAGTAGAGCATACACAGTTCAATTCAGCCTATGTGAAAGTTTTTGATCATATGAACTTTAAGTTTAGTGTACCTTAAATCGGTGCTAGAAGGTACAGCTGTGACAGGATTTGAAAACGGAACAGGAGGGACAGGTTGTGAGGCCAAGCTCAATGAACCCATCGGATTTGGATCAATGAACGAGCGATGAACACTGGCAGGGGCAAAAGGTGAAAGTTTTAGATTCATTTGATTGTTAAAACTTGCAGCTGCATACCGGCCTCCTCCACCTTGCCCTTGCTCGGGACCATTAATCTTCTGCACGCGAAGATGCAGAGCTATTCTGATTAAAATGGGTACAAATCCACCATTTCATCAACAAAAACATGACAAATTAAAGTTCATAGAATGGAGTATAATCAAACCTGTGTGGGGCCATAAAATTTGTTATCAGAGTCGAAAGAATCGGTTGTTATGGCAACCAATCCAGTTGAAGCAAGGGAATCAAAGCCAGCCTTGAGAGGTTTATCTTCTTGAAAAGATAAGAGATTAGAGCCAAAAGAGGCCTTGTTTGGAAAAGACCAGTGCATTGTTGAACTCCTCAATGCAGCTACAGAATCAAACACAAGAATGTATAAGTATAATCAGGAAAACAATTTGCTGCAAGAAGAAACCTTCAATCTATTGTTATCAGTACAAGCAGCCCTTTTGTTATGATCTGAATCTGATCACCTCATATACAGACTAATAAATTCCAAATGATTAACAACTCATAAGGTACAGTTGATCTGGTAATATGCAATTTCATAAAGCTGAAAGAAAGATCACAATCTTCCATATAAAAGTAGTGAAAATATCAATTCTGACAATCTCGCACATACATGCACATATATTTGTAATATAATATATGGGTGTGTGTATTTATATATAGAGAATTATTGAAGTGAGAATCAATCCAGAGCAAGTGTGGAATATGAAAATCAAAACTAGTCAGAACAGTTTAAATATGGCAATAAAGTATTGGGAATTTGGGACATCTTTATTTCAAGGCAGCCATCATGAAAAAGATATATTCATCTTTTTTAATGTGGCGACAAATAAATAAATGGGATTGTGGGGTTGGGTGCTGGAGACTTCTTGAAGAGCACAACTCACAACTCGGTTTTCAATATAATAAGCTGAGGGATGCATATTTGAATCTGCCATTTAAAAAATTAATAAAAAGAAATCATGAGATGCATGTTAGAGCATTGAACAATCAATCCAACCAACACAAGAAACTAGAAATATAATATATAATTGTATATGGTAAGAGAGTGTGATGGCATATCTTATACATATATACACTAATCAATTGGAAAAGATAAAGGCTTGAAAAGTACACCTGGGTTCATCCACCACAAGAACCAAAAAGAAGACATTTTCTTAATGCCCAATTGAATTTTTTTAACAAAAACGTGAACAAATCAACCTTGCACATCATTTTTTTCTGAGAATAATAATTTATTAATGCAGCTAGCACTGTATTCTATAATCAGTTTAAGGGGGGAGAAGCATATGCAGTCAAGCTTCAGCTGACAGCTGGTGCTGTGCAGTTTGTGCCTTTTTTAGCATTCGCCCATATGAAAATGGATTTCAAAACAAAAATGAAATCTTGAATGAAAATTAATACACCAGCTATGGTTTAATTAATAACCACATGAGTATACAAACCCCATTTTATTTAATCTGTTGAACCTGCTTCAATTAAGCAAAACAGTAAAGGTTCCATTTTTCCAGGCTCTGTCTAAATTAAAACAGATTATAGTTTAGATGCTCGGTATGTTTAAGAAGAAACAAATCCAGGCTTTTGCATATATACATATGAACATGAAAGAATTCTAGAACAAGAGCTGAAGCAATATGTAAAAGAAACAGTAAGTTTGGAAATAAACAAACAACTAACCTGCATCAGTTGATTCATCAGTAATCTCCTGTTTGACAGCCAAGCCCAGAAAATCTCTCTCCATATTCACCTCAGCAGACCTAAGTGTGAGAATTCCAAAAACAACAGCAGTATTTGCAGCAAAGGCAGAATTATATAAATCTTATTGATACAACTATGAGCAGATAGATAAACAGGTGTTAAATATGGCAAGCTGCCTGTGAGAGAGAGGAGGAGACAAGATAGGAATTAGAGGGATAAAAATTGCAAATTGAAGAGAGAGGGAGGGGTGGGGTTGGGTTGGGGAGGCATGTAAGACTATAGAGTTAGATTAGATGTAATAACTGCCCTATAAACAGGTTTGTCTCGTGGCAAAATCTAAAACCGGCTATTCCCGGTCACCAGATCGAAAGCGTGGTTTAGACATAACACGATTTTTGTCCGAAAACAAGAAAGCGGTGTAGCGCTATCGGGAAACACGTTTTGCTTCAGCAAGTAGCTGGTTGAAGCAGTAACGTTGAGGTAACACTAACACTTATACCACGTGAGCCAACAGATTCCGTAAATAGTGGTTTTCCGACACGTGTCAAACACGTGACAGTTCTCGTGCGTATTTATTTTGCCGTAAACAAATGAGGCGAGCCAATACAGTCACATCCAGGCGCACCGGATAACTCCCACTTCCATCCACGTGTCGAGTTTTCATTGGCACTTTACTTGCCCGCCGGGTGTTATTTGTTACCCGTCCTTTTTTATTTTGACGTAAAAAAATGCATCAAATATAAAAAATGAAATAAAATCCAATGCTATCTCGGACATACAAATTTTATATTTTTTTTCAAATATTAGGATATCTTTTAATATTCATCTACTAAAATAATAAATAAAAGAAATACTTAGTTAACATTGATATATATAGTTCTAATTTTTTGCTTTTGTTGCAGTGATGAAATATGTCTTCGGCAGTAAAGATATGAGTAGAGAAGTGGATGGTGCAAGTGCAATGATTTATACTTTTCGATTTTGATTTTGACAAATTTTAAGTATTTGTTTTTAAAATGTGTTTATTGGCAATGTTTTAATTTTAATGACTATATTGAATTTAACTAATTATATTTTAATAGGATGATCAATATTTGATTTGATGTATAAAAATAAAAATAATTTAAAATATTAATATATTATAACTCTGTAGTAGTATTATAGTTTAAAATAAAAATAAGGGAGAATTAAGATAAAATTCATCTGCCCTGCCCCTTGTTTGATTGGAATTCAATCCCTATTTTAGTCCCTATTTTAAATATATGTATCTGCACTCTCTACTGTAGCAGTTTGTTTATATTTAACTCTCCAACACTTAATCCATCTTTTTGTTTCTGGTCAGTTTGTTCACTCAGGTTTTCAATTTTTTGTATAGTATGTTTTATTTCTGTCGCAGTTAATTTCATCATCCTCTTCTTCACTCCTGTTGGACTAATGTGTTTCCTATATTCCCATTAGAACCCGAGTATCCTTGCATCTCTCTTCCTACGTTCTAACATTCAGGTGAGTATATAATGTTTTTTGTTTCCGAAACGAAATATTATGCCTTTAAGCATAAGAATTTATCTATTATTTTTGGATTCAGTAGTGTTGTGTCTCTCAATTTAGATTCATCCTTCATTTTTTTTTCCTTCTTATATCTCTAGTTGGGAATACATTATAGGAACATTAGTAAAGTGGAAGTTTGAATGACGCACATAATATGTTTGATAAAATGTCCCAAAAAGGAGTTTTTGCTAATGCCAAAGAATTTGATGAATTATTGTCAAAGTATTAGTTGTGATTCCCAATTCCAAGCCGGTCCACCAATGATGGTTATGTCAAAAAATCATAATCGATTACAACAATCTTGCATGACTACATTGACAACATGCCTGAGCGTATATAATTTAAGTGGGAGTATATGCATGAGTATTAAACTGGTATATATGTTGTTACTGAAAGTATATCACAAATATATAGTTTTTAGAATTAATAAAGTAATTTTAAAGAAATAAATTTATATTTTAGTTTAGGGGTAACGTTTTTGTGGAAAATTAAAATACCCACATATCAATCTGTAAATATATTCAAACTTCATTGGCAAAGATTTGGTTTTTCAAACAATTAGATATTGAAGATTGTGTGGATAATAGCTCTTTTTCATATGTTAACTAAGATCATGAGAGTCATCTTCAAGTAATGTAACTCATTCATATGTTGAATATGTCCGCTTTATTGAAGGTTTTTATCAATTTGTTTCTATATTGTTCCAATCAATGTACTAATTTTATTATTTAGCATATTAATTTATTGCGGCTAGCATTTCTAATTTGGTTTGGTATTATTAAGAATATGGATTACAATTATCAAACATTTCTCTTGCTCAAACCGCTTGTATTTCGAAACAAGAACTAAGCAAATTTTCAAATATGAATGTTTTTATCAATGCATTTCATTTTGATTTTGTCAAAATTTAAAACAAACTACCATTCAATTGTCGGCACTTTTGATTTGTGTGATGAATTAATTAGCAGATTGAGTCATTATCTATCAACATATGATATCTATAGAAAAAAGAAAACTTGACTTTAAATACTAAAAATATGTAGAAGCATTCGATTTAGTATCTTTTCTACTTAAATTTGTTGGTTTTGTAATATAATTGTAGATGGTGTGGCACAATTGTTAATTTTTGTGGAAACTTGATTAGCTTCGATGAAAAGGGGAAAAAATAGTCTGAATCTGTTAATCACTTGTTCATATAAAGGTAAGACTTCATGTATTAGCTTTAGAAACAGTTACATAAATATGGTTATTGTGGTTGTCTCGAGCAGAACAAAAGATATTGTAAATACCGGATACGGTAGTCTTTTTGAAGGTGTAATTTTTTGTTTTGTCCTAAATGTCTCGTTTAGTGTGTAATTACTTTTGGCGTGCTTGATATAATGTAATATTATAGGTAAATATACAAACAAAATGACCCCACTTACATAGAACCACGATTGTAATTTAGATGTACTGTGGTACATGAATACGAACAACGGGTATTTGACAGTCCTATTTTGTTTGTGTATTATCAGGTTTCCTTGAATGTTGTTGATTTCAGTCGTTCTCACGCAGAGGAACCAATTCACGTACTCGGTGAGAGCACTTCTTTGAAGCATCGTGCTAAAGTGACAATTCTTCATCCATTTACCGAAAACTCAGAACAAATCATGAAGTTGATATCTTAATTGCAGCTGCAGAAGTATTCAATTTGATTAGTGATAGTTGGTTAAAGCCAAGCACAATTGTCGTAGATTTTTAAAAGTCTAATTTTTTTATTTTGATAGAATGTTCATTAATCCTTTTCTTGTAATTACTTTTGTCATGCTAAACATAATGTAATATTGTATATAAATATACAACAATAATAATATTGTTACATTGAAGCTCTTTTTGTAAATTTTATGTATTATGGTAGATGAACGGAATTTACGAGTATGTGATGATGGTCTTTTATATATAATTTGTTGACAACAGAGGTTTCTGAAAATGTAATAGAGGTACATCGGAGCTATGCTGGAGTACTTTCCTGCTCAACCGAGTTACTATTTTTAAAATGCTTCTAACTGATTGATTTTTGAGTTTGTGAGTGTGCGAAAATTTTGATTATTATGTTATGGGTCAAAATATTTTAGAAAAATGTGTTTGTCCTATTACACAAAAAAACACTTGAAGTCCTAGTAGTAGATTACAACTCGCACTTTCACTTGAATGTTGTTGTGTGTGTTACAATGTGGATTACTATAACAACCAATATAATTTAACTTAGTAATTTATGACTTGTTTATTCATCTACAAGTGGAGATTGGACTATAATTGTACACATACCACACAATAGAACTAAGTTATTTCTGACTTAGTCATTTATAGTAAATATGTGTTATTTATCTTTTGATACAATTCAGGGTGTCGTGGAGATATTATCACAATGAATTCATCATTGGTTACCGACAATAAGTGAATATTTTAAACAAAAAAGGTCAGTTTTCAAGCATATATTATCAGAGTATATATACTCATTATTGAAGCATATAATACCAGTATTATAGGTACATAAGATCTGTGACAAGGTATATCGGTATTTGATGCAGGTATGTAAGTATGTGCTCCGGGTACAAACACCGACATTCAAGGTATGAATGATGATTGCTTAGGTATTTTCCTTGTAGTAGCAGGTATCCGTGAATGCGGTTGATTTCAATTAATCCCCTGACGGGGGGCACAAACTCGGTGAGAATACTTCTTTTCCTAGCCTCGTTGGAAAAATTTAGGTACTGTATGTCTATATTTGACAACTCATGCCATACTTTTCAATGGTAAGACCACAAAACATGTATGCGTAACAAAAAAAACATAATTTTAACTAACTTATTTATGACTTGTTTAGCTATCCATAATAAATATGTGTTGTTTACCTTTACATACAATTACAGAATTCACAAAAATATTATAATGATAAATTTATTCCTGTTTACATAGAAAATTGAATATTTTGAACTGAGAACGACATATCCCAAGCATATATATTATTTACAAGAGCATATGAGATACTAGTTCCGGAGTATATTGGTAAACGACTGAGGTACCCGTTGATGCTAACTTGTGTGAAAAATGATATGTTATAATATTATGTCGTTCCTATAGTGTTTGAAATATATTATTGTGAATGCAATTGGATAAAGTATTAATAGATTAATACTCTCCATTACTCTGTACAACTATTGCGTATGCATCATAACTAAGTACTACTATTACCAACAACACAACTAAGTAACCCAATTGTCTATTGTTCACCTATATAGATCATCTTGTTAATTTTTATAAACAACTTTTTAATCTTCTATATTGGTATAATCGACTATGTTAAAGATGAATACATTTCATGTATGAATATTACTAAAGATAATGTTATACTTTACTTAATGTTCAAGATATGAAGTATTAGACCCCCCGGGTATAAGTAACTTAACTTGAGGTATTTACTAGTTTAATATAGTTATATCATTAAATAATCGAGGCATGTCGTGTTTGACAGGAAATACATATCAATGTGATGAGGGCATAAACCTTCGCATTAAATCTATATGTTTTTCTTTCTTATGTGCACCACTAATGTAGTCAGGTATCCGTATATCCACTTTTGTTCATTGCAGGGATTACTTCAAGAATTGCAAGGTCTTGTAATGAATTAGTTAATTCCAATTTAACGCCAATATGCATAATTTTTCTGGCTCGCTGCTGTCTTCATACAAGGATAACCTTCATAACTAATGAATAACATGTATATGAACATATATATATATATATATGCAGTTTGAAGGTATTTCGATCTAGTTAGACGGGTACATCGATCCGTTGTGGAGGTACACTATGTGCATTATTGTAATTTTAACTATATGCAGAATTAATCATATAATTATTCACGACACAATTTATAGTATTACTCCAAACATTAAGCTTCACCAAATTTAACCTACGATTCAATTCTTCAATCAATCTTAATACAATCTTATCGAACATAAGGCAAATCTAACCAATTCAACCAACAATTCAATCGAAATAACACACTATCCAAATCAACCCCAAATAACAAAACCCAAATCAATCCCAAATCTATTCAAATTCATTACAACGTTCACTTACTATGTGATGTTCATTGGCATCTACGGTTCAAATATGCACCTTTCAGTATTTTGGCCGTAATTTTACCGAGACATCTCTTCACATTATCAAACTTGCTGCCGATACTGCCAAATTTGCATGAATATAATACTTGGAGAACATACAGACCAATCGACATTGCAAACCGATTGATAATCGATTTGTATTCCTTACCCGATCTGTAAATAAATACCATCAATCCAAATTATCCAAACATCAAATTTATTTAAAAGTTTATCAGAATCTATCAAGACTACGTCACAACACATTCCGAGTACACAGTAGTCCCCTAAAAGTATATTACTTAGCAAACTAGACCTAAAAAATGCAATGCAACTCGGGGTACTTAACAATACTGCATTTACCAACCCGCATACATGACTAATTATCGAACAATCAAACAAAAAAAAATTAAAATATTCAACTCCATATAACTAAACAAAATATATATCTATAAAATTAACTAAAATCACATATTAAACAAATAGAATTGCCCAAAATTTGTGCCAAAATAAAACACCTAACTCGGTCTACGTGGGCAAATATACGAACAATTTCCAACCTAGTTAACAAACACAACTACACCGATCATCCAGGACTCCTCAACACGGAACTGATAGAGGAATACAAACACTAGACCAAGGTCTTACTTTTTCGAGCTTGTCCCGAGGGATAAGAGTGGGTCAACTATTTTCTTCACCATTTTTGCACCGGTCAGTCGCTACTTGATCGCCAGAGGTTGGAGAACGTCGATTCGCTTGATGATGGAAGATATAGGTTTAAAATCGGGGTGAGGAGAGTTAGGGGGTTTTTCCTGTCTCAACCTCTGTTAAATCGTGGGTAACTGTCTTTTTTTACTATTTTTTAATTTGCAAAAAAAAGCACTCGATATTTAACTAGAAGTATATAAAGTTATAATGGGGTACAACGGGAAGTAATGTAGATATATATTACAACATTAGAAGTATTGATTAATTTATTTCGAGTATCTGATGTGTGTATAATGGTGATTGAGAGAAAAATACAAATTGGAGAGTTATAAACAATCTAATCCCTAAAATAGATACTGCAGTCTAATTAATTTTCAGGGAAGACTGAATTAAAAACTGAATTACAACTAGATTTTCATTAACTAACAGAGATTTTAGTCCAGTATCCCTTAAAATAAAGATATACAAAAATTTTATTATAATATATTATATTTATATTTATAAAAAATATATATAGTACACAAATAAACAAACCCTACTCCACTCACAACCCACTCCACGCCGCCGCGGCGCCGCCCTCCCACCACGTCTTCTTCTTCTTCGTTGCTTTCTCCTCTTTCTTTCTTCTTGCCCTAATACACCACTCCACAGTCCACAGCCGCCGGCAGCCGCACCAGGTTCTTTCCCCATCTTCTTCTTCTTCTTCCCCAATTATTTCCTTTCTTCCTTTTCTTTCCTCCTCCTCCTTTTTCATCGCAGTCGCCGCCGCAGCCACACCAGGTTCTTCCCCCATCTTCTCATCTTTCCCCACAATTCTTTTCTTTCTTTCTTTTTTCCTCACCCGCCCCAACATTCCGCAGTCGCCGCCAAATATAATATATATAATATATATATGATCGGTCTGCAGAGCTTCTACTTACCCAAATCGGACCCGCAGTTGCCGTCGACGAACTCCTCCCAAGGTATTCCTGTATTTTCGATCCAACCTTTACTTAGCTAAAAGAGATATAAGCATCAGTGTCCTGAATCGCTTCATTTCTTTTCTGTACATGTAAGGAGTTCTTCTTAAGTCCTCCTCCGAGATTTGTTCGACGCTTTCTTGTCTCCTCTACCGTCACCAGAGAAATTGGCTTTCAAAACTCTTTAACTTCAAGGTACACACCTATTATTAATCACGGTCTTCCCTTATGTTTGCATTGCATAGCTCTGCATACGTGCTTACTTACACAGTTCATCTGTTTGAGTTAGTCCTATTTTACTTACTTTAAAGTGTTTATTAAATGACCTTATATGCAGTCTAAGTCTTTACCTAAAACACTTCATCCACTGCTTTGTAATTAGCTAAAGAACATTTTCTACGCAACACAAACCAATTAATTAATTAATTACCTTTCTAATACTGAATATTGGAACCAGTACTGATTGTGATGGTTTATTACATTCAAATAATTGCCTATTTTTATGAAAAATGCATTATCTACACATTCCCCATAAATTAAAATTGTGTAAAGATGCTTCAATAATTATATCTCGTGTTGCTTGTGTGACTACTTGAAGAATTTGTTTAAAATTTACAACTAAAATGCATAATGTCCCCCAATGGTAAAACATCTTTAAAAGTCCCACTAGCAGCTTCGGCAACATATCGATGTATCATTAGAGCTTCGTATCATATAGCCATAGGTGTCTTTCGGATTAATTGATCAAAATCAGAATTGACATTTATCAAACAATTAGAATTGACTTTTCCCATAAAGGATTTTCTATTCTATTAAATTAAACATAACTAGGACAATATTTGCAACTGTTCTACATAATGGATTTTCAGCTATCCGATGGATAAGTTGCCATATTGTTATTCTCTTACCTCTTTATTATGTTTTGTCTCAACGAAACGGTATTTTACTACAATGGTTCTTCCAGTAAACCCGAAAATTCAACTAGAGTACCGGCGGCAGCATGGACGGCATCGGCGCCGCTGAGGTGTGGAAGGCGGAAGAAGCAATAGCCGGAAATGTGGAAGCTTTGCAAGTTCTACGGGAGTTGATATCTTACCCTGTGCTATACTCTCGGGAGGCTCGAATTCTTGGTATCAAGGTTCACTTCACTTCCCTATGTAGTTATGCGATTGTATGATGGATTTGGTCCTTTAGCTTGTGTGATATAATATAAATTTGTTTTCTGATTCTTCAGTGGCCGTGTGGTGTGCTGCTCTACGGTCCTCCCGGTGGAGGAAAGGTATTTTACTTGGCTCCTTAATATAACCCTGCCTATCATTTGCTGTAAAAATTACGTTCTGTCTTAGCTTATGCATTTTTAGAATGTGTAGACAAGCTTGGTTCGTGCGGTTGTTCGTGAATGTGTTGCGCACTTGATTGTTATTAGGTAATTCCCTTTTTCTTCATGAGATTATGAATTGTTTTTCACTCGATGTCATTAATAAATTAGTTTGTTTAGAATCGGATGGAGTCGGAATTTCGGTCTATTTGGGGAAGGGGGAACATTGGGTCATGCAGTTATGCCAATGTAGAGTTTGAATTAGGCGAAGTGTTAATCATCGATCATATATAGATGTGGAAGGAAGTCTTGTATTAGATTCTGTCGATTGGGATTTTTGGTATGAGTTTTTGAAATAAGGATTCGTTATAAGCTAATGACCAAAGGATGGTTACATGGTGAAACAATTGTTGACTGTGTGCTCGTGTACTCTGCTAGAGAAGAAAATGCATTGCCATAAATGGTTTTTCTTTACGGGACCTTTTACTTCTCTCTAAATTTGTTTCTTGTTAGACTTGCTGATTTAGGCGGCTGTGTTTTGCAGTGATTACACTGTTCGGAGATCACATGTGGGTGAAAGTGAGAAAATTTTGCGGGAGGCTTTTGCTGAAGCAAAATCTCATGCGAAATTGGGAAAGCCTTCAGTTGTCTTCATTGATGAAATAGATGTTCTTTGTCCTCGGGAATCTAGGTAACACTTACACAGTGGATAAAGATTATTCTCTTATTTTTCTTTGTTTCTTCTTATATAGTGACATTTTTGTGGTACATGTTATCTCGGCTTTGGTTAGATAAGTGTTTTGGATGAAGTTTTGGAGAATTTTGGGAATAGTAAAAATTGAGTATTTGATAGGATTTTGATTGGATTATTTTTTTTTGAAAAAATGACTGTTGATGAATAATGTCAAAACTTCCAAAAGTTATGTAAACAAAACCGATTGAAGTTATTTGACGTAATAGGATGCTTGTATACAGTTTTAATGTATGGAATATAAATAAAAAAGGATGCAGAAAAGAGAATAAAAGGTAACATATATTTCACAATGCTTTTATGCTCTCTTAAATTTGTGATTAAAGTTTATATGAAAGATGCATTTGTGCCTGAAATGGATACAGTAGCAACTAGGGCATAAGGAAAGCTGGAGAATGGAACAAAATGTCATTGATAGAAGATTGTGTAAAACTTGGTTGCAAGACTTATCGTAAAAACAGAACCACAAGTCTGTTGATGGCTTTAGTTATTTATTATATATTCAGCTACTATTGTATATTAGTTTCATGAATAATCAGTGAAATCATTTATCTTTAATTGCAGAAGGGAACAAGATATTCGCATAACTACTCAGTTGAAGACTCTAATGGACTGCAACAAATCCCTTACCGCATCTGAATCCCATGTTGTAGTGGTTGCATCAACTAATAGGTAGACATTGCACTTCTGTTGCTCTACTTCAATTCTTTCCCTTGCTCCAGTCTTGATGGGATTTTATAACTGTTGAAGTAATAAAAGAAATTACACTTCTCCACAGGCATGTTTTATTTTGCACGTGGAATAAATGCTTAACATATCAGTTGGTTTGATTTTTCTGTTAAAAAAGCTATGGATAAGAAGAAAAGCATATTTCCATTTCCACACTTCAGCAAATTTTTACCATCTCACATTATTTTTGGTTGCTTTTCCATTGGTTTATAAATGGCATATTTGCCTTTAAATCTACTGAATCAACTCAATTTATGTTTAGAGTGGATTCTATTGACCCTGCACTAAGACGCTATGGGCGCTTTGATACTGAAGTTGAAGTCTCCACTCCCAGTGAAGATGAGCGCCATAAGATACTTAAGGTCTAAATATTATTTTTACATATTTTTTAAAACCCTGGAAGCTAAAGTTGCAGAGCCGTTACTTAAGGGCCTTCTGTTTTTGTTTTTACCTGAAAATGTCAGCTATATGCAGGGAAGCTTCCTTTGGATCCAACGGTTGATCTAGGAGTTATAGCTGCATCTTGCAAAGGTTACGTTGGGGCGGATATTGAGGCTTTATGCCGTGAGGTTGTGTCTAAATGGAGAAAACGTGTGGATGAGCATCAAGATGGTCCCCATATGATAACGATGGATGACTGGTATCAAGCTAAATCTACGATTGGTAGTCCTAGTATAACAAGAGGTGTTACTATGGAAATCCCTAAAGTCTCTTGGGATGATATTGGAGGATTATACGATGTGAAGGTATGAAAATGAAACCCGACCATTATAATACTAAATCATGAAATATCATTATGGAAGAAATTATTTCATACTGTGGATTGTGGAACAGAAAAAGCTTCGGCAGGCAGTTGAGTGGCCTTTAAAACACTCTTCAGCATTTTCGAGGCTTGGAATATCACCCACCCGTGGAATACTTCTTCATGGTCCTCCAGGGTGCTCAAAGACAACCCTTGCAAAAGCTGCTGCATGTGCAGCACAAGCTTCTTTTTTCTCTTTGAGGTATAGTTTTCTGTAAGCTTCAATTGATATATGTTTTTTTTTTTTTTTTTTCTCTTTCAAAATACACCTTTCCTGTTTTTGTAAATAAAAAGGAAATTTCTGTACTTGGCAAAAGACATATGCTTGGCTGTCCTCTAGTTGCTAAGTGGACGCAGTTTTCACAATGCCTTTTAAGCATCGTAAGGTTTTGAGCATGATAATTCTATTTGCCACTTCTTTCCTTTGAGGTAGTATAATAGTGCACGAACTACATGCTCGGTATTGCCCTTGTAAGAGAGCAGAATATCGTTAATATTGAAACTTTTTCCTCATGATGATGTTGTCTTGTGCTCATGGCTTCATTAATTATTCAATGTCATTAGAGATAAGTCTATATTGCAACTCTGAACTACTACTTGTCCCTTGGCAATCTGCTGGTGTGTTACTAGCTCACGAAAATTCACTTTGCACAGTGTTGCAGAACTTTATTCAATGTATGTTGGTGAGGGTGAAGCTCTATTACGGAATACCTTTCGGACTGCTAAGCTTGCTGCACCAAGCATAATATTTTTTGATGAGGTTGATGGGGTTGGCTCCAAAAGGTTGGTTTCCTAATATATTTTGTTTCTTACGGACAATCATGATTCATGGCTTCATTAATTATTCTTCTAACATGTCCGAGCTCATTTATGGAGGAGTGCATTATATTTAACCCATAGTTTTTTGGTTTTCTAAAGTCACCCGATCGCTACAAAATTTTTTGTTCTTCTTGACTAATGGGACAATCTTGAACGATATAAACATGCTTTGTTGTTCTATATGAAATTGACATTCCCCATATCCCTTTTCCATTTTTACTCAAATGGCAGAGGAGGAAGCTCGGATGGGAGCTCGACTGTTGGGGAAAGACTTGTGTCTATGTTACTAACTGAAATGGATGGGTTAGAGCAGACCAAAGTGTGCCTTAAACCATTTACCCTTTTCATCTCCAAAACTTAGTGGCATTCACATTAATTAATCTGCTTCTCCTCGCAGGGAATTCTTGTTTTGGCTGCTACAAACCGTCCTCATGCTATTGATGATGCACTTATGCGCCCCGGACGTTTTGATTTAGTAAGCTTTCCCTACTTACGAACATATGTGCACCACTTCCGCTTGATTTTTAGTTCCCCTTACCTCATTTTGCATAACTTGGTCCACTATATAAACAGGTGCTTTATGTTCCACCGCCAGATTTGGAAGCTCGCCTTGAAATCCTTCGCGTGCACACGCGCAACATGGAAATAGATGCGCGTGTCGATCTCAGGCATGTCGCAGAAAACACTGAACTCTTCACTGGAGCTGAGCTGGAGCAGCTATGCCTGGAAGCGGGCAATGTCTGCCTCCGAGAAAGCATGTCTGCCCCAGCCATCTTACACCGACACTTCGAGACTGTAATGAGATCGCTTAGACCGGCGCTAACTCGGGAAGACATCGACTCTTACGCCTCGTTCCGAAAGAAGAATCGATCTTTGAAGTCCGCCCAACCATTTGAAGAATCCATCTCCAATGCCCTCTCCGACCTCAGCATCAAACTCTAAACTAGATAGATTAAATTTCAAGAATTCAGCTTTAGTTAGCAATTATTGATGTTGTTCCTTATAATGTGTCTCATAGATTAAATTTCAAGAATTCAAGAATTCAGCTTTAATCGTTGTACTGTAGGTGTAATAATGTGATATTTTGAATATAAAATTGATTTTTAGTATAATAAAAAAAAAGAATAGAGGTGTATGATTTGATATTTTTAGGAAAAAAAATAGTATAAATCTAATTCAATCTTCCAAACAAGCACACTCTAAGCCCAATTTTATCCTCCAAACAAACACGCCATAAGCGGAACAGATCAAATAATTTATATTAAAATTCTCCAAATTTAAATTAAGTTTCCACAAAAAATAAAAATGCATAAATTCAAATTCATCTTATAATACATATTCAAGTTCAAATTTTTTAAAACTATGCACCCCTTATGGAAGATTAAATACTCCTAAAAATAATTCTCGTAATTAAATTAAAACGTTATAAAAGGTGAAATCTGTATGGAGTATCATGTGATTTTCAACAGTGTGGGGTGTGTGCGCGCTCACTGCAGTTCGCTCGGACACAGACACACTCGTTGGTGTTCAAATTTTATTTTATTTATTGCATTCTTCAGCTCCGGCGACGGATTCTAATGCCTTCTCCCAGGGGGCACACTGCTCGATCTCTACCCCTTGGTTTTCCCCCCATTTTTCAATCTGATTTCGATTTTTTTACTTCCTGTTGAGAATTCTGCTCATTCTCCCAACTGCTCGTGCTTTTTAGGGTTTCGTCAAAGCGGGAATCTTCACGAAAGCTCCTTTTGGGTGTCGTGAATCTCTAGAGGGAAAAAATAATTATAAAGAAAACAGCGTTTCCTTATATGCTGCGAATGCAAGTGCATTTTTCTATGTATTGGGATCCGTGGACAGCTCTGCATGCTCCTCTTTAGTAAGTCGTTGTTAGAGCCGCTTTCGTCAGCGTGGTTTTAATTCCAAGCGCCCCCTTTTCAATTTCGGCTTTGATGGAAGAAAGAAAAATTTGATCTTTTTTGGAGTTAAGTTTGTGGTACTGAAGGGAAGCTTGCTGTTTAGATTTCTAATTTTATGAGATAATGATCTGCAATGGGAGTTAGGAGCTTTACATGTTTCCTGAAAGGGTTGATACTAAGGTTTCTGCCTCTTTTGTTTGTGTGTGTGTGGTCGATTCCAGGTTTAACGGAGTAGGTCTTTGGATTGCTCAAGTGCGTGTATATAAATGGCTGATTCAAGTCCAGTGGACGCTATATTGGAGTACTTGAGGAGGAACAAGTTTACCATAGCTGAGGCTGCTTTGCGGAGTGAATTGGGCAACAGGCCTGACCTTTGTGGAAGTTTTCAGAAGCTTACACATGTGGATAAGGAGCCAGTTAACACATCCAACAAAGAAGGAAAGCTGGGTCATGTAATTGAAGAAATTCCGGCTATAAAAACTTCTCAGGATCATGGAGAAAGTGTTAAGGATTCATCAACCTCAACTAGTGCTGAGGCATTTAAGGAGCTAATTGTGAAAGAAGTGGAGTGTGGAGCAGGAAAAAATGGGTTCGAGACAAAGTGGAAGAGATGTGGTGTTATTGGGGAGCAGAAAAAGGTTAATGTAAGTGTTGGAACCAGTGATAAGGACTTCAACTTTCTAAAAAGTTCTGATGATACTGTGCTTGATATGCATTCAAAGAAATACTATGCTAGTAATGGTTCAGTTACTTTGTACCAAAAGGATGATTCCAGTGTTTATGATAACAAATTTTTGGGATTCCAGGTTCCTGGGAACACAGAGCCAAATGTCACAGAAGCTTTTGACACTGGTAAGGCTAATATCAATCCTGGTAAAAGGATAACTTCTTGGCCTGTTAATAATGTTGGTGAGCAGAAGGGTATTGGCCGAAGGAAATCAATCAATTCATGCACTGATGAACCTGCCTGTTCATCTTCAGAGCTTTGGAAGGAGTGTTCTGTCAAAACTGTATTCCCCTTTTCCAATGGAGATGCTTCTACCAGTTATGATACATCTGTTGGAGCTGTTGATAAAAAGGAGGGGAAGAGGAAGTCAGAATTCAATGACATTAGAGCAGTGATAAAGGAGCAGGTGGATGAGATGGGGCGAGCTATCTTTTTTGGGAAGACTCAGGCAGGTGAGCCAAAAGATTTTGATGAGTTGGAATTTCATCCTGCATCAGAGAACCAGAAGGAAGAGTTCCCGAGACTCCCACCTGTTCGACTTAAAACAGAAGACAGGCCTTTCAACATCCAATGGGATGAGAAACATGAGCATGATGGACCTCCTCCCAAGATCTTGGGTGATGACAATCCTTATCACATAGGATCGTTTTTGGATGTGCCATTTGGTCAAGAAATCAATCCTCCGGGTATTCCTAAAATCCTTAAATGCTTATTGTCAATTCCTATGCTGCTAATACTGCCTGGTAATGTGTTTTCTTCAGTAATTATACGTAGTTTAAAAAAGTTAAGCAAGGTTTGCAATTGAGTGAATTACAAAATTTTCATAGGCTGAAGGTACAATATATGCTGTTATATATAGTTGATAATGATATTTGATAAGCCATGCGCAGAATCAGTCCTTAAAACTCTTAGCACAAAATTTTTTGAAGACTCTTCCTCTATTGGAAGACGCAATCTCAAAATTATAAAGCAGGTAGCCAGGTACACTTGTTTATGCACTGCCTTAACAGAGAGCAGGTACACTTTTTTTCCTCAGAAATGGCTTCTGTAAAGCAAAAGTAGACTGGATTAAAGTTATAAGATCTTTCCATCTATATATTCTTATGCTAAAGACAATAACCTCCATCCGCTCGGTGAATATTTTCTTAATGCTTTTAGTTTTTCCATTTTGTATATTCTTAATCTTTACTGTCACGGATGCCATCTGATTGACATGGTGGCATTTTCCTCTGACAAAACATTGCATTATTTTCTGAACCCAATATACCAAATTCTGTTGCAGTCTACTCAGTGCTATTTTCTTATCATGATTCTCAGGGAAACGGCTTGGAGGAGGCAGTTGGCTTTCTGTGAGTCAGGGCATTACTGAGGATACTTCAGATCCTATCTCTGGTTTTGCTACTATAGGTGATGAATTGAGTGAATTTATTGATTACCCTAATGAATACTGGGACTCTGATGAATATGAAGATGATGATGATGTTGGATATTCAAGACAACCTATTGAGGATGAAACATGGTTTCTAGCTCATGAAATTGATTACCCCAGCGACAATGAAAAGGGGACAGGACATGGGAGTGTTCCAGACCACCAAGATAGGGGTCCTACTAAAAATGATGAAGATGATCAGTCATTTGCAGAAGATGATTCTTTCTTATCTGGGCAACCATTTATCCAGTCAAAAAGTCTTGATGTTGTACCCTCTGGTGATCCTGTTGGATTATCTGAAATGTTCATGAGGAACAATGAGAATAACTTGATTGGCCAATATGATGGACAATTGATGGATGGTGAGGAGCTTAATTTGATGTGTGGAGAACCTGTTTGGCAGGGCTTTGTTACTCAAACAAATGAATTCCTTATGATTGGGGATGATGAAAAGCTTATGAATGATCAGGCAAGGTTGCTCCTGGATGATATGTGCATTTTGATGGATGATGATCATCATGCTTCAGTAAGATCTATTGGTGTTGGAATCAACAGTGATGCAGCTGATATAGGCAGTGAAGTCCGAGAAAGTTTCATTGGCGGCAATGGTGAAGGGGACATAGAGTACTTTTGTGATCCTGATGTTGGCATTACTATGCCTAGATCCTCACAGCATGACTTGGATAAGGACACTAGCGATAGAGACGAAAATAGAACTAACAGCACTAACTCTGGTAAACCTACAATGAGAAGTGACAAGGATATGTATTCATTGTCGAAAGGTCATCTAGACGGAGTATTTTCATTTCCTCCTGCCAGAGATAGGCAGTCGGTGCAAACAAACACCGGTAAACCTTTGCAGTCAAGTAAGGGCAGTGTTATTATTGGTGAAGAAGCTGATAATCACTGCGTGACTAATAAAGACATGCTTGCATCATGGAGGCGTGAAAGCAATGATTCTTCACCAGTAAAAAGTTTGAAGGATGAAAACCGTGTTAATACTGGAGAATCAGCTGATTCTTGTCCTTCCCCTCTTTTCAATTATGGGCACATTGAAAGGGAGCTTGTGAAGAAAGAAGATAATGTAAAGACAAATAGTATAAAAGAGGAAGACCCTGAGACATTGCTGGAAGACGAGGAAGCTGCTGCAGTGCAAGATCAAGTAAATCAGATCAAAGCACAAGAGGAAGAATTTGAAACTTTCAATTTGAAGATTGTCCACCGGAAAAACAGGTATACATCTATTAATCCTACAATACTGTGAATAAGTTCTATTTTATTTTATTTTGAAGATTTAGAAGTTTATACCTTCTAAAACTATGTCTTGAACTTTTTATTGGACAGGTAGCTGTACGATGGTACTGTGTTTTTATAGAAACTGTTTCTGTTTCAGTGTTTACAGCTTTACCTCTTGGAAATGAATTAGACGTGACTTGGAAATGAGGTTATACAAATTTAAAATCTATGCCACATGTAATATAACATATCATATGAGTGATACATCTAGTAAAGTCATAGCAGCAATGTAATAAATTACTCAGTTGGCAACTCTTTGATTATCTGGGGTATGAAGAAAGTTGTCTACTTAGTTGTAGGTATTTATTAAGCCAATATTGGTGCTTGGATCCAGTAGCTTGAAGCTATATATTCATATGTGACTGGCTTTTACAATTTAGACATGATATTTATCTGGAGTCGTAGGTTTGAGCTAAGAAGCTTGTTTCCTTCAAATGGATATAGCTAGTGTATGCTGTCAAGCTACTGTAAATTCAGTTTCTTATGGATCTGAAGATGTGTTCTATATAATTGACGATTATAATCCACTCTTTTAAGCTTCAATGTTATAGTTTTTCTATTGGTGACAGCTTTCTAAATTGTTTCTTTATTGGTTTTCTAGGACTGGCTTTGAGGAGGATAAAAACTTTCATGTTGTTTTGAACTCAGTTATCGCTGGACGCTATCATGTCACTGAGTATCTTGGATCAGCAGCATTCAGCAAAGCTATCCAGGCTCACGATCTTCACACTGGCATGGATGTTTGTGTGAAGGTTATAAAGAACAACAAGGATTTCTTTGATCAGAGCCTTGATGAAATAAAGCTGCTCAAGTTTGTAAACAAACATGATCCTACTGACAAGTATCATATCCTTCGGCTGTATGATTATTTCTATTACCGGGTAAATAAGAATTTGAAATTTGAAGGTTTTTCTTTTTCTTTTTTTTTTCCCCCCAAAATATTTAGCTAAAGTGTATATATATACACAGATTTAGAAAGTATATAGATTATAGATGAAGCTTCATCAGAATTTACATTGGCATCCCCTATCAATGAAAAGTTGGCTGAAGTTTTTCCAACATGTTGCCTGATTGTATATACAATTCACTTTTATCCAATATTCAGGTGTAATGGTAATATACTTAAGAATTATGGGCAGTATTGTAACTTCTTTTGGCCGGACATTTAGTATTAACTAAGACGTCTGAAGGCAAGCATAGTGTGCCTGCTGCATTATGTTAGATCTCTTGTACAAATGATAATTTTAGATGGCCACATTTCTTAAGATATATTATGCAGAATAATTTTATAATTTCATATTCAGCTAGGCAACAACATTACCTCCACAATTCTTGCCAACTAGCAACTTTATGAGATTGATTAGCTTTGGATGGAGGCTTTACCAATTACCATGTTATAAACCCTCCACTCATGCATGGTATTTGTGGAATTCAATCCTATTGACTTTGTATGTATATATCCATACACAGGAACATTTATTGATTGTATGCGAATTGCTTAAAGCAAACCTGTACGAGTTTCAGAAATTTAACCGAGAATCTGGGGGAGAAGTTTACTTCACAATGCCAAGATTGCAGGTTTGTAGCTTTAATGCAAATTTCCTTGCTGATTACCCTGCCAATTACTGACTATGAATTTTATTTGCAGTCAATAACAATTCAGTGTTTGGAAGCGCTTCGATTTTTACACAGTCTTGGGCTTATACATTGTGATCTGAAGCCTGAGAATATTTTGGTGAAAAGCTATAGCAGATGCGAAGTGAAGGTTATTGATCTAGGAAGTAGTTGCTTTGAGATCGATCATCTTTGTTCTTATGTACAATCTAGGTCATATAGGGCTCCAGAAGTGATTTTGGGACTTCCATATGACAAAAAGATTGATATTTGGTCCCTTGGTTGTATCTTGGCAGAACTTTGCACAGGCAATGTAAGTTCTTCCAATTCATAGTTCTGTAGTTCATCTCAGTCAGCAATTTTGTAGCAAATTTAGATATATATATATATTTTTTTAATTTATTTTGTCTTTTCTTGAGGTCTTCCCTCCAAACCAAAAGAACAGAAAATGCTGTCTGATCTTTACCCAATTGATCTTACCTTTCTCACAGCATTGAAATTTCATTTAAGCAAGTCATGAACACTCTCGCCCCTTGGAACACCTTAAACAAAGGCAAATACCAAGTAGCACAAGGTTATAGTTAGAAAGCATCACTTATTTTTTTTGGTAGTATTGACAGAGGTACCAGAGGTGATGGTAGATTTTGTACCGTGCTCGGAATTCTCATTGGCAGACATGATAAATTTGGGTTGAAGAAAGCCCCAAGGAAGAAATGTTGAGTCATCAATCATGATTAGGCTTGACTTTGATCAATTAATTAGCTTGATTATTGGTTTGGCCAATTTTGTGTTCAGGTTAACCCAGATTTGTTGCATTTCTTTTAAGAACATTTTTAAATGGCCAATACGGGCTGCTTATTTTATACATTTATCTTCTCAATTACAAAGCCAATATTTTATCTATGTGTTGTCTTGTGTCGCTAGAAAAGCAATTTTTTGTAGACATTTTCTATTTTTGTCGTTACTGTTATTGCTTCTGGGACTTAAGAATAATTTATGTGCTGTCTGAATAGGTTCTCTTTCAAAGTGATTCTCCTGCAACTTTACTTGCTCGAGTTCTTGGAATTATCAGTCCTATACAGCCAGAGATGCTTACAAACGGAAGAGATACCTACAAATATTTCACAAAAAGTCATATGCTTTATGAAAAGAACCAGGTGACAATCACTTTTTGTTCTCTCCTACATGCATATCAGTTCATACAAATGTTGCAGCACCGACATCCTTATTTTATGAATCAAAATGTAAAAAAGAATGTGGCATTTGTCAGCCCTTACACTGGTCTTTGTTAAATTGCTTGGTTTTGTTGAATATCTCTTGATGTTTGATGGTTGTGCTTGTAATTCAGCACATAATGTCACAAACTCTGACATCTTGAGATGCGGGAAGAATGGATTGCCAAACAACATTTGTTGTTTGGGTCTGTAGGGTGGGAACTTGAGAAATATGCTGCACTGAGCATTGTTGCTAATTTTATTTTTATTTATATTTCCACGAGGCTTAAAAGCTAAAATTGTAACGAGAACACTTTTTCAAATAAGCTATTTTTGAGGCTTATGTAATGATTTTTAAAATCGCATAAACTGATTCAATCATTATTCCTTATGGTTGCTTTTTCGTATCTTGTTAGCTTGTGCTATTTAAATGTGTTAAATATGATTGCTTTCAGAAATTACTACTCATAGATTTGTTAGATAGGTGGTTTGTTCTTACTTGGTTGATTCTGTCCCCAATACAACAATATCCCATGTCTTATTCTGGTTTCACATCTCTCTCAGGAAACTAACAGACTGGAATACTTGATACCCAAAAAGTCATCCTTAAGAAACCGGATGCCCATGGGAGACCAAGGTTTTGTCGACTTTGTTGCTTATCTGCTTCAAATCGACCCAAGAAAGAGGCCTTCTGCGGCTGAAGCTCTTGAACATCCTTGGCTGCAGTACCCTTATGAACCAATATCATCCGGAGGAGTTTGAAATGCGTTGATAAATTAAGATCTAAATGTTCCTTTCAGATCAGACATGAATGCATGCATTTGGGGCAGACCTGAATTGGCTGGCATGCAAATTAAATGTGCCTGCAAAGCGAGCAAGCGAGCAATCTTCAACCAGCTGAAATTTTGCAAGGTCCTCCAATATATCTGGAGTTTTTGTTAATCTCTTGCTCTGCTCATTGCCGCGGGTTGTATTTTAGCTAAAATGTAATCTTACAAGATTATGTATGAATTAAGAGTAGAGTAGAGTGGAGTAGAGATGTCTTTTTGTTTCTTACACTTTTGTCGAGCCAGGTAGCAGCATCAGTCTCAAGTGTCGGACTCTCGGTTGTACATGGTGTGTCTGTGATTCTTTCTTTTTAGGGTGTGTTTGATTGGGGATTGAATTTTAAATTCACCCAAATATTTATTTTTCATTTATATTAAAAATTAATTTTATATAAAAAATATCACATCAATTTTCTATTTATATCACATTATATAATTATTAAAATTTAAATTTTTTATTATTCAAATCTTAACTCAAAGTTCAAATCCCAGACAAACACACCGTTACAATATTTTGTTAAGAGAGTTTTTCATAGATTGTGATTTTTTTTTGTATTTATCATACGATTTTTATTTATTTATTTAAATTAAATTGACAGATTACTTTTTATATTTTATATTTTATTAAAAATTAATTTTATAATATTACTTTTAAAATTCGAATTTGAGATAGTTTGTTTCTAACGGTCATCACCTCTTGGTGAATTGAAATCTAGGATTGTGTGCATTTGCAAATTGTAAAAGCTGCAGGTTCAAATTATGATATAGGTAAAAGTGCGGGGCGAATTGGTAAAATATTCTCGAAACAGTATATATATACGGAAAGAAGGCGATGCTGTCTCTGTCACTCTCTCTCATTTCTACCGTGGTTTGGGATGGAGGGCGGTGAAGAGAAACCTTCTGTGGCGACGTCGATATTCGCCGCCTTCAATCATCACCCGCAGGAGCAGCCGCAAGTTACTGCTTCCGATTCCCAGAGCGGCGCCTCTTCAGGCGCTGAATGGCTGCAGAACCGCAGCTTCACCACAGACCTATCCGTCATAAATGAAGCCGTCGCGAAATACAGTCATCCTGGCGGAGAAGAACAACAGGAAGACGAAGAAGATGGAGGGAAAGAACTTAATGCCAGCAAACGACCGCCGCAGTATGAGATGGTTCCGTCCTCTCCGTCGGATGCGGGCGGGTCTTCGGATGAGGAGGATAGAAAGAAAAGGAAAAAGAGGAAGAAAAGGAGAAAGGGGGAGGTGCCCGGCGGTTCTCGGCCATTCTACGACTATGGGACGATTCTCTCATCTTCTTCTAGAAAATCGGGTGTTCAAAAGTGGGCGTCTTCTTCTACTTCGAATCAAAAAGAATATTACTTTGATTCTCGTGGAGATCCCGACAATATGGCATTCGGTAGCATTTACAGGTTCTCCCAAGTTTTCCTTCTTCTTCTTGTTCTTCTTGTTTTGTTTTCTGCTTTTACATTGTTCAGTTCTTTTTCTTTTCTTTTTTTGGTTGGGGGGGGGGGGGGATGTTGTTCTTGATCTTGAGTGAATTTTCAAATCAAAAGCTTCCGTTTATGTTGTCAATGTTATTTTAAATTTCGTTGAGATAAGTTGACCAGTTTTCTTTTATTTTAACAGAGTTTCTGTTGTTATTAGTTTAACAGCAATAACTGGCTTTTCATTTCTAGATGGAGATATTGAATTGTAAAGATGGTAGTCTGTATGAATTTTGATTTGAGGTTACTCTACTTGGTAAAATGCAGAATGGATGTTGCTCGATACAAGCTTTATAATTCTCGGAAAATTTCTGAAGCCAACTATTTACTGAAGAATAAGAATGTTGGTAGTTTGGATGGCGATGGAGACATAGACGGTGTGGATCGAAAACTTAAATCAGGTGGTCGATATTGGTCAGCAAAGTATTCCGCTATTGAATATCATAAGAACTTGAAACGGGTAAGAATCCTTGCACCTGACAAACCTGCAAGGAGTCCAATTTCTGATTATATTCCTTTAGGGGATGAGGCTTCTGGCAGCGGAATGCCCCTGAGTTCTATAATTGTGGAAGAATCTTGGGAAGATGAGGTATTGCGAAAAACAAAGGAATTCAATAGGATGACAAGGGAACGCCCTCAGGATGAGAGTGTATGGTTGGCATTTGCAGAATTTCAGGACAAGGTGGCAAGTAGGCAGCCTCAAAAAGGCGCCCGTTTACAGACACTGGAGAAGAAAATCAGTATTCTGGAGAAGGCAACCGAGCTCAATCCAGACAACGAAGATCTTCTTGTTACTCTCATGAATGCTTACCAGAGTAGAGATAGCTCTGACGTCTTAATTAAAAGGTGGGAGAAGATACTCGCAGCTAATTCTGGGAGTGTTATGCTGTGGAGAGAGTTTTTGCGGGTTGTTCAGAGTGAATTTTCCAGATTCAAGGTTTCTGAGATGAGGAAAGCATATGCTAATGCAATTCAAGCCTTAGCTGGTGCTTGCATAAAGCAGCATAGGCAGGTTCTACCTTTAATAATCCACACGCCTTCATTGACTATTGATACAGTTTTGCACTTGTTGTTTTTTTTTTTCACTCAGACATGCTAACAAATAATCTACAGAATAAACTACTCTTTTGTTGTCTGCATGCGAGTTTCTGTTGTCTACAGTTACTTTGCTTATGTGCCGTGAAATGCATTAGCAATGCTCTGGAAGTCCTCATCTCACTTGCTGGGGAAAAATTAGTGCTCTTGTCACCACTTCTTAGCATTAGCTTTTAGGCTTCTACATTTTCCACTTAAATTCAAGCCATGTCATTCATTTCTTCATATGCTAGGATTACATTTTGGAGCTTAACTTGTCTCCTTTGTTAAAGTTTCTGAGACATTGAAATCACTCCTTTTTTTTTGTTTGTTTGGACGCAGGCTTATCCATCTGGAAATGCAAATCATAATGATCCGGGATATGTTCAATTAGAACTTGGGTTAGTTGATGCCTTTCTTGGTCTCTGCCGCCTGGAGTGGCAAGCAGGTTATCAAGAATTGGCCACGGCTTTATTCCAGGCAGAAATTGAATACAGTTTATTCTGCCCTTTGATTCCTTCAGAACAAAGTAAACAAAGGCTATTTGAACACTTTTGGAGTAGTGATGGTGCTAGAATTGGAGAAGATGGAGCTCTTGGATGGTCAACATGGTTGGAGAAGGAGGAAGAACAGAGGCAGAGGCTTATCAATGAAGAGGCTTCAAACATAGTTGAAGAAGAAGGCTGGACTGGGTGGTATGATCCATCATCAAAAACTAAGGAAATTGAAATGCCAGAACATATCACAGAGGGAGATTTGGTTCCTGAGAAATTTGATGATGAGCTTGAGGCTAATGGTATTGAGCCCAAGGATGATGTTGAGACTCTGCTTAAAGCACTTGGAATTGATGCTACTGCTGAAGCTGACATCAGTGTCAAAGATACAAAAACATGGACTAAGTGGTCAGCTGCTGAGATAGCAAGAGATTTTGACCAATGGATGCCCATTCGTGCAAAATCTGGTTTGTCTTATTCCATATCCTTACTTCATCTGGTGCTAGAAGATACCCTAAAATAAGATGTAGGAACTCACACGAGTATATGTTGATTCCTCCTATATTAAAGGTCACAATTTTTTGTTGTAGTGTTTGAATCTGAAAAAGAATTAGCTGAGAGATTTGATGAACTTAAAGGCATATGAGTCTTGAATGCAAGCAAGGGAGAACAATTAGGGTGTTGTTCTTGAACATGCATGTAGAATCAAGCAATAGACTATTTGCTTATTACGCTATTCTGCTATTTTTTCTGTGTGGAAGTAACCATATTAGCTGCAGCATCCATTTTTGTGCAAAGACTTTAGGGTTTGTTTAGTTGTTTTTTTCTGTTTCAGATGTTTTTGAGAACAGTAACAAATTTGAACGGAACATGGGTATTGGAGAATAGGCTTTTGATGTAAGATTTTAAAAGAAAATTATATATATATTTTTTGAGAAATATAATTGAGAACACAAAAAAAGCAGAGCCTAGCACTTTTAACTTGAGTGGTGTAATGAAATTCTTATTATTTTGTTTATTTTATATTGTTGTAACAGAAACTGAAATATTTATGATGGTACCCCAAATTAGAATGCTATTACTAACAATGTTTTGTATCATATGCATTATTGACCTTTTCATGCGTAATGCTATGATCTATTGACCAGATCTCCATCGCCGATTCCTTTAAACATACTTATCTTTCTCTTACTCTGGTGGATTGACTTTTTCTGAATTGGAAAAACAGATCAGGTTTCTCATGAGGATGCCACAGCTGATGCAGACGATGATGAGCAGCTTTTGAGTGTAATATTGTATGAAGACGTGAGTGCTTATCTGTTCTCCTTAAATTCAGAGGAAGCCAGAATGTCACTCATAGCCCAGTTTATAGATTTCTATCAAGGGAAATTAGCACAATGGTAGGTATTATGAACTTATGAATTCGGTACAGGTTGTTCTTATCTCAGCTTGGTAGATGACTACTGGATATTTTGAGAGTTGCATGTGATGTTTGCAGGACTAGCACAAACAGTTCCAGTTGGGTTGAGAAAATCCTCAGTTTGGAGACCCTTAATTACCCTCTTCTAGAGGATTTCAGGAAGGTGCATGATCTTTTAACAGCAAAGCTCACAGAACAAACAAGTACTAGTTTGGAGCATCTTTTGAACAATTCAGACAATTCTACTATGAGGATTAGCATGATGAAATTTCTACGAAATGCTATCTTGCTTTGTTTAAAGGCATTTCCCCAAAACTACATCTTGGAGGAAGCTGTTCTTGTAGCTGAGGAGATATCAAACACAAGAATGAATTCAACAAACTCTTCTCTGACTCCTTGTCGAGTCTTGGCAAAGTCTTTGTTGAAGAATAATCGACAGGTATATGTTTTTTGCATAGATTGACTTAGATTTGTGACTGATTGTTTCCAGAGTTTTGGAAATAATTTATTTTATTTTTTCATTTAATCTTCAATTTCTTTCTACCTATTTGTTATAGTCTGTATCCCAGCCTGTATTTATCTCATCCTACATATAATTACACTGTCTTTGATATTCAATTTCTTTTTAGCAGTTTGTCTCTTGATAATAAGTTTGCCAAAACATACAAGATTGGATAATCCACACACTAAAGAACATTGCAGCTATGGTGCACGTGATTTGCGGCCCTAAACCTGCAGAAGCCTTGTCTTAACTCTTTTCTAGTTCCACATAAATTTGTTGAAGACATTTTCTGTCTCAAGAATAATCTCTTTGCTAATCATTTTCTTATTAGTAGGAATTTGGTTGATAAATGACTGAAATTTCACATCTAACTAATGCATTGGCTAAATATATGATATATATATATATATTAAAAAAAATCTACATTTCCTGACTAATTTCACAATTAACATTCACCGTTTATCTAACATTTAATTTTATGGGTGTATCGGTGTAATAAGTACCACAAGCAATTTGGTAAATGTCTAGTAGAACCGAAATTATCATACAACTTCTACACATGTATGATTGCAGCTGGAGTCTCAGTTAAGTGACTTCAATACAGTTGGACTGAAAAATCTGTCGACTAAGTTTGATCATTCTTCTACTTAAAGCTGATCTATGTCGCTCTATGATAGGGTTTTGCATACTTTTTCATGTTCAGATCATCTTCTGTTAATTGTAGGATGTATTGCTATGTGGAGTTTATGCGCGAAGAGAAGCATTCTTTGGAAACATTGATCATTCCAGGAAGGTTTTTGACATGGCCTTATCATCAATTGAGGGGCTTCCCCTGGTATGATTATTTTCTTACTGTCCTTGATATCATAAAAATGCAATTTAGTCACTCCATTAATTTATCCCTCAAATCTCTTATCTTTGTAACACTTTTATTATAACTTATCAACTGCATATTATATAAGTGTTTTGCTTTAGCTACTATAGATGTTTGTTTCCCATCTTTTATCTTCTTTTGCATTCTCAGGGTGTGTTCTTTCATGGTTTTGTTTATATTATGTGTTATTTGTTTTGATGTTTTTAAGTTAGAAGTGTTATTGGATGTAATATTTTGTATAGAATAATGGTGTTGGTTGTATTGTCCTTGGAGAGAAAATAAAATAATGAGTAGTAAAAAATGGGAAATAAAGATACAAAAGAATACAGCTTCCTTCTTATGGACTTGTGAACATTTTGCAGTGGGGAGGGCCTGGAATTCTTGTATTATGTAAAATTTCCTTGTATTTGGTGTTGATTTTTGTTCCAAAAGAATGATAGTAAATTGTAGTGAGTTGATCGCCTAATCGGACTTTCAGCTGTAAGGATTACAACCTTGCCTTGAAGCCTTGTAAAAGACACATACCAGTGAGCATTTTGATTTGATATTGCTTGGTCCAGACACTTTGTCACATCTTGATGCAGTAATGATTATACGTATAAGCTAATATATTTCTGCCTTTTTAATTTGATCAAGCAGGAAGCTCGTCCCTGTGCTTCTCTTCTGTATTTCTGGTATGCTGAAGTGGAGCTTGAAAATAATGCTTTTGAAAATTCTGAGTCCTTGTTCCGTGCATTGCATATCTTGTCATGTTTGGGCAGCGGGACACGATATACTCCATTTAAGGGACAACCATCCAGTGTTCAAATACTCAAAGCTCGCCAGGGATTCAAAGATCAGTTAAAAATCTTAAATTCCACATGGACACGTGGTATGGTTGATGATCATTCTGCTGCTCTTATCTGTTCTGCTGCATTGTTTGAAGAGTTGACTTCTGGATGGGGGTCTGCTTTGGAAATATTGGAACATTCTTTTGCAATGGTACTTCCAGGTGAGTAAAAAATTTGGAACATTCTCTTGCAATGGTACTTCCAGGTGAGTTAAAAATTTTCAGATGCCATATTCTGAAGAACACCGTAAATATTGAACTCCTTTAATTGAATGAACTCTATGATCTATGAAATATTCTTTAATTAAGGAACATGCAAATCACTATAGGATATAATCTTGCACAAGCATATGTAGTAAAAAGTTATATTGAAATATTGTTTGACCAGTGGGAATGGAAAGAGGGTTAATTCTATACTAAATATAGTCACACTAGCTGGTAGAAGGAGCTGACGAAAGGAACCTTTCTATCCCCATTTATTTGGAATTGCTTATCACCACTTTGCATTTCCCTATAAACTAGCAACATAAATTAAGTTGAACACTCTAGTTCATATTTTTGTGTGTTCAATTCTTAATTTTGTACTAGTTCTTTCTATGCAATTACCATACAGTGTAACATGTTTTCCTATATTCGGTTGCAGAGAGGAGGCGGAACAGTCGGCAACTTGAGTTCTTGTTCAACTATTATGTGAAGATTCTCTGTAAAAATCACATGGAACTTAAATTTTCTAAAGTATGGGGTGCTATAATAAAAGGGCTGCAGATATACCCCTTCAATTCAACATTACACAATGCTTTGGTTGAAATCAGCCATCTTCACACTTCACCTAATAAGCTCCGGTGGACATTCGATGATTACTGTCAAAAGTAAACTTGTTTCTCCTTCATTTATTTATGTTACTCATCATTCTTCTGCTATCTGATTAAAACCATTGTAGTTTCCATTTGGAAATCCTGTGACGCAAAATTCTCCAGTAAGTTATGTTCTCTTGAAAACTCGAGTCATGTACGTCTGTTTTAAATTAAAAGTATGTCTGCCTTCCACTTACTTGCGGGTGAGGGATTAATGTTTCTTTTTACTACTTTTGGCAAATTATTGATGTCACTGAGTTCCATGTTGGGATGTGAGAAACTGCATTGTTTTGTGTCCTCTATGATCATTTTACCAACTTTTATTGGAAAGTGGCTTCCAAAGTACTTATATTTCAACTCAACCTCTTTACTTTGAATCAGGAATCCATCTGTTATTACGTGGCTTTATGCTGTGTCATTTGAGATTGGTACTGGGGGCTCCCAACATCGAATACGAGGATTGTTTGAAAGGGCACTGGAGACTGATAAGATGCGCAGAGCAGTTATTCTTTGGCGATGCTACCTGGAATATGAAAGAAGTGTAGCATGCAATGCTCTGTCTGCAAAAAGGGTGTTCTTCCGGGCAATACATGCCTGCCCCTGGTAAATCTATATTTTCTGTTGATGAAGTGAACTTCTTTAGGGCTTGCATTCATTCAAATATGTGAAGATTTACATTTGAGACAGACTTTATATTATATGTTGATTTCTGACATTCAACTTACAACCTGTTATCAGAATTATAGTTGCACTGTTAGCCATAACATACTGGAGTTAGAAATCTCTCTAACCTTTTTCTTCATTCGCTAGAACTGCTCTAAATTCCATATTGTAGGTAAATTTGCAAAATTTTGAAGTCATGTTTTGGGAATGTGGTCATCTTTTCAGATAGTTATTTCTGGACACAAGAATGAGATGTGATTGTGAAGAGCATTTACTGCCGTCTACATGTTGCATTGCATTGACTCAGTACTCCCGATGGTTGTTTGTTTGTTTGCGTTCACATTAATTGATGACGCAACATTAATTAATTAATTAAATGTATATCCAGGTCCAAAAAACTGTGGCTGGATGGTTTCATGAAGCTGGGTTCCATATTGAGTGTGAAGGAGCTGTCTGATCTCCAAGAAGTGATGCGGGACAAGGAACTGAATCTGAGGACTGATATATACGAGATTTTACTGCAAGATGATGATCGTGGGACCGAGTGATACGTAAGGGAAGAGGGCATGGCCTTTGCTTAATTACAGCTGGTTAAGATCACTTAGAGGTTTAAGCTTGTTAATTTGCTGTTTGTACGTACACTAAGGGATGATGCAGATACAAAGACTGAAATACCATAATACATGCAAATGCAATGCAGTTAGGTGGCTGATCATGTCTTTAATTAATTAATTAAGTAATAGAACCAACGAAGGAATTATTTCAATCCTTGGGAAGCCTCTACCATCTTATTCCCTTAGACTTTGAGCGCTCGATTTTCGATCTTTGCAGACGGCATGCGTGCATGCATATATACACAAATAAGTGTACATAGTATTTTATTGTGAACGTCGTCACTAACATTGTTGAATCTATACAGCAAATTTTATGCTGACAGGACGGAGACGAACAGCTGCATGCCTATCACACACACACACACACACAGGTAGTATATATGATTCAACTAATCCACCAAAATGACTATATAGCTAGTCTCTTTGGTAGAGGAACTAACTAGGTGGATGGTATCTTCTTCATCATATGACTGGATACATACATACATACATATATCACAGTTTCAAGCTGTGCATGGACATATATATGTTGTTGTTTTTTTTGCATTGGACCATTTTGTCCATGCGTGTATGTAGTTGTAGTATGTATGTAAGTGTAATTAGTAGTGTGAATGATGGATCCAAGAGGACGCAGACGCACTAATTAACTTGTGTTAATATATAACTTGCTGCAGCTGCTGGCTGGCTGGCTGGCCGGCTGGCTGATTAATTAGCTAGCTAGTTTAGTTAGTTGGTTAGTAGGGAGAGCTGCCGTTTCCCACTGACAAGAAGTCTATGAATGCCGCCGCAGTTGCAGTCGAAGAAGACGAAGACGAAGATGAAGAAGACGGACATGGACATGAACCTTTCTTCTGATTATCGTCGTCCACTTCTTCTTCTTCCTCCTCCTGTGGACGATTCTCTTTCCTTCTTGCATGCTTTTGCTCGTCCATCCCTATTTCGTACTGTCTATTACTAATCGGGTCCGTCTTCACTTGTAGAAAGTTATAGAACTCCACTTCTTTGCTTCCACTTCCGCTTCCTCCTGCAAACCAACCAAATTCACATTTCTTATATATACGTACATATATATGTATATGATTGATAGATATCAAAAGGTACCGAATATGGATTTGGTTCCATGCACGCACTTACAAAACGTTGCATGCATGCATGCATCTCTTCTATTCTTTAAATAATTTATCAGATGTGTGTGTGTGTGTGTGTTCATGCGTACACAGGCCATTAGTACGTACATACATATATATATATATATATATCTATATATAAATACTGCTTCTGATGCGAATAGGCTAGGCTAGTATCCCTTCTTATAAGAATTCCATCTATATATGTCGGAATGATAGATAGAGCAAGCAGTGACAAGACACACACACACACACACATGTATGCACATATATCTATCTATCTAGCTAGCATGCATGCATGCATTTTCAATCATTTGAATCCTATGTACTCTTCTCTACTTCTGCTGGCTAAAAGTGATTCATTGTCCATCGTCTACCTAGCAATGCATATGCATGGTTTAATTTTAACTAATTAATTAATTAATTGCATATCATGTGTACTAACTAACTAACGAATCTAAATTATTGATATTGATATTATTTATATAAATTAATTATGGCTAGCTACATTATTGTTACCTTGGGCCGCCGCCATCTTCATAGGATGATGATGAATCTCTGTCATCTGTCTATCATTATCATCATCAGGTTGTGTTGGAGGAAGACGGTCCATTGCCCACTGTAAGTAGTTATACCTAAATAGATGATCCGCGAGGGGTTGACGCCTCCTCGTCTGCTCATCAAATGCCGCCGCCTGGCTCTTGAGATCGAAAGGCTGCACCAAGTTAAAGCCTGAACAAGTCTTTCCCGCAGCGGAATAATGATGATGACGATGATGATCGGCCTTTGATGCGGCCACCCTGTGATCGCACTTGGATGAGGAGGATGTTGATGATATCGACATTGATTCTTTCTCATGAATAGCAGTAGTAATGTTGTTGTTGTTGTTGTTGATATCATCATCATCATCGGATGATCGTCTCCACTTGATGGGGTGGTGAGATAAGGCTCGCCTGGCGTAGAATTTGGATCTCTCTCTGCATTTCCGGGCCATGATGACATGCCAGTGGTTCTTGACAGCGTTGTCCGTGCGGCCGGGGAAGAACCTGGCGATGACGGCCCACCTGTTGCCGTGGATGCGGTGGCAGGCCAGCAGCCGCTCTTCCTCCTCCTCGCTGAAAGGGCTGCGGTTGATTCTCGGGTCCAATTGATTGAACCATCTCAGCCGGCAGCTCTTCCCTGCACCGCATCAATCAATATATATCGTCAAACTGCAGTAATCTTGGATAAATAGTTTTGATGAGAGTTGAAGCTTTTCTGCATCTAGCTACATGATCCTTATAATTAACTATGCCGTCATATTGAGGCAGATTGAAATCTCAGGAAAGCCAGCAACTAATTCTTTCCAATAATCAATTTATTAAACCCTAGCTGGAAAAGCATTGAATATACTATTGAGAAATCGGGCCTTCTACCATCCGTAACTTCTCTTTCCACCAATATATAGTACATACATACATACATACATAAGAGGAAATTAGATACAATACATGATGCGCACATAGATATATATGTACATATACATAGTGAGAGAGAGAGAGAGCAGAAGAGAGGGAGAATAATCTTCTATATAATAGTATCAGCAAATAAACTACCTGATCGGCCCTGGAGTTTCTCAGCTATGGCGTTCCAGTTATGGGGTCCATATCTCTCAACCAACTCCCGCAGCTTCTCATCCTCGGCTGGTCTCCAGTGCCCTCTACTGCACATCATCAACCACCGCCCGCCACCAACAACAAGAAGAAATGGCAACAACTCAATTAAGATATTAAGAAGCTAGCTAGTTTAGAGTTCAATAAGAAACCCTAAATATATTATATATGTGTGTGTGGGTGTATCCTAGCAAGATTCCCAGATGGATCTATCTGTCGAGATATATATATATATATATATATATAGGCAGCTGACGGCTTCCTCCTCCTCCTCTACCTTGCAAAACTGTTCCACTCCCTATAGCTATGGAGGAGAATGGGCGGATGGTGATCTATATGATGATGAGCTAGAAAGGCAGATGTGTGTGTATATAATGGGAATGATAAGAGAAAACACAACACATATATATACCTACATACATATATATATATATATATATATATATATATATAAGAAGAGAGTTAGATAAAGCAGTGTTTTCTGTTAGAGATTTGGACAGACCAGCACCACCAATTGATGCAACATCTAGGCTAACTAATTCAACACCCCACTCCCCCTTCCCCCTCCCACATTATATTGATTATTATATTAATAATAAATAAATAAAGTGAGCTAGCTATATATATGTCGTGCGCGCGTGTGCGTGCGTGTGTGTATTTATTTTGATGCAAGGGTATATATGTGGAAATTAAGGTTGTCTGGTATGGTAAATGTCGTTCTCCTTTCAACATCCCCCCTAAATTCTAACCTACAATACCCACCTTGCACTATATATTTATTTAATTTGTCTTATAATTTTTTATTTTTTTTTCCGCTTAACTGTGTGGACATTTATATATAACTAAAATCTCTTATCGAAATTACACATAAACATGCATATATATATATATATATATCTATCTATCTAGATGCTGAATAGGGAGGGTTTGCTTAGGGGTATTAATTGATTCAAATTAATGATGACAGCATGCACATACATACAACAAATTGACCAGCAATTAATGGAAAGTTTGGCATTGTTTGCTAGAGTTTAATTACTGAATAAATATGGTATAATAAGTTTTTAGGTCCTCATCACTTTTCCAAGACCTAACTGAAAATTGGCCTGCAACTGCAATCATATATTTAGGGGATTGATTAATCTCTCTAAATCAACAATAATTAATTAAGCTTCATCTAAGGATACTCATGTACGGCCTTGCATGCTTCTTCTACCTCTTATAATAGTTCTATTTCCCCAGTTAAACTGAACATATACTTGAAGGTTGTCGTACTTTCATATTAGTGATAGTGCAAAGCAAACTGATTAATCACCAACATTGCAGAAAATACAAGTAGATCGCATGAGCTATTAGGTAATGACACGAGAGACCCGGCCTGTGCGAAATTTGTATATATATTTATTATAAGAAATTTATTCAAATCATATTCATAACATTAGGTGGCCTTTGATTTGAATGGGAATATTGTTTCCAATCACTAATATCATTAAGCTAAGGACATATTAGTAAACTAGCAAAGAGAAACCAAAAAAAAAAAAGAAAAAAAGAAAAAAACAAACTGCATTTAGTTTGTAAATTAATTAAGCCAATTTTCATGTGTAGTTGAATTGTCATACCTATGTGTAACTATAAGGGAAACAGAATTAGTTCTCAACTTCCAAAAACTGCCAAAAGGGCAACTTTTTTCTAAGGGAAGTATGACTTGTTTTTGACTGTTGGCCTACCCACTCTCCTCTTTTATTATTTTTCTGTTGTCAATTCAATTCAATCCCAATATATATTAGAGGCTTGTAAGAAAATTGGTAAACAGTAAGGGAGCTGAGATGTGAGAATACAGTAAAATGGCATCATAATGAGCTCATCAAGTCTACAAATCAAAGACAAATTAACTTGCCAAATTACTATCATTGTATACTAGCTAACTCCCATCTAAATCTGTGGGAACCCTCCCCTTGCTAATATATATATATATATATATATAGGATCTATATCAATTATTCCCATTTTCTATTATTTATCACTCCTTGTGGAAAAACAAGCAGGCGAGGCCTATATTTAAAAGACTAAGATTCATGCAACATCATATTTTGAAAGGTTGAAATTGGAGCCACAGTAGTGTTTCAGTAGAGCAGTCAATTGTATATTCACAACTATTGGCAAGAATGGCATATTTACCCAAAAACAAAAACATATAAGAAGTAAAGGTCATCAAGTAATGGCGAGCTTTTGTTCAATTATTCATACAAGCTTATATTGAACAGTCCTGACATTAGTATGATCCTATTATGTGAATACCATATCCTGAGTGGACTAACGTTGTGGGCTGTTCACCAGCTTTACCTACTTCATTTCTACCCATCAGTAAACAATTCTGGATTTCTGCGGTAAATTTCAGGAATATGATTTCAATTCATGTTTAGATTCAAACGCATGTATAAAATCTATCTCGACATATCCTAGTGCCATCAGCGAGGATTTTAGTGCCTAATTTCGTGGAAGCTTATCATTTGTTTAAATCAACATTTCTCGTTGGTCAGAGAGGCTGATAACAACCAAACACGGAAAATATATTCAAAGGTTGTCAAATTGATCTAAACTTAATAGGGCCATAGAGTTGAAGCATTTTCCATGTTTTGCACGTTTAGTGTTCATCCAGGCAGCATCTAAGGATGGAACAGTGAATGATTCTGCTGAACCCCCTACCTCAGTCTCACCTGATTTGACTCACTAGCATATAAGATTTCTGTGTCAAGAAGTTATCTGAACTTCTCAACTGCAACACCACTTGAAAACTAACGGCTGAACCATTAGAACAAGAAATCTTGTGCTTTTTACGGAACATTTCAAGAGTACAACTACCTGACCTAAGGACCTACGACTGCAGCCATAATCTGGTGATTAACAATTTGACATGATCTATCAGTATTAATATCAGGGATATAGTGGGGAAGCTGAAGCTTGTTTTGGGAATAATATTATCATCAGCGCAAACTAAAAAAGTTCATGCTTGTTTTCTGATTCTCACCTTCAATAAGGTGGATCATGAAAGTACTTTTCAAGAGGATCTAGAATTGAGGACTAATTAACTAAGGCGTAACAAAAGAAATGTCCTTTGAGTACAACTTACTTTTTGAACCTGTGGATAGTAGGTGCAAGACAAGGATGTATATGGATACATTCTAGTTTTGTGCTAACCCCTGATGGAATATTACACCTTTTAGACTCAGGCTTTCCTATTCATGTGTTTCTATATTTGTCGAAAAGAACGTTATCTGTATTCTCCTCACGACTATTTTCCCTCCGGTCACACTAAAGACAAAAAGTTATTTAGAATATATGTTACAGGGTATACATTTTATGGACTTTTAAAAGCTGGAATACATGGAACGGAAACAATTGATTTGCAGCAAAACCTTTATCATGAGAATAGAAAGGAAAATAGACAACGTAATGAAACTTATAACCGACATATTTGACTCTTATATACTGTCGTGAGCTAAATGTCATTGATATTTCTCAAAAGAGATAATGAGTCGAAAAAATAGACTCAAAGCCATACCTTTCGGTTCAAGTGTTGAATATCACTACTGTCTAACAAGGCCATGATGACTGTTACACTTTGTAACATATAAAAATGATGGATACTTAGTAAATATAATCAAAGAACCTTTAGAGGCGGCAAGTATAGACAGAGGTTATATGAAAGTATGAGATTCTTCATGGTCACTCAAGGAAAGCCACTAAACAGAAAGGTCAGTGTGCAATCAAAAATTCACAAAATACCAGGGTTTTTTTTGGCGGCACATTTCACACCATGGAATTCTCCACAAAGGTACCAAAAAGTCCAGCGCTCTACAATTTCTGTTTTACTGAAGTCAAACATCCAATGATGGTGCTCAATAGGATATGAAATGATGCAACTAAACCACTTGTGAGATACTTTTAAGAGCTATGAAGAAAATGAACATTTTGTTTGACATGCGTGCTCAGTTGAAATATCAGTAGCCATTATCTCACCATTGATTTTCCCACTTTGTGAGTGCAGTTAAATGGAATAGCTTTTACTCGAGAAACTTTCACAGCAGGTTTTTATTTATCAACCAGAAACTTACTATCCTAATGTCCATTTCATAATCGTAGATTCTTCAGACAATCAAGTACTAAGTGGACATTCTAGATTGCAGTATCATTGGATCAATTAAATATTGGTTGTCAATGGCTTGCAACATATATGTATCCAAGTGAGAGGGCATGCTCTGCTCTGGTGGATTTAAGACACTAAGAGTAGGCCACGAAGGTCCTTGCCTAACTTTTCCCTTATTTGTGTTCCCTCATTATTGAATCTAGTATTTAAGATATTGATGGAACTTTATATATATATATATATATATATATCTCAAATTTCCATTGTGCATTGTGAGTATTGCACTTTAATGCTCAGAATGTAGCATTGGCTGTCAGTTATTGTTATTATATTTTACTGATCTTCAGAGGCTTAGATTTGCTTATATCGCAGCAGGTTCTAAACCCATAACTTGGCAGTGAGCCAGTGCTTTCTGTTAATATGGCACAAGCAATTATTTTGAAGGTTAAATCATTAACATCCTTGTACGTGTTCTCTAAAATCCAAATCTTGATTACTGATTTCCCTTGCTTTAAGTAAACATATGTATTATGTCGTCAATTGCTTCTTAGCTTTGTAGCTAGGATATGGACAAATGTGCCACGTTAAACCACATCCTTATGTCAAGTCACTAAATTTCTGATACACAGACTAACCAAAAGGTAAAAACAGGGCAAATTCACATAGGAAGAATCCATTGTATATCCCTAATAGTTCTCTTTTATACCAAATTAAATGAGAAACAAGTTCTGAAAAGAAACTAGTAGGCTCTCAGATTTATTAACTTCTACTTCGTTTTTCAACTTGAGTCGTTGAAATTGTTGGGTTAACCTTTAGTCTCATTAGACATTAACAATGTGCCTATCAGGACATTGTGTTCAAATTTTCTTTACCAGTCTGGTTTGATCTAAATGATTTAAATGCTGCATCAGGTACCTCCCCTTCGACATCTCTCTTACCCTGATCAATTCAATATGCTGCTACTGCTAACACAATTCAATACTTCAATTTAATGTCACAGAAATTAAATTTTAGTAGTTTGGGTCCACCTCACAATTTAGAACACTGTTAAATTATTGTGAACCAGAGCATCCAATCAACCATCTGAACTACAAAAAAACCAAACCAAAACTAACTTGGCATAAGAAACAACCATTCTTTATAGAAACTTGAGAAAGTGAGTATTTAATTCAGCTAGTTCAAAAGTTTAAATTTACATCATACTTTCAGTGCACGCAGAAAAACAACACAAACTTCAAGTATCATATCATGACAACAGCCAGTGAAAAAGAGGAGATCATCGATTTTATCAGCATGACATTGTCAGGCAATGCAAAGCTACACCATATATTTTTCTCTTAAAAGCAGTAAGACTAATACAACTCACCTATCTGATAATTGAACTTCCGAGGAGCTCGACGTCCAGCAAGGCAAAAACGATCACTTGAGATAATTCATGAAACTGGTGTAAACTACTGAAAAATGTATCATAAGCACATGCGGATAGTCCGTCTCCGTTAGAGATGCAATGGCTCTCCCTTCCACTGGATTGAGATGCCTCTGTCGTTTTGATACATTGTAACCGAAGCAACGATGTCGTGGGGGAAATGGCTGTTTGAGGAGGGAGTCTGAGACTAGATATGGCGGGAATTGTTTTGGGATGGGCCATCTTCTAACTGGGCTCACACGCTCTAAAATAAAGCTTTATAATGGGCCGGATGTTGGGCCCAACATCCCATAAAATAGTTAAAAGCTGTACAAACTACAAATACATTCCATAGTCCATAGTCCATAGTCCATAGTCAACACCTTTCCTGGCTTTTCAAATGATCACAATTACCTTATATTAATACAGACTCCATACGATAGCAAGCATTTATGATAATCCATCACTTCTTCTTCACATGAACAGGCAGGCAGGCAGGGTGAGGGCAGGGCAAATTTAGCAGATACCCCTGGCCTTGTCCAATAGCTTCTTCCAGTGGCCACAAACCTCCTCCTGAAGCTCAGTATGTTTAGCAGCAGCAGCAGCAGAGATGGTAGTATGTCTGCCATTGCCAGCAGCAGCAGCTTCCTCTAACTCGTCGATAACCTTTTGGATATCGCTGGCCAGCCGCTCGGCGAGGCTGCGGCTGAAGTCTTCACGGATCACAACGCGCAGAACAGCCACGTGCTGGGCATCTGCAGGCATGGTGTACGCCGGGACAATCCATCCGAACCTCCTGAGATGATGGGATATCTGGAAGACCGTGAATCTGGACGACCTATCCCTGAGTGAAAATGCAACCAAGGGAACTCCCACATCTTTGGACACGATTTCGAACCTCCCCGTCCTGGCTAACACTTCCTTGAGCTGCTTTGCATTTTCCCTGCAGTTCTCCATGATGCTTTTGTAGCCCTTCAATGAATCAATAACATACAATTCAATGTGCGTTTACTCATTAGAGTGGGGAGGTTTAACTATATATGTATATGTATGTATGTATGTATGTATGTAATATGTACCTCAAAGCCAAGTCTTATGAACTGATAATACTGAGCAATGATCTGGGATGACCCTGGAAGTTTGAAGAGACAACAAATAGTCAAGAATCAGCAGTATTAACAGAAAATAATGAATGATGTGAATAATTAAGTGAGTAATGATAATGAGAAGAGAAGATTATTGAGATTGACTGCCTTTAGAGAAGTTGAGGGTGAAGGTTGGTTGGTCAGATCCAAGGTAGTTAATATGGAAGACAAGTTCCTCCGGCAAGTCTTGCTTCGTCCTCCACACCACCCATCCGACGCCAGCATAAACCAGCCCATACTTGTGTCCACTGACGTTGATGCTTTTCACCAGTGGAAGACGAAAATCCCATTCGAGCTTGGGGTAGAGGAAGGGTGCGATGAATCCTCCACTTGCAGCGTCCACATGGATCGGCGTATCCCACCCGGTCTCCTTGTTTTTCTCTGCCAGCAGTTTGTTGAGAAGCTTCACGTCCTCAAACTCCCCTGTGAGGGTGGACCCTAGAATGGCTGCGACGCATATGGTGTTCTCGTCGACCAGCTCCACTGCCTTGACTGGATCCATCACGTAGTACCCCTCCGTCAGCTTCACCTCCTTCAGCTCAACTTCAAAGTACCTCGCAAATTTCTCCCAGCACACCTGCAGCGCAGATGGATGATGACCAATGAAATTTGATGCATAATGTATGTATGTGTGTAATAGTGATATGGTCGTAGTAGGGAACCTGGACATTGGCCCCGGTGACAATGTTAGGATTATGTAAGGGCTTGCCCTGTGCCTTCCTCCTGGTCTGCCACTTCCTCTTGAAGGCAAGGCCGGCAAGCATTATGGCTTCTGAGGATCCGACGGTGGATGTGCCTACGGCGGTGTCGGTGTCGCCGATGGGGGCGTTGAAGAGATGGGCGATCATATTGACGCACCTGTTCTGCAGGGACACACACACTAATCACTACAATAATAATAATAATGATGATGATGATGATGATGTAATCGGATGGTCGTCATGGGATGGGATGGGAAGCCATGAATGAATGAAAGGAAGGATATTGATTGATGAGATGAGATTTCAGAGCAGACCTGGAGCTGGGTGGTGGCGGGGTACTCGTCCATGTCGACGTAGTTCTTGTTGATGGAGTCCATGACGAGGCTGTCGCACTCGGGCTCCATCCAGGTGGTGACGAAGGAGGCGAGGTTGAGGCGGGGGTTGCCATCCAGCATCAGCTCGTCCTTCACAATCTGGTAGGCTGCCTCCTTGGGCGTCGACGCATCGGGGATCCTGAACCTGTAGCAGAAGAAGAGAAGCAGAGTCATGCAGCATGCACGACAGTACTACTGTACAGATATACTCTGACTCTGAGAGAGAGAGAGAGAGAGAGAGAGAGAGAGCTACTACCTGGGGAGAGAAGCTCGGGCATATCTGGAAGCAAATGGCAAGTGAATGAGGCCATCATCACCACCGCCGGAGACTGTTGAGCCTGTGGCTGTGATCACCATATGGATAGATGGAGAGAGAGATGATGGACGTTTTATTTAGTTATGGATTGGAATGGAGTGATGTTAAGGACGATGTGAGATGAGGAGAGCGGGGAGGATAAATAAATGAAGGGAGAGAGAGAGAGAGAGAGAGAGAGAGAGAGGCAGTAGTGGGGTCAGTCAGTCAGTCAGTCAGTCAGTCAGGCAGGTGTCACCCAGCGCAGCCGATAGTAGGTAGTTGGTGCAGGTCACCTTCACCTTCATTCATTCAAGAAAGGATCCATGTTTCAGAGAGAGACACAGGGGATACGTATACAAATCAAATGCTGCCGGGTGGCGGGTGGGGGGTGGGAGTGTCTCCCTCTTCCTGGCCTCATTACTCAACAGCAGCAGCAGCTCATTCAACCTCCCTCTCCATTATTACATTCCACATAACCCTTCCACGCAATGCAACCACTCTCTGTGATTTGGTTTTAATTTAGAACCCACTCTTCCCTTTTCTTACTTTATAGTACACCTCACCTCACACTTGCGTGCACGTACCTCTCTCTCTCTCTCTCTCTCTCTCTCTCTCTCTCTCTCTCTGCCTTCACAGCAATTTCTGTTTTCTACCATATGCAATGCATGCTCTCACTTGGGTTAGTTACTTAAAGCTATCAACCAAAAAAGATTCTTTTGGTCTAAAAGAAAAGCACAAGAAGAAGAAGAAGAAATGCAAGGTTTAACACTGTAATTAACTAGCGAAAAATAATTCGTTTATTACAAATGGCTGAATGGAAGAACCCTTCACCCATTAATAATTCATGTGGTGTGAGAGAGAGACAGAGAGACAGATATCTGAGAATGGAGGGACAGGACATGATGACTACGGTGGTATATATTACTACTAACTAACCTCCCTTCCTTCCGACCGACTTCAAAACATTTTGCCGGTGCCTTCTTTCCTGGGCACAGACTCATGTATCTCCATCCGGCGCCACTTCCCAACCAACGACGACATCTGCTCCACCTTGTCATACAGCCCCAAGAGTCCCCCCGTGTGTATGAACAGCACTTTCCTCCCTCTCCACTTCCCTGGGTTCTCTCCCATATCTCTCATCATCCCATAGGCAGCTTTTCCACTGCCACCCAAGGATCGACCATGCATCAATATTAAATATCAATCTGGGGGCTGTCAAAAAATTCACGAAATGCGTGCAAACCTGTAGACAGGGTCAAGAATTACACCGGTGGCTTCAGCAATATCTCGGACAAATGCTAGCTCCTCTGCTGTGTTCATGGCATAGCCAAGACCTTTGGCCTGAAGACGTCGTTCATCAAATGTCCAGTGGCATACATATACATAATACAAACAATCAACATGCGTCTATACCATCACAATTGACAGGCAGCATGAATAAAGAATATTCTGATTGTTTTCGAGTTCACTCAAAACCAGAGAACATCAAGGGCCAGATATCAATGATTTTTCAAGAAGTTCAGAACCATTTATCAAAAGGGGAAACTGTCACAACATTGGCATAAACCATGAAAGAGAGAGACTTGTAACAAGAGACTTACATTTTTAATCTCAACTATATTGTGAGAGTCAACATTAGCTTGAAGTCCATCCAGAAGGTTTTGTGTGAACTCGTAGAAGTAATCAGGGTCATCGCATACGCAGTAAGCATGTACCTACATTCATGAAATCTATAAACATAGATCAACAAAGAAGCAGACTCGAATGAGTAAGTTGGTATGCGTACTTTAGATCCTAAATCACTCAGCCAGGATCCAACAGACAAACCAGCGATTGTGCCACCACTAGAAGTGATCAAATACATGAATATCATCAAGCTGCAAAAGGATAATAGCAAGCAAGTGGTAATAAGGATCAGACCTTCCGCACGCTACAACAATGTCATCAAATGATACTTCACCAGCCCCTTCCTTATGCTGTTCTTTTATCTCCCTAATTGCTTCGATGTAGCCCCTACAAAAACAAAGGCTGCATTGTTAATTGATATGAACTTTATTGCATGATATTAGCAAGAACTCAAAAATCAACATGCTCTTGAAATATAAACGAGATTTTGACACTTCATGATCACTACAAATAGCCTTCAACTTCAAGCAAGAGAAAACTGCATCATCCTAACAGAATTCACAGCCAGACTATCAGGAGGAAAGGAACAGTGACTGAGGAACAAATATATAGAAGGATCATTAGAGTGTAATTTAAAGAGGAATCCTCCCAGGGATATACTAATCTAATCACCAATGATTACTGTTACATGTTAAAAATTAGTCCTATTTATAAAACTCACTTGCACAAACCATTGCTTTTAGAAATTAAATAAATAAGATGTTAAACTTTGTAAGGCAATTGATTCACAGAATGCAAATTTACCAGGTTCCCAAGGAATTTGACCCACCCACAGGAATGACATATGGCTTTCTGCCTTCACTCAGCAGTTTTTCTTTCAATATGTTGGTTAAAGCCTGTAACACAAACTCAATAAATAAGAACAAATTGAATATGGCATGTTATTCTTAGGTCCAAAGATATGCATCTAGTGAAGAGTTGATATAAACCCAATGTCATTTCATGCCAGTTCAGTAGTGGGGGAAAAGGTTCCAAGTATTACACAACTATTCATACAAGACTAACTCAATTGATCACCAACTCCTATTCAATTTAAGCATATATATATATATATGTGGAATTTGATTCTAACTGCTTTACTTCAGCAAACTACCAAGAAGATTCAGAACAAGTGTGGCATGAAGCAAGGAAGAACACTAGATCATATCAGTCCCAATGCTCCACCACTTGCATGCAGATTTATATGCAATAATCCAAGCATGATTAGTCTCCACAGCAAAAGAATTTCAACAAGGCGGTCATATGTATATCATTTGGGATAACGAGGAAAACAATATACATACCACACTCCCAACTTTAGCATATTCCTCTTTCGAAACAATGTCAATATGTGCTCCAACCAATCGTTCGACCAGGAGATTTCCAGTCAGCCCAGGATCCTTGTCCACTAGAACCTACAAAATCAGAAGGTGATTATAAGCAAGAAAATCCATCATAGAAAGAACTACCACTCTCAGCAACACAAACAAGTACCTTTGAAGTTCGTAATATAAGATAACAGTCGAGATTCAGATACTTGGCAGCCACAGCAGTAGCTCGGCAATGATTGCTTTGTATTCCACCAATGGTAACTACACAGTCTGCACCCTGGGCCACTGCATCTGCCAACAAGAATTCAAGCTTTCTGACCTTGTTTCCGCTTAATTGCATCCCTGAAAGATCATCACGCTAGAAAATTTCACATGTTAGACAACAGATCCTGATTAATTCAGTCGGATGACCGGGAAATGAATGTAAGAGCATGCAAAATCATCAGAGCTCGCTAGTCTAGTGGTATATCATGTAAGCAGATTTCATTAGCCTTTTTTTAGTTTGAAAAGAACACAAAAATTTAAGCGCATGCCTAGGTTCATCGCAAATGCCTGCAAACTAGGCATTATTGTTCGAGATCATCAAACTCCAAGTTGGTTCTTAAAACCACCAAACCAAACGCAATATGCTACCAGAGTCAACCACTAATCAGTAAAGGGTCCAGGACAATGATTACCTTGATATAAACCTCGGTATCCGGAAGCAAGTTAGGAAGATTCCACTTGTGAATTGGAGTAGGAAACTGCAATACAATCCAATCAAAAGACTTGAATCACAACCTAAAGCACACTCCAGCATAAGACAAATTAATCAAGACCTACTTAAACCAGCCAAAATCGGAGTCCACAAATAGTTACAAAAATGTAAAATTTGAGAAAAAAGTTGAATACTTGGTGATAGGATATTAAGATACAATACATACATGACCGAGTGAAAAGACGTGAGAAGGAAGAGGGTGAAGATTGGTTGCCCAGGAGGGCGGCATGTAAGGCTTCTTGGTGAGAAAGTCGAAGGCGGCTTGCTGAGTTGCTGCTGCTGCAGCAGCTGGCACAGAAGCCATGGGAATGATGGATTTCGAAGAGCGGCGGATTTGATGGTGCCGACTCCGACTCCGACTCCGACTCCGGGTGGGTTTGAGTGAGAGAATAGTAGCTGTTGTTGTGGAGGATGTATCGATAGGCAGGGCGCTAGCGATGAACAATGGGCGAAGAAGCATAATTAGCATTAAAAGTGTTGCATTGCATTTTCCGTCCCCCAAAATGGAAATCCAACTGCTGCCAAAAACAGGGTCTGTTTGGTTTGGTTGGGTTTTGAATTTTGTATTTTTTAATAATATTTAAATTGAAATAATGTATTCATATTATTTTAAATATATAATCAATTAATTTTTATATAATAGAAAAAAAAAAATCAAATATTTAATTTGTTATTTTAACCGAAAAAAATTAATAATAATAATAATAAATAATAAAAATCTTCAAAAACCATTCAACAAACACATCCAAATTTGTTGCAAGAGTGATCTATATCAAGAATGAAGGAATCATCATCTTCTACAAAGAATGACAATTTACATGGGCCTTCGCATGGCATCGCATCGCATCACTTTCAAAGGACAAATCACAAAGGCAAAATACGTACAATAAAGAAGCAAAGTTGTCAATTCACCACCAGCACCAAATGTCAGCACAACACCTACCTACTTATTTTCTACTATTACAAAAACAATGCTTTTGAGCAGGAGAACGTGGCTTGGCTTGATTCTTGGAACCATTCATTATTTGTCTGTCCTGAGATCAATGATCAAGATCAGAATGCGGAGCCTGATGCCTTGGTTCTCTTCAGCAAAACGTCTTTAGCCTCGTTGATCTTTGAAGCAAGGTAATGGCTGCCGCCAGCATCAGGGTGGTTAGCCACCATCACTCTTCTATGGGCCTCCCTGATCTTCTCCACCACAGCATGCTCTCTGCCAATGGAACAAATACCGGCATCACAATAATGACAATGCAGCACCAGTCATACATTATTGGATGCAAAAAGGCCAAAGCAGGTGATAGAGAGAAAATTGTAAAACACACACAAATAAAAGTTGACAAAAGGGCAGGGCGTATCCATCCAGTCAGTGTAGAGTTTGAAACAGTTGAAACATTTACCTTACTCCAAGAATCAAAGCAGCCTCTCGCCTCGTCATGACCTGTTCAAACCCCCCAGGATAAAATCTTCGAGCTCGGGGAACTGAGGGGCGAGCTTTAATAGCTTGCCACGCACTTAGCAAGTATCGAGTGCCCAAAGCAGCAGTCCCAACAGCAGCACCAACTATTATGGGTGATGCCTGTAAGCAAAGGGGTCCCACATCACCTTAACTCACATATAGATAGCTTTTCTTCCCATTTCGAAATTACACCACAATTGCACACACAACAACTCATTCAAAGTAGTAAAATGGGTGACAGGGAGATATGAAGTGTCTGAGTTCATTTCTACATCAAGACAAACCCAACAAAAAAAAAGAAAAAGAAAACGACTCCATTAATCTTTGAGCAGTGCTTAACTCATCTCAAGGTTTTTCAACCATCAATAAGCACTCATAAAAGGAAGGCAAAGCTAAATGCAAATAACTGAAAAAGAAATATTCTGTACCTTCACTCTACAATTCACATTACCCATGAAATCATTCATTAGTGCCACAATACTCAAACAAAACTAATATTATTCAATTGAGATAAAAATCCCTGTAGAGAACTTGATCGACAAGGTACAGACTCCATAAAGGATGTCAACTGTAAGGTTCAATCATAGCCACTCATGCTCTATAAGTTATGATTAGGAGGGGAAAAAATGTTGAAGGATAAAGAGAGCTGGAACAGAAGGAGATCAACCAAGATGCAAAAATGGCAATCAGAAAAACTGGTTATCCCTCCTGCCTAAGCAATCAAAACACCATAGATTTTCCCTAATCACACAATAGGCTTACAGTTTCAGCCTACGGAACCAAAAACCAGCTGTTGATCGACTAATAACCAACACAGACAATATATAGTTCAGGATCCAAAAGAACGATACACATGTATATGATAACTATCAAGTAAATTAGACTAGTCAACGGCAGATAAAGCATCAACAAAATACCATCGGTAATTCGCCAAGAAACAGCAACTCCACAGGATCGAAATCAAAGGCCTGAAAAAAGTAGATAACAAAATACATGAGAATCCAGGAACTAAAACCTACTAACCTATCTGTATTATCGTCGCTCGCATTTGAGCACATCAGAAAGGAAGCTCAGCAAAACTCCAGCGCTTTAAAAACCTAGTCGATACATTTCTGAAGCTCAATTCAATCGAAAATAATCCTCTTGGTTACCGGTTTCCAACTCCGAATCACCGAGCACGGATTGAGGCGCCGGGAGCCCCGCCTGATGGTGGTGCTGGTAGAAATACACAAGGCCATTGCTTGGCGGACAAGAAAACATGGAGGCGGCAAAGCAGCCGTGGAAGAGTCCTGCGTAGCGTCGACCCAGTTGAAGAAGCTTCACGAAGGCTCGGTTGGGCCGCAATGGGAATGGGCCAATAGGCCTAATATGAGTTTTGTTAGCCCAAAACAAAAATTTAAATTAATAGCCTACAAGTGCTTATTTATTTATTTTCCTTTGTGAAAATTGATCATTCCATTTAAATAACAACACCGGTTTTCACTAATATATATATATATATATATGTTCACTCTGCTATGAAACCCTAATTGCAAACCTACCCACTTTCATGATCTCAGCAGCAATACCAACTCTTGCTTTCAATGGAAACCCTAAACTAAATAACAGTAACTCACATACAAGAATTATATATATGAGAGAGCTTTCAATGGAAACCCTAAACTAAATAACTAGATGAGAGAGCTTGTGGAGAACACACACACAAGAATGAGTGTTGTGGAAAAAGAGCAATGTGGTTATTTTATAATATAGAATTATAGATAACCAGCAGATATGGAGATGGATCAAAAATGAAATGCTTGCGGGGAACGTTTCCACAGAATCTACAAAAGAGAGAATTAAAGTGCAGGCAAGCAGGCAGGCAGGCAGGCAAATGACGACTCAAAGACAAGGGACTTTGAATCCTTTTTACATCTATCATATCTATATATATATGTATGCAATGTTGTTACTAGCTAACAGAGAATATCATATCATTAGCTAGCTAGCTAGCTAGTGCATGTTCTTGGAGTTTGCAAGGATCGGGGATCATATACAGATTGATAGATACGTGCGTGCAGAATTAGCTTCATTAGCAGAACAAATTATTAAAACGGCTGCTGCAGGGAGGCTATGTATATATATATATAATTAGCTAAGTAATTAGTGCATCAAGAATCAAAGATGGCCCCAGTGGGATTGCCGCCAGGCTTCAGGTTCCATCCCACTGATGAGGAGCTGGTGAATTACTATCTCAAGAGGAAAATCCACGGCCAAGAAATCGAACTCGACATCATTCCCGAAGTTGATCTTTACAAGTGTGAGCCATGGGAGCTAGCAGGTACTCATAATTTATATATATATATATATTTATGGATTATAATGATGCATGTGTTTCAATCTCAAATTAATTAAAGAGCTTTATCTGCATTCCACAATGTATGCAGTCCATAATTAGAAACTAACTAAAGCATGAAACATAAATCTTGGAATCATGAACAGCGAATTCAGTTGATATATAGACGACACACATATGTAGGCTAATCAATGTATGTATATGTGATATGGCACAGAGAAATCCTTCTTGCCCAGCAGGGATCCCGAGTGGTACTTCTTCGGGCCAAGGGACAGGAAGTACCCGAACGGTTTCCGGACAAACCGGGCGACCAGGGCCGGGTACTGGAAGTCAACGGGGAAGGACAGGAGGGTGAACAGCCAGAACAGGGCCATCGGGATGAAGAAGACCCTCGTCTACTACCGGGGGAGGGCCCCCCAGGGGATACGCACCGACTGGGTCATGCACGAGTACCGCCTCGACGACAAGGATTGGGAGGACACTTCCGGCATCCAGGTAGTCAGTATGCTCGCTCGCTACCTTACATGCACTTCCATCTCATATACATTAATTGCTTTCATTTCTGCTGTTACTGTTAATTACTATTAGTTCATGCATCTATATCCTCATCAGATCATTCATCAGCTTTGCATATATATATATATATATATATTTTATGACCACATTATGCTAGCTGTTCCATTAGCTACGTATATATATATATGTGTTATGTATGAGGTAGCTAGCTAAAAGACCTCTTAGAAACAAATACATACATATATAGGAAGCATCATCCGCTATGCATTAGCGTATAACCTAATTAGTAATATATTTATAATTTAGGGTTCGTTCATCAGACGGGTTGGTAGCTTAGGAACTGCGAGGTAATTATCCAAGTCCAGCTGATCAGCTGCTCATTATATTACTATCATTCATGTAGATGTGCATGTGTATGTGTGTGTACTGAAGCTAATCAAGATCCAACAGCTAGCTAGCCAATAAATTAAGCCTGTGTATCTTTCTATTTGCCTTTCACTTTCTTCTCATTTTCTTTCTTTTTCTTTTTTCTTTTCTTTATGTTTTTCAGTGACGATCCAACAAGTGATTCTTTATAATTTTGGTGGAAAAAAATTAGTCTTGCAGATTTTTACTCATGCATATATATATCCATAGATGCCACCACCCATTTGACTTTAACTACACAGGGGTTTCATTTCATTAGGCCCTCATTTTGGTGCTGGAATTGATAAAAAAGCATCCATCAGTCCCTCCCCTCCAGTTAGTTTTTCTACCACCCCTCTTAGCTTTCTACTCCTATCCTGTTAAAGGATGATTATAAAAGCAGGATAAGCTTGGCTTTAACATGTGCCCCTCACCTTATCTTGCTGTCAACACACACACACACACATTACTTACTTTGGTTCACATAATTAATTAATAGTAAAAGAATTCTGCTTGCTTATTCATTATTACTCATAAATCTGTCAGGTATATGTAAATATATAGCCTTGTAGGGTTCCATTCTTATGCCTAAAGTTGAGTGAGTGCATGGGGATGCATGCCAATTAAGTCTGCTATGTTTTTCACACAAGTGTGTTGCATATTAGTAATATATACTCTACTAATATAATATTAATATCCTCTACTTCCTCACTTAAAATATATATATATATATATAGCTAGAATTCTCACTAATCACTATACATGTGTGTGTGTGTGGTACTTACTATTCAATCACGTATGTATCTCCAAATATAATAATGAAAAGAAGAGGAAATCTGCTGGCAAGTTGATTCTTTTCTTGCACAGGTCCTAATTAGATCTCTTGAGTGACAAAGTATAGCTTCACTTTGTCTTTCAGTAGTGAGACAAAAGTAGAATTCTTCTATACGACTGAATCTGATCTCATCTCCCCTTGTAATCAATCATCATATGTTTTTCTTTTCTTTCCTTTTTTTTTTTATTGATCTTCTTTATGTTGTTTTCTGATCAGCACTGTTCCATGGCCATTTGATCTCTAGAGCCATCAATTCTACTATTACTTACACAAAAATCATGACACTTGATTTATACAACACTGTCCTTAAGTGGCAACTCATCACTTTCATTTTGTAAGAAGATGTCTGGCCCCTTTTTCACTTTATTCTTCCACATTCCTGAACTAGCCAAATATGAGTAGCCAGCCCTTATCTCACAGTGTGACACTGTGTGTGTGTGTGTGTGAGAGAGAGAGAGAGAGAGAGAGAGAAGGAGAGAGATTTTCTTTAAAGAATCTGTAAAGTGCATAAGATACACAGAAGTTTAAAGATAAGATCCTTAGTTTCCATAGGATGATATGGAAGAGAGGGCATAGAAAGATTTCTTTGTACTCGCTCATCTTTTACAGCAACCGCAACATTATATTGCTTTCCTACAAATTTCCCCTTCTTCTCGTGCTTCCCCCTCCCCACACCACCCCCCGCCCCCAGCTACAGCTAGCTTGTGCAACTTTAGTTTTGCCAGAACAGTATTAATCAAATCAAATCTAATACAACCGCCACTATTCTTGACTCAAAGAATTCTCTTTGACATGACCCCCCCAGCTGATGATTAACTTTTGTTGCCATTAATACATCATCTCTCACAAATGCAAGATCCCCTCTCAAGATCTTCCTCCCCTCTATTCCTTCAAGAATCTAATTGCCTTGAATTGAAGTTATGTCTCAGGAATAGTAGTGTTAACTACTAATGTCTTTTTGGCTCCCAGGATTCCTACGCATTGTGCCGTGTTTTCAAGAAAAATGGGCTGTGCTCTGAGGTGGAGGATCAGGGGCAATCCAGCACCATGTCCTTCCTAGACTACACACAGGGACAGGGTGGTGCTCCCACCGAGCATGAAACAATGTCACCAGACTTCCTCTTGGCTTCTACTTCCACTGTGTATATGGAGGAAGAAGATAAAGAAGACAAGGATGAATCATGGATGCAGTTCATAACAGATGATGTCTGGTGTTCCTCGGAGGCACCCCAAATGACATTCACAAACTAAAAAGGAAATAAGTAACTGCATGCTTTTCTGAAGTCTGATTAATTAACAGCATCAAGTATACACACATATGTATACATATACATGGGATCTTTCATTTTACAATTCTTAATTATAGTAAAGCCAGAAAATCATTGGAGCTTACATGCATGCTTCAGTTTGATCATCTCTAATTGTACTTAGAATTCATTTCCCCTCATTGTTTTGGCTGGTGTAGCCAGGCTATGTTATGTTATGGCTCTAGGCAGGTTTAATTTGGTTTGCAGCCTCGGTAGCTTTTCCGGGGCTTCTCCTTCTTTATTGGGTGTTTGACAAGTCATGGAATAATAGAGCTTATTCCCTCTATTGTACTCTCATTACTCGTTTGTTTTCTTGTACCTCTTTTAAGAGAGACATTTGTGTTCCTTCATGCTGACCATGCTCATGTTCATTGTTTGTTCACTATGGGGAAAGACACTTGTATCATTTACATTTACAACCGTGCTCAATTCATAGTGGCCATTTACTTGAAGAATCTATTCCTATAGGCTATAATAGATAGTGACCGGATGAAATGGTTTGCATATGGATTGAATCAACCCTGCGTACCTTAAAAAAATCAGTGTGCATCACCACGGCAAGAGCCCACACTCAAGTGGCTGTGATGAGCCCACACAGATCTGGATTAAACAAACACACAGACAAAAAAAATAGCTGCAACACACTTAGAAGATAAGATTTAATTTATATATGATTAGGTTGTACATGATGGCACTGCATGTATTATATATAGCAAGAATAAATTGAATATATATTGTCCCCATATCCAGACAAGCACCTGGTGTGTTCGAAAAGACACTAAATACTATGAGCAATAATGAGTCTTGAAATGAATCACACAACACAAACATGATGGTACTAAACATTCTTTCGACTGCATGCAACATCATTCATCGGTCGTACAGTGCACAGTCAATCGAGGTGCATCAGATAGTTTGGCAAATTATGGACCCCTCCACCTCAACCTCCTTCCCTTGGCTGATACTTGGGCCAAGAGCTTTGTCTTGATTTCCAGTAATGAGTGTGTCATGTAATGTAGAGGCTGCACCTAGATTGAGTTAGCAACCTTCCACCGATGAAATTCATCAGAGTTTATGATGAAAGAGCTGGCATTCTTATGCCCTCCACCTCCGTATTTCTGCATACAAGTTGATTAGGTTACACATGGCTACATTGCACATTTTAGGCTTTCGTGAGACAAGCTATTCAATTCTAGTTAGCAAAGTAAAATGGACCTGAGATATGGGTGTCGTGTCCTCATCACCTGTGCTCCTCAGGCTAACCTTTAACAGCTGGTCGTTTTGAAGCTCAGGTATTTTGTACACAACAGCTCCAATGCCCCTTAACACAGTAATACAAGCATAGTGAAGATAGTAAAGATAATGAAATGCAGCAAGTCTACAGCTAATGTCCAGACAGCAAGAGGAGGCCCAGCATTAATAACCGATTCTACAGTTTAAGGCCCATAAAAAAATAATAAATTAAATAATAAGTTTGTGATGACAGCCTGGAGTTCCGCATGTTCATTGGACGATGGTGCTTCAAGACAATGGAGCAATGAAAAGTTGGATCAAGTTGGTGACATTTAATTAAAGAGGTACAGATTCCTCAATCACCACTTGGAAACATACTATATCAAATTTCTGTCTACCGACTCTTTTGTTTGAGTAGAGGCCCCTATGTCCTCTTTTATAAGTTATGCATGCCTAAACAGAAGTACCCAATGTCAGTTCGGTTTAGAAACAAGTGCCTCGTGTATTATACACATAACTTGAATTGGAGATTTAGAATACCACTTTTAGTAAATTCAAGTCACATCTAGTATTTTTGAGAATATGAAATTTCATTCAATTGATAAGACCACATCTATGAGTAATAATTTTGAAATTAGGTAGAAAACTTGGGCTTAAGGTTCCGTTAGGATTTAAATTTTCAACATTTGAAGAAGTCTTCAATTTACTTTATTAAAAGCATGCTTTATTAAATGCATCAATAGTAGTGTAAAGAAACAGCAAACTGTTTTAAGTGTACGCAGAAGGTAACTACACACCTCAAGCTCGTTTTGATGCTCTTAATAGCTAACTGATTTCCAATGTCACTCCTTAACTCATGCACTGAATCGGCATTGACAGCCTACATGCAGAAAACGAAAAGAAGATAAAAATTTATGTGGCATTACACCAAAATTTCAAAAGAAAATATAAATAACTCAAATGAAAGAAATGAATTGTTAGAGAAAACAAAAAGTTAGTCAATAATTACACTAATAACCTTAAATATGTTAGGATTTGAGGGATACAAGCAACCTTAAAAAAGTCGATAGATTATCCTATAATAAACATAAATCATACAACACTACGCAACTTTTCAGAGAGAGTGAATTCACTTGAAAAACTTCTAAGGTGTTTCTTGTGAGGGAAAACACAGATGTAGGAAGCTTACCAGGCAATGTCCAAAAGCCCCATCACCTAGCGCAATTTCATATGACTGCTGAAGAACTTCATCTACAATTCTCTCTTTATGCTCCAAGCTTGAAATTCCTTGACGTATTACCGAGTCAAGATCTAATGACAACAGCTGAATATACACAAACAGAAACAAAAGATCCTTAAAAAGAAACTATGACAGCAATTAACTAGCACACATATGAATAGCATAACTCCATTCCAATAGTAATTTTGGATCTCAATAACTATATTAACTGTTATATAAATCTAATAAATATGAGACAGATATATCACACTTAATAATATTAGCAACTTAATATTCTCAGATACGAGTCTTTCAAGCAGTAGCTTCATGTGCTCAATATCCAAAAAAGGAGATAGAAAGTTACACAGCAGGGGAAAAGATCTTATAGATTCTAGGAGGCAGCTGCCTGCCGGCAGCACCCACCCCTGCAGATTTACACAGGCTGCCCCATATATCAATCTTATCATGGTCCATTCTTAGTTACCCTCTTGGATTAGGATTCCTCTGTAGCTTAAGACACTTATAACTTTCCTAGTTCCAGTCAACTGGCTAGCATTAAATTACTCATTCATTCTTTCTATTTTGGATTAATGAGCTAACGGCAGGACGCAATAACTCAGCAATAGTTTGTCTTCATTTATTCACTTCTTTTTTCTTTTTTTTTCCTATTGTCTATCACATTGTGAGTCCTCAATACTGTTTTCCCAATAAATACTAAGGAATTATCAAATTCACTCTCTGGATAGTTAGAGTTTAAGAGTTTTTAGAACAGAAAATGCACAAAGTTCGGCTGCAGTTGTATTATATATCCACCAGGTTAGATGGTATGGAGATAATACCTGTTGGAACAAGAGGGGATTTGATGTGACATCAAATTCAAGGTTCAGATCCTTCAATCCACTGCTAAATGCTTTACTATTTGATAGCCTCCACTTCCACAAGTCTGCATCCTCGATATATTCATATAATCTCCTCACTTTCTCAAACTCACCAATGGCAGCATCCTTACCAGTGCTGGTGTCCCCACCCAACAGTTTATCTCTGAAATAATCATATGCAATAGTGGCTCCACTTCTATCTATATCTATAACTTTTGTAACATTTCCACTGATTGAATTGCCTGAACCCAGCATCTCAAGAGCCGTTTTGTGATGATCTAGGACCACAATCCTGTATTTCATATCCAGCAATCCAACTAAGGCTATTATAAATATAATGCATATGCATAATGGGAACCTAATCCTCTCATCTTTATTTGCTTCTAAAGGGAATCTAATCATCATGCCACTAACTCCTCATTAATTTAGTGAATGTATATCAAACAAATGGATATTTTATCATACACGAAATAAGGACCGTATATACAAGCATCAATGAGGTAAACCCACTAAAGATGTTATCTTCAGCTTCAATTCACATAATACCAAAAAAAATAAAATAATTAATAGTAATAAATAAATAAAAACAGAACACCTGAAAAAATAAGGCGCGAGATATACTTGGAATGCACGCAACGCAACGTTGGTATTACCTGTCGACCCTAGGAGAGAGCTGCTGAAGAAAACCTGGCGGACCCACGAAATCCAGAAGGTAAACGTCGCCAATTTCATTGAAGGGTAGATCCTCTGGCCTGCAAAATCAGCAGAGATAAGAATCCCATTCCCGTAATTATAGCACGGAATCACACAAAGAGGTGTAGACCTGACAGGAGAGTAGACAGTGTTGGGGAAGAAGAGGGGTTGGTGAATGGAAGAGCGGGAGAAAAAGAGGTGGGCGGCCAAGGCGGCGAAAGCGCCGTCCGGGCAAGGATAGTGGTAAAGCACCGCGGCTCTCTTCATCGCCGGCGTTGACCGTCTTCGGGCCCAATAAATTAAATCTGTGTCGAGTCAACCGATGGGTATTACTAATATTATAGATATTAATAATTATGGCAGGATTTATTTAGGTTAGGATCTGTCCGCACATCGAATCTAGGCACATCCTTTCAACTAATACAAGTACACATATATATTGTTTTAAGTGAAAGCATATCCGATAATAGTTGATATTACGTTGTATTAACATAATTTGTAATATAAATTACAGTAGTGAATAATATCTTATTTGTTGGATTTACATTAGAGCACTATCTATATATATTTTATTGTATTATTAGTAATGATTTGAATTGATTTAAAAAGTAACTAGAAGTCGAAAAAAAAAAAAAAAAGCACAAGCCGAAGGAATTGGATTTTATATATGAATGAAAAAAAAAAAAAAAGAAGAAGAATTCGATACTTATAATAAAATTGAAAGTTTTAAAATAGTTAAAATATTCAACATGACATGCTAATGCAAGTATATTTTTTATTTATTATAGTTTTTCTAACTTATTTTAAAATTTTATAAATTTTTTTGAAAATTTTAATAATTTAATCTAATTGAAAATATATTTATTAAATTTTAGGGATAATTTTCTGATTTTCTAATTTCTTGGCTGCAGTAATATAGAATTAGTACAAAGTGATTAAACCAATGTGTAGTGCAGTGTAGTGTACCTATCAAAACGGGAATGGGACTGAATGAATGAGGCCAAAATTAATATGACAACATATGAATTGAGTTTGGGAAAAGAGAAAGAGAAAAGAAAAAGAAAAGGAGAATTGAGCGAGGGCGGTTATGTAATTAGATTAGGGAGATACTACTATATACTATGACTATGATATATCATGTTAAAGACGTGAGAATTCACAGTCGCGATGCGTCCTGGTTGGATGCGGTACGGCGAGATCCGGAAAAGTCACACTAAGCGAGTTATGTGTGGCGAGAAAGTCACACTAAGCGAGTTATGTGTAGCAGGTAATATGGTTATAAGTCCAATTCCTACACCACTAGCTCATCTCTTACGGGATATGTTAAAGACTTTTTAGTAATATGTATTGGCGAGGCAGGGGAGAGGTGAGGTGGGTTGGGGTGGGGTGGGGTGGGGTGCAGGCCTTAAAAGAAATAAATGGACAAAGAAAGAAGCCGGATTGGATTGGATGGGATGGAATGGGGCCCGTGGCATGACACCATTTTTGTGTTTTTTTGTTTTGTTATGTTTTGTTTTTTTGGATGGAATCCGAACATAAGGTTCTGATATAACTAAGTTGATACACTATTTTTTAATCAAATTGAATATTCTACAAACTAGTTAGCACCCCACCAAACTCAAACTCGAACTCGGACCTGTGCCTGTCCCACCACAACCTCGGTGGTGGTCGGTCACTCGCACTAATTCATTACAACGTACAATCAACACATCAAAATATTGTATGAGAACTTATAATGAGTTGGGCAGGATGGCTGGAAGATTGGCACAAAATTGGATCAAGGATTTTTAAAATAATAAAAATAAAAATTGTATTGATTATAATCCAAACTACAAGAGAAATTAAAGCTCATATCTTGAAATTTGATGCATACCAATAAACGTTACAAGACAAGCGGAAGAATTGATCATAAATATTTAATTGACCGTCAAAAGAATGGTTAATAAGGAGAGATAAGTGATTCCGTAAGAATCATAAGTTGTGTGGAGAGTGAATCTGTGACCGTGAGATCGTCTGTTCAAATTATGATGTTTCTAAGTTTACTTGTCATACAAGATCCGCCATAATCACGAATAAAAATATCAAGACAGAAATTAATTTTTAAATAATACTAATAATAATAATAATCATGGTAATATGTATCTATCCATCTATGGATCTATCTGTGTATGAAGATTATGAACATATAATTGTATGTATTAGGAGGTGATTCAGATCAGATCAGATCATCGTATGGTATGGAAGTTGTCAATATAGATAGATACATAGATACATACAGTCAGTCATACAGACATAGTGGTACGTAAAGAAGAGTCTTTTCTGCCTGCCTGTCTGTCGTGTTCTGATCTGCATGTAACTCGGACCTGTTGAGTCCTCCTCGGAATTACCCCCACGCACAATATCCCCATGCTCATCCCCACAGCTCCTGCTGCTGCTGCTGCTGCTAACCAAATGAGCATAGATACATACACACACACACACTACTAATCAATCAAACCGTCAGCTGCAATGCCACCAGCCGGCGAGATTTTGATTTAAGAAGCTAAACCGGGTCAAGTGTTTTTTATTTTTTTATTTGTAATGTTTCATGGTTCTTATACAAATCCAGGTAAGATGATGAATCTTCAATGAAATAATGCTAGTCAAAGTAAATACTTTGGATCACTTTAGATGCATTCATTATCACCATCCTGGCTACTTCAATGCTCACTTTATGGCTTATAATCCCACATAATTTATTGTATATTGTTGAAACTTGAAATGGAAGAAAGAGATATTAATTTGTAACCGGCATTTATTAAAGAATACTACTTAATAAATAAGAAGAAGCAATAGTAGCAGTGGATTTAGAAGTTGACAATAGCAAGAAATTAAATCCATGGATTACTATAAATAATAATCAATATTAGGCATTCATACATACAATTAGAACAAGTGAATGACCTTAAGCGAACTATCATTGAATATTTAGACAAGACAAGATTTATTATTGTCCTAAAAAGTTATATAATATAATTAAATAATGTTAATAATATACCCATATTAAACGAAATACTTGTTTTAAATGTATGAGATTAAATAGTTATCATTAACACGGGGATTGTTTATTTTGGATTAATATATAAATTAATTAAGTTAAATAAAGTTTATTTAATTGTTTAAAATATATATTTTTTTTAAAAACTATAGGAGTATATAGAATATTTTTTTAGGGAAAAAAAATAAAATTAGTTGGATTTGGCCTTAATATGTAAGTAAATCAAAGGGAGAATTCATTATAGTATATTTAGTGACCATTTTCATCGGAACGTTCGTCGACATCATCGGATTCTCCACGTAGTAGATCACGTGTCATGTCGTCCACGTCAGCACATGACTCTCGACTCCACCATGTCACAGAAGCAGACGACGAAGTGGCATAATCGTTATTTAATGAAAGTCTAGGGATAGTTGTTAACCCAATGGTTGGTTTAACTCCACCCCCACCTTTATTAGTCAGTCCGCCCCCACTACTCCCCGGCTCACTCTCCAGCGCACCCCCACTCTCTTGCCCTTTATTATGTGCTGTGTCTTCGTTGCTGCCCGAGGTTTGTGCGTCGTGTGCTCGGAGGCGGAGAAGGAGGACTCTCAAACCCTTTTCTTTCGTGTTTTCTGATTCTTCTAAGGTAAAAGCTTTTGTGATTGTGATTTTGGGGTTTGTCGATGAATCAATCCCATGGATCTGATGTTTTTAGGGTTTTGGGTTGATGTTGGTCTGGATCTCGCTGGGTTTGGGTTTTCTTTTCCACTGTGATTTTTGTTTTTCAGTTTGTTTTTTTTTTTTTTTTTGGAAATGGTTGCGTTTATCTGACATTTGGACCTCTCTGTGCGCCGCTGAAGGGTCTTAATATGCATTATTGTGTGAGAGAGATGGTTTGTAAGCTTTTAATTTACTTTCCTTTTTTCTTCTTCTTCTTTTTTTTTTTTTTTTTTTTTTTTTTTTGCGGGTTGCGAGTGCTTTTAAAGTTTAACTTGAGGTTCCTCGGGACGTTTTAGTTCTTTATTTATCTTAATATTTCTGTTCTTTGTTTTTGGATTTTCCGTAATTGTTTTCATGGTGAGTGGTTTCTTTTTATCTTCTTCCTCTTCCTCGCCTTTTTTTTTTTAAAAAAAATGTGTTGGCATGTTTGCACATAATATTCGTTTGGAGTGGTTTGTTTCTATTCGATCAGAGTGTATTTTGTCGTCACATTCGTCTACTTTATATGTATCTTTCTATGACCCCTCTTAATTGAAATTATAATATTCTTCAGACGTTATCAATGTTTTCCTGTGAACTTTTTATTACTTAATTCGAATCATTCATTTCAGTCGTTTGCCTGTTACTGTGTTTATGAATAAAATGGAAATGCTGCCAAGTATGCCGGGGGCAAAATTATTATATGTAAATTTTATTTTTTTTATTATTCGATTGCAGTTTTATATTTTGAACTTTTAATTTTCGACATTTTATTTGAACCTCCTATATTATAAATTAAAATAATGTATTTAAGGATAAAATAGAGTAAAAACTTTGAATTAGGGGGGGGGGGGGGGGAATTACATAATTAGATTAAAAAAACTTATTTTTACTTAAAAAAAAAAACTAAGTTTGGGGGCAACTGCCCCCCAGGACCCTTACTAGGTTCATCGCTGTTTACATGGTTGTGTTGTTTCAGTTATCAAGATTTGCATGTTTGCTTTGCTGTCTCAATATAGGAGCTGTGATTCAACTGCTTTCCAATTACTCTGATTTCCATGTTTTGATAGATAATATGATGATCATTAAACTATTGATAATTTTGTGGACGGACTTGCTGAAAAGTTTCTTAATCAATAATTCAATTTAATAGGTTGTTTTCTGTCTACCCACATTTCCTCTCTCTCTCTTTTATTTTTTTAAGATTGATTTTAGCATGTGTGATTATCCATTAGTATGCTCCATTTTACATTTTAAATGCTCTACCTTTTCTTGTAGACAGATGGATTGATGATGAGTGTAGAGCAGCGTTGCTTATCTGCAGCCTGTTTCTTTGGAACTGACAACTTGACATATATAAACCATGCCTCTTCATTTGTTAGTTATTTTTTGTGTTGAGTGAAACTTAGGGTGGCTTAAAGGTAGAACCATCTTCCTTTCTGGTAGATGTTTGTTCGCGTGACGTAGTACTTGGTTGTCTTGCTTTGCTATTTATATGTTGCTGGGCATACTTGCATTAACTTTTATTTTTGTCTATTTTCATTCAGTAGCCTCTACCATGGTGCGGAAGAGAAGAACTGAACTTCCTAGCAGTGGGGAGAGCTCTGAATCTCATGAAACTGGTAGCGGCCGCGGTGGCACACAACGGCCACCCATGCAACAACCCCTGCAGCAGCAGCCACAGCAGCAGGGAGGAGGATATCAAGGAGGTGGTGGTAGGGGTTGGGTACCTCAACAAGGAGGATATGGTGGCAGGGGTGGCGGCCGGGGACCTCCCCAGCAGTATTATAGTGGGCCTCCTGAGTATCATCAAGGTCGTGGTGGTCAGCAATATCAACGGGGAGGCCCCCCACGCCGCGGTGCATTTGTAGGTGGTCATGGGGTATCTCCAGGTGGTGGGCCATCTAGTTCGCCCGGTCCCGAGCTGCGCCAAGCTACCCATGCAGTGGCAACCCAGTCAAGCACTTATGGAAAGACTTCAGAGACGCTTGGCGGGGCTAGTTCTTCATCCCATGCACCTGATCCACATCCAGATGTGTCTGAGACAATTCAACAACTTTCTATCCAACCCAAAACACAACCTGCTTCTAGCAAGTCAATGAGATTTCCTTTAAGGCCAGGCCAGGGTAGTAAAGGTACCAGGTGCATGGTGAAAGCAAACCATTTTTTTGCCGAGCTGCCAGATAAAGATCTGCATCAGTATGATGTAAGTTTATATTAGTCCTCATCTATAATTTTGTTCACAGGTCTGTGCACATTTGACTAATTTGTTCTGGGTCTAAGGTTTCAATTACTCCTGAAGTCCCATCGCGTGGAGTCAACCGTGCTGTGATGGAGCAGTTAGTGAAGCTCTATAGGGAATCTCATCTTGGAAAAAGACTTCCTGCGTATGATGGTAGAAAGAGCCTCTATACTGCCGGGCCTTTGCCTTTCACCTCAAAGGAATTCAAAATAACTCTTAGTGATGTAGAAGATGGTCCAGGCAGTGCCAGGTTTCCTTACATGCTATTCTTGCGAATCCCTTCTCCATTACCTATGTTCTCTATAAATCGGGTGTACTTTTTATTTTAGGAGATGCTTTGTTGGTTTTCTGTGTTTTGTAGAATGTTTTGATTCTATTCCTCATACAGGCCTGACAGGGAATTCAAAGTGATAATCAAGTTTGCTGCACGAGCTGATTTGCATCATTTGGGCATGTTTTTACAAGGCAGGCAAGCTGATGCACCCCAAGAAGCTCTCCAGGTTTTGGACATTGTTCTGCGTGAACTTCCCACCACTCGGTGTGTAAGCCTTATGACATGTCATGTTTTTGCCATCATCTATTCATTCCCCGGTAGGTGGTATTGATAAATGCTCATTGTACATTTCTTTTAGATATTCCCCCGTTGGCCGCTCGTTTTATTCACCTGATTTGGGTAGACGACAGCCCTTAGGTGAAGGGCTTGAAAGTTGGCGTGGTTTCTACCAGAGCATACGCCCTACTCAGATGGGGCTATCCCTTAATATAGGTGAGCACTCTCAATTTGCCTGCTTTTTTAAATCTGCTATTTCTGCTCTGACCGACCCGTTTTAGTGTTTTGCTATTTGGATAATTTACTGGTGAACTTTTGTTGATCAAAGTTTATTTATTTATTAAATTTTTAATTCAATTTGGGCAGATATGTCATCTACTGCTTTCATTGAACCACTCCCAGTAATAGAGTTTGTCACACAGCTTCTGAATAGGGATGTCTCAGCAAGGCCTTTATCTGATGCTGACCGTGTTAAGGTTAGACCTTTCTGATGTGCACTTTATTGTTAGATTACAACTTTGACATGAATTTCCCTTGTCATTTATCTTTCTAATTTTTGGGTGTTTGGTCAATGTGTTCTTCAAACCAATTTCAGGCTTCGTAATATTTTTCACCTAAAAAGTATCATCCAACACTCTTTTCATTTAAAATAATTACATCCAAAATCTATTTCCTCTTAAAAAAACCTACTTCAATCAAATTTTATTGGTGCTGCTATGGTTCCATTAGCTTGCTATTGAAGTTTTATTGTGTACTTAACATGATTTTTTTTTTTACTTCATGAGCTATGACATCACTTGCAACAACAGATTAAAAAAGCACTCAGGGGAGTGAAGGTGGAGGTTACCCATAGAGGCAACATGCGTAGGAAATACCGCATCTGTGGTCTGACATCTCAAGCAACACGAGAGCTTACGTATGGATTGATTCTATCTTTTGCTTTGATTTTGCATTTAATGACAGTAAAAGTGTTGAAACAAATAATAGGTCTTATATATTGTTCAGAGCGCTGACTATTTTAGTATAGAACCAAGCTGTACTCATTCGATTCTAATACAATACTGTAGGTTTCCTGTTGATGAGCATGGCACAATGAAGTCTGTTGTTGAGTATTTTCGAGAAACCTATGGATTTGTTATACAACACACTCAATGGCCTTGTTTGCAAGTTGGAAATACCCAGAGGCCAAACTATTTGCCAATGGAGGTTTGTTCAGTCGCCCTCTAAGTAGATTGGAGCGCATTATATTCTAATTTTTGTTATTTGGTGGATAGGTTTGTAAAATAGTCGAAGGGCAGAGGTACTCGAAAAGATTAAATGAAAGGCAAATTACTCAACTCCTTAAAGTCACATGCCAGCGACCCCAGGAAAGAGAGAATGACATTCTCCAGGTTAATCTTCCGGTGTACCATATACAATATTGTGCCATCATTTTTCAATTGACACATGGTAATTTATTTGTCACTATTGCCATCACTGTTAGGCATGGATAATGTAACCATCTAAGTATCTTATGTGGGGTCATTCTTGGAACCTTTTCTTATTGTACTAAGTTTTGGCTTCCTTCTCAAAATTTGGATTCTTAATATTCCCCAGACGGTGCGCCATAATGCATATGCTCAAGACCCATATGCACAGGAGTTTGGAATTAAGATTAGTGAGAGGTTGGCTCAGGTTGAAGCTCGGGTTCTGCCTGCACCTTGGGTAATAAAAACTTATGGTATCTGCTTTCACTTGATTTATCTTTCTTGGTCATGTATAATATAATTTCTATGTTTCTTTTATAGCTCAAGTATCATGATTCTGGTCGGGAGAGGGATTGCCTACCACAGGTTGGCCAATGGAATATGATGAATAAGGTAAATTTTGCCTGAGAGATTCTTTGGATTTAGAACTTCTTCTTTTCAATTTTAGAATTTTCGACGTTTATTTTTTACTGTTAATCACATGTTCCTGGCATGCTTTGGCTCAGTACTGAAATGCATTTCAAATGTGTAACTATAGCTTGTTTGCATCTTGCAGAGGATGGTAAATGGTGGCACAGTGAGCAATTGGATATGCATCAATTTTGCCAGAAACGTGCAAGACAGTGTGGCACGGAGTTTTTGTCATGAGCTTGCTCAAATGTGTGGTACCTCAGGCATGGTAAGGCTAGATTTTCTTTTAGTTTCTGTTGCATTGTGTTCTTGATCTTTTTCTTCTTTTCTTTTCCAGGCGTTTAATCCTGAACCAGTCTTGCCGGTTGTATCAGGGCGTCCCGACGCTGTAGAAAAAATTTTAAAATCCAGGTTTCATGATGTTGTGAGTAAATTGCAGCCTCAAAAGAAGGAGCTTGACTTGCTGATTGTCATTTTACCTGACAACAATGGCTCCCTTTATGGTAAATAGAGAATGACCTTCAGTACATGTGAATTTTAGAAAGCAGTTTCACTAATTTTATTTTAATAATCAGGTGATCTGAAGAGGATATGTGAAACGGATCTTGGTATTGTCTCCCAATGCTGCCTTCAGAAGCATGTCTTCAAGATCAACAAGCAATATCTTGCAAATGTTGCTTTGAAGATCAATGTAAAAGTTGGCGGGAGAAATACTGTGCTTGTTGATGCACTATCTAGGCGCATTCCTCTGGTCAGTGATATGCCTACTATAATTTTTGGTGCCGATGTCACCCATCCTCACCCCGGTGAAGATTCGAGCCCTTCGATTGCTGCTGTAAAGTTCTTTGTGCCTTGCCTTCTTTGAATTAAAATTCTGGATTATATGCCTTGGTCAATTTTACTGAATCTGGGGGTTATTGGCAATTCTTTTTAGGTTGTTGCATCTCAGGATTGGCCTGAAATCACCAAATATACTGGTTTGGTTAGTGCTCAAGCTCATAGGCAAGAGCTCATCCAGGATCTGTATAAATGCTGGCAGGATCCAGCTAGGGGAACTGTGCATGCTGGCATGATCAAGTATGAAATAAGTTAATTATTTTTTCCTATGCAAAATTAAAAGGAGAAATTTTGATGTCAAGTTACTCGCATTGGGCACATATATGGTCCCTCCTTATTTCATTGTTGCCAATATTTTGACCAACTGATTCATGGCCGATGAAAAAATTTAGCCCATAAAACATTAATAAAATTTTGGTTATTTTGTAATTTAGGGAACTGCTGATTTCATTCCGAAGATCTACCGGGCAGAAGCCAATGAGAATTATCTTCTATAGGTAAAGATCATTACTAGCACATCAATTGACCAATTTCGGCTACTATCTCTAATGATGGCCAAGCGGTTCTGCAGGGATGGTGTAAGTGAAGGGCAGTTTTATCAAGTTTTGCTTTATGAACTTGATGCTATCCGCAAGGTGATGCTTTCTTTTGGTGTTTTGGGTACCTTTCCTCCAATATTTTACCATTTAAGTTTCTATTTGGGAATTATGTGCACTTATCTGATTACTTTGGTTTCATTTATCGATCAGGCATGTGCATCACTGGAGCCAAATTATCAGCCGACTGTGACCTTTGTCGTGGTTCAGAAACGACATCATACTCGACTGTTTGCTAATAATCACCGCGACAAAAATTCAATTGATAGAAGTGGAAATATTCTCCCTGGTAAACTAATTTTACTCTAGTACACCATTTTGTCTTCTGCTGGTTTTGCGGCAGGAAGTATTCTAATATCACTATGTGGATCTGAGCAGGTACTGTTGTAGATTCTAAGATTTGCCACCCTACTGAGTTTGACTTTTACCTATGTAGCCATGCTGGGATACAGGTATTGCATCCTCGACTTAATCTTGTGGTGCATGTTTTTGATCATTTATTTATGTTCCTCATTACATGACCTGTAGGGGACTAGTCGACCAGCTCACTACCATGTCCTGTGGGATGAGAACAAATTTACAGCTGATGCCCTTCAGAGCCTCACTAATAATCTTTGCTACACGTAAGCTTTTTTCTGTACCTGTTATTGGTATTCATTTTCTGTGGTTTATGACTAAGTTTGTGCTTTCGCAGATATGCTAGGTGCACACGCTCCGTCTCTATTGGTAAGTGAGCTTACTTTTCCCAATTCCCAACTCTATTTGATTGGGAAAGGCATGTACACACATAATATATGCCCATGTTACTGAGTGGTGGTGTTCTTTTTGTTACAGTTCCTCCTGCTTATTATGCACATCTGGCTGCCTTCCGTGCTCGGTTCTACATGGAGCCAGAAACTTCTGACAGTGGGTCTATGACAAGCAGTGCAGCAGCTGGTCGTGGACCAGGGGGGGTTAGGAGTACAAGGAGTCCCGGGGCTGGTGCTGCTGTGAGACCACTTCCTCAGCTCCGAGAGAATGTGAAGAGGGTAATGTTCTACTGTTAATAGTAGATGAGTTTACTATTAGTTTGTTGGTGTTTTGAGACCCCTTCCTTTGGACTGAGTCTATTTTAAATTATTACTGCCCTGTTGTTCTTTTCTGTTTTTTCTCTTCCGACACGAAGGCTTCCTCCTCACCTATCTTGTGATTACTTTGTTAAAACATGCGTAACTCTTGAAGTTCTGATGAGATGTGACGTCCTAAGCTGCTTGCTATGGGTTGCGCAACTGTGACGTTGCTTGCTTGCACTGCTAAGACGCTCTAGTTAGTATGATGGTATTTGAAGAAGTGCTTGTTTGTTATTATTGTGGGGATGCTGGGAAATGGGTTTGTTGGTTTTGAGAGATCATTATTGTTATTACATACATAAGTTCTCTAGGTAGGGAATTGATTTGCTCATGCGCGTCCACGCACGCACAGCATTGCGGTTGCAGTCTGTGAGAGGCGCCTTTGAATGAATGAATTGCAATTGAAGTTTGCTGTCAAAAGAATAAGTAAATAAGAGATGGGGGGACCATAAAAATTAAGTGGGGTGGGTTAGAGAGGTGACTGGACCGACCATCTCGCCTGCCTGCTACGAGCAAACTCTTGCTCTCTGACCCTCACGGAATGATGGAAGAGATGGAAATATAGTGGGTGTGGGTGTGGGTGTGGTGGTTCTTTTATCATCTTCTTCTGCCTGGCTGCTGCGTCTTTTGTATGGCATGAAACCTTTACCTCCCCCTCCCGACTTGCCCGCATATTTTGCTCCCTTCCTCCTCCACCTGCTGCTGGAACCAACCATGCATTGCTGCTTTTGCTGCCTCTGCTCTTCTTCTTCCTTCAAGGAGGAGACACCTTCTTCTTCTGCATTTTCTTTGGCCAGCAATGAGGGGGGATCGGCATCAATGCGCATGGAGCTGCAGTGCCAGCTGAATAAATTCCCCATCACCTGCTGGTAGTTTGTGTCACAGAAAAGCATTGCAGCAGCATTGCATCCAAATCCACAAGCATCCTTCTTGTTGGGTCCTAACTCCTTAGTAGTAGGAGGAGGAGGAGGAGGAGGAGCCGTGTTGCCCACAACTACTTTGGAGGGCTCCTGTTGTCCGGGACAGGGAAGAGGCTGAGGAAGAGGAGGTCGAGGTCGAGGTTCTCTTAGTACAACTGTCTTTCCAAATAGTTTAATAATGCTGCTGCTACTAGTAGTAGTAGGAGGCTTAGTATCATCAATACGAGCTTCTTGTGCATCACCATCTTCATACCCCACATTACAACACTCCTTCCCCCAACGAAACAAGTCCAACTTCTGCACACACAATCAACCAACAAGCCAACAAATTTCAGGACCAAACCCACAATTACGAACAAGCAGATATAACAAAAGCTAACATTTGATGGGTGGCAAGAGACCAATACAATACCATGGTTGATTTGCAGCTGTTCTCTGGGATTGGGGCAGCTGAAGCCATTTTAATGGGCAAATGACCACAGCCTTCCTCCACCCCTCCTAATAATAAGTTGGCAGCGCCAACATCAGTCACAGTAGCGGTTGAAATTGGAGGAGATATATGCATCTCACCAGTTGATTCTGCATTATCAGAAATACCGATCGCTGAAAGGACTGAAGTGGGAGAATAGTTCTCTCTTCCAGCAACCAATTCATCATCGCCATCATCATCATCCGCTCGATTGGAGGACACAGCATCTGTATTAGTAGCTGACTCAACAACAACAACAACTGTTTTACGAGGGTAAGGATGCATAGGTTTCTTCTTCGGCCGGGGAGGAGGGATGTCGCTAGGAGCCAAAGATACTTCAGCACCAACACATAAATCCCGTCTGACCTTAGCAAAGAACTTTTGAGCGTGACTTCGGATTTGGATGGCAGTCTTGGTCCCCACATGTTCTATAATGACAACCAAAAGTATGTATATTGTGATTATTATCATTTGAGAAGCTTTTATTCCTTGGACAGACAGAGTGACCGACCAGCCATATATACCAATACCGTACTCACCTTCAATTTGACGCCAAGCACGCCCATATATCTTGAGAGCTTCAACAAACCTTTGATGTTCCTCCTCACTCCACCTTTCTCTCTGTTTTGTGATGGTATAGGGTTTCCTAACCTAACATAATAAATAAAGAAACAAACATCTATACTCTATATTACGAGAGCAGAGCAGTTGATAACATATCTCAGATGACGTGGAGCCAACCTTAAGTGCATGGACATTTCCATTGGAGGAGGAGGAAGAAGAGGGTAAGACTTTTGATTGAGCAGCAGCTGCGGAATCCACCAGTTGTGGACCAACTGAAACAGGAGCGTGTCCCAGGCTACCACCCTCGATTTGGTCCTGCAGATTTTGAGGCAGAAAGAAAATCAGAATGGAAGTGGCTCCACATTTCCACTCTGAGATTAGTCACCTCATTTCTCTCCCTCCAAATTGGTTCTTGCCTTCAAAGCAAAACCACAAAAAAAAGAAAAAAAAAAACACCATATACTACTCTTTTGGAAACTTAATGAATAATGAATGTCACTTCCTCCAGATTTCAGATATGCACACGTCCTTTGCCCAGATTCTTACCATACAACACACCAACAATATATCATCATCATCATCATCATTATTACTATTATTCAAGTACTACTAACTTTGCCAAGAATTCCCAATAGGTTAAAAATCATAAATCAGATCTAACAGTTTAGGTAGGGCACAACAAAATCTGATGGAAATCAACCTCTCAAAGTTACTATTATGGTATTATTACTTTTGATGATGCAGCGTTAGGGTTGAATCTCTAGAGAATGACTAGTCCAGCAGAAGAGTATAGAGAAAAAGCAGAGTTTCATCTTTCCAAGTGTAGGAATAAGGGTAACACTGGAGATGAAGATGGAGGGAGCTGCTGCCACAAATCAATAATTTGGTTGGCAGTTGGCGGTGCGGTGCCTCCTCGGCAAAGCAAAGTACATGAGGATATTTCATATACGTAGGAAGAGATATGGTAGATAGGTAAAAGAGCTGAGAGTAAGGCTTTAGAGAGAGAGAGAGAGAGAGAGAGAGAGAGAGAGAGAGCAGATGCATACCTTAGGAGGGTGAGCAGCCATGTGGGAAGGGTTGAAGAAGCCTGCAAATACAAGAATAGAAAACCGGAGAATGGGAAGGAGGAGAAAAGGGGGCAGCTTTGCTTCTCACAATCACAATAAGAAAGAGAGGAATCTTGATTGATCCAAACAGCAAGGAAAATGAATAGGAAAGGAAAGGAAATGTGGAAAGGAAGAAGAAAGGAAGGGAGAGAGTAAGGGAAGGGAGGGGAAGAGTGGGCAAACAGCAGTGCCAGTCAACAGGAATGGATAGATAACATGTACAAGTACAAGTGCAAGTGCAGCAGCAGAACACTTGAACAAGACAGACCCGACAGCAGGTGTGTATGTATCGAGGTTGAGGACGTGGGATTCCTCCTCAAATTACAGTCAGCGGAGTGGAGTGGAGGAGGATATAGCATGTTCATAATATAACAGAAAAAAAAGGGGAGGGTGCAGCAGCAAGGACAGATCTACGAAAATAGAAAGGTGGTAGAGAGACAGTTTGGTCACCATCATATATGTGGCCAAGAATGATAGAGGGCCCACACGACACGTGTCCCCTGTGAGGGGTGTCTCTCTGTCTGTCCGCAATCTTTATCTTCAAGACAAGAGGATCATCTCATCTCATTACATCTCACCTCCCCTCCCCTCCCCTCCCCTCGCATCGCAGGGAGAGAGAGTACTTGCTAGTTGCCACCACCACCCACCCCGATAACCACACTCACACAATAGTATAATAGTATTATAGTTGGATGGAGAACGGCAGCTCTGCAAAGCAGTAGCCAACTGTCCACATCCACACAGATAAATGAAGAAAATTGGCGTGGCTCTCCCTCTCTCTCTCTCTCTCCTATCCACTAAATGAAATGGGAGTTGGGAGTGGGGTGGGTTGGATCGGCTCTCAGATGCCGATACCAAATCTTATTTTTATTAGTAGTAGTAGTATTAGTATTGTGGCTTGCATTGTATTGCATAGCACTGGCGTTATGCAATCAATACATCCATTCCATTCCCATTCCCATTCCCAATGCCACTCTCATCCAACAAACTGTTTCCATGTATCTTGCCACTCACAACACAAGTTCTGCATTGTCTTCTGATGGGCTATGGAATCCTCATATCCCCAACTCCTCGTACTGTCAGATGTACAATGGCTAAGCTTAGCTAAAGAGGGTAAATTGTAAAAAATATTAACCATGTCCACACACAAACATTTATACTCAAATATGATCATCATCAATATCATCTCCGCCTACAGAAGACAGGACAAGTGAAGTTAGCAATGAAATACATCATTCTCTCCCTCCCCCTCATCAACATTCCATTTAATTTATCCAGGTAACTTGTGATGGATGATCTGCTACCCCAGCCCTCCATTGGACCATACCCCTTTCTCTATGCAGTGTGTGAATGATGTGATGTATTAAGATATTTTGCAAATATAAGAACAACCAGCCAGCCAGCCAGCCAGCCCGGTCCATGGAGGATATGGTGGCTGTGGCGGCCGAGGTAGAGGTGGAGATGGGACATGTAATTTATATTGATATATATATATATATATATTGTATAGATACTTCTGCATAGAGATGAAACACGGCAAGTTAAGACAAACAATATCCGTGTATGCATGCTACAGACATTTGGGCCTATCTGTTGGTCCAGTGATAACATATTATACCAATCTTCACAATTGTGAGGAGAGGATAATAAGGGCCGATCCAGAGCATGGTGGACTAGTTATGAAAGAGAGGTCATGTGTTTTCAGAGAAATGATGAAACATGGAATGATGCTTGTTTGGAATTAGCAAAGAGAGCAAGTACCTGATTTCAGCCCAATCTCCAAACGGGGTTGGCAGGCTAGTTCGGCTGGATCTGCAATAGACAGGCGCGCCGCGCCATCAACCAGATTTCCCAAGAAGATTAAATTGGGAAAGCAAGCTTCCATTGCCTACCCGTGTCATAGATACTACAATTACCGTATGCATTTTCAGTACATTCTGAGCACATGTTGAAAATATGCTACCCACTCAACCTTCATGGGCATACTGAGGGTCAAGATCTCCTCATCTTTCAGAGCATTTACCAGGGGAGAGAGCAGCAAGCCAGCCACTTTGGGTACTGCATTCCGAACATAATGCTCATTCATGATTCGTATCACAGAAGTGCAGGACCTCATCAGAACCCTCTATGCAGAATACATGCAATAAACAACACTGGAAAACAGTAAAATTAACAATCCTTTGGCCACAGCCCGTATTTATCAATATACATGCATTTAGCATGCATATCAGTAAACAACACTGCAGGCAGAAGAAGGAAACTGCAAAGTGTAACAGCACCACAGAGAACAAGAAGATGAAATGAGAGCTTCTAAATCAAATAACTTTGGGAATAATACCTCAAAGCTTATTTAAAACTCTTTTAACCTGCAAGAACAAATAATAGAGATTCCCACCATCCATTAAAAAAATAAAAAATAAAATCACCATTAGAAAGTAGTCCGTTCAACTAGGCTTGAATAAGGTCACAAAAGCTACAGCATACAGAACAGGATGTAATGCATACTAACTGATTACTGTCTCAACAACATAAATATAGCAGAGATTGCAAACAGTCATCCAGCTTCCGGAATAATATCTAGCAATTCATCAACTTGTGAAAAACATAGAACCGACATGACCATACATCCTTGTCAGCCAACCCAGAGTAAAAGCAAGCTTATAGCAGGCTTACTATTCAAAATCTTGAAGCCCACCATTCAAAATAGACTTACAGAAGGCTAGATTCTGAAACTGATCTTATTCAATCACACACGGGTTTTGACCAAGCTGAAACATAAAGTAAATAGCAACCGAAAACTCTCATATGATCGGGGATGATTTACTAATATAGACATCAGGGTGTTGCTAAGAGAATAATTGACAATCGCCCATATCCCCGGCCAGATTAACAGTAGAAAACTTCCCTCTGGATGATTCCCTTATAGCAAACATTTCTCCATTTGATTTCTCTGAAATTCCCACCTTTGGCCAAATACTGAGCATAAATCAAATAGAATGAATCAATAATCAAGAAGCTCAATAAAACTCCTAAAATTATGCTGCTCGAATTAAACGAAGTGGTGAGGAGGAAAGATACACGAAGATACTAGTACAATCACATTCTATTCCATTCCAGGAATCAGTAATCAGCGTCCAACTGATGTTTAAGCAGAGAGTTTAGGACGAGTTGCTTCTCTCCAGAGCGCTTCGGCTCATTTACAGTAGCGATCGGCCTTTTTCTTGGTCCGATCGTCTAGGGCTTCTTCAACGGACTTAACCTTGGCATCGGGGTCGTAGCCGAACCTCTTGGCCTCGACGGGGAATAAATCCTCGTACTTCATCTTCTTAGCGGCATCAATTGTGTAAATATCCTCGGCAGCGGAGGCGGAGTCGACAACTTTGAGGCTGGGGTCGCTGGGGTCGTCGATGAGCTTGTCCTTGTTCCTGTTCTTTTTCTTCTTCTTGTCGATGGGCTTATCGCGGGTGGCGAGCTCCCCTCCCTTGAAGGCCAGCCTGCCGCCCCTCACCCTCTGGTACGCCTCCGACATCTCCCTCAACTCAACCCACGCGGAGAGGAACTCGCTCGCTTCTTCCTCCTCCACTCCGTCGCAACGATATACTGGGATGAGAATGACAATAGAGCTAAAAGTTGAATTTGTATAAGTGGGCCCGGCCCAATTATGGAAGGCAAGCCCATCTGTTTAGCCCAGAATAACGATATTAACAAGAAGCATTTGCTCCAATGATAGTATGATGAATCTCTATATAGAGAATGGATGCCGCGCCATTGCCAAGCATGAATTGAAGCAGATACTGTAAGATGCAGCATTTCCATTAAGAAGACCTTGATGTAGTTACAGACAAGACAGGACAAGACATTGTGTGCCATTGCCAAGCATGAAGCAGATACTACCTTCGAATATATTTAGCCTGCAGAATTAATGATAAACAGAACAGAACAGAACAGAACATGCATTCATGGATGATGGTATTGCTAAGCTCATTAAGGAAAGAAGAAATGAATATAGCTACAGACAAGAAGATACAAGGGATATGATGACTAGCTAGCTTAAGCTAGGTGTGATCCTGCCCAATAGCGAGCTCTTCTTCCAAGGCCCTCCTCTGGCGGGATTCTTGACTCTGCAGCCTCCTGTCATGATTTATCTTGTTGATGAAGTCCTCCACCAGCTTGTTGAATTCCTGCTTGCTGAGTGCAGGGTCGACCCTGAGGCCGCCTCGCCGCCGCATCGACACTGAGTCGTTGAATGTCACGGACTTCCTCAGCTCTTTCCATATGGGTTTGGAGGGCAGCACTTTCTCCGAGTCCAGGCGGCGCACAGGCACCGGAGGCTCTGGCGGAGCCTCCCATGCCCCCTCGCTCCTCTTCAGGTGTTTCCTGATCATCTTCTGAGGCGGACAAATTTGGTCTCCCTTCTTCATTATTGCCTTCCATGCCGATTCAATGGTGCCGTCATCCTGTTCTGCTGCTGCTTCCTCCCTGGCCTGGAAATTAGGATGAGGATCATGGTGGTGGTGACTATTTTCATGAGTTTCAGATGAGGAGTAGGAGGGGTAGAGAGCGAGCGACCATGCTAGTTTCTTGGCCTCTGCAGGTGAAAGGGGGGGCTCCTGCAGGTCCTCAGGTGATGATGAAGATAGTAATAGTAGTAGTGGTGGGGTCGGTGGATTGTTGTTATTATTGGGTGGTGCAGGGGCTGCTGCAGCTGATCCGACAACGGCTGGTTCCCTCCTGATTGCAAGTGAACCAATTGGCGGAGGACGGGGGGGAGGAGGGCTGACTCGGGTGGGGTGATCAGCTGCTGGCAGCGGCTCAGACTCGTCATCATCATCATCATCATCATGAGCATGAGTTGCTGCTGCTGGTGCTGGGTCATCGTGATGACCTCCATCTCCTCTAGCAGCAGCGGTGGCGGCGAATAATATTTCAACAGGACCATCACTATATGCATCATGGTCGGAGGAGGAGGAGGAGGCAGCAGCAATAGAAATAGCAATGAGAGAGAGCAGGAATATACAGAAGAAGGAGAGCGGGGAGGAGTAGGACAAGATAGCAGAGCTGCTGATTGAGGAATTCCAGAGATTGTTGATGATGCTGATTACAGAGGAGGAGGAGGAAGAGGTGCTGGCGCTCTGGTTGGTCATGGGCATGGGCATGGATTTGATGAGGAGGAGCAGTAGGTCCGCCGCCGTACGCAGAGTGGAAAGGAGGCCCATGGACAGAAGTAGCACCTGCGCGGCCCCCTTCACTCTCCCGCCGTTTCCAATCAGCAGCATCATCATCGTCGTCGTCGTCTTGTTTCTGTTGATTATTGCCTTCTTCTTCTTCTTCTTCTTCTCATCTGCTGCGCGCGCGCACACACACACTCATCCGCCGCTTATCGATCGATCCTATACACGGATCCAACTGCCGTCTATAATTGCCTTGGGATGGGACTGATCGAGCGACGAGTCACTGGGATTTATAGATGGGTGGATGGATGGGATTACGAGAGCGGGTTGACGTCTGTGTTGGGTGCGTCACCCCCACCCCACCCCAAACCTTACTCCCATTAAGTAATTAATTAATAAATACAACTAGCAGTGTGTGTAGTGAAGTAGTAGTAGTATTTGCAACTTGTCTATATCAGAGTTGCATCTGCTGACCAATCAATCCCCCCCTCCTCCTCCTCAGCAGCATCAAGTGCACTTGTTTATTACACTTTTCGTACGAAAGCTGTATCTCAATCATACAAACAAATCATTACTGAAATGCAAAAGAAATCCTTCCCCCCCCCCCCCCCCCCCCCCCCCTCTCTTTATTTTAATTTCCTCCTCATCCAATCCAATGACAGTGTAGAATATCATCAGATCAGATCAGATCATCATCAACCAACAACTCCCCAAGACCTGGAGCTTCATTTTGACTTCCTCCTCCACCTCTAGTCTTCTTCAGTCTTTCTTTATTGCTCATGAATGCTCCCGCTGCTGCGAAAACACTAATAATAAAAAAGCAAATGGGATGGGACTACAACGACATTAAAGATGATAATAATAGTATATTCCTCCAGAAACGGACCTCCCGCCAACACACCCATCCGCGCTTCAGGAATAAACTTTCATCACACACACACGGAATACATCACAGTATCTGATCATATCATCCATCTGCACTTCACCGAAACTGGTTAAGGATATTTTTATCAGGATTCTATATATATACATATTTTTTTCTCTTATTTATTTATTTTGTTTGCGCGTTTTAAGAGAAGGGAGTCAATGGCCCGGTAAGAGGGACTAATAATAATATTGAAAGCCCAGCCCATTCTGTAAAACCAGAAAAAGCCCAAATAGATAATTTCCGGCTCGGCTCGGCTCGGCTTTGCCTCCAAATCGGAAGAGGAGGGAGGAGGAAGGGTGAACGAAGGGAAGGACGGAAGGAACATCGGAACGGTCTTCTCAACCATCATGGAAGCATTCCTCCTCACTCACGCCCACCCTGCCTGCACCAATTAAGCTTGAAACCCATCCTCACCCGGACACCCTGGTAAGTTTCGGAATCGCGATTGCACTACGCAACTGTCGCCTACAATGGGAGGGGGCGGGAACGACCTACCATTTCTCCTCTCTTACACATAACTGGGTTCAGGTTAGCTTTGGAGAAGAATCAACTCGGCAGCATTCATTGAGGCTAAAATCAAGGACGAGGACGGAAGATAGCCGACACCTAAGTTGCTTTGCCGCTTCCGCCCTTGAATTCTAGACCGCCGGTATGCCGTTTACTTTTCACCCTGGCTGGCTCTCTGTTAGGGATTGCTGCCGCAGCTCCACCCATATCTCTATTCTGCCTGTCCTCGCTTCTGATTACTATGGCTATGCCGTTGCTCTTATCAGGGAATGCAATTGAGGGACGCATCACCTGCATAATTGATTGATGAGCATTCTTCTATCTTAATGCTGTGATCAAACCATTGTCTTCTTCTTTTTTTTTTTTTTTTTAAAAAAAATTAGGATGGATGTTGAACTTTTTTACATGCAGGATTGGAGCTGTATGTCCAATAAAGAACAGGGGCACTGAGCCACGCCAAATTCTATTACACATGTGCCATATTAGGGGGTCAGTCAAAAATCAGTTATGAGTGATCGATCATCCATTATTCAGCAGGATTATTCTGTAAAATTGCTAGTGTAAATGCTTCTTAGATTTGATGCATAGTCCAGAGTCTTCCTGTCTTATCCTTTCATCAAAATGATTGGTTGCTCAACTTCTGGATCTATGGAAGCTGAAGACAAGACTCACCAAGACGCTCTTCCAGATTGTACCACTATACCTAAAAATCCCCAGTCCTGCCCATCACTGCTCGAGAATAAAGTGGATGCAGAAGATAACATGCAAAGGGATGGTGATACAACTGCCAATGTGCATGAGGAAGAGGATGAGGAAGAGGATGCAGATTTCAATCCTTTCTTGAAAGACACTAATTCTATAGAAGCTTCCTCTAGCCTCAGTTCTGAGGTTGAAGATGTGGATACGGATGTCACTGACAGTAAAGGAAAACCTTCTGTAGAAATTATGCATACTGGTAGAACAGTTCTGCAAGATGAGGATGTGGTGATGCGAACAGTTTCTCCTGCAGAAGTATGTGTAAATAAGTCCAATGCTGTATCTGTGGATAGTGAATCATTATTGATTTCTCAATCTGAAGGTGGGGCTATATATGACAAGGATAATGATTTGCTCAGCCTTACTGATGTTGGCAACAATGCAGATTTCCTGAAACCGCAATTGGATATGGATAGTGAGGGTGCTATCTGTATGCGGACTAGGGCTCGTTATTCTCTTGCAAATTTCACACTTGATGAACTTGAAACTTTTCTTCAAGAAACTGATGATGAGGAGGATCTTCAAAATGTTGATGATGAGGAAGAATATAGAAAATTCCTTGCAGCTGTATTAAGAGGTGATGATTATCTCAACATACAAGAGAGTGCAAATGCTGATGATGAAGATGAAGAAAATGATGTTGATTTTGAGCTTGAGCTTGAAGAGGCACTCGAAAGTGAACCTGAAGAGATTGAAGAACGGCGAAGGACTAGGCGAAATAGATCCCAAAGAACTTCAAACGAGCTCGTGAAACTTTCAGGACAGTTGACTAGACCATTGCGACCCCTTTTACCATTTGCATCGTTAGGATCTCAACCAACTCTTGATGGTAAATACCTTTCACCCAACATTAGTCCATCTTATACCCCTCCTAATGGTTTCAACTGTGGATTCACCCCACATCAGATAGGGCAGTTGCACTGTCTGATTCACGAGCATGTGCAGCTACTCATTCAGGTGTTTTCCATCTGTGTTTTTGAGCCTCTTAAACACCATATTACTGCTCAAACTAAGGAATTAATATTAGAGTTACTTCAGAAACGTGACCAGTTACTAGCATGGAGAACATTGCCATACCCAAGCTTCTGCTTCTTCCCTCCACACATTCATCCATCTTTGCCAAATGAGGTCCACAAAATGTTACCACAGAATTGCAGTAATAAGAACCAACAACATGAATTTCCATCTGGAAGCAACAGAGAGCTGCATTCTGATATCACTTCCTTTCCTATTTCACCTGCTAATCTAGCAGATGAGCAGGCAGGCTCTTCTCAAGCTGTGTTGTGGGTGCCAAACATTTCCGGTCCAGTGCTGTCTGTTATAGATGTAGCACCGCTCAGATTAGTTGAAAATTATATAAATGATGTTTCTTCAGGTATATCATATTAAATATAATGTACTTTCATGATCTTTCAATCTTGTATTAATGCACTTGCACCTCTGTGGAATGTTTGGCAGCTGTCCAAGCACATGAGCGATATCAAATTGAGCTTGGTTTTGATTCTCAACAACAAAAGGAACCCCTTTTTCCTCTCGGCAGTTCTTCATGTAATGCTGAAGCTGATGGTCAAGGTAATATGGAGAACCCTCCCCCGGAGTCCAGTGGTCTGCTTTCTTCATCCAATAATCAAATGCCCAAGAAGACAATGGCAGCAACCCTGCTAGAAAAAGCCAAAAACCAATCCATTGCTCTTGTTCCAAAAGAGATTTCTGAATTAGCTCAGAGGTTTCGGCCATTATTCAACCCTGCCCTTTATCCTCATAAACCACCACCGGCTCCACTTGCAAAGCGGGTGCTTTTTACTGATGCTGAGGATGAGTAAGTTGTAATCTTTATTTTTATTTTTTTCTTTCCTGTTCACTCTTTCAATATTCCTTGGATTTTGTTAGATTACTTGTGACATGGAAGATAACGAAATCACTACATTTTATTCATTATATTTTTCCTTTTCTGTGCTCTCCTTCAATACTTTTTTCTATATTGCCCCCCCCCCCCCCCACCCCCCTTGCTCCTTAATAGGTCCGCCGATGTTCACTGTTGCTTACAACGAATGGGTTGTGCATTTAAGGATATTCTCTGGGTCATTTTGTGGAAATAAAATAGTTGAAGTTATCTATTTTGCAGATTAACATATCTGTTGAATTTAGACAGTTACATGGAGAAATATTCAGGGTGATGTCACAAAAAATTTATTTACATTGAATGTTATGCAGATTATTAGCATTGGGACTGATGGAATATAATACTGACTGGAAAGCCATACAGCTACGGTTTCTTCCTTGTAAATCTAGGCACCAGGTGATACATTTAATTACATGTTATAGCCTGAAATTTGTATCTCGCCTTGTTGTATTGGTTTAAGGTATTGGTAATATCATCATAAAGAAAAAAAGTTCATCTGAAGAATAAATGCCGTTCTATTGTCATTGCGCGAAATTGCTTAAAATGATATTTTCTGGGGAACAGATATTTGTGAGGCAGAAGAATCGCGCATCATCAAAAGCACCGGAAAATCCTATAAAGGTATATAGTTATATTTCTACTCTGAATTGTCTAAAAATTTCCAGTAAGTATTACATCATATACAACAGTGGGTTGTTTTGTCTTGTAGGCTGTGCGGAGGATGAAAAACTCCCCCTTGACATCTGAGGAGATAGCACGCATTGAAATGGTAAGCTCTTCAATAGCCAATATGCTGAAAATTTTCTTTACGTGTCTTCTTTCCCAGGCAATGATACATTAATTTAATGACTTCAGGGGTTGAAAAAGTTTAAACTTGACTGGATATCTATATGGAGATTTTTCGTTCCTTACAGAGATCCCTCCTTGCTTCCAAGGCAGTGGCGCATTGCTTGTGGCACACAAAAGTCGTATAAATCTGATGTGAATAAAAAAGCAAAGCGGCGTTTATATGAATTAAGAAGAAAAGCTAGCAAGGCTTGTCCTTCAACTTGGCATTCATCATCTGAAAAAGAGGTGCATTCATTTATTGGATTTTTCTGTTTTTTTTGGCCATCTATATGTGCCTTACTTAGGATTCATTTTCGAAAATGACTAACATTAAGTTACAGGATTAATGTGCAGTTATGATGCATGAATAGTGCATGCATCGTATCTCTTCATATATATCAATTGTCCTATCGTGTTTCTTCTCTGGCGCTGCATGCTATTGTGCTAATAGCCAGATACTTTTCTGTTGACTCTTACTGAAACTAAGTTATGATTTTCCAGTAACCATTGAACTTCAATTATGGCTTTCCTAATCCTGTGTGTACATCAGTCATAATAATATCATATCCACACTTATTTATATCACATCCTAAGGGTGTGTTTGTTTGGGGGTTTTGATTTTGAGTTTGGGATTTAAATAGTAAAAATTTTGTATTGGAATAGTTTTATGATATGATATAGATAAGTGTTGATGTGATGTTTTGAACGTAAATTGATTTTTAGTATAATAAAGAATATAAAAAAATAGACATTTGAGTTGATCTTTTTTAGGGGAAAATTTTTGATGAATTATAGAAATTTTATATAGTTTGATAAAAAAACACACCTTAAAGTATGCTCTTTGTAGGGTGATAGCACTGACAATGCTGTTGAAGATACTAATAGTGGGGATAATCGCATGGACAAGGAGGATGAAGCATATGTTCATGAAGCATTTTTGGCAGATTGGATGCCTGAAAATAATGTTTCTGCAAGTTTTCCCACTTCTTTGCAATCTGATGGTTCTCAAGCTGGTTCTGCATATGTCCAACCCTCAGTGAGTTCCAAGTCTTCAGCTGACTTGAGGTAAGCGATCTCTTGCTGCCAAACTCCCATTTTATTAGCGTTTAGTGTTGTGGCTGATTGTGGAGCTAAATTACTTTATGTGACTTCAAGGCCATCCTATTCTCAAGTAGTTCTGCGGCCGTATCGAGCTCGTAGACCGAATAATGCACGCACGGTGAAATTAGCTCCTGATTTACCTCCAGTAAATCTTCCTCCATCTGTTCGGATTATTTCACAGTCAGCATTCCAAAGTTCCCATGCAATAGCAGCCACAAAGATGCATGGCACTGCCTTGAGAATTGGTGGGGCAGGACAAAATCTGGGTCAGCACACTGGAAGCACTATGAAGTCAGATGCTGTTTCTTCAGTGAAATGTGGACCTAGCAAGAACAACATTTTCAGTTCTCCTATTCGGCAGCAACCAAATCATTCTGATGCCATGGTTGATAAATCTGCATCAGAGAGAGTTGGTGCAGATCTTCAGATGCATCCTCTGTTATTTCAGGCTCTTCAAGATGGTCAGGTGCCTTATTATCCACAGAGCAGCAGTACTAGCACATCCAGTTCCTTCACTTTCTTTTCGGGAAGGCAGCCACAGCTAAGTCTGAGTCTTTTTCATAATCCACGCGATATAAGAGACGCTGTGAATTTTCTTAGCAAGTCATCTAAAACTCCTGAAAGAGATGCATCTTCACCTGTCGTTGACTTTCATCCCCTATTGCAAAAAACTCATGATGTGGATACAAACTCCATAGGAATCCATCCTGCCTCTGCAAGGGTTCCGTCTACTACAAAGTCAAGGCAAAAACATGCGGCAACACAAAGTCCTTGTGGGTCCACACGCAAACCATCTCTCCAAGGTGGTTCAAGTGCGTCAACTGCTAAAAATGTCAGCCATGTTGATAAAAGTAATGAAATAGACTTGGACATTCATTTAAGTTTCACAACCACAAACCAAGAAGCTGTTGGAAGCAAAAACATGGCTATACAGAATGCAGGGAGATCAGTAAATGGTCCTGTGTCTGGACCCATAGAATCTGAAAGTGCAAGAGATTCAAGAAATATGAGAATTTCTGCTCTAGATGGGATTGATGATGAGCTTGATTCAAGTGACTTTGCACTAATTGCATCCAAGAACAAAGGAAATAGGAAAGTTTCAGAAGACATGTGTGATGATTCCCTTCATGAAATAATAATGGAACAGGAAGAGTTGAGTGACTCCGAGGAAGAAAGTGGTGAAAATGTAGAGTTTGAGCATGAGGAGATGGCTGATTCAGATGGTGAGAGCACATCTGACTCCCAACAATTTATCAGCATGCCAAATGAGGTAAGATTTCTTAATTTGTTGATGAGAGAGTTCCTTAAAATCAATCTGCTCGATGCGATTTCTGGTTTTCTTTGTTTTGTTTCTGGTTACTTTGGGTTGATGTGCATGCGAAAGGTTGTCATTTAAAACTATTGTTTCCTGTAGCAATTTCTGTTGAAATGTATTGTTTCATTAAAGGATTTGTACTTCACAAGCATTTCACTTCTCATTCCCATTATTATTATTTTCTACTTACTAATTTTGTTTTCTGCCGCATGACTGTACAGTTACCTTCTTTGAAGATAATCTCAAAATTTCATGGTCCATGTGTTGTTGCTTTGGTTGCTCAATGTCTGCTTATGTATCTCTTTAGTTTCTTCAGTTCGATGTTTCAACTGCACCTAAATTTTCAGGACGTGCATCAAGATGATGTGGATGCAGATGTTGATGATTGTTGGGCAGCAAATGCTCAGAGTAAATGTCGAGGCAAGATGAGCAGCAAGTCAGGTGGATTAGAAGTGGCCGAGAAAGTAGCTAAGTTGAGGGCCAATGCTGAATCTTTGAACCTGAATTCGTGTCCCCAAGTTTCTCTTACAACTCTCAAGAAACCCCAGGCAGAGTATGAATTCGGGCCATTTGGCACAACTGGAACAGTTGGCCAGAAGCAACTTTCTGCAAGTTCAAGAAGATCGAGCAGGAATTCAAAAGGGGGTCGAATGCAGAAGCCTCGTGAGGAGCTGCCAGGGCATCAAAATCCGGGTTGTGCCAGCGACGCAATGCCAAGAAACCCCAGAAAACGTGTCTGCAGATCCAACTCAAATTCAAGCACGTCCAACCCGAATATGGGCATGGATGTTCGTTCCAACCCTTAAAGAAAGAGTGGGGCAGGACAGAAGAATTCGGTAGTTTGATTGTCGGATCTATTATAACTTGAGATCATGTTCAGACAACCTGCTGGTGTGGGCTGACAAACAATCATCTTGTATAAATTTTCTTGTGCCGTTTTTCGTCAGGGAAAAGAGAGAAAATTTAACGGATCCAGATATGATTGTGGTTGTACCACACTACAGAAAGTATGTATGTATGTATGTAGATAGTTTTTGGGCATCTGCTGGGTGGAGAATAGTATTATGTTGGTGATTGTGTTGGGTTGGGTCATGTCGCGCGCGCGTGTGTGAACAACAGCAATAAATAATAAGTTGGTGGATGAATCCTAGCAGCAAGAATGGAAGCACGCTGGTTGGTAGGGCTGTGGTTGATGAATCGGTCCTCCCCTCCCTCCCTCCGCCCCTGCTGTTACTACTGAATACGCCCACCGACTGACTGACTGACAGAGACAGACAGACAGACAGACAGACGGGATGATGTGTATTTACTACTTACTCTACGTGTGCTTGTAATTAGTCAGTCAGTCAGAGAGCTGTTGGGGGCGAGGGCGTGGGGAGGAGACAGATTCTATTTAAACTCCAAACCAGTCAGCTATGACCACTGCCACTCTGGTCCCTCAACTCAGGAAGCAACTGCAACACCACACCTCCGCTACCGCTCTGTCCCTGTCCCTGCGTGAATGTGCGGAGACTTACTCCCCCGAGTCGAGGAAAGCCAGAACCTCTCACGCCAAGCTCGTTAAAGTGGGTGGACCTGGACCTGGAGGGGTTCGGTCTCACAACCATTTGCTGAATGCGTACGCCCGGTCCGGGGGGGACCTCAACAGCGCCCTCCAACTGTTTGAGGAAATGCCCCTGAAGAATGTGGTGTCATGGACTCTGCTGATCGCGGGCCTCGTGCGCAGAGCCTTTCCGCTTCAGGCAGTATCTTTGTTCTCAGAGATGCATCGCAGCAGCAGCAGCATTAGGCCCAACGAGTATACTTTTGTGAGCGCACTCCAAGCGTGCTCCAGCTTGGATTCCAACTGTGCATCTCAGGTTTATGCCCTGATAATCAAGTACGGCTTTGCGAACAACACCTTCTTGGTGAATGCATTCTTGACTGCCCTGATCAGGCACGGCATGTTGGAGGCTGCCGCGCTGCTGTTTGACGGGTGCACCCACAAGGATATCGTCTCGTGGAATGCCATGTTTGCTGGATTTCTCAAATTTGCTTGCCAGGATATCCCACAGCTCTGGAACAAGATGATCCGCCAGGGGGTACAGCCAGATGAGTTCACTTATGCTACCGTCCTCTCTGGCCTGGCCGTGCTATCGGATCTTGAGACGGGGTTGCGGGTTCATGCCCACCTTGTGCGATCCGGCCATGGGAGCGAAAGATGTGTAGGGAATGCTTTGGCGGACATGTACTTGAAAAACCAGAGACTCGGAGATGGGTTCAGAGCATTTGAAGAGATCCCTGTCAAGGATGTGCGGTCTTGGACTCAGATGGCGGCCGGGTGCCTGAGCTACGGGGAGCCTGTTGAGGCACTTGGGGTGATTGCAGAGATGAGGAGGGCTGCTGCTGCTGCCGGAGTAGGGCTCAATGAGTTCACCCTTGCTACGGGGCTAAGCGCCTGCGCCAGCCTTGCCAGCCTGCGGGAAGGGGAGAAATTTCACAGCCTCGCGGTGAAGCTCGGGGGTGGTGATGATGTGACGGTGAACAATGCATTGCTGGACATGTATGCCAAATGCGGGGACATGGACGGGGCGCTGATGGTATTCAGGTGGATGGGCGAACACAAGTGTGATCGCTCTGTGGTCTCTTGGACGACGATGATCATGGGGTACGCACAGAATGGGCAGCCCAAGGAGGCACTGGAGCTATTCCAGCAGATGAGAGCGGGAGGAGGAGAGGAGGGGGCGGTGGGAGGAGGAGAGGAGGGGGCGGTGAAACCAAACGGTGTGACGCTGACATGCGTGCTGCACGCATGCAGCCAGGGAGGGTACGTGGAGGAGGGGCTCCGACATTTCCGGTCCATGAGGCGCGGCGAGTACGGAGTCGCCCCGGGAGAGGATCACTATGCCTGCGTGGTGGATCTGCTGGGCAGGGCAGGGCGCATTGAGGAGGCGGAGCAACTGATCATGGGGATGCCGTTGAAGCCACCGAGTGCTGTGTTGTGGAAAACCTTGCTCGCAGCGTGCAGGGTCCACGGCGACATGGGGACCGCAAAACGGGCAGCAAGGCATGCACTTGCCATGGATAACAGGGATCCTTCAATCTGCGTGCTCCTGTCCAACACATTTGCTGATTTTGGGAATTGGAACAGCGTCGGGGCGGTGAGAAAACGCCGGATAAAAGATGACGACGACGATGATGATATCAAGAAAATGCCTGGCTCCAGTTGGCTGCTTCGAGTACATTGACTATCCATCTCAGGCTGCTGCTGCTGCTGCTTGTATCAAACAAGACTACATATTACGACCACCGCCGCCACCACCACCAAACAAAGCAGATGTGATCAGAGTGGTTGCTACAGCAGTAGCCAGTAGGCAGTAGGCAGCAGGCATGGCATGTCCCGGCCTTTCCCTCCGTAGTAGTAGCAGATGTGGAGGAGGAGAAATCAACTGGTAGTTGTATTAAATATTCATTCGGCTACTGGCTTGCTTGCTTTGACCCGGGGTGGGGAAAGGGGGCTGGGGGTGGATGGATCATGGATGAAAATGCCATCTCCCCTCCCAAAAGTGGCTTGGCTTGAATTGAATTGAATTCCCAGTGAAAAACTAAACTAAACTAAATGAAATGAAACGAAATGAAATCTCATTCCCAACCAACAAGTTGAAACCCTCCTCCTTTCTTTTAACTGCTGTATTTTGATTGAGTGAACATGATTCCCTCCCTCCCTCCCTCCCTCCCCTCCTCCACGAGGCAATTGGCACACCATCCACCCCCATCACTCCCCACCTCCACGCACCCAACAAACTAGTCAGTACAGTACAGTACAGGAAGGTTGTAAATGAAGATCAAATTCCTTTTTAAATTGTTTGGAGGCCTGCGCTTTCCCATGTGTGTACACAGATTTGAACTTGCCTGCCTGCCTGCCTGCCAGTGCCCAAACTCTAACACCGAATGAAGACACTGTTTCAGCATTGTCTACTGCTGCCATTACCGCATGCACAGAGGGCGAGAAACAATGAATCAAATAGCCTATCTTAACTCACTCACTCCTCCTACTAGACTACTCCCAAACTTGAAGAAAAAAAACAAAGCAAGAATGATGGATTTCTCTACTTCTGTTGAAATGGTCAGCTTCAGAATGTACCACATTCAGCAAATATCACGTGGGAGTTAGAATGTCAGCTTCACAGAATCTCCAAGATCCATCCTCCTGCCTCTTGAGAAGATAATGTATTCTATATGTGCTGCCACCAATAAAAAGTCACATAAATCATAAAAATATTAGTTACCAATTGGGGGGGGGGGGGGGGGGGGGGGGGGGGGGAAGGGCATTAAAATAAGGCTTTTATACAACTAATTTATGTCCTTGGGGGTCAAATCAAGGAATGCGATGGTTTAGAAAGGGAAATTAATAGGTAGAGCTGTGAGATTGCTAATGCATGGGGAAATACAAGTCTTAGTTGCAATGACTGCAACCACAAACCTTCCCCTTTAGCCATCTTCATAAACATTCTCACCCCCAAAGGCTGAATAAAGTTCTACAGAGTTACACAGGGGTGCAGGTAATATTTAAATGAATGAAGAAAGATGTTTTAAGTACTTGGTGTGGCTAACAAATTCACTCACCTGTAATAAGTTGGGTTTTTCAGTTGGGATTCACCCACAAGTTCGGCTGCCTCCTCCAAGAGAACTTCTATTTCTGCCATCTCCTTCCCAAGTCCATCACTCAAAATGTCGGCAGAGACAATTTTCAATTGCAACAAAACAAATTTCCAAAAACAAGACCTTGTTTTTGCTGCTTCTGCCAATGCTTCCCACTACAATGTATCCATTGATCAGAAGTTAAAAAAAAAAAACATTTAAGCTCACAATAAGGCTTATGATACTGAATGGCCTGCTCGAAATTTTGCAACACCTAAATTGTGCAAGAAGCATGAAGTATTGCAACAAGATAAAACTTAAACCACAACAAAATTTCCCCAATCCAGTCAATGTCACTTGGCATATATAAAAGTTAACTTTCTCATCTTTCCATGCTTAGCTTATGTGTTAACATGAATGATACCTGATATAAAGATGGAAATATTACACATTAAAGTGACAAATAAATGAAAAGTCCAACCTAGCAGGCACTGAACAGCGGCACAGGAAAAAACAAATGCAAGTTAGCCAGAGTAATAAAGACTTTGAAAAGGTCAACTTGAAAATTATCTTGGTATACTATGTTAAGGGAAAGTGGGCTATCTGAGTACATCAACGCAGTTGCTTCATGTTCATTTTTATGCAGCTACAATCTCACCTGAACAAGCATTGATCCTTCAAGGATTTCACTGAGACCGAGAATATCATGAGCAGGCCCAAGCGCTTCTGCTTTGATTGCTTGCCATCTCTTGACAAGACCCTCAGCATCTTCAACAGGCATTGATTGCCTACTAGTTGATGTCATTGAAGATGAAAGCCCAGAAGAGACAGAAGCAGTTCCCAAATCTGCAGAATCTAAGTGGTCTCCAGATTGAACATTAAGAAGTGAAAGAACTTTCTTTAGCTTTCTTGTAACACCATTTCGCTTAACTGTTCCGTGTTTGCAGCTTAGATCCATCGACAAGTCAGTCCAGGCGGAGGAGCTTGATTTTATTTTTTGTTCATTCACCATCCATCTAGAACTACTTCCTGGTTTCCATACTTGCATGTTGATTAGTTTAAACAAAGCACCCAGGATGCAGCCTAATGCTGCTGCATATGTTATCTTTCCAACCACATCACTGAACGCCAACGAAAATTTCCAAGCTTTAACGTCTTTTGAACCTAAAGTCCTTTTCAACTGAACAGATGATGAGCCAACATTGCTTTCAGCAAAACTCTTGCCTTCTGTCAATGGACTTTGTAGATTGGGAGGGGTAAGCTGCTGGGCAGCAGGTCCAAGTTGTCTTGAAGATTCTGTGCTCAAAACAGGTTCTCCAAGTCTTCGATCTATTGGTAGAGAAACAGAAAGTGGTCTGTGTCTTATGCTAAATGAAGCAGGAGGGGCTCTTTTGTTATCTCTAGTTCCTGAAGCTTTTTTTTCACCAATAAAGAAATCAGCCTGTAATTACTGTTCAAATTTAGTATCTTATGAAGAAAATTAATATATCTGGATGGTGATATTAAGAGCTTTTACCAAAGATGCAGAACAGTCTCGAGTATCTGGAAACAGCCCAAGAACAGCTTCTTTCAACCATGTTTCCTGGAAACACAGCCATCATCCGAAAGATCAGACTCACTGAAACAGTGTAGAACTTCAAGACTAAAACAAGAGAGAGCATTGTGTGGAGTGCCTCCTAACCTACAATTAGACATTAGTAGCTACATGAGGATTTCAGAAATGAAAGCTGCTGACCGAAAATTCTGTTTGGTATTATTTAATTCTAGGGCTAGCAGAAATACCATTTATTTCTATTTTATCTGACATCTTGCCTAGCATATAAATTAGGATCTGGATTCGTATTACAACATAACAAAGGAATCTTAAGCTTACAGCTAGGTAAAACGGGGAAAATGAAAGGGGTGAGGAAATAGAGGACTGCTTATAAATTTCCTGTATCAATAATGATGTACTAAAAAAAATCTTGAAATCACAGAAATACCAGTTGATTGTTTGAACTTGAAACTTCTCTGGTTTCTTTCATTTGCAGTGACTTTTGTGAACTTGACCCTGAACTCAGTTCAAGCTGCCTTAGTTTTTCCACAGCTGTTGCTTCGTCACCCTGGATGATGAGTTCCACACTGCTGGTGTTTAAAAGGGGTAAAACAATACACAATGAGAGAAGAAAAGAGATCGAAAGAGAAAGCCCTACCTGCCCGAGAAGGAAATAACAAAAAGCCTCCTCAAATTTTAAATCAATGCCTTCTGCTGCTGTTAAACACTCGCATATTGAATTTGCCTTCTTAATCTACAGAGGAGACAATGGAAAAATGGATATTACCAGAACTGAAACTGAATATCACTATGAATGCAACTATATACTTAGAAGTATGGATCTATTCTAAAACTGGCTTGTCATTTTGCCCAAGTAATGCAGACACCTGTGAGGAACTATGATGGAAAAATTAGAAATTGCAAGGGAAAAGTTAAAACATGATTATAGGGCACTTAAAATTACCAGGTCAGTTTGCCTGCTTGAAAATCCAAGAGCTATGTGTGCCAAAAAAACAACATAGAAGCTATTGAAATCGATAACAATTCTTTGGCTCTGTGATTCAAGAGACTTCCTGTTCTTCCTTATAACTGCTAAATTGTCCCAAGGCAAAAGTTCCACTATTTCTGTAGCCATGAGTTTCTTAAGTGCTTGATTCAGGAAGCATGGCCAGTCTTTGACTTGGCATGAAGTTTCAACATCCAGACCCTGCCTCAGCAATTCACGCAAAGCTGCAACTGCTCCCAGTCTTCGTTCAGCATTTTCAGGCGTATGAGGCATGCCCAGAAGATCCAGTGTGCAGGCTGGAGCAAGATCTTCCAATGACTCCTCTATCTAAAATCAAAATTTGAAACCGACTTATTTGAGGCAGAAGCTATCACCCATTGGAAACAATTCAATAACAAACCACATTACCATTTGACCGATACAACTAGCATGATAACAGTTATCCTTTGCACCCTCAATACAAGCAAAACACTTTCGAGAAAGGAACTGCACAGTGGGCACAAAGATTACCTGAGACAAAAGTGTCATTTTCCCAAGAGAAATCTTGCTTCTTAAAAGACATCGAGCACGGGCAAGGGCTTCAAATCCTTGAGAAGTATTGTTCTTCTCGAAGCTATTTTTTGCAATTGCGCACTTCAAAAAAGCACCTATAATAAGAAATGGAAGTATAACAAAGCAGAGAAGAAGTGGCCCGAGGTTTTTACCTCTTCTTTATATACTTACCTCTGCATGTGCCATAGACAGAAGCAAATCATGGACAAATGGCTTCGATTCTGGATGCTGCAGGGCTCTTCGTCCAATGTCCAGCACAAGCTTCTCTTCTCCAACCTAGAGTTTCAATCAACTCAAAGTTTATCAAATTTTTAGTCACCAGACTCACCACACAGTTTCCAGTATGACAGAGACCATCGAGCAAAACCATTTTATAGAAGAAAAGGTGAAAAAGAGAACTGCATATATAAACAATAGTAGAATAGGTCAAACTTAACATTTGAACCCAGTCTTAATAAAGTGGTAAATGCACAACAAAAAGCCATATCAGGCAGCGCTTACCTCCTGAAGAAGGCATAAAGCACCAGGCAACAAGGTCCAAGGAATTTTGAGAGAAGATTTAGGGGTCTGATTGTCTTTCAAATTCCCAGCATACTCTGGCTCAAATAGAAGTTTGTCTCTCACATCCATTAAAAGATCCTGAAGAAAGAATGTATTCATTTTTCATCATAAGAAAAAGTTTAAAAAATATGCTTATATCACACAGGCTCAATCCTGAAAAAACATCAGCATCAGAAGGTAAACCAATCACAGAAGAAAAAATAAATAATTAAATAAAATAAAACCATAAAGCTAACCTGGCGAGATATAACAGTGTCTTTAGTATAACCCTCTTCGATCTCCACATTTTTCAGATGCTTCACTGACTTAACTATTTCATCTTTCTCAGCTTGATCATGAACTCCAATAATCTGAAAGCATCCAGGAGTGAGGAAATGTGGTTTAGAAAATATACCATTCCTTGATGTGGGGTGTTATGTAGCACCCATTATAACCCATGTTTACAATCAATGATTTTTAGAGCAATTAGTTCAACCTCCACCTAGACAAAAGAACCTCATCCTAATAAATTCTAGCATATCATGGGGAATAAATCAGAGAGGATTCAGGGGAATAAAGAAAGATCAATCGGTGGAGGATTAAAAAGTTATGGTTTCCTGCTGTTAAAAATTATGCACAAAGCTGCCTTGAAAATACTTAATGCATCAGCAATAACAGAATCACAACCACACAAGACACAACATACATCATATTTGGTGGGATCATATACAATATATATATATATTTTATATCAATGTTTTTATTGTATGATCAGGCGTTATCATTGCGTCAAGATGCCTTCAAGGTTAGAGACAAAGGCACACAGCCACAAGATCATGCATAAATCAATACAATTTCATAAGTGATGGTGGAAACCGTCTGTTGCATCCCACAAAGATGTTAATTGCTAATTTTTCAAGTGTCAACGATGGCATGACTACCCGCCAGGGTGAACTAAACAGACACCCACATAAAGTCTGATGACGAAAGGCAAAATCCCTTCTGCCAGAAAAACCAGCATGTCCCATTGTAAGAGTTCAATCAGCAGGCTAACTAAAAGGAAATTGAAGAGGAATACATAACAATATTGGCAGCAATTTAAGAAGCTGGTATTCAAAAATTATATAGCTTTCGCATTTTTTCATCGATAAATTCTACGTATAACTCAGAAGGTAAAAGATAATAGATCAAACCAAACCCACCGCATAACAGTTACATATCGAAATCAGAGACACCACGAAGAGTGGATGGAGAAGAGAGAAAACTGAAGATTAGGAAAACGGGGAGCTCGAATGACCTGGTAGCACGTGACCGGAATTTCGATGAATGGAACCTCAGATTGGGCATGGAAGTTTCTCCTAGAGCTTTCCTGAACGAGGTTAAGCTCGGTGGCAGCACACAATCTCCAGGGGTGGTCAATCGCAGAAACCCTAGCACCATGACCAGTGAGATAATCAGAAGACCGAAATTTGTTGTTGTTGCGGTTGATTAGACGCCTAGCATACAAGGAATCAGTGGAGTCAGTGCTACAAAGGGTCGCATTATTCACACTAGGGACCAGCGCATGAATATTTGCCATGAAACTCTCCTGGATTTGGTGCACCGCTTCATGGGTGAGCTGGGGAGGGGGGTTGAGGCAAAAAGGCGAATGGCGGCGGCATTGGCGCGACTTGCGGGGTGAAGATGGCAATTCAAGGTGCCATGGACACCGTCTGGGATGGAATGGTATGTGTGCAGTGCAGAAGCGGTGGGAGATTTGCAGGACTGGAGAAAGGAGAAGGAAGAGAGAAAAGGTAAAGCCCCGAAACAAGAAAGGAATAGAGAAGAAGAACGAGAACAGTGAACGCGATGCGAGTGCGAGTGCGAGTGCGAAAGGAAAAGGAGCTGCTTGCGTGCTTTTGGATCAAATTAAAGCAACACAATAGCAGCAAACTATCAAAATTTGTGCAGTGTCTTTATTTAGGTCTGTGTGTGTCGTTGGTTGATGGTATCAACGATCAGCCAAGACGAGATATACTAGCACTAGTACTCCATATCATAAGGAGTATAAAGCTTCCTCCCGTCTCACATAGGTGACAAATTTTATTTCCAGTCACTTGGGTAGATAATTTAGAAATTAAATAATATAATATTTTATTATTATTATTATTATTATTATTTTGATAATGTTATAGAATAAAATACGATCTATGTTTATTAAAAGAATAATTATTTTTTATTTAAAAATATTATAAAACATGTGAAAATACCTAAAAAAATTAAAATATTACTACATGTTATGGGAGATGAAGAAAGTAATAAATAAGTATTATTGTATTAATATTTTAATATAAAAATAGATAGATAAAATAAAAGACAATGTATTATAAAAATTTTATTAAATAGTTGCTGGAACTGAAAAAGAGAGATATAAATTTAACAACAAAAGAAAAAGAAAAAAAAAAAAAGCAGAGGGCATGGAGGACTAATAAATAAATATCCCCAGCCCTTTGCATTCCCCGTGCTAGTTTCTTAGCATAACTGCTCCTTTTCTCCTGTCTTCTAATCCTATTACGAATCTTCCATGTCTGTCTGTATTTGATTATGTAAGCATGCATGTATGTACGCATTCTGGAACCAATCCAAGTCTACTGTATTCGAAATATTTCTTGGAGATTCAACATATCATATCTATAAGTATATATATATATATCATGGGTGTGTATGAATGATAAAAAAATAGTGTAGTATGTGTACATATGTAATTCATGTATCTCGCTCACTCAAACTGTAATACAATACCACCACGACTCTGGCGTCCAGAGGGAGATTGGGTAGCACTGGCAAATTCCACATGGAAAAACATACAAATTCAAGACCTAATCAATCAATCAATCAATCAATCTTTGTCAACACAATCAATCAATCAAAATCTCCGTCCCTCTGTGCTAATATAAAAAATACTACTACTTACTACAGGACCACTAATTACTACAGCATCGTCATCAGCCGCCATTCATCATAACACAATGTGTGGGTGAAGACAATACTGCTCCCCCACTGCTGGCTGGCTGCTCCCGCGCCCACACGAGATGATGACGATGATGATGAGGATGAGGAGGAGGAGATACATGGCAATCACTGACTGCTATGTATAACCAACCACATTGCATGTCGTCTTGGTTTAATTTCAAGCAGCAGCCCAATCTTCATCACTTGCATCCATGTCCTACAACAGACAGGTACACAGTATAGATTGCACCAACATCAGACTGTAATGCTATATGTATATATTCAAACCTCTGAAGTGTTAGAGAACTCTTCTATGTCATCGTTGTCCTCGTCATCTTCAACCTACACAAACAAAACATGAACAAACACCAATACTGTAGCGCCTCAGAAGGAAGAGGAGGCACTCTTTAACAGATGATCCCATGTCCCTCCCCAAGGTGCAAATTCATCACATTCAACTACCAATTATATGATTCAGAGTACATATCCAAGTCCAACTCAACAACATCAGGGCAGAACAGCAGAGTAGCTAAAGGGATTCTTACCTCAGAAGTATTCTTCTCCTGCTTCAACTCCTTGTTAGCCTTCTAAAAATTAACTTTGCTATGTCAAAAATTAATATAAATAGAAATAGTAACTATTACTATAATAAACTATGTCAATTCTCAACATCTTACAAAAGGAGTTCATATATAGACTCTGCTAATTGACGGGGATTCAAAGACATTACCTTGTCCTCCACTTTCTTAAACAGCGAAGATAATGTTGTTTGAACAAGAGGCTTATCAGTACTATTACGGGGACCCTCAGCTTTCCCTGCCAAATCACATTGCTCTAAACACAGATCTCGTCCATCGTTAACCTTATTGTCATCTTCCAATGTTAGAGGCTGGGAACTTCCTGCCCGCGCATGTCTGTAAAGACAAAATGCTTTAGAAAATCAAGAACATTATGGCATGGGTAGAGAATGAATGTCAAATATCACACTGAGAGAACAAACAGGGAGAATAATACCAGCAAGTTTATGCATCCCGAATTGTTAGAAATAAGGGCATTTCCCTAATGAAACTAATAAATAGTGTCTTATTTGGAATACTTACACTTTAGTATATTAAAAATATACAATAAACTCTAATCCTCCTAAATTTAAATAATGATATATGAATTGGAATCCTAGTACACCTCTAAAGTCAAAGACGAAACAAATAATTGATTTCAGAAAAAAAAAAAAAAAAAAAAAAAAAAAAAAAAAAAAAAAAAAAAAAACCCTCTTTAACACTCCGCACACGTTGAACCCAACAAAAGCAAAACTGGTTCAACTTGCAATAAGATGTCTAACCAAGTGCAGGACAACATCTTCAAACCAGACCTACACAGCAGCTTTCTCAACCTGCTATCGCTAGAATCTCATGGCACATGTCCAAAGAGTGCAGACAGTCACAAATCAATGCAATTGTGCTATAGCAGTAATGACACAGCTGGCACCATGGAAACTTCACATGACAAAGAAGAGTGAAATCACAAAGGCTGAATTAGAAAATCAGAAAAAGCAAAAAAAAAAAAAAAAAAAAAAAAAAAAAGAAAAGAACACTGGGTCAACAGTCAGTGACCTTAACTCCGAAAGGAAATAGTGGCTAAGTGCTGCATCACATAGAAGCTGAAGTAGAAATTTAAAACAATGGGAAGAAATTGGTAAAGTTCCTCAGTGATAGTAATGCTGTCCAGATCCGTTGTTCAAGATCCGCAGAAGAATCAGGATTTATGAAGTGACAAAGAGCAAGAGTGAGAGAGCAGAGACTCCTGCTAAAAGGCAGTATAGTAGCTCTCCTCTGGCTACCAGATGGCTCAGTGTTTGGCTGGTCAACCGTCAACTACAGAAGGAAACAGTGGTGACTGGTGACCAGTGGAAATGACCTCCAATTAAGGGAGTGAAGATAATCAAATTCCAAATAGTGCAATTATAGTTACTCAAATAGAATGTACTAAAAAAATACCCTAGGCAGAGCATGGAAGACCGGCCACCTAAATACGGACAAAGTACAAAAAACAAAAAAACCCAGAAAGGAGAATACTTCAGTGTAAATCACCAAATGACCAAGCCAGATACTTTATAAATCTGCTCTAGCTACCTGCAATTAATGTTAACTGGTCCAAACAGTTAAAATCCATTCTAATTTTGCCTATTGGGAAATAGAAAAAGTACATGCCATTGTGACATTTTTAAGTTTCCACCTCCACTTCACTCTTTATTTGTTCCCAGTTTATCACCCATCAGATAGAATTAAGCACCAAAAAATTAGTATGGGATGATGAAATTAAATGTTCCATATGCGGCTCATCTAAGTGTGGAAATCTGCAGCATATAAATTTATCTCCCAAGCTACACAAACAAATCAAAAAATATCAATTGGCACCTAAAAGATCTCCTCTTAAAAATGTCATGCAAGGAAAATCAAAGGATATACTTGAAAGTTTTTCCAGAAGTCCTAGCTGAGCGGCGTGTTGGAGTTAGTTCCACATTCTCTTTGCAGCTGCTAGAATTGTCAATTGAATTGTCCTCTGAAGAAACTCCACGTGACACCTGTTCCATGCATTTCTTGGCCAATCTTCCGAAACCTTGCTTACCATCACAGCGGGACCCAACACCACCCTTGAAGTCATACCCTTCATTTTTTTCCTGGAACCAGAATACAGCATTTTGTCTCAATGTTTACTTGGAGTATGCATGATTCAACCTCTAAACCAATTTAAATTATTGTTCATTAGCTAGCAAAGGAAAAAAATTTGGCTCACCATATTCAGCTCTTTTGGAAACTGAAGCTGTAATTCTTCTGGATTATCCTCTTTTGTTCCTATCCACCAAGCATCTGAAAATACTATCTAAATTGGAAGGATGACATCAGCCACAAAACTATAACTGAAATTTTTATAATGGTGAACTCCTTAGGCACCAAGGCTTAATTTCCATTACTACGGTTTGATTAGCAAGAAGTTTCACATTGCTCAAAGTTATTCCATGTAAAACTTTAGTACTAAATCAAATAATTCAACATATAGGCATCGAAACGTTACATTAATAAGGCTTATTGATATGGAAATATGTTTGTATACAACACTTATATAACAGAAATCAGGACATTCCTATAATAGAAATGCGGTGCAAAAATAGTAGGTAAAAGGAGAAGGAGAAGGAGAGTAATAAGAAGATGCAGACCATGTTGTCAAAATAATCATCACAGGTAACATTCTTCCCACTTTTTGAAAATTGTAGAGTCAGATACTTATTCTTTGGGTAAACTATTGTCCCAAACAACTTCATTTGACCCTGCGCACATGGCAACAAATCACAACAATAATGGATGTGCTGCAAAGCTGAAAGAAGATCAAGTAACAATAGGATATCCAACAGAACAAGATTAAATAAGCAGCAAAAATTTAAAACCTGAGGAAAATCTAAGTAGAGAAGGGGGTTTTTGGAGCCGAGGTTTTTGAGGTCGCCGATTTTCCCACCAGAAATTGGCCCGAGCAGACCGGGAAAGGAAAAGAGGTATCGATTCTTCCGGTGAGATTTTCTGAGGACATCGGTGCCGTGGTGCTTGATGAGGGTCTTGGAGGGGGGGAGGGCTGCGGAAAAGGCGAGCCGCGAGGGCTTCTGAGATAAAACGTTACGGGAAAAGGCCAATCCTTTCAGCCTTGTTCTCTCATCAGCTTCCGGGTCGGCCGTGTTCGCTTCCTTCTTGCTCCCTCGAGGCATTCTCTACCCAGGCGGATCCGATTCGGATTGGGGCGTCAGCAATGGCGCCAATGCCTCAAAACACTCTCTTCCTCTTCTTCTATGCTACCGTCTCAGCCTTCCTCCTGTCTCTAATAATGTATTTAAGGGAAGTATTATTTTTCTTATACGATAATATAATAATAGAAGATAATATTTATTATTTTATATTAAATAGAATAATTTAAAAATTAAGTAATATAGAAATAAAAATATATATTTTATTTTTTATTTAAATAATGTGTATAAATAAAATGTTTAATAAAAATTAAATATAATTAACTACTTAGGAGGGACTATTAGAGAATAGGAGTCATAAGTAAATCAATCTCCGTTACACTGACACAAGGCTAAATCGGAAGAGACGCCTTTTCTCCAGTCCAGTGACAGACTGGCCGCTTTGCTTTGGGCGAGCAACTAAGCTAAATCGGAAGAGACGCGGCCCAGCCCATTGGTGATATCCTCACCTCACCTCACCTCACCCTTGTTCTCCAATCAATCTCAAGCATCGGCGTCACTTTGAGCTGCAGCATGGATAGAGTTTGGAGTTGGATTCAAAAGGTCATCCATCCATGAAATCTCCCCCTCTTCTATTTCTAGCGACGAATTAGAGAAAGAGAGCAGATTGCTGCTGGAATGACAAGCCTTAGCCTTACAAGCCTTGGCCGTTCGTTTTGCTCCTCCTCCTCCCCCTCCGCAGTCCAGAGTCTGCGGCGGCTAACACTTTCATGCTCCTGCTCTGTCTTCCCAAGTAAGGTCAGTCGGCATGTGTGTAGAGTAGACTACACTTCATCTTCTTCGTCATCGTCGCTTATCATCCAGTGCTCCAATCAAGTACTAACCTCATTCCTATGCAGTTAAAGCGGGCATACACCAGCGTGATGATAGCGCCCACTGGAGTTGGAGCGGCCATTGGCGGCTACGCCGGATATGCTTTGCCGGTGTCTCGAGCCCTCTCCTCCGTCGTTGATTGCCTAATCTCCCACCCTAACGTATGTTCTTCTAGGGTTATACATATTTATGCAGAGGGAAAATCATGAGCTTTGCCGGTGCAATTCTGTGATTTTACTTTGAAGCGGTTGCATATATGCTTTGCCTACAAAAAGGGAAGTCAGCTAAAACATGCGTGTACAATACTTGACTTAAAAAATGAAATGGGTGCAGTGGATTTGCATTGAACGTGTTTGATTATAAAGAAACAAGAAATCAAACAGCTTTGCTTTTGTTAGTTAGTTGCATCCTATCGATATCAATACTGCTTCGCATATCCTCTAATTTGGGATACTTTTTGAAGGCAAAGTATTTAGTTAAGGTCGTATAATAAAATTGGGCAATGTTTGCTTGTTGTTAACCATTGAGAAACTGCGTACACTTGACAGTTCCTAGTGCCTATATCCTATCCTTTTTGAAATGCAAGCGTTATAGGTTCTTAATGCAGCAATGCTTTACTGGCCAATGCCGAATGTGTTGTATGTTGTGGGCTATGCACTTGATAGATTTGCAGAGGGCTTTTGGGCACTGCAACCTGTTCATCAGAATAAGGTGCGTCTTCACAGTATCTTGCCCTCATAAGCATAAGGTTAACTTTATTGCTCTTCTTGGTTGGTTTCCTCTTCAAGAAAAGTATGCCAATATGATTGCACCACATGTAACGGCTAGGTTGGCTTAGTTCTTGATGCTGGGATCGAGGAAAATCTTCGTGCTCGTCATTTACAGGCGGTGGATGCGACAAGGGCTTCTCTTGGCTTGCCTGTTGTCGAATATACTGTAACAGATGCTGCCTTGCAGGTATCTTTACAATAAACTGATTGACTGTTTGATAAACATCACTTCGTGTAGGTTACTTTAGCATCACATGTAATCAATGCATTCTTTTGAGTGAGCTTTAGCTGTCGTACTCTGTCTCGGTCATGATTCATGAACACCTTGTATATTTCTAGGTAGAGATGTGGGTTGACCCGGAGAGTGGACAATCCACTGGAAGGATAGGGCATCCTGATTCCCTATTAAGGGCTGTAGGGACATTGATGGAGAGATCTGGGGTGAATGCTGTAGCAGTTGCACGTTTTCCAGAATATGACAATGATGGTATGGAAATCTATAGACAGGGAATGGTAAGAGTTATTGGCTGTCTCCCTTTGCCCGTTCGTTGCTATTCTATTAGGTTACTATACAAGATTGAAGCCTGTGCAGCTAATTTTGGCCTTAACGAGTTGACCGCAGGGAATTGATATTCTGGCAGGCGTAGAGGCAGAGATAAGCCATCTAGTGGTGAAGAATTTTGGCATCCCCTGTGCACATGCTCCTGCATTACTACCTTCTCCGCTCAGCTATACCGTGTGCCCAAAATCAGCTGCTGAAGAGTACCTTCTCCGCTCAGCTATTCCGTGTGCCCAAAATCAGCTGCTGAAGAGTACCTTCTCCGCTCAGCTTTTCCGTGTGCCCAAAATCAGCTGCTGAAGAGGTGCGTTAAGTGTAATTCTTGTCACTTGAAACATCAATCCTTTTAGTTGGCATCATGCATTTTCACTTTGTAGAAAATACCATCCTTCTTGCCAATAACTTACATGTGTGTAGTGATGTATATTATGGTTTCAAGTCACCGGCTGTGTTGGAGTCTTTGCGTCCAATTGGATCTTTGACCTCCCCCGGTCTACTCCCTCTAAGCTGCTTTCTATGTCTGTATATCTCTCTATATACATATATATATATATATATATATTCATATTGATGCAGATTGGGTATGCATTCCTGCCATGTGTGCTTGCTGTTCTCAGTACTGCCCCGCAGTACTTGAAGGTCCATAACTCCAATTCGTTAATAGGGGGCTGCATCATTGCTGATGATTTTGACAGTGTGATCCTACCCATCAATGCTTGTGGAGGAGATGCCTCTCTTGCCTTTGCCGGTAGGGAAAGGAACGGCAGGGTACGGCTATGCGTTGTCTTCCCATTTCATTTTAGAACCTCCACCAAGTTTGTACTTTTTGCAGTGTTTGGAACACAAACTGTAAAACCTCTTTGCATGCATCTCTCTATCTATTCTGACAACTGTTGGTCGTTGTTCTAGCCACTTTTAATTGCTGTAGAGGAGAATGAAACTGTTCTGAATGATACCCCCGAGAAACTTGGAATGACTCCAGTGGTACGTATTCATCGGCTGTGGTTCTTCTCTTCTGTAAATGATGCATGCATGTTACATGCCATAACAAAGCCTAATCATATATTTGTGTGTGTGCACATGCTTCTCTTCCAGAGGAAGGTATCAAATTACTGGGAGGCTATTGGAGTGTTAGCAGCTCATAAAGCAGGAATAGACCCAAACTCTGAGGAGAAACAGGATAAAGAACATAAACCATACCTCACAGCATCCCTCAAGACACTTGGCAGTTGACACGTGAATCTGTAGCTCATGCCTGAGCTGCAGTACGGCCGTTGCATGGGCTGGGCATGCGTTACAATCCCAGTGTGTTGAACCATATACATTTGATATTGGGAATTAGGCAGCAATCCACAGGCGCCTTTTTCTCCCTTCAAGTTTATACAACTTTGATGATACATGTATGCACTGCCAGATTTCAATATATAACAGTTGGAACATATGAGTAGGCAAATTCTTTTGCAGAGCATGCATTACACATCATTGTGCTAATCTATTTTATGTGGCCTTTTTACCAGAGTAGACAATTTATAGATCTTTGATTGAACACACTAAGCTCAAGCATTACATTTTCTCATGGCAAACAGGTACAAGTGCATACAATGTATCTGTGGATATTCTTGATATCATAAAACCCAGAATGTTGCCAAAAGCATAAGAGATCGACTGGCTAGGAATGGGTTGGATGACCCAACCAATATATTTCTACCTACGGTATGGGCTGTGGAGATCTTTCTCTTACCAAGCCAACTTTGCCTGCACAACAAGGAGAATTAATAATCAATGACACCTGTTGGAAAACATGTATTTTCAAGCCTTCTTTAAGCTATAAAACCTGGGAAACAACATATATATAACTTTGAACAAAAGAGAAATTAATTCACAAAATCACAAACCTCCGATCACATGATGTTGACCTTCTCACAGATAGAGTTCAGATCTGATACTTTTTTCACCCTGCCAATTTGCCAAAGAAGCATCTAGTCATAAGCTAAGGAAACCATATATTTCTGACTTCATGCCATGGTAAAGATTCCTAACAACTTGGAGGTGAAAAATATTGAAAATCTACTTTAAAATGAAGTGATTTTTAATTTCTTAACCAACTGCTAATAAAAAGTTACTCACTAGTCACCGAACTACTACCATGGTCCAAGAATATGACCCAACCAGCTGAAAGATAGCAGTGCAATGAGATTTGAGAAATGATCCAACAGTTTGAAATCCCAATTGCTGTCTAACCAAATTGCAATATAAGCAATCAAGGAGCAGAAAGCTTCTCCAGAGGCACATATATCAGGTGAATGGAAAACGATGCAAGGCTGTCACTAGAAAATGAGAAACCACATTTAACATTAAACTAAACATAATTTTTTTATAAATATATTTTATTTGTTCCCGTAATTGTAAATAAGTTCAATTGCTTCCATAGGTTCATATATTTATGTGAAGTTAAGGTTGCAATCCACTTCTTCAAGCCATCCACCTAAACAATGGTCGACCTTTCAGAAACATTCAGCAATTGAGGACTTACTTGTACAGAAGATCACCACTAGATGCCAATTTCTTAGAAAACCAATCTGGAACCAGATCCTCAAGGTGCTCCAATTGCATTTCAATCTCACCTAAGCAGAGGGGAATATGAGTATAAACTTCTCTAGGGGGATGCAATAAAAGCACTGGGTTAATAAGGAAATAAACTGTGATAAACAGAATCTGTGCTTACCCTGGCCATCAAGCTCCAGATAGTTTGTAATAACCTTCTGAATAAGTTCTTCCTTTGTAATTGGGCAGAAGTTGACAGATTGGAATATTTTGTTAATTAACAAGACAAGCTCAGATAAACAAAAAGATTTTTGTTTCTGTGAGAAAATTGTTCCTTTGCCGCTCATACTATAAAAATCCAATGATTTTTTAGCAGATGAACTTGACTGTATCCAGTTTTGACTTAAGTTTGTCTTGTTTTCATCTTCACAGCTAAGAACTGATTTGGTTGGCAAAATTGGTCTTGCTGGAGTAAACCGTACTGGTGTTTCAACAGAAAGACTATTGCACCCAACAAAAAGCTCTACAGGAGGGTTGTCATCCGAAGTCTTTGTACTGTCAACAGAAATACCAGAAAGCAACTGGGGGTTCTCTTTGGCTACATTAGTCTGCGAACTTGCAGTAAAAGAACATTTAGCAGGTGAAATAATGTTAGTCTGCTTAATACTTCCTGCAGCAGTCTTCTGATAAAAGGATTTTGTAAAATTAGGAGGGAGATGGGATGAATTTCTTGTCTCTGGTTCACTGAAAATTGATGAGTCTTCAGGGATTGAATCTCCCCGAAAAGTGATACTTCTTGGGCTGAATGGCCCTGGTAACTCAGCTTCTGGTAGCTGATCCTGCTGGTGCAAAAGTAAAAGAAATTTCAGATACATGTACGTAAGTAAAACATTCTTTACCGACCTGACCCTCGTTTATGAAGTTTGACTCCTATTTTTGTGTAGGTAATAAAAATATATAGTTGGACTTACTCAGCATTCAGGTTTCAGCTTAATAATGAATGGAGATTCAAAAGATACAGAATTTAAGACATGAACATCAAGATTTTAACTATACTAGCAGGATCATAAGAAGTTTTTCTTCCATGCACAATATAAACTAAGCCTGAATAGGAATACAATGGATGAAACAAAATCCTTCTGAATAATGATTGTTTCTGCTCCGTACTTAAAACAGAACTTAGCTCAATTTACATTTCTTTATAACTACGAATAATTAAAAAAAAAAACCTTTTGCTACAGAAATCAGAATTGAACATCCAGTGGGGGAATGCATTGGCTGTACTATCTTAATCACAACATAATTAAGTAAACCTGGGACATCACCTGAGGTTGTGTAATGTAGATATGCCTTAGCCTGGTCAAGAAAAGATTGCTAAGAGCCAGAAACACAGATTCTTCATGATGATCTTTTACAACCTCAAATTTCAGTGTGATGTTCATATCAGACTTCATGCACTTGGTAGTCTCATCATTTGTGAGAATTTTATCTATCTGAACTGCTTCAGGAAGCACGAATTTTATTTGCGCCAGGTGCATAAAGTGGAATTTTCTGAAACAAGGAGAAACAAATGAAAAGAATTCGATGCCATTCAGAGTATTAACACGTGCAATAGTAAGGCTTGAGACAACTGTGCCCGAGATTGTGTGTGTTTTGACAAGGAGAGATTCCCAAATGGTACGAAGGAGGAAAATTAAACATAAATAATGTAATCATCAATCAATGTGGCCATTGGTTCATCCAGAAAGTCTAATGGATATGATAGCAGAGTTTAAGCAAGAAAGCGTATTTTTTAGTTTTCTTTGAAAACAATATATAGAATAACAAATGGTTTTGTACCTTCCAGTCAGGATCTCAACTTGAGTGCTAATGTTCTGAAAAGACGTTGCCCGTCGACGCAGGGATAGCAACCTCAGCGAGGTAGTCATGCGATTGAAGAACTCCAGCAAGCCCATAAACCTGGAAACACACAAAGAAGAAATGTCGTCAGATTTGAGATCTTTCATGAGTTAATTTTACGACTCAAAAGACATTGCATCCTCGGGTATCCCACTCGTGTGGCAGTTGAGCTAGGTCATGTTTGTTCTTGGGGCGTGATGGTTCTTTCGTCTTGACTGGTGTGGGAGAGGAGAAGGTGTCGTCCGGATGGTCGGCGCCACCAAGTCCCTCCTTGCGAGGTGATATGGAATGCGAAGTAGCGGAACATATATCGGGCGTATTTTCAGCAGCCAATTCGGGTGGTTGTTCTTCCATGCGAAAAAGAACTGTAGATACAAAGCTGAATTACAACAAGAATAATACACGTTACCTCTCGAATTCCGCAGAAGAGGATGAAATAGGATGAGTTGATAACGTTACCTCTCGAATTCCGCAGAAGAGGAGAGGAGAACGTGGCGCGAAGGGGAACGAGAAAATGGAAGACTGAAGAGGAAGAAATGAGCTGAACCGGCGATGACGATGGCGATGGCGTTCCTAGCCTAGGGTTTAAATTCCAAAGAGGGAGCGGGGAGGGAAGTGGGTTTAAAATAAAAAATCAATAAATAGGGGGGGGGGAATAAATCAATAAAGAAGTAAGAAAGAACTAAAGATTGGGTTGGGTTGTTAGAAAGCTAAAATGGGCTCAGCGGGGCGGGTCCTGACTGGCTCCTGAGACGAGAAGAGAAGGAAGAGAAGAGAAGATTGCGCAAATTTGTCATCCATCCAATCCAATCCAATCTAATCATCCAGCATGTGTATGTGTTGGACTTGGACCAGCAAGACCAACGAAAAGCTTATGGGCTGAGGCCTGTTCTGACCGGAGCCCATCTATTCAGTCGTGTTGATTTTGATTTTGATGTCTGGAGGCCGCCCAACCGCCTTGGACCGTCCACGTGTCTCACTATCGTCATCATCGTAATATTGTACTGCTAAAGAAACTAGTAATGGGATAATCATTCATTCGTAACATCAGCCCTCGCCCTCACTCAACTCAAGTCCACTCCGCTCCGCACGCACCAATATCATTATCCGCCCTCCAATTGGACGGCGGGTGACATGTGCCATCACCTCATGCCACATCGCCCCCGGTTAGGTGGTGGGGTTGGGGATAGGGTAGGTAGGCCGACTGCCCTGTCTGTCTGTCTATTGATTTCCAGTTTAATGAGAATGCGCCGGCAATAGGCAATACTCAACGCTGATGGTTGGCCATCCCATCCCATGGCTTTGCGCGTGAAAGAGGGAAAGACAGATTAATTAGCACAAATTAAACTTGGGCGAGAGCCGAGTCTCTTAAAATGGAAGATCGTGGAATAATGGGGGTATATGCAGCAGCAGCACCATGGCATGTAGTACTAAAGTTGAAAGAGATAGGTTGATAATGATGGATGGTGTAGTGTACGAATGGTTGGGAGTTTGCACGCCTTCCTTCACTTTCGAACCCGCCTTTTAGCTTTGTGCTCTAGTCTAGTTGAATGATTGTCGACTGAGATAATTAATTGATTAATTAGGTGGACGAGTTTAGAGAGCTACACGTATGCTTAATTTGAGTGATTTGACTGACAAGGGAGGGAGGGTTGGTCACTTCACTGGGTGGTGGCGGTGGACGCATATGCTTTGGAATGATAGCTGCGGTGGGTGTTGATTGGGGATTGCTGCTCGTCTATGCTATGCTAGTCTGCTCTCGATCATGTCGTCCACTCCAGTCTACGAATCAAATAATAAAACATCCTAAGGCAACGGAATGGATTGATAAAATAGAATGAAAATTTTTAAACTAGTACTAGCTAGATAGAGTATTCACTGCAGTACCGCCCTTTTCCCTTTTCTGGAATGAATAGAAGAATACGAATGAATGGGTGACTGCGAGCGAAAACGAAGAAAAAGGCCATGATGGAGACTGATACGTGGCTAGCTGTGAAAGTCATCCGCAGCATTCGTTCATACATTCAGCAGCAGCAGCAGCAGGGCAGTACATCACATCACATCACATGATCGATCCAAAGATCACTCGCTCTACCAGTCTACCTATAATTCATTCATACGTGTACTCTTTGACCTTTCCTCTTAAGGCAGGCAGGCAGGCAGGCGGGCGTTAGGCGTAAGCGCAAGCGCGTACCACAAAACAAAACCAAACTAAACAGTAACACAATCAAGAGAATCCCTTCTCCATTATACACCAACCCTTTCCTCCCTCTCCTTCCTCTATACTTCATTCCATTTGGATTCCAGACTTCTCCAAGAAATCCACACGCAATACGCCCATTCCTCTTACAAACGGCTATCATCCTCTTTCGTCCACACCCCCCTCCCCCCGCCCCAAAAAAAAAAAAAATTAATCTACTATTATTTTTCTTTCTCCATGGCGTAATTCCTTGCTCCATGGAATTGCTCACCTCTGCTTCCCACCAGGTATGATATTATTATCACTACTAGGTTTACTCAGGTAAGTTTCTCTACTCTTTTAGAGTTTGTTAGCAGGGAAGGAAAGAGGTTTTTTTTTCTTCTCTCTTTGTCCTTTGCCTTTTTGTTTAGAATTACAAATGGGTTTGGTTGTACTGATTGCTAGATTGCTGAATTATGGTTTATGATCTTGCTTTACTCCTAATGCACCCGAATGCTTCTCTCGTGAGTGAAATAACGGAAAGCAGGAGTCGTTTTGCCAATAAGAGTTGTGAAAGGAAACAGTAGCTCACATTAATGAAAAATGCTTTAAAGTGTGGCTTACGTTGCAAAAGTTGGCACTTGGCACGAGAGAGTTGGCATTTGTCACACCCTTCTTGTGACCTCGATGCCATCAAGTTGTCCTTTTTTCTTTCATTTTGTGTACCTTTTCTTTTCAAAGTCTGTTCATTTAGCACTTCAATTTTGTGACATTTTCATGCAGAAAGTTTCGGAGGAAGCAACCGGCCAGCTATATATCTTCTGATCCTGAGACGATCATATACACCTCTCTCTCAGTTATACAAGTTTGACATTATCTGTTGATGCCGGTGGGTAGCCAACTGCTTTGTTGAATCCATTTATTGAGCTTGACATCATAGTATCTAACTTCGCCAATTTTTTTATGTATTCTCGAGAGTGCTTCTTCTTCTCCTTTCCGTTTTCTTGTTAAATTATTCGTGTATCAAACGTGTTTGTACTAGAAACTATACGTCTATACCCAAATGATTATGCTAATCAACTAGTGTCTTGCTGCTCTTTGATTGCTCTGGTGTTTACTGTGGTCAACCTTCCAACTCTCAAATACATGGGATTTGTTTTGCTGGCAGACTAGGGAAATCTTAGGAAATGGGATGCATTATATCGACACCTAATGACTCTGGTGGTAACAGAAGGTGGCCAGCAAACATTGGGGATGTCTCTGTATTTGTTCCAGGTTTACGTGTACCTAAGCCAGTCGATTTCTCCCAGTCATTGGGTGATCACCTATGTAAGAGCTTAGTAGAACGCCTTTCTGCTCTAAGAACAAGAATAGTTGTTATGGCTGGCCAGGAAGCTCCAACAATCACAAGAACAAGGCGAAAAACTGCCACTCAACATGGTTAGTATACTGGATACCTACACATTATGGATCCCTATGACTGTCTTGAAATTAATTGTAGCTGATTCTGGCAGGAGGATCCACTCTTGCTGATCTTCTACAGGCTCTGGAAGATTATTTGCCAGTTCTTTTGGGATTGGTTAAAGATGGTAACCATTTTGAATGTTATTATGCTAGCCAAACTAGACTGATGTCAGATTATTGTGTGACATTCCTTCGCACTGTGCAGGGAGTCCTTTGCAACACAGAGTACATTTTGTGTGGGTCAATCAGGAGGACGAAGAAGAGGTCAATTTGCTTCCCAAGCACACCAATCTTTATTTGTCACCTTATAATATGTGAACTGTTTATCTCATTTCCTCATTATATCTTTAGGAAACAGCAATATATAGTTCTTGGTACGAAGTGTTATCTGTTTTGCACTTGATGGCGATGCTATCATTATCGCAAGCTAATTTATTACTTCTTCCGAGAACATCCCTTGATGGTTATCAGCCGAAGGTTTCAGAAGGTAGGTAAGCTAGGTTATATGTCCAGTATCTTATCCAGTTATTTGTCTGAATGGTACTGGTGATTTTGTGCAAGTTATCTGTAGAGCTCTAATTAAGTTTGATTCTTTGAAGTTTGAACATCTAAAGAAATTTCTGCAGGGACAAAGTCGCTTCAGAGGTGAAGTGATGTGATTACTGACATAATTTCCTCACAAAACAATAGTGTTCGTGCTCAAACTTTTTTCTGCTATAGCTTGTGAACAGTTGATATTATGGCCTTTCTGACCCAGATCAAACAGCCATTCGTTAAGTGAACTCTATGATGGAAAGGGAGAACAAATGTTCATCTCAGGATGTTTATCTTCTAGATTTTAATAATATTCCCCAGAGTAAAGGCAGGCAGTTATCATCTTATTCATGCTGGAAATTTTATCAAGCTCCATAACAACTAGCCTTTATGGGAAATTAAGGCATCCGTAGGAGTAGGACTTACCATATAGTTGAGACAAAAACTTAAAAGTAACATAAGACCAGAGATGACATGCAGATCATAAATCAATGGGCCTGGACCTAGGAAGTATATTTAAAACTGATTCTTATCAGGCTGGTAGCTTAACATGTTTGAGCGACAAAGTATGATTAATGATATATGCATTACAAAACCTTTGGCAATCCTGTCATGTACTTTTAACTTCATGGCTACATTTAATCTACCAAAAAAGGGACATAATCGCATGGTGGTGTTTTGTCTCTGCCATGAAGTTAAGGCAAAGAATACACCATAGCTTTCATGATGATCTTCATAATTTTCTCTTGAGTATTTGTGAACTGCGTACTTCTGATATTAACTTCTCTCACATCTGTGCCTTTTTTTTCTTCATGTTTTCAATAGAGAGCAGGAGAACTTCTGTTGATATCTTTTTAAAAGCTGCAGGCTACCTTGACTGTGCTGTCCGTCAAGTTCTTCCACAGTTACCCAATGAACTGAGGTGTATTTAAAAGATGGTTTTGATTATCATTAGAATCGTTTCCAATAGCCATTAATTACTAAATAATCATTTTTTACTTCAGGAGAAATCTTCCAGTGGACCTCACTGAAGGAGTTCTTCGTGCACTTTGCCTACAAGCACTAGGACAGGTAATGGGGTTGTTTAGTTAGTGACCTTTTCTACTGTGTTTCCACTTTTGTACCCACATGCAGCTCAATTAGATGTCTTTGAGACTTATCTCTAGCTGTTGTGGGTGTTGCTTTCGCGGTTGGTCGAAGTAGATTTCTTTCATGCAGATTATAAAGCTGCATGATCGAACATTGACATACATGAACTTGAGAATGGGAATTGATGTGATTAAATCATTCTGTACATATGTATTTCTCATGAAATAAATAATTATCTGAAGAGGGGCATTTCCCCTTCTTTATTTCAAAATTTATTAATGCCATTAACTTAAACAAATGGTCTTACCTCCTTCACAAAAATCCCTACACCTTCTCATTGCCATTATCTTTAATCTCGTTTTCGGAGCGGCACTAAATGCTGGTGATTTTTAACCTAGGTTATGTTGATTTTCTCTGAAATTAACATTTTACTCTTGAATAGGCTGTTGATATTCAGCTTGGACTTGCTATTGATGGTACCAAGGCAACCCTTGCTGTGAAAAGAAGACTTTCTTGTGAGATGGTAAAATACTGGCAACAGGTATTGTCAGACATTGATCTCTTTTCCTCCTGAGATGATCAAATAAAAAAATATATATATATTTTATATAATGGTTTGGGATATGGGGGTTTTCTGTTTCGTGACCATTTTGTCATTCTGTTGATACCTGTAACTTTAGGGTGGGCAGTACGTCTGCACATATTTACATTATACTGAAATTGGAACTTCTGTGAGAGCACAAGTTTGTCAGATTTTTTTTTTTCCCTTAGGTTTTATAAGCTAGTTTACTTTAAAGCTAATCTGTGCATTACTTGTATCCACAAATTGTTTGTCACGTATGAGCAAGTGTCTTTCACTTTGAATATTATGGAAGAGTTTGATTGCTTCTGTTTCATTGAACTGTAGGCCCAAGATAACATCATGAACCTTCCACTAGCAAATGGGTGGGGAGAAAAGCATAGACTCTTTGTTAAGTGGAAATACATTGAAGCTAAGGTACCTTCTTGTGGTCCTTTCGAATAAATATTCTCTTTCAGTTTTATTGGAAGATATCTAAATAATCCCAGTGCCTAGTGGAAATCGGGCTGATGGGCATTGATGAGCCTTATCCTCTGTTCTTATGCCTTTGATATGGAGGAGCTCACAAAGTGCTTGCTCCAGTTGCTGGAGTTTCATATTTTTTACAATTACACGGGTTTCCTTTAACTCATCTATGTCCTTTTTCTTCTCTTTTTTTGGTGGGCTACCATCTTTGTTCTTGAAATCATCACAAAGCCTTTGCATTGGTGAAATTTTATTAGGAAGAAGAGTGTAAATGCCAGGTTAGGTTATTGTATAATATGAAGGTTTCTGGTAAGATGAAAAAGTCTTTGAATAATAATTCTGTAGCAGGGTAGGAGTCCTTTAGGTTAGATTTCTATGCTTAGTAAAATCTTTTTAGACATCTTTCCTTATAAATATTAGGTAATAGGATTTAGGATATCATAATAATGCAAATGTCCATTTTGGCCATTTGTCTCGGGACATGAAAATATTCTTATAGGACACTGAAATTTTTTATGTTTTTAACTGTAGTTTTTTTTTTCTAATTTATTCAGATTCAAATACTTCTTTGTATCAAAATTACAAATAAATAAATTAAAAAAAAAAAAAAAATCACATGAAGTTGCTAGGAGTATAAATATCTAGTGATGCATACCATTAAATGCCAACATCTGTTGTCCCGTAGTTTCCAACACCAAAATTCTCTTTTAAGCGTTGACGTGTACAACTTTGTTCTACTTGAGCATTGCTTGATGGAACTTTTCATTTGCCTCTGATGTGAGATTTTGACATTATCCTAGGCTGCAGCATACTACTATCATGGTCTAATTCTTGATGAAGGGAATACTGAGAAGTCTCATGGAATGGCAGTTGCTGCTCTGCAAGCAGCCGATGAATATCTAAAAGAGAGCAAGAAGGCATGTGAAGCTTTCAATGCATGTGTTCCTTTGTCCAGGTAATCTTTTTTACCCTTTCGATCTCCTCCATAATTTACAAAGGGATATTATAGATTGTGCTGTAATGAGGTAAATGTCACATATTATGCTCGCAAGTAACCATGCGATATTTAGAATCATGGACACTGGATGCCTAAGGAGATTAAGGAGAAAGACAAGAATAAGCTCGTTTCCAAGAACTAAGCACTTAGCTGGGGAAACTTAAATTTATATATGTACTTAAGATGGACCCCTTCAAGTGCTATGCTGTTTACAATTTTTCTGGCTTGATTTTTACATGGAATAACTGTGGCATTTGTTATTAGGTTGTAGAGAGAAATCCAAGACTAGGGTTGCATACTAACATCTAAATTCATTTACTTGCCGTATGGTACAATTTTATTTTTTTTTTGTTTTTCCCCATCAGTTTGACGCTTGGAAGGTATATGGTATGAAATCATGAAGCAGGTTTTTTTCCTTTTTGGGTGCTCAATACTGACCACTCAGCAAATAATATTTGTGATGCAGAAATCCTCCTCTCTGGGGAACCATGAAATATTTGTCTGAAAAGATACCCAAGGATACTGCCAGCAAGGTTCGAATCAATAGGGATCTATACTCTCATGAAAAGTAAGCCTTAATAACAACTCATCCTCTGGTTGATAGCACAGTTTTATGTGGCAGGAAAGCGGCGATCTGAATTCTGATGTTTGGTCTTATAATTTAGTTTAATTGAGGTTATTAGAATAGCTAAAAGCCCACAGCTTTCTCTTCCTGATTCTTGATTGCTTAATTAGCTGGTGGGAACATATAATCTATCCCATGTTTTGGATGAACATAATGATGGGTCACAGGCAGGCCAGGCGCTTATATTCTTGCAGCACTGGTCTGGCATAAATGCCACAAATTGCATAGCATTCATTGCATGATGTGATTATATGGTTTTGATTTGTGCCTTCATATATATACATTTATGGAAAATTTGTTATCCGCATAACACAAATGAAATTTGAATGCAGAATTATGGAGACAGCACCGACATTGCCAGACTTCGCCTTGGCCCTCAAACCTGATGAATATCAGCTTCCTCTTGTTGATATCTCTTGGAATGATGACAAGAGTGGAGTATAGCTATGCCTTCATTCCAAATTATCCAAAATAGGAAAAAGCAAAATGAAGAGAGAGAGAGAGGGAAAGGAAAAAGCACCAGAGCAATTTCTTTTGAAGAACCTGAATGGTTGCCTGAGTACTTGTCGATGTGAGTACAGGCTTCCTGGGTCCTGGCTCCTAGGCTAGCTCCATTATTTCTTGCACCTGCTGCAAAGCAAGCGTTTAGCTCCATTATTCATATGCATGAGATATAGAGATGGTCACCTTGTAAAAAATACGCCTTTGCCTCTTTTAATATCAACGCTTTGGGGAATGTGTTATTATTCCTTTTGTAATTGCTGCGGTTGAGGACTAGTTCTGCTTCTGCCTCTACCATTCCTCAGGCAGATAGATATTTGACATTAAACTACTGATCAATGAGTCAAACTCTCCATGCATGGATAATGTTTTTCTGTTAGTCATAACACGTGTTGTAGCCTGTATGTATCCATAGAAGACAATGATCGAGTGAAACTGTTTGGTTACTTTCCTATTTTGAGTTTACTATGAGTTTGTGATTTTTCATAAATATTACTCCTAAATGATGCCATGATCATTATAGACACAAAAATTTAGAAGGATTATGATTAATAAATAAATAAAAATATATTACTAATTACAATATAATATAAATAATTATATATTAAAATTAAAATAAGTAATTAGTATAATTAAAATTTATAAATTAGAAATTTTAAAATACTATTAAGATGTAATTTTTAAAAAATAGAATGAGATATGAGATGTATATTAATACAATATATATACTATATACTTTATCTACTTAAAAAAAAAAACTCAACTATTGAGCACAAGATATTATTTATATTATCAACACACATCATTTAAAAACACAAAGTAAACAAATCATAATATTTTCAATAATTATTTTTTTTCAGAATATATTTTTGGGACAATTTCAATTAAATCTCTTTTACCAAAGTCAAATTACTTCTAACTTTTCATCCTAAATGTTTTTTTTTTTTTCAATAACTTTTCATTTATGATTATAATTCATTTATATAAGATGCCGCACATTTATTTTTTTTAAAAAAAATTGATTAAAAGTTCAAATTTGCATTTGAGTCACCAAATGCAAATTTGAACTTTTATTTACCAAATAAACACTCCTCAAAAACTCACAAAAATTCATATTTATTTTTCAGTTCATCGTTCTTCATCGAGTCACTGCAGTCCTAAAATTCATTTTCAATTTTATTCATCTTCGTCAGTCACGAGTGGAATCCGGCCCTCCTCCACGGTGCAAAGGCCTAGATTCAATAGCGAGTGGAAGATGGGTTCATCATTTTCAATTTATTTTTTTCATTTCTGTAGTAGGTTCGCTCCTAAATAGCTTAAGACCAATCTCATTATTTTTTATGGTTTTGTATATATATAGACAATGAGTGTTGTTTCTTGAATGAATGTTAGAAATGTATGGGGTGTTTTTTTATTACATAATGACATTCATATTTACAACGAATGAGTTCACTGAACGTCTTTGTGGGTGGAGAAGTGTTATTTAAATTTCATAAACGAATGAATATCCAGGTTTAAGAGAAGTGTACAATAAACACAATCCTATGTAAAATAGATTATAGAATATACTTAAAATAGAATATTGTTGATTAATATAGATTTGATATTTGCGTAGAAATATTTGCAACAACGGATATGTTGACCTCCATTGAAATGATATATTCTTGTACAATCTAACTATTAGCTTTCAATTTTAACTAATTGGTGAAATTGAATACGTTGGTCCTTTATAACGAATATATGAACGAATAGATAATTCAAATTTTAATTGTCACGGTTTGATAGATTTTGCTGATGGTTTTCATATACTCCACATGCAGAAGTAGGAGTCCTGTAAATACATATTGTAAATACGTATACAAAAGAAAATAATAATAATAATAATAATAATAATAATGGCAGTAGGATTATGGATGGTCTGAATATAAACCAAACGGCCCAAAAGTCGGGCACAGAGATCGAACGTGATAAGGTCGGGCACGGAGGTCAAACATAATATGGTCGGGCACGGAGAATGCACGTGATAAGGTCGGGCACGGAGGTCGGACATGATAAGGTCGGGCACTGAGGTCGGACATGATGAGATGACAGACGCGGAGGTCGGTCAGGACGAAGGTCAGGCGAAGAAAGATGAGATGGCAGACGCGGAGGTCGGTCAGGATAAAGTCGGGCGAAGAAAGATGGGATGGGAGACACGGAGGTCGGACATAGAGGTCGGACGAAGGAGGGAAAACAATATGCACTCAGGTCGGGTGGCATATAGGTCGGGCAAAAGGAAGACGGGCGAAGAAAGGTCTGTTAATTAGTCGCTTAACTAAACCACCTGTTAGTTGCCTGATCAATTTGCCGGTCACTTGGTCAAACAGTAGTTCAGTCGCTTGAAAGGGTGGTCAGTTGGTCGCTTGATTGGGCGACCAATGAATCGTCTGGATGAATGGTTTTTCAGCCGATTAAAGGGACTGGATGGTGGTCGCTTGATTGGGCAACCTCGTTTGGTTTAGCGACCAGTTAGTATCTGGATTAGTCGGTTGGCCTGCGGTCCGTCTAAGAAGTCAGTGGTTATTTTGGGCGGCTGAGTAGCTGGTCGGGCCAGCCACCCATTTAAGACGGTAAGGTTTTCAGAGGCGGTCGGCCGAGCCATTTGAGTGTTGTAACTAGCGCGAGCAGTTGATGAGTCGGTTAACACACGTGTCAACAGAGGAGGACTTGGTAGGCGGTTGACAGCGGTTGCTGTAACCGATCAGACGGAGGTTCAAACCGTTTTTTTAAAGGGTTATTTAAGGATTCGGGTCTGAAAAATCATCTTCAATCGACATTAAATTCAAGAGAATTGCTTTTGGGATCACCACTTTATTTTTTCAGTTCTATATTTTAATTTCCTATTTTATTCATGTATCCTGCTCTTATCAAATTGTTTAATCTTTATTATAGTACTTTTTTTTTTTTTTAGTTCACGAATTCACGAATTGTAGAAAATATTGCTGCTTTCTACCAAGTATTTTTCAATGTCAAAATAAAAAAATTGATTGTCAAAAAATTATTATGAAAATTTCTCACACATATCCTATGATCCATCTTTGCAAACCTCTAATCTAAATCATGAACTAAATATTTCTACTTATAAAAAATAAAGCACACTTTATGGTTGACTTTTATGCCCAAATCTTTTTTTTTATTATTTTATTTATAGAAGAGACAAAAATCAAGGCCAAGTCTTCATGGTGTTGGATACTACAACAAAGCCTATTAGGAAAACACATTTGTTAGGATAAATTTCAACATATGTAAAAATAATGTCTCCATATGATGTCATCCCATGGCATCTGTCAACTCCAACAAATAGCTTACATTCTATACAAAAACTTATTTTCAAAGAATCAAGACAAATGTACATTCATATATATAAATCTTAATCTTTCTTAAGTCTCAAAATAATTGTTGAGCATAAATTAGACTGTCTAAGTGCGTTTACATAATTTCATAAACTGATTGTACCGATGAAATGAGATCCCCTCCAACTACTTTAAAGCTCTTCTTCTGGCTTTATAAGTTATATCCTTGAATATATTAACCTTCAGTTTATTTATAATATCAATCTAAAATACCTTAATATTTCGTTTGAATTGGATTTGAATAACCTATCATATTTCTTGCTCAATCATTTAGTCTATATTTGCCGCATTGATTTTTTTTTTTTTTTTTTTTCTCACATGTATGCTAACTATAACAGAGGCTGGTCTGAAATGTCCTTTGGTCACTCAAAACTTGCATTTATCCTTCTTACATACAATATAACATCTTACCTTATCCATCTTTGAAAATCTAATTGGTATTTTATTTACTACTACATAAGAGTTCACTACATCTTTCAACTAAGATATACTATTGAATAATATCCCGAACTCAAAATATGGCGAAAACAAATCAAATTCGTAAAAATTGCTAAATTTATTTTTCATAGCGCCCTCCTCATCCGACTTTACCAACTTTCCAAAATCTCAACCAAAATTTGACAAATATTCTTCCCCACAATCTATTTCACTTAGATTTAAGTCATCTTAAATCCCCACCGTGTTGTCCTATTTATACTCAATGTTTTTCTTACCTTTGCTAGTGTTTTCATTAATATTCATATGCGAAGAGAAATTCTCAGGATCATCTACATTCAAGTTGAGAATACATTTCTCACAATCTACTCTTAAACTAATCTTTTCCATCTCATCAAAGCTATCTGCATGCCCTCCTGCCTTATTAATTGAGTCATATCCCGAAAATAATAAATTATGATCACCAGAACTTTAACTTCCCCACAGATTCAATATCTGCCTCAAAAATTGTTTCTCAATGTCATCTACCCAATATTTTCCAAGAAAAAATATGATGTTATCATTAAGCCCTATCCACATTGTAACCGTCATATACCGATATAACACATTTAAGAGCACTATCTTTATAAAAAAAAATGCATTTTCCAACTTATTCTCAAAACTACAAATATTGGCATGCGATTGTAGCATCATTAAGTTAACAGAACTTGTCATAATTCTCTCAAAAGTTATTATATACCCACACATTTATAGAGCTTGAAAATTTTTACCTTTATGGTAGAGATTTATCGAGACTATTTCGGATTGAGAATTACCTACGTCTCATTCTTCAATTAGGATACAAGAAAAAAAAAAGAACAAATATAAACTCTTTAGATATTTATAAGATAATAGTCACGGATATTGTTAACTGCAAACATACAAACTTTTTAGCTACTTAAAATTTTGATTAAACACACCAAAGATGATAACCATTGCAAAACGAAACCGAACTCATCATCGACTAGACAACTTTTTTATTTTTAAGAAATAGTAACCATGTAAAATGTTTGATACAAGCACACAAACTTGTTCTGTATTAAAAAAAATCGATCAAAATACAAGAATACTATAATTTGTAAACAGTTTCAACTATATTTGAACAAACAACAAAAACAAATTCAACTCTAATCAAAGTTACTTACATGAAAGAGAAGTAGACATATGGTTTACAGTTGCTTCACTGGTCGCTCGCTCGTGTTGAAGATTAAATAATCAGATCGGATATTAGGGTTCGATGAAAAATGATTTTTTTTTTTAATTATTATTATTATAAGTGGTTGGGGGAGAAATTAAGGTAAATATATGTGATTTTTGCTGAATTTTATTTTATTTTATTTTTATTTTTAAATATACATATAGACTCCTACATATTGTCAACTTAATTTTGTATGTTACGATGTTATGTTAGCCATTCCAGTTTTGGATAATTACTTATATGCACTCTGGGTAAATTCACGATCGAACTTAATATTTTACAAATTTAGTCTGATAAATCACACTATACGAATACAAACTACGTGTAATGAGTAAAATCTGCAGGTGTCGGGTTTGAACTCATAATTTATGGTCATAATATGAAATTTTGGATGTAATTTTTAAATTTTAGAATGGTAAAATAAGTTTTTAGGTACTAAAAAATATTTTTAATGTTTCATTTAATACACGCATACATCCAAAATTCGAATCCGAAGCACAAACCATTGTAAGAAGGAGAGACTCGATAAGAAAGAAAATAAAATAAAATAGTGTTTTCTTAGTTAAAAAAAAAAAAAAAAAGAAAAAGAAAAAAGTAACACAATATCTTAAGCCCATTGGATCGGGAAAACGAGTCATCACTGACCCTGCCCAGTAGACGCTTTAAAAATTGGGCCTTTTTTTACCCTGTCTTCTGGCGTTGTTGTGATCCCTTTCAATCAAGCCCTAGCTCTAGTTCCAGCTTCCAGATCTACCACTTCCGACGACTGGAATTTATTAAACGGAGTCTTGCGGCAGGCAATGGCCGGAAGGGAGGTTCGAGAATACACAAACCTTAGCGATCCAAAAGGTGTTTGCCCTTGTCCCCCTCAATTTTATTTTCTGATCCTTATGCCCCTGCCCTGGTGGCTGAATTCGCGACTTCTGTATACTTAATTGACGCAGATAAAAAGTTGGGGAAGGGGAAGGATAGAATAGATGACGAAGAGGTTACTTTTCAGCGGATGGTTGCCAAGGTTAGCGAATTCTGCTTCTCCGTCCGTTATCTTTTGTTTTTAAGTGACCAATGCGCCTCTGCGCATGCCCTCCCTCTTTCTCTCTGCAAACACTACTTTCTTCGGTATATAGCAACCTAGAACCACGAGGGCACGATCGAAGAAACTTTCTGGGATGGGATCATTTTTGATCTACTTCATTATATTAGGCTTATGTCTCCGTTTCATGTTTATCTGATTGAACTCTTTCGGTGCAATCCTGAGATTCTTATGACCTTCGCTTACAAAATTTCCTCTTCGAGTCGTGAAGCATCTCCAGTTGCACACTATATGAGCATCGGCTTGGAGCTTGCCAATATCTGTCCGGCAACATGTTTATTTATTTATCAGAAACAAGTTTCATATAATTTTAGTCCTAGCTACTGTTTTGTTCAATATTTACAGTTTGTTGGGCGTCCGGATTTTGGGCTTGAATTTTAAAGAGACTTTTGAATGGAACAGTTTGATGTGATATAAACAAAATAAAAAATAAGTATTTTATTTGATATTTTTGGAAAATAAAAGAAGTTATTTTAGAAAGTAGAAATCCTGGAAATTCATTCAAACAGACACGCCCTTACTCAACCTTATCAATCTATTCGTTGCCTTTTCATTTTACGGGCATGTTCTAACATGCATCTGAAATGCTACTCCAATCAACTTCTTGTGTAGCTGATTATGGTCGCGTACTCAAACATGGATCACACTATTTATCTAGAATGACTATCATGTATCATCTCCCTTCATGCCGATATTTGTTGATGTATGTCCCAGAATGGTGTTGTTGATAATGCCTCATTGAAGTTACAACTTCAGTTATATTCTCTAGCACTAAATGCATTTTCAATTAGCCGGGGTTAGATGACGATGCTGCTGGTAGAGACCAATAGATAATCCTGCACTTGTTGAGCTGGAAGAATTGTCTCTGTAATATTAAGCCTGGAAAATAATTGATTGAGTAGTTGGTTTAAATGAGATGGAAAGGCTTTGTCCTAAAAGCATGCTTTATATGAAAACTCAACACTTCTGTCACAGCATTTGCAGTTTGAAACTTTACCTTTTAGTTGTATGAAACATCTAATTTGAAGTTCTGGTAAGTTTCTGATAACATGCCCTGGCAGGGATCATGGCTTTGTGCACTGGGGGACCTGATGTGTACAGATGCAAGAGGTAGCTGGAGAGCGCGGAGGCTACCTTCATGGTCGAGGAGGTATGGCTATCTGGGTTCTTTGTTTTATATGAAGTTTGATTCTCATATGTTTGCCCTGCTTGAGTGCATGGAATTCGAAACATTGGAATTATGTATGATTTGAGCATTTGCGAAGTGTAAATATGCAGCACTCGACAGCGATGATTTACTTTATCTCAAGGAGCAGATGGAGGCTGAAGAAGATGCAGAGCGTCTTCTACGTAGAACAGAAAAGCGAGCCTTTGCTGCATTTAAAATATCCTTCTACTTGTTGCATTAAATGATCAGATTAGAGGATAACTTGGCACATCATTGAGGAAAGGAGCAAAGTTGATCCTTGTTATATTTCACCCAAGGTGCTAGGAATTTCTGTCTATTTGAATTAACTGCGCATGCTTCTGTTCATTTTAATTTTTTTGTAAAGTAAAGAAATTATATTCATGTAAATAGCCTAGAATATAAAAAAAGTTTAGGAAGCGGTAGGTAGTTGAACATCAATGTAGTTTGTCATTTTAGTTTTCTCGCATGGTAATTAAATGATGATGATTTCTAATGTGTTTGCGCAACATTAGGAACTCTCAAAATTTTCTGACCTATCCAATGGATGTGACAAATGCTATTTATCCATATATATCATATATGAATACATAGTCTAGCCTGGCTCTCCTGGGCCAGAAGAGAAATGTGTGGGAGATATTGTTGTTTATCTTGTTATGATGCTGCATTCTGTTTATCCCTGTGCCCTTAATCACTAAACACAAGGCTGTGGCTGAAAAAAAATATATGACTACATATCTAGCCTGGCTCTCCTGGGCCAGAAGAGAAATGTGTGGGAGATATTTTAGTTTATCTTGTTATGATGCTGCATTATGTTTATCCCTGTACCCTTAATCACTAAACACAAGGCTGTGGCTGAAACTTCCCCGGCATCAGTCCCCCTGCCACTACGTGTGGAGCCAAAAACCAAGAGCGGAATAAGGTCTCACATGGATCACTTTCACCTTGTTTATGTTTCTGTTTCTTGAGTCCTAATGTTAGTTGCTTCTGCACCTGATTGCAAATGATTCTGCCATCCACAGGCAACAGGACTTGTTGAAGCGTGTGGTTGAAGTCAAACCAAAGCGTCAGAGAGTTTCAAGCCCGTCCTTGGATGCAGATGGATCTTCCTCTACGACTTGGAGTGAACAGCCACAGTCACCTAAAACGCATCAAACTATATCTAAAGTTGATCACGCAGAGAAAGATCAGCCTTCTGCAGGCAAAGTGGGAGGGGAGGGAAAGCTGGATAACCCGGTTAAAAGTTTGTTAGTAGCGTACGAAAGTTCTGAGGGTGAAGATTGATTGATGATTGCAGAATGTAACCATGTTTTCTTTCGCAGCTTGTCATCTACTTGATACTCGCTCCCCCGTCTGTCTTCCCATTCGATATTTCTGTCTACTAGGTGAAAAGGTTACCCACATTACAGGTGATAAGATTGGTGGTGGCTTTAAAAACTGTAGTGTAGGCAAGGCAAGGCAAGACTGGCTTGCCTGCTTACAGGTGCCGCCTGGTCCAAATTAAATGTTACAGCGTATATCCCAATGGGATTTTAGTTTAAGCAAAAGTGGCGGGAGCCATGTTGTACGAGCTCGTTGACGTGGTTCGCTCGTTTAGTTGCAGAAGCAGGTTTGGTCAGAAGCTTGGCAATTAATTAGATAAAGCACAATCTTAAATGGCAGGATTTTTTTTTACAATTTGATTCTCACTCTATGCAATGGGGTCAAAGGAAACTGGATATGCATTGCCATTCCATGTCTAAAGAAGACAAAACAAGCTGGAAAGTTCTCAGGCAGCACCGAGACCGAGGCCGATGGCTGCACAGGCATACGCATACATGCACGGATATGTACATAAGAATTTTAATAGTATGAAAATATGTAAATGTATGTACCAAAATAAAAAAGAATAATAATAATAAAAATTGAATATGATGACGCTGATGATGATGATGATAAAGACGGTGATGTTAAACCATAGAATGAATACATGCAGCAGCAGCTGCTGCAGCGTACGTAAGATGCGCTTGGAGGGAGGGCCAGCGCATGGAGTACGTGTCATAATACCTGCGATTCATCTCCCAAGTGTCCACATATCTTCTAGCTCACGACCTCGGATTTAAGCACCCTCCCCTCACCTAGTTTTCATTCTCCACCCGTGCTTCTTTCCCTTTCCTTTCCTGTCACCCCCTAAAACAGCTCTTCTGCATCCCCTCCCCTCCCATCCAAAAGTTTAGGTTGGGGTTGGTTTCTGATCGTCGGCGTTCAGTTCTGCAGATTACATGCGCATTGGAGGCCTGTTTTAGTCTGTCATCGAATTGGTTCCAGGTTTGCTAGCACACAAAGATATCTACAGCTTCAGCTGATAGGTCTGTTTGTCGAATTATATATATATATTTTAATTAAAGACACTACTTAGTTAGCAACAAGCTCAGCAGCAAGATACATAAGAACGAACTGAGGTAGCAAGCAGCACGATCGGGCGATCGAGATGCCTCGCATGTACGCATTCGGGAGGGCAGAAGAAGCCACTCATCCGGACTCCGTTAAGGCCACCCTGTCTGAATTCTTCTCCACTTTGATCTTCGTCTTTGCAGGAGAGGGATCCATCCTCGCTCTTGGTACGTACGTACGTACATATATATATATATATCACACGCGCACTATTCCATCTCTCTCTATTTCCTTTGTGATGCATGTGGTGCAGCTAGCTAGCATTACTGATCTGAAAACCGCGATAATGCTTGTGTTGTGTGTTTGGATTTGGTTTGGGCAGATAAGATTTACAAGGATACGGGCGTGGGTGCATCAGGGCAGGTGGTGATCGCGCTTGCCCACGCACTATCGCTGTTCGCAGCAGTGGCGTCCAGCATGAATGTGTCGGGCGGCCACGTCAACCCTGCAGTGACCTTCGGTGCGCTTGTCGGTGGGAGGGTGTCCCTGCTCCGCGCTGTCTTCTACTGGATCGCTCAGCTCCTGGGGGCTGTTGTGGCTTCCCTCCTCTTGAGACTCGCTACGAATGGCAGGCCCGTCGGGTTCTCCCTGGCGGCGGGTGTTGGAGGCTGGAATGCGCTGTTGATGGAGGTGATAATGACGTTCGGGCTGGTTTACACCGTTTATGCCACCGCAATTGATCCCAAGCGGGGGAGCCTGGGGACAATTGCGCCGCTGGCCATCGCTTTCATCGTCGGCGCCAATGTGTTGGTTGGGGGGCCTTTTGAAGGGGCGTCTATGAACCCTGCACGGGCATTTGGACCGGCGCTGGTGGGGTGGAGGTGGAGGGACCATTGGATCTACTGGCTGGGCCCCTTTGTCGGTGCAGCTTTGGCAGCTGTGGTCTATGAGTTCGGCGTCATACAGTCGGAGACACCCCATGCTCACACCGCTCATCATCACCATCAGCCTCTGGCAGCTGAAGATTACTAGACAATCCACCTGCCCAACTGCTGCTTCGTCTGCCCTCTGCTGCTTTCGCACTGCTGTCAATAAGTAGTAATTAAATAAAGACTGTTTGCTTGTTTTGCTTGCTTGCTTCCTTCCTTGTGCCAATCAAATAAACTCCCTTATATAATGAACAGTGAGCTCTTTGATTTCTTTCTTCCTTCTGTGTCTGTTTCGTGTGTTAGTTAATAGTGTGATCATATGCGCTGAGTTAACATATACAAATATGAATCAAGACAAAGCTTCAACGACATATATAAATCCAATGTCAATGCATTATGGAAGGATTCTTGATCAGCGTGGGAGAACAGCAGGCGTTTCCAAATCTCTAGCTTATATGAATGATAGCTCTTAGGGCGAACAATTGGACCCTACAATTTTCACTCGGAAATGACGCCTATTTTATGTTGTTGTATCATGGGACGAAGGAATCTCCGGGAGGACCAAGAGCCTACAATCAAGCCTTACTGGTGTCGCTGGTTACGATGGTAATGATGGTCAGTTCGCACCACAGAGAGACATGGGAAAAGAAATTCACTTTTTCTGTACATACCCTACCCTACCCTACCCTACCCTTACCCAGAAGACATACATCGTGCATCCCACATCTCACCGTTTTCACCATACCCTGCAGCAGCATTCAACTAAACCTCAAGAAATCTCGGCCGCAATGCCAGTTAACACTTTCGTGCTTGAATTACTGCCTGCCTTTCTGTTCTATACAGTACCGTGACAAGCACCTAAAGCCACATCAGGAACGCGCAACCTTAAAGAAGACCTTATAAATCTGTACAGATGGGCATCTTGTGGATCTCATGAAGAATTCCCAACATCATGCAGGCTAGACATCCTCCGCCAGTCCAGAATAAATTTCTTGATACAAATAAGGGAGTGTCGAGTTCAGACACTTCAAAGGTATATTAGGCCACTACAACAGAGCAGCCTGGCAACAATAATACTCTGCAAGCAAACGCGTTCAATATTTAAGTACATTCTCACGGTGCTCTCATCCTCTCAACAAAACTTCTTCCCTTCTCTTCGAAGTGGCGTCTCTTCACCTCGAGCTTTTCTCCCACTTTCTTCCCCAACCCCCGCATACGTTCTCTTGTTCCTATTCTGCGTGGTCTCGAATCATCATCTTCTACATTCTGGTTTTGTCCCTCAACAGAGACCAGTCCTAAAGAATTCATCAAAACCTCTGGGCTTTCCTCTGCGCTCCTCGGGCTGGACTCTTGCATTTTATCCTTTTTCAACAGAGGGGCTCTGAGTTCTTGAGAAGAGCTGTTTTTCACTGCCAATTCATCCATGGAAACGCGGTCAAAAGACCCATATGATACTTGAGGGATACCAGCATCATGTCTTGGGTTTTCATGGTTGACTTCTGGGGTGGTGGGATTTACACGATTATCTTCGACAGTTTGTGTTTCTTCCCCATGTCGGAAGCAAGGCGCCTCCTGTTTTGTGTCACTAGAAGATTCGTGATTATTTTTACACCACATGAAAGGAGCAACACTCTTTGGTGCCCAATCATCTTTTTCTGCTGACATCCATGGAATCCCAAAAGATTCGCTGTGCGGTAGTACTAACGATTCACGGATTGCAGCCTGAAACAAAACTGGAGTCAGTCTCTAACTTGTAAACATGCAGTAACATCCTCATTCACTGAAGATCATAGTAAGTGGAGAGCATTTTGAAGTAGTAATAATTTTCATGGTATCGGACAAGTTAAAAGCAACATTTAACTCCATCCCTCCGGTAAATAAAATCAACACTAGTTACAGAAAGTACTTAGAAGGTTATTTCAAAAATCACAGCTGCTGGAGCTTCCGTCAACTTACCATGAGGCTCCAGAGTAATCATTATCAAGTGTCCAAATATCATGAAGCTAAACAGGAAACTATTAGGACTGAACTTCATATACTCGTCATGTGCAAATAATATTTTCATGAAACTTGTGAACTAAACGTTTTCAGGAACGGGTCGTGAAGATTTGAAAAACTTCTTTAATGATCTCATACCAAGTATAATTCGGAGGAATGTGTGTTACTATTGAAATCATATGGGTAATATATCAATTGACTGTTCTAGTGAAAATATCAAATATGAAAATTTAATTATTTAAAAAGAAAAGAGAAGAAAAGAAAAGAAAAAAAGAACATCCTACAAGAAAACTGTGACCTGAACATCAACTCCTTGTTTCTTCTTACACTCCCAAATAAACAGAGCTACAAATAGGAAATTTTCTTGCTAACTCTAGAGGATACCCAAAATACATTCTACCACTGTAACTATGCCCAGCATGTATGTAGATTCAATCAAGCAGCTTTTTTAAGAATAAAGAGGATTACTCACTCTGTCCTCAGTAAATGTGAATCATTCACATCAAACTACGCATCAAAAAATGAGGAGTCAAATTTCTGTGTATGGCTCCAACTTGTGTTACTAGTCATTCTAGTGGAAAGGAATGAATGTTATTGGCATTAAGAAAAACTTTATTCTACAGGACCACATAGGAGATTTCCTAGGCAGCCAACAGATGTGCTTAAAACTTAAAAAATACATTGCAAAGCCTTGGCACTCAATCAACTCTTCCAAATACAAGGTAATGGGAAAAGTTGGTGACTGATTATTATAATATATGTCAAAGGAATTAACTGGTCACTCAATATACTAAGTGATTCATTTGATGGCAGAACAGTTGCCATTCTATGGCTGATTCTATGCCCTGTACAGCTGTAATTTATGATTTTAAATTCTCTTAACTTTTCCTTATTCAGGATAAGATCTGTATATGATAATATGATATAGCTTAACTATATTTCAGAACAAAACTGTAGCTTGTATTAACAATATAACATGGGTATTCTTCTCCAAGAAAGGGAGAAGCTTTGGCTCAACGCTCTCCAAGATTATCATGGCCAGAGCTTCAGTTTTGCATTCACTCATGCGTTTTTTGACTCCAAGTTCAACTTTTCCTTAATTATTTTGATCAAGTTATCCCAGCCTCGTGTCTTCTGACAAGGAGTCAAAAGAACTCATGTATTGATTCCAGTTCAATAGAGATAGTATTTCTTGGGAGTGAAAATCTTTAGAAGCAAGAAAGGAATCTAACTTTCTCAAATCCTTCATTTGAAATCGACTCTTCAAGTAGTCTTTTAATGAAGCAATACCATTGTGTCATTTCCAATTATAATTATATCATCTACCTATACTACCAAGAGAATCACATGTGACTTGGACCATCCGTAGAAAATGGAATGATCAAATTTTCCCTTCACGATACCATACCGGGTCTCTGCCAAACCATGCACAAGGGCTTTGCTTTAGGCTATTTGAAAATATCCATAGCACCGGAAGACCAGGAAAAGACTACATTCACTTGTCCTTATGGGACTTCTGCATACAGTTGAATTCCCTTCGGTGTACCCAACCGTTGCTATCCGTTAGACCTTTAGTATTCTCATTGCTCCCTGTGTCAGTGGTTCGAATCCACTTCTAAGCGGGCGAAGGTCCAAAGGACACGGATCTGCCGTCCCTCTCTATCTATCCAAGAGATGGAAGGGCAAAGTGGGCTCAGAGAGACCAGAAAAGGCCTTTCGTTTTCCCCCCTTCGTGCTTCCTGGGCCTCCCCAACATACTCTTGCTACGAAATGAGGATTCTAGTAATTCTGGTTTTACAGTAGATAGAACATTCATTGATTGTACCGAAACCAATAGAGCGTCTGTCTAGGAAGCTTTCTACGAGAGTCAAATCTTTAGTTCCTTATTTGAGAAGTTACCCCACTTTTAATAGGTGGGACATCAATTTGAATTAGATTTCAGGGGGCATCCATATCGGGTGAGAGAGATTCATAAAAAAACTTTGAAAGCGTAGTAGATACAAGCCAAGCGATGTGACAAAAGCAGAGGCAAGAAGAGATAAATGATAATAGGATATGAAATTAAAAATATGGTAGGTGCAAGAGCGAGTACCATCGGAAGATCATCAAGCGTTGTAGAATCTAGCGACGAAGATGACATTGGCACCACAGAGGAGTCAGAGGCCGGAGTTGGATTTGTGCAGAGAGCAGGTGGGTCAAAAAACTTTTGTCGCATTGAGAGTAGATACGGTGAATTGGTGGTTGTGTATCTAGTGGAGGATTGGGAGTGGGTGTCTTAATGGTGAACATAAGGATGTCCGGAGACTCCTTTGTTCTCGTAGATCAGGGGAACAAATAAAAACGGTGTCCTTATGGAAGGTAACATCTACAGACACTGGTATTTCCCAAGACTCGGACAAACCCATTTGTATCCCTTTTGGACGCAAGTGTTTAACCCAAGAAGATACATTTTAATGATTTTGGGTTAGGTGTAGTAACGTGTGGATGTGTATCTTGAACAAAATATGTGCAACTAAATATTTTTTATGGCAATGGATAAATAGGTTTGTCGGGAGAGAGAATATGAGAGTGTGATTGACCATTGAGAACAAAAGACGACATTCAATTAATTACGAAACAAGCGATAGAGACAACATCACCCTGTAAATATTTAGGGACACCCATGTGAAATAGAAATAGCTCTAGATGTTTCAAGTAGGAGTCTATTTTTTCGTTTGAGAACACCTAGGGTGTCAATACAAGAAGTTTGGTATTAATGCCATTTTGTTTCATAAAGGACTTGAATGCATCACGAAAATATTCTTTAGCATTGTCACTGTGTAGGATTTTGACCTGGAGATCAAATTGGGTGTTAATGCCATTTTGTTTCATAAAAGACTTGAATGCATCCGAAAAATGTTCTTTAGCATTGTCACTATGTATGATTTTGACTTGGAGATCAAATTGGGTGCAGATCTACACAAATTTTGAAAATACGAAAACAAGTTTGATAGATGTAGCAAAAAGAAAACCTAGGTCATTTGAGAATAATCATCAACAAATGTAACAAAATATTTATATCCTAGTTTAGAAGACACAATACATAGACCCCAAACATCCGAATGAAAACAGTCTAAAGAAACTTGGACACAATTACTTCCCTAAGACTCAAACGGACACAATGATGTTTAGCAAACAAACATAATTCACAATTGAATAAAGACAAATTTCTAAAATTAGGACATATGCAAGTGATGGGCTCCCGGATAGAATTGCTAAAGAAATACAAACCTTTTGACCCATAACCCTGCCAATCATCCTCTTCGTCTCCAAATTCTAAAAAACACAATGGCTTGGAAAGAACGTCACAATATAGTTCAAGGCACGAGTTATTTTACTAACATAAATTAAATTAAATGAAAAATTATATAGGTTCCAAACAATGGATAACAAAATGGTTGGTGCAATATCCATGGTTCTTGATCCAACAACTTTGGGTAATGGTTCTACCTTTAAGGGTAATTGGGGATTGGGAACAATGTGACTGATAAGTCCAAAAAAGATCAAGAACCAAAGGATGTGACGCGATATGTACTATAGTTACCTATGGTGGCTATAACCGGGATAGCAGTAGATAAATGCGTCTAGTCCTCTTCAGACATGGACAAATTAGAGTTCTGACCTTCCAAAGACGTTATATTGGCGATTTTTGTCTAAAGCCTCCTCAAATGCTATTTAATACTATGCAATTTTATAGGAATATCTACTAAATAATGCTACGCATTTCCATACCGCTCTCACGGGTTGATATTTTTATCCCGGATTCTTGGCTATAGTCCGTCCCATGTGTGCGAGCCCCTGTCTTGTAAGGTTGACTGATGACCTATATCTTGGTGTAGATACGTGTTCCACATTATTCTCTCATACTGTATGGTATATCCCGGGCGTGTTGTGCACAGGGGACGGCTGGTCAGGGCCTCAGCGCAGGCGTGGCCTAGGCGCAGGGCGGGTCAGCTTCCGAACACGTTACATATGGTATTAGAGCGGACCTTGACGCTGGTGGCGAACGAAGCGACGAAGTGGCATTGCTCTGGAAGCATGCCTATGAGCACGTCAAGGATGAGCATGAGGAGTACGCTTGATGTTGCATAAGGGCCAAGAGGGCTGAGCTTTGTTCGTGAGAGCAAAACCACGTTAAGGACGATCTTCGGGCGAATATCGCACAAGCCGCAACAACAGATGTCCCGGATGGTGTGTGGAGATGCGCAGTGGAATGTGGGTCGCATGCGGGTTGTCTATGGCAAAAAACCTCGCTGGCTGTTGGTGAGCACAAAGAGAAGGGTATGAAGGAAAGGGTCGACGAAGTGACGCCTGAGGCATACCGAGAGTGCAAGAAACAACGTCAGTGCACTTAAGTAGCATCGCACGAGCGCGTTTGCGACTTGAAGTAAGGGAGTACTGTCACGGGTTGACATTCTTGCCTCAGGTTCTCGGCCATAATCCGTCCCATGTGTGCGAGCCCCTATCCGGTACGGCTTATTGATGGCATATATCTTGGTGCAGGTACGTGTTCCGCGTTATTCTCCCATACTATATGGTATATCCCGGGCGTGTTGCGCACAGGGAACGGTTGGTCTGGGCCTCAGCCCGGGCGTGGCCTAGGCACCGGGCGTGTTAGCTTCCAGACACGTTACACCGCTAACACTTATGAACCAAGAAACTGTCCCATTGTTGAATAAATGTTTCAATGATTCATTTCATGAGGAGCTCTACAATTTCTTACTTAAGCCACCATGCCAAAGGGTTGAGACATTAGTACAATTCAGGCTTTTTGTTGAAAATAGTTCTGACCATTATACTTCAAAGCTGTCCAAAATTCCTGCAACTGTTGCAAAGATGACAGTCATATCATCAAGAATGTTCTATTAGAACTCCCAAAAACTGCATATACTGACAATTGGTTCTTATAGTACTGCCAATTCTGTGGATACAACATATCCAACACCAAGTTCTCCTACTCTTACTAAATCTGTGACACCTGAAATGATGATCATCTCTACATTCTCTGCATTAGGACTCTCCGGTAATTCCTTCTTTAAGCCTTTTCCTTGTACTTTGATTCCAAGGCTTAACAATGCTAAACTTCTCACTAAGATAAGATAATATCTTGAAAATCTCAAGATTTATACAGCTGATAGCAGCCCTTGCCTTTCACTGCCTCTGGTGACATTTCTTCATTCATATCAGATACCTTTGCCTCTCCTAATCTCATTACAAATCTCGTTTCTGTTGGAAATTAGTCCACAATGATTGCAATGTGGAATTTTCTATATCTGGTTGTGTTCCTCAGTCTTCATGCTCCTCTTTACCTATCATCAATCATAATTCTTTTGCTGTTGATTGCCAAACCTGCCATCAATATTTTTTACTATGCAATCTCTAAATTCCTTCTACAAGATCACATCTAACACCCATTTTCCATTCAAAACATCACATCCAACTTTCACTCCAAAAACATAAAAAACCAAAACACCAACACACAAAAGGAATACCAAAAGAACACCCATTTCTAATTTTTACCACTGAAAATCTCACTTTCCCTCCAAACATCACATTACATCATATGCAATAATTATACCTCAAAACATCCCATTCATAGCTAAAGTAGTCCAACCTTTTGAGTTGATACATAGCAATGTGTGGAAATGGTGCCAGCTATATCTCATGCTAATTACAAGTACTTTGTCACTTTTAATAAGGACTATAGTTGTTTCACATGGATTTATTTTCTACTTTCTTTTTTGTCTTTATGTTTTCATGCTCATATTCAAATACAAAGTTCTGCAAATATCAAAATTCTTCATTCAGAAGATACCGTGTAAGTACACATGTCATTTACTTCAAGAATTTCAGCAAACTAATGGTATAATTTCTCAAAGGTCTTGTCCTTATACCACTCAACAAAAATGGCGTGGCTGAAACAAAGAGCCTACACCATATAGATATTGGTCACGCCTTTCTATTAGAATCATTTGTACCTTCTCATTTTTGTGTGAAGCTGTCTCTATTGTTGTCTACCATATATCTATAGGATGCTTTTTCCCTTCTTGAGCCACATTTATCCTTTCTTTCGGTTGTTTGGTCATACTCCAAATTACTTCAAACTCCGCACCTTTGGTTGCATGCTGTGTTCATCTTCCTATACACGAATGCATAAAACTAAATGCTCAAGTGTTCAATGTGCTCTTCCCGAATAGTGGGTACACCAAAAAGGTTTGCTTTGCTATGATCCCAACCAACACCATAGTCCATACTCAGGTTTCTCAACAATGATCATTCTCCTTCATTTGCTATTGTGCCATGTTTGTTAACTCATGTATTGATTCTAGGGATAGCGACACTGTGGGTTCAAGATAGGTTTTGCAGGACCTGGAACTGACCCACCCCCAGGCCCAGCACACTGAGAAAAGCCAATTTCTCCCATAAAAGTATATATGTTTTTTTTTTGCACAACTCATAATATCTTTTAGAAAAATAATTCAACCATTAACCAAGCATTTCTTATTCCAAAAATATCAAACATTAATTCATTAATGTATATATAATATGCATACTACACATACATACTTGTAAAAAAATATCAAAAATAATGTATAAGTTGCACCAATATATTTCTAAATTTTGAATTCATCTTAAATCCCTCCACCTCAATTTCATCTTCGGTCCCAACACAAATTTAATGAATGATAGACAATAAACACTCATGGTCCATTCAACAATTCTAAGCTTCAAAATCTTCATTTTCATTTAACATTGTAGAAAAAAAATTTGATCCTATAGTCGATACACTTGCACCTAATAAAATGAAAAAATAAATTTAATCAGGGTAGGTCTGGTCCAAGACGGGTTTTCCCATGGATCTATAACCCGCTTCAGATTCAGACTGAGTTTTAATGTTTGGTACCCGAAACCCGCCATTCATTCAAATTTTTGGTCCCCGACCCGGTCCTTGCCCAACACACCCCAATTGCCATCCCTAAGCTTCAAAATCTTCATTTTCATTTAACATTGTAGAAAAAAAATTTGATCCTATAGTCGATACACTTGCACCTAATAAAATGAAAAAATAAATTTAATCAGGGTAGGTCTGGTCCAAGACGGGTTTTCCCATGGATCTATAACCCGCTTCAGATCAGACTGAGTTTTAATGTTTGGTACCCGAAACCCGCCATTCATTCAAATTTTTGGTCCCCGACACGGTCCTTGCCCAACACACCCCAATTGCCATCCCTAATTGATTCTGTATCTCTGAGCCTCCTATTGTCTACAAACAACAAAAGACTCAACACCTCTTGCCCTGTGTACATCATTCCCTCAATGTTAATATTGATTCAGCAACTACACTGGCACCTCTTAGACAAGGTACTCAGTTTGTAGGCCAACAGATAGGTATGGTTTCATCTCTCTTTATTTTTGACAGATGTTCTATTCCTATTCCTTCATTCTATAAACGAGTAATAAAGCATGAGAGTTAGCAGCAATTTGTTGAAACAACTACTTTCCCTTGAAAACACCAAACGTGGGATGTTGTTGGTGTCCATCATCTGGGAAACATCCTAGTAGTAAGTTTGTGTTTTCTGTTAAGCACTATTTTGATGGAAAACAGTGAAGGTTACAAGCTACACCACTGGTTTTTGGCATCCAAGGGCATTGTTATCCTTATTTATGTGGATGACATTGTTATAACTGATTCTGATATGGAAGCTATTTATAAACTTACAGAATTTGTTACACTATACCTTTCAAAAATAGTCTCCATATTGTGCAATTGGCACATTATTGAGCAAGTTCATCAAGGTCCTAAACCATTCATCACATTTTGTATCCAGATTCATACATCATGCCTTCTGTGTAGCATGTAAATGTGAAAATGAGTCACCATGTTAAAGATAGAAGTCTAACCTTGAATCGACTGATCATGAACACTGCGACATGCCCATTTGTGATTTTATAGTCTCCAATAAAAGAGTCCAAGTTGAACTGAATTTCAGGCATAGAAGTAAAACCAATCCATATTTGATCTGAAGGTGGAGGCTTTATGCGCAATCTCAGTGTTCCACAGAGAGAAGAAACCCTTATTTTCAATGAGAGAGGAACCTTCAAAAAATGAAAAAGTAATCAGAACCAGGAATAAAAAGTTATGGGGTTTACTCACTGAATTGAAAATATCAGTTTTAAAAAACCAGTTTATTTTCTAAATTTTACCCTTTCCAACATTAAACCTCATTTTTGTAATCTTGTTTCTTTTGTCTCCAAATTATCATTTCATGCTTCGCTAACTTACAGCAAGCCATAAATCTAACGGGTGGTTAGAATGTGGACAAACCTGTTAGCTGGTTTAAAAGTGCATTCAAACAGTTTCTACAAAGAGTTGTGCTTTGTCTCACTCATGCAAAGTAATAAAATATATTTAAGGCACAGTCTTTCATATTTAAATTTACCCAAAGATGAGCACAGATAAATGCATATACAAGCAATTCCAGAATTAAATATCATAAGAACATTGCAAAATTTACAATTTTTACCAGGGATTTAATAACAATACTAAAACTATTGGAACTAGCGTAAAACCAATTATATGCACGGGTATATTAATATTATAATGTCTAATAGTTAAATAAAATCAAAACACTAATGTAAAATACTGATATATATATATAACTTCTGATAAATTAGTTTTTGAGGTCAAATAAGCTCTTTCAAGAAGCTAGTGTACTAAATCCTAAAATAGTTGTTTTGACGGATCAAATAACTAAAAGGTCAATAAGCTAAAAATTATTGAATAAACTATTTTCCAAACACTCTCTAAGTATTTCCCAAGGATTGAGATTGCCCAATCAAAGAATATTGTTATTGTATCACGAGAAACCCTTAATTGATGTTAGATGATATAAAATGCTAGTCGGTAAACTTAATTTTCTAGTGTTAACCCGTGAGACAATTCTTTCAATCTTTGTGTGACTGTCATAAGAAAGCACTAATGTGCATTTTGCGATTTATTAAATAACAGTATTTAAAAAAAAGGCTTACTACATGCAAATCACAATCACACAGAAATTGTTGGTAATTCATATGCTAATTGGGTAGGATCTTCCGTTGATGATGTTCTACTTCGGATTATTGTGTGTTTGTTGGGGATAATTTGATATCTTGGATGAGTAAGAAACACGATGAGTTTTTTTTTTTTTTTTTCATTTAGTTGCACATTCTAACATTGACTTTGAATATTGTTCCATGTCCTTAGCTATATGTGATTTTATCTAGGTTAGATAATTACTTTGTGATCTCATTCACTCAAGTTACATGAGATGACAAAAATGAAGTTGTGGTGAGATAATAAGATAGGACCACATGCTTCCTTAAACCCTGTGTTTATGAAAGAACAGAGTAAGTTGAAAATTGAAATAGATTGTCACATCAAGAAGAAAATTCTATCTAGGTGTACATACATTCAGAGGCCTTCCTTCCCTCCACCCCATCCTTTTAGTTTTTTAAGTTTTAATTTTAATATATGTAGTCTAAAAAATAATTTTAGTAAAATCTATGCTTAAATTTTATATAAGGTGTGTTTGTTTGGGTTTTGGATTTTAAATAATGATTTTTTTATATATATAAATAAGTATTATGTGATATTTTAAATGTAAAAGAGGAAAATGTAAAGATCGATAAAAGATATTAGAAAACTTCAGTGAAATATTGTTTGTTTAGTGTTTTGGTTTGAGATATTTTTTCTTATGTGAGTTATAGGGAATTGTGTAAATAATATTTTTGATGTTGAATGTTGATTATTTATGAGATGATAAAATATAGTATATTATATATATATATATGAGAATTGTGTCGGGAAAACAAAATAGTTAGAAGAACAAACCCATTGGAAAAGGAAACAATTTTAGATATATATATATTTTTTATAAAATGAAATTTTGTTCAAATAAATAATTGTACTTATCAATTTCAAACAATACTAAAATAAATATTGCAATATGTAGTTGATGTTGCTGTAATTTGTTATTTGCAAGATTTTCAAAACATGCATCTCAAAGATTAAAATTACCTGACAATGAATAAAATGTATTATTTCAAAAAATTTTAAAATTTGCCTGTAATATCCCGTAAAATAATCGTCGAATGTTTGCCGGAGTCGGACAAATTTCATTTTGGGCATAATTTATTTTGGTCTTTTAGTATAATAAATTAAAGAGTTGGATTTAAATTAGAAGTAAAATTTGAGTTTTGGCCAAAGTAGAATAAAATAATTAATAAAGGGCTAAGTATTTTATGTTAAATAAAAGAATAAAATAAAATAACAATAATAATAAAAAGAAACAGCAGCAGCAGCCATCAGCACGCCGCCGCCGCCGCCAGCCCTCCTTCTTCCTTGGGGATTCTTCTTCTCCAAAATTCTTCCTTTTGGGCTCTTCTCTTGAGGTAAGTGTGATTAATCTTAGATAGATTGATATGGTCTAATCCCTAGACCCCTTCTATTGATATTTTTCAAAATTATTGTCAAATGGGTTTGCCCTAAAAGTATTAGGTTTTTGCCAATTTCTTCTAGGAAGTTGATTATAATGTCATTAAGGCTTATGTGAAGATTATTATTGAATTTTAAATTGAAAATCGTAGAATTTTTGGGATGAGTTTGAAACCCTCGTTTTGCCCTAACCTAGTTATGTTTTTCGAAAAAAGATTTACGATTATATTTAAATATTATAATTTTTGGAATTAGATCATGTCTATTGTGGTTGGCATGTTTTTTGAATGTTTATTTGGCGAAATAAAGTGAGATTATAACAAACTCGTTGGGTCTAATATCCTACTTTTGCATGGTTAAATATTGACAATTGGAATATTTTGAGTTTAAAATATTCTTTTTTTTAAAAAAAAATTTGCCTAAGAGCATGTTGAGTATTTGGTCAAATTGGTAATTAAAACTACCCGTCGAGTCCGATCAACTCGTCGATTGTTTGGATCATAAGGCATAGCCTTCCACCTCTGTGCCTTGCAAACACGTGAGGGTATACCGGTATTTTAGGATAACTAGCTAACCTTGAACTAGATCCTGAGTGGGCTAGGTCGAGGGATCGAGATGGCGGGTTCCCTTTTAGGGTGATTCCGAGGTGCCCGTCATTCACGATGGAAAGGTCTTTAGACCGTCATCCGTGATGGAGGGATGGGTTGCGTACAATCCCCTCTTCGATTAATTGCGCTTACTCAACCGTTGTGTGGACCCTCTTCTTACGATCTTTTTGTAGGTGATCATGCTTCCGTTATGCCTAAGTGATGCATTCACGTTATATGATCCATCGGGAGAAATGAGAACTACCTTACATTCTAAAATGTTTTGAAATTCATTAATTGTGTTTAAAGACTAATGCATTTTGAACTATTTCCAATTTATGTTTTTGCTTCAAACTTTATTTACTTAATTGATAAGCCGATGCGCTTTAATTCTAAGTTCCTATTAGTTGTTGGTATTTATTATTTAAGCCTTAGCGCCACAACGTAAGACTCGTTGGTTGATGAACGAGCCTTCCGGTGTGGCGTGGCGGTGACGCTCCGGTTTGAGCCGGCCGGGGTGTTACATTGCTCCTTATCATCTTATCTTGGTTCCGCCACTGCGTACTTGTATATATGTGTTCAAATGATTAACTTGCAGATATATTAATAAAATCCTTTAAGAGATTCTATATCCATGTTCATATGTAATAAGCTTGGATTGTATGACTTTTACGCTTCAGCTTGACGAAGAGTGTTAGATTAAGCCCATTACTTATGATTAGTTTAAGTCCGACAACGTAAATTTATTTGTTGTGTCAGCATTGGAAACAGATCAAGTAACGAGCTCATAACATTGAATCATGTCACATTATTCTTTTCAGTACTCTATTGAAAGATTTTCTTATATTACAGTTACTTAAAGAGTTAAGGCAGCAAAATTATTCCACATTTAGAAATTAGTCTACTATGACAAACCAGAGCTAAGCTAGGAGAACTATATCAACAAAGACTTGATTATAAATTCAATAAGATGGAAAGATAAAAGGATGTGAAATTAAGGAATTAGATTATTAACATTCTGCAAGAAATTTATGCTTCTCATGTCCATGTAATCTTTCAAGATTCAATAAACATATCTAAGGAAAATCCTAGAATGTCTGACCAGACTGTATACATATTACAAAGAATAAAGATTTCTTTTAATGTTGTTGCTTTGTGACTTTTTTATTTTGAGAATTGATTTTATACTTTACCCCCTTAAAAACAAGTAGAACATGCCAAATACTCCATGGAAATGAATGTAAGCTCAAAGTCAGGGGCAGCTGAATGAGAAGAAACTATTGTACATACATGTACAGATCCTGGAAAGACAGAAAAAGTTTACTAACCTGTGAAACCTGTTTGGTGATAGATTGTAATATAGATTTCCACCGAGATCCTTGGGATGATGAATACAGAGAGCTTTTAGGTATTTCTGACTCATCTGTAAGTTGGAATATTGAAGAAGGGTGAGTAATTAATGCGTGTTGGTAAACATCATTTTGTGAGAAATGAATATAAGAATCTATATCTACATTAAGGAAAAGGCAGAACTGAGAAAGCATAGAATTGAGCTCTAGGGCAGTCACTAAAACATATAAAACAGTGAGAAAAAACATAAGAAGCACACCATTGGTATCACTGGTATATGTATTAAATTGCACAAGAAAGTGTATAAGCATAGATGGTTCACCAGAGAACATTCGACGACAAGACATATATTCAATTGTCAAAAAACTATCAATAGGGTCAATTCCGCACCTGTGTCATGATATCCTTCAGCTTTATGTTTTATTTCATTAATTGTCTCTTCAGAAAGCTTCAGTTGTTTCCCAAGATCATCAAAACCTTCCAGAAGGTCAGGGGTCGCCACACCAGGAGTATTCACACTGAGGCGAGCTTCCTCCCCTTCAAATTCTAATTCTTGTATTTCAAGCCTTGTTTCAACTTCCATAAGCATACCACCTAAATACTCAACATCAATTTCTAAGGCACACAATTCATTCATATCCGAGGGTAGGACCCTCATTGCAAGGATGCGGGGAGGCAGGGAACCAAGATCCACAGAAGTACAAGTGACTTCACCAATGTAACTGGGGATTCTCGTATTGGATAATGCTCTCTATTGCATTATGAAAATAGAATTAGTTCGATCCACACACCAAAAACGAAAATCATATGGGAGAATGCTCCCTATAGCATTACAAATGTAGACATCAGTACGTTTAATGAAACAATAGGCAATTACAATGTAAAGATAATGTTATCTATTGGCGTGTGAGTGCATATATTGTGTTCATATTGGTTGGTACATCAGACTGAAATCTCAAACTCATATAATCCTGTGTGATCAGGTCATTTGAAAAGGACAGGGGATTCTTCTATTCAATGTCAGAACTTGTAAGGTGCCTCAACAGTTCCAATTTTGTGTTAAATATATTTAGGGTGTGTTTGTTTGGGGGTTTGGATTTTGAGTTGGGATTTGAATAGTAAAAATTTTGAATTTGAATAGTTGTGTGATGTGATATAAATAGGGTTTGATATGATGTTTTGAATGTAAAATTGATTTTTAGTATAATATAAAAAATAAAAAATAGGAGTTTGATTTGATGTTTTTGGGGGGAAAAAATTGGATGAATAGTGGAAATCCACCAAAATCCTTCAAACAAACACACCCTAATAAGCAAGCCAACAAAGATTTGATGCATCAAGTTGAAAGTGAACGCTTTGAATGGCTTACACTACTTTAGACATCTTGTTTGTAACTGTACATTTGACTTACTGCTACACCAAAATGAGAAAAAGAGCCCACGTATGCATATGGACAAGTAAAAGCTCTTTAGAGTTTTCTCATACCATTTTTCTATTTGTAAGCATCCTCAGGTCATTGATGCTAATAGGACAGTTGCATTAATTCCATATTAGGACATTCGTAGTGTGCATGCAGAAATAAATCGCAGCAAAACAATCACACAACCAAAGCTAATCAAGGCCCCCACATTGAGCTTCAAGAAAAAGAAAAAGAAAAGTTCTAACACCAAACAAGGACCATCAAGTTCATTGGAATGTATAAGTGGGACAATATGGATCAATTACACGTGGTTTATGTTCATTTGAGTATGAGTTTCTAACCTGATAAACCAATAGATTAGTTCAAACTAAAATAGCCATGCTGGGTAACTGCATTGTGTTTCATTTGAAAACAAATGGACAAAAAGAAGTATGAAATATAATCAAGGTTAGCATATTGCTTAAATATTTTACATTCACTGAATTCCAACTTGTTCGAGTGAAAACAAAAGTGACTACAAGGATCATAACAAATTTGAGTGTTAACAAGGAGACAACATAGCAAGAGAACATCAACTTACTATTCAAGATTTTAAAACTCAATTCTATTCCACTTAAGATTTGATTACATGAATAAACCCTAAATTATATGCAACCATTATCTAAAATATCAAAAAAGGTACTCTACACTATTCTAAATACAAAGTTGGCCTATATACAATATATCTAACACATAAAAAAAGGATCATAATAAATTTGAGTGTTAACACAGATACAACATTGCAAGGGAACATCAACTTATTATTACAGATAAACAAAGGAATCATTAGAAGTAAAAAGTTTCTTTCACTTAAAAATGAGACCCTCTTACTTGTCAGGAGATAAACATTACATGATTTTGATATGTGGCACTTCCAGATCCTTATGCATCCACTGATAAGAAATAAGGAATTTCCTGAACTTACTTTCTTTCACTATGTTAGACATTTAGGCAGCATTTACCCACAGTTTTTCCAATTGCCAATTACATGGGCACACAGTTGTCGTCACTAGATCAAGGCTCTTGAGGCATGGGCTGGACACTATAATGCATCCACTCTATAACTTTCATATGAATTTATTTATTAAAAAAATAAATAAAGAAAGAAAAAACGGGAGGAAAGACCTTGCCTCCCAGGTGAATTCCTCTCTTAAATACAATTGGTTTCCCCCTCTGGAAATCATCTCATTTTTACCCCTTGTTCTCTAGTTCTCTCTTGGGTTTCTTGTTTTACTCTCTTATAATTACAAGAAATCATTTTCTTCAACAAATTATAATAGTGTGCAACTAAAAATTATAATATAATGGAAAGACATTTAAAATAACATCTACTCCAACAAACATATGGAAGGGAATAACTAATGCATATCACTAACCTGGATCCTGTTTTGTAAGGAGCTCCTAATCTGAACATTATTCTTGGCATCGAAGAACAACCGGGAAATGAAAACATTCAGAAACAGCGTTCCTTCATCACAATACTTGTGATTGGAATCTCCATCAGATATTCCAGATAAATGACTTTTGGTTCCAGGCTCAGAAGTGGTTGACATTGTAGTTGCCACACCATGATCATCAACGCATATGGGTTTTCTCATTGATTCCATTTTGGTTGAGCCATTTTCTAAAATCAAGTCTTGAAATGATCTGGATTTTCCACTTATTTTTCTTTCTTCCTGGTCATGCCAACCTTTTGAAGATTTCTTTGTAAGTTTCTTCAAGAACTGACGAACTTTCGATGAAGAGTTGTCTAGCTTAACAGACTTGTCAGTCAATCCGAGGCTGAAACCAGGCAAGGGCTTAAAAAATGATGGATATCCAGTATTTAGAGATGCCAAGTAACAACGGAACTGTTTGCTTAACTTGGAAAACCACACATTTTTTTCTTCATCGCAACAGGAAGCAAGACGAAGGGCTTTGCACCAGGATTCTTTCTCCCAAGATGTGTCGAGATAGACATAAATTATTTTATGCCCTTTATATATGGCTGCACCCTTGTTCTCCAATTTGATTGGGTACCTCTTTGCCCTGAGATCAGGGAGACAAAATTCAATAAATTAAGCATATCCATAGCTGCAAGGCTATACATTTCAGCGAAGCAATCACTTGGAAAAAAAAATGAATCTGTGAGATAATAAAATGCTCTGCAGCAAGCCTTAGACGCTAAGAATATATCCTATTTATCATATAAAACTGTATTCAAGTTCAGTTTTTGGTATCAATTATTCAGAAAAGCATGTGCTCGCCAGGGAACTAATAATTAATTCACAGTTATGAAGGCTGCATTCTTTAGGGGGGAAAAAAACACTTGCTTTATTCGTAATTTAATCTTTTCCAAACATTAATTAACAACTTAAACACTTATTAATTTCTCAGTGAACTTGTCCATCCAGTAGTTCTAGGTATACTACCAAAACGTTCACCTGGCTTGAGAAACTTATTTGCTAAACAATCAGCAGTTCACCACTAATTAATTCATTAGACATGTAATAATATATCACTGTAGGACCAAGAAGTTTTACCAGGGATCTGCTCATCTGATATGGATTCTTAGATGCCCTTCACACAACAAAATCAAACAATTGGATAATGCACTAGAGTAACAAAATCGATCAATGCACTTAATCCAGCCACTTCGTAGCTCCATGAAAAATCAAAACAAGAAAATGCTAAGGATGTTAAGCAAATTCTCATTCTGGAAGATGATTGACATACAATTTGGAAAATTTTAATAAGCAGTCGTAGTTTTTAAAATATCACATTAATAACAGCCAAAGTTTAATGATAAAAAACAAATAGAATGATTCATTTATCCCACTAGATAACGTAAAAAACAAGAAAAATACCAAAATCTAAAGGCACCGCAAACATGCTACTTCAATATCTATATTCACTTAAATTAACATCAAATTATTCAATTAAAAGCTTTAATCAAACAAACTGGGAATTTACTTTGGATGGACATTTATTTTGGGGGAATATTTTATGTAAACCATATTAAAGCTATTAACTAATATCACATTCAAAAAATAACATACCATATGAATTAAAGTTACTGTAGATGGCATTAACTATTTCCACTCATTTTCAGATAAAGAAAAGGAGACATCATCGGTGAGGGGTGATAGTTTTATTATGCAATTAGGGGGGAGATAGTTTTCACTTTATGTGACAAGGTTTATATGTTTCACTACCCTATGTTAATTGTTAATAGATTCGAGAATTTAGAGGCCCATTATCAGTTGTTCAAATCCAACTCCCAACCAGGAAAATGTGATGAAAAGCACTACAGCATGGTACATTAAGAAACCTAAGTGGAATCTTCTAGTAGTTGCAGTGAAAAACACATCTAGGATATCTTAATTTACCATTTCCTTGATGGCATTCTTGTGGAAGAAACAGCAACAACTGTGCAGCCCTTCAGTAAAATATTCACATCAGAACAATCTGAGTCCAACAAGACAAGGTAACAGTCTCTAATTCTTGCATATTTCCGGACAGGTGTAACCTCCAATATATCTTTTCGTCTTCTTGTCTCTGTTGGCAATTTGTCCTCAATGCCAGATTTTGGGATTTTATCTGGTTCTAGGACCCAAATAGGCCCCTAATACAAAACAACAATCCAAAATTAAGAGCCAATAGCATACTACAGCTGAGAAAGAATATTAAAAAGAAAAGAATGCTTATTCCAACATAAGTGAGCTCTAACATCAAAATGTCCAAAAAGATATTAGTAGTAATAACCATAAGAGAAGGGGAGGTTTGCACCAACTATTAATTGAACAATAACTCTAATCAAATGCTGAACATTATACACCAAACATAAAATAGTTATGAAGTTCTTCTCCTCGCTATAAATCTAGCACCCCTTGGTCTTACCGTCTTAGCAGTCATCAACCGAGTGAACATGGCGAAGCATCCCAAAGAAATTAATTCTGTTGAGTATGCATATATGCAAGGTTGATGGTTAGCAATTATGAAAAGACCCTTGTTCGTGCATAAGCATTAGTATAATATATGCAGCATGTAAAATAACATATCAAAGTAAATTAATGATTCACTCACTTTGTGAATATTTTCACTATCAGACATTCTCCTATTAATGCATATGCAACATGTTGGGTGTTTCTAATATGTGTGTGTGTGTGTGTGTGGCCCAGCTCAACAGGGTAGTACAAGAAGTAGTATATTAGAGTATTATCAGATGATGAAAATAGTGCTTCTAACATACTAATTTATAGTAATTTTAATACTTGACATACTAGGAATAGAATTTATCATAATCGGAGTTCCTTTCAGTTAGTTAGCATAAAACAAAGTGCTTAAAGCCAAAGTAGTTCATTTAAGATAATTTACTATTCTGTTTTTCCTTTATGAATAATGGCCGGGATTAGATGTTGAAATCCCAAAATTCAGCACTGCAGAATTTGATACAGACTATTGGATCAACAGGAAATTCAATTGTTGATAACTGATACATTAGAGTAACTAAGACAACAGGAGGTCAACATGTGTTCAAAGATCTTTCAACAAAACAATCTAGTATACCAGCTTCAACAACTACTATCCTACAACACAAAATTTGCTATCAATGTTTCACAAAACTTTAAACAACCTCAACAAAATTTCAACAATACAAAATATGCAGTCACAACAACTATCCATCAAAATAATAAAAAATGGCCCAATTAGAATAGTAGATGTCTTAGAAGTTAGAAGTATGACCAGGCAGCTCTCAATTGATTCAGGTGCTGAATTCTTCATACATTAACACCACATCAGCCCCCGTGAATAGAATTTTCTCATCCAGATGTAATAACCTAGGCTAAGGCGAAGGAAATGGTAAAACATGACTATGTTCAATAGTTAGTACACCCTAGAGTTTCTCATACAGGTTTTATTTCTGTTAGCAACTGAAAATTGTTGCTTCAAATCTGATTTTATTTTGCTTATATATTTCATCACACTGCAGATGAACATAAATTGGCATAGGGCAATGTTAGTTGGCTGGCCCCAATTGTCTTTAACTATAAATCATGCGGTAGATTGTTACTGTTTAAATAGATATCCACGTAAATACCCTGACTTTGAAACTCATCCTACTAGTGCAAATTCTGAGAAAGAAAGAACAGAGGGAAGCATTTCAATAAAAATGTGTGAGAATCATAACATACTTTGGATTTCCTATGATCCAGGTTACCATTGGCAGGCTCAGAAAGAACAAGATTGCTAAGTGGTTGTCGGAGAAACAACCAGTGTATGCCAGATAAGCTAGAACTTGGGTCATCATCATAAAAAGTATTCTTCTTGAAAGGACTCAACTGTTATACTTACATCTGGCAGAGGACTCTTAGGCATTACATTTTCCCATATAGTAACGTAGGTAATACAACACCATTTTGAGGTTGAATATCTAATGTATGTGAAAATTGCAAGTTAAAAATTAATAAATGACTTGAAATTAAAGAACTATGCAGTAATATCCTTTCAATTACAAAACACGCACACGACCCCAAAGTTAGGCTAGATAACAAAACATCTTAAAAACAAAACTACATGAACATCTAGTTATCTGTCAACTATTTGGGGAGGGGAAGTTGTATTCCTTAAGCAACAACAGTTCATCGTACATACAGAGGAGAAGACAGATTATGCCGACATAATATGTATACGTAGCATAGATTAGCTTCCCAACGTCAAGATAATAGGATGATATAAATAAAGGATGCGAAGGGGAAACAGATTAATCACCTGCTTATCATATAAAGAAGGATTGGGATCGCCAGGAGAAGAGACGGCCACCGCAGCCTTAGCCTTGTCTCCGAGTTCTTCTCTCTCAACTTTTCGATTCAAACGGAGAATTAAAATCCACAGTCCTAATGCTTCCATAGCGACAACGGCGAGCGCCCCAGCAGCAAAGGCTGACAACAGTAGAAACGCCATGATCGCATCACCACCAACACCAACACGAATAGATCCGCTGTCTAAACTAGAACGCAATCCTTGTTATCTCGACCAATTTTTATGCGAACAGTCGATCGAACAAGGAAAAGTCGTGCATTCAAATTTTTATCGGCTAGATTCCAAAACCGAAGACAATCCCTATAAGCCCCGGAGATAGGAAGCATATAAATCTTGGTATATCAATACATAAATTTTGCTACTCGAATCGATGACAAATGAAACCAGAGGACGGGAGAAGTTCAAAATCTTGAGGAAACCAGCGGTGACCGAGGACGGTGTGATCCTGCCTGCTGCCGTGACTATGACGATTATGTTTTTTTTTTTTTTTACTTGAACAAAAACACCCGAAGGCCATCCAAGAACTTACAATGCCGAGCCCAAATAAAAGCGCTACGAAAATTTAGAATAAAATAAGGGCCCAAACCCGAAAAACTCAAAAGGAACCCAGGTATATAAGCCCAACTAAAACGCCCTCAAAGTAAATACAAAAGCTGGGCCATAAGAATTAAAAAGTCCAACAGACAAATACAAAGAGACTAATCACTATTTTTATGATTTTTTTACTATTATAACGACTATGTTGCATTATGTAAAAGAACTTATTGAATGCGTTTAGTTGTAGGGTTTTTTGTTTTTTTGTTTTTTTTTTTTTTAACTATTAAAAAAAAATTAAAAAATATTAAATTAAATATTATTATTTATTTATTATGTTATATTAAAATTTATTATTATATTCAAAAGATTATACTAACTTTATGAAAAATTTAGATTTTTTTTTTTGGTTTCAACGACTAAAAATATTATTCAATTTTTAAAGTTTTAGATAAAAAATATAATATTTTTTTATAAAATATTATCTCGTCTTTGATGAATGTATCATTTTGAAATTTTGCAGTAAATTAAAAAATAACGGTATTTTATTGATTAGTGAAAGTGTATAAGAGGTTTTAAAAATTGTTATTTGACTTTATGTATAAAATAATTGTATATATAACACTCTCTCCATCCCATAAATATAGTCTTAATTGGGTTGGATACATGATTTAAGGTATATTGATATTATATTGGTAGTTGGTAAAAGTATGGATAAAAGATTTTTTGCCCTTACGAGTGTATTAGTGTAAAAAGTAGTGGCAATTGTGTAATAAAAATAAAAATATAGTGGCAAAACTTGAAGTAAGTATAATGGCAGGGACAAAAGTGTGCTCCGGATAAGCTGCAATCGACCGCCAGGACTGCCCGATCCCAACAGCTCAAGTATCTTCGAAGCTTCCCCAAAAGCTCCTCATACAAAATGCTCCTCCGATTCCCCACATAGAGGGGCGTACCAAGGTAAGTAAGTAGGAGGTCAGCCTCTCTGAAACCCGTGACTGACTGAAGTTGCTCCCGAACCTCCCCCGGGAATCACCGACTGAAGACAATCGAGCTCTTTTGACAGTTGACCTTTTGGCCGGTGATCCTCATATAGTCAGCCAAAAAGGTCATAAAAAAAACTCATTCGCTCCCCATAAGCACTCGCAAATATCAGCACGTCATCGGCATATGCTAAGTGAGACAACCGAAACCCGCCCCTACATCAAAAGTAAAGCTCCGGATGTCTCTGGTAAAGACGCTCCAAACCCCTCGATAACAGGTCCGCCGCAACTACAAAAAGAGTAGGCGACAACGAATCTCCCTATCGGACCCTCTGGAGGATTTAAAAAATCCCCAAGGTCTCCTGTAATCAAAATGGAGTAATAGACGTGCTCTATGCAATGCATCACCAATGTAATAAACTCCTCTGCAAAACCGAACCTCAACAAGGCATGCCTCAGAAACCGCCAAGATACCCTATCATATGCCTTATTAAGGTCCAATTTCATAAGCACGTTATGCGACATGCCTCGAAGGTTCAAGTCATGAACCATCTCGAATGCCATCAATATGTTATCCGCAATCGCGCGCCCCTTCACAAACCCACTCTGATGCGGGGAAAGAAGGCGCGGTAATAAAGGCCCCAATAGCACCGTGAGCAACTTCGTAATGATCTTGTTGCTCACGTTGCATAGACTAATGGGTCTGTAATCTGCCCACGACTCCGGAGCATCTTTCTTCGGGATAAGGACAATAGTAGTGGCTTTGTAAAACTTCGGGAGTGGGACCCTTGAACAGCTGAGACCGCAGTCTTCTCCAAGAATCTCCATATGTCCCGACATCTGACGACACTACATCTCCCATAGACCCCCGTCAGCAAGAAGGATCGACGAATCTGCGGTGACGATATCTGCACATGAATCCACTAATCGGCACTCACAAGCATCTGAGTTTGGAAAGAGCTGTCGACAAACAACCAAATCTTGTTTGCCTCGTTCCCTATCATCTGAGCAAACCCCAAATGCCGACAGAAATACTTCGGCGCTGCCTCGACCATAGGCTCCAATAGTATCAGAATACGCACTCGATGCTCCCGACATAAGTAGTGAATCTCCCGCTGGGCTCGGGGGTTCCCAGAACCCCGAACGTTCCATACTAAGAACGAAAAATCAGTCATCTAGGAACGTGGGGTGATGGAAGACCGCGCCTGAAGGAACAAGTGATGCGACGGCTCACCTCCGGAGGCGGCGGCCTGCTCTGTACCTGGAAGCTCGAGGGAATCTCAGTCTCTGGGGAACGGCTCGTCCCCTCAGGCTCCACTTCCTCCAGCAGAGCCATCACTATAGGGGCCACTTCAGGAGACGGCTCTGATGCAACGCGGTAGGAGTATTGAAGATCCTCCACCTTCGACAAAGGCCCAGTACTCTCCCGAATACCCAAAACAAAGCTCCCATCTCCGCAGGGGGAAAGAGCTAATATATCAAACAAGGATGGCGGGGTACCATCTTTGAGAAGTGGCGAATCATCCGACTCCGCATCAAAAGATGAAGAATGCTCATCCCGACTAGAGTCAAGTCTGCGCGAGGTCTCTGGGGTATCCTCAACCAACACTGCCTTCCCTTGAGCCTTACGAGAAGGCAGTTCCTCCTGTGCCACGGGGGTCGCTGTGCGCAAGGAGCTCGAAACCCGATCCTCCTCCTCATCTGCCAACACAGGCGGGATCACGCCATCCGACTGATCCGGGATAACAGTAGGAGCAGCGGGGGGATCAACAACACAGGTAACTTGGATGCCAGACAGTAGGGTCCTCTCAACAGTATCCGAATCTAATCTGTCCTCCGGGGGAGCAGCGCCCTCAGCAGAACCCTCTGAAACCAATCCAGCACTCGGAGCAGTAACCCGGATGCCCGACGAGAGAACTCTCCTAACCACATCTGATGCACTAGCACCCGGAACAGTAACTCGGATGCCAGATGCAAGAACTCTGTCAACGCCAACCCGACCCTGTCCACGTCTGCGCCTCCTACGGCGTCTTATACGGCCCTGCGTCACAGTCTCTGTAGCATCTCGCTCCTTAACAGGAGGCACAAGCCGCTCCCCAATAGAAGGTACAATCCGCTCCTCAATAGGAGGCACAACCGCCGGTCGGGGACCTCTCATAGCCTCCATCGCTACCCGAGAAGGTCCCGACCGACAGCAATCGACAGCAGTATGCCCCAAAGTATGACAAGAAGCGCATTATCTAGGAAACCTTTCATATATCATTCTCTGCTCTACTCTGGGATCCCCCAAATCAATTAAGAATCTGTTAATCAACGACTATGATACATCAATCTCAATGCAGACGCGTGCATGAGAGCACCTGTCTCGCCTAGCTGTCGGAGCATCAGTTGTCAGAGGCTTGCCAAGTCTTGATGCAACCACAAAAAGCATGTCCCGGTGATACATATGTAGTGGCAACTGTGGGAAAGTCACCCACACCGGGACAATATAAGGGTCCTCCGTGGCCTTAAAATCTAGCGTCCACTTAAAGACGCGTATTGGTGCCCCCCGCACCATCCAAAGGCCACGGATCAACAACATAGTATAATCCCGGCTATCCGACAGACGAATGATAATATGTCTATGGCGTAGACGATAAAGCTCATACTACCCCACTAACCGAAATCTAGTGAATGCATGAACTATATCATGCCAGGATGAATAGCCTAACGGGAACCTCGCGACTAAAACATGCATCCAAGAGGGATTAGCCATCACGTACCTCGACGTCTCCGCCGTAGTAAACCGGAGACATAAAACCCCGTCCTCAGAGCTAGACCACGCACCAACAGTTGCTGGTCGAGGCCCTTCCACGAATGAAAAGGGACTATTGACAGCCGATCGTAATCCCGATAGAACTCCCGAGACAACATCGGTAAATGACGTCCCACCCCAAACACCGGTACGAGGGGGTGGGGCCCCAGTCTGAAGCCCCGTCGGGGCCACAGCAGCAGCTGCTGCCGTAGGGGGGACAGCGGCGGAGAGGACAGCGGCGGTGCCGGAGGGGCCGGAGGGGTCGAGCTCTCAACATCGATGATCGGGAGGCGAGGAGACGAGCTGTCCAGCACTACTCTGGGGTTTTCGGGGGCCAGGAATTCATCTGTGCCATCAGAATGGCGAAATTCCGGCCAGATCACCAGAGATGAGGGCGGTGATATGGATTGGAGCCGGGGGAACCACCATTCAGCATGGAAGGGTTCTGAGGTGTGAGGGCCATGACCTGGGGGTTTTTTGGGGCCACCAAATCGGCAGGGACCACCGTTCGACGATTAGACGATGAACACGGCCGGCAACTAACATTTCGGCAAGGGCTATGGCCATGTACCACCACCGCTGCCGTGTCATCATTTTTCGACAGCGACTAGCTGGGATTTGTGGTTTTCAGAGATGGAAAACTTATATTCAATGAAATTGCGACGATTGGAGAACCATAACAGCCGGAATCGGAGCCTCGACCACCATGTAACTCCGGCGAGGCGACTGTTCCGGCCAGCAGACGACAACCAGCAGCGGCGAGGTCGGCCTGGGCATTTTGGGGGTCTGCGAGCACCATGGTGGGATCAGATTGGGCAAACGGATGGCGGATCTGTGAGAAGTCACCGTCCGACGAAGGTTACACAACCCTAGTCGACGGTTACTAGAGCGACAGTGTGCTAGGGGCAGTTTCCGGCACCGGCGAGTTCACCATAGGGGTTTACAAGGTCAAGGAACTCAACGGTGAGGAAAGAGTACCTCCCGTTGAGCCCTGGGGTTACCAATTCCTCGTACATTCCAGACCAGAATATAGGTGTCTGTCATCGAGAACTGGCTGAAGGGCGACGAGAGGAACTGACTTGCTGACGAGAGATGCTGCGGGTAATCGGTCTAGAGAAGGTCGGCGGCAGAGCCTGTGGCCGGTCATCCGACACTGTCT